TCTTCTCAATTTGCTGTAACTTGACAATGGCTTCCACACGAGCAATCTTGATACCATACTTGTGAGCAATTTCTTGTGTCAACGCTCCATCCTCAACCACTTCGCTGTAGATTTGCTGCTTCAAGTCATCAGAAATGATAGAAGCGGTTCTGCAGTGAAGATTCTGTGGGAAAGGATGTAACGCAGGGTTTCTTTTTGAGTCCATGCCGCTACGAGAAAAACTCTCTTTACCCGGAAGAACTAAAGTATCACCATTAGGAACGATGTAGTTGGGTGTGTTGTTCTGCGGCGGGTAGTAGTATTTGTTTCTGTAGTACTCGCCTCTGATGTTTTTAGGTCCCAACCATGCTTTCAAGTGTCTTTGGAAAAAACCAGCGTGGTCCTTTTTAGGATGGGACAAAGGAGCCAATTCGGCACGGTATCGAGGATAAGCCGGCTTCCTCTTTGCGCCTCGAACAATCTGAAGGGGCACAAACAGCTTGTTGCCGCTTGTGAACGCTTGTTTGCAAAACATGGCGCAAATGTGAAAAGTATTTAGACTAACGGTGAAGAAATTTTCTGTCCAAGGCCGGATGTCGCACGACTCGCTCAATGTCGCACTTCCCTCAGGGCTAGAGGGCCGCCCCACCTTAAATATAAATACATGTATGCCCCAGCAAAAAGGCTTCAAGTAGCAATGGTGACGAGCCACGTAAATGTGCACTTGTTTGCACAAGCAGCGAGAAATACAAATTAGTTATTCAGATCATTTGAAGCTGAGTTCGCAGCAAAACCGCATCAAATTCACCAGGCAGACTCGTCGTATCAGTCCCATCACCATACTGTCCCGCTAACAGGGTCAGATCAGTCTGAGAATGCCCGTAGTGTCTCATTGAACCAAGAAATCCGTCTACATGGTAAAAAATAGATCTTGGGTGAGACATTCTGCAATCACACCCGTACCCCTACGGCACGCGCTAAGCGTGTTGTTTAGCCTCTGCTAGCGTTTGCCTGTGTTAGAGAAAAAAGCCCAGAATCTCCTAATGGACGGCTTTGTCACGTCTTTTAAAAAGTTGCGAGAGCGGGTTTCACCGGCAAAATCAACTGACCCGGCCACACTGTACTCGGTTGCCGACGAAAAAGTGGTTTTGCGGGACGAAGACTTTTGTCGCAAACGCCCTAGCTCCACCGATGATCCCTTTACAGACAAGAGCCTGAAAGTATCGAAAACAAGTAAGGAAGACTCTTCTGCGTTTGTTTCAACCCTCAACCGAACAGAGTCGACTGGCGATTTTATCAAAGATCTGAACTTGCGGTCCGCCATTTTGAAGGAGAAACTGCCCGTTTCAGAACCTACTGACCAAGCGCTTGCGAGCGGTAAAGCAGAGTCAAAAGACGTGGTAGAGGCAGATCCTGAGGAGGACGAAGTTACACTAGAAGTTCTTGAAGAAATGCACAAACTTGAACTGTGCTTTCCCATATTAGCAGAAAGATATCGCCTATTAGATAAAATAGGCGAGGGGACCTTTTCCACCGTCTATAAAGCCGAAGCCATAAATGGAGCTGTGATGTTGGGCTCCCAAGTGTGGAAATCGCCCCCTTTGCAAAAAAGTGTTGCCAAAAAACAGAGGAAAACAAAGAAGAATCCCCTTGTGGCGTTGAAGCAGATCTACGTGACATCTTCACCCAATAGAATATACAATGAGCTAAATCTCCTCTACATGCTTAGTGGCAACTCTCATGTGGCACCTTTGCTTGACATTTTGAGGTATAATGATCAGGTACTTGCCATTTTACCTTACTACCAGCATGCGGATTTCCGTGACTTCTATCGTGATCTCCCCATTAAGGGAATGAAAAAATACTTATGGGAGCTCTTTCATGGTCTCGAATTCGTGCACAGTAAAGGTATCATTCACCGCGATTTGAAACCCACTAACTTCTTATACGACCCTTTTAAGGGGAAAGGTGTTTTGGTTGATTTTGGATTGGCAGAGAAGATGCCTCTGATGGTCTCCTATAGCAACAAGTCATCCAATGCTTGCCCTTGTTTATCAAAGGAAAAAAATACGGCCAACCGAGTACACTCTAAGCGCCTCAACATCAAAGCAGCATATCCCAAAGTAGACCAGAGACCACCAAGACGTGCAAACAGAGCTGGTACGCGAGGATTCAGAGCGCCCGAAGTATTATTCAAATGCACAAATCAATCAACTAAGATTGATATATGGTCGGCTGGTGTGATTGCATTATCACTCTTATCGCGGAAATTCCCATTGTTCAATTCACCCGATGATATCGATGCATTGATCGAGATTATTTTGATTTTCGGGGTGGAAAAGCTTCAGAAATGCGCAGAGTTACATGGGTGTGGGCTTGAGGTAACCATTCCGGCTGTTCAGGCGTCCAATTATAATGGGAATTTAATCAAGTTCATTACGGTGCTTTTGAGTTATGAGGAGGAGAATGAGTGCTTGCCACCAGATAGCGTTATTCATGATACCCTAAAATACCTCGACAAGAATAATTATTCTCTTTTGAAGCCAACATTCAACAGCAGTGAAGAAATGACAACAGCAGATTATAACAAGTTCAAGGAAGATTTGGAAGGGTACAACGACCTTAAGCATTTACTTCAACTCTTGTACGGGTGCTTTAGTATGGATCCATCCAAGCGACTTTCAGCGTCGCTACTTTTAAAGTCTCCGTTTTTCAGCGAATTGGACACACACAAGGATGACGAAATATTACTATAGGGAAGCAGGTTACAAAAATCGGATATAGGTTACTGGTGCCGTGTTTTACACGCGGCGTGTGTGTCGAATTATAGTACAAATGCATAATGTTAGTTAATCGGTGCTTGATGTCAGCGCTGATCTGGATCTTTTTCGGGTCGAACCTGCTCCCAGTACGAGCGGATTCCGCCGTTCTGGCGAGCACGAATCAAAAACTGCTTTGTTCCACTTTCTGTTCAACTCATAAATGAGTTTATTCTGACTCCTGACCGAATGGTCGGAGGCTGGGACGTGCGGAGGAGAAGAAACCAACTCTGGAGTTTCTTCCACGTTTGGAGAAGCAGACATAGATGCAACAGTAGACGAGGTTGTAGTATTACCATGAGGAGGATTGTGTAAATGAGCATTGGAGCCAGATCCTATGGGGAAGCGAGTATCCGAATTTAAAGATGTTGGAGAGACCATTGGTGAGCCGTGATTTGCAATGAGCTCTAGTTGAATATCTTTCGAGAGTAAAAGCCGGCGTTTCAAGAAAATGGACTGGGAAATGGAAGATGTACGCACCTTCTTCCCTTGGGTGACGGGAGGAATATCAGCCTCAATTTCTGTCAGAAGAGAGTGCGAGGCAGTCAAGGGAGATGATGAGGGCTGAGGGAAAGCAGTAGACGGAATATTCGGCGCTGACAGAGACACATGAAGTGTATGAGGTGATGAAGATGAATTATGAATGTTTGTGGAAGGTAGATGCATTGAAAGTTGAGGCAGCGGGAGGTCTGAATTTAGTGATAACGGAGATGGAGCTGGGTCGTCCAAGAGCTTTGGAGAAGGTTTTGGGGGTTCTGATACTCTATCGTACTTGAACTTGAAGTCACGTTTGAGGTTGGAAAGGAAATTCGGAGGGTTCTTTTCGCTCGAGCGGCGGCGCCATCGAAAGCGGGAGATGAAGATTTCTGACTCCGAATCCTCATCAGAAAGTACAGCGCTGGAAGTTTTCGCCCGCGACTTGCCTACTTTGGTGGGAAGAGTGAAGTTATCCTTCACAGGGTCATTAGGCGATGTCACAGGGGCTAGTGAAGAAAGACTGGCTGTGCTATTGTTTCGCGTGGGCCGAAGCAGGCTATCATCGACAGATATGATGGAATTTCGTCTCAGCTCCAAGCTGATGATGGACATGCTTCGCTGGTTGGAAGAAAAATTGGACCCTACCGAGTTCATCGATGACGAACGTTGTCTGCGAGCAGCAAGCGCTTGCTTAGGAAGACACGGGCTTGTTGAGCCGCTTAAAACGTCGGAAGGGCTTGCTGGGTTGTTTCTGTTGGAAGATGCGCTCATGGCTCCAAAGAACGAGACACAGTCGAAACAAAACCTGGGGAGCACAAGAATACGCGGCACTGTGGTTGTCTGGATGATCAAAAGACAGGGATAAATTGGCGCAAGCTGGAGACGGAAAGGATATGTCCAAGGTAGTTGGCAGATGGGCAAAAACGATTGCGGAAAGTGAGACAACTAACAAAAAGGGAAACTACAGAGGACAAAAGAAGGCTTTTTCACGCGAGATAACTACGCAATCACCTGCATACGCCATGATGAGATGGGGAGGATGCAGAAGTTAGAGTTTGGACCCACTTGGCATTCAGCACACCTGGACAAATGACAAAGGCCAAAAAGTGGAAGGCATATGTATGGGAGAACGGGCTAGGATATCGGAGGGACAATGTTTTGGGGTAACCTCCAGAAACTGCCATACTGACAGCTTGTTCTAGATATGAGCATGTCCTGCAGGACTGACATTTTAAGATCGTATGTCCGATATTTGGTCCTGCGCTTAGTTCTCGACTAGAGATGCAGCGGGGCAAAAATTTGGGGCTAAAGTTGCATACTGAAGCCAATGACTACTCATACAGAGAATCTCAAGAGTCCCTCACATCAGATGTCCAAAATAGGATTCTTGCAAACTTGGCCACCGCTCGAGGTGTTTGGCATGGCAAATTTACCTTTATCATCGGCTAAACAAGCGCGCCCAATTTAGCCTCTCCTCTGGAGATGCAGTCTTGACAGGAAAGCTCAACGAGCGTTTATTATATAATAGTACAGGATTAGCCAAACCCGCGAGAGGTGGAACGCCGCGGGTTTTCGCCAGGTATCTAAAGTGGTCTAAAAGTCTAAATGAAGAAAAGAGCGGCAAGAGCTCCGGTAACCATGGACAAGGCACCTCTTCTCAAGGCACTGGCACCGGAGTCAATAGGAGAAATTGTAGAAGGAACGGCGCTTCCGGAGGAAGTGGAGGAAGAAACAAATCCCGACACTGGGATGGAACTGGAAGGAGCGGGGGCGCTGGAAACAGCAGGGCCGACTGGAACGCCAGAAGAAACAACGTCAACCGGAACAGATGGTGTGCCGTACACCGAGGAAACGGTAGTGTAAGTGGAGACGTACTCAGAAACTTCGCTTGACGAGGCTCCGGAAGTGACACTGCCAGTCTCGGTGGAACATGGGACAGTCACCACAACCTCGGTGATCTCAGTAGTGGTGTACGTGCTTTCAGAACCTATGTCGGTGCAAGAAGTGGTGATGACAATCTCGGTGGTGTAGGTGGTGTAGCTAATAGATGGAGACTCCGAGGTGGTGGACTCTTCCTCACAAGAGCAGGTGGCGTAGTACGAAACCAAAGAGTCAGTCACAGTAATAACGTTACCAGATGCGTCAGTGGTAACAACAGCACTAGCAGAGGCACCAACAGCAGAAGAAGCACCAGAAGAAGCACCGGCGGCAGAAGAAGCACCAGAAGAAGCAGATGATGATGAAGAAGCAGACGATGCATAGCCAGAAGCAGAAGCACCAGATGGCTCTGCAGTCACAGTGGCAGCAACAGAGCCAGAAGATGGAGAAGCGGAAATGGCATCAGAAGGTCCATACGACAGAGGCTCAGCTGTGCCACTGACATCAACAGGTCCAGTAAGTGTGGCGTAAGCAGTGCCGCCCAAGTTAATCGATGGACGAGGACCGGTGTTGAAAGAGAAGGTAGGTTCAGCAACATGACGAGTGGTGAGAGTGGCGTTTCCGTCAACACGAGTGTAGACAATTTCCAACGAGGTGTAGTCGTAGAATGGAGCTTTCACGGCCAGGGGAATAGCAGTGACAATGTCCTCGATGGTTTCAGCTCTAGGCTCCACTGCGGCCTGCGCAAGAGCGATTTCCAAGTTGTCAAAGTCGTAGACAACGTAAGCACTCTTCAAGAAAGTGTCACCCAAGATGGTGGTTCCATCACCAGAGTCAATCATTCCCAAGTAACATTGGTCGTATTGGTAGAGCAAGTCTCTGATAGGAACGACAATCTCAACCCCGCTGAAGTAGTACGAGATCGAGTCTGTCAGTTGCAAGAGCAGACATGGAACCACGTACATACCTTGGTCATCATCAAAAGTGGTGGCTTCGAGATAGGATGCAACCGCATCAACGTACTTGCCAGGCAAGTACTGCAAACTGGTACCGGAATCAAGCAAAGCTGGAGTTTGTTGGACGGCTTCGAAACCGTAACCAGAAATTCCGTCCAAAATCACATTGGAGTAGATGGGACCATCGCCAAGAAGGGCAAATTCATTGGCAATGTGCATTCTGTAAAGTTTTCCGTCGTACTTACCGTGGTCAACACCACCGAAAAGGATCAGACCTTCAGAAACGTTGTTTGTTCCCAAGTATAATGAGTAAGAGTTACTCTTGATGAGACCCTCATCTTTCAAAGCGGCAGGGAAGTTCTTGTACTCAAACGAGTCGGCAAGAGAGCTGTTCGACGACTCAAGATCCATCATTCCGATACCCAAGACACCAATGTCAGAGGTTACATTGTCAGCCACACCGAAGGTCAAGCTCAGGAGAGCCAGGGGACCGAAAGACACCAGGTCTTGGGCCCAGTAGCCCAAAGCATAAGACTCATCAGCATACTGAATGCTGAAAGGCACATCATCGTACACACGCTTGAACGTGCTCAGAGAGGATGGACTGTAGGAGCCGTAACCTTCGCATTGTTGGGAGTTAGCTGCAGCCTCTGCTGGACTTGCATTCTGAACCCACTCAACACTTTCTCCGTAAACACATCCTGTTTGAGGAACCCACAAATCCGAAGAGCCTGTGTCCAAGAGAACGCCAACCTTCTGGTTGTCAGAACCCATTTCAATGTTGGCCAAGTAGAACAAAGCTTCGTTCTCAATAATGCTGTTAGTCAGCGCTCTCTTTTGGAAGTGTTTGAACTCATGGCCCTTCATGACCTTGAAGTCCAATTGCATGTAAGCAGATGCAGCAGCAACGAGAAAGAGAATTCCCGCACGCATGGTTTTTAGTCTTGATTAGCAGTAAACTGGGCTGAACATGCCCTTTTATGTGGTGTCTAATGTAAAGAGATTGGTCTATTGGGGCCGTATCAATTATGTGCGGCGGCTAAACACCACAGCTGTTGACGTGCTTCGTAAAAAAATGCATCGGCGCATATACACAATACCATTGTTCTCCCCGATAACGTAACACGCCGGATCATTGTGATTATGGAGGCGTTTATCTCGGCTCCATGTTACTGTAATTTCTTTCGCCTACCTCATGTTCACGTTTTCTTTTCTAAATCTTTGGTCCACAAGAAATGTCAAATGCGCGCAGACGCCAAAATGCGTCGTCGAAAAATTGACACTACGATAATGCGTATAAAAGGTACACAACAACACAAAAGTCCGCACACAGGTGCGGCTCCAATGCTTCAAACTTTACGTTTCCCGACATTATTATTCACTTGTCAATCACGTGGTGTTGAGTCACCGTGAATAAGTGTTTGGTTTTTTCTTTTTTTATATCCCGTTTTCTTCTATGTTTCATCACCTATCTTCTTACAGATTCTTGAAAATCAATTGCATACCATTGTGTAGCTAGCTATGTTGGACCTACTGTGGCGGCCCAAGTGTAATCGTTTTAATGTTTTGATTTTCCATGTGCACGCGACCATACATGTTGGTGCAGAATCCGTGTATCTCGATATGCGCTCGTCGCCAGATAAGGCAGTTTCCAGTGCCGTGCGCCTATCGGAATGTTTTTCTTTGGTCATAAACCTCCACTTTTCGGGATATAGGGGCCGTGCCGATTAGGCATCTGAGAGCCACTTCATAATGTCATCAATCTACAATCCACAGTTCTTGCATATGTCAAGTCCGATATCTAACTCACATAACCGTGGAAATGAAAAGCCGATGGCCAATAGATGACTGTATTATAATCAAAACGGAGAAGTAACGGTATGTTTAAATTCAACTACGCCATAATAGAAAAATGAGAATCCAAGGTTAGTTATCAACTTACCATTTTCATTTTTCTATCCGAATTACTGCCACATGAAAAGAGACTGAGAGCCATAAAAAGCAGTACCTCCACATCTGTTCCTCTCGTCATATTTACTCAGAAAATATAACGTTCGAAGATGGTTGTATAGTGTAGTGGTTATCACTTTCGGTTTTGATCCGAACAACCCCGGTTCGAATCCGGGTACGACCTCTTTTTTTCGTCTTTTTTTTTGTTCGCGCACCAAACTCTTTTGCACACAGGCCGATGAGCATCTACTAAATCCTTCTTCAACCACTTTCTTCGCCATGATCAGAACAATGTATGTACTAGTTGTTTCATTTTTTAACATCAAAGTTTTAATGTACTAACTTTTGCTCAGCAAGCCAAAGAATGCCCGCTCCAAAAGAGCCTTGGCTAAAAAAGAGGCCAAGTTGGTTGAAAATACAAAGACTGCCTTATTCGTCCCAGGTGCGACAGGAAACAAGTTTTTGCATGATGCTATGGTCGACTTGATGGCTTTGAAAAAGCCAGACGCAAAAAAGTTTTCGAAAAAGAACGCTATCAGACCATTCGAAGATGCCAGCGGGTTGGAGTTCTTTTCTGAGAAAAACGATACATCGCTTATGGTGTTCTCGTCTCACAACAAGAAAAGACCTAATACCTTGACTTTTGCTCGTTTCTTCAACCACAAAGTTTACGACATGATCGAGTTGACCATCCAAGAGAACCCTAAGTTGTTTAGTGATTTTAAGAAGTTGACCTTTCCTGTGGGCTTGAAGCCTATGTTCACATTCAACGGCCCAGCGTTCGACAGTCATCCTGTTTTCCAGCAAATCAAGTCTTTATTCATGGATTTCTACCGTGGAGACGAGACAGACTTGCAAGATGTTGCAGGTTTGCAATATATCATTTCTTTATCTGTGGGCGAAATTGAGGACCCTAACTCCTCAGTATTGCCTCTTTTGCATTTCAGAGTGTACAAGTTAAAATCGTACAAGAGTGGCCAAAAGATCCCCAGAGTCGAAGTGGACGAGATCGGTCCACGTTTTGACTTCAAGATTGGCAGAAGAGTGACTCCTGCGCCAGAAGTGGAGAAGGATGCATTGTCTAAACCTAAGCAATTACAAGCTAAGGTCAAGAAGAATGTCACTACTGATTTCATGGGTGACAAGGTTGCTAAGATTCACATGGGCACCCAAGACTTGAGTAAGATGCAAACGAGGAAGATGAAGGGTTTGAAAGCAAAGTATGACCAAGTTGACGACGCAGAGTTTGATGAAGAAGACTATGTTGCTGATGATGAGCCAGCAGCCAAGAAGCAAAAAGTTTAGCACGAGACTACCCCTCTACATTAATGAACATATTGACTGATTTACGTAGGGACGTCATACGGTTGGCGTTACTTCACGTACTATCTCCAGCTGGCCGTGAGGTGATTAAAGTTTTGATAGTGGTATCGTTCGGACACTGTTCTTTCAGGCTCCCAACTCATGTCTGGTCTTCGTAATATAGCGTAACTGTCAGTACATACATATTTTCGTCTTACCACTTGAAAATTCTGTAACACCTCAATCTTGTAGATTGTTTTTCTTAATACTTTCTCTAATTTATTGTATTGTTTGCTCTTCTATTCAAGTGTATCGGAATTCTTCAAAGTTGTGTGGGATGTGCGCACGACTTTCGATATTGTCTTTTTCGTACCAGACAAAACATTAGACATCATCGCCATGTCGGATCAAAAGATGCTCTTCAAACCCCGCAAGTTCGGCAATGCCGACTCGGCGGTTTTTACTAGAAAATCTTTCTTGGCCGACTCGACCACTGAAGCTCCGTCCTTTTCTGGTCTCACAAACATTGGTGTTTATTCTGGAGTTGAACTCACAAAGAATGACAAGTATTGTGTCTCTAAACTTCCCGCATGTCCCCCAATATTGAGCAGCAACAACATGGATGAGTCCAACGAGCTCTTAAATGGCTACGCGGATAATACCTCCAAGTGTGCTTTGGTTATTGGCGATAGAGCCATCAATGTTTGGCCCTACAAATCCACAGATGATGTTCCCCTTACCTTTGAATTCCCGTTGCAGGACGAAAACCAGGGCTTACAGTTGGCGATTTTGACTCTGCCAACACCTGGATCTACCATAGACCCAGGTTTAGTTATTATCAATTCCATTTCAGGTTACGTTCGTTTTTACGAAAGTCTTCAGCATGCACCAGCTTTGGGACTCATAAACAGCAAGCTAATAGAGACGACAGTACCTATTCTGCTGGCTCAAGGTGAATGTATCACTGTGGCTGAAAATGTCGAACCTGCTGGAGTGGTGGTTGCTACATCTTGGAAACGGGTAGTTCTCATTTTGTTGCGGGACTTCAAAGGCGCTCCAAAGTTGTCTTTGGTGGAACTCTCCGCGCCATCAAAGTCATTCAGGTTGCTTTCTGGCTGGTTCAAACGTGGTGATGGCGACCACCTTTCCGACGAGATCGTGTCAATCAAAACGGGAAGAATCACAGGTAATGGTCTGGCTCAGGAGATTATCATCCAAGATGCTGCAGGTGCCTTCAAAAAGGTTTTCTTCCAATTCTCAGCTACTGGCTCTCCTCACATTAACCATAGAAGAACCTTGAACTTTAACTTACCTTCATACTTGGAGAATAACATCGATGGTTTCATTCCCGGTGCAGTTATCGATGTGAAATATCTTGACCTATGGCCGTTGCGCCCACAAGTCGATCTGGATTCGGACTCACAGCTCTTTGATGACTTGTATACTGCATTGATTTGCGTACAGAGCTCCATACATGGTACAGACGTAAAACGGCTTTTGTTGGTCACCATGAAAATTAATGATAGTGGCGTTTTAGTGTATGGCTCTCACCAACTTCCTCAAGTCGACACAAGCTTGTCAGATTCTCTGGTTGTTAAACCACGTCTTTTCATTCCAAGACCCGGTGCGACTGCTTTTGTTGTCGTTGGGAATTCCATTATCTTGACCGACATGAACACCAAGTTCTTGACTAAAGCATCCACTGCTACATTCCTGTACTTCAAACCAAAATGGGAAGACACAGTTAATCTTAAATCTTCGGTCGAAGTCATTGGGTTAGGTTACGAGGATAAAGCAACAGAGTCCAATCCGTCCTTAGTTTTAATAACTCGAGATTATGGTGTTTTGCGGGTTGAGCGCTTTACTGATAATACTGATGATGTCAAAGAAAACATTGAAGATACATCTATTGATCCAACAGATCCTGTCTACTTACTCAAATCTCGCATACAACAAGCTATTTACTATCATGACTCTTCTGTCGTTGACTTCAATGTTTCTGAAGGTTACGCAGATGAAGTTATCAGCACTGCAACCAAGTCCGTTATCTCTGAGATTCTAGACAGTTCTTCGCCTTATCTTCCATCTATATTCGCAAGCACAAGAGAATCTTTCATTGTGCGCATTAATCTCATGCATCAGCTCATTGCATTTGCTCAGGAGAATTTTGACAATTCGTGGTTTATTGTACCAGAGATTGTCTACGCGTTGGAAAAATTGGCAGTTTCTGAAGGTCTTTGGAATTTGGTGGATGTGGAAACCCCTGAAGCATCGCTTTTAAAAGAGAAATTAGTTTATTTCATGCAAAGCAAGAGCTTTGTTAACACATCAACTAATCAAGACACTCTCAGAACATTTTTCGCGAAAAATGTCGATAACATTCTTGACGTTTTGACTGGTTTCATTGAGTTTTTGCATCAGAATGACTTTTCAACAGCAGCAATACTCAAGATCTTGGAGACAACTTTATATGAAGCTGTTTTTGTTAACGAGGAACGGTATGTTTCTCAAACTACACAAAAAACGGCCGTCAAGAACTGGATTTTTGATTCCAAGTTGTTAATTGTTGCCGAAGATATCTACAGCAATGCTTATTGCTCCTCAAATAAGGAGTTTGAGTATCTTTCTTCGACACCAAGCCGTATGCAATTAGTACACCTAACTGAAGCTTTATACTATTTGGTCAATTCTGCGGTGAAATACATGAAAGAATCAAACGATGATCAACTTACTGAATACCAAAAATGGTATACAAACAGGAAAAGCCAGTGGGTGAATGCAATGCTCAAACATGGATTGGTTAATGATGCTTTGCGTATCACTGAAAAATACCACGACTTTTTGTCGGTTGCTGCAGTTTTAGAAAAAGAAAGAGACCAAACATCTCCAGAGTATATTGAGGAACACATTCGTCGCTTCATGGAAAAATATGGATACGAATTTGCAGCAGACTTATTTTCCTACTATTTGGAAGCTGATAAGATTCACCGTTTAATCCTCGACTGTGGTTCATTTCAAGAATATCTTGAAATGTTCTTCAAGAAAAACCACACCAAATCTGCGAAAGTTGCATGGATCCATTACTTATTGGTGAGTAAGTTTGAGGAGGCAGCTAAGGGGTTGATGACTCTCTCCAACAGCAAAGAGATGGATAACCAAGAAAACAGAGAGCTTAATCTTTCGTTGGCTAAGTTGACGGCCATTGCTGCTAAATTCAAGGATCCCGTCTCTCCAAATATCATGGCTCTCGAAGAGATTGCAATCGAATCGGAAAACAATCTTGTTGTAACCAGAATCCAAAACAATCTTTTCCACCTGGTTTCCCTGTTTCTTCAAGGACAAAAATCTCTCATTACTTTAGATTGGTTTATGAAAAATTTCGTGAATCCTGCCATCCCTCTGGACGCTGTTAGGCAAGAAATACTGAGCTATTTCGAAAGATTTGTTAACGAGCATCCTTTGGAAAAAGAACAATTAGTTACCCTCCTAACAATTATCAAGCCCGTGAATCAATTCAAGCAAGTATTTGCAGATGCTTTGATGGTTGCCGCTCTGATTGGGAACGACTCAACATTTCAGCAACAAGCCAGCGAAGTGTGGCTCAAACTATTGACCACCACGGATGACTGGAAGTCTATTTGTCTTACAAGTGAGACAACAGACATGGTTAACAAGACTAGAATCCGGGAAACTACGTTGTTTCACACACTCAGTCTTGTTTCGTTTAACAAAGATATCATGCAAATGTTGGACAGGGTCCTCCAATCTGTTGAAGAGGGCAATGATAATGAACGCTCGCCTTTACTACAAACACTCTACGATTTGGTCCACAACAACAATCTTGCATCCTGGGTGGATAGTATCAAAGCTGAAGTTCGCCAAAACTAGCCTATAACGTCTATGATTCCCAATATTAATAACCATTTAATATACACTATAGTACAAATATGGAGCCTTATGATTCGAGCAAAGTAATTGTAGCGCTTGACTTTGTTCGTATCGATTCACCATCATCACTTATCACCTTGGGGGGACTTCGCAACTCCCAGCTCCTCTTTATCACCTTCAATATCAGGCTCGTCGTCTTTGTCAAGCTTTATCCGCACTAGACACTCTGGAAGCGGAACATTCTCTTTGAAGTCTTTTGAAGAATACTTTAGAAGCCCGAGGGACGCCAAAGATACGGAATTCATGACATTTTTCCAGTTGGAAAGAACAAGAGACACGCTTTCGGCGCCGTCTGCCATCGTAGCGAACTTCTCTTCTATTTGCTCGAGTTGTTTCACTAGTATCTCTGTAAATTTCTTCAACTCCTGGAGATTTTCAAGCTCTTCCCTTTTCTGCTCTATTTTGCTCTGTAGCGAACTCATTGAAGATAAACGTGGAGTTGTACAACGCGATTGTTGATGCAGTTTGATCATATGCTGTATGTAGGTCATATGTTTCGTGGACCCTTGATTGAAGTCAAAGATACCACTTATCTAGTGAGTTGAATATAAAGTAGAATTACGCACAATGTATTGATATGCCTGTGTTTTTTGTTTATATTTTTTTTTTTAGCTCTTGTATGTTGTCTGCAAAAATGAAATGCACCTGAATCAGTGTATTCGCACTGTGTATCTTTTGTTTACTAAAGATAAATTTTGATCCTTCTTTATTCAGTAATGGCTCGTCTCTCCATTGGGTCACAATATTTCCAGGCGAAAGAGCGCCGGGAAAGCATGGTATACGGACAAAATGCTTCTAAACCAGAGACTGATAAAGGAGATCCCGACTTTCCAAATCCTAGTTCCAACACCAATTCTGGTGATTTACCTTCTACTGTTGATAATTACATTGCACAAAACAAACTGCTTGCAATGAAAAATTCAGAGATGGCCCTGCGGATGTCAGAAATGGAAGCTAAGATGAGCGAATTAATAAGACAAAATGCCTTACTCAAAAATGGGGCAAACGGACAAAGAAACTCGGAAAAATTGGAACAGAGACTTCGCCAGATTGAAACAAGCATTTTAGAAAGACTAGGACATGTTTTGGCAACTTTGCTGGAAATCCGTGCTGAGGAAAGCTTGCCGGAAAATCCCATGGTTTCTGTGGTCGAGGCGGCTTTGCCTGGGAGAAGTAAACCAGTGACATCCACGCCCACCACCGACAATCTAGCGTCTTTTCTTGGTGAAAAGGCGGAGTACTGGGGCGACAATGAAGGCGAAACTACTGAGAGATCCAGAGCAAATTCTGTCCTGCCAGATGTAGATATGGCGATGATCGAGGGCCAAAGCAGAGAAGAAGCAACTGAATTGCAAAACGAAAGAAACATCTTGCCTGAGTCGTCCCAAGGATTTTCAGTTCACATGGACACTCTGGAGCACAATAACCTCGCAACTGTGGAAGAGCTTGTGCTGAGTCCGGAGAAAGGCCAGACTAAGAGGATCAAGTTGCATCCCGAAACTGAGAAACAACTGCTAGATCGCTCCAGTCGCCGAAAACCTGTAAACTACAGGCTTTCTCAAACCAAAAATGACGATTTCAAGGACGACACTGAATCTGAGAATAATAAGACCTCAAGACACACTATAAACAAATCCAAGGCAACAAGAAAACCTTTATCCAACGTTACGAATAGGCGGCGAGCAGCGCTTCGGAGGAAAGCGAAAGATATTGTAACGAGGGAGGAAGAGGTGCCAGATAAGGAGATTTTCGAGTTTGTTGAACCGGAAGAGTTGGAAACTCAGACAAGACTGGCCTTACTGAGAACAAAACGCCGGGGAGTAATTTAAAAACAAAGAGGAATAAGAAAGATACTGAATTCAAATAGGCGAAAGATGCTTATTTGATTTTTTTTTTTTTTTTTTACGTGGTAACAGGGAATTATATTGGCAGTGAATAAACGGTACTCAAACGCTCATGTTCATTTTGATGGCTGGGAGAGGTTCGTAACCAACAATCTCAAAATCATCAAACGTAAAATCGTCTATAGAGCGTATCTCATCTTTTCTGGACTCTTTGATGAACAATTTAGGAAACTGTTTAGGGGTGCGCTCCAATTGAGTCTTTAAGGCATCAATGTGATCTAGGTAAACATGGGCATCGCCCAATGTGTGGATGAATTCGCCACAGTCCATATCAACAACATGAGCAATCATTTTGGTCAATAATGCATAAGACGCAATGTTAAAGGGAACTCCGAGGCCCATGTCGCAAGATCTTTGATATAAGAGACATGATAACTTAGGTCTCGCCTGGGACTTGGTCAGTTTGGGAGCATAAGGTTCGGGAGAAGATGGTTGAGGGAAACTCACATAGAACTGACAAAAGACATGGCATGGAGGTAAAGCCATTTTGGGGAAGTCTGGGGGATTCCAAGCAGACATAATAATCCTTCTATCGTATGGATTAGTCTTGAGTTTTTTAATCACGTCCTGGAGCTGGTCGAAGCCCTGACCAGAGTAGTCATCGTCACAAGTCTTGTATTCAGCACCAAAGTGACGCCATTGGAAGCCGTAAACAGGACCCAAGTCGCCTTCTCTGCGATCGGTTAAACCCATTTTATCCAAATATTCTCTCGAGCCATTTCCCTCCCAAATACGAACACCTTTTGCAGACAACTTTTTAGCATCAGTACAGCCTTCCACAAACCAGAGAAGCTCGTGGATTATGCCCTTTGAAAACACTCTCTTTGTGGTTAAGAGAGGAAAAGTGTCATTTGAGAGATCGAACCTTAGTTGAGGAGGAGCAAAGAGAGATCTTGTGCCTGTGCCAGTTCTATCCGGTCTGAACTCTCCTTCTTCTATAATCTTTTGGCATAAATCAAGGTATGCTTGTTCTGCTGGATTCGTGCTAGCAGTCATAGTGATTGATAACCTGAAATGATTACGCGTCGCGTTACTTATAGTGAAGACAAAGTACAGGATAAGAGGCTAATGGGCAAAGTCAAGGTTTCTCTTTGGAATTCACCAGGAAATTGATTGAGTAATTCATAGGGAAAAGGTTTCAAGTTTAGTTGTTGGAGAATGGAAAGAGCTTCTTAAAAATCAATTGTCTATCTGATTAATAATTTCCGGTGACGTTTCGCGTTACTGTGGAATGTGTCGCATTCACAAAAAAATACAGAAATGCATGCTCCAAGAGAAAAGACACTACTACGTAAAAGGTAAAAGTTATTGTTAGTTTGAATGTTACCTATAGACACAGAACTTTAGGAATGCAGCAGTTCCAACATACATCTTGGTTCACGGTGCCTTCTTAACGCACCTATTTAACCGAATCTACAATGCGAGTATGAATAGTAAAAATATATTTTAGCTATAAACTGACATCAATTCAGCGGCTAACTTACTTCTTTTCACCAAAGACAGCGTCAGAAGCTTGTTGGAGGAAAGACTTGTCACCAGATCTAGTGTTGTCGCCAACAGCATTGTCAACAGTGTCAGTCACCTTGTCCTTGACAAGCTCTGGGGTAGTTTTCTGGTTGTCTGGCTTGACAGAGGAGGAGATTTTGTCAGAAATGTCTTTGCGGCCGAGATCACTCATTGTTAATTGTAGTCTTGTTGATTAGAATGAGAAATTAAATTGTAGACGCCATCCGAGCCTCTATTTATACTTGTTCTTGCCAGCAATTAAGCAACCCCATATTCAAGCAGAGTGATGCTAACTTGCCCCATGCAGGCCCATGATGATTGCTGTGGCGAGTAGCAATATTCTTTTTTAGGCAAAAAGCATACGCGACCAGTTGCTTGCAGGACAAGGCGCTGCTAAGCGAGCGTAAAAGAAGCACCTAACGGAATTCCAATGCTTCTTCACATGCATTTCGGAATGTCTATACCACCATAACCATTACTAGACCGGGCCATATCAAAGTAGTCATTGCACATCTCTTGCCACCGCAGTTGGAAAGCAGCCATTGCAGCAACCAGCCTGGTGGCGCATTGTCATTTCAACCTATTCTGCATTCTCGCGATTTTCACATCCAGAACCATACAAGCGCCATCATTGGCATTCACGCTTTGCGTTGTGTATGGGCGCTAATTGCGTCAGACTAAGATTGTGGTAAGTTTACCCCCACCCACAGTAATGGGCGCCACCTCGTCATTACATCATTCTAGATGGCATTTTCACATCGAAAGTCACAATTAGAACCGCTATAATCCAATTTGAAACCACCGGAAGTACTTGAACCATTTCGGTTCCACCAAAACGCACCGAGCCGAAGCAATTTCAAAAGGCGTACTTCCGTCAAGTGGGAACGTCGATAGAGTTCCTTCGATCACGACTTTGCGACCCTTGGCTTCGACAACATGCGCCTTTAGCACTACAGTGGAATTTGGCGGGGCTTGGTTTTTGAAATCAATGCTGAGGTTCGCAGTCACACCTTTCTTCGAAGGGAGCTTGGCGAACCCGCAGGTGCACAACCCTTCGTCCAAAATAGTGGCCGAAACACCATTGTGGATCTGTCCATCTTGGCTGATCAACCTTCCACCCAAATGATAGAAGGCGGTTAGTTCACCTTTTCCTTGGTTAAGGAACAAGACTGGGTCCACCTCAAACAAGTCGGGGCCAAACAAAAGTCCCGACCCCACATGGTTTTTACGGTGCTGTGAAGGGAACGCTTCGCTTGAGTAGTACTTTTCAATGTCGGGATCGTTGTTTAATTGCTTGAATAACTCTTTCTTCTCTAATTCATGCATTACATCCGTGTTGAAGTGGGTCAACTTTTCGGGCGCCCAGCGTCCTCTTCGCCAATCAGCAGGAAACAAAGCGAAACCCAATCCAAAGGCGAAGATTGGCGAAGTGACTCTGGTGAAGGTTCTTAGAATAGACATGATAGGTTATTGGGGCATTGAAATGCTTAGGGACTTCCGCACTCTTGTAAAACGTTGCACGTGACTTCAGGTCCGAGGTGACTTGAAATCAAGCTGAAGACAAACTCTGCAATCTATTTCATCAAGGACTTAGACCACTCTCACCAACATAGTCACTTCTTGTGAAAACAGCTCTCTAGTTTTTGTTCCTTTGCTTGAAAATTTTGTTCATCTGATATTGATCTTCGCTAACTAGATGGACAAACTAGCAAAAGTAATGAGGAACAAAAACAGAAAGGCATCCCTTTCTCTAGCCACTATATATTTAAGCAACAATTTCTTCATTAACCTGATAGACTTTTACACAGCATCTTAAGTCACCTTCAGATCAACTGTGACGAAGTATGCAGTACAACATCGTTAGCATTTGTAGGAACATAGGTTGAGAAGCTGGCTTCTTGTGGACATAGAAAGCGGCCGAGCTAATTGGCCAAACATTACGCTTGCTATATTTTGCAGCGTTTGAAGATCATACACATACCATAAGAACAAAGATTTTCGCCCACGATTTCCCTTAATTTGTCATCTTCGCAATGTCCTTACGGAAAGACTTCTCCTCTCTCCGGAAGCAGCGATATAGTGGGACCCTGCCCAGAAACCTGTTGATTGGGCCCGTGCATAAGATTGTCATACCTACAGACGATGTAAACGCTGGGGCGCTTTATGTCATGCACCCTTCTAATCCGTCAGAGATGGTGCGGTCTCAGGATGTTAGAACCTGCTTTTTCCTTCCCATAGCCATTCTAGATAGCGGGCTAGGCGAAGTTTCGAAAATATCCTTGGGTGTTTCCAAAGTCGACTACAACCTCAACCTCATCGAGGCCTCGACTGAGGGGAAAATTCGTCTACGAGTCTCTACTACTGAAGAATACATCTATTTTGTCAAGGGGAAAGCATTCTTAGACAAGATGGCCATTCCTAAAGATGCGATTCGAAAAATTGCATGCAACGAAGACTGCCTGAAGCTTTTGATCGTGCTTGAAAAACGATTCGGGTTTTTCTTTGTGGAATTCACCAAGCCTTATGCGAAATTCATTGAGTTTTTGGCTTCATGGCTCGATGATAAGCTTAAAGTTCTTCCAGAAGAAGACGTGATAAGCCTTCATGATTTGTGCATCAAGCGACGCCAAGATCTTCAGAAGGATCCACAACTATATGAGGTTGTAACAAGTGACCCTACTAGCGAAAACGTTAAGGAGGATTCGGACAATATCCTTCGAAACGGGCTACCAGCAGAGCTAAATGACCCTAATATTGCTACGCAGAAGGTCTATATGGGACGAAAGACGAGGGCAGTGACAAAATTGCTCCAAGAGGACCCCGAGATGCTGTTTCAAGCAGATAATACTGGTGAATTCGATGAAGATGACAATCTGGCAGACGAGGATGAGCCAGTAATTCAAGAAACTCCAGCCCCTTTTGACCCCCCGTTAAAGCATACATTGGCCAATGGCAAAAAATTTATAGTTGCATTCAATGACTTCAAAACGTTATATAATAACGATTGGATCAATGACACACTCATTGATTTCTTTATTGCATATGAGATCGACAAAGCGGTCAATGAGTTCAAACTGGTTGATGAATCTAATGTCTATGCATTCAATTCCTTTTTCTTCACCAAACTAATGTCGAAAGCAGAAGACCAGGAGGTACCTGACTATTACGAGAACATAAAAAGATGGCTCAGTAAGGTTGATCTTATGAGCTATGAAGCGATAATCATGCCTATTAACGAGCATTTGCATTGGTATTGTTGTATCATAAAAAATCTACCGAAGTTACTACGTTATGCGAAACGGGCACAGAAACGGAAAGCAAGAGGCTTGGAAAATGAGAAGGACTCACCACATAACCTGGAAATTGTGGCAGAAATATTCGTGTTTGATTCTTTGCGCCAAACACACCCGAATATCGTCTCACCCTTGAAGACGCTAATTGCTGAGTATTGCAGGGATAAACACGGTGTGGAGATTGATACTGACTCCATTCGCATGGTTACTGCGAGAGTGCCAAGACAGAGGAATTTCAATGACTGTGGTATTCATGTGATCTATAATGTCAGGAAGTGGTTGAGGGAACCATCTGTATGTGAAAGGATGTGGAAGAAGTTTGCAAAGAACCAGAAGAACTACTTCAGTGGATCAGAGAGGAGTGGATTACGCAAGACATTCATTGATATACTTCTTGATCTCCACCTGAAACAACCATCTCTGAGTGAAGATGCTTCTGCCGCTCTGCCAGATGAACACGAATCGGACGATGAAATTGAATTGATATCGTATCATTCATCGAAACCGGAAGAAGCACCACCTAAAGATGCCAATGAAACCAATTCTCAGGAGGCAGAAAGTAACGACAAACCCCAAGACTCACCTTCTTCTACCCCAAATGGAGCTAATAAAGAAACCTTAATGAGGAAGTCAAGTTCCGAACAACTTGGCATAGAGTCGTCGGCGAAGAAAAAAGTTAAATGTATAGAGGCGGTGGAGAAATCACCAGTGGCTAACACCATTCGAACTTTAGATCCTCGAGTGGTTGGTACTGAGATTCCACAAACTGATTCGTTCGAAAGTAATGAAGGTGGAATAGTTTATCAAATTGAACATCCTCAAATCCGCAGGCTTTGCATGAAAATGCGTCTCAAGCCACACACAATCAAGTTTCTCAATGAGTTCTTTGAAGATCATTCTAAAGCATACAACGAGGACAAGCAGAAGACTATACTGGAATTTGTTTCCAACTATAATTACTTCAATCCCCAAATTGAAGTAAAACAATGCGAGCTTCTTATTAAGAGATTCAAAGAGACACTACAAGGGCCAATGGCACCTGTTGATGAACCATTTGTCATTGAAGAAGTTGAAGAGAGTGGCGAAGAGCTCAATCGGAGCGTGAGTGATCTTAGAATCTCTAGTGATGAACCGAAGCGGCGGAAAGGAAACACAGAGAGAAGTACTCCAGAAGCCACCAAGAGGTTTATGCGAGAAACTGATGTCAAACAATGCTCCCCACGTTTGAAAGAAAGAAGTCCCAAAACTGATGCTAGCCCAAGTTTGTCTGATGCAGCGGTTGATATATTGGAAGACGAAGTACAAATCGTGCTGGAGAAAGCATATACTTCTCCAGGAAGACAAATGCGGCTGCGTCTTTCTCGGAGGCCCAAAAATTTGATTCAACTGAATTTGGAAAAACTACAGGGCAAACTGCAGACATTTATGAGCATCAAAGGGACAGCTAGTCCACCCAGGAAAAACACAGTTGTGACTGTCCCGGACGATGAAAGTAAACTACAAGATAAAGATGGGAATGGGAGAACAAATTCAACAAGGGACAAAGTCAATACGCGGTCCGAATTGCTAGGGCCGAAAAGGAGACGGGTTCAGTCATCAAATGAGCCTTTGTAAGGTTTTCTGAACGACGTTTTCGCACTTACCATGGAAAGGTCCATAATAGGCCGTTGATGAGCCCCTACTGCATCTAGTACTAGACTATGTGGATGATACAAATAGACCACTTTCTCAGGCGTAACATCACTGTAATCCGTGCCGTTTCAGCGTCATTTCTTCTCTTCATTTCAAATCTCACTTGAATGACAGAAAACCCAACCACCCCAGTGGAATTGGGCTCTCCTGGCGTCGACAGTGTCACGCCTCTGCCCATTTCTCCCAATTCTGACAAAGCTCCGCTCGCTCCGCCAAACGTTCCGCCTAAACTCCCTCCGAGAAGCAACCTGGCCAGTACAAAAGACAGCGGAGATTCGGTAGGGAAAAAGCTAGCATTGAGGCAAAATGAACTTTATGCTTGGAATAGCATGAACATGCACGCGGATATACTAGCCAACACGCCGATCCAGTTGAAGGAGCGTATTGAAAAACTCAGCTCTTCCGAAGAGTTTTGGGCCCGGCTACTCGAAAACTATGGTCCCCAGTACATCACAGATAAAATTGTGGAAGAAATCGAACAAGCGGTCATCGCCGGCGTCCCATCCGAAGTGAGACCCCTTCTTTATCTCAAGATCATGCAAATAAGAGCTCATATGGACTCCACCATGTACAATGGAATATTCAAGAAGGCAAAATTGGCACAATGGGAAACGACTCAACCAGAAACGGAAGCATATTCGGAGGGTTTGAAAGAGATCATGCAAGTCTTCCAATACTGTATTCTGGAAATTGCAGTTCCGAATACACCAGACAGCAGCCACAGAGCATTAAAAATAGTGGAACGCGTGGCACACTTTTTGGTAGAGCTTCCGGAATTGAGCAATCCTGAAATTTTGGCAATTCTTTTCAAGGTAGATGCATTATTCAATAATTTATCAAAGGAAGAGTTTTGCTACAAAGCGAGCCGCTCGCTTGAAGACAATACACCACAGACCTTTCTTCACATAGTCAAGCAAGGAATTGACTTGTCGAGTTTGTTTAGAAATTTTCTTCTCAGTGTTATTGGACTAGACATGGATGAAGACTTCTCGATTCGTGTCTTGGACTTTGTTGTCTTCGAGGGCTTTGACTTTTTACACCGCATCCTAACGGCAGTATTTGAACAAAAAGAGAAGCAAATTTTGGACCTCAATGGAAATGAGCTATACAGCTATATCTATTCCAATGAGTTTTTAAGCGACTTGCACTTAGCTACATTGGAAGCAGCACTCAAGATTGCACCATCTTTTGTCAAATACGAGAACGAGTACCATTTGATGAGTGTCAATGCAATCAGCGGTAATGACTCTGAACTCACTAATTTGAAGGAGACAAATGAGGACTTACTGCTTCACTTAAAGGACTTGAAACTGAAGACAGAGTCTTTGAGCAAGACCGAGGCGGAAATCGTTACGCAATTGACAGAGTACACAGAAAAGCTAAAAGAAGCCCAAGAAGAAAAGGAACGTCTAAGCAAGGAAGAAGAGGAATTGCGTGCCAAATATGCTCAACTCACAATGAATGAAAACTTGACGAACCTAGTCAATGCCAACAAAGATATTTCCAACGAGAATGCTGAGTTGGAGGCGCAAATTGCTGAGCTAGAGAAGCAAATCGCTACAAAAAGTGCAAAATTGAAAAAGGTGCAAAAATGATGAGTCAAACGAGACAAGGTCTGACGGTTGGAACCGTTGTTCATATGCAGGCACACATCACCTGATTTTCCTCGCTGGGGAATCCAATTATCTACTTACTTTCTTGTATAGTCATCCTTGAAAGGTATAATAAACGAAGAGAAGAAGAATTGAAAATGCTGGAACAGAAATCTGTGGGCGTTGTCGGAGCAGGTTTGGTTGGTAGTCTTGCCGCTTTAGCCTTCTCCTCCAAGGGTTACAACGTTACCCTCTTCGAGTTGAGGCCAGATCCACGAAGCGATTCTGAGAGTAGAAAAAGTTTGAGGTCAATCAATCTTGCTGTGAGCGACCGTGGTATTAGGGCCATGAAGTATGTGGACGAAGAAATGACCAGCCGTGTATTGGAGCATGTAATTCCTATGAAGGGCCGCATGATTCACGATGCAACTGGAACCAAACAAGAATCTCAAATATATGGGCTCTTTGGAGAGAGTATCAACTCGATCGACCGACAGTTTTTGAATGTGTGCTTATTGAACGAAATTGATGCCGCAAAGGTGCAAACAAAATTTGGACATAGATTAGTTGGCCTCGGAAGCGTTAACGAGCAGAAATCCTACTTAGAGTTTCAAACAAAAGACCTGAATATAGAGAGATTTGAATTTGATTTCATTGTTGGAGCAGATGGTGCACATTCACAGTTTCGGTATCAATTGCAGAAGACCATGAGAATGGATTTCTCTCAAAAGTACATTGACATGCAATACATGGAACTCAGCATTCCACCTGTGAAAGGAAAGGACCCAAAAAGTGAAGAGAGATTTGCAATTGACCCTAACCACCTTCACATTTGGCCGAGAAAAGATTACATGTTGATTGCTTTGGCCAATGGAGACGGGTCTTTTACATCGACGTTTTTCAGTCCTTGGGGCATGATTGAGTCTTTTTCAAATGATACGGAGTACCTCGAGTTTTTCAAAACAAGCTTCCCTGACGCTTACAAGCTTATTGGTGAAGAAGGATTGCGCACAGCTTTTAACAGTAAAGTTCGTGGATCATTGATGCAAGTGGAGATGAGTCCATACACAAATCCAAGCCATAATGCTATTGTTATTGGAGATGCAGCGCATTCGATGGTTCCGTTCTACGGACAAGGCATGAACTGCGGTTTTGAGGATGTTCATGTGTTGATGAAGCTAATTGACAAGAATAACGGTGATGCAAAACTGGCATTTGCAGAGTACACTGGTGCTAGAAGGAAGGACATTCAGACCATTTGCAAGCTTGCAATGGACAACTACTATGAAATGTCGACCAAAGTTATTGACCCATTTTTCTTGTTCAGAAAGAAGGTTGACTACTTCTTGGGAAAGTACGCCAACGGTGTCCTTTTCCCGTGGATTCCAATGTACACCATGATCTCATTCCGTGGAGATATTAGCTACTCTAAGGCTGTGGAAATCGAAAAGAGACAGAGGCGGGTACTCAGATGCATCGAGTATGTGACAGTAGGGTCCATTGCGGCCATTGGGCTTGCTAAGGTGGCTCAGTACTGGGACAGGTTCCGCCGTTAGAAACGCCAGGTAATCGCAGAGAATACCTAATGAATAAAAGTGACAAATAAAGCGCGCCAGTAGAGTTCTCCCAAAGAAAGAGAAGATGTGTGGGAGGGCAGTATTCAAACTCGAAGAAAGTTGAGAGAATGCTAGAGATTACCATATTTCATTTGCTTTATGTGTCAGAAAAAATATCAACAGAATGCACCTTGGTATCTATTCATGTTGTGGTGACTATTTGTCTGTGCCCCAGATTTCGCTACTCCAGAGTGCACGACCCAAAAAATGAAAAAAAACTGCGAGGCGAATCGGATATATTAACACCTTCTCATCCAATAACTTGTACATAGTCGCCACCTAATATGTTGCGCCAGTCTGTTTTGAGGCAGATTAGCTATGCCTCGGGAGCCAGATCTTTGTCTGTGTCGGCCCGCTATAGCAACAAAGCCAAGTCGCCCTTGGAGGTTTTTTTCCAAACCTTCAAAGAAGAAGTCAAGAAATCCAATGAGCTCAAAGACAACATTAAGGCTTTGCAGGATGAGACGGGAAGAGTGGCCGAAAGTGAGGCTTTTAAGAAGGCGAAGGAGGCGTATGACAGAGCCCAAAAGGGAAGCTCGGCTGCCGGCAAAATGGCCAAGAAAACCGCTGAAGCCGTTGGTGATGTAGCTCAGAAAGCGTGGGAGTCTCCGGTCGGAAAAGGTGTGAGATATACTGTGAAGACCAGTGCCGAGGCTGCCGATAAGGCTTTTGAGCCTGTCAGAAAAACCCAGGTGTACAAGGATGTGAGTAACGTTATTGATGATGGCTCATCCACAGCATACGGAGGGTTTTTGACCAAGGAACAACGAGAAGCCTTGAGAAAGAAGGAGCTAGAGGAAAGATTAAAGAGCGGGAAAGTTTGGAAACCGGTGAAGGAAAATGAAGAAGCAGGGGGCGCTTTGATAGCCACTGACATCAAACCAACAGGGCCCACGATGGGCGAGAAATGGGAACAATTCAAGCTTCGGTCACCTATTGGTCGTGGTATAGTCTTATTGAAGGAGAAATGGGACGAGTCAGAAAACGGCTTAATCTCGCTCGTGAGAACCATTGTCGAAAAAGTGACTGGTTTCTTCTCCGAGACAGAACAAGCCAAGGTGATCAAGCAATTCAAACTCATGGACCCAACTTTCCGTGTTACTGACTTCACCAGAACTTTGACCAACTACATAGTTCCAGAGTTGTTGGATGCTTACATCAAAAACGACGAAGCGGTATTGAAGCAATGGCTCAGTGAAGCTCCTTTCAATGTTTGGCAAGCTAACAACAAACAGTTTGTTCAACAAGGTTTGTTTTCTGACTCAAAGATATTGGATATCAGAGGGGTTGATATTGTCACTTGCAAGAGCTTGCAACCCAATGACGTTCCTGTCATCGTTGTTAGTTGCCGTGCTCAAGAAATCCATTTGTTCAGAAAGGCAAAGACCGGAGAGATTGCTGCTGGTACAGAAGACCACATCCAAATGAGTACATATGCTATGGTCTTCACCCGTATCCCAGAAGAGATGGGCAACGACGTTACTGAGGGCTGGAAAGTCATTGAATTTGCCCGTGGAGGCTCGAGACCTTTCCACTAATTTCTGTCACATATGATGCATGTCTATAAGTAAATAGTTGACTGGACATAGAAGTCGGGACTATATGTACACTAGGTACTATGCTTGTTGTAACTTCCGTTTATCGTAGATTTTGTGTGGATGTGTATTACTCAAAGATTGGTTGAGGTTATTTAAAGATGCGAAGGTAATAATAAATAACCTCACACGACAAAAGCAGAGGAGAACATGTGGTAAATAAAAGATGGTCACAAAAACATGTTCATAAACATTAGGCTAAACTATTTGCCTTTTTAGGCTTCGATCGGTGTAGAAGTATTCGATTGTATACTTACCAAATGGATCTCAAGACACCTGTGCACCATCTCAGACACGGTGTTTCGAAAAAAAAAAATACCAAATCAACCTGTTATCAGCTACTGGCCTCTGCGAAAATGTCCGACGGGTTTGCTACAAAGGAAGAGGTTGACAAAATTTTTGCCAAGTTAAGACAAAATCCAGCTAACCAAGTTTGTTTTGACTGTTCGAACAAGAATCCAACCTGGACGTCGATTCCGTTTGGAATTTTGCTTTGTTTAGAATGTTCTGCAGTGCATCGTAACTTGGGTGTCCACATTTCCTTTGTCAAGTCGCTGAACTTAGACCAATGGCAGCGTATCCAGTTGAGACATTTCAAGTTTGGCGGCAACCAGGTGGCCAAGGATTTCTTTGCTAAGAACGGCGGCTCCCAGTACATAAATGGGAAAAGTGATCCAACCACCAAATACACTAGTCCTGTGGCAAAGAAGTACAAGGAGAAATTGAAGAAGACAGCGCAGCAGGATGCATTGAAACATCCCGATATCGTGACCTTAGATGATAGCCTGGACTCGTTGCTGTTGGTTGATGGATCTTCGAACAGCGCGTCTACAGATGATTTTTTCTCCAACTGGACAAAGCCAATAGCATCTAGTCCATCTCCTTTAGGATCCAGATCGGGCACTCCTACTCCCGCCGAGGAAATCATTCCCAAGCGGTCTGCCGCTCCGCGGATTTCGACTGCTAGAAGCAGTACGAAAAACAATACCACTACTGCCAAAAAATCCATCTTATCGGGCAAAGGTGGTGGACCAAAGACAGCACGTGCTAGAAAAATCAAGAAGGAGGAGGAAGATATTGATTTTGACGAGATTGAGAGAAAAGCTAAACTAGAGGCGGAGGAAGCAAAGAAATTGGGTTACAATCCTGCAACCGAAGTTACTCCTGCAGTGCCTGTGGCAGCTAAGAAGAACAACAGCTTGTCTTTGGGATCGTCATCTGCTTCGAAGGAAGAAAGTGCGCCTGTGGCCACTCCAATCCAAGAAACTACAGTGCAAATCCAGAAATTGGGATTCGGCATGACCCAGGGTGCCAATGTCACTACGAATGAAAACACCAAAAAATACAAGGAAGTCAAGTACACTGGAGAAGTCGCCAACAAGTTTGGTGTGCAGAAAGGTATTTCTTCCGATGAGTATTTTGGACGTGGACCACGTTTTGATGAATCAGCAAAAGCGGAGGCTCGTCAAAAACTCAAAGAATTCAACGGTGCCCAAGCCATTTCATCAAGCTCTTACTTTGGCGAAGATGAACAGGCTCAGATGGCTGGACCTGCGAGAGGACAACAGGGTCTTGGATTGGGAAACTTGGAATCTGCCGCCAAGGACTTTGCCTCTAGATTTTCAGGAAACGCCAACCAGGATTTAGACGTTTTAAAGGATGCGTTGGAAGACGGAGCCAACAAGCTTGGAGGCTTTTTGCGTGACTTTTTGCGCTAACATATAATTACAACATTGGAAAGCATGTCGGAGTAATAACGTCTGGTGTATGTGCTGTAGACGCGATCATGAGTGTACAAGGGAATTACGAGTCGTGTACAATAAATCAAGTTGATACGAAAGCTGGTAATTCAAATTGGGGATATTCTCTAATCATGACCCGAAAGTTCAAAGAGGGAAGCAACTAACTCTACTCATAGACTATGCAAAGGTCTAGACCCACCACTCACTTGTAATGCCCTAGTAGAGCCTCGTATAATGTTTTATGGATTACTCTATCATCCATACTAATACCTTTTATCTGCTACTCAATGTCTGCGGAGATTACGTAAGGTCAAGAAAAAATCGACCACTTTCGTAATGCTGGTAAACATCCATACAGTCACATCATTCGATTGCATACCAGCAGAACATATGGAGAGCAAGCTTGACACTTGCGCATTTCTGGGCCACTGCGCAAAGACGCGCAGAACATTTTCACCAATGTCACGATACAACAAAACACACTCGAACCATGATTAGGCTTGGCACATTTTCCCCACCACCATAGTGCAGTTGTCTAACAAACGGAGCAAGACCAAGTAATGTCATGTCTGCACCGGTAACCGGTTCTCTACAGATCGGATTTAGACTTGACTACTTGACGGAAGGTGTGTTTCCTGTTTGGGCCCGCACAAATTTTCTTGGGGCCAATGCACCCCGCCATGGTGCCTTTTCCATTAAGCGTGTGTTATATGCCTATGAAGGCAAAAAACCCGCGCCGCCTGCTTAGATTGCTGCCCCATCTTGACACACCACTTTGACAGAGCGGAAACTCGGTGACACAGGAAACCGAAGCGATGATTTTTCGATTGCTGGAGGCGAGCGCTCGCTTCAGGCAAGAATGCACTGGTTAAATCCGGTGGACGAATGATAATCCGTAAAAAGAAAGCATGACATGACACACGGAACGATGACCAAAAAAGCCGTAGATACCAAAGGGCACGTATGCAGGACACGGTGGCTGATTGCAAGGCCACTAAAACTTGACTCTGCACCCTGAAAGAAACCTCAAACGGAAACATTGCTGTTTCGCGGCGAACCTGACGTGATGCCACCACCAGATTAAAATTCGCCAAAAGAAGACTCGGAATCGATAGCTTGGTTACTCCTTTCCCCTATACCAGTGACAGGGTTTACCGTACCTTTTTTTTTCGTTCTTCACCTTCCTATCTAGGTGGCTGGCCCTGGGGTATGCCGGTATGAATTTCGGGAGAATTCCTACCTTTTCCCCGGGTTTGTCTCAATACTCCACATCCCGCATTTCGTGAATGCAGGACGCGCATGTCTGGTTTGTAATTCTGTCCCCAAACACAATGTCCCAGTTCCGAGATCTGGGGTTACCGCCAGTCACCGAACCATTCCCACCCAGAACATTTCGGGACTTTTTTTAGTTCTGCCAAACGGGGAACCAGACGCTAGCCTGCTTGGCTCCTTCATCCTTCTTCTCATGACATCACTAGTCACCTCCACATCCTGCAGACAAGCATCATGCACACCGTCTCTGCCGCACTTGGGTGCAAATATTAGGAAAGATAAATATAAATACCTCCCACTTCCTGCCTTGAGCGCTCTTTTTCCTCTTCTTTTTTTCTCATTCTCTATCTCAACAGATTCGCAATGTCTGAAAAGAATTTGACCGAGTCTCTTCACCCTACAGACTCCTCTTCTGGGGGGTCGGTCAAGAAAGATTACCACGACGATCCTTTGGTGTTGGCCCAAACTGAACGTGAAGGTGAGCGGGGAAACATCTTGTCCCAATACTCCGAGAAACAAACCATGCAAATGGGAAGGAATTATGCCCTCAAGCATGGCTTGGATGCTGATCTTTTCGGCAAAGCTGCCGCTTTGGCTAGAGCTCCTCTTGACTTCAACTCAATGCAGTTTTTGTCAGAGGAGGACAAGATTTCTCTCAACACAGAGTTGACAAAAAAGTGGCACATTCCTAAGAAATTGGTGGCTGTCATTGCTTTGGGTTCGATGGCCGCTGCCGTGCAAGGCATGGACGAGTCAGTTGTCAACGGTGCTACTTTGTTTTATCCAAAGGTGATGGGTGTTACAACTATGAAGAACTCCGATTTGATTGAAGGTTTGATCAATGGAGCTCCGTACCTATGTGCATCCATTTTTTGCTGGACGTCAGATTTTTGGAACAGAAAGATGGGACGTAAATGGACAATTTTCTGGACTTGTTTGATCTCCGCAGTCACTTGCATCTGGCAAGGTCTTGTGAATTTAAAATGGTACCACTTATTCCTTTCTCGTTTCTTTTTGGGTGTTGGTGTCGGTGTGAAATCTGCCACTGTCCCCGCATACGCTGCCGAAACCACTCCTGCTACAATTAGAGGTTCATTGGTCATGCTTTGGCAATTTTTTACTGCTGTTGGCATCATGTTTGGTTATGTGTCCTCGTTGGCTTTTTACTATGTTGGTGACCATGGAATTTCTGGGGGTTTGAACTGGAGATTGATGTTGGGATCTGCTTGTATTCCAGCAATTATTGTCTTGTTTCAAATTCCTTTTGTCCCCGAGTCCCCTCGTTGGCTCATGGGTAAAAACAGACATGGCGATGCGTTTGAGTCTCTTTGCCAGTTGAGACATACCAGGTTGCAAGCAGCTCGTGATTGCTTCTATCAATTTGTTTTGTTGAATGAAGAAGGCAGTTACGAAGGTATTCCTTACTACAAGAGACTTTATGAGATGTTCACCATTAGAAGAAACAGAAATGGTGCTCTTGGTGCTTGGGTGGTCATGTTTATGCAACAATTTTGTGGCATCAATGTTATCGCATACTACTCATCTTCCATCTTTGTGGAATCCAATCTTTCAGAGATCAAGGCCATGTTGGCGTCTTGGGGTTTTGGTATGATCAACTTCTTGTTTGCAATTCCCGCCTTCTACACCATCGATACATTTGGTCGTCGTAAGTTATTGTTGACCACTTTCCCATTGATGGCTATATTTTTGCTTTTGGCCGGTTTTGGTTTCTGGATTCCAAAGCATAAGCGTGATGGTAGATTAGCCTGTATCACCACAGGTATCTATTTGTTTTCTGCTGTTTATTCTTCAGGTGAAGGTCCTGTTCCCTTCACATACTCCGCTGAAGCCTTCCCCTTGTACATTAGAGACATCGGTATGGGATTTGCCACAGCAACATGTTGGTTTTTCAACTTTATTTTGGCCTTTACATGGCCACGTCTTAAGAACACTTTCAAGCCTCAAGGTGCTTTTGGATGGTATGCTGCCTGGAATATTGTTGGATTTTTCCTTGTGTTGTGGTTCTTGCCTGAGACTAAGGGTTTAACTTTAGAAGAGTTGGATGAGGTGTTTGGCGTGTCGCTTAGAAAGCACGCGCTGTACAGAACTAAGGAATTAGTTCTTAACTTCCGCAAGTATGTTATGAGACAAAAGGTTGAGCCTTTGCCTCCCTTGTACGTGCATCAAAGATTGGCTGTCACCAACCCAGACTGGAACGAAAAGACAGAGGTGGTGCACGAAGAGGAGATTTAATTCTGCTACGACTATTGTATAATGTAATTAATGACTGAGATATTCAAATACTTGTAAAGAAAAGAATAGGTATTTTTAGCCACATATGCACTTGTTTTGGGAGTTGTCACATTGTTCAGTTGTACATTGTTTGCAGTTCGGGGTTCAACTTGAACTGTTCATGCTCTCGCGTTTTTTCTCACTTTGCGCCGTCGGTAATTTCCGATAACAGTCTTATCGCGAATCTGTTGAGTTATCTCCAACTGTTATTCTGACATGTCCCTCAACAAAAAATACCTTTACTATCTCTCTGAGTATCCGCTTCTTACTAAATCAGCTACTGCTGGAACATTTGCTGCTCTCAACGAAATTTTAGCTAGCGTTATTGCCAGAGACTTTCGAAAAACCACTATACAAATATGTGGGGAAAAACGGGAAGTTCGCCATGTTTTGAGTCCCAAAATCTTGCTGATGGTGGTTTACGGTTCTATGATCGCCACGCCAATCTCACATCAACTTTATAAGATACTCAACCGTGTCTTTAGAGGTAAATTGTCCGCTCCAATGAAGGTCTTACAAGTTTTAGCTTCTCTTTGCACGATTTCACCCATTTTGTCTGCTGCATACGTTTCATGGCTATCTTTGATCAATGGATACCGGCCGGAGTCGAGAAACTTGCGTCAAGAGTTGCTTCGTATGGCTCATGTGGTTCGGTCAGGCCTTAAGAAAGGTTTCTGGGCCATTTACAAGTCTTCTGCACAAACATCAGTGGTGGCGATTACAGTTGCACAAAACTTTCTTCCGCCAACTCTTTGGGTCTCTTTCTTTACGTTGGTGTACTTTGTGGTGGGCACCGTGCAAAATACTCGATTCAAGTTGAAGCAGAGAGAACAAGAACAGTCGCAAAAGAAGGACTAGATTTTCAAAATGGATAGAAAATATTACTCTCCACCATCAATACTATTGAAATACAGCAAAAATGTAACGCTTTGGTGCGGAAGACCTTAGCACCCTTCAAAATAATTACTCCAAACTTCATTTCCATAAACCCCACGCCCGTTTACCGTGGCCTGCATACACACATACCCCATTTCCAGACTAATGCAACAAAGTTAACATATCAGTTATTAGGTATAGCTGACTGTTCGATAAAGCCCCTCAAACGTTCGGGTCGCTGCATCCGAGATTCTGTGTGCTAAAACCGATTCTCTGATAGGCTTAGTAATAAGCAAGGCCGTGTGGAGAGCCCTGCACAATGCTTACTGTGGGGAGCAAGGAAAATACACCAACCATCTTTTCTTCCCATGTTTCAATTCGCCAACGTTTCGAAAAAGACTTTACTTTCTAATTCAGCATTCGCAGCCCGCAGAATGCTCACTGCCCAAGCTGTTGTTTTCACTGAACACGGTGAACCTAAAGATGTTTTGTCTACTCAAACCTATACCATTGACGAAAACAACCTAGCTGCCACGGAAGTTGTTGTACGGACATTGGGTGCTCCGGTAAACCCTTCGGATATTAATCAGATCCAAGGTGTCTATCCCAGCCAGCCCGAAAAGACCACTGCGCTCGGAACCTCAGCCCCGCTGGCTGTGGCGGGTAATGAAGGCTTGTTTGAAGTTCTCCATGTTGGAAAGGACGTCACTGGGTTTGCTCCAGGTGATTGGGCCGTGCCTACGAGCGTAAACATGGGCACATGGCGCACCCATGCGTTATGGGACGAGGAACAAATCATGAAGGTGCCAAATCCAGCGCAGTCGCAGGAGCGGGGTAAGACTCCGCTTACGATTGCCCAAGGAGCAACACTCTCGGTGAATCCGCTCACTGCGTACTTGATGCTAACAAACTATGTCAAGTTGCGCCCAGGAAAGGATTGGTTTATTCAAAATGGAGGCAATTCTGCAGTGGGAAAATTCGCTTCGCAGATGGCCAAGCTTTTGGGTTTCAACTCGCTCTCTGTGATTCGTGACCGGCCAAATTTGGAAGAAGTTGCAACAGAGCTTCGTGAGAAGTATGGTGCAACTAAGGTGATCACCGAGGAGCAGAACAGTCTGAGGGAGTTTTCTGCCGAAGTCAAGCTGTGGTTGAAAGAGACAGGTGGCGAAATCAGGCTTGCCATGAACTGTGTGGGAGGAAAATCTTCCACTGCTGTGGCACGCAAGTTGTCACCCAATGGTATCATGTTGACCTATGGTGGAATGTCGTACCAACCAGTGATTTTACCCACCTCGCTTCACATTTTCAAAAACATCACTAGTGCGGGATTCTGGGTCACCCAGTTGTTGAAGGGCAACCCCGAGTTAAAGCGCGACACCATGGACCGTGTGATTGCATGGTATGAGGCGGGCGAGCTTGTTGATTCTCCTTCCATTGAGAAAAAGTATGAAGGTGATTTGGCAGAGACTTTCAAACGTGCTGTGGCAGACAGCAAGGATGGAAAGCAGATTGTGACCTTCTAACTGCATTAAATACTCAGCAGAAGTTGCTGGGACAAAAAGGTGAATATTGAAGCTGAATACATTTGATAAAGTACTACGCATTGTATTAGTTGACATTAAAATGTGTTGAACCGGAGAGTTGTAGGAGAGGGTGTCTTGGAAAAGTCAAGGAGTGATTAAAGGGCAAGGATGAGAGCAAAATAATGGGGCTTCTAGCCCAAGATTTATCCTCTGCAATAAAAGGCACATTTTACAATAATAACGCATAATTATACAAAATGGAAATTGATATTATGAGCAAACCGTCGATAATACCTAAAAATCTTTTGAAAAAGAGACCATCAATCAAGGAAGTATTCAAGACAGAAAAAGAAACGGAAGCGTCAGAAAGAAGCCCTGGCACTGAGTCAACATTCGTCGATATCTCTTGTGTGCATATAGACGTGCGGAACTTCTCTTATCTATCTACAAGGTTATTGGACAGAATCAAGAACAAAATGAAAATGCCAAAGGAGAAGGAGCCGCAAAGCATCCAAAACGGAAGGAGACGACTAGGGCAGTGGCCTAGACTAACAGGGCTCCTCCAGAAAATAAAAACACCACTCGTCTGCAGGGGCCGAAACAGGCCGGAGAATTCCGCGCACCGGCGATCGCCGTCTTAATTCTGGCACATCTGCACACCCAATCAATAAACGGGCCGGTGTGCTATTCTTGGGAAAATCAAGTAAGTGAAACTTAGTGTCTCCACATTTCTCCGCGTTATTTCCTGTTTATTTGCGTGTTTGTGTGTGTTTCGTTTCAGATCGCTTAGCATAGTTTCTTATCTCAGTTCCAGATAAGACTAATTATTCGTTGATACGAATCTCCGTTGCATATCCTAAACAGCTCGTTCAAGCTCGGGTACGCTCCCATACATTGGAAGTATTGACCAAGTTAGAGTCAGGAAACTCGCCAAATTACTTATCGGCCTATCACCAGCCTTAAGGTTGCACTATCTCCAAATCCAGGTCTAAGCCACTGTTGGCTTAAAGAACACGAGGACTTGCTTCTGATCCAAGCCCACAGATCCAAAGAATCTACTGCACAAATTCAACCGATTGGCACATTCGTCATGACCAATAGCATTCCTGTTGACGGTAGCGTAATGGACGGAAGCGTTTCGATCGACGGGCAGCTTTCGCCCTATTCGCACCACGGCGTGCACTGCGCGCTCGCCCTGTCGCACGTTCTTCTCGGCGGGCGGTTGCGCGCGGCGACCATCATTTTCTCGCCCGTGTCTGGGTCCATTCTCCACGTGGCCCCAGGCATTCTTCTGCACGCGGACGAAGTTATCGCGCGGTTTGACGTGGGCGAGCTCCGTGACGTGTCGCCCAAAGTCATCATGCCCGGTTTGGTCGACGCACACGTACATTTGAATGAGCCTGGCCGCACCGAATGGGAAGGTTTTGCCTCGGGCACACAAGCCGCTGCCGCGGGCGGAGTCACTACAGTGGTGGACATGCCGTTGAACGCAGTGCCGCCCACCACCACCGCCGCGCACTTTGCCCAAAAAATCGCCGCCGCGCGCGACCAAACTTGGGTTGACGTTGCCTTCTGGGGCGGCTTGGTGCCAGACAATTTGGACGACTTGCTCCCTTTGATCCGCATGGGCGTTCGTGGATTTAAAGGATTTTTGATTGATAGCGGTGTTGACGAGTTCCCCGCCATTACGCCCCGGTACATCGAACAGGCTATGCGTGTGGTGGAAGGCGAGCGTACGGTTTTGATGTTCCATGCGGAGATGCAGCCCCATAACCGAGTGCCAGTCTACGTGGAGCAAAGTGCGGGCGCGCCCCGTTTGGTGCGCGCTGCGTTTGAGGTGGGCGAAGACGATGATGAAACGCCCGACATCAGCGACCATGAAAGCCACGACGCCTACGTTAATGGCCACGAGAGCAATGGCGTTCTTGGCAAAGAGCTTTCGAAAGCAAACGTGGTGAATGGGGCCGACGACGTGGAAAGTCTTGAACGCACAAAATCGTCAGAGTCGCTTGACGCTTTAGACCTAGGCATGTCTGCGTCCTTCATTTCGCGCGCACCGGCGCCCGTGGTGGAGCTTCTTGATTCGCACCGCGCGCCCAGCTCGGATCATGCGCTCTGCCGCTTGCCCCATAACCACGCGGGCCTGATCCAGCCACAGGATCTTTCCCATGAACAAGCTCTTGCGTTGGCCAAGTCGCCATATCTTCAGGCGTCGGAGCCCCAATTTGGTCGGCTTGCGCGCTTGGCCAACCCAAACCACGACCAGCTTGCGCGTAACCAGTTGACACTGCCGCTCGCGAAGCCGCTCGACTTTGACTCGCACAAACTTCTTGAAAACGCAACCGACCCATTGCTGTTGGCCCGTGCCGACGACCATACTTTGGACTCGGTCGATGCCACTTTGTACGCGTCGTTTCTTGCCTCCAGACCCGACAGCTTTGAAACCACAGCCATTGCCGAAATCATCTCTTGTCTGATGCAGAACCCGCGTGTGCCGCTCCATATTGTGCACTTGGCCACCCATGAGGCGGTGCCATTAGTGCGCGCGGCCCAAGCTCGAGGCTTGCCTGTTTCTGCGGAAACTTGCTTCCATTATCTTTCGCTCTCGGCGGAGAAAATATCAAACTGCTCGACACACTTCAAATGCTGTCCGCCCATCCGGACAGATGCCAACCGCAGACTTTTGTGGCGGGCATTGCGTAACGGCGTTATTTCGACTGTGGTTTCCGACCATTCACCTTGCACGCCGGACTTGAAGGGCTTGGACAAGGGCGACTTTTTCTCCGCGTGGGGCGGCATTGCATCGGTGGGCTTTGGCTTACCCATCTTGCATACTGAAGGCCAGAAAATGGATCCGCCTGTTACCGTGGCCGAAATCAGCGAATGGTGCCTGTGGAACACCGCCAAACAAGTGGGTTTGTCTCACCGCAAGGGGAAAATCGCCGTGGGATACGACGCCGATTTATGTGTATTTGACCCAGAAGCAGAGTACGAAGTGAGTAATGCGGAAACTTTCTTCAAGAACAAATTAACCGCCTACGATGGAATGCGTTTGCGCGGGCGCGTGACGGAAACTTGGGTTCGCGGCCGCACTGTTTTCACTTTGAAGGCCGGGCATTCGCGCCAGGCCTTGGGCCGGTTGATCTTGGAGCCCCGCACAACATGAGTCCGCGAGAGGAAGATGAAGCATTTGAAGGTAAAAACAACACACGAAACGGTGGCAGTAGAATAAGTAAACAAAGGAATGAATAAATAGAGAGAACAGCTAAGGGTGAGAAAAGAAACAATGAACGTGAAAAGTACGGAAAACGTAAGAATAATCATCACGACTCGTTTACTGTATATCTTCACATTACTCCACTTCCAAACTTTAGTTATCGTTGGTCTGGATGATACATTGAAACAGACCGTGATATCCATTGTCACAATATATTGACATAGGTCCTATTTATTCGCTTTTGTATATCCCAGACACTCTGCCTTTCCACAATCGTTAAAGCGCACAGACATATCATCACCTGCACACCACTTTCTTCATGGCTCTTGAAGACGAACTCAAAGAGTTACTGGACTTATTCGACGAAAAAGACAGCCAGATCGCCGAAAAACGGCGTGATGTGCGTCGAACTGCCAGAGAAAATGACATCTCTTCTTTCCCTTCCGACATGTCTGTTCTTTCAGCCTTTGATGACGTTTTGCTGTGCTTCGCTTTGGGCGGTCAGGTTCGGAACTATTACAGGTACGGAACATATACGACGTGTCAGGAGCAACGAGAGAAGTTATGGTTTGCCATGTGGCACGGATCTGTCTCAGAAAAAGAAATGGACGTCGACCAAGTGGCCCAAGATCCTCGCGAGTTAGAAAGAAGAAAGAAAGTGCAAGAGTTTTACAAGCAAAAGCTCTTGGAAAAGAAGCTGCATGGAAGCTCCGAGGACATTTGGGATGAGCGTTCGACTCTTCTTAATAGACCCTTCAAGGAATGATGCAATGATGGAGTTTCTTCGTCGCTTGTTCATTTGTATATATTGGTTTGATGCTTCTGTGAAATATAAGGTTAGAGAAGAGGTAATGAAGAATGAAGGGAGGAAACCGTTGGTTTAATAATGCACTAGTTGTCTTTACCACTTTACGTCAACGAGTGCACAAACAGGTAAAGAATCGGATATCTAACGGAGTACATTAACAATACTTTAAAGTATCTCCAGTCTGATGCTGATTCGAGTGGTATACACATTAAGCTCAGCAACAGTACTTATGTATCAGTGGTTTCTAGACAAAGGGATATGATTAAACATTAGAAACCCCATTCATCCAACCTGGAAATACTGATTGAAGTTGAATAAAATCCTAGATTTGAAGATACTTTGGGGATTTGGAGCACTGGCTGAGCATGAACTTAGTCTATGGTTTAGAGACAACTGGGTTATCGTCTTGTAATCATGGTAGTAAAACGGTGTGTTGAGAGGAATTGAATGCAGCTCATCCGTTACCATACATGTTCAAGGCATTACTTACTGTTAATACCGACACACCTCAGCGGATAATACAATGATTGACTTCTATGTTACTAGTTCTAATCCATTCAAATACTAGTCAGATGGAGGCCCTTGACTTGAAACATCTCGTGGTCTCCGAAAATCTGTTGTCTTTTAGGCGGAAGAAACGAGTGAACTGATCCTAGTAGTCGAAGGGGTCACCAAATCGAACAGGAGTCATACTAATGAGGCGGAATGCGTCTTTTCACCTCCTTACGCGAGAGCCGCGAGGCATACGTCTTAATTCTTTCTGATTGTGAATAGCTAATTGTACATAGGACAGCTCACATAACAACGCAACCCTTCTTTTCAGGCTCATTGTCGTTGGCACCCTTGGGTCTCGCATTAAGGGCACAACGTGCGGCTTCGGAAAAGGCCTCGTTGACACCACGGTTCTTTTTCGCCGAACACTCAAGATAGCGCAAGGCACCGACCTTTTTCGCAACGGCCAAACCCTCGTCATATGAAATCAAGCGCTTCTGCTGTGCGTAGGGGCCGGAATTTTGCGAATAAGGATTAAACAGCTCATCCTCACGGACTTGCGCCTCTTCTTCCTGGTTTCTCAAGTCGCACTTCAAAGCAACCAAAACGAGCTTGACACCTTCACAGTGATCGGCAATCTCGCCCACCCACTTCAGTTGCACATTCTCCAACGAGTCTGGCGAGTCGATGGAAAAACACAACATGATACAGTGGGTATCGGAGTACGACAAGGCCCGCAAACGATCAAACTCCTCCTGGCCCGCTGTATCCCACAAGGACAATTGCACAGACTGGCCGTCGATGAAAATGTCATGCACGTAGTTTTCAAACACCGTAGGCTCGTACACTTGTGGGAAATACCCGCGCGTGAACACATTAAGTAGCGACGTCTTACCGCATGCGCCATCGCCAAGAATGACAATCTTTCGCTGTACTGAAGGTTAGTTAGAAGAGCTAAGGGAAACAAAAAGAGCTAGAATGCTTTCCAGTACATACTGCTTTTGGTGCTGCTACCACAAAGAGGCATGATAGAGTGTGAGCGCTAATGTTAGGTGTTGATTATGCATGTTTCTCGAGCGGAATGCGCAGGTCGTGCGGCACGCACTTTGGTGGTGGATCGGGCCATATATTCTGGGAAAAAAAATGAAATGTAGAGAAGAAAGAAAGCTCAAATGTACTGAAATAGAGAGCGGATAAGGTATCTTCGTGCTGTGTACCATTCATATTTCTCTGCCGATGCTTTGCGTCGTCTTTAGACTGTTTCCGAGCGCCATCTTTCCATATGCCTCGTCTACTGGTGACGCCATCGAAAGTAGCAAAGGGAACCTATGCCCAGTTTCCCTCTTCTATAAGGACAGAACAAGCCGACGTTTCTCGCCAAATTGGTCCTGTCAGTTGACACATGGTGGTTTCTGTTATCGGTGTTCGCGCACGTGATCGCATGCAGCGATGGCTAGTGGAAAAAAAAGCTCATCACATCTAATATCAAAAACCGCATAGGCACAAAACACCCCGGACTCTCGAAAGCCGTACTTTTTTTTCTCTTCCCACAATGTCCGGCCCCTTAATCTGCGCCCGATATGATCCGTCGTACACCTATATGGCGTCAGTGATCCAGGCGCTAGACCAGCACCAAATACGAGTGGAGTCGCTTGTTCTTTCCCAGGACCTGCTAAGCACCCTGCTAACTTTGAACAAAGGCGCCAAGTTGTCAACTTTGGAGTGGATTTCCTCCGACCGCATTGCATTGTGCCAAACTAACGGCACTGTTCTCATCTACTCCCCATCTTCCAACAGCATAGAAGGTGAGCTTGAAAGTCCCACTTCTGTGGCCATCTCCGACTTCCATTTTTCTCCAGTGACCCACACAGCATGGGTCTCTGACATCAGCGGAACAGTGTTCGAGTGGGACCTTCAAGACTTCAAGCTTTTGCAGAAATTTGCCCTCAGCGACATGCTTGACACTACAGAGAAGATTTCCAAACTCTCTTCCACCAGCTACGACGATGAGGCTCATTTGCTTATCGGAACACACAACGTTTACTTGGTGGATATCTTTGCTAAGAAGATCGTCAAGACCTTTCCCGCTCATGTGCAGCCCATCACTGCTCTCATGCCTGTCCCGGGTAATTCAGATTTGTTCATCACTGCTGCAGAGGAAGACCGGTTTGCCAACATTTATTCCATTGCTAAGGGATCGACAAAAGCAGTCTTAGCAGCACAATCCCCAATCCAACAGGTGGCTGTCGGTGTGCATGAAAATGATTCTATTGTGGCAGTCATCGTAGAGGACAGAAGTCTTGAGATCTTCAAAGACCCATTCTGCTTTGAGGCCTCCCCTCAAGAAACATCCAGAAAGAAAAGAAAACAGCTTGCCTCCATGGTACAGTCCAAACACAGCGACGCCAGTCTCAAATTTGCTAGACCCGAAGATGAAGTGAGAGGACCTGATGATGAAAACTTGCCCTTGTCGGCTGTTGCTGCTACAGACAGTGTGTTGCATGTTTCGTGGTTGGAGAACGCCTCCATCTCGCGCTTTGATACTTTGCCTTGGCTCACGGCCTCTGGGGAGTTTGCATTCTCAGGTTCTAAGACTATTCGTAGAAGCAAGCAGCAAATTAAGCAACCCAGCAGAACCGAAAAAGGACATGATTCTGCTGCTGGAAGACACTACAGCGAAACACACACAGTGATCACTGAAGGTACAGCTTTTCAAAATGATTTGGAAACCGGCGATGACGACGAAGAAGAAGAGTCATTGGCAGACAGGTTGAACAAGTTGAATGGTGGAAACAGCACAAAAGAGGAGGTTGGGAAGAAGAGGCTCAACAGACACACGTCAGGTACATTGACGGTTGTCCTTTCGCAGGCATTGAGAAACAATGACCACTCATTATTAGAAACTGTCTTGTGTAACAGAGACCCCAGCGTGATTCAAAAGACAATCAATAGACTTGATTCCTCCTTGGCCATTATCCTTTTGGACCGTTTGGCCGAGCGTCTTACCCGTCAGCAGCTGAGATTCGAGCAGTTGAATTTCTGGCTCAAATGGATCATCATTATTCACGGTGGAGTGTTGTCTTCGATGCCAAATATGAGCAACAAATTGGCCAGCTTGCATGCTATCTTAACCAAGAAAGCGCAGCAGTTACCTCGTTTGTTGGAGTTGCAAGGCAGACTCAACATGATGCAACAGCAAAACCACTTGAGGAAAGAAATTTTGGACGGCTCTGTCGTACAAGATGACTACGACGATGCTGATACTGATGTGGAGTACGTGGAAGAAGTGGATGATGCCATTGAAGCTGGCTTGATAGATAGTGACGAAGACCTTGATATGGAAGCCGCAGACGATTACGACGAGATGATGGACGAAGAAGACGAAGGAGAAGAAGTGGCAGAAGGAGACTTGGCTGAAGATGAAGACGGATTGAGTGATGTGGAAACTGCGGTGGAAAAGAATGACGTCTTCGAAGAGTAATCATGTATAGTAATAGACCGCCATGCGGAGAATACACACAGATGCATTGGTCTTACCGTGTGACATTATGTAGATTCTGTTTCCCTTCTATGCCGTTAGTGGACAGACACTTTTGCATTAATTACTTTAAAATGAGTCCAGTTCTGTGGGTGTATTCTATGAGATATGAAACATGAGATGTCGAAAACTTTGCACAAAGATGCAAAACCGGAAGTTGAATTATTTCAGTTCCATACTTCCTATATAAGCTTGTCTTACAGTCTGTGTAAGCCGTCTCAAAGATATACGGCTACATGTCTAGAAAAGATAGAGAGATGCGACTTCTGTTGAGAAGAAGCTACAGTGATGTATATCCACACGATTTATATTTCACGTTCCTCTAACTTTCTAGCATGTCTCTAATATCAGGTTTCCGAAGATGGGTTTCGAAAGGTGCCGTATGAACGGCACTTGGTTATCACCAACGATGAAGTGAGCACGTCTCTGCTATCGTAGAAGGTGCCACGTCGATGCCATGGCAATGCCATGACCATGTCTTTTATTGACTTTCAGTAATTGCTGTACGCTCATCTTAGACAAAGGCTACTTCACTCAAGTATATAAGATCACAACTTTTCTCTTTTGGGATGGTTTCTTCTCTAAGGATCGTCCCATGCGTACAGATCAATCCTAACTAATCATTATTGATTAAGATGCCCAACCCAACTGTCCTCACTGACGATATTCACTCAAGCTGATCCTTAAGTGACTCACTGAATTGGTTATCGCTCTACAAACAAGAATCCGGGTGTGTGCATAAGGCTGACACCATTGCACACTGTATTTCACAACTTCTCAAACCCAGACCGCGAGTCAAAACAGCGAATAATGGCTCACTCCAATTGGCGATCTGTATACTTCATCACTTGGGGGTTGCGGATTCTCCTCGCTATTGGAGCGTCATATATCCACCCAGATGAACATTTCCAATCTTTCGAAGTCTTGCTGTCAAGATTCTTTGGATTTTCCACCAACATTCCATGGGAGTTTTCCAGCGTCAATCCCGCCAGAAGTTACGTTCCATTGCTTGTTACATACTACCCAGTGTTGAAAGTTGCTGAGCTCTTTCAACTTCTGCCTATCCAGTCGTATTTCATTGCTCGTCTTGCGCTTATGGTGCTATCTTGGATAGTTATAGACTTGTGTCTCTACAAGATGCTTCCGACCAAGCAAGAGCGTATCAAGGCCATTTATTTTACGCTGACATCATACATAACACATGTCTACCAAAGCCATACATTCTCCAACTCCATTGAAACGATCTTGGTTGTATTATGTGTTTATATGATCAACGAGTTGCGCTTTCTTTTGAGTACACCAAGTGAAAAAGTCCGCAACACGGAGATCGCCACACTTGGCCTTGCCATCGGTGCTTGTGCTAGCTTTGGTATTTTTAACAGAGTGACATTTCCTGCCTTTCTTGCCTTGCCGTTTTTCATTTACGCTAAATGCGCTTTGACTTGGATATGGCTACCCGTTCTTACGTTACTTTCCTTTGTGTTTACAAGTTGTGTCTGTGTTGTGGTGGATACTCTTATTTACAAACGTATCTCACTTCTGATCTTGGCACAGAATCCTTTCAACTGGTCGCAATATGTATTGACACCGTTAAACAATCTAGTGTATAACTCGAATTACGCTAATCTTTCACAGCATGGAATTCACCCATACTACACCCACATACTCATTAATCTTCCTCAGATCATGGGTCCAGGTTTATTGTTCTTGTTTTGGAGATTTAAAAACAGATACTATCAAACAACCCCTTTTCTCAGTGCCGTTGGCGCTCTAATTGTGCTCTCTTTTGTTCCTCACCAAGAGTTACGGTTTTTGATTCCTGTGGTACCTCTACTCTGTTGCTGTTTCGATTTAACAGTGTTCCTGGAAACACCGGGGTCGACTCCGGTACCCGTCACTCTAATCATGAACTCGTGGCTTGTCTTCAATCTAGTTCTTTCCCTTTTAATGGGCATATATCATCAGGGCGGTGTTGTACCAGCGTTGTCTTACTTTCAAGAGAGATTTTATGCCAAAAATGAAACAGGAGTCACCCAAATATGGTGGCGGACTTACTCTCCTCCAACCTGGTTGCTTGGCGACATGTCCAATTCAACACAATACCTTGATCTAGCAAATGCGTTTTCACCAGGAAATAAACCAAATACGGTGATAGATGCTATGGGAGCGGAATACGAAAAAGTTCAATCAGCACTTGATTTTGCCAAAAGCGTAAATCCACAGCAAAGGATATTCTTGGTCACACCAGTTGCTTCCTACAAGCAATTTTTCAATGCTTCTCTCTTCAATGAGACATGGACATACCCTGCACATTTGGATTTAGACCACCTCGACTTTTCCAAAGCGCAAAGCTTACAACTTGGTTTGGGGATTTACGAGCTTCTTTAATAATTATGTTACATATGTGCGCTTACTTGTAGAAGTCAAATTTGTCATGCTCGGTGCCCGTCTTAACCTGAGCCGCATAAGCCTCTTCCAAGTCGCTTTGCAAAATCATGTATCTGTTCTTTCTAACAGCACGCAAGCCAGCTTCTTGCATAATGGCAGCGATCACCGCACCAGACAATGGATCGTTTCTAACGATCAACGAGTCCAAATCCACTTCAGGTGCCAAAGCCATTTTTGACGCGACGGTGGAGAAGATCAACCGTCTCTCTCTTCTGTCTTTCAACGAGGGGAACTCTATCTTTCTGTCCAATCTTCCTGGTCTCAACAACGCTGGGTCTAATGTGTCAGCTCTGTTGGTAGCCATGATCACCTTCACATTGGAAGTCTGGTCAAAACCATCCATTTGGTTCAACAATTCCAATAAAATTCTCTGCACCTCACGATCAGCACCAGTCTGCGCGTCAAATCTCTTTGTGGCAATGGCATCAACTTCGTCAATGAAGATGATGGCAGGCGAGTTTTCACGTGCTAATCTGAAGACATCTCTTACCATTCTTGGTCCTTCACCCAAGTATTTCTGCACAAACTCCGATCCATTGATACGAATAAATGCCGCAGTAGTAGAGTTGGCTACAGCTTTGACCAACATCGTCTTACCTGTACCTGGAGGACCGTAGAGCAACACTCCACGAGGTGGGTCGATACCAATCTGGGAGTACAAATCGCCTTGAGTTAAGGGCAATTCAACAGCCTCGCGAATCTCTTGTTTCTGAACATCTAAGCCACCCACATCCGCATATGTCACGTCGGGTTTTTGATTGTCGCCCACAATGGAGATCGACGAGTCTGCTTCTGGAGGCAAAATGTCTACCAAAGCGTTGGAGTGGCGATGCAAAGCGACAGATGAAGAAGGCTTCAACAATTCTCTGTCTAATGTAGATAATATTCTCACGACATAGTTGGACCCTGTAGTACTGGACACAATTCCCGTATTCTCGTCGATGGGTTCCAAAAACTGGCCGATCACCAAAGGAACGGATCTAATTCTCTTCACTTCTTCTTGTGCACGAACCAACTCTCTTTTCAAGTGGCGCTGTTCATCCTTGATATAGTCTTCTTGCAACAACAACAAGTCCAATTCCTTCTCCAATTTTTTCAACTTGACATACACATCTTGCTGTTCCTCTTGGTGGGGCGCATTCCACTCTTTTGATTTGGGAAGCGCCAAAGCGGGCACCACGGGCATTTGAATTCCAAGCTCTTCCATGTTTACGTTCTGTTCTGTGAAAGTTAGAGGTGGAAAAAAATGAAAGCGCTGGTTGGAGAAGTATAATAGTAAGCTGAATGGAGTCTCGCATAAGGTGGAGTTTCGTGGCGAGCTCTTGTGCACCACACGACCCGCCACTAACTAAGCAATGGAGGAAGCAATTGGAAGCATTCGGTACAGCAAAACCAAAAGCACTTTTAACGGTTGCTTTTGAAAGCTTCTCCAAATTGATCTATAATGTCTGGAGCTAAGTTTGGAGCCGTTTTATTTTACCGTGCTTCTCTATCATGTTAACATTCGTAGTTTCGGTGTTGTGAGCGTACCCCACGGCACCGCCTATGGCCATGCTCTTATTTTGTTTAGGTATGATTCGTAGACGAAATGAAAGTGTTTCAACTTCTCTACTGACCACCTGGTTTTTTTAACGCAGCAGCTAAGTTCGAAAAGAGAGGTGCTAGAAGCTCAAAGGCTACTTTCGCCAATCATTTATTATCAAATAACTTGATGATATACTTACAAGTAACCGGATCACGTACGCTAAATAAGTGTCTCTATGTATTTATTATCTCTTCTGTGTCATTTGTTTTGTTAGTGTGAAAGATATGCCGATTGATCCGTTCTCTTTATGACTCGCGCTTCTCTAATATGGATGTACTGTCAATACTACCATACTATAAGCACTTCTGGCAACATATCCCTTCAGAACCACCATGTTTCGGTTTTTGACTACTGCCCTACTAAATGTCATCCACAAACTAGACACTTACATTCTCATTGTGGCCATTGCATATATTATTGTGTTATTCAGTCTAAATTGCATTCCGCATGTCAGAGTCAAGTACATCGGATGGTTTAGTTTGAACAAGGTCACACTAGAATATCGGAATAGCAAAGTCGTCATTGGCAACTTTCGTGTGCGTCTAAACTTCCTTTTACCGTCATCAGACTCTTCTCGGATCATCAATGTCTATTTATCCGACGTATCAATAATACAGAGCGAGTCTCCACAAGACAAGCAACAATCCAATCGTTGCACAATTCTGCAACAGCAGCTCATTGTCGATATTCCATCATGGATATATACTCTTCTAATACGGGATCGCTGGCTTAAAGAGTTTGCAGTTCACGTTGGAAACTTATCAATTAGCCATTTTGCTATGGGCGGCCTTAGCGTACAATTGTCGTACACAAGACTTGAATCTTTAAGATCGTTGTCTTTTGGAACTCACGGCATTTCACTTACAGTTTTGGACGGCTTTATCCACGATAATCTGCGGCGTTCCACCGTGGACAAAACTAGAGTGGTTCGTAATCTCGAAGTGGAGCTTCTGTCTGAGATATACTTTACCTGTCCCTTACCAAAAGAGAAATCCCGGATTCGGGGAACTGTTAACAATGTCGGACTAAAGTTTATCGTTGCCGATGTTCATATCCCAGACTCACTAGATTTGTCGCAGTTGCAGAAGTCGAAGCAACCGAATCCAAAAGAGCCATCCCCTCTGAATCTTCCAGATACAGCAACTCTACTTGCTCTTTTCAACTTGATTTCCTTTGTACAAATCAAAGTAGAAGAGAGCGTTGTATCCTATAATGACTTGCGGGTAGAGTCATCCAGTTACAGTTTCAATTACACAAAAGACTACTCTTATAAGAAGCAACTTATTTCAAAAATTTCCTTTTATGTTACTGCTGGCCAGTTTTTCCATTTGGATCTGAAGTGTATGGAAATCCCTTCCCTCACATACCTATTTGAAGCCAACATATCAGATTTTCAAAGCGCAATATTGGCGAATATTTCAACTGATCATTGTGTTGATATTTCCTCTAACTTGACTTTGGCAAACCCTAACATAAGCATCTTCTTTGACCAGTTAGGTTTTCTCTTGAACACGCAACATAATACCAAGAGGAATAAACAACCCATTGATTGGAAGAATAATAAATTTTTTGCTCTTCTGAAAAAGATCAGAAATATTTCCACTAAGGTTCTAATTATGGACACAAAAATGACGCTCCACATGCCACAGAACAATCTGATAAAGTTCCATAGAGAGTCACTGAAGAATATTGTTTCCAATGGGGAAATGCTGTCTTTGGCATTTAAATCGTCAAGCAAAAACTTGGGAAGACTTATTGAGCGCAAGTGTTTTGGATATGCAAGTCCCTTGACACTTAAGGGATACATGCGTATGAAAAACCTACGCCTAGAAGTGGAAAAAAATGAACTTTTGGTATCCAACCTAAACTCCTTAATAGGTTATTGCGTGGACAATAATAGCGTTTCATTGAAATTCGTGTCAAAGCATGTGCGTTTGAAATCTGTCAACACCATGATTTTCCATGTGGTGAGATTAATTCGCGAGACTAGAAAATCCCACATGAATGCTGCCTGTGCAGATATTGCAAAAGTTCCACAAGATGACTCTAGTACCACCAACTCTTCTGACAGCAATGGTATTATCACTTCCATGGACATTTTCGAAGTGCTACCTTCGGTAATTCGTTCTGTGAGATTTGAATCTAAGAGAATCACTACTACGATCATCTGTAATGATTCATTACCATCGCACATACTCAAAACGGATGAAGGTGAAATGGTGGACCTCTCTTCATTCAAAAGAGGTATATCATTCACAGTTAACGATGTGTCATTAACGTATAAAAAATCAGAACTAACTTTCAAGGTAACTATCCGTCATATTCAAGTTAATACTCTCAGTGAGTATATGAATGAATATGTGGATGAGGTTGACGATGTTTCAAGGTTTGACGTGGGAGAGATTGACTTCGAGGACGTATCCAGTTTGAACACAACCCTGTCACATATACTGGACCAAGGCGACAACAACGAGATTAAGAAAGTGAAACGAGTTTTGTTCATCAATGATATCGTTATTGAAAATCCTGCGAATATTAGTGATAGAATCCTTATTTCTATTCCAGAAGTTGATGGCAAAATCGATGTATTTTTGATTTGGTGTGTGATGTATGCACATACGTTAGTCGAAATGATTGCACCAAAGGTGAGCAAAACTTATTCCGTCGAAGAAGAAAGCCAGGTGAAGAAGAAAAATAAGAGACTCAATCTCAGCATTAATATCGATTCACTCGCTTTAACTGTGAAAGTGCCAAACAATGTGGATCTAATGTTCGAGTGTGATCAATTACAACTAAGAATCATTGGTTCAGAACATCGAGTTCAGGTAGACTTCTTGCGTCTTTATGTCGTACATCCAGCTACCAAGTTATGGACAAGACTCGTTTCTATCACAGACTTACTCATAAACTTGAACAATTTGTCTAAAACTAACATCAACTTGGTTTCAAAGACTGTCCGTTTCAATATCCCTTTCCAATTTTTGGTATACACAGTCATTGACAACATTGTTACGTTTTTCAAAACAATCAGGCAACTTAAGTATAATTTCAAGAATCTTTCGCAAGGAATCTATGACTACCAGCGGATTATGCCTGAGGGCAAACCAGCATTCAATGTTCCAAGAATCAGTTGGAAGTCGTCGATTGTGGGTCTTACGTTGGAAAACGATGCATTTGAAGCTGAGCTTGCTTTGATTTTCGAGCTCGCCAGCTACGAGCAAGTCGACAGGCTTCGTAAATTGGCACTTTTTGAGCAAAAAGTAAAAGACATCAAGTCCAAGGTTGATACTTCAGTTTTAGAGGAGCATGTTCCATCTCTGCGGTTTCTATCGAAACACAGCCGAAAGCAGGACAGCTCATCAAGGTTTACAATTTCAGAAATTGGACCAGCGATTGGGGAATCTTTCAAATCACAATTTTCGAATATGCACTCAAGGCATTCTGAAGACCAATCATTGGCAGGTTCAAAGGCTGGTGACGTTAAATCTAAAAGCTTCTTCAAAAAATCACACAGAAAGAACAACGGATCTGTTGAGAAAGAAACATATCAAACAGAGGTATCAACTCAAAATGAAGAAGTTTACACAGAGGAATGTGCAGCTGAAATTATCAATAGAGCGAAGGAGGCTTTAGATAAAGATTTCGGAACTTCATGGATCCAGAAGTTCAGGAAATTCAAGGAAACCCGATACGCAAATATCCGTGACATATCAAGGAGCATTTGGGATGAAGACGAAGTGAACCCAATTATGAAAAGCAAGTTCCTGATTCAGAACTTTGCTCCCGGTACACCTCAATTTACGGGATTGTTCAAAGATTTCGATCTTGCAGTTGAAACAGCGAAGATTAATGATATTGACGAATTTTTGAGGCTTCACGGTAAAGGACAACCTAAGCTTGAGTACTCCATCCTAATCCCATTATTCTTCCGACTTAGAAGTTCGTCTGTCAGTCTCCGCGTTCGTGACTATGCGCTTCCCGCCCTTTCATTTCCTTCGAATAGCGGTGGGAGAGCACCTATAATGGATTTTCTGGGGAATTTGGTGATTAATGAGAAACTTGTTTTTCGGAAGGAAGAAATGAGACACATATTTGTACCGTTTTCTCCAGCTATCACAAAAGAGGAATCTACAGATAATTTCTATTCCGTTCACATTCCTAGAACGTTGACTCCAGTCAAATTCATGCTCGATCTTCAATGCAATATAAATACCGATCGCGCTTGCATTATCAGTTGGAGTAAATCGTATCAGGCTGCAATGCTGAGTGTGATGCAAGCATTTGATAATTTTACCAAACCGCCAATAGACGACAGCCCTCTTGGTTGGTGGGACAAATTCGGTCTTTTGATTCACGGAAAAATCAAATTTAATATTGAAAACGAATTGTGTCTTCACATCAAGAGCTCTATATCTCCATACGAACTAGTGGGCGAGAACTCTGGTTTCGTCTTTTGTTGGAAAAATGGTGTTCTGTTAAGGATCAACGAAACCAATAACCCAGCAGAACTCATTCTTCTTGATAGTCATGATTTTATTCTTGGCATACCAAACTATTCAACTGCTGAGAGTCGTACATGGAGTTTATTCTATAACGACACCCATGACTATGTTCACGAGAGCGAATACGAAAGTAAGAAATTTCAAAAGAGAGTATTGAAGTTTTCGTCAGATGAAAAAGTCTTGTGGACGCTTGGATTTGCTTTTGAACGAAATTGTGATAAGAATGCAACCGAGCTAAGCAGCAACCAAGAAAGAACAAGCAAATTCAAGCCACACTACGATGTTGTTGTTACGAATCCAATTTTTGACTGGCATCCCGATTCCTATGAGGAGTATCGGTCAGATTATTTGCATATGGCAATATCAGTCTGCTCTAAATCTTCAAAAGGCAACTGTTCCAATTCTGCTTATCTAACCCCTCGGTCAATCAAGTATTTTACAACCTGGTGGAATACACTTACAAACACTATTTCCTTGCCAATTAGGGAAGGAAAGTTATTCTCCTCAAAAAAGATTCCAAAATCGCTGGTGAAAATGAGTCCACACTTATTCACTTTCAAATATCAATTAGAGATAGAACCCCTTACTATTTCCAACCTCCATCTTTCCTTTGATGTACAGAATCGAAATTACAATGTGATATTCACGGGCTTGAAAGGTAAAGTTGCACGCTGTGTTATTGATCTCCACCAACGAAAAGAAGTTGTTCGATATGTCAACGACAAACTCGGCATCGATAAAATGGTTCGCAAATTGAAACTTAATTTAGGAGAAATTGACATAACAGATGCAGATATTAGACTCTTCTATGCAAAGTTTAGTGATACGTCCTTGAGGGGAGAGCTCATGTCCTATTATACTGGTGATTCGCTGACGCCAATTGATATAGGATCGTTCCAAGCAAATAGGGAGAGCCTGCAGAGCAAATATGGCACATCTGACTGGAAAAAGAATATGTCCATCAAGGAAGAAGACTTCCCGTGGTTAGATTTGGAGGACTTTATTGAACTTGAAGAAAAGGAAATGCTCTCTGCAGATCCCGCTATATCAGTCCATCCTTTCTTCTTCACTCCTCGATTTACTTATTTCAGGGAGTTCACGTTGGAGAGTTCCGAAAGCAAGTTTCCTTTTGGTGCAGAAAAATCCCACCGTTGTCTTATAGGGGCACAAACACCTGATCAGGTGCAAGCAATGATTCTCAAACGACGTGTGGATGAGATAAAGCAAGAGTTAGAAGACACTCATGATGTTTTACTGAAACTCGATAAAGATGATTCTACTAGCAAACAAGACTATGATCGTCTCAATCATCAAATTGATCGAGCAAAAAGAGCTATCAGCCATGTTACCACCATTTACGAAGATGTTGCTTCTACTCCGAGCTCATCTCATAATAGCCGGCCAGCAAGTTTGGCACCTAATGCAGAGGTACTTTCAAAAGTCCCAAGCTCAAATATGTTGAAGAAAATCGCCACAAGTTCGGATTCAAGTATCATTGGCGTTAATGAAAATGGAAGCTTTTTGACTAAAATGGACTCTAGGGCATTTTCCGCGTATTCAAATTACAAATCCATGGAACAAGCAAGAGAAGTTATGACTTCTAATGCGTCTGCTAGCAGTTACCATAATCGGTTTTTGATTCATAACTTGCAATTGGTTTGGAATAATAAAGTCAGAAATTTATTCATGGAATATTTGTTGGTTGTGAACGATGAAAAAACTCAGGCATTCGCTATGAGTAAGAAGGCTGTTGATCTTGTTGACGGTATTTTAAAGAAGTATAAAGAGTCGGACAAAGCTAAGGGAGATGAGAGCTCTACAACTGAATCAAGCCAGGATTATGACTCGAATGAGGACATTATTAATTGTTTTGAGGAGTACTTGACGCACAATGACAGCGATGATCGGGAAATCGAGAACAAATATCTCATCAAATTCATTCGACCTCAAGCTCAATTCATTAGTGAGCTTGATACAAACTTATGTGTTCTCCAAACCTCCCAAGATGTTGAATTGCGTATCATATGCGTCAATGTTGCTGGAACTAATAACATCATCAGCGAGAATCAAAGCCTTGTGTCTTTGATTGCAACACGTTATGGTGTTTTCCTTAAGGACTCTTTTGCGTTCGCTTTTGAGCGCAAAAATTTCACTGACATGTCTTTAAATCCATATGGAAACTATGTTAACCGTCAAACCTGGCCACCCTGGGTAAACTGTGAAGAATGTGACGAAGTTTTGAACTATGAAGAAGATCTCGTATTAGAAAGGACAACTATGGCCTTCACATTTGAGAAGCCAAATATGTTGTCAGTGGATGCAACTCCACTGTCTAAGGCCAATGAGATCAAAGTGCATTTGGGAAAAGTTGTTTTCAATGCAACGTCTTCTCAATATTCGGCGATGTATTTTGTGGTAACTGATCTCCTCATGCATTCTAACTCGGGAAGAGATCAGCTTCACCGCCGTTTAAAACAAATTATGACTTTATCTGATGAATCTGATTTCCAAGGAATATCGGAGAAAGTGAAGCAACTTCAGCAAAACATCAGAGTTTGTCGTTTTATTTTGCTTAAAATGGATGAACGAACTGTACTATTGAGCAAAAAAGAACAAAGAGAGAAAAGTGTTGTGGAGATGGAAATGGAAAGGATGAAGCTTGAACTTGGTGTTATAGTTGAGATGTCTCAGCTAGTAGGGGATAACAATGCGTGGAAAAAAGATCTAGCTATGAATTGGAAAGTGGACGCCGATCAAGTTATCTGGCATATTCTTGATGATAACAGAGAGCCTCTTGTTGACTTTGCATTGGCTGCTTCGCAATTTTCACGCGTGGATAAGTTTGATGGTTCCAATTCCAATTTATTGGAAATATCAATGATTCAAGGTTTCAACTTGCAACCGAAAGCGGTATACCCCGAGCTTTTCCGACCATACTTGGAAGTTGCCGAAACCAATGCAGATGAGAATGTTAGTCATGCCACACCTATTGTACAGATGTCGTGGGAGATGTTGAATCCCGTTGGTGGAATAAAAGTGATGAAGAATGCAGAGCTCAAGATCCAACCAGTGCACATTCAGGTTGATCATGATACTGCGAACAAGATATTTAACTACATGTTTCCTAAGGAAGATGAACTGAGCAAAGAAAGCTCTTCACTGCTGGCAGAGGAGGAGCTCGACGACTCATCCAGTGCCACTTCTAATACCTCCCCAGAGAGCTCTAACCCTTTCAGAAAACTCATGGCGAAGAAAAGATCTCCTAGTATCAATTCTAGCCATTCCAATCAAAGTTCGAGACACGCACATTCAGCGAAGAGCGAAGATTTCAGTGTCGAGAGTCTGTCAGTGGTCTCATCTTCGGACGGGACTTCAGTGAGCGAACGGTTGACACCTAAACTCAAAAGAAAGTCTGCCAGAAAAGCTCAAAAGGAGTTTGTGGATGATGTCAGTCTCATTATGAACCGGTCATCGAAGTATATTGTCATCGAGGAGCTTAAGGTACACAAGGTTAGAATGTGCATCAGTTTCAAAGCACCCAAGCATTTGAATATCATTGATGTGCATAACCTTCAGGTTTTAATTCCCACCATTCACTATCAAAATAAGACTTGGTCGGGCCATGAATTAGCGATGCACCTCAAGAAAGATGTCATTCGTATCGTGTTAAACCACGCTGGTAAAATTATTGGAAACAAATTTAAACATCGTCATCGGAAGAAGACTGGACAACCACTAAAACAAATCTCGGACTATTCTCAGTACATGACGTTAGAACAGTTACAAGAAGAAGGCAGACCTCGAAATGGCTTACAAAAATTGAAGAGAAATGCCCTGATTGCTACTGAAGATTCACGAAAATCAGCTTCTCATCCAACGAGACTCAGTCCTATGCAAAGAAATGTTGCAAGGCATCCCGTTGACCACGTCAATATGAATAATTATCTAGACCTGGTTTCAGATGGTGAGCTGATTTCTCAACCGGATCAGTCTACGAAAGAATCGCCATAAATTTGCCAATCAATATTTCATCCCAACCCAACTGTACAATATGTACAATAGTAGCTCTATGTATGGCCCTGACATGATAATTCAGAAAACGCGCGACTTCTCTATATCCTCTTAAGTCCACCATGAGCGGAACTGGATGACTTTACACCACTCAAAATAGTCGAATTGAAACAATTACGATAAAAAGGAGTTCAGGAATACGTCGGCTCAACCGACTCTCTCTATTTTTTGTCTGTAAGCCATTGCAAATCTTTGTTTCCCCACGTTTTAAATATAGACCCGTGCCTCCACAGCTCCAATACCCGGTCAATCCTGTTCTAATCACGCTAACACTGGTAGCCACAATTGCATAAATTGAAGATGGCTTTCTTTGACAATCTCAAAGAGAAGGCCGTTTCTACGTTTAACCAGGTCCTTGACCGTAAATCTGACCTGGGTCTCACCAAAGACCAGCTTTTTTGTCGGGAATTCAATCTCCCAGAAGGAGAAAGAGTATTGTCTGAGCTGGCTGTGGAAGTGAGCTATCGACCCGAAGCGGCGAAAGAAGTTTATAAGAATGGCAATTATCCACAAGGAAAACTATATCTAACTCCACATTTTTTGGTTTTCAGGGACGTTTTTGACCGTCGGAACTGTTCTTTTACGTTACATTTGTCTACAATCAAAAAAGTTGAGCGGCTCCCTACAAGCTCCTATGGATTTGCTTTAGCATTATCTACACATTCACGGATCTATATAAAGCTCTACTTGGTGGGCCTCCGGTCTGACTCAGAGAGGTTTTCGTCTCAACTCAAAACAGCCTTGAGAAACAACTTGCCTAATGTAAAGCAGTTGCACCCATTTATTCAAACGTGTTACTCGGAGTACTTATTGGCGAAAAACAAGGTCTCCACAGAAAAGGTTGAATCGATCCCGCCTGGAGGGTTGGGCATTATTTTCAAGTTCCCAGGTAATGCCAAGGAATCACGCGATAGGTCCAAAATGAAGTTGTGGTTTGACTTGTTCAGGGCTGATGGAAGAAACCTTTCCTTGATCAAAACCCCAATGTTCTATAAGCTTGTTCGCGTTGGATTGCCAAACAGACTTAGGGGAGAAATCTGGGAGTTATGTTGTGGTTCCATGTTTTTAAGACTTGATCACCAAAATGAATATTTGAAGCTAATTGAAGATAATAAAGACAAGAATTCTGTCGCTATCGAAGAAATATCCAAGGACTTGAACAGATCATTACCCGAGTATGCAGCATATCAAGATTCAGAGGGCATTGAACGTTTACGCCGCGTTCTTACTGCGTACTCTTGGAAAAACCCCGACATTGGTTACTGTCAGGCAATGAACATTGTTGTGGCAGCCTTACTTATATACATGTCTGAAGAGCAGGCCTTTTGGTGCTTAAATGTTCTTTGTGATCGCGTCGTACCAGGATATTACTCAAAGACAATGTATGGCACCCTACTCGACCAACGAGTATTCGAATCTTTGGTTGCAGACACCATGCCTATGCTATGGTCACATATTAATAAGCACGACATTCAACTCTCGGTCATTTCCTTGCCTTGGTTCTTGTCGTTGTATTTGACCTCCATGCCATTGGTGTTTGCTTTCAGAATACTTGATGTTTTTTTCTTGCAGGGCCCGAAAACGTTATTTCAAGTGGCTTTGGCAATATTGAAATTGAATGGAGAGGAATTGCTTCAGGCCGAGGACGATGGCACTTTTATTTCCATCTTAAAAGATTATTTCCACACTTTGGATCAATCCGCTCACCCTACAGCTGGAAATGCAAAATATGCTCTGGTGACAAAGTTTCAAGAATTGTTGGTAACAGCTTTCAAAGAATTTTCGGTTATCAACGATGAGACTATTGAGAAGCATAGAGCAAAGCATAGAGATTCCATTTTCCAGAACATCACCACCTTCGTCAAGAGAACGGAATTGCGTAACTTACCCAAGACTGCAAACTTAACACCTGACGATTTATCTTTGATCTATGACCGATTCTACACTATTGTTCAATCTACCATAACTGTAGGATCAGGCTCTAGTATGATGGATTATGAGGCTTTTCAAATCTTTATGGGACAAATTTGTGATTGGGTTGAGCCCGAAGCTGTTGACGAATATGCAGAGAAACAAGACAAATTTTTAAAACGATTGTTCAACAAATGGGATATCGATCACCAAAATGAACTCTCGTTGGCGAATTTAGTTTCTGGATTGGATTCCCTAATGGAAACAGATTTGCTTTCTTCAATTTCTAACTTTTTTGCCCTTTACAGCAAAAATGACGCTGTGGATCGTGAAGGTATATTGACAATTTCTGAAGATTTGCTTCACATTACAACACCATGGAAAGAAGGGCTCCTTTTAGACTCTCTTACTGAAATTGCTATCGAAAATGCCATTGCTGATGAAATCTACAAACAGCAACAAGAACAACACTCTGCAGAGAAGGGCAATATTGCAATTCCATCCAGTATCGATATAGACAAGAAGAAGATCGAGAATATGCAACTTGAAAGATACTTGTCAGCAGCAAGCACATTCATTCAACGTGCATTTGAATATGCTGTACCTGTGGAGGATAAGCCTCTAATTGAAGAGTTAGCTGTTGACAATTCTATTTCTCATAATGCAGCATTGAATCCAAACACACCTGTCACCCTTAACCTTCCCACCTTCCGGATGGTTGTACTTGCCGATGAGACATATGAGTTATTCTTCAGTACTACTTTGCGGCAATCAATCCATATCGACAAGCCATTGGACTCCAAAGTGGCAACAATGCGCAATTTGAGAGATATGTTCGATGGGCTTCTAGCAGATGGAAGAGAAGTTGCGAAAAAGGTTCGCCGTCGTATGGATTCTGCTGCCCATTCACAAAGTGATAACTCTTCAGAAAAATCATCAAAGACTCATAAAACTCTGGAAGATGATGAGGACGGAGATGATGATTTTGGAATCACCGAAATTGACGATAATGATAAAGATCTTTTGCTTGGTGCCGAGGCACAGGTTTATACCGACCCAGTGCACAAGACTCCAGCAGACAGGAGACAAATTGAAAATTTCCACAAAGCTGAACAACAAGCATCTGGCAATGAGGCTCATTCTCACCATAAGAATCTCATTGAGTTTGAAACTTAATTAATTGTCTACTCAGTAACAGTGTTTAACTATTCTAGGCACGAAACTTTTATTGAACAGTTCTAAAATATCAAAGAAAAAAAATAAATCATTAAGAGTATTAGAAAATGTCGGCATGTAAAATGTACGTAAAGATGAAAAAACGACACATGGCAGGTTAAATCTTTTCTTCATTTAGTTTCTGCCGAAAAGCTTCTTCAAGAAACGTTTCTTTTTATGTTTTCCTTCTTTAGGTGCTTCATTCTCGTTTTTCCGAAGCGAAGTTACGGGTGCTTGTGCCAAATCATTTGAAGATCCTTGTCCACTCACATTACTGTGTTTTGTTAGATCGTCAGCTGAATCACTAAAGCGAGACAAGAAACCCTCTCCACCCTTGAAATGAGAGAGACCAGCATCCTCATCATCGGAGTCAGCTAAACGAGATTTGAAGCGCGATCCGCCATTGCTCTCTTGAGCTGTCGACGAGTTCCCAGCAAACAGTTGCTCATAAGATGGTCTTGCCGAAGGACTAGAATACGCTGGTGCCCTAAGTGTAGTCCTGTGCTGAATATGAGACACGGGCCTTGCAGCTTCTGGTTTCGCTTGTTGATCAGCATTCTTGGAGAATGATGATTTCCTTTGAACAGGCTGGAAAACCGATCTTGGTCGACTGTTGGCCTTGGCATAGAGATCGGCTGCCTTCAATTTGGAAGGTGACTGGTAATTTGGTTGTAATGCGGGATGCGGCGCAATTGGTTGTGGTTGCGTCTTGAAACTTCTTGCACTCATTCCACCGTTGCTTGCTGCAAGTGTACGTGGTTGATGGAAGTCTGCTTGTGATGCAGGTCTTAAGGAGCGGCCCGCCATGCCACCTGACATAGCACCACTTGGTTGCTTCCGTAATGTCTGAGAGACTCTTTTTTGCACGGTGTTAGGTGATCTTGGAGGATTAACATGATGTTCTGGTGGGAGGTCACTGGCGTCACCAAGTTGAGAGTTGGATAACTTTGAGTTTAACCTTGTATTTTCTGCCGTTGTCAAGGAGAGATATGCTTGATGTGCTGGACTTTCGTTTTCACTCTTAGGGGATTTCGAATATGTCGCTTTTGGTTGTTTCATCGCAGATTTAATGGGCTTGCTCCGTGATTCATTACTTGTGATGGATTGGAGAGAACTGGCAACATTTGGTGGGGAATGTGAAGTTAAATTCAAGTCAGTATAGCCCTCTTCAATAATTTCTGGAACTGGATCGAAAGTAGGAGATATGGCAGGAACATCATCTGTTACTGGGTCAAAAACAGGTCTAAGATGGTGCGCGAGATTGGGGGAATCAGTGTCTTCAACTTCCTCGATGCCAAACTCATCCTCGCCACCCGCTTTATTGTTCAGTTTCAGTACCTTTTCCAAAACTTTATCCAAATCACTAGCTTCAGATAGGGATGAGGTAGCTGCAATTTCAGTATTTGAAGCATCAAGTGAATACAAGCTGGAATGGCCGTCTTGATGGTCATCACTAGGTTTCAATGTATCCCCCTCATTCTTCTTTACTTCAAGCTCATCGACAATGATAGGCAATGGTTTTATAGGTACGTCCTCTTCTTCTTCCTCTTCTTCTTCTTCTTCGTCTTCGCCTTCAAGTTTCTGAACATTATTCTCTTCATGCAGAATCTTCTTCATGTCATTGTCGTTGTGTTGAACCTCTATACTTTTTGCATTATTCTCGACTGCATTGTGCTCCACTGTGATGTCTGATCTTTTCTCCAGGGATTCAGGAATGTCGGTTGCAAGTTTTGGAATTGGGTGCTCCTTAGGAATTTGTTCCGCAACTGGGGACATGCTGCGTGACACAGCCTCTTCTTCCTCCTCCTCGAGTTTCTTCAACTCCTGCATTTTCTTTTCATTCTCTAGTCTCAATTGTTTCAAGCGCTCATACTCAAGGCGTTTGCGCTCCAATTCCTCAGCCAATCGTTTTTCACTTTCAATCAGTTTCTGAAGCTGGTCCATCTCATGTTGCCTCTCTGTTGCTGAGTCAATGGCTCCTTCACGGGTTTCTTCGGCCACTTTCTCTTCGATTTTAGGAGGGGAAACTAATGAAGATAATCTTGATCCTGTCGAGCGAGTCACTTTATGTGTGGGCTGACGCGAAGTGGAGTTGATGGATGCTGAACGCGGGGTCTTCTGCATCAGAGGTGAGCGCTTGATAGACATTCCTGATCTCATTGAATTTGAGCGAGCAATCTCCTGCTGCATTGAAGATTCAGGCACCTCCACAACCTTGATTCCGTTGGGGGTCGGAATATATTTTTTGACCATTTTGACAGGAGGCTTTTCGGCAGGTCTATGCTTGAGTTTCACGTCCTCCATCTTGGCTCGGTTAGAGTAGTGGACGTCTGCTTCTTTGCCCATTTCCTCTAATAACGAGTCGTTGAAACTATCATCAACACTATACACTAAACGCTTGCCTGTAGAGCCAGTGGACAGCATACTTGTATTCCGCTTCGAGGCATTGGAGCCAGCCCTGGAAGTCCTCGTGACCGGTGGCCGGAATCCACCATCTTGTACCGAAGGACTTCTTTTCAAAAGACTGCCAGCAGAGCGAGTGGTGTGGGCCTGGTTCTTAAGCGACAGGGTCCGGGACTTACCGTATTTTGCCGGCTGGGTTTCTCTCAAATTCTCGCCAATGGATAATGCTGCTGCCATAGCATTTGTGTTCGGCTGCTGGACGGCATTGTTTGCCTGACCCACGCCGGTGTAGGCAGTTGAATTTCGGGTTTTTCTTCTGAACATTGACTAAGCCAACTGCAAAAATATCCTTTGCGTAACAGGGAAGAGAAGCGAAGAGAAATCGGTTGGGTTTTTCAGGCAGGCCGAAAGGTCAAAGCAATAGTGTTGTTCTCCCGTTGGTTATCGCAATACGCGCGATCGTACCGAATTCGGCACAACACGACTTTTGGAAGGGGCTTAGGCGAAACGGGAGGAGCTGGGCCAGATAAAGTTTGAGGGAAGGAATTGTTGCTCGCGATTTCAAGCGGTGAACCGATTATATTCGCCCAAGCATTTGCAAATATTAGGCTTGGGAAGTGTCTCGTGGCTAGGCATGACGGTCCTGATGCAGGACAATCATCTTTTGGCAAGCGCAGTTTCTGGAAGCAAGAGATGCAGAATCTTTTTTCTGCTCCACATGAATAGATACGAAAGGTGGGACTAGTATTACGATGGTTCAAGCTACAAACCGTAATGAGTTTATTGTTTTTATACTTCATTGTCATGGAAATATGCTAAATTGCGTTGATGTTTTCCGTTTGTGAACGTGAAATATTCTGAATTCCATGTATGTGAGGCATGCAATAGTACATGAGAAGAAATTGGTTGTGCCTACTATACACGTCTATTGTTCATTGAAGCCCTAGACATTCGAACATCCAACTTTTCTGCAAAAATGTTCTGATGTACGTAGTTGATTGGCGGCTTAACTGTTTAGGAAAATAAAATTAGAAAGCTGAAAAAAATCACAGATTCTCTATGTTATTTATGCTGTACACGATTTAATGGGGAAAAATACCTTCAAGCGTTGACTACCATTTTGTTGGGCAATGTTTCCCTCCTTTGAGTGTTTCAACATTGTCTGGATCATAAAGTGACGCTTTGACCTTAATCCTACGTGCCTACGTAATCCACAACATTCCCTGTTCGATTGAGATCGTGTGGAGACTGATGTGATAAAGTGGTTTAGTTGGTCTTTCGGAGGTATTAAGGTGACAGTGACATACATACCTTTCAGTACGTATTCCCTAGCTATTTCAGTGTAGAATAAGTGTGGAAAAAAAATTGTGGATGGGATCCGCCCATACCATTATTAGGACATGGAGAATCAGCCGCAGACATAAACCAGAAACAGAGTGTTGCAGGTAAATTCAAGGACAATTGCGTTTAAAATTCACGACACGATAAACCATTGCAGTCAATCTAGATTATCCTCGTATCGCTCCCGAATATGTTATTCACTAAAATGTTCCACAGCCTGTTCATATACTCAACGGCTTGAAGATAAATCCACAACCCCGACGAAAAATTGACCCGCTTTTTCTTATTTATTGCATTGAATCTCCTCCACCTATTGTACCAGCCTATGTCTTAATAATCGGGCACAGTAGGCGCAGGACCGTATTTTTATATATTACCGTATCGACCTATGGAAACCGGCCCCCAAGGTCATACGCAATCCCTGACCTTAAGTTGTAGTAAACCCACGTCCGTATACTGGTTTTCTTCCGAGCCCTACCATCTGTGCTAGCCACGTGCCGCATGTTTGTCCATTGGCCACTATAGCCCTCATAACAGGGCCAAGACACAACAAAAAGCCGCTCCAAAGAAAACCTTGGAGGAGAGGTAAAATGATTTGGTCCTTAATCACGGCATATGCAACAACACTGGGCGTTATTGGAGCAAGTGGGGCGACTGGAGCCTGAAGAGTGTTTCCCTCGACATTCAAATCTTCGGCACTTTCATCCACTCCCATTAACTTGAGTTCTTTTTCCGAAAGCGTATGGTTGATGCCAGCCTTCTTGTTAGCGTATGTCTGAAGCGACCTGAAAAAGGATTGCTCAAAGCGTAAATCCGGAATCGGATATACGGTAGTTTTTGCAATGTTTGCCGTCATGATGGTGAAGAACGATATTCGCGCTACTTTTACAAGCAGTAGTAGTTACCATTAATGTGACTGTTGGTGCGACATGAATCGTTATACTCATATATATGTTTCAGAATACTTATAGATCTGTAAAACTTATGCCATAGACGGTTTCAGTCATTTTCATTTCTAGTGGTTACCTCCCAATGTCTTGGTTGGTTATATTTGGCACGTGACCATTACACCATTTTTCAGGGCATGGATTGATGAAGCTTCCAACTGTAAACAATCTCTTTACATCAAGGTAATTAGTGTAATAAGACTGAAGAGAACAATTGAGTCACTGAAATAAAAAAGGAAACGTTGGTCCAGCTACACGTTCTTCTTCAGTCGTAGGCCAGACATCCGTGCCTCCTGCCCAGTCTCGAAAAAACATCAACCATCAAAACCAACACCACTCTATAACCATGGAAGTTGACAGCGCCGAATCTGGCCCTCGTGTGACCATCAGACAGACGGAACGAGACCATGTGGACTTCATTTTGCGTGGCGTGGATCTTTCTGTGGCAAACTCATTGCGGAGGACCATGCTTTCGGAAGTTCCAACATTGGCGATAGATTTGGTTGAAATCGACGTCAATACGTCGGTGTTGGCAGATGAGTTGCTTTCACACCGTTTGGGTTTGATACCTCTCAATAGTGAAGGCATAGAAAACTTGTCATACTCGAGGGATTGCACGTGTGATCAGTACTGTCCCAACTGTTCCGTGAAGTTAGAGTTGACAGCCAAGTGTGACTCTGACAGCACCATGAACGTGTATTCGCTGGACTTGGCCAAGTTCCATAATGGTTCCAAGTTGGGAGACCCGGTGATCCGTGATCCAGCCCACAGGGGACCTTTGATTTGCAAATTGCGAAAACACCAAGAGCTTCGTCTCACATGTATCGCCAAGAAGGGTATAGCCAAGGAACACGCCAAATGGTCGCCATGTGCGGCGATCGGATTCGAGTACGATCCTTGGAACAAGTTGAAACACACGGACTTCTGGTATGAAGACGACGCTGAGGCTGAATGGCCTAAGTCGGCGAACTGCGAATGGGAAGAAGCTCCAGACCCAGAAGCTCCATTTGACTACAATGCAAAGCCTGCAAACTTTTATGTGGATGTCGAAACGGTGGGTAGTTTGGCTCCTAACGAAGTTGTTGTGCGTGGAATCGAAACCTTGCAATTGAAACTTGCCGGTATCGCTGTCGAGTTGAACAAAGACACAGTTGAAGCAAACGATGCCGCTACAGGTGGATTCACCACCTATGGCCGTTCACCAGGTGGTAACAATTCGCCGGATAACGGATACTCATATGGTGAAGGTTTTGGCAGTTCGGCGTGGTGAGTGTAATATAGAAAATAATGAAGACATGTAAAACTGTTGCGATGAATGTGTGTATTCTCTCTTGGTAGAATATGGTGCTGCAAGACTTTGTAAATTGTCGTGAATGGTTTACTAGAATGGATACTTCATCTTGTGGCAGGAGAAATGCAACTCTGTGTAGTGACTACAAGGACTGAATCTTGAATAGGTTTGATTTAGTATCAGTTACAGTGTGCTCTTTTAATCGTTACTCTTGCGTTGTATTCTAGGGCCAGACCTTTCGAAATTTGATTAGTAACTTGAATCAAAATGAAATTTCCAAGCTCCACGGAACTTTGAATATTTATTGAGAGATACATTCTTCTGAGCTCATATGATTATTAATCGTCATGTAGTTTCGGCGTATACTTGCATCGAATAGTACTCACTATACGACTCTATTCTATTCAAAGCATGTGCCCCTACTCTATTCTATCATTCTCGTAGCTTTGATCAATTTTTCTGACATTATGTTTTTCAACATATTTCTCTTAAGCGTTGGAACGAATATCTTATGCTCTGTTGTATCGCACCACATCTTCAAACCGTACTAACGACCCGCCAAAAATATCCAACGCACTTCCATAAGTCAAATCGACTTTTCCTCCGCTTAAACGAGCTACGAGGTCCAAATCGGTGATCAGCCGAGCACCACCAGCATAAACAATGCGCCCCTCGAATCGTGGGGGACACCACTCGCCTAACTTCGTCACTAATTCTTCATCCACACCGTTGCAAAGACCTTCCACATCGGCTGCATGAACCAAGAATTCGGCACAGTATTTTGCCGCCCGAGCCAAAAATTCTGCGCTGAGTTCGCTGTCGGTAAGAGTTTGCCATTTGTTGATAGCCACCACCCACTTCGACTCTGAAACTTTCCGGCAGCTCAAGTCTACCACCAACCTGTCACGGCCCACCAAAGTTGAAAGGCTTTCAAGCTTGGCCCAGTCAAAGACCGTACGTCCGTCATCTTGTGAAAATAGCCAGCTGGTTACAATGACGTGCGAAGCTTTATGTTGGTCCAACCATTGCAATGCATTGCTATCGTTGATGCCACCGCCAACTTGGAGATGTCCGGGCCATATAATACATGCTAGTCTAGCGGCTTCATCATTCGCTGGGTTACTTCCAAGCTTGATCACATGGCAGCCTTCAACTGAATTCTGTTTGTAGAGGTCAGCATAATACGAAGCTGGCTTCGTCGAAACAAAATTCTCTTTGGTATCTTTCAGGGCCTGCGTATCATCCTGAGTAAGCGTGCCACCGACGATTTGCTTGACTTGGCCTGCGTGGATATCGATGCAGCCTCTGAATCTAGTCATGGGGAAGAGTGTATATGACTCAGATAGGCTTTAACATACTTGATAAGGTGGTGCAGGCACAACTATGAGGCCAATGTAGATTTCTCTTCAAGTAACATCTTGAACATAGAGAAGTCCTGTCCCAGATATGGTCTTTTCTCATGAAATGAATGGACCTGCATTCTTTTTATGGTTATGCTAGATGTAGTGCTACAGTACGTGAGGTAAAATGTTTTAATAACTGTAGTGCAATGTTTGGAATGAAGTAGGCAATGTTATCGAACATATTGACTCTGAACATGTTCCTGGCCTTTTGCTTTTTTTTTTTTTTATTGGTCTTGAACCCTATAAGATGTCACTGTTCTCTTCGGGAAAATACTCCACATCGAAACTGAATATCGCATCGCGAAAATTTCACGGTCTGCCTCTCTTCACCATGGCTGACGATGACTACCTAAAAGCAATGGAAATCCAGAGACGAAACTTTGAGGCACAGTTTGGCAGCCTTGAGTCAATGGGATTTGAAGACAAATCTGCGCCAAAAAGCTCTGAGTCTGAAGAAAGTGAAGATGAGACGCAATTCCATGGATTCGATGGAGAATCAGAAAGCGATCTCAGTGTTAGCGAAAATGAAAGGGACAGTGACAGTGAGAGTGAAATCAGCAGTGAAGAAAGTGAACATGAAGTCAAGGTGGTCAAACTTACTCAAGAGAACTCAACGCCTGTGCTTTCTAATAAAAGAGACAAGAAGGTGGCCCGTTCTGGAAGAGCACCTACGCTTTTAGAAATGGAAGAAAAGGAAAGAAAGCTCCTGAAACTCACCAAGAAGCAACAGGCTAAAGCTGCCAAGGAAGATGAGGAGAACTTGGAAAACGACTTGAAATTACAAAGGCTCTTGAGCGAATCGCACATTTTGGCCAATAGCTTGGAGTATTCTGGAGCAGATTTAACTATGCAAACACTAGATTATGATGCACCCATTGGCAATGCCAGACGGCGTATCCTTGATCAGCGGATCCGTGAAGTATCTTCTACTAATGCCACGGCTCGTAAAAAGTTGGAGAAGATGCCTATGAACATGAGGAAGACTTTGATTAAGAATAGAGAACAACAAGTGGCCAAGTACGAAAAGGAAGCTCGTGAGGCAGGAATCATCCTTTCAAAAGTGAAAAAGGGCGAGTTGAGAAACATTGATATAGGCAAAGGTGTGACCCCAGTTACGGACCGTTTAGGTGTGGGTAAGGGACATAAGAGCAGAATTAGAGACCGTGGACTTAAGATTCACTCTGTGGGAAAATCCACCAGAAATGGATTGCGTATTTCACAGCAGGAAATCGACAAGGTCAATAACCAAGGAAAGAAAAGACGGAGAAAATGAGCATAGGAGCATAGGATGTATGTATAATAATGTATAGTAACTGAACAAAGATTCCGAAGAGCATGTAAAGTCAGCTACATAAAGCTAAAAGAAGAGAGAATTAGCCACAAGTATTGAATATTTACATTGTTCTCGTCAAGTCTGGAAGTGTTACTTTTTTTTCGTGTGGGTATTTTTTTGCGGAGGTGCAAATCAATGTTATGTTTACTCGCGCAACATAAACAGAGCCAACACCCTTTTTCATCATGACGTCGGTCCTACCCAAAAAAAGATCTGGCGACCAGAAAAAAAGAAAGTCCAGTGCTGTTCTTCATGACCTCTCAAACAAAGGTCGGGTGATCTCAGGAAGATCTGTCTCGAATACGAAGAGAAAACCATCTGGAACGAGACATGTTAGTAGAGGAGATATGTTTGTTGGAAGAGACGAAGAAGATGCCAACTCTTCCTTTGCCGACGATGCCATCCACTTTCACGAGAATCGATCCACCATTATGTCCAATTTTGAGGAATGGATCAAGCTTTCTACAGATAACAAGATCACAACCAAAAACTCCTGGCAGTTTGCGTTGATTGACTACTTCCATGACATGAATGTCATCAAAGACGGTGATAACATCAACTTTCAGCGTGCTTCTGCCACACTTGATGGCTGTGTAAAGATCTATCTGAGCAGAGTGGAGTCTGCGGCTTCCGAGACTGGCAAATTATTGAGTGGTTTAGCAACGAAAAAAGGCCAGATCGAACTTGAGGATGCACAAGAGGAAGGTGAAGAAGATGGAGAAGCCGAAGACTCCGCCAATTCGAAGAAAGAAAGACGGGTTAATCGTATAGTGGAATCCACTTTGGTGAGCTTTGACGCCTTGAAGATCAAGAAGCTAGATCAAGAATTGGCAATCGATCCACTTTTCAAAAAAGCTTTGGCCGATTTCGATGAGGGAGGTGCAAAAAGCTTACTTTTGAATACATTAAACATTGACAGTTCTGGAAGAGTTGTATTTGATGCGACAACAAACTCGATGAATCCAGACGAAGAACATGAATCGGAATCAAAGCAAGACGATATGGATGTGGATAAGAAAAGTATAGATTTTCTGAAGTTAAGAAACATGTTCGTATCGTCTGGTCCAGAACTCGAAACTCTCTCCATTTGTCCCTCTATTCTGGAATTAAAGCTTGCATTAAGTGATGTCAATAAGGCAAAAACGGTACTTGGTGATGTGAATGATCGATTCAATGCAGACGAAGAAGAGGAACGAAATTTAGCCGACAGTGTTCCGCCTGAAGAAAATCTTCCGGACTACGACTATGATATGGATTTTGAAGCGCAGGACGAAAAGAGAGAAGATGTGAATCTAGATAATATTGAGAACGAAATCCAAAAAGCACAAGATGTGTTGAAATCCTACGATGATACTCAATTTGATGAAGGAGTTACGACAGCTACGGTAATGGATCAAGATCTAATGGCATACTTCGACGAGAAGATGAGAACTAATTGGAGAGGACCAGAACATTGGAAAGTCACAACTCTTAAACAAAGTAAAAACCTTGATGGTCTAAGTAAGAAAGGACAAACTCCTCAACCCGAAACTGCTCCTAAGAGAATCAGGAAGGAGGATATCACCATTAATTTTTTCGAAGAAGAGGAGGAGGATTTCCTTGAAAATATATTTCAAAAGCACAAGAATCCGTTTCAAATCTCCAAGAGGCCTGAAGAATGCAAAATAGATGACTTTCATGTACTTCCAGATGATATCCAATTCAATTCGCAAAGATTGGTCAATTTGTTTCTCAAGCCGAAAAAATCGATCGTGACGTTTTCCAAACGTTCAAAGAACCACTCAAATGAGTCTAATTTGAACGATAAAGCATACACCGACGAGAACTATTTTGCAGGGAAGTATCTAGAACAGGAGAAGGCGTTGGAAGAGGAAGCCAGACAAGAAAAACTTGCCGCATCGTTCCTTCAAGCGGAAATGGAAGATTATGACAACGATAATTTCGGTGGCATCGACTTTAATGATGTCTTGGGTGGAGAAGATGGAACGGTTGGAGGAGAGGAAGAGACGAAAAATGATAACGGCAGTCAATTTGTTACTGGGGGTAGGAAAGCGCGTCCCGAGTATGTTAATTTTTCCAAAGTGGCCAAGAGAGTGGACGTCAAACTTCTCAAGGATAATCTCTGGAAGTCCATTAAAAAGGAGGAGAACGAGAAGGAGAAAAGTGTCAGTCCTGAAGAACAACTGGAAGAGGATCGAAAGAAAACGTTTACAGAGGTCGTTGAGACTATCAGCGAGATGTACCGTCCTGAAGAGAAGAAGGACCTTTCGACCAGTTTCTGTTTTATATGTCTTTTGCATTTGGCGAATGAGCATGGGCTCTCTATTGCGGCAACAGATGCCCACGATGATCTCTTGATCAAGGGATTCTAGTTTCAGGTAGGTATAGATTTCGGGTTGTATAGTTATGAACATGAGGTTTACTTGATTAAAGGTACGTTTTGCACATTTATTCATGGTCAGAATAGAATTCAATCTTCCCTACAGATCCAAAGCGTCCAAGGAAATATCTTTCGTAATTTTCAATCTACACGCATAATTGTGCTCAATATTATGGCAAATGTAAATGAGCAAATAAAGTATCTACAAACGAGAGTAGGCTGAGATAATTATCGGCCCCCAGTGTCTAATGCTTTCGTTTTCGTCGAAAAGATTTTCAGAGCTCAACTTCAATATGCACCGCTTCTTCCCAAGATGTCGTATCTCGGTTTGTTAAGCTTCATGATATGTTCTTGTATGCCCATACAAGGCAAAGTACTCGCTAGCATGATCGCACCTGGGTCGCGCACGACCTTCTACACACTTCGCACCTGTTCCATCTACGCCTCCGCTTTCTGAACTACTTTCTCGGCAAATGCAAAGTTTGACCAGAATCATACCCCGGGCGCCAGCGCGGATCCTCCGGCCGACATACATACGGCCCTTGGCTTTGGGCGTGTCCGCATGGCATGTGCGCCGAACCACGTATAGGAACATGTCCAGTTCTACCATGTCGATGCTTTCGGCGCTGGAACAGGCGGCCAACTCGGACATTTCCAACGCTGAAGTGCAGGCGGAGTTTTACAAGCGGCTACTTGCCACCAACTACCCTCAGATCGTCGTGCAGCGCTTTGAAACCCCCGGTATCGCCTCCAATCCGGAGTGTGCGCAACTTTACATTGAGGCGTTGAACAAGGTGGGCAAAAGGGCCAAGGCAGAGCAAGTGACGCGTGATTTGGCTGCTGGCACTAACGCTGCTGTGGCAGGAAACGCAGGTCACTCGCCATTTTCCTACGGCATGGGCTCGAGAACTGAACCTGTCCACGTGATTGTGTCCGAGTCCGGACTCACTATATTGTCAAAGTGGCTCAAATGGTTGATCCCAGTGGCGCTTCTCACATATGGAGCATCGAACGCCTTCAACTACTTGGTCGAAAACGGCACCATCTTCCGCAACTCGGAAGTTGTCGACAAGTCTGTCGATGTTTCCCAATCCACAGTACGGTTCAAAGATGTCTGTGGCTGTGATGAGGCTAGAGCAGAGTTGGAGGAGATTGTTGACTTCTTGAAGGATCCTTCCAAGTTCACCGGCTTGGGTGGAAAGTTGCCCAAAGGTGTATTGTTAACCGGTCCCCCAGGTACAGGTAAGACGTTATTGGCACGTGCGACAGCAGGAGAAGCTGGTGTTCCCTTCTTCTTCATGTCTGGTTCGGAATTTGACGAGCTTTATGTTGGTGTGGGTGCCAAGCGTATCCGTGAGTTATTCGGCCAGGCGCGTGAAAAGGCGCCAGCCATCATTTTCATCGATGAGTTGGATGCCATCGGAGGAAAACGTAACCCAAAGGACCAGGCATATGCTAAGCAAACTTTGAATCAATTGTTGGTTGAGTTGGACGGCTTTTCGCAGACTGAAGGTATAATCATCATTGGAGCAACCAACTTTCCAGAATCCTTGGATAAGGCCTTGACCAGACCTGGCCGTTTCGACAAGGAAGTCATTGTGGAGTTGCCTGATGTTAGAGGTCGTGTTGATATTTTGAAGCATCACATGCAAAACGTCGAAACTGCCGAAAATGTCGATCCTACCATTATTGCAAGAGGAACACCAGGATTATCTGGTGCAGAGTTGATGAATTTGGTGAATCAAGCGGCCGTGCATGCATCTCAGCTTTCAGCACCTGCCGTTGATATGAGTCACTTTGAATGGGCCAAGGACAAGATTTTGATGGGCGCCGCAAAGAAGAAGATGGTGATTACAGAAGAGGCAAGAAAAAACACAGCTTATCATGAGGCTGGACATGCCATCATGGCTATGTACTCTCCAGCTGCAACTCCCTTATATAAGGCCACGATCTTGCCTAGAGGAAGGGCATTGGGTGTAACATTCCAATTACCTGAAATGGACAAGGTCGATATGACCAAGAAAGAATGCTTCTCGCGCCTTGACGTTTGTATGGGCGGTAAAGTAGCTGAGGAGATGATCCATGGCCCAGAAAATGTCACCAGTGGATGTTCCTCTGACTTGGCGAATGCTACAGGCATGGCACGGGCCATGGTGGCATCCTATGGTATGAGTGATGTTATTGGGCCAGTGAGAATGAGCGATGACTGGGAATCGTGGTCTCCTAAAATCAGAGATTTGGCTGATAACGAGGTGCGGAGCTTCTTGGTGGAATCCGAATCTAGAACACGCAAAATGCTCGCTGCAAAGAAAACAGAGTTGAAAAGACTCGCCGAAGGCTTATTGGAATACGAAACTTTGACGAAAGAGGAGATGGAGAAAATCGTCAAGGGAGAACCAATCAACAAACCAAAGACCATCAGCAACACCGTCATTAAGTCTTCTGGGAGTGGCCGATTAGAGGTTATAAATGAACCTACTCAGCCTGTGCCTCTTGCCGAAGCATGAAAAAAAGTTTCTATGTAAATACCCATGGTCATGTTTTTGTGCCAATATATCATGTAATTGTTCTACTTGTAGTGGATTTCCAGCATTTGGCTGATGATCCTAGTTTACATTGTATGTCAAACCTATTGTACATTACGTCTTAGTATATACTCTGGCCTTAGCGTTGCTGGCCATTCAGGAAAAAGTTCGCCAATTGGGCACTCAAGTTGCCATTTTGACCTCCATAGTTTGGAGGGAAGTTCGGAAGTGAATTGTTTTGTGGCATTTGTCCTGGGTATCCTTGTGGTGGAGGAGCATTGTTGTTATTGTTATTATTACTGTTGTTGAACAAACCACTTAATGGATTGGCAGCACCTTGGCCATAAGCTAAGAAATCTTGCTGTCCACTAGCCATGGTGGCCTTGACAAACTGTTCATCTGGCTCTCCTGGTCTGTTTGACTTTGGTCCATTTCTGGCTGAGTTGGTTGGCATCTTCTTAGACATTGCCTTTGACGAAATACCGGTTCCAATTTCGATATCGGGCTCGTCAATAACTAATCCACTTTGTAATGGTTGTCCTCCAGTACCACCCCATTGTGCCTGGACGACCCATGCTCTGTCGGCATCTGTCAAACGTTGTATAGGAACAATGGAAACACCGTGTTGGTAGTTGCAACAGTCTCTTGGGCCAAAACCGACACCCCATCTCGTTCTCAATGGCAAAGCACCATCTTTGTTGAATGACTGGATAACTTGTTCGGCTTCCTTTCTCGAGTAAACTTTAACGAAAGCGTGTTTCCTTTCACTATTCAAAATAACTGATTGCACTTCTGCGTAAGGTCTTAAGTGAGATGCAAGTTGCTTTTCATCCATGCCGCGTGGAACACCACCGATAAACAATGTTCTTGACATGACTTTGAAAGAGCCTTGAGGCAATGTGCTATCGAAACCAACATTACGAGGACGGAAATGAGGTGCCCCAGGGACATTCATTTCACCCTCGCTAGCGTTATATCCTTGAGACAATGACTTTTTCTCTTCGTGAGGCGAACCATAATTGTCATGGCCTCTGCCATGGCGACCTGAAGGAGATCTAGAGCGGTTTCTTCTAGAGTAACCACCAACATCATCACGACCTCTTCTGTCGTTAAAGTTGCCTGGGCCGTTATTGTATCCACCACGTTGTGGATGCATACCCTGCATACCTTGCATACCTGGCATGCCTGGCATACCTTGCATTCCTTGCATTCCTTGCATACCTTGCATACCTGGCATACCTTGCATTCCTTGCATACCTTGCATTTGATGCATTTGTGGGATTTGAGGCATACCTTGAGGCATACCCTGTGGCATACCTTGAGACATACCCTGTGGCATTCCCTGTGGCATACCTTGTGGCATTTGAGGCATTTGAGGCATGTTAGGCGCAGGCGGACCATTTTGACCATTGTTTCCCTGCATTTGCTGCAACATGTTGAAAATATACTCTTTATTTGGTTGATTCTGTTGAGGTTGTGTTTGCAGTGTAGGAGGGGAAGGCAGCGCTACAGCAGAACCGGACGAACCACCCGCTAATACTGATAACTGTGACAAAATATTCGTCGCATTGTTTGCTGCAGCATCTTTCTGGGGAGCAGGAGATGCAGCCGCTGGTGGAGTAGGGGTATCATTGGACTTTGCCAAAGAAGCAAGAGCCAGAAGAATACTTCCTGAATCCGAGGTTGGCTTTGGAGCATCAGCCCCAGAAGATACAGAAGCAGATGCGAGATCTGCCTTTTTTCCTGGCGGAGTTCCAGGAGGAGTAGTTGAGCGAAAGTGTTTATCTCTAATTTTCTTTATCGTTTCAGGGCTGAAGGTCTGGGCACGCTCCCAGATATCCACCAACTTCCCGATTTTTATGTTAGTTGATGGGATAATCAGCAATTCCATGGCGTCGTCAATAAGAGATTCAACTAACTCGCTGATCTTAAAAACGCCTGCCGCAAAAGTTCCCTCGGGAGCTTGTGCGTTGATGACTTCGTTTCTCTTTTTTGCCTCATCCATGTAAACCCTGACGATGGAGTCAACAACATACAAAGCTCCCAACTTGTGCGACGAGGGAGTAGCTTTACAGCTTGCGTATAATGCGGGGACGATTTTAGACTCTTCAGATACGTTTTTAACCGCGATGTCGGTCAATTTCTTGATACGAGTACCTGACACGCCTGGGGCCTTTAGAGTCAGCAACTCTTTCAAAATCGATTCAAATTCACCCACAGCTGACATGTTTCACAAAAGCAACAAAAACAATAAATTACTGCAAATTTCTTAAGGCACCACCACTACGCTGAGACCTTGGAACTTTTTCACCACAGAGGAAGAATCGTAATTCGATTTGCCAATTACAATACGTTACTAATACAACCTATCAATACGAAGATTTCAAGGTCGAGCCACTAAATTGGACAATTATTTGTGTTTTTCTTCGGGAAGGGGACGGAAGGAGGGAAGTGGTACCGAACAAAAAATCAAGCGAGGGCGGCGAAGGTCACTATATATATTCATCTGGTTAGGGCACGACCCAAATGCTTAGTCCAGGTTTTGTATGCACCCCGTTCTCCATAAGGATAGGAATGTGATACGAAAGAGAAGAAGGGAGAGACGTACTACGTGACATGTTTTGTTCTTCATGAGCCTGGATTTTACGGTTCTAGTTATCGAGGGGGTAGTGAGTCTATATCATCTAGATATACAAGTATATTGATATGTTTTGCGGTAACCCTATCTTTCAATGTTTACTATTCGTGTTTTGTGGGTCTATATTCGAGAAACCCAATTTCGAAGCGAATTAAATACTTCCAGTAAATGGGATCCACGCTGTCTAGGTTTGTTTAGGTTGATCTAGGTCTGACGTTTACGCCCAACTCTGGAGGCAGCGGGCTCACGTTTACGCGCGCGCACCAAAGTGAAAATTTCTATTCAGGTAATCTTTCGTTGTGTACCAACATCGTTCAGCCATACATATGATCGGTAGAGCCTTCTCGCGGAGCTATTCCGCTCCAACTGCTCCAGCAATCCGTTCGACGCTTTTGTTGCTGAGAACACCAGTGATTACGGCTGATTTACCCGAGTTCCAAAAGCAATACTATCGTTACCAAAACGAGTTGTGGAAACGTTTGATGTGGACATTTCCCAAGTGGTTTTACTACAGGGAAGGTACTTTATCGGAGCAGAAGTTCCGTGAGTTGAACAAGAACCCTGTTTACAACAACCCAAACCTCGAGTTTGTGGGTGGAAGACCCGAACTCAGACAACAAAGAGACAGAAGATTCAAGCAGGAACTTTCATTGCCCAAAACCTATCAGGAGAACGCCAAGGAAGAGGAGGACACTCAATCTGAGAGCTTGGCCAGAAAAATTGTCCCCAACTCTAGAATCACAAAAGCAGACGAAGCCAAAGACTTGACCAGCTTAGAGAGAGCATTGAGTAGAACCTTGTATTTGGTTGTCAGCCAAGACAAGGGAAAGTCTTGGAAGCTTCCATCTTTTCCAAATAATGGGTCTGCTCTACATACGACTGCCGAGGAAGGCTTGTACTCTATTGGTGGCGATCAACTCAACTACTTCAATGTTTCCAGAAAGCCATGCCATGTTCACAATGGCGCCGAAGGTAAAGAGTTTTTCATTAAGCTGCACATCTTATCTGGCCAGTTTTCTGGCCAACAACCGGACTTGAAGTTCTTGTGGTTGACCAAGGAAGAAGTGGGCGAGTACTTGGACAAAGAGTACTTTGCTGAGATTTCTCATTTGATGAGCGAAGTGTAGTCAGCATCTTGTAAATAGCAATGCACCATCATTCTGTATAATCCCATTGTATTTACATTTCACATAGAGAAGTGATTATTGAAACTTTTTTTACTGTTCTTCTTTTTATATTCTCAGGAAAGATTATTTAAGGTATCTGCAAGACTGGTTGATACTGACATACTTTTAAGCTCAAAATGGCATATTCTTTGTTTTTCTTTTATCTTGGGTAACTTAGGAGCGTACATCAAGCCTTAGCACAGAAAACTCGGTCTACGTTATTCGGGAGGCAAGTAATTTGAAGACCTTTTCTTTGTTAAATTGAAAACTAGAAGTCATCATTGAATAGCAAGTGCAACACCAGAGACTTTGCATATGGACTCTAAGCATAAACTCTTAAAATCTGGCTTGTTTGTTCCCCATCTGACTTCAATTTCACTTCAAGAACTGTTTTTAATTTTTTCACGGCACCTTTTGAGTAATAACGACATTTGAGTAATAAGCATGAAGAGCACATCTTACTTAGTGCTAAATAGTTTTCGAATTAACCGAATTTAACTTTTTTTAAGTACATGTTACATATCCTTCTTTCCCCGCAAAACTTGCTCTGCGGTCCAAACCGAGCGGTCCAAAGCGGCACCGACAGTGAGAACACCAGCAATAGAGCTGACCACACCCAAAATAAATCCAGACCACGTCTTTGCATATTCCTCTCTGCTGATGATTTTCATCGGCGAGATATCAAAGTGGAAGAACGCACCAGGCACTCCGCCTTGTGCATGCATGGTATTCTGGTGGTCGTCATCACGTCCGCCCACGATTGGTCTGTCATGTGTGATGACAGAAAACTGATTGGTGTCTACAGCCTCTTTTTTGCCGTCCAAAAACTCGAAACGCGTAGACACAACCGACAAATAGTACAGAGCCACATGGTTCTTTTTCTTCAAGTCAAAATGGAAACCGTCAAGTGGGTGGATCGATGGCTCCTGGCTATCGTCAGTGGAGGCCAAGCGGCGGGATGCAGATGGGTCCTCTCCAAACGAAAAGTGGTTGATCTTGTGGTCGATGGAAAACTTGTTGGAGTACTTAGTCCACAACGACAAGTCGTGCAGGTGGCGCCCGTTCCGGGACAATGGCACACCCGGTGCAAAATGCAAGTTGCCCGAAATGCGGTTAATTTTCGCTGAGCCCTTGATGCGGCAGCCCTCGTTGTTGTTGATACGAGACACCATTTTCTCCACATAACCTTCACGCTCGCACTGCTCGATGTTGGATCCGTCGAAAAAGCCCCATTCTTGCACAGCGTAAGCCATGCGAACAGCCTCGCATGTGTTGCAACAGCGTTTGTTATCGGTCTGGTCCACGGCACCGTAGCATGGGCCACATGGGACACCTCTGCTGATTTCGTCCTCGGTTAAGGGCCCACACACATCTTCAAACTTCTTGGCACCGGAAAGAAGCGGCAAATCGTCGCTGATCTCCTCACCCAGCGGAAGCACGCGGAACATCTCAAAGCCCGATTCCACAATGTCCAAGTGCAAGTCTCCAGTCATGTCCAAAATGTCCAAGGACATGACACCGCACGGGACATCGGGGAAAGTGATGTCTAGGTTGATGTCGAGCTGGCGGTTCACGTCGCGATTGACCACCAACTCGGGTCGAACAACCACCAGCATGTAGTCGGAATACTCATTGCGAATCAAAAAGAGCACAATTAGCACGCACACCAAGGTGATGACTCCACCAGACGCGGTTTTCACGCGCGCGTCTTCAACAGTTTTCGCAAAGGCGTCGAGCGAAAGCAATCTCGGCCGGGAAGACATGGCTGTGAATGTGGTGTATTGCGAAAATGTCAGTGGAAAACGGTCGCTTGAAAATGCACTCGTGGCACTAGCGCGGCGCGGCTCTGATCGAAACACCCGTGCCTCTGAGACCCACCAAACCCGGGAATGAAGGCCATTTTTGCTGCTCTTGGGTCCAAACTGTCGTCAACGTTGGTGTAAAAGCGTTATTATTATTGCTGGGTGTCAAACCTCGGTACTGGTGCCTGTTGGTTTGTATGTTAGACAGGCCATGATGGCTTTCGCACCTCATGCACTTTCTCACTCGGCTACTCAATAGAGTAATTAGGACAGGTGCTTAAACTTTAATAGCATCGATGCGAACTGATGCGTATTCTGGAGTCCCTTAGAGCAAGTCGCCTGCTGTTCTGGCAAGAGAAGCAGCCCAAAGTCTTATTGTTTATCTGTAATTCATAGTCTACATTGTCAATTACGAGCGTGAAAGCATTGTGCTGAATCTTCAATTACTGAAAATCCATTTGCTTTTCTCAAATTGGGGAAGTTGAGATTCAATTGCTTCTGATTTTTGATCGTAGTTCCTTTTTTCATTGGCAGGGGTTACATTTTTTCACTCTCCACAATATAGACCTGCGAAATAATTCGCAATTTCATACAAACCGTGCACAAGATGACAAAAGTCGAAAATATATAACAGACAACCACAAAATGACGACTTATTCCGATTGCCTGTCCTCTTAATACCTCTGAAAGCAGACCATATTTCATCTTCACCCTCTACTAACAGAGGAACAAAGTGACAATAACTGCATACAGCCGCTACTTTTATGCCGTGCGTGTTCAGCTTCATCACACTTGCATGTCTGCTTTCTTTTCCAATCTCCGCCTATTCCCTGCTAGGGATCTTGGAAGCAATGGCAAACCCACTCAAAGTGAAATTGTACATGTTTCAATCAATGCAACGGGCTCGCGTGTCATAAACACCCGCACAGATCGTTCGATTCGAATCTGGCGGTCTACTGTATCATTGACAGACCCCATTGTCATTGAAAACCCCCACAGAGGACCCGTCACGTGTATCTCATGGAACCCTGCTACTGAAACGTCTTTTGCAAGCGTTGGCGGCGATGGAGCCGTCAAACTATGGAAAGGTCTGGGCCATCTTGAACGTGAGATCAAATTGGGAAAAACTGCCGCTCATTTGGTGGCGTACGCTCCAGATGGTGATGTGATGGCAGTAGTGGCCGATGGCAGCATTTCCATCTACAACGTCGCCAAAGGTTACACGAAAATAGCACACGACAGCCGCCCTAGCAAAATCAACGCGCTTCAATGGACAAATAAAGGCCACAACGTTTTCGCCACGGGCCATGACGACGGATCCATATGTTTTTGGCGCCTTGACCTGATGGCCATTGAGCTTTTATATACGCTTCAGGGCCACCATTCGCCTGTCACGTGTATGTGCCTTGATCCTAGAGGGAGATATCTAGCTTGCGGCCTGAGGGAGGGAATTGTTTCATTATGGAACACTACAGACTTTACAAACCTCGGTGTTCTTTCTGCAGTAGACCGAGCTATCAGCAGCCTTTCTGCCAGCCGAGACGGGACGTATTTGGCTGTGGGTTACAGCGAAGGGGCCGATGTAAAAATTTATGAGTACGATACACTCACAGAAGTTCACAATGCACCAAAAAGTCAGGCAGGGAAAATTGGTGGACAGGCAGCGTGGTTTCCAAATCGGACAGCGTTGATCATTGTGGTCGATAAAGGACAAGTGATGCTGCTCGCTAAAAAAGAGGTGAGCTAGAGATTGATGGGAGAGGAATGACTAGGAGTCGAAACATGATTATTTGTAAGGTGAGAACTATTGTTGTACTTTCGAGGATTTACGTTGGTCTTACATACCTTCTCTCATGCTTGGAACCAGTATATATGGCTAACCCTTCTTTTGAGCCATTGTTGTTCCATGGACTAGATCCCTTTCATCCGCAGAGGGGAATGCAAAAAGATGCGAGAAAATAGAAGGTTTGCCATGATCGTGGCCGAATTGCACATCGAACTATTTATGGAAGGAAGCACCCAATATGGTTTCCTGATACGGAGAAAGTACGTACAGCGGCAACAGAACCTTGTACCTTTTTATAGAGCCGAGGCGACTGGGCTAGACGCAGTGTCACCATTCGTTACTCCACCATTGAAAGAGGTGGAATTATGTATCACGACTGATCATCTACAATGATTAAAAATAAGTATACCAGATATTATCTACAAAGATACGTTGAAGCTGATGGTGGCACCAGATTCTGACTACAACTGCTTACGATCACAACTTCCCTACTTATTTTCTGCTTGTAACAATTGGTGACCTAGCATTGGGTTAAATGCGGTCACGTGCCCCTATTCCTCGGGCGGTCCACTAGTATGTTTATATATTGACATCAAACGGTATTCACGCGGTTTCAGAGCCACCGATTGGGCAGCAAAGAATGGGACGAAATTGAAAAACCAGAGGAATATTAAACTAACCACCGTTTGAAAGCTGCAAAGATGCAGTTTGCTAGCATCTCGAATTCTTCTAGAACAGCATGTACATTGTATACTCAAACCGGCCAGGCTGGGGCAGGCGAGCGTTTATTTTTTTTTTCTTTTTTAATCTTTCCGCGCTTTGCACTTCCATACATTATTATTTCCATTTGCAAATGCGCCCTTCACATCTTTTCGCACGCCGTACTAAACGTCAAGGCTTGTATTTTTTTGGAGTGCCTTTTTTCTTACCACTTTTTACTCCCCGCTACAGATCCCCGGTTTTTCCCATCTCCTTTCACTAGCGTCTCCATTAGTCTCATTGCCAGATAATCGCCGTCTTTTTTTTTGTCCCCACTTTTTCTCAGTACAGAGAAATCGAGAAAAAAAAAAGATAAAATAAAAAACAACACCACTATCTATCCCGCCACGGCCCACCATGGAAGGCAATCACCAATTCCGCTCTTTTTCGGCAGCGTCTTCAGTCTCGTTGAATTCCTCGTCGAACAATGTTAGCAGAGTTCCCCTGGGCCCGCTCCTACAGCCAAATCTGTTTATGAATAAAGTTTCCTCTGTTCAAGACCACATGTTCTACCAATGCTCGACTTTATTGAACAGACTCAAGAAAATCAAAGACATTGAACCGTTCATGGCCAGCGCATACTCAGCGGCAGAAAAATGCGCCGAGCAACAGGCATTAGCGTTCTCTCAAAGCTTACAGAACCAAGAGTCTTCCGCAGGCTTTCGGGCTTCGGTTGGTTCTGGCGGATTTTCCATCTACCTGGATAACTCTGGAACTTCACAATCGAATGCCAATCCTTCACTGATCAATAGCATTTTTACATTTACTGCAGGGGTACTTCCTGCCAATCTTAACGTGGACCCAGCCACACAACTCTGGAAACTATTCCAACAAGGAGCACCGCTTTGTTTGGTTTTCAACAGCATTACACCTGAACATGCCATTCCCATTTCATCTTCCACGGAAGACTTGCGCATGTGTAAAAAGGCTGTTTACGATTTTCTAATCGCAGTCAAAACGCATTTGAACTTCGACGACGACTTCATGTTCACCATATCCAATGTGTTCTCAGATAATACGCATGACTTGCTAAAAATAGTCAAAGTTGTGGAACGTTTACTAGACATGGACGATAGTAAAAGTGATTTAACTGTCGAGAACCTCGCTTCAGACATTGCCGAGGTTAAGATTACAGACGAAAGATCTAAAGTGTTCCGCGAGTTACTTCAGACTGAACGCAAGTATATTCTGGACCTCGAGCTACTAATGAGATATCGTAATGAGTTGCAAAATGCTGAGGCGCTTTCCAGCGAGCAATTGCATGTCCTATTCCCGAATCTCAACGACATTGTTGATTTCCACAGAAGGCTTTTATGCGGCCTCGAGTGTAACATAAACATTGAGCCGAAGTACCAACGTATTGGTTCCATATTCATACATGCTTCCAACGGCCCCTTTAAGGCATATGAACCTTGGACGATAGGTCAAGTGGCAGCTATCGAACTCATTAACAGAGAAGCTCCGAATTTGAAAAGATCATCTTCCTTACTAGATCCTGGATTCGAATTGCAATCCTACATCATCAAACCTATTCAACGGTTATGTAAATACCCGCTTTTGTTGAAAGAACTCATCAAAGCATACGCTGACTCAACGGACAGCCCGTGCTATAATGAATTGATTATGGCAAATTCTGCTATGAAAGAAGTGGCCAATCAAGTCAATGAAGCGCAAAGAAGGGCCGAAAATGTTGGCTACCTTCAGAACCTTGTGGATAGGGTCAAAAATTGGAGAGGTTTCAACTTGCGGGAACAGGGAGAACTCTTATACCATAGTGTCGTGTCTGTCAAGGATGGCGACGGCGAGAAGGAATACGTGGCATACTTATTCGACAAGATCATTTTCTTTTTTGTTGAAGCTAATGTATCCGACCCTAAGCACAAGGAGAAGAAAAAGCGTGATATACTATCATCGAGAAAGAAAGCTGGCAGTTTATCAGGCTCATCAGCCAATCTCCTCGAGTCGTTGAATAATGCCAAGGAAAAAAGCATACTCGAACTAAAAGGCAGGGTGTATATCTCAGAGATTTACAATATTTCATCAGCAAACGCTAATGGCCACACATTAATCATCTCATGGTCAGGGAAAAAGGAGAGCGGGTCTTTCACATTACGATTTAAGAGCGAAGAAGCAAGAAACCAATGGGAAACATGTTTACGTCATTTGAAGACTCATGAAATGAATAATCAAATCCGCCGTCGGCTTAGAGATTCACATGGCTCATGGAGTACCTACGATTCCTATGATGTGACAGCTCCATATTCCAGTGCTTCACCAGTATCTCATTCAATCCAGGAGTCGACAGTATCCCAACCAATTGCAGAGTCTCCAAACCACCGATCTCCTTCGTATCAGAGACATAATTCTTCGTCGTCAAATTTTAGCATGATGAAAATGAGCCGCAATAAAAATGAGAACACGTCGCGCATTTCGAGCTCGTCTATTACTATGACTACTAACAACTCTGACACATCTACTTCGTCAGTGTCGCTGCTTAGTAGTATCAAGATCAAGCTCATCTACAATGTCATTGAACTTAGCGAACCCATTTATGTCTCGTCCAGTGTCCTGTTTCCCGAGCTCAAACTCAAGATTCTGTCGTTCATAGCCTCGAGCGGAGAGGTACACGATGACATTGTGATTAACAAATTCAAGTACAAAGACGAGGACGGAGACTTTGTGATGATGGCTTCTTCGGATGACTGGCTGTTGGCCGTGGATATGGTGGATGAACTCGCCACTCTGGAAGATACTGGACGACTTTTGACCATTTGGGTTTCTTAGAAACCCGCGGCTATATAACGCACCTGAAAAAAAAAAAAAAAAAGAAACATGATAAGGATCCAACGGAACAACGTAAACACAATTAGTTGTGCTCAAGTAACTACATAGCTCTAAAAGCAACCAGAGTATCAAGACCCCAAGCCTTACTATGATCTTGACAACACCATAACGGTTCTTTTTGTGTATCTCCCAGTAACCACCTGTTTAAAATATTATTTTTTCCCCTTGTATTGTTCATGCTCTGTTGCCTCGGTTACAAGGTACTCTTCTATACTGCACAATGGGGTATTAACTTTTTGGAGTGTTCACAATGGCCGCCTTCTAAGAGGCCAGGATTGTCTTTTGACATTAGTAAAAAAGTAGTAAAATGGAGCTGACGTGCGTGCTTGCTTTGTTCTGCTGGATGTGTTTGGAGAACAAAGACGCAAGTTTCCGGGTAGATTACCCCTACACGACAGAAACAGGTACAGTAAAGAGAAAAAACCAATGAAGAAAAAAAAAAAAAGAAAAAAAAAATCCCGAGAGTTAATAAAAAAAAAAAGATCAGGCAACGAGCTAATTTGCTCTTATATTGCGGAGGGACATTACTAAAGAGCACATGTACGTAGTTAATCAAACGTCAGTGGCAGTGTTGAATACGGGAGGTACGGGTGCACACATGTCCCACCTGGCTAAGCAGATACAAAAAGTGTTGCACGATTCGACGAGAAGTGTTGCGATTCAATCATGGAAGAAACGTCGCTGATGAGTTTCCGTGTATGAGATTGCCAGAGACGGTTGGCACGGCGACAACAATGGAAAAACAATAGGAAAATAGGTAGCCCAGAGCCGTTCCTGCAGGAACAAGGTTTGTTAGTGTATGTCTAGATCGCTTCGGAAAAGACCTTTGACGTTTCGTGGAGGCACGTCTTAGTAAGCTTGCCTGCACACAAGTGCCGTATGTCTGACGCTTCGCAGCAAATGCACGGTTTTTTTTCCCACTATCGCAGAGTGCAGTTGTTTCTCCACTAAAGGTGCGGCTTAGCCATGCGCGGCTTATCTCCATGGCTTCATGATTGAGCTCCGGACCTGTATTTTTGCGAGGCGCAGACTGCCAGAGTCACTGATTTGCAATCTCTTGCTTCTCTGGTTGGGAGCCAGCGAAGCATCTGAAGCACATACATCACATGAATGGACGGTTAGAGGCGCCCGCGATTGTCATTGTTTGCCCATTCCAGAGATGTATGCAGCGCCCAAAATGCTCTTGGTGATGCTTGCACGTTGCCAACCTGGACAGACAAGAAGACACCCGTGTTTGTCGGCCAACCCTGAATCCAGCATCAACGTACGTCATGCTGGAAGGAAAGTGTACACGAATACGGAGTGCGGTGTAGGACATATGCGGGTTATGCATACATCATTTCTCAAGGACTCCACACTGCGAGTCTCTGGCGATGGGAAAGACAAATTCACCATTCAAACATAGGTTGGGCCGAACGGTTCTTTGCACCAAATGTGGATCAGCGATGGCTCTATAATGCTTAGATAATTGCACCAATGCAGGATACCTATTGTTTGGGCTTTTCTCTGTTGCCCTGGATGAAAGAGATTCACCTCGTTTCTGCAGGTACCTGACTACAAGGCGGAATTAAACACCCAGATGAGTGTGAGCTATAAATACAGAGGTCCCAGCCCATGTTCTCTACGTCTCGTGTAATTGCTGCTTCAACACTGAGATAACTCCTGACCATGAGGAACTTTATCTGGCTTTTCCTCATCCAGCTAGCTATGGCTGGCAACATCATCATCTATGACAAAGAGTACGTCTTCCGCTCTTGCAACTCCGTGATTTGGTACCAAGGCTCCTTCTGTATGCCAAGAAACTTGTCTGAAGAATCGTACGAACCTCTCGAGTCGTATGAATGTTACTGCAGCAACAAGAACGGGTTGGCTACCCTCATGGGCTGCCTTGCAGTCGAAGGCCAGAACAACGACGCCATGTACAAGAAAGTGGTGAAGGAGTGTGCCAAGTACGGGGCTCAGGTATCCACTTCCGATCTTTCTGCGGCATATCAGACGTACCTCAAAGATGCAAAGGACGTTTATGGCAATAAGAGTTACGACATGAGCAAACCCGTGGACTACCCCATCAAGCTTCTGGACAAGCAGAGTGTGATTATTTCTCGTGATACCTACCATGTTTTCTTCCGCAACTTCAACTACTCCTTGTCTTATGGCGGTATCTGTCTTGCTTACTGGGCCTTGATGGTTGTCGGTGCGTTTGTGTGCAACTGGGTAGTGTATCTCTTCCCTAATCTGCGTTTGTTCCTCAACGGTCCTATCAGCAGAACATACCGCAGATATGTGGAATATCCAGCTTTGCTTGGAAAGAAGAGAAATGTGCCACAGAGATTTTTGTACTTTTTCGAGTTTTTGATCCCCACTAGAGCGGAGTCTCTTATTGTTTTTGGATTCTTTGCCGTGTGCGTTATTCTTTGTGCTGTGAATATCGACTTTGTCGAAGGCCAACAGCTCTACCCGGGCAAACAGGCTTTCATCACCAGAATGATTGTCGACAGAACAGGAATCATGTGCTCTATGCTCACCCCATTGTTCTTTTTGTTTGCTGGCCGCAACAACATTTTGCAATGGATTACTGGCTGGAAGTATTCCACCATGATTATCTACCACAGATGGATTGCCAGAATTGCCGTGACAATGGCATTTATCCACTCGGTTGGATTTACTTGGATCTATTCCAAGGAGAAGTACTACACCACTGCCATGAAGGAGGCTTGGTTGAGATGGGGTGTCGTCGCTACTACATGTGGTGGTCTTATTTGTTTCCAAGGCCTTCTCTTTTTCAGAAGAAGATTCTATGAAACTTTCTTGGTGTTGCACATTTTGTTGGCTGTCTTCTGGGTCGTGGGCATGTGGCACCACTTGAAGGCCAAGGACTACCAACAATTGGTTTACCCAGCCATTGCTGTATGGGGCCTTGACCGTGTTCTTAGAGTTTTGAGATTGTTTTGGTTCGGCATGCCCGTTGCCCAAGTGACATGGCTTCTAGATGACACTTTGAAAGTGGAAGTGCCCAAGCCCAAATCATGGCCATCTGTTCCCGGCGGACATGCCTGGCTTCATTTTGGATATGGCATGTACATTTTCCAAAGCCACCCATTCACATTCATTGACTCGCCTACCAAGGAAAACACCATTGTGTTCTTCTGTAAAGTAAAAGGCGGAATCACCAAAACCCTTGTGAAAGCTTTGCACGAAAAGCCAGGAAAAACCATGCCAATCAGAGTGACTGTGGATGGTCTATACGGAGAAACTAGTCCTGTGAAGCACCATTCGAGTATTGTGTACGTTGCAGGTGGAAGTGGTGTTTCGGGTGTGTATTCTGAGGCTATGGCGATGTCCAGAAAGCTTTCCACCACATCCAAGAGAGTCAGATTGGTGTGGATCTTGAGAGATTTCGTTTCCGTGGCTGGATTCACGGACGAGATCAAGGCTACAAGAAATTCCGGTTTGCTCACATCTGTCTACATTACACAACCAGAAGCTACCGTGGCAGCTAAGGCATTCCTCGAAAGAAATAACCTGAGCAGTCTGGACGAGAAGACTCGCATCGAAGAAAAGGTTCGCTTGGAAGAGAAATACGGTCCCGGTTTTGCCCAAGAAGAAAAGCAAGGAATGTCCCAAGGTAGTGACAATTCGAGACAAGATGCCTTTGGCTTGGCTGGTTTGGAGTACGAGTTCCCAGATATCGATTTCCATGTCGGCCGGCCGGACTTGAATGCGCTTATCGCTCGCGAAACTGAACAAGCACCTGCCTCTATTGCATTTATTGGATGTGGTCATCCTATCTTGATTGACGATCTCCGGTACTCCATTATCGAGTACATGGACAAGACGGACAAGAGAATAGATTTCTACGAGCAGTTGCAAGTGTGGGCTTAGTTTGATTTTATTGTTGAAATTGGTGCACTCGAGATATACATGGTTAAACTGACCATTCTGCTATTTATTTTTGCTGGAAATCAAAGACAATATACAAGTGCCCGTGATTACTTCTAACCGTGAGCAATGTAGCACGTTGTGCATTAGCGATGCATAGCGCTACTATGACGCCTAGCCTGTATGCAATGTTAAAAGACTAACAATGTTTTAGACTTCATTCTGTAATCACACGCAAATAGTGTAGATAGAATTGATAATTCTTTTTTTGTATTTGAGCTCAAACGCAGTCTCCCAACCAGGTGGTTGACAGGCATTTATGAGTTTTTGCGATAGGTGCGGAAATCTAACATTCACCAGTCTCATACACTTGTTTCGACAGACTATGAGACCGTCAGCCTTGGCATGCGAGAGAAGTTATATCTTAGTTCAATTACTTGAATTAAAAGTTTCTGTGCATTCATCCGTTGGCTTTAAGCGCCGTGTATTAGGCGGAATGTTAAACGGAACAACATGCGGTCTTAGAAAAAAATTGTACGGGCGAGAAGAAGCTTCTTGCAATCATTTTAGAGAGAATGTTTTGTTGTTGCAGGCTAGTCGAGAGGCCAATTTCTTATGGGTAGTATGTTTCTAAAAACTCCGCACACATTCTCCTCATTCTTTTAGGACTCAATGGTGTCTGAAGGACCGAAGGAGTCGCCGATATTGCTTACTGTAGAATGTGCTCCACGAGAATCGTTACTTTTAGACTAGCAGGCCTTGACTAACGTCTTTCGAGTTATTTGTTGAGAGTAATTCCTAGCACCCGATGGTATTTCAATCAATAAAAAAGTAGCTGGAAATAGATAAAACAATGATGTTCAAAGCTTATTGAGAGAAGGAATTTCACCACTGGCTTATATCTGTAGATAAATGCAATCAGAATTTAGAAACTTTTTAATTCGTTTGAAGTAGTAGTGGCCTAGTAGCATCTCACATCACATGACCCAGATCACATGCCGTGACTCATTAGTACTACTAGGTGTAATCATCGCGCGTCTGATTCGTCTGTGCGTCTCACTTGGAGTATTGATTGAAATCATCTTTCATTTTCGTTTCGTTCCTGTCAGATTTCTTTCTCTCATTTGAGCTAGGTCCAGAAATGATTCGGCACACTTCGAGGTCTTTTCGCCTTCCCGGTTTACGCCGGGCATGGTCCGGTCGCAACCTTTGGCCCAACCATCTGGCAACATCTTCTACAAGATCAGCGCCACGAGTTGCCTATAGAAACTTTTCGGTAGCTCTGCGGCAGCATATGAGACCGACACCTTCTTTCCGCAAAGAAATTCCTTTCTCACAGCTTCTGGAGGAAGACCGCTCGCTTTTGACGGAAGAGAGAGCAGCAGATAATGTGGATGTCTGTATCATTGGAGGAGGCCCTGCGGGATTAGCCACAGCAATCAAGTTGAAGCAATTGGACAATGAGGAAGGCAACGGTGATTTGCGGGTTGTGGTGTTGGAAAAAGCACCAGACTTTGGATCGCATATTGTCAGTGGAGCTGTTCTTGAGCCGCGGGCATTGAAAGAGCTTTTTCCCGACTCTGAGTTTTTGAACGAAGATGGATCGGGAATTCCTCTTCCGCCAGACTTGGTCACTCTTGTCGAACATGATGACATGAAGTATTTGACCAGTGAGTATGCATTTTCTTTGCCAGAACCTCCGCAAATGAAGAACCACGGAAAAAATTATATTGCGTCTCTCAGCTCGGTGGTACAGTACTTGGCCGAACAAGCGACAGACTTGGGTGTTGAAACATACCCTGGTGTTTCTGTCAGCGAACTTGTGTACGGAGCTAACGGTGCTGTGAAAGGCGTGGCTACTAGAGACGTTGGAATCGGGAAAAATGGAGCTCCCAAATCTTCTTTTGAAAGGGGAATGGAGTTCCATGCGAGAATCACAGTTTTGGCAGAAGGATGCCATGGCTCGCTCACGAAGAGTGCTGTTGCCAAGTTCGATTTGCGCCAATCCTCTGATCCGCAGACGTATGGACTTGGAATCAAAGAAGTATGGCGTGTTCGTGACGAAAATTTCGAGCGTGGCTTTGTAGGCCACACCATGGGATATCCATTGTCTGCTGGTGTGTATGGCGGAGGATTCCAGTATCATTTTGGGGACGGCTTGGTTGCTGTGGGCTTGGTGGTTGGTTTGGACTACGCTAATCCATACATTTCTCCCTACCAGGAATTCCAGAAAATGAAAACACATCCATACTACTCGAATGTTTTGGAAGGTGGGGAATGCGTTTCATATGCCGCTCGTGCACTTAACGAGGGCGGGTATCAATCAATTCCTAAACTTCATTTCCCAGGCGGGCTTCTTGTCGGTTGCTCTGCTGGTTTTATGAATGTGCCAAAAATTAAGGGTACGCATACGGCCATGAAGTCTGGTATTGTCGCAGCTGAGTCTATTTTTGATGCTATCAAGGAGTTGGATGCCGTGGACGAAGAAACTGATATGGAGGAAAATGTTTTCGACTTGGCGCAGTATGAAGAAGCATTCAAGCAATCTTGGGCATACGAAGAGCTTTACGAAGTCAGAAACGTCCGTCCCGCCTTTAATTTGGCTGGTGGTCCGTTGGGATTTTTGACTGGTCTTGCACACTCTGGATTGACTACTATGATTACTCGTGGTTCCGAACCATGGACATTGTCTCATTCGCACGGTGATGCTGAAGCGACCAGAAATGCCAAAGACTTTTCCCCAATCGAGTACCCTAAGCCAGACGGAAAGCTTACATTCGATATTTTGACTTCGGTTTCTCGTACCGGAACGTACCATCAAGACGATGAGCCATGTCACTTGCGTATTCCAAACCAGGACCATAGAAAACATGCCGAACTTTCATGGCCACGCTATAAAGGAATTGAACAGAGATTCTGTCCTGCTGGAGTGTACGAATACGTGGAAGACGAGAATGAGCCTTTGGGAGTGAAGTTCAACATTAACAGCCAAAACTGCATTCACTGTAAGACTTGTGATATTAAGGTCCCTGACCAAGACATTAATTGGACTGTACCCGAGGGAGGCGATGGGCCAAAATACTACATGACATAGATCGAAGAGAAAATGGAAAGAAATGCATGAGCACACCATGAAAAATCGTGTGGAGAAACTATATTACCACCTATTCCACAAACTCTTCTCCTATAATGGAGAATGATACTTAATGAAACTCCTGTTTTGAACCGGGGCAAAAACTTGAGCAATCACTAATAGATCCATGTATAATTGATAGATAATTTGACCAGGTACGACATGGCGATACTATTGGATGTAAAGGAAAGAACGGAAAAGACTATAGTACAACGAATTTGAGCTGTAGCCCATCTTAGAAGTAGAAAGTCATACGGAACCTATAAGTACGAGATGGAATAGCGTACACATATAATACACAACGATACACATGGTTGAAAAATATTGTCAAATATGACACAATGGAAAATAGGGTGGGAGCACTCTCTAGTAATTATCGTCAGAGGTTTTAGCGTATATTTTTTTATTTTTCGTAACTGATGCTGGATGCACCTCATCAAAAACGGCCATATTAGACCAAGCGTAGATTAATTTTCACGAACGTCATTTGTTTCGTTTCTCAGCTGAACCACTTGTCCAAATCAGACAACGTAAGGTCCTCTGGGGCACTTATCTCCTGGGTCAAAAAGCCCGAGCGCACGACATGCGCCCAGTTGCGTTTCGACTTTGGTGAATTGTTAGAAGAAGATTTCGCCGAACTCATGTCTGAAGACGAAGTTTCAGAAATGGCCTTGAGCGCAGCCGCGTGCAACGCAGCAGCGGCAGCAGCAGCATTCGGGCTGTGAGAACAAGGAGTCTTGGGCGCTCTAGGGGCCGCAGCAGCAGCAGTAAGAACTTTGCTCTTTTTTGTCATGGATAAATACGACATGGACTTGGACCTCTTTCCGTTCTTCTTGAATGTTTCAATGCTGAAATCGGCAGAGTCGTCATCTGTGTCGTTGAAAACGTCTAGGTCTTCAAACTCGTAGTCCAAATCGTTGAGCTTCTTCTGTTCTGTGATGGGAGTTGGTGTAGCAGATACCTTTGGTGCTGGCGAAGCCACATCATCAGTCTCTTTTCCAGAAGCAGAAGAGTGCTCAGGCATGTTAGCAGCGACAGGGGCAGACGCATAGGGGACAAACAAGTTGGCAAGATCAGACGATTCCAGGAACGCAGGCCTGTTGGGACCAAAATCATACATAGTCAGTCTTCTTTGCTTGAGTATAGCAGATTGCTTGGCCGCCTCGAAGGAGTCTGTGGAAAAGTTTGAGCTCAGACCGTTGACAAACTTTTGGTTTCCCTGGCTCTGCTTCTGGTACTCCATGACGTTTTTCACGTGGACATGGAAGTCCTTCGTTAAAAGACCACGGTACACATAAACCATTCTTTTGGGCGAGGCATCGGCCCATTCTCTCGACAAGGCGTACTTCAAATTGGAGTCACCTTTTTCAACACGTTTCACGTAGGCATTCAATTTTGCACTAACCAAGTTTGAAGTCTTGCTCGATAACTGCGCCATTTCTGGATGTCTCTCAACAAGAATATCACAGATTTGCTTAACGGTCATTCCGGCGCCTTCTGGGTCTTTTTCGTACAAGATGAGGAAAATAGCAAAGAGCACGTCGTCTTCCAACGACGCATCACCTTCCTGATCAGGTTTAGGTTTTTCTCCAGTGACAGGAATTGTAGTGGAAATTCCGGTAGCAATTGGTACACGAGCAGACACCTTTGGTTTTTTGCCCAAAGTGGTGCCATTCAAGCTTGCCTTAGGGTAGAAACTACCCAAAGACGAGGAAGCACCAACAGGTGGAGTGGAATCTCTTGAGCTTATCGAAGAGGTAGATTTCTTAGCCGAACTAGTGCCTGTATGCATCAAAGAATCAGGCGAAATGCTTCTCAGCGTCGGCGACAACTCCGCTGGGCTAACGCTCTTGTCGGTTGTAAATGAGGTGATATCAATCTCGGAAAGATTTCCCTTTAAATCGGAGATGGTCGACTTCATCTTGGTGTCGGGGCTCTTAGAAAGGCCCGAGACGTTGTAAGCTGGAGCAGCTTGAGCTGAAGTAACTGGGAGCCCGAGAGGTCTTCTATCTGCCATAGCCATTTTGAATATTATTGGATTGTCAGACACGCGCAAATGTGTTCATAAAACGAGGTACTATGGATTTGCTAATCGACGATGGGATAAAGGGAGGGCAAAACTGAACAGCGATAGTGAAATGCTATTCAGACTTTAGTGTGTGAGGTTAAACAAGATTGTAGTAATGCACTGATTGCGATTCCTCAGCTAACTTAATAACTAAGGCTCGAGAATTAAAGGATACGACACAGACAGTCAAAAAAAAGTACCTAGAATGATTAATATTTTGAACATCGTCACCCGCAGATCGGCCGATCTCGAGCTCCACTCAAGATGGATTTCCCCTTTCATTGTCAATCTGATAGTGCGACATGGAGTAGCACCAGATCAGTTTTCCACAACTAAAAAAAAAAAAAAAAAAAGAAGAGGAAAATATAACAAATGAAAGGAATAGAAATGCCGTTGTCAGATCAAAAAGTAAAGTAACACATACTCGATAGGTCCTGATGTCTGGAGATTTGGGATTGAAGACAGGGGAAAAACACCAGCCAGAAATCCGGAGGCAGGTCTAAGCAAGCCGCAAAAAAAAAAAGTACAAAAAGTTGAGCAGCCTCGAGAAACGAATCAGGAGGAGTTGGAAAGACAGACCAGAAGCTCAAAGTTTTGTAAGCGGTAAATGTAGGCTTATCTGGAGATGTGTTATTATGGATCTATCTTTTTTTCATTTGTACTTCATGCAAGGAAAAAGTAACTTCGCACTACACCTGCACACAGTATTATGATAGCAGAGATAGCAAAAATGAGGGCTTCTCCCCCAATTTAGTTTTGTTGTTTGCATCAAAATCATCACTGGATTTCAGACGGAGTTTTACATTTTTTCTATTTCTTTTTTCTATCACTACTACACTTGATTTGTTTTATTTTTTCACACATGTGACTGTATTCGCATTGCCTTGCCTTTTGCTCTCTCAATTCCGCTTCAAAATGCCTAATTCAAAACGTGCCCTCCACAATTAATAGCGCACGGCACTTTGGGGATCAAAATAAATAATTGCACGTGACTCCAATTCCAGCTGCATATCTTTTGTTATCTGCAGTGTGTTTGAGCAAAATCATTACCCAAAGTGTGATCAGTTTGCACGTGACCTCAAGTGACTTAAAATTCTTCAAAGAGCTGCAGTCCTTAGGGCACAAGCCCTCGAATCTGCAAACGGCTGTCGAGCATGCAGAAGCATCAGCGCATATGCGCGATCATGCACCTGTGTACGAGCTGCATAGGTGCATCCACATTATTGGTTACTAGCCCACGATTAATGCGATATACGTTGGTGGCCCTATCCTCGTGATATTACTAAGATTACGATGCAAAACCTATGCATTGTGGCATTTTCACGTCCCAGCATGTGTTTCGTGGATTATGCCGCAAAACTATACGTTAGCTGTAGACTAACTCATTTAGTCCTTACATACTCAATGGATGCTAGTGTCTTGGAGTAATCGTGCTTCCAATAGTCGTCTTTGTACGGTTTAGAAGCTTTCAGGCCATTAGGCGGCATAAACCACCAATTCATAGCAATATGCGCCGGCAGGTCCTCATTAGCAAAACTGGTGACTTCATGGAACCATCCGCAGGGCAAATATAGCATGTCACCGGGCTCAAGCCACACTTGCGTCTTGTTAAGATTCAAGAAACCAGGATAATGTTCATTGGCATACTTGGTAAGGCTCTCAACCTCTGCATCATCCGTCAATTCGTCTAAATGCGCTAGAACAGGTGGTACCGAAGAGAAACTAGGAGGATCCAAGCTATCATCAATTTCTCCCGTGTACTCCTCTTCATTTTCAATTAGATCCTCGAGTTCTTGTTGGCTATAAGTGGAGAAATCCTCGTTTTCCAAAAGCCACGCAGCATGTTCAGCTACCAAGGCGCCATCGTCCCGCATCTTCCTCCAAAGTCTGGCATTTTTGTTGACCTTGTAATCAATGAGACCATTGGCGTAGACTTTGTCAATGTCGCCTACAGTAAAAATGTTCAATGCATCTTTGGGAGAGTAAAGCGTAAATCTTTTGCGTCCTTCCACAAGAACATACAAATTATCCGCATGGTCATGATGGAGCCCTGAAGAGTTTCCGTTAGGCACCCATTTTCCCAACGATTCTTTCGTAGGGTGAAGAAGGTCTGGTTTAGGGGACGATTGCAGCGACAGACCCATCCAGAGATTTATTTGCTGTGGGATCAATGTATCAAAAGGTTTGGGTGTGATGGGGAACAGGGTGTCGTTACAAAGCTCAGTTAAAGGGGGCTGGAAAAGCGAAAGAACTCTTTCCTCTGCCTCTTCTGTAGTTAATTTGAGCTTTTCGTCGACGTAGTTTTCACTGTCTACATCGTCGAAATCATCGTGAAGATCATTGACGTCAAATGAAGCAAGCGACGAGGTATCGGAGAAGTTGGCAAAGTCAACCTGGCCGTTGCCACCATCATGCTCGCCGTCAGTACTTTCTTCGTTTTTGCTTTCTTCGGCTTCTGAGTCCTTGGCTACCTCGGCTTCGTTCTCTTTATCTTCCGTCTCATATGTCTCTTGTAACTCTTCTGTATCCAGAGTATTCAGCGCATCCACAACATCATGTTCAGCATACTGCGTCGTTAGGTAGTACGAATCGTCGCCTTTACGGAACTTCTCTACAACTTCGGCAAAAGACATGAGTTCACGAGATTTTCCCAGACCGAACCCAAAGCCGACTTTCCGCTCCACCTGGAGCTTCTTCTCTTCAGGATACGCTAAGCGGTCCACTATGTTGTCCAAGCGGAACCTGTCGAGATCAATCGGAAGGTTGGTTTCCCCAATTAGTTTCACTGGAGTTCTCGTTTCAATGTAGCGCTCGTAAAAGTGATCGAGTGTTTCGATTGCATCGACTTCCCAGTCTTGCCCAACCTCAGTTCCAGCATACTGGTTGAGTGGTGTTCTTGTTGATTTCACCTTTCGGGCCAGTGGAGACGCAGCTCGCTTCATTTTCCAGTTTGGTATATCGTGGAAGAGGGTCCAGCATTATGTCACCAGAAAGATAATGTCGTACAGTACTTGGCGCCAGTCTGCAGTACACACACAAGCCCACTGGCATCCACCTCGCGTCTATAGAAGAGAGGTGCATAAGCACTACCCCATTTCGGACAACAGCTTACGAGTGGAATTTCGAAGAGGCAGCACGAAGAGCAAAATGAAGTTCCCCGTCTTGCTTTCTATTTCCGTGTATTCTATTTGTGTTTATGTACGCGGAGTTTCATGCCCACGCTAGAGAATTGCTTTTCTCCAAGAATAAATCAACGACGTTGGGGCGTTGGATGCATGAATTTCTGGGCGATGCTAGTGCGAAGGGTCAAATGCCGAGGTACTGCCATCCCTAGATAAGCCGCGATTCACTTCGGCAAACCCACCAGTTAGCACCAGGACTTGACCCCGCACCTTAATATTTTCCCCAATATTTTCTCGTTTCACATCTCGTGAAAGACTCGTGTAAGTGATACGAACTTAATTTTAAAAGGACGCGCCAGCACTGGGGTTAGCACGTCTTGAGTGTGACTGCATAACGCATGACAGGCAAAATCCAGAATGGGGTTGTTTATGCTCCTCACTAAGTAATAGGGGAGAAACGTTTGCTGGTGGAAAACGCGCAAATACGCTATCAGATCGTGGGACGGTATCGCAAGCGCATCAGGTGCATGAGGCGCATTGTAAGCATGTAGCGCGGGCTAAATGCAGCGCCCAAGCAGATTGACGTCTGCAGAGGGGCACCACGGGATGAAAGTCGCAATTTCCGTCTCGTTGGTGCGTCTACACTATCGTACCACTAGCGATTGGTATGGTTATTTTGAGAATCTATGAAAGTGATTGGTTGGGGACTGCCGTCCATGTAAGCATGTGGGTGTAGCTCACGCAACTTGAAGACGCGCGATTGCGTAGCTAGAGCAAAAACACGGACCGGTCGCTGGTGCTCTTTGATCTTTTGATCGCTGGAGGTGCAACGGCTTCAAAGCTTCTTTTCGTGCCGGGAATATCGTTCTCCAGGTCTGCGGGCAGGGGAAGAGGCCGTCCGTTAAAAGATCCGTATCCCCTGTAGCCTATAGCCGGCAGACACATTGGCCGAGACTTTTCGAAATGGTCTAACTCCGAGTTCTTAGGGCTGATGCTCAGCAGGATCGGCGTGGCTGGATAGAATTTGGGAGTGGTGACGCCGCTTCCTAACCTGGGAGTTTTCATTTGATGCTCGCCAGAGTACGATCTGTTGGAGGCCGGTCTTGAAGCAACGGGCGTAACGCAAGACGACAATGGCGCAGACCCTGTTTGAGAAAAGACAGAGTTCTCTGCCAAGTGCGTCAAGGTAAACGAAACCAATAACTTCATGTGGCTGAGGAAGCGCAGATCCTCGTTGAAGTACTTGGTCTTAAGCGAGGGTGGAGGGCACTTCAACACTTTGATAAGCAACCCAAAGGCCTGGCAGAAATCCTGAACCAGCACAACCGAAACCATGGTCGAGATGTACACATGGTCGAGGAAATCCTTCACCACGAAATTCTCGCCAACATTAAGGATCAAGCACGACATCAAAACGCTTAACAATGCAATCTTTGGAGTAGTGTAGTTGAAGTAGATGTTGGGGTAAAACTGAATCAACTCACAGATGTAAATAGCCACGATCTTGACGTCATTGCACACCTTGTGTGGGTTTTTAGATCCTGCTAAAAACGGGGACGAGGCCAAGGTGTGGATGTAGACGTCGATAAATGCATCAAAAGTAGGGGCGTCCACGAGCCATTTCAAAGACTTTAGAACATGGTTTTCCATTTCCAAGAACAACTTCTTATCATAGCAATTGCAACAGTAACGGCACAAGTCATTCAAAGTTGGCACCCGGAACTTGGAATCCAAATTCTTGCAAGCAATCCAGAGTGCCGTGAGCCCTAAAAGTTGGTAGTGCTGTTTCTTGACAATGCGGACCGAGCAGTACCGGTCAATAAGATTCACGGCCAAAGGGAAAGTGGCTTTGGAAGCATTCAATTTGTTGATCACATCCATCAAGAAGTCAAGCAACAATGGTCTCATGCGCAAGTTGATTTCCGGCTGCTGTTGTATCAACTGGAGATTGGGTCTGGTACTGGTGTCCAACTCCAATAAATGCTGGTAGATGTCCAATTTGTACTCGTCAACCTGTTTCTTGTGAGCATTGTATTCTGCTAATTGGACCTTGATGTTGGAAGCTTTCAAAGCGGCTTGAGAAACACGAACATTATGGAAAATACCTGGGGAAGTGCTCATGCTGTGTCTGTTACTGGAATGTGAATATATTGAAGAAAAGACTTTCAAAGATTCTGTTTAGTCATGAACGTCCAGCAATTGTGAATGAAGATGAAAATGGGTGAAGAGACGGGGTCTCAAAGTTGGTGTGATGCAATTGAAGGTGAACCGTTGTAGTTAGGTTAACCAAGAATGTTGGTGGAAAATGCACGAAAGAATGTGAAAGCACAAATGTTCAATTGTTGAAAATGTAATGAAAGACTCACTAGACTGGAACGATGAAGTGGGAATGTGATGTCAAAGGGTAAAATGAAGGATGAAAATGCCAATGAAGGATGTAAGTGGAATAATTTGTGATAATGTCTCTCCTGAAGGCTTAGCGTGAGATACTTCAGCAAAGAACCTAACCTATAGTAGCGTAGTTTCAAGAAGAGATGGATATATAAAAAAAAAAAAGATGATGACTTTTCAAACCGTGGAAGAAAGAAAAGAAAAAAAAAAGAAGTGGCTTTGGAATATCAAAAACGCATGGGCCAACACAGTGCATATATAAATTTGCAGTTCACCACCGAGAGTACTTTACCCAATCTGCAGAGGGAGGTGGTCGTTATGCATCTAACCCTCTGCATGAAAAAATGTGCGCACGCTGCAGGAAATGAAGGTGTGTGTCCGCCAATTGATCTGACGCACCTCCGGATAGGTTCACCCTCGGAATTCCCCTAAGATGGAGAGACATATTTCAGGTTAGTGCCACTGCACCCTCCGGAACTGGCAGCTCAGTAACACCATCCCTTCAACGCACCATACAGTTCTTAGTATAGGCTTCAAACCAGCAGCTATCCATAAGGATTGACCAGTTCTTTAGACCCATCCTGACCCAGGTTCAGAACAGCAGATATCCCACTACAAACCAAGGATCTCGGCGTACACGTTTACAAAGAAGGCGCTTCAACGGGTTGAAGAAAAGAAGAAAGCATCAAATGTCGCCTATGCGCTAAGGAGTGTCGTGCTCAATGAGGTTCGTCTCGATGAACATGAGCTGCAGCAACTGATTGAATGTCGCATCACCTCGGGTATATGGACTGCAGATAGCAGACTGCACCAATGTCCAGTGAGTGGGGACAGGACCACGGCTATAATTTCATTCGGCGGAACATATACTGTGGAAAGCATCCACATAAGCAAAACAACATGAAACGATGACATATGCCTAATGGCATCTACCGGAGATTACGTTCCTCTGATTATTGCTTTCACATATTTCCAGTATTTCATTATCGGCCACGGGGGTGGAATTGTGGAAACGGCATCCAAGAGATTTGGCCGAAAACGGTATGTTAATTGTTGGACGCGAAGCCGCTTTCAAAGTACATGGCGACATTGAAGTTTCTGGCCTGTGTGCAGGTGCCGAAACCAGCAACAACCACTGAGAAAAATACTTCGTTGCAATACAAGACGGAAGTACAAGGCCTCGTACACGTGGAAAAAAAGAAATTCATCGTCCGTCAATAACTTACCAAACTTACCAATCACTCAGTACCGCTCTTAACCCGTCTGACACATACGCTCTTCACACTTATGGACGAACTAATAGCCCGCCACAAAAAAGAACAGCGAGACTTGGTTGCCACCATCACGTCGCTTAAAAAACAAGCAAGCAAGAAAACTCGAAAGGCAGTGAACTCAAAATGTACGGCTATGCAAGAGGACCTCGATGCACGGCAGCGCAAAGAGATTCGAGAATTGAATGGCGAAGCACATGAAGAGGAGGAGAACACGGAGATAACTCCGGAACAGCTTCTAGCCACATTGAGTGTTGAGGACCAGATGCCCGCTTCAGCTACAGACAACGGTATAACTAGTGAACAGACGAGTGCACCTCCGGCCAAAAAAAGAAACCGGGCAAAAGAGAAGTTGGCGAAAAGACAGGCGCAGATAGACGCCATCAAGGCAGAAGCCCGCGAAGAAGCAGCCAATCTGGTGGATTACAGAGCGATAGAACAAGAGCTGATGACTAAGCTTTTGGATTCCCAAGGTTTGACGTTGCATGAGATCAAACCCGACGGCCATTGTCTTTTCCTGTCGATACAAGACCAGCTTAGATTACGCAGAAATCTCGAACTTCTGGTGCTGGAACTACGTAAAGCTGCTGCCGATTATATTCGGGCACATTCCGACGACTTTGTGCCCTATTTATTTGATGAGGCAACGATGCAGTTGCGCGATGTCAACAGTTACACTGAGGAATTGGAGAACACTGCGATGTGGGGTTCTGACATGGAGCTCTTGGCGTTCTCGAAGATTTATGATTGCCCCATCAAGGTTTTCATGGCGGGAAATGCTCCAATAGTATTCAACGAGGAGGGCGCAGGCGAAACGCTATATGTCGCTTACTTCAAGCACTCCTACGGTCTAGGCGAACATTATAATTCCTGTCGATGAGTCATAACTAAACTTCGTGAGATAAAATGTGTGGCCAGATGTTTCCTCAAATACTCAGGTGCATCGTATTTCTGCATAAGCGACATTTCGATTGCCTCTGCTATGCATGAAGGTATTACATATAGTGTCTTTTTTCCGTCACTTCCATCCGTACCTGCGTGGAATCCGGCAATGGAAATCCATGAGCGTCGGAATGTACATACGAAAAACTAATTATAAGATCCTAAAAATGTCCATCCTCTACGCCAGCTATCCCCTGTAAACATTCCAGACATTTCTTGAAGTAACTTCGAAGCCGGTTTGAAGTTGTTTGTTACGCTGAAATTGTCTACTTGGGTTGTTGAACAATATAGAGTTATTTTCTGGCGGACAATGGAAATGGTGACTGCTCGTGATATTCTGCTTCATCCAGCAGTGGAAGATATCTTCCGAAAGCGATGGCCGGTGCACAGAAAACATCCATGACTTTAGTAATATTTTCGGGATGTACCCGAGAATCTTAAACTTGAAATGAGCAGGGGTGGGGACATACGGACGTGTGCATACAGATGAGAAATTGATTATTAGTGGTGGAGACTGAAAAAAATTTCTCGCCGTAAGCGTAATTGGTAGAGACAGTATGCTAGCCGAATTACCCAATGAGGCTTAATTGGCCGACCTGGTCTTGTCTGCAGTCCAACTTCGGGATTCTTACTGGGCGATCTGGATTCAATAGCAGTGATTCACGATTATTTTTCAAGATCCTCGATTGTCACCCCCGTCTAAATTTCTTCTATGTATTTCTGTTTTCGTAAACAATGGAATTGAGGGCTCAAGGCGCCTGAGCCATGCAGGCGTAGCAACTTCTGCGATGTCGGCTTTTTTATCATGTCGCAAAATGTGGGCCGAAAACACCGACGCCCTCATACCAAGAAATAGATGAATCCAAGTTGTGGATACCCGTTATTGATGCATGTTTATCGTAGCAATGGTAGATGATCGCCGAGATAATAAATTCTACCCGCTATCGTTTCTTCTGTCTGGAAACCATCGGGTGAATGAAACAGCGACAATAGCCTGCGTAGGACGAAAGTAGCAAATTCGGTCTGAAAAAAAAAAAAATTAAGCGCCATCCTAGGTGGGTGTCGCTGCGCATCCATTTTGGACGAGGTAATCCGAGCCCCTAACTAAGGTGCGCGACATTTTCGTTGCTGAGTAGTATAACGCATCCAGATCTATGTGCATGTGCATAACTTGGCCAACGCCTTGCAAGAGGAAAGTCACACTCGAGTGTGGAAAAAGAAGGCACGGCGCTAACGGAATTCCAAGCGAAAACCAACCCCCACACCAAAATCTGGCCCTCGCTCGAATCAACGTGAGGCGTGGTGACAAATATGTGGTGTATCTATAGTTAGTAGGAGCATGCAGGTGTCAGGCATTGCAGGAGATCCTAGAGCCGTGACCGGAAATGGCTGGGTTACGATGGGAAACTACAGGAAAGCATGGCGACAAGACTCATGTGACCTCTTTCTGCGTGGGTGCAATCAGCTGGGTAAAACAGATGTCGTCTAAAAAAATTCCCACATCCTGTGTAATGCAGGAGTAGGTGGATCGGAGAGAAGGTAACTTTTGTGTTTCATTGTTGTCTAAGTTCGCTATGATCTCGCCAGCTTTAGAGTATGCTGAACTCCGCAGGAGCTATAAGTTTCGGGAACCGAAGGCTAAAGTCGGACGAGTTTGTGAAAAAAATTGGGAGACATTTCGGCGCCATAAGCAGCAGCAGGCGCCTTCCGTCGGTGGGCAACCGATAAGGCTTGGACATTTCGAGGAGGGTGCGCCAAGCCTTGTGCGTTCCGAGGGTATACCGGTGAAAGAAAAATGCGACATTTCTTCCCCCCGGTATGTTAGGGGTAACTCGGCCGGTTTTTTTTTTTTTTTTTTTTTTTTTTCGTTGTCTTTGCGACTTTCTGGTCACGTGCCTTCCCTGCAAGCAATATATCGAGACTGGCCAACGGCTACAGATTCCTTTGTGTCAATATGCAAACCTGTCACTGCCTATTTAAGCATTCGACCTTCAATGGCCCTGTGCGCATGCTCAATCCAGCTCCGGTCATTTAAATTCGCTGGACATGAATTCATGGCATGTTTCTTCTAGCAGTCACGCTTACGAACTAAAATTCTCTTCTTTCGGCGCTTTGTCTTTACAGCAGTGCGTCTTCTATTGTTTCTGAATTTCACCTGTGTTCTTGCAAGTTCATCTACTTACAAAGATGTGAATTTCAGCTGCCGTCAATTGCCTTCATACGTGTTACGCAACAACACGCCATCGTATACGGTATGATTATGTAGAGTACGTTGGTGCAGCTTATGATTATGGAGTTGGTAATTTCCCGCACCCAAAATCACGGGAGGAAACAGCGCTGTGAACGGAGCCCCGTAGACATTATCGCCCGCAACTCTTGTAGTGTTGATTCAACGAAGCCCTCGCGGAATCCAGGGCTCGTATTATTACTACAAATCGCACAGCCGTGGGAACAAAGAAGAATTAGCATATGTATTGTTTGAAGCGGCGCCTCACCCATTGCTTATTTGCCATAAGCACCATTCAGCCTACTCCAGAGCCTCTTTTGAGCTCTTCTTACATCGTCTCGACTTTGTTCTTCACACTGCACTTGGTTGCAAGATTGTATGGCTTGCCTCTACCGAAGCCTGAGATGCGCAACTTGGTCAAACAATGCAAGTCACTTTGCTCCCCGGGCATGCTTTTGCCCCGATGCTTGTAACTAGAATGGCTTTTCTACATCCAAAGGGTTTCTCGCCTGACCTTTTGGCACGCTCTTAGGACCGTTTTACACATTGTGCGTACCCGAATGCGAACATATCCTGTCCTTGCGGTGAAGATGCAACCAACAAAGACATTCAGTAACAGCTTCCATTGTTTCAGGTGCATGACTCCTTTCGGCAAAAGTCTCAGATCTAGCTGAATCCATTCTGACCGGAAGTCGACAAGGGCTATTCCGGAAATAGCACAGTAGTTTAAGTGTTCCATTTTGGAACAACAGGGTGCATGGAATCTTCCAGCCGACGGTTTTGGTCTACATGAAGAACTTTTTGTTGCATTTATTTTTTGCATCTGCAACTTCTTTTTTAGATGCACTTTTGATAATGTTCTGGTACATCGTGAATTTCATTTTGCTTTCTCAATCCGTCCATGTTCTCTTTCGGTTTGTTGGCGGTCTTCGAAAAAGTATTCCTTTCTACAAGTAATCATAACGTCTCCACTATGGGCCAAGTCCAACTCCATGTAGCAGTTCTTCTCCATCACTAGACGGTGGATTTCAGTATGAAATCTGACGTTTAAACATACCTTAGTTTGTCGGCTGTTCAGTTTAAACAGGTGAATTATTGCGAAGGCTGGCTATTTTTTTTTTTTTTTTTTTTTTCTCACGTACCTTCTTGTAGACCCTTTCTTGAAACATTTTACCAAAGTAACTTCTGATTGTTTTGAGATGGATTGTTCTCTTAAATCAGTACAGTATACCAGCATCTACAGTATGCTGAAAAACATGAATAATTAAAAAGATGGTGCAATCTCTGAATTGGAACCGCATAAATTAAACTTCTGGCAAGATTTCTAAACCATTTTTGCACTTTTCCTTCTCAATCTGGCTAGAATTTTTTCCAATTTGGCTGGTCTCATGCGTCTCCACGTTTCGGTTCGGCCGTACGTGACTATAAAAGCCTACTCTCCTGAAATTTGCGCTTTTGTGATTTTGCGCTTTGTAGCACTAATCTCCATAAACACAACTTTCGTTCTTCTATTTCAGAATAACGCCATTTTACTCCCGTGCACAAGGAAACAATCGTTTCAGTCTCCACCGGATTGGTGAATAACTGAAATTTCGGTTCTACGGACGTTTTTCTACGAAGGCCATTTCATGCACCAAGGGACTGAGATACACCTCTCTGTTGTCAATACAGAACATTTAATTTTTTCGACGTTTGAAGTATCAGAGAAAGCTTCAGTATCTCTCCTTCGGGAGTCTAGCTTTCCTTCCAAGTGCTGAATTCTTCTCGAGTGCCATCCCCACCCAAATATCTTCTCTCTTCATTTCGATTTGCAGGAGCTATCCAGCCACGAGACAAGAACTTAAAGGATAGCTGGGTACTCAAATAGAGGATATATCATCTTCTTAGAAACAACTGCACTCCAGAGGGTCTGATATTTCTTGTATTTAGTAGTGTCTCTCTTCATCAAAATGAACTTTCAGGTAGTACATAGCTGGAGAGCTCTACTCCAATGTGAGAGTACTGCTACTGCAATCCCTTCCAATTACTGCCCGAATTCGCTAAGTTTTCATTATTTTTTCTTCTCTTTATTTTCTCTTTATATGCTACTCTCATACCGCTCGACTTCAATTGTCAATCTTATGAATTCTTCAGACGAATGAAAACAAATTCATAGAGAAAATCTATGCTTTTCTTACGAAGTAGAAACTGGATTTTTCTGATTACGGAAAGGACGGTCACTGAAGATCTAACCTCTCACCTCTACAGTACAACACCACAATTTCTTTCAGGGTTTGCGTAAAAAAAAAAAATCTGAGTTCAAAAACGTTTCTTAATTCCCTTTAATAAGTTCTTTCAGTCGTATACTAGCCTGTTTGGGTTGAATAACGACTTGGACCCTTCATTGGATTTAATGGCCAAAAATAATAAGCAGACTGTATCATAGCTTATCAATGCGCATTCGGTGTATGGGTGTCATAACTCATCAGGAGAAAAAAAAGGATCTACAAACTACTTTCTTAAAATATGGGTTGGTTTTGGGCCGATTCACCACGTCGCAATATTTCACAAGGACTGGCTCCTGCCGTTTGTCCTGTTAACCATGCTGCCTTGCCAGCTCTGGCTTGTCCCGTGAAACATTCTGGATCGGATGATGTGGAGGTGTTAAATCCTCTCAATAATATGCCCATGGCAATCTCGTCGGAAAGAGCACCGGGGCAAAGGGTTGTGTTGTCAACAGAAAGAACCATCTCTAGTATCCCCAGAGGTGAATCCAATGACCAAGGTTTCTGGGAGTATCCGTCGCCCCAGCAAATGCTTAATGCGATGATGAGAAAGGGAAAGGGCCAAGGTATCGATGAAGAGGCGGTGGAGTCTATGGTTGATGTGCACAATTTTTTGAACGAAGGCGCTTGGCAGCAGATTTTGGAGTGGGAGAAAAAGTATACCGAAACCACAAGAGTAGAGCCCAGACTTGAGCGTTTTACTGGAAGACCTAACGATTTGTCTCCAAGAGCAAGAATGTTTCTTTACTTGGGCAAAGTCTTTCCCCAGACTTTTAATACCCAGCCTCCATTTGACCGCCACGACTGGACTGTTTTGAGATCTATGGGCAAAGATCAGGGCTGGGAAAAGGTGAGATATGTCATTGACTATTATAGTGCTCCAGATGATGAAGACACGGGAATGCCTGCTTTTATGTTGGACACCCGTCCAGCTTTGGACAATCCAAGAAATGCCTTCGACAGATTTGACCACTGGTTCACACCATTATGGAAGAAAGCAATGGGAGAAGGAGAGTATGGGCATTGAAGTTGTGACTACGAATCTGCAGTCCGAGGTTGAAAGTTCCACAGCACACTTGGCTGAGCTTTTATTTATATCATTTAGTTGTACATAGAATTCCAGTATATATACATGGGTTAGTTTATTTACAAGTTGTTGTGTCTTTTGGAAATCTTTTCCTTCAATGCTGGCGACACGTTAAACTTGTGTCTCAACAGATGGATTCTGCGAGGCAACACGTTTCCCATATCCTGCAAGTCAGCCTTTGCAATCTCATCAAGAGTCCATTGGATTCTCTTTTCGTTTCCAGTTTTAACAAAATGATCAAGCATGTAGTAGTAGGTGAAGTAGTTTGGCTTGACATTGAAAGGACGTTGTTGCAAAAGCTTTTCGTAGTACTCAAGTGCAATCTTCTCCTTTTTGGCCAACAATGCAGCAATCATCATGTTCCATGCTCTTGTGTCATTCTTCAAGTTTGTGATGTAAATGGCGAACAACTCTTCTGCATTGTGCAAAGATCCGAAATCCAACTCTGCCTTGATCATGGTGGTTAATAAACCGGTATTGTATTTGAATCTAGAGTTTTCTTTGCTGAAATAATTGAACACAGACCGAGCTGCTTCCAAATTCACGCCATCTTTAGCCAACCCATCGACAATGGAAGTCACAGTGAATTGGTTTATTGGCATAGATGCATTGGACAATTCCTTCAACAAACCAGCGACATCAGGAACCTTTCCTTTGTTTCTGTACATTTTGAAATAGTAGTTAATGAATGTGGTGGTAGTACCCACATCTTCTTCAATGCCATTTTGTCTCATGTAATTGATGATACCTTCGACAGCTTCGTTGTTACCAACAGATACGTAGTGTGACAAGAATGCATTCATGACTCCGGTAGAAGGCTGATAGGTGGGGTCTTCTCTGGCAAAGTCCTTCAACTGTTGTTCGGCCTTAGCCACATCCTTGTTCAACACCAATCCTACCAAAATGTTGTTTCTGGTCAAATGCACGATTGGAACAGACTCATATTGTTTCAAATACTTGTCTACCAAGTCAAATCTGCCCAAATTGGCAAAACATCCAACAACAATGGCCAAAGTTCTAGCATTCATAGCAATTCCTGATGCGATCATAGAATTGATAGTCGCTTCGATATTTTCCGTCATTTTCTTCTTCTCTGCTGCATCCATGCCATTAACATTGCTTGGGTGGCCCAACGCCTTCAAAACCAAGTCCCATGTTGCCACAGATGGTTTTGCAGAGGATTGCAAGAAACTTCTGAAAATGTCAATGACGTCTCCAAACAGATGCAACTCGATATATGCGTTCATTATTCTGTTTAAAGTAGCTTCAGAAATTTGAATATCGTTGGCTACTGAGGACGCCTTCATCTGTTCATATAAATTGTTCAACATGATAGGGTTGTTTTGTTGAATTGCTTGTTCGATTCTCCTTGTCACCAATGCACCATTAGGATCCATTGATTTTGTGTTGAGCTCGTTGATTTTGCGTTCAAAAGTGGACAAGTCCGACTTTAATGGCTCTTGCAATCCAAGGCGTTTGATGGTAGAAACAACATGGAATCTTTCTAGAACACGTGAGCTATCTTGAATTTGCAAGATCTTCATGGCATCCTTCACATTATACTCCACATTGGCATTCAAACAGTGCATAACATAAGCGAAAAACGCCAAATTCTTCAAGTCTCTGGAATCGAAGTTGCGTTCTTTGTAGACGAGATATGGTTGTTGGATCATATAATTCATGCGTCCAACGCCCACTTCCTTCGAATACTGCAAATATTGGAGCCAGATCTGCAAAACTTTGGAATAGCTTTCGTCACCGGCACTGTTTCTCAAAACGTGCTCTACCGTTCTCATGAAATGGTAATTGTGGGCAAGACCTTGCTCCACCAACATGGTCAAAACATCCGAGACGGATCTTGATCCCAAATTGGCTCCATCCGCAGTAATTTTGTCGAACAAGGTAGCCGTTATGGGCTGGAACACCGAGTACAACAATTCCGATGGGAGTCTTTCCACTTCCTGGATCTCTCTCAAGTAGCTGATGCCTTCCTCCAAGATATCGATGGCTTCGGAAATCTCGCCCACGTTCGCAGAATCCACAGACGACTTCACCTGCGCAGAAATGTCTCTGAGTTTCCTGTTGGCAATATGTTTGCGTCCATTTTTCTTTTGAGTGTCGCTTCTCTTTCCGCTGTCATTCTCAGTTTTGTTGCTTCTGTTTCCAGTAACGTCAACACTGGCGTTTAACGAGGAAGATTCATCTTTGATCGCCGATGATTGTGACGAAACTTGGTTGAAACGAACACCAACGGCAGATATGGCAGGGCGGGCCAACTGGACTGCAGCACGAGAAATACTTCTTCCGATGACTCTGGATTGGAGCATTTTGGTGGAAGAAGTAGTGAGTAAGTTGAAAGTCGGTTTTCGCACCAAAAATTTTCTCGCATAGTGCTAAAACCTGGAGATCGTTTTCCACAGAATAGGTACAAGATGCTAAATAGAGAAGAAAACGGAGAGAAGAGATTCGGCAGCATTTCAATGCACGAGAGATGGAGCCATCATTACAAGGATAGAAGTATCAGAAAAAGGAATAAGGTTCAAGCATACCAGTCCTTACTAACTGACACAACCTGAACCAAATTCAAGAAAGAAACGGAATCCTTGTAAAGAGTCTACTAAGTTCTACCAAGCGAATACGATATATATTACCGTGATGACCCGCAGTTGTGGACGTGAAGAAGAAAATGGACGCTGTGATGTTAGTGACAGAACTTAAAAGTTATTGTGTGCAATCAGATATCTAAGGTGAATTCTTATCATGAACAGTATATCAAATGAGCTGGGTTAATAGCAGTCCTAAAAGGACGAGTATCATCAGGTAGCACAAACAAAAGTCACATACTGTTTGAATGAAAGTACTGGTTGTTTTTTTTTCTTCTCGTTTTTCGCATACTCGATCTTATATAATGCGAAGAATGTCGTGCACATGCCCATCTGCTTAGGGCTAACATAGGGCTAATGACTTAAAGTCAACTCTGGAGGGAAAACCAATCCCCTAGACAATAGAAATTTTCAGAATTTAGTTATCCAATTGCACTGGCTCTATGAAGGTAATTGGTGCTACTGGCTCGCTATATTGTTCCATCCACATAATTTTTCAAGTTGGTTTCGTGGTCTAGTTGGTTATGGCATCTGCTTAACACGCAGAACGTCCCCAGTTCGATCCTGGGCGAAATCAATTTTTTTCCTACATACACCTTCTTTTTTGCTTGTGACCTAGGGCCAAAGTAAAGCCTTCTGGGACAACTTGATGTTTCCATAGATGAACGATCCGTCAACAAAATACGCTAATGCCACTCAGGAACCGTTGACCTACTTCAATTACCACGAGTATCTCACAGACAAATACACCCCAGCACATAATCCCACAAAGACCAAACACAGACTAGATGATGCGAGCTCGATATCTTCCCACCTGTCCAAGCAGAAAGTTTCGCTTGTCATAAACCATTTCCCAAACCCTTACACTACCAAAGGCTCTGCGCTCTACCACACAACACGAATTGTGCGGATCCCAAGAATCTTCGATACAGTGGAACATCTGTACATGGTCCCCCAATTTTCTACGTGGGCGCCAGGCGCAGAGCCTGCTGCTATCCATTATGGGAAGGAGAACGGATTTGTGAGCTTGGCTTCGTATGATGGGACTGTTTTCGGCCCCACTTCCGTCACACCTCTTGTCCCTGGATATTTGAGTGCCAATGAGCTTCGAGAGATTGTCGACCGGCTCAATGAGTTTCTATTGCAAGCCATGAGCCCTAACAAAACCACTACATTTGAGAACATTGTGGAGTTTTTCACTGGCACGCTTTACTCGAGAATTTTTGCCGGGAAGGCTGGTGCTACGCATTTGAAAGAAGGCATTGCCCGCATGGAAGAATACGTGGAGCAGCTCAACAGAAACTTTCTTTCGAAACGGCATGAGCTTCTTCGTTTGATCTCGCCTGTCGACAGCGCTTTCCTTTCTTTGGACTTTCAGATTCCAAAACCGCCCGCCACGACTGAATATGAAATTCGCCAAGACGATACATCTCAAGAGGATCTGCCCAAAGTCTGAAAAGAAAGTGTGCGAGCGAAAACTCGATACATTTTTTGTTTCCTTCCAGGAAATGAATTGCCTGTCATTACTGTCGGATAAACTCAATAGGCATTTCAACCATCATACTACTGCATGGGCATCATCGCACTCAAGTCTCATCTTCGCATGTTTAGGTATCTACCCCGAAGAATGAACGGAATTTTTGCGGTGGAAAAACCCAAAGGTGTGACCTCGTCAAAAGTGGTGCTTCAGCTCCAGTCGATTTTTGACACCTCAGATGTTTTTGCTCGCGATTTGGCGGAGTCAAAGCAGAAAGTCCACGAACAACTTACAAAGGGAACCAAATGGCTGGCTAGCAAAATCGCCAATCGTGTGAAGAAAACGAAAATCAAAGTGGGCCATGGCGGTACACTTGATCCGTTGGCATCTGGTGTTTTAATCATTGGCGTTGGCACAGGAACGAAAAAGTTAAGTTACTATTTGGGTGAATGCACAAAAACATACGAGACCCGGGCAGTCTTGGGCCAATCCACTACAACAGGCGATTCCGAGGGCGAGGTTTTAACCCGAACGGAGGTCGACCACGTCACATTGGATGACTTGAAAAAAGCTGCACGCAAGTTTGTTGGAAAGTCGAAGCAGACTCCTCCAATCTACTCTGCGCTCAAGGTCGATGGTAAACCGTTGTACGAGTATGCAAGAGAAGGAATACCCTTGCCGAAAGCCATCAAAGCTCGTGATGTTACTGTGGAACTGTTCACGGTCCACGATGATTTCGGGCCTCATCCAGACTTTGGTCCCATTAAGGTAGTTCCCGATGCTGAAGGCAACACGGTCGAAGCGATGTTGGCCAACAATCCGACGCTCAATGACCACGAAATCTATTTCTCCGACGAGTTCATGGCCGACCCAAATGTTTCGGACGAAGAAAAGAACACCCATATTAAACCGAGATTAGTGGACCCTAACACACCACAACCGGACTCTTTGCCTGTCTTCCATGCCACTGCCACCGTAGGGTCTGGAACTTATATTAGAAGCTTGATTAGCGATTTGGGTCGCGCAGTCGGCTCCTCTGCATTCATGGTGGAGTTGGTGAGACTGAAGCAATCAGATTGGGAGTTGGGCAAGAATGTTTTCAAGGTAACAGACTTTACCGAGCGGGATCTGCGTATCTGGGGGCCTGTCTTGAAAAGAGTGCTTGATAATGGTCCAGAAGTTTTGGTAGACGAAGAGTTTGAAAAGGTTTCTCAGACTTTGGGCCCTTTGTTGGCGGAAGAGAAAAAGCGAGCTGCGGAAGAACTTAAGCAAGAGAATCAGGATGGGAAGAAAGACGAAGCAGAAGTGAAGCATGGAAATGAAGACGAGGAGAAAGAAAAGACAGACGATAACGAAAAAGATGTCCAAGAAACAGCAGATTTGCAGGCTGAAAAAAGAAGAAAGATTGAAGTACTGGCAATGACAAACGAGCAGTAATTGCCATTGCCCGTAGTATATAAACAAATTACACTTTCACAATGACAGATTTTTGTAGAGTTTTTTGTTCCGTAGGCGATGGTGGCCTGCATAAATTTCCACCACCCAAAGATTCCCCACATTTCACCAATGGTCTTCCTTCGCCGTTTCTCGACTTTTCGCCCTTTGGCGGCTAAATTCTTGGCTCGAACTACTGTATCTCCTGGTTTAAATGCCCAAGTTCTTGCGCCGGCCGACTTGAAGCCCAAATCGGTGGTTTTCCTTTCCACTCCACAGAACATTCCGACAGTGATTGAAAACGCAATCAACTTTTACCAGATTGGCAATATGCAAGTACTTGTGGCTGGAGTGGATAGTGTTGTACCTAATGGAAACCGAAACGGGATATCCGAGCTTTGGCTTGACGACTATATTACTTTTGAAGACTCTGTACTTCTTCTGGCCAAAGATACAGTGAAACCAAAGCAAAGCGATGGAATCAACGTAGTGGGAGCCAAAACCAATTGGAAAAATGTTGATGCTGCGCTTAAGCTTCAATTGGGTCTGAACTGTCTTGAGATGTCTTTGGCGAATACTATTTTTTCCACCAACCAGTTGGCCACGCTTTTCTACTTTCAACCACCTGCATTGCAGAAACAAACAGGCGATCCGAACATGGGTGAAGTCTTGTCTAACTTGACAGCGATTTTGCCCCCCTTGGAACCTTCTCTTGAGACTGCAGTTTCTCTGGACAGATGGACACCATTGACTGAGGGAGAAGAATTGGTGGTGACAAATTGCACAGGAAACTTGGTCCGGTCCATAAACAACGGGCCAGCTGCCAAAATTCTTGAAAACAACTCCAAGTTGATGGGCATCGCCAGCAAAGAGACAAAAGTGTATGTGAAAGTGTTCCGTGACAATGAGAGCAAGAAGTATGAGGTGATTGCAGGAGGTGGTGGATGGGGAGTCAAAGCTGATTTATTGGCCATCTCTCCAGAGGCGAAAATGCAAGTGGGCGACCGCTTGGAATTTTTCATGGTAACCCCAGAAGTGCGCTATGCGGACATGAGCAACACAGTGGTGTCAAACCAGTTTATGTTTGAGTCATTGCCTGAGATGTCTTCCTATGAGATGACTTTGGGCAGCCCACAGACAATCGAGCACCTTTTTGGATGCGGGTCGGAGTCTGGATTTGTCATGGATGGCGTCAACCACAAGAGTCCTGGAGAAGTAGTTCGCTTGGCCTATCAGCTGTGAAATGTATATAGTAGATGGCTTTGGAGATGGCTTTGGAGATGGCTTTGGAATCACTCGGTAGGAGTTACATAGAAGGCCATCAGACAGAAAACACGAAAGTAGAGATTAAATGAGACTAGAGAGAAAGCGTTTCTATCAAATGTGACTGAAAAATCAAGAACTAGATAAGTGTTTCTTTATTATCTTTGAATAAGGTTGTTTGCTAATGCGATAATTTGCCAATTATAACATGCAACTACTTTCCTCGTTTATTGCACTCATAGATTGTCATTCCTGATATTTATGCGATGACATCATTAACCAACCCCCGTGCTTTTGGGCCGTCTTGGTTTTACAGTCTATTCAATTCTCTAAGTGATTGTAATTGTTTCTTCTCCTTATCTCCTGCTAGTTGATATGCCTTATCTATTTCCAGTCGCACACATTCTCACCTGTATAAGTCATTCTTCTTTATGGTTTCGTACATCAGAGGAGATCTCTTTTCCCACACTTCGTCACAGGCCGCTGTTTTGGCACATGCATGTAACCCCTTCGGTCTGTGGGGCGGAGGCATTGCTGCTGTATTCAAAAAAAAATTTCCGTCTGCTTACAAGTTATATGCGAATCATTGTAAGCAACAAGGTCCAAACTTGATGGGGACGTCACTTCTTCTCCCAACAGAACCAAACGATCCTGGAAATAACGGGAATCCGCCCGTGTACATTGCTTGTTTATTTACGAGCGACTTCAATTCCCCTCCTTCGGAGATTGTTGAAAATACTCGGAAAAGTATGCTTGAGCTTTCGCACCAACTTCTGCTGTTATCCAATGTGGAGAAAGACAGTGAAAAGAAAGTTGTCGTAAATATGCCCATGATCAACAGCGGGATATTTAATGTACCTTGGGAGCAAACAGAGGCAGTTTTGGAAAAGTGCCCTAAACTACACATCAACGTTTATACAATCTAACAAAATGCCATTGAATGATCATCTAGCTATGTATTCCACACAAGCCCCTCTAATCGCTGGTCAAGCAGTCTGTACGAGTACAAACCCCCCGTGGACCATAAACATACAATTATGGATCCTAGACACTGGACACAATTTCGCTGGCGTTCTTCAAAACTTCCACCATCTTCAAACATTCCTTTCTCTTTTGCACGGTGAGCTCATTCTCCTTCACCAAGTCAGCCAAATCCTTTGAACTGTACAACTTCTCCAACAACTCTCTCTGGATCTCGTCCTTCGACCGAGTAATCAACTTCAACATGATCGCCTTTGGCACAATGTCGGCAACGGTTCTCTTGACAATATTATAGTACGACGAAATCAAAAGCTTGATAACCTCAGTCTCCATTTGTTCTCTCTCGGTCATGGTTCCGGTTGCTCTCAAGACTGGAGGAGGTGCCTCCATTTGCTGTAATCTCTTTTTGTTCTTTGATGAGAAGAAACCACCAAAGAAACCACTCGTTTCGTCCTTCGAAACTGGCAGCGGCGTCTGTGGTTGTTGAGAAGGTGGCAAAGGCTTGCCTGTTTTAGGGTCAACAGCAACTTGCGGTTTTGGATGGAATTTCTCCTCCACGATTGCCATGGCCTGAGAACCCTTTAATAAATCTGGGTGGGCTGTGTTAACATAGGTCTCCTCCGATCTAATGATGTCTGTAACGAACTTGTTTGTTGGTGAGAGCTCCTCACGCAAGAACTGGATGAAAGACTGCGACAAACGTTCTTTCAACGCTGGGTATCGAGAATATTGTGGGTGGCTGATGATTTGAGACAAGATTCTGGCCAACTCATCAAAAATCAAATTCACACACCGCAAGGATGGTTCTTCCAAACGACGAATCTGCTGCTTGACAAGGACTTCGAATGCTTGGGTGCCGACAAATAAAGAAGGTGCTGAGCCAGATGTGTTGTGCATGATGGTACGGATATCGGCATCTTTAATCTGGTCGAAAGGATCAATAGCATTGACACCGTTCTTGAAGATTTCGTGGAAAACAAACGAAATACGGGCACCCCCACTCAATTCCTGAGAAGTCAATTCCTTGGCTTCACCATTCAAGATTTCGTTGTAGTCTTTGGAGAAGTTTGTAATCATGCTTAAAGCAATAGATGTAGGACTCTCTTCCAACTCAGGACCTAACATAGACAACTCCTGCTGGTATTTCTTCAATGAGTGCTCAATTCTCATCCGGATGTCTGGCAATGTGCCCTTGATGTGGTGTAACAATATACTGTTGAGCTTCTTGGCCAAATATGGGGTTCCGCAATACTGGGACTTGGCTTTGTACGAAGGGTGGTTTTCAAAGAAAGCCGCTTCATCTTGCAAAGCCTGACGAATGGTTTTCTTGGACTCGATATCCTTTTGGCCTCTGTTGATCACCGGAATGTAGCCGAATCTCAACGGAATCACGCGACCTGCCAAAATATCCACAACATCAGTTCCTTCATCCATCAAATCAACCTTAGTCAAAACACCAATGGTTCTAGCACCTTCCGGGTCAACCTCGCGCGCCAACTTCAATCCATCGGAGTTGGCCAAATCGGTGTTGGAGGCATTCACAGACAAAATGATGGCGTTTGGTTTGGAAATGTACTTCATGAGCATATCACGGATCTGGCGCTCGATATCTTTTGGCTGGTCACCCACTGGCACTTTGGTCAAGCCTGGCAAATCCACCAAAGTCAATGTTAATACGTGAGGCGAGTAGATTCTCAAATTAATAGGAACGGAAGAAATACCCAAGTTTTTGCCCGTCTTTGCTTCCGTCTCACGCACGATTTCCTCACGGATCTCCTCGAAGTTGTAAAAGCGCTTGTTGGGCAAGTGCAAGAACTCACCCCATTCTTCCAAGTTGTTTTCGGAGGCTTCACCTTTGTCATTCACGGTATTAAGAAGATCCTTGTCCTGCTTGTTGATACCTGGTCTGCGGTTGATCAATTGCAAAACCAATGGTCTTCTTGTGACAATTCCCGTACCACGGGGCAAAAAGTCTCTTCCGACAATGTTCTCCAAAACAGAAGATTTCCCGCTGGATTGGGACCCCACCACGGTGATCTGAGGTAAGTCTACCGGAGAAGACGAGCCGCCGCCCAAAGGCGCCAAAGCGTCTTGCAATTTGTTGATTGTGGCAATCAAAGTCTCGTCCATTGCTGATAAAGGAGAATGAGGTTTGTGGTTGAAACGGAGATTTGGCCAAATATTTGCCCTTGGTCGTGCGAAGTCCGCGCGCGATAAGTGTTGGCGGTACAGGAATCAGATAGTAGGAAACGAGAAAAGGCAGACAAGGATGGCAAAGGCTGGGGAAAATACAATGTACGGAAAAAATTAGAGACATTGGCCAGGCGAAGAAACGAAGAGGATGTGTATTTTTTATGGCCAGAGATTACACTCTAAAGTAAGGAAATATGTCAATGGACCTTGCGATGTGCATCTTCAAGCTAACGATTGTCTAAATATAGTTCCTGCGCCCATCAGTGACTATACAAAATGTTAGGGTGCAATACAAGGGTTATTTATTCTCTGCCCAACCTTGCCTGTAATTTACGAATCTCAAACGATTCTGTATATTGAGAGTTTGAGCTGAAGTTGCACCTGGATAGAAAGATTGCAAGCCAAAGGCACTAGACGGCCTTGAACTTCAAATACTAGTCTTGTATCAATGGTCATATCTCTTTAGTTCTTTCACCAATCATTCACCATTTGATTTGCCTAGTACGCAGTCTGGCATCTTCGATGTTTGTACAAGTGGAAGGAGGTCCGCTAACAGAGCACTATGATGTGTGTGAGAATATATTGAAATAGACGTGTGTCTTGTGAATTTGCGCTCTTTCTCCGATGATTAATTTAAACCGACGCAAAGTGGAGAAAGCTGAAACCAACAACTGTCTTTCTGTAAATATGTTCAAAATTGAACCAGAATAGTTTATGAGTGGCTGTTCTGCAGTATCATTGTACATGAGATTCTTGTGTATGGCCATAGACTAATAGGAAAACTGGAACTCGAAGTCTCCGTCGCCTGGATCCACCCGTCTATACTCAAGACAAAATTAGCGAGCTTACGTACTCTCTGTCGGTCTCATGAGCAAACAATCTTCAACTCGGTCATTGAACAATGATTCAATTGTTAAGATGCAAAGCGATCGATAAAGCTGTTGCTAGCGGTGTAGCTGAATCCAGCAAACATCTCATTGTGCATTGTTTGGCCCAGTCCCAAATCGTACTCACTAATTTTCAGCGACGTGAACTCGGGGGAGAAATTCTCGGCTAACGCTGGATCCGAGATGACAGGCAAGATAGGAGGCAGAGCCAGCTGGTCCTCTATAGTTGCCCAATCGATTTTGCGAAAGAAACGGTGGTTTTGAAACGTGGTCCATTTTTGATCAACGGCAAATCTCTTGGCCGGGTTTTTTTGCAAAAGCTTTCCCAACAAATCCTTAGCATCAAGTGAAAGGTAGAATGGAAGAGATGGCTTGGCCTTTATGATTTTGTCCAGGATGATCTGATGTGTTTTCCCAGTAAAAGGCGGTTTTCCTGTCATCATGTCATATATTACGCAACCCAACAGCCACCAGTCCACCGAATAGTCATAGGGCTCACCTTTTATGATTTCTGGTGCCATATACTCCGGTGTTCCTATGATGGAGCGGCATCCCAATGAATCTTCGTCTGGCTCTATTGCTTTGGAAAGCCCGAAGTCTGTAAGAACCAAATGTCCTCTTGTGTTGAGCAAGCAGTTCTCTGGCTTCAAGTCTCGATAAACGATACCGAGCAGATGCAAGTGTCTTATTCCTAATGCCATTTGAGCAGCGTAAAATGCTACGTGCTCTTCAATAAATACATTTCCCAAAGAGTTGTTAGTGGTAAGATGGTGGAATAGCTCGCCTCCAGGAATATATTCTAGCAACAAGTAAAACCGGTCGTGGTCTTGCAAGGCGTAAAAAAGCTTGACAATGTTTGGATGGTGGGTAATCTGCGTCAAAATTTGTCTTTCTGCAATCGTTCTTTGAATGTGACTGAGGTGGGGTTTTTCTTCAGGCGATTTGCCGACCTTGTCTTCGAAAACTTCAATTTGTGGCTTTCGGATCTGCTTTTGGGCATAAAGCGTCCCATTCAATCGATCTTTGACCAAATGGACTTTTCCATAAGCTCCTTGACCCAAAACTTTCAACGGCTCAAAATCTGCCAATGTCCTCCGGTGTGCGAAGGGCAGGGCTTCTTCCTCTGGGACTAGGTCTGAGGGGATTGCAATTCCCTGGGAGCTTGAAACTGAAGCATTTCTAACCGAAAGCCGTCGATAAACAGATGATTTTCTTCTGTTTCGGAACCCTGGAGAGGACCCTAACCTGTTTACATCGAGAGAATCGTTTGGTCTCGCCTGTTCAAGAGGGTCTTCTTCCACTATGACAGCAGCAGAGAAATCTGCTGAGAAGTGCTCTTCATCAAACGTGAAAAGAGGCATCAGTCACTAAGCGAGAGAGGCACCAGGCAGGACATGTGTTTATTAGATGAGATGCACAAAGAAAATGGTAACGGTTTGAAAAGTTCTTATTTTCCGCTTGTAAGTATTCAAAATAGCTCCAAAACAGAACTCGTTGGATCTTTTTGTATGAAAGCTCCTCTTTTCTTGGGATTGTGTTGTTCTTTAATGGTAGCTATTTGGCAAAATACTTGCAGATGTCCAATAAATACGCGAAAACGCCGTAGAACATACAAATGCAACGACAAAAAAAATATTTATACCCCGTCTCTCTTCCTTAAAAGAAAGCATAGTTTCAAATCTATTGTGAGATATGATTATTAGTGTTTGAGTAATTTATGATGTTCTCCACCCTCGCTTGCACATTTCTTTTTGACGTTTTCATACATGTCTCACTTTGCTGTGCGAGGTTGATTCTTGGCATAAAATATCGCTGAAATATCGCGCAGTAGTGTAGATTGAAAAAGGTCTTAGTCATTTTTTTTTGCTTTGCGTCACATTTAAGTTACCCAGCAAGAGTGTTTTTTCTTTTGACACGGACATTATTCTCTTCAAACTTCTCACTTTCAACTTCTCTCAAGACTTGATTTTACTTTCATCTCTTGCAAAGAAGTTCAATACGATTTCCATAACGTCAGTGGTTTATGCCTAAGAAGCCTTCACGATCGAACTTTATCAACTCCAATAAAATCCTCGAACCTGGATAACAAAAGCCGTGAAGATTCCATCAACAGGTTAACCATACAATCTTTCTAATCCAGTTACACTTTCTTATCGTTTTGTCTTGCTGACATCATTTATCCGCACTTGCGCTTCACTATTGGTTGTCGACCCTCCCCCTTCCGCCTCTAGTGAAAGACTTCCAAAGGAATACTAATCCAAAGGAAAGAAAAAAAAAACTCCAAAAAAAAAAACCAACCCGTCGATCAGATCCCGATCTGCTCACCGCTCGTTGTATTTTTGAAACGTTTCTTGCTACTTCTCTCATCGTTTCGAATATCTCCGAGTGTACCGTCACTTATCACACCCCAAGAGTAAGTTCCAATCCACCTATCCCAAAAGAAGAATATGGTAGCTCCTGCTTACATCGAAAACTCCTACGTTGATCATGCCTTGTCCGCAAATTTGGATTCCACTTTTGCGTTTGAAGGCCCTGAAAAATTGCTCGAAGTCTGGTTCTGGCCCTCTCCCAAAGATATTCCATCGTCTGTGACTTCCGAAGGTTTGAAAGCGATCCCCTTAGAGAAATGGGTTTCGATTTTGGATTTAGTCAACTGTAAGATTTTATCTATGAAGTCCACTCCTGCGGTTGATGCATACTTGTTGTCCGAACTGTCTCTCTTTGTGTTCCCGCACAAGATGATTTTGAAAACTTGCGGTACAACCACAACTTTGGCAGCTTTAGACGAAATGTTTGACATTGCTAGGGAATATTGTACCGTGAACGGAATGCCCACCAAGATCGACTCGAAGCTGGTCGAGAAGGTGTTCTACTCCAGAAGATCGTTCATGTTCCCGGAGAAGCAAAAGCATGTACACAAAGACTGGAAAAGCGAGGTTGAATTGCTCAACAAGCACTTTGTTGCAGGAAAGCTGTATGTCGTGGGCGATTTCACCTCCGATGATCACTGGTACTTGTACACCGGTGGATCTGGCAGCGGAAGGTCCGCTTTTGGCACAAGCCGTGATCAAACATTTGAAATCTTGATGACTCGTTTGGATCCCAACAAGGCAGAAATGTTTTCCTTGGAGCGTGTTCCGGGACCAGAATCTGTGGTCGATGCAGACCATGATTTGGGCCACGAATTTGGCGAGACTATCATGCGTTCCACTGGCTTAAACAGCATCTTTGATGAGAAAAAGACCAATGTTGTACCTGTCGGACGGAGCATTATGCCTTCACCAGAATTGAGCGACAACATGGAATTAAGCGACGACGAGAATGAAGAAAAGCCGCCTTTAGAGTTTCTCCACGATGCTTTTGCCTTTTCGCCTTGCGGTTTCTCGTCCAACTCAGTCTCGTCCGATCAAGACGGCTACTACTATACGCTCCACATCACACCTGAATGTGGATGGTCGTACGCATCGTTCGAAACCAACTATCCATTTTCGTCGAAGTCTAACGTTAGTGTCACCGATGTTTTGTTGCGAGTCTTAGCCATTTTCTCTCCAGGGAGATTTTCCATGACTATGATCACCGATGTGGCTTCTCATGGTTTATCGCTGCTGGAAATCGCCAACCACGAAAGCTTGTTAGAATTATCCAAGTGTGATGGCGCTTTGGCCAAGTTGGGCTACAAGAAGCACGAAAAAGTCATCTACGATTTGAAGGGCGAGCACAATTTGTTATACTTGAACTTCGAGAAGCAATGATGCTACTTTTGATTTGTCTGATTTATGCTGCTGCATTATTCCTGAAGGAAGTTCTGGGGGATATCAGAACAGCTTGTAGACAAGCGTCCTTTGAAGGTGGTGAAGGACCTGTCTCGATGAAGCCGTTCTGATACATTACTCCTTTGGGTTCTTGTGGCAGTAGTGAATACACGTTTCAAATATTGAATGTAGAGCCATTATTGGCCGAAAGAGTTTCCAAAACAAAAAGGATGTAGAAATGCGGTGACGACAATGAAATTGATAACAAATATTCGAGAATATGATCTGACTGCATCACTCGAACGTACTGATATTTTGTGTTAGAGCCATGATTCCCATTGAACCATCCACCAGATTCACCATTTATATCCGTGAGACTGACTTGAATACCATGTATTTGGAATCGTCGGAACAGTTAAATGTTTAAGATTAGCATCGTCGAATGTAAATCAGTTTTGGCTGACTTAAGTGAAACATGTCAAGGTCAACTAAAAGAACAGCTTTGGACAATTAGTAAATTTAAAAGATATACTACACAGTTTCATGCCAAGTGAGTTGATACAATTTCACTACATCCCCAATTGATTTAGTACAAACAGTACTGTGATGGACAAAGTAAATTACTTCACGTTTTTCTTCTCGATGACAATGATTCCAAATAGCTACGAAAAAGTATACGATAAGTTTCAATTAACAAGATAAATAATAAGGGAGTATATATATACAAGCTCAATCTTGCGTTTAGAACTTCTTACCGAAAAGGATGACCTGCAATTGGTCGTACATGGAGATGACACCAGCACCTGCAACACCTCTCAAGATGTTAGCACCGCAACCCTTGAACAAGGAAGCAACACCTTCAGCGGCAACAACCTTCTTGAAACAGTCGAAAGCACCGTTGTACTTGACGGCTTGACCAGAGGTCATCATCATTCTTCTTCTAACAGTGTCCAATGGGTAAGAGGCAGTAGAAGCACCAGTGGTGACAGTCCAACCCAACAAGAAAGAAGCCAAGAAAGAACCCTCCAATGGACCAACCAAAACGACTGGCTTCAAGGAGTCGTACAAACCGAAGTACAAACCTCTGTAGACAACGATACCAACAACAGATGGACCGAAACCTCTGTACAAACCGGCAATACCATCGGAAGCCAAGGTCTTCTTGTAGACATCCAACAAACCGTTGAATTGTCTCTCACCTCCACCAGCCTTGGTGGACTTAGCGTCGTTAGCCAATCTGGTTCTGGCGTAGTCCAAAGAGTAGACGAAAGCCAAAGAAGTGGCACCAGCCAAACCACCGGAAGCCAAGTTACCGGCAAACCACTTAGCGTAGGATTCTTCCTTCTTGAAACCGAACATCTTCTTGAACTTGTCCTTGAAAGCAAAGTTCAAAGCTTGGGTTGGGAAGTATCTGATAACGTTAGCGGTGTTACCTCTCCAGAAGGAGCCAACACCTTCCTCAGCAGCGGTTCTCTTGAAACATTCAAGGATACCGTCGTACTTTCTGGCCAAACGACCTTGCTTGATCATTTCGTCTTGGTTTTGAATCAACAACTTGACTCTTTCGATTGGGGCAGCAGCGGTCTTAGAGACAGCAGCGGAAACACCACCCATCAAGAAGTCAACGAGAAAAGAGTTGTCAGCAGCCATTATGGATTGAATAGATTGTAGTGGAGAGGACTGAGAAACAAATCTGGAAAAAGAAAAAAAGGGAAAAACACGAGCAAGGCCGGGATCGTTTCGTTTATATATTTTTTCGCGGGCGATGGAAAATTTTGTGCGCGCTGAAAATGTCGCAACCCGCAGCTGGCAACGCAAAAATGCCCCCTGCACGTGACACGGCAATTATCGGGGACCACCGCAACTTGTGATTGGTCTAGAGCCGTAATCTATGTGCCGGAGGACATAATGCTCTTGCTCCATTTGCTCCGAATGGTCATCTAGAGTAGAAGTCAAGGCCCAATTGGTTAACATGATCTAGAAATTACGAGCTGTCACAGCTTCGGCACAAATGACTTTTACTTTTACCTCCGTATGTGGTGACAGAGAGTCTTTTTCTTTTGGCACTGATGCACGGGGAAAATAATGTCGCGGGGCGCTTGCGACATGCTCCGCGCCCATTGGTTTGCACAAGTTCGCAGACGTTGATTTGTTCGTTCCAATGTCTCTGCGAACAGACTTTCTTTTTTTTTCCCTCGTTTGTTATTGTTCCGCCGCGCCCCTGTTGCAGATGATTGGTCTTTTTCGAGACTTCTTAGTATCGCCGAGTTAAAGGGGAAACATATTCGGACAAGAAGAGAGCGCTGTAGGCTCGAGTAAGGCATTTCTACGACATTGGGCACATCGACTCGGCATGTCGTCATTTGAAGAATACAAGTCCGAGAAGACACCGCTACGACATTGCGAAACAAACACGACATTACACCCAAGCTATTCGCGCTCGTTCTCGGAAGGCCCATTGGCAAAGGATCCGGCGGCTAAAGAACCCCCACACATTCGTACTCGTACTGCAGACAAACCGAGTGGTCCTAAGCGCCGGGGAAAAAACGGGAAATAATGGGAAACTACCGATTTTTGGTCATTGGCTTGGCTTAGATCTTCTTGCTTTTTTGTCCACGTTTCCGTATTTCTTTTCCTCCCTGATAGTATCAAGATGAAAGTCTCGTTTTGGCGACCTCTGTTGTGCATCGTTTTCTTCTCCATTTGGGGTGTCTTGGCCCGTATGGGACTAGTCGCCCTTACAACATACTCAGGGGCATTTTTAGGCGGCGTAATCTGGGCCAACTGTGCTGCATGTTTTATTATGGGCCTAGCTGCCAAAACAAATGACATTTGGCGCAAGGTTTCGCCTACGCATGGTTCCAAAGGTGCAATTCCCATGTATGTGGGAGTGACCACAGGATTTTGTGGCACATGTCTGTCGTTCTCCTCGTTTATTCTAGAGCTGTTTGAAAAGACTGCCAACATGCCTTCGGAACATTTCCATTACCCAAATCGGGCGTATGGTATCATGGAAGCTCTTGCAGTTCTCATAGCACACATGGCCATTTCTGCATCGTCGTATGTCGTGGGACAGCATGCTGGCTCATTAATTGACCGTATCGGTCTGTTTCTGCCGACATTTTATCGACGAACAGAATATGCGATTCACATTGTTGGTTTAGCAATGTACGGCGGCGTTATAGCACTTCTTGCTACTGAAAAACATGGCGCTTGGCGTCCGTGGATGTTTTCGTGTCTTTTCACTCCATGGGCTGCTCTAATTCGTCATGCAGCGGCGAAATTGCTCAATCCTCGTACTCCACGCTTTCCAATGGGGACTTTTGCCGTTAACGTCGGTGGAACCTTGCTTCTTGCAGTCTTTACCATTTTGAGCCGTGGCCGCCGACGCCCTTTCTCCAATTCGCCCGTTATCCGTGGAAAAATGGGGTGCCATGTACTTTGGGGCTTGGATAATGGCTTTTGTGCTACTGTGACGACAATTCTGACTTTTGTTGCTGAACTCTATTCGCTCTCCCTAGGTTCAGCGTACTTGTATGGTCTCGTTTCCGTTGCACTTGGCTTTGTTATTGTGCTATTAATTGTGGGCTCGTACGATTGGGCTGTCGGCTTCACTGCTGCCGTATGCTAAACTTCGTCTCTACTCCTGATCTCCGTACTTTGCTCGAAACGTTTCTTCTACGGATTGAATTGAGGATTTGTTACCACATATGATGCCGGATAATCATCACCTAGCCAAATATTGCTGACGAACTCCGCTTTTCAACGGTTCTGGCCATCTCTCTTCAGGAATGCATTCCCCATTACTGTGATCCATAATCATTCTTCAAGGCTTTTTATCACAGTTTTAACTCGACTTTCTCAAGCCAGTTCACGCTTGGATGTCTAAAGCTTATTTTCACTCCTTGTGCTCATATGCCTGTCCTGTGGCCCGCCTAATTATCATGTACTATTCAAAATTAATCATAATAAATGTACCTTTTCTTGACTTCAAGGTGCTTTAATTTAAGTGAGTCAAGTGAGGACCTGTCATAATCGCTATGCTCCATCGGCACTCGTAAATACTCATCGCAAGTGTAATTTACACTTTGAAAAATGTTTTTTCTTCATTCCTAGGTTGCAAAATAATACATTGAGTGAGATCAAGACAAGACGGCTTAAAACAGTCCTCGATAAGACAATGTACCGAGATGTTTTCTAGAATGCATTATCCATAGAATAAATTGTTATGCCAAAGAGAGGCTCGGGTTATTGGAGATATTCTTTCTTAATAATTTCTATGTATGTAGAGCTATTCACCAAATACGCATTACCTTTCCTTTAGATGTGTGTCCATTCTTCCGGGATGCTTCATCTGCTCCTGTTCATCAGTAATCCACAATTCATAGACTTCCGAGATTTAGGGTCTGTTTGAGCCTCTCGAGATATAGGATCTGCTTGAGCCTTTTCCCTAGCCTCACCTACGGTCCGCCTCCATGTTGTGTATCACTATATACTGCTCTACCGGCAAATCTACTCCACCGCATACTTTTCTGTCCACTCTTTCGCCACCGCTATAGCTCGTGGCTCGTCCTGCTTCCACTCCTGCGCCACGTCGTTTGCCAAGGGATCGTCTGGGTTTGGCGCTCCCAACAACGCCTGGATACTTAAAAGGATGGTCCGGATCTGCAACGCCGGCGACCAGTTGTCTTTCAACACGTCGAGGCAGATGCGGCCCAATTTGTCGATGTTGGGATGGTAGATTTTCGTCAAGAAGCGAACCTTGGGCGCACACATGGGATAGTCGTCCGGCAAGTACAACTCCAACTTGAACTTCCCGTTGGCATACGGAGACGACGCCGGGCCGTCAATAGTCACCTCGAAATAGCGCAAGTTCTCTTCGGAAGGAACGGCAAGAATACCGGGCACCGGATCGGAAACCAAGCGCTCGGTCTCTTTGATGATTCGTTTGGGCAAAGCGGCCATGGTTAAAGAAGGGGAAAGGGTTTGGAACGGAGCGAGGGACTTTGTCAGAGAGACCATATGCAGGACCAAACATTTGGGTCCAGAGGTTTGGCGTGTTTTTGGGTATGATTTCTTTTGGCGAACATCAATATAGTAGCAGGTGGTTGGTACCGAATCCGGAAGTTTGCTTCACTGGCTTTGCTGGACCTAAAAGGCCTGTTACAGCTGGACTGGACAATGGGTTATCTGCACGTCATGAGAGATGTTACCGGATCGGGAAGTGCGCCACCTGACTTTGAAGGGAATTACATGTCTTGAAAAGGAAAAACACCGGATGAAAGACTCTGGTTCGGTTCTAGTGGAAGTGCAGATTGTAAATTCAAACGAGAGCATCGAGACAATTCTACATAGTGTAGTATGAAAGAAACTGAGAAGCAATGTGACGTGATGATAATCCTACATGTCACAGGGAGAACCGCAACATGAAGCAGATAAGTAACCATAGACTTGGGTGCCAGTGACATGCTTCTTGACCGGAAAATAGTAGGCTGATTTCATGTGCCAAAAAACTTGCGATGGAATAACGCTTGAGTGAAAGATGTTCGACTGAGCAAAAGTAGAACTAAGCATATCGATGGAAACATTGTTCAACATAATGCAAAGAAAGCCGAGAGCAAAGCGAGGTCCCTACTTTTTCCTTTTTGAGCATGTCTCAGACCGTTGGTGGTATCTTTCCAAAGACGCACAGATCTGGGTCTTACCCGATTAGGAAATGATATCGAAAACTCGTTCATCATCGCCACAGCATTCACCAAGACCGTTGCCTTTCTGGGAGCACCGATTCTGACAATGCAAACTTCTAACCACGCTTGACTAAAACGGAAATTTGGACAAACAGGTAAACATGCGTTCGATTGTTTATATATAAGGAATCTCATGGTCTACTGCGACACTAGAAACTTTATCAGCAAAACACCGGCTTACTGTTCTGTGAATTCAGAATAGGTTTACGTAATCCTAAAGGCTCGAAATGGCATAATACTGGATTATATATTCACGGTCCTCTTCAAGATTCATTCGATGTAACGAATCACGCACACACACATTTTTGGTTGAGAAAATAGCCAGAAGAGATCCACAGATAATTCGTTGAACACTTCTTTTTCAGTGCAGAACAACTTCTTTGAGTGCTCTGCCTCTTTTTTCGGTGATAAGCATATGGCTGGTTTGGTGGTATTTTCCTAGTCTGGGAATTCTCGCGCTTCTAGCTTCGCGAAAAGAGGTGAAATCAAACCAAGAGACTTCCATCATACTCATCCAATTTCACAGTTACAGCCTACATTGGTGACTATTGGAGCTATTATCTACATTATTTCATCCTTGAACAATCATCATTTTCCCATTAGGTGCCGACTGCTAAAATGCCCCCACTCCCACCTTCTTCGCCCATCTCGCACAAAATTGTTGTTGGAACCATTGCAGTTTTTGCAGGGGTCTATGCATTCTGGCAAACGGGCAAGGATTTCCAGTTTATAAAGTTTGAGCCTCGCTCAGAGGAGGAGGTCGAAAGACGAAAGAAGGAAGGGCTTGGGCTCTCCATCAAACAACTTGAAACCAGAACACTTGATTACACCCCGGAAGCAAAGGAAAGAATAAGAAGGGGCTTGGAGGAGCATGAAAAAGAGTTGGCAAAGAAAAGAGAGCAGGACAGCAAGTAGTAGGGCAAAGGAGAAGAGAAAGGAAGGACTGACCATGAGTAGACGAGAGGTGCCCACGAAAAAATAAGCTGGAATGATCATATGAAACAAGCCCAGAATGGTTGATTGAAACAGAGGCCCGAGTTGGACTTTCCAGCCGCTGGCGACGAGGGAAAAACCAGGACATCATCCAATGGGCGATAACCATTGGGAATCAGTCCGTCAATATTTGGCTGACTTCACCATACACGGAGACGATCTCAAAGCAACAAATAATGCTATCACAAAAGACAAGGCCAAAAAAAAAGCCACGTTTATGACGCTCCAGAACGAAAATTACGCAAACTTGAGCTGACTCAGACGCAACCGAAAATTGTCGAGGCAAACAGCCAAGAAACTGCTTGCACACGGAACATTCCACTGAGGTTACTTTCTGACGCTGTTCCAGGATGCTACTTCCAGCCTATTCAACAATCCTGACCCCTGCAAGAAGGAGAAGATATTTTCGGCGGGGTCAAGCCACACTTGATCTTTAGCTGTCTTGTGAGTCCGAGGTCTAAGTGGCTTTTCCTTTGGAGCGAAGTGCGGAGAAATTGATGGCGGAGAGATTTTCCGCACCCATAACTGGACTAATGGCGGGCATAATGTTACGGATCGGGGCTCTTACCCGTTTCCTGTTTAGGCCACATTTATTACTTGCTCTAACATCGCCAACTCCTCCCCGGACGTTGCACGTTTGCATATGCAAATTTCGCTAATAGAATCCGCATTGTGCGTCATGACTGTTGGCCCGCATCAGGGTTCATGTGAGGGCCTTCCAGGCTACGTTGGATGGTACATTGAATGCGACAAGCCTTCCATGTCTTGGGGAATAAAATGACTTGAAACTTCGCTGGGGAATACAATGGGAGAGCCTGCAGCGGCATTAGTTTATCAAATCAATTTTTTTGCAAATCATTATTGAACAAACGTCTGCCGCCTTAACGAGCGTTGTCGGACCCCTCCTTTTGTTGAATACAGGAAATTGCTTAGTCGAGCTTCCATTTTTTAGCCATTCAGTCACTAGACGCACATTTCGTCAGTGTCGTGCTCGCACCACAGATTCTCCAGAAAGAGGGGTTTATGGATGCAGAAATGAACAATGGACTTATTGTTATCGCTAGTCATCAATCTGGGCCTTCGGGTTCGCAATTCCACAGTTCCCCACCTTTCTCGATATCTATCGTTCCATCGTTCAGTCGTTGACTGTTGCGCCAATGAATGAAATCAAAAGGGCATTATTTTCTTCGCCAACGCGCCAAGCGATTCTAGAACGCCTCGTCAGATTGAAAGGCGCCCATGGTAACCGGAATGTACAATCACTGGCATTGCGGATGCACTGTCTCGTAATTATGCGCCTCACTGAGGAGAAGTGACTAATTGGGTATGGGCATTAGCAAGGGCTTCTAACCCAGAACAATGGCTTCGACCTGCTCTTACCACGATAGGCATGCGAAGAAGTTGCAAATCATTTGCTATTGTCTTGTAGACACCCCTGAGGCATTGTTTTTTTGGTCACTCTTTTGGGAAGCTATGACAAGTTTGTTGGGTTTGTGCTACGCTTTTTCTCCAGCTCAATTTGATTTAGTTTTATTACACATCACGAAGCCTACGTTGCACGCGACCTTATTAAGGGCTCAACGGGTCCAAGGTAAGCCTCGGATATATTTTTTGCTTTTCTTTTTTGTAGTGCTCGATTAGTCAAAGCGGAGTCTTGCGCATTCCGATTATTGCAGATAACATTTCCTATTTGGGCAACTCTTCATGCACCTAATTTCTCCGCAAGTACGACTCAACCTAATTAGGGAATCTGCTCGAAGCGGCGGCTCATCACTTGCATGGATGAAATTTACGTCTCAGCACCTTCTCGTTGCTCCTAAAACCTCAATAATGTGTCTCGGAACAGATAATGCCGTGAAAACTGAACGAACCAGCTCCTGTGCCTAAAGCGCAAGTAGATTCTAGAGCTCCTTTTAGACACAAAAATCGCAGTGACAATAAAGTTCAAAATGGGCATTGTACTAACCTAGTGACGAAATCTGGGGTAAAAACGAAAATGTCCTAATCGGGAGAAATGGAATGCACAAACTGCACCCTTACTAGAATTCAGAAGGTAAAATTTCCACCCAGTGCGTTTCCGGTAGCTTCAATGCCATCTCCGTACCCCATCAGTCCTATAATTGCATTGGTTTGAAACTTTCAAGAGCAGCCCAGAGGAAAATAAAGACTGGTTCCCCTCATCCACGAGAAGCCTTATAAATATCCATACTCCCAACCTCGACTCTTGTCCAAACCTCATCAGAATCACATCGAAGAACCTTCACTTCTTACAATGACCACGCAGTATGTTACTACCTCAACACTATTCCCTATTCCCCAAGACCCCAAGAATGGTTCTAACAAACAGAGTACAAGTTGCACCACCTGCAAATGGCAAAAAGTTATGGCGTGTCAAACGAACTCCATCTCTCGGCACATCGACTCTCACTAGTGATCTGTCTCTCGAATGCTGGAACAACTCTTTGCGAATTTCAGCTGCTGGTAGACAGTTGGCCAAGCGGCCACCTACGAAAAGACCAAAGTCTAAGGATGGAGTGCCCAAGAGTTTTGTGTTTGTCGACTTATCGCCCGTCCGTAGTTCGGATGATGACGAAACTTCACTGCCCAACACATCAAATACGTCACCTCTCACAGACTCGGGCTTGTTGTCTCCATTGTCCTTAGGGAACTTCTCCTTCGGAAGTATACTGGATGATGACATGTCTCAAACACAAAACACGGACTTCTACAATGATTCTTTCTTCCTTGCTGACGACACGAAAGTCCTCGGCTTAGGTTTCTTGAACATGGACTACAACTATTCTCAACCACAACCGATGGCTCCATATCCAGATATGTTGCTGTCTTTTGAAAGCGCTGACATAGCCACAAACGAAACCCAGAATAACAACATACATCAAATGGCATTTTCATACCCCGAGCAGGCCTCGGTCGTGCTGAATCAGCCATCTTCTGTTGGCCACAAAAGAGCAAAATCTGTTTCCACCTTTACCGGACGCAAAAACGGAGATGGATCAGTGTTCAGAAGTTACAAAGGCCCAAATGCAGTCAGAAAACACTCCAGAAGGAGCCAGAGATCTGTGCTGGAATCAAACATCGTCTTTAATGCTTCTTCTTTGCTAGACACTTCTTCGGCCCAAGTTTCGCCCGTGACCCCATCGGCAGACAAACTTTTACAAGACTTTATGCATATCCCAGAGGAACAAAAGATGCTGGCATCGGACGGAGAGATTTTGAATCCGGAGGTTATGTCTTTTGGAGATAACGAATCCTTTTTGAATTCGCTTGATTTCGGGTTCTCTATGGGATCAGACTTCCTGAAAGAAAACCAAGGTTTCCTCTGTTTCCCAACTCTTTGACTTTTCCCATTTACATGATACCATTGCACTTCCAGTTAGACATTTCAATTATTTGCTTCATTTTTTTTTTTATTTTTTTGGCCCGACTCACTTATTTATGTTCGCAACTATATTCCTGCTTATTCGTGAATTAAGCTTGGAATGTGTCCACATTCCGGATCCATTTCAAGATGCATCTTTGCTTTTTGCACATTTTCGGTTCTTTATCCTTTCTTCGGACCCCAGATTTTCTTCAACAACCCATCTGTTTACAAGATATTCTATTTATTTTTCTCTTTAAATACCTTTTAACTACGAGTTCTCCAAACTTTACGTAAGGACGTATTAACGCATATGCGAGGCTTCAGATCTTGTATTGGAATCCCTTTTAAGTGCATGATTTTTCTCATTGGTAGCCTAGGATGCTATCATGTACAAATACGTGCTCTTACATGCGTATGTTGATGACCAGGGTTTCGAACCATGACTATACCTAATCCCCGCATGAAATACATGTCCCGGTAGCTCATGTTATCTCCTAGAGATAGATTTGTGATGACTCATAAACTAGGTAGAAAATATCAAAGCGCCGCCGAAATGGGAATTCATCGTGAAAGATCCGGGAAGGCCGGGAGTAAGCTGGGCCAACAATTTTCAGAAAAAATACGACTGCTTTGTCTCCCTCTGAAGAAACTATGGCTTCACACCCTATTTAAACAATTGTAGCTTAAATGTAGTTACAACAAAGGGAATAAATTGCGCTCTTACTCTTAAAAAGATACCAACATTAATTCAATTACTCTTTTTGTATGGAGAATACCATCACCGGACTATATTACAGAAAAGGGCGAAGACTGCGGTCCAGAAAACCCGCCTGGGAACACGCATATCATCAAGCATAAAAATAAGCGGAAAAGATGATCGACCAAAATAAAAAAAAATGAGAAATGGGCAACGTAGGGACACTCACATCAAAAAGGCCATGCGGATGCGAAGAATGTATGCGGATTGTATTTTCCGGAAATGTACAAGCCTGGCTGACGAAAGTCCCCCACACACACCAACTAATAAAGCCGCCCAAAGACAGGACGCAAAACAGTGAGCGAACAGACGGACACTAACATTATGGGCAAATTGGCCCGGCATAAAAACGAGAGTTGGACCGTTGCGCATGAAACGGAAGAAGAATAGAGATATGCGCCTTGGCCACGGAAGCAGTGGAAGACCATGCTGAGAAGGCTGCAATAGGCAGCGGGAGGGAGTAGATGCAGATTGCAGCCTTAACTAAATGTCGAGGGCGCAATGAAACAATGCGACAAGAGCGAAAGCTCCAAGCGTGCCTGCAGGTATAGAGCGTGGGTAGCACCGAATGATTGGGAAGATATGATTCAATTAAGAAGCACCAGAAGCGAGCCCAGCTGCCTCTCTCTGGAGGTGCTATCCGAGGTATCGCCGGCAGCTGCGTCAGTTGGCTCATCTGCGGGTTCATCTGCCGGTATATCTCCCGGTACATCTGCCGGTACATCTGCTGCCGGTTCATCTGCTGGTTCGGCCGCAGGTGCGTCTGCATGCGTTTCTGCATGTAGAACAGCAGCACCAGTTTTAGGCAGTGTAGTTTTAAGTAGCTCTGCTGTGGAGGTCAAAAGCCGCTCGAAGTACGCGCACTTTTCCGCCATCGCTGTGGAGTGCTGGCGCATCATGGCCATGCACTCGCCGTAAAAAGCCGCGTTCTGGTCCATCAATGCATGCAAGCTCGCAAGAAGAGGCGCCATGGCATCAGGCACGTCCATGTCGTCGCCCAGATCTGACGCATGTGGGCTCGGCGTATTGGGGGCGTCTTCTGCGTCCGGTTCCGCCTCAATCGGCAGGTCCGCAAAAGAATGCACAATGTCCGGGAGTGGACCCACGGTCTGGCCCGTTTTATATGCCTCAGACAAGTTGTACAACTCAAGCACAGCGCGCTCCAAGTCGGCAAGCAGACTTTGCAACAGCAAGTGGCGAAATACATCAAAGGGAGCGCGCGGCGGATCTGCAAGTTGTAGTGTTTGCGCTTTGCGCAATGCGGTGGCCATCTGCCGCTGAAGCGTCCGCACAGTGGGGACAGATATGGGCGTGGTGCCGCGACTGAGCTTGTACCGCTCAAACTTCTGCTGGATAAGATCCCACTTGCGCGATTGCGACAAGGTGCGGTCGCCCACATACTTGAAGGGCTTGATTTGTACAATGAGGTAGAGTATGAGTTTGACGTCGCTGTGTGAAAGACGCGATCGCTGCCGCGTGGCTAGCAGCATATTGGTGTTGTACGACATGCGGAGGCGTTATGGGAAGTGGGGAAAGGCTGCAATTGGGAAGTAGGGATAGTGAGAAACACCAGTCTTGGACGGACGGACACCCACAAGGTTTTACGTAGAGCCAAACACTTGACAAGAGGGTGAATGGCGCTTAGCGGGAAACACAACAACCAAACTCGGACACAGCGTAGATAGAACACACGGCACTTGTCAAAGCTGGCAACAGTATAGGACGTGGATGGAGGTTGGGAAGGCGACTAGATAGGATGAGGGCCGCCAACAAAGGAATGGGATGCTCAGATGAGAAAAGGAATATGTACTAAACGCCGGGACGAGGCGAAAATGCTGGTCGTGGGGATTAGGAAACCAGATGCAACAGAAGCGTATAGGCGGTGGTGCCGGAAGACGAAACGGAAAGAAACAGGAAAGCCGAAGTGAGTGGACGCGAGATGTGCGTGGTAGAAGCAAAAGTGTAGCCACACAGTTGCAATTGCCCGAGAACGAGAAAGTGGAGTAGTGAGAATACATATAGACACGAGGAAATCGCAAGACTCATGTCATGCCAAACATGTCACCATGTCGCCATGTCGCAGACTTTACAGCAAAAGTTTATTCGGGTTTCAGGACGTTTGGGCTGAGCATGGGTCCCGAGGATAGTAGGCAATGGTTTGAGGCCAACCATAGTGGTTAGCCGCGACTTTGGGTTACGGCTGGCCGTGAAGCAAATGTCACTGTCGGTAATTCCGAAAGGGAGGTTTTCGGCAACCACATGCATCTCTTGCACAATCTTATTAATAACTCAAGGCACAGCGGGCTAAGTTGCTAGTCGCACGTCAGAGGAATCCTCGCACATGCGCACGCGTGCAGCTAGCGTCAAGGAAATAAGGGAAAGTCATGGCGAGCTAGATAAAGCTGCAACAAAGTTTTCGCTCTTTCCAAGTGCAGAAAACTCGTGCCGGTTGGGCTTTCACAGCTTATGGCATTGATTCAGTACCTGCTGCAGCGCTACACTAAAGTCTCATTCGTTGTGCAAAATGATTTTAATGCAACATCATGTAAGCCAATGTATATAGATGCAGTTCAACGTATGCGTCAGAAGTCATAACACAAGGGAATAATGCAGTGGGTCCCTGCAAGGTGTGCGTGTACGCCCATGTGTATACCCATTCGATGTATGTGCAGCACAAACTAAAGACTTGTCTGACAACGTTGTTTCGACCTCTGCAAGATAGGTGCCAGTTTACTCTATATACAGACACTAAAAATTCCAGTGGAACACAATCCATGCCTTACAATGTCGTCAATTACAAGGGTTCGAGAGCCCGACCATGATTGTTCTTTAGCCTTACCTTGCATGTGGATCAAAAATGACTGTACTTGCGTGTTGGGCCCTTCCTTTGCTAAAGACAACAAAGTTAGAAATAAAGGAAAACGCAAATGAAACAACAACCGGAGGTTGCGTACTTTTGGATTATAAAATATTTCTTTGCGCTCTGGAGATGAGATCTTGGCGTGGATTTAAACTCTGTATTGAAGCCTAAAACTCTGTCGTAAATACGTGAGGATGAACCAATTATAGAAACACTCGCTTGCGCTTGAATTCTAGGGCTCACGATCCAAATACAAAGGGTGCACATAAATAAAATCGTACATGGCACGTGAGACAAATACCTATTCATCCGCCTGGAAGAACTATTTTATACAAGAGAAAACTTTCAACTGCCGCACAAACGCAAATCCGACGAAATACTATCATTCTAGGGAAATGTGTCGAAAAACGCAAACAAACATGACGCCTACAACATCAGTAACACGTGAGACTGAACACGATAGGCAATTTTGTCGTCGCAGTAGTCAACACCAAAATCAACAACCAAAGTTCAAGCGCAAGGTACATGTTGTACCATTCGTAAATAGACTCGGCGACGTCTGTCATTACTTGCATTTTAGCAAGCATTAGACCAGTGAGCAACTTTTCGGATAAACCAGTGTCTTGCTGGGGCAGTACATACTCATGCACGAGGAAAGGCATTTTTAGACGGGAGGCGTACGCCGGAAGACTAATTGATGCAAGCATCTCACGCAGCTTTCGTATAAAATTGCCGCAGGCATTTAGGTAAATATGCGCAAAACTGTACCAGGCTGAGCGCAAAAAAATATGCACAGGATGCTTGAGAGGCCCTGCAGCTGGCATCACGACACCAGTTACAAGTTAAGCCCACTAGCAAAGGCGCTGGCAAACGCCTTGAGATCATCTTCAGCAATTTTTGGGTACGCTGATGGTTGCGATTTCTTTTCTTGTAGACGTGAAGCCGCATTGTTCGAAAGACTTGGCCATACCACATCGTCGTGTAGCGGCAGTTCCTGTGGTGCATCGTAATGGAATTCTGGGTCGTCTCCATCCACCACATGCGAAATCATCGACTGGGTGTCGAAGTCCGTGTTGCGAGGGCCGGAAATGAACAGTTTTTCCTGGTTGGACGTCTGACCCAAAGGCACAAGCGAGAGATTCAAATTGTCCAAGGGACCCTCTACAAGACATCCCCTCTCACGGTAGTGCACCAACAAACTGTTCCAGAGCTTGTTTTTACTCAAGGAACGGGGGTTTCCTAAAATAATCAAGCCGAACTTGGCACGAGTAAGCGCCACATTCAAACGGCGCAGGTCTTTCAAGAAACCGATATCTCTGTCTTCATTGGCACGGACACACAGCAAAATGATATAATCCTTCTCACGACCCTGAAATGCATCCACTGAAGACACTTCCACTTCAAGCTCGTTCAAAGCGCTCTTAGGAACAGTGCTGTTCAACTTCAAATACTGCCATATGTAGACACGCTGGCCCTCGTATGGAGTGATCACACCAATCTGATCGGGCAGAACACCGTCTCGTACAAGCCGTGCAATAATCTTGTCGACATTCATTGCCTCCACACGGTTCAAGTACGAACTGCCGTTGGCACCAATCTCCTCTTTGCCGTAGTTGGCCCAGAACATCATGGGCCGGTCGGGAACAGGCCATGGGAAGTCTGCGCCCGGGCGTGTGCGGTCGTCGCTGGTTACGCCGTTTAAAAGCAGACCTTCGTAGAACATGTTGGACGCAAACTCGGAGAGTGCTGGGTGCATCCGGTATTGCACTTCGAGCCGTAAAGGAACGTGCCCCATGGACACAAGGCGCTCGAAAAGCGACCTGCGGAGTCCAGCAGCGCTTGCGGCGGGGTCCAAAACCACCGGGCCCAATTGCTGATGGTCGCCCACGAGCACAACCTGTTTTGCGCCGCGTGTGATGGGAATCAATGCTTCCGGTTCGGTGGCTTGGGTGCTTTCATCAACCAAGACAATAGGAAACTCATATTCCTCCAACCGGCGGTCATCCGCGCCCACGCAAGTAGTGCAAATCACATCGGCCGACGAAATGAGTTTCTGTTCTGCGGCACGCCAACTGCGGGCGATGCGAGCCTTTGCGCGCGCATCGAGCTCGCCTCCGCTCGCCTGTTTATCCACTAGTGTACGCACCCTGCGCGGAATCGCCGCGCGCACCTGTGTGTGGAGGGCGAGCGGCGTTGCCTCGGACTCGATGTCTTCGCGCGAGCGGGCTGCGAGACGCACCACCTTGAGGCCCGCGGCGCGAAGTTTGAGGGCCAAATGGTCGACCGCCACGTTCGAAGGCGCACACACCAAAACCCGCAGGCGCCGAAGCCGCACGAGCTCGCGCACAATCGCCGCAGAAGTGACGGTCTTACCAGTTCCGGGCGGGCCTTGGATAAGCGTAAGCGGACTGGCAATCGCATGGGCCACTGCCGCGCGCTGGGACGCATTGAGGGCGCTGCACCGTTTGTTGTTTAGAGAATTCTCGCCGTCAAACTCCACCTCCACCACATCGTGGCCCAATATCTTATGGTAGACATACGCCGACACAGACTCGTTGGAGGTGGCAAAGCGGAAGAGCGCGTGCTGCATGCGCTGGTACGGCGTGCCCTTCCACACGATTTCCGCCAGAAACCCGGTGGTTGCCTGCGGAGGCACCACGCTTGGCTGCAACTCGACGGTGTAGATATCGGTGCGTGCGCCCGGAACCGCCACCAACACGCCCGCGCCGCTCCACTCGGCGGCGCCGAAATCGCGGTGGTGCAACACCACCTCGTCGCCCACCGCCACATGCAACTCGCTCGTCTCGTAGGTCGACACGATGAACAGCGCCGTGTGGCGCCCAGAGGCAACGGTGCCCCATGTGACCAGAAGATGGTCCAACACGCGCAGCTCCTTCATGAACTTGTCGCATGCTGCTTCCGCCTCCACAAGAGGCGCCCAAACGTGCTGGTACTCGAGCGCATCCGGGTACCGCAAAAGCGCCATGGCAAGGTCGCGCGCGCCGTCGGCGTCGGCGTCCACGTCGGCCAAAGTGGCGTCGCGCTTGACCCGCCACTGCGCCTCGAGGCGCGCCATTTGCGCCGGCTTGACGTCGCGCGCCGGCTCGCGCTGCGCGGCGACCCACGGCAAGAGCGCGCGCGCCTCCACGAGCGGCTGCCACTCGTTGGTGGCCCAGTTGATATCGCGCGCCTGGGCGCACGGCATGCGGCACAAAAGCACAACCACCAGCTCCTGTTTAGCCGCCACAAACCCAAGCGCAAACACGTTGCGGCTGCCGCAGTTGTAGCATTCCAACGGGTCGCCTCCCAAGGCCAGCTGTTCGTGCAAAGAGATCTCGCTGTGTTTCAGGTGCACCAAGTGCGCCACGATATGAGAGCCGGCTTTCAGGCTCGAGCCGTTGCAGAACCAGCGCTGACACGTGCCGCACCGGGCAAGCGAAGCAGGGTCGCTGGTGCTGCAGTAGGAGCATGCTTCAGTAGGCTCGGCTTCGTGGTCGTGTTCGCCGTCTTTTTCGCTTTCGTTTCCGTTTCCATGTTGGTATGCGGTGAGGTGTTCGGTTTCGTCAGTAAGCGAGAGCGGTTGAGACGGCGCTCCGCCGTCTATTGGGACAGATGGATCCAATACGGGCGTGCCAGCAGCGGCTCTCGTTTCATGCTCGTCGCTGCTTGTTGTAGTGCTGCCCATGGTTGGAGCGGAAATCTGGTGAAAAGTAGAAAGTGTGCGCATGGGTGTGCGCATAGATGCGAAGACCAGTCACCGTGGAAAGACTTGATGTGAAGCCTCGAGAAATTGGACAAGGTTAGAAGGGTCTTTGAAGGTTGTTGAAACTGATTTTAGCGGTTCTGAAAGTCTTCTGAGAGTATTCTGAGATTGTGAAATGCGAAGACATCGAAGTTATTCTCAAAGTGCTCTCGTATTCGCTGAAGAGAAGTGGATTTATCTAAGCTAATAAGCTTTTCAAGTCCAGTAGTTTTTCGATCTTCGTTTGAAGCTGTGGTACCAAAGATGTAGAAATTATTTTTGACAAGTGCCAAAACGCTAAATGATACGCAATTCATAGTATGATGTTTTTCATTTGATTTCGTGAGCTTCTAAACGATTGTACAGTTATCCTGATAGACGAGAACAGCCTTAGACTCATCCATTTCAGATGCTAATCAACAAGCTCACTGTGGATCAAGTGCCTGTATCACTGGTAGACTGCGGCCGTACTATTTAAGATTATCGAAAGTGAGAAGTTCTGGAAAGTCATCGCCATTTGTGACCGATTAACAGGCATAGATATTGGCTTGAAGAGAATTAATGGTATGAGATCTTCAATTAAATGTCTTCGGCAATTTTGGAAAGTATCATCCATAATTGAATAATAATTTCTTTAGAAGTGACAAATCTAGTTCCTGGGTAATCAAAGTACGGAAAAGCCAGGACGACGACCACTCGAAACTACTTTTCTCATCAATCATTCGAAGTTTTCCCATAAACTTTGATGTGATCATCTTTCCCAAAAGATCTATTCTTCGACAGTTGGCAAGTAGTGACATTAGGACGTTTTGTTATCAACGCATCAGATCTACCTACATCGTACAATACACACATACCAATGACAGGAAATCCCATCCAGTAGAATAATACGCTGATTCTATAGTAAAAATACATGTAACATCATGTACTAGTTATAATTTAGTAAGCCATGTTACTTCACAATATATATCATTTGTTGCTTTGCTGGTCGTAATAAACAAATAAATCTCTGTCATGAATGGACGTCCAAAGTATACTGCGGCATAACTTCCCCGAAATCACAAATGACATTGCATTATCTTATAATTTTTAGTATTCCTAATGGAAAGTAAGTGTAGGGGACTGACACTGTAACTTAAAACGTACTTATTTCAAAGAAGGTGAGCCCAGAAGCATTTTCTATGTTAAACACTAGAACTTTATTCACATCATAGTTCGCATGTGAATGAGCCAATTAATCGTAGCCAATTCTAATGTCATCGATAGAACCAGTTAGGTTAGGTACGCAGAGTGAAGCATCGAATCTTTAGTAACACCTCGAAATAGCGAACCTCAATTTTGAGAAAGTCAAAAGATACACAAGCTGTTTATGGTCCTTAGGATACATAGTGCAATACCAAAAACAGGAAATTAATTTACATGGTATGCTATTTCGCCAAGCGAAAGCGAAAATTAGATGATCACTTCCGACCAATCTTGGATTGACCAAGACTTTAACACATTACGCCTTCTTAGCCACAGATGGAGCTAGAACTTAACTACATCTTGTTCGAGAACATTGGGCACTAAAAAGGCCTACGAAACTCATAACCGGACAATGGTCATGCACACTAGAGACAAAATAAGATTCCAGCTGCGCCTGCCCACAGAGCCACGGCTGGCGAGAAAAAAAGCCTGAAAGCTTTCTCTAGCCGAAGCTAATGTTACGATCTGTTTGTAGTTACCAAGCAACCGTGTCAAACAGAGAAGAGGAACAACTTAAAGACGAAAAAAGAATCTGCCAAAGCAGCAGAAGTGTCGATGGCAGAGGAACAAACCCGCCCCTATGAGCGATTTACTCCTCCATCATACTGGTGACCTGTAATAATACGCTTGTCGAATACAATTACCATTGTGGTTCCTGGCAGATCTGGCGCACTTTTCGCATGGCGCCTGTACAATTGGCTGGGCGCCCGATACGGCGATTTGACTGATCCGCAAAAAATATTCTGCTATCCTGTCAAGGAGCATGGACCCTGGCAGCTGTAGTAACAGCCTGTAGCCGATCTATGTACGAGAAAGCCTTAGGCTGGTCTTTCCTGCGCGTGTCTTTCGAGCCGCACAGGCTGGCCAAATTGGAGCCGCTCGCCCAAAGTTTTTCGTCTCGCTTCCGCACGCGCCTCTTTTCGAGGCCCCACATTCTCACCTTCTTTTTTCCCGCCCAGCGCCTACGATCGCCTGCATCGGATCCTGCACCAGGCCCGTTGACGGGAATTGTCTTGATCAACAAAAACCTCCACCAAACAAACTTTACTCACACTCCAGCGACGTGTCTCTCACTGCCAAAGTCCAATCGTGCCCTCCAAATTGCCCCAACACCAACGCCACCTCAACCCATACCCTCCGATCGCTCATGAAATCGTCATTTCACAAAAGTCTACTAAGAGATAAAGCCACATTCCGGGGCCCTGGCATTAACGTGTCACGCGACGGCGTTTCGTGGAGCCAGACTGGCAGCCTCATGATAACCGCCGAGGGTGCCATTATGGCCCAGGATAACGGCGGCCGTGTGTCTGTTTTGCTCGCGGACCTCCAGTCTTGTCTGGTCCAGATCTTCCCGTCACTGTTGAGTACTGGGCGGCGCCGTTTCGGGAAAAAATCAGACGACCCGTCTTCGCAGGCCGAAGAACCACCGGTGGTGTTTGTGCGGTCCTACGACAATGTGCGGTTGTACTTGAAAATTGCCTCGAAATCCCACTTTGGTGCCATTTTGCTGGCGCTTTTTGCATGGCAGAACATGCGCCCGCTGGGTTTGGCCAAGAAATGGTTTGCCCTCAATAAGGCAGGTTCGGGCCCAGAAGACCCACACGAGTTGCTTGTGTGTCGTTTCAAGGTTTACGGCCCTCTTCCGGCCAAGTCGAAGTCCATCAAAGTTGTGCCTGGCCCGAAACCGCCACTTTTCCACGAATCAGCTACTGAAACTGGCGATCTGCTTCAGGTAAACTCACCTATTTCTCTGAATTTTGACCATGTGGCTAATGAAGGTTGGTTCTATACCATGGGTGTGCTTCGACTGAATGGAATGCTCAACTTTATCACCGAGCTTGACGGAACGCTCTTGTATCTGATTGACGTGAAAATGCTCTTGGGTTCGGAGATCCGAGAACTTCACCACTCTATTTGCGGAGCTCCCAACATCTTGTTTGTGGGACACATCCGTGAATTGCGCTGGAACAATGTGCTTAAATCTGTTTCTGCGCTTACACCCGAGTCTGTGAATATGCAACCTTTGCTTACACGAGAAGGACGCCCTGTGGCCAGCAACCTGCGTATATTTATAGAATTCCCATTGCACATCGACTTGGAGGATTGGTTTGTTGGTCTCAATTATTTCTGCAAACGAGAATACATTGGGAGTTTCACTGAAAAATGTGCACATTTACCAGCGCCGGACGTTGATAACCTGATTGATCCAGATTCGACTATTGAACATAGCGGTATCTCAGACTCTACGAATTCTGAAAGTAACACAAGCATGTCACTAGAGCTGTTTCCACGTGAACATTTTCGAGTTTCAAAGAAGGTTGTCATCGACATTATTGAGGCCAAATTTGATGAGCAGCAGAACCACAAGAACAACGTATATGCTGAGGTCGTTATGTGGAACTTTCCGTGGGCCCGAACCGCATGTGTTCCTTTCGGGCAGAATCCGTTCTGGAAAGAGGAGTTTTCCACAGACTTGCCTATTCTGACCCAGATGATCCACATTGTGATCAAGCGCAGCAGCTCAACTGTTCACTCTGCAAGTGACGCCATAGTGGGTACGGTGTATCTAACTCCGGATATCTTGACCCAGCAATTGGTTTCTGCTTCAACCATGACCATTGGTTCGGAACCAAATGGTATTTCAGTTGCAGGTCTGCTGTCAATTTCACGTACTCTTGCGGCGTCGGCTTTGATACCGCAAAGCAACATTGTTCGTTTGCCTATTTACGACTCTGTCAATGTACCTATTGGGAAATTGGTACTCACTGTGGATTTGAAAGAGTATCTTATTCTACCTCCAGCTGATTTCCGGCCCTTGGAGAGCATGTTGCTCAATTGTCCTATGAAGGATTTGATAAAGTTTTGCAATTCGACAGTCGTCACGTCGCAGTTTGAAAATGTCAGTTTCATTCTCTTGGATATTTTCCAAAGTCTAGGTATAGAAGACAGATGGTTCAAGACACTAATAGAGACAGAGTTAGTCACTATCAACAATGTCACACGGAAAAACTATACAAACAAGAATGGAACGACAACAACCTCAAACAACGTGTTCAACACTCTTTTCCGGGGTTCTTCTATTTTCACTAAATCCTTGGAGAAGTACATTTTGCGCATTGGCCAGGAATACCTAGAGAAAGTCTTTGGGAACTTTTTCGAAAAGGTTTCGACCGAGAAAAAGACTTGCGAGGTCGATCCTAGATATGTTAGATTGCAACTAAAAGCTAAATCGAAGTATGGTGAAAATGTGGATCTCACGGATAAGGCCGTTGAAGAGGATGTCGACAGTGAAGAGGACTATGACTCAGATACCGAAAGGGATCGTGAACAACTAGTGAAAGACACTATTGAAGAGAATTTTCAAAATTTGTATTCGTACACAGAGGAAATCTGGTCCAGAATATACTCTACGTCAAATGATTTACCAAAACAAATCAAGGTCCAATTGAAAAACTTCAGAACGAAGGTAGATTTGGCCTGTGATCCTGATGATAAAGAAACATCTTTGAACTGTTTGAGTGCATTCATATTTTTGAGGTTTTTTTGTCCTGCGATTCTCAATCCGAAGCTTTTTTATTTGACTAAGACTCATCAAACCGGTAACGCACAAAGGACATTGACTCTCATAGCAAAGATCTTATTGAACCTTGCAAACAGACAGGAGTTCAATACTCACAAAGAACCGCATCTTGTTCGTATGAACGAATTTTTGAAGGCACACGAACACGAAGTTTACGAATATTTTGATCGTATAACTGGAAGGAAGAACGACTTCAACGAAAAGGTATTGAATTTGAGCCATGAAATGAAAAGATTTGATTTGGGTCTCAGTAGTGACTCAAGCTCAAGTGAATTGCCTACCACACCCTATCTTATTGACAAATATTTGCGTCTTACAGAGTTTATCCATCTTTTGCAATTGAATGACACTCATAGTCGGTCGCAGTCGCAATCTTCGAAGTTTGGATCGTCTTCTGCCAGTATTAGCACCACGTTGAGCCCAGGCCACTCAAATGTGAACAGCCCTATCAGTGGTGCGGGACAACGAAAAACAATTTTACAAGATAGGGACGCAATTGTGGAAAATAAGTCGGATTTGAAAGTCAACGAAGAAGGCAGCATTTACCAGATTGGGTCACTTGAGTTTGAGAAGTCGGAATTTTTGGACTTGGTAGGCGATAACGAAACAGAAGGGTTCATCAAATCTCTTTGTCGTAGCAATGAAGATATCTTCTCGTTCATCACCTCCAACATCTCACTCCGGGACTTACAGAAACAAAGCACTAACCTCGTCAACAAGATCAATGATTTGTCGTACCAGCTTCAGTTTCCCGAAGTATGTCGCAACTTACAAGGCTCGACAAAGATGTGGGAATTGTTTGTCGATGATATTATTGATAGAGCGTGCTTGGACAGTAATAAGAACTCCATTGTGTTTTATGAGCCGCATTTCCAAGATGCCTTGCTTCCAGGTCAGAAACGCTTAACGGAGCATGCGCTATCATCTCTCAAGTTGAAGTTTCCATCGGGTTACAATGGAGACGACGCCATACTGGTGTCGGAAAGTGTTGGGTCCATGTCGACAATATTGAAAAGCGGAACAAAAAACCCGTTCAAAAGATGGCTCAAGAGAGACTAGGTATACATAAATATATACATATACTCATTTATACAATTGCCTATACGTTCTTGTGTATGTCTACCAGAAGACATATTCCAAAGACAGATGTCTTCCCGTGTAATTTATTAGACAGCAAGATAGTGACGACAGTGCGCGGCTTATGTAAGCAGGACACCATGATTCCGACTATGCCAGAGTAATGCAGGTGCGTCAGTGTCAAAATAAAAAAAGTGAAAGGAAAAAAAAAAACCACCACAAGTTTCTCCTTCCAACTCGTGATCACTTTCATCATACCACCTTTTCTTTGGCTTCTATATACCACTAAGCTGTACAATGCCTACTGAAGCTGAAATTTTGGCGTCTTATCCGCAAATATCCGCCCCTACTACCCAAACGGGCTTCACCTCCAATTTAACCGAAGAGCAAAGGGCAATAATGCTCAAGTTGAGAGAACAATTGGTGGCCATGGGGTTCGAGTTCCGTTTGGACGATGCGTCGTTGCTCCGTTTCTTGAGAGCCAGAAAGTTCGACTTGGAGAAGGCGAAAACCATGTTTGTCGAATGTGAAAAGTGGAGAAAAGAGTTTGGCACAAACACCATTTTGGAGGACTTCCACTATACCGAGAAGCCTCTTGTGGCCAAGATGTACCCTCAATATTACCACGAGACAGACAAGGATGGTCGTCCTGTTTACTTTGAGGAGTTGGGTAAGGTTTACTTGCCAGACATGTTGAAGATCACCACGCAAGAGAGAATGTTGAAGAACCTTGTGTGGGAGTATGAGTCATTCACGCGCAACAGATTGCCTGCCTGCTCGAGAAAGCAGGGCCACTTGGTGGAGACTTCGTGTACGATCATGGACTTGAAAGGTATCTCCATCAGTGCTGCATACCAGGTGGTGGGATATGTGAGAGAGGCATCGAAGATCGGCCAGGACTACTATCCTGAGAGAATGGGTAAGTTCTACTGTATCAATGCGCCATTTGGATTCTCGACCGCATTCAAGTTGTTCAAGCCATTTTTAGACCCCGTCACTGTGTCCAAGATTTTCATTTTGGGCTCATCGTACAAGAAGGAGTTGCTTAAGCAGATCCCAGCTGAGAACTTGCCTGCCAAGTTTGGTGGTACCTCTAAGGTGACGGAAGAGGAATTGTACATGAACGACTATGGTCCATGGAGAGACCCAAAGTACATTGGACCTGAGGGTGAAGCACCACGTGCTATTTCGTAGCGTGTTTTGAACCAGATTAATTGATTGGTGTAAGTATGCTCGGAATAGATTGCTGTTACAAGACGTTAGAGCACACCACTTGTAGAACAGGTATGGAGCTAAGTAGCTACGTAAGCTGAAGCTGGGATATTGCTTAGAAAGAAAACTATAAACGCTGAAACTTGCAACGGAGCTTTCTCTTAGGGTCTCGTGATATTTTTTAGTCTTTTTTGAAGAGTGTTTCATGTTAAACGGAAGTGTGGTCATCTCGAATGATGGAACACGAAGGCTACTTAAAGCCAGCTCCGCTAGTTCTTGATTTTAGGTTCTTCATCACTAGTAGCTACACTCCACTCAACATCCCAAGATCTGATTGAATATGACACTAAACTTTACCCATCAGAACACAAACGTATGAGACTCGTATCTTCTTTATCGAGCTGTGGTGGTTACAGACCTAATAAGCGCCTTTCATTGCAGATGAAACCAACTGAAGAGAAAAGAAAGGCAAAAGGTTGGCTAAAAAAAATAAAATAAAAAAAGAAGGAAAAAGCTGAAATCTATACATTCAAAAAAGGTGAATCTGAATTTCCTTGTAGCTCCGATTGTATGTGCGCGTGTTTTTCGAACGCGAGTTATACAAGATCACCAACGCGTCTACTCCATCACATATGGCCGAATCGTTTTCTTTTTCAGATTCGCTTCTTTTTGCTCCGACGCAGGAGCTGGGCCTTGAAGAGCCTTTGGTGTTTGCTGCCGACCAGGATCTACCGCATTCGCCCAGTCTGTCAGCAGCTTTGCCAGCCCAACTTTCACCTGAACCATCTGACCTTCTGTATCCACCCGAAGAGCTCTCAGGGAAGGAAAAGGAGGTCCGTCTTTTCAACGGAACATCCTTGCGGCTTAGACCAAGAAAAAAGAAAAATGTGGACATATCCTTCGACGAGTCCAGTTCCATTCTTGATATGGATACTCTATACGAACGTGTCCGCCAGAGAGAAGTTCTTCGACAAAGCCGAGAGGAGGTTCGCCGGAGGACACAACCAAAGCCTTCAAAATCATCCCAAGCACCGCTACCCCAAGTATGGTCAGAAAAATATCGCCCAACGAAATACATGCAGCTCTGTTCTGCTGGTAATGAGAGACAATACCGTGCAATCATGCATTGGCTTCGAAAATGGGGACTGGTCGTTTTTGGTCATGCTCCCACGGATTTGGATGCTGTTGATCACCTATCGAGACCACTACGCAAAGTATTGTTGGTCCATGGACCGCTGGGAACAGGGAAAACAGCAGCAGTGCATCTAATTGCCCAGCAAATGGGCTATTCCGTCCAAGAATTGAATGCAGCTAATAGCATGGACTCAATGCATGGTGTTGAGTCGTTGGATAACGCGGGCCGCTTTGCCAATGCCACCGCGGCACTTAAACTCAAAATCAAAAATGCCTTAACCACAAACTCCGTGACTGGAGGTGGGAAACCAACGTGTCTTGTCATTGACGAAATCGACTGCAGCATCAATGCCGGAGACATCATTCGCGTGATCAGCGAATTAGTGGCTTTAGATCTGCGTTCTGAAGACCCAAAAAAGAAAAAGTCAAAGTTTGTCTTGAACAGACCCATTATTTGCATTGCCAACGACATTTACACGCAAAACGTGCGTTTGGGTCCTAATCCGATGGACAAGCTTCGTCCACTTTGTGAACTTGTACCTTTCCGACGTCCCGTTTCGAGCAACAACTCGGGACGCATTAACATTGCAGCACAAAAATCTGTGAAGGAGTTTCTTCAAAATGTCAACAGCAAAGAGAAAATGGGTCTCGATGCTAAAGAAATTGCCGAGATCTTCGAGGTTTGTGAAGGGGACATTCGAGCTTGTTTAAACCACATGCAATTCTCCAGTAGAAAACTCGACTCCGACCTTCATGCTCTTGCAGGACCAAAAGCTTTAGCAGCCAAAGATTCCCTGGTATCCTGGTTTGCTTTGGTAGACCAAATATTCCGCAGAGACTCACGCATGGCGAAAGATGAGAATTTCGAAGTGATGCTCGAGATTATGCTATCTAACGAAGGAAAGACTGCTGCAAGTGGCTCGTTAGATAAAGTCATACGCGGCTGTTTCAATCGGTATCTTGATGTTGTTCATGTTCAAGATGATTCAAATGTGCGTCCGGCTGAAATAAGTGACTGGTTGTACTATTATGATATGATGACTGCGGGAAACAAAGAGGTTGGGAACTATCCTACGCTAACGGCACTTAAGTTCTGGTCGTTATTCAGCGAAATCAATGCATACAAGTGGAAGACAGAGAATAGTCTTCTTCCCAACGCCAGAGCTGTTGAGTTTGATTCTCTCGATACTTTGAAGCAAAACAAGTCCGTCGTACAACGCGTGAGTGACCAGTTACCAGTTGAAGTACGCTTGGCATTCTGTGGCTCCTCTAGCAGCCCGGAACTTTATGCATGCCAGTTTCTTCCATTTTTGGATAAGATGTTGTCTCCTGAGGTTGGATCTTCGAAGATCAAAACATCTTTAAAATCGCATGAAAGACGCTTGGTGGAGTCCTTGGCCGGAATTACAAAGAAGTTGGGCTTGGCTCTTGAAACACAGCGGGATATAGAAACCAATGCTACTAGTTTGGTCTTTTCTCCTAATTGGGATACGCTTACAATCTTTGAGAATGAACTAGCTCCAGTACCATTCACAACCAAAGCTAGGGGCATCTTACAAAAGAGGCTGTGGCTCTTTCCACTTCTTGAGGCTGAGTTTGCGCTTGGAATTTCGACCAAACGAACGCTCAAGGACGTTTCTGCAAGTGAACTCAACACTGTTAAAGCAAAAAGAGCGCGTATGGCGTCTTCGCTTGATTTCTTCAAGAACAGATATGACCATTTGAATAGTCAGTTGGATGTAGCGCCAAAGACGGTCAAACACAGTGTTTCGCGTATCTGGGTGAAACACCACGAAGGATACTCCAATGCTGTAAGAAAAAACATTGGTTGGCAGGATCTTTGGGTGCCATAGCAAGATGCTTATTGGTGTATTCTGAATATAATTATGGAGTTACTGTGCTGTTGTAGCATGTACTATGACCTCTGGTGAAATCTTATGTTTATGTGTTTGGGATCCATAATGAATTCAGAATCAGAGAAGTGTGATATCAGTTATTGTACTACAAAGTGAATAGATTCCTTAACCACTATAGCTTCATAAGAACAAAGGCCAAGTCTTTTGATAACCGTAATTTAGTGCGAACAATACAATTTGTGCCAATAATGGTAAATATTCTCCAAAAGCTCCAGAGTTGGCCATAAATACATTTAAGCTAGTCAAAAAGTCATTACCTATACAAACTTGCTCTGGAAGCCAAGAAGTATTCTCTTGTGTTTGAGAACATCAAATTTGCTAAGAATCTCTATCTGTACTGCACGGTATAGGTCAAAGGCCTTATCTGCTGCTTAAAACCACTTCTAATGCCAAGTTTTCGTATCCAATATCAAGTACAACCCAAATACTACCCAGTGGGATAGCCCCTTTGTTCTTCTCATCAAGGAAAGTTTGACTAGCAGCTTCGACAAAGAATCTAAAGGTGCCACCTGTATATAGAGGTCATATCTAACCACTAGATACCATATCAACGGGACATGAGTGCTTATCTTTCGAGCCTAATAGGGCGATTGAGTGGAGAAGGACCAGTATTCAGCCCCGCGGCGCCTTCCAAAGAGCTAAAATCGCCCGAAATTTCAACTATCACGCTTTTCAATCCCAAATGGGCCTCAGGCGAGAACATAGACGAACTTAAGCACCAGATACTATTTTTCGAAACAGATACGGATGTAACTGAGGCAAACGAGGCAAGCAAACGACATGACTCACAGAAAGAAACAAACTCAGCTAACCATACAAGAGAAACAGAAGATGAGCACCAATCTGGCTCAAACTCCAATACTAATGATGTCACGGCCTTGAACATAGTGGGGCTCCTTCGCGGGTCTCAGGCTCTTGCTGATGAGTTAGGCGGTAGCTCGGAGCCGCTTGTGGTGCTGCTTTCTGGTGGGGCTTTCATTGTGGAGGAAATTGAGCAAGATTTCTTTTTGGCGTGTTTTGTGGCTATTCCACCCCACTTGAAACCACAGCAGGAGGCTGTGGTTGCCCATGTACGATGTATCATGGTCCAAATTCACGCAGGGTTTTCGATTCTTCATCCTCCTATTCAGAGACTTGAGAAACTCTTCGGACGACAATGGTTAAGTGATGTACTCCAACTGCACTGGATGCTGTGGAGAAATGCATTCAATGCTTCAGCTCGAAGCTCCTTTGGTCCCCTGCTGCTTGCATGGCCCAATCAAGTTAACCTGCAAGGCTTTTTAGGCATGTTTCCTGGTGGTCACCAGCTTCTGGATATAGTAGTATCGAGCAAGTTAAAGGCGTGTGTGGATAGCATTGTGAAAAGAGAGGCAGATGAGGAAACTCAGAGAGAAACAGAAGGGGAAATTGAGGGCGTACCTGAGGAAGAAGTAGAGGGAGCAGTAGATGGTATCGAACAAAAGACGCAGCAAAGCATCGATGGTCTTGATCTGCTGAAAAGCAATCGCCGAGAAACTGAAACGGGATCGGACAGTGGAATCAACAATCTGGCCGTTCGCCCCTCTGCTGTTCTTCTTTCTCTCGTGTCACGACCTGATCATGAGCTTCCGCCCAAATACAGGGGCCTTGCCTATCTGACTGGTGAATTGGCTCAAGAAGACATGTGCCGTGTTGCTGCCTTCCTCCAATTTCTCGCGTCACACAACCAGCTTGAAGAACCACTATCACTTCAATCTGTGAAAGAGATGTTCTGTCGAATGGAGAAAGAACTAAAGACTAAGCATTCAGAACCAGAGGCTGAACCAGCTGCAGCATCAGCCGCCATTTCACCCTTCACTCCGACATTTGCACCATCCCTCGATAGTTTGAGACCTGAAAATCTTGCTGATACACTAGTTCTGCCGTTCACGTATTCATTATCAGGTCTTCGGATGCTTGGCCAAGCAGTCAACGAACAAATCCTGGCACCATGGCGGACTGAGCAAGCAGCAGAACCAGAACCAGAGGCGGAACCAGAACCCGAGCAAGGAACTTTTATCACAGGCGCCGACCATGGGCAATTCCTCATCTATCTAGGATCAAGTGCTCGAGAGTATCTGCTTGTGCTCTATTTGCATGGGTCAGCTCTTATAGCTCTTGTGTATGAGTCGGGTCTTCCAAAATTAGGACTGCCAGATTTCTACGAGGAATTGAAGGAAAAGCTCAATCTGGCAGCAGACTCGCTTGGGGAATGTGTTACCCAGACGACGGGCCAAAATAACCATGTTTCAAGCACAACAGATGGTGCAACAGAGAGCGAAGTAGAAACGAATGGTTCGGAAACAAGTTCAATCCAGAACCAGCAAAGTCTCAATGCTAACACTGCGATAACGACGCCTACATCTGGACCTACGCAAAGCCCTTCAAAACATTCGCCAGGCGTTTCTTCCGACAACGATTTTTTCTATTTTGTCTACGACAGAATACATCACAGCTACCAAAGCTCGCTTCCACCGTTGGAAAGCACGGCACTTTTCCATCTCCACGATCAGGTCATAGACCATTTTTTGATCAAAAAAGGCGGCAATGCATTTGCTTCCACCGGGGCTGCAGAACACCTCCATAAGTTTTCCAGCACGAAAACAAACGACTGGTTGTTCTACGTGGTGCGCCAAGAGCAGAAGTTCATCTTAGTAATACGAAACTACAATCGACGGCGGCCACGAGAAAGTGAGCACGTGCGCCCTGCCACAAAGTCGTACGCCCATCTTGGATTCATAGATAGTCTAGGAGACGATGTGCGTGCGTGGCTTGAACGGTTTGTTTAGATACGTGAGTCGACTTCATTTGGTGGTTTCTGCCCACCGGAGAAAGTGCGCAACGTCTTGTGCCACAACGCCGTTCATGGACATACGCGCAAGCCAGGCGGGGATTTGTCCTTTTGCATCGGAGCATGTGGCCATGGTCCACTTAAGAGAGCCTGACTCCGGGTCAAACTCGATGTGCTCAACCGCAGAGTATTGTGCCTCGACAAAGTTGCCAGGACGCGCACCAGCTACCTCGGGCGAAACAGCCAAGCTGATTACATATGCGGAGTTTCCCGATTCGTGCCACGCCACGAGAATCAAATTACAAAACCGCCTGCGCAGCAAGGGCCATTGCAACTTGTACTCGAGCTGAGCCAAGTAGCTGAAGCACGAGTAATGTGCAGGTGCGCCCGCAAGTGGATGCTCGGTGAGATGGATTTGAACGAGCTCTTCGATGTACTCTTTCTCATACTGTGTGTGGCAGTGATCCAAGTCAGCTTTGCCTGCGCTGTAACGCATGAGCAAATCAAACACAGCTCGGCGTGTGCTTGGATCCAACTCGCGGAATTCCGTTTGGCGCGCCACCCAATAATCGCCTTCGAATTGGTCAGAGTAGGTGGCGGTGGCGATTTTTTCGCGGCACTGAGGCACTGCGAACGAGTATACGCGCCCTTTTTTCCAGGCGCCCACAGCGCGCATGACGCGCTCTGCACCATCAATAAGGCCGGCGCCCATCTCGCCTGCAAGCGATATGCGGGGCGAAGAATTCATGTTAGTAAACAATGACAGGTGAGGCAATAAGTCAAGTGCCAGGTTGCCAAAATCCGAGCTAATCGAGTAATAGACAAAGAGCAAGCTAGCCAACCTTTTCACGTTGTCGCAAGGGCTTCCTGCTACGTTACTTTGTCGAATGCAATTCTGTAGATCAACTCTAACGAGCGTAGTACACAATCACCCTCGACTTACCACATCCTCGATGGGAAAAGGGGATTTGCGCACGTGATACCGGCGCACGTGAACCTTCACCACACCAACATTTTATGCTTTATTCCTTCGAGAGAGCAAGCCATACTTCCGGATCATGCTCCATAGCCTCTTTGGATTGTGCTAACAGCTCTATACTCCTTCTATTCTCGGGTTTCCATCTTCTTTTCCCTTACGTCGTTGCAGACCACGAATGAGGGCCGCGCGCACGTGACGTGGCAAAAGCAAATTCTCCCAATTTCCGGCAAAGGAGAACAGCCGTATTCCAGCGCCACCAATTCCATACCTTACCAACATAAATATACTCCGTCGGCTTTGATGTTTTTCTGAATCCGTGATATTTTTGCCTCTTTTCCATACCAATATTAGCAGCCGCTGTGATATTTCTGATTTCCCCTTTGTTATTATTCTGATTACTCCCATTATCTGAATTCCGAATCGATCACATTAGTTACTTACTTCTCTGATCGCACCAGTCACTTGTGATTCCGAACTCACTTGACTTTGACTCCTATACGCACCGTTTATTAATACTTCCACCCAGGTCTCTGCGTTTAGTGTTGACTAGCAAAAGTCTATACTAAATCTTTCTTGACCACACCCCAACCACATTTTGTTTGGCAAAATTTTACCTCCAGCAACCGCTCGTGTGATTCTGTTTTACTAGAGTCTGAGCTCTTGCTTCATTCACTGTTTTGTTTTTCCTCTGACTGATACTTTTTCCTATCTACGTGACCAACCCCTCGAATGAGAGATTCCAACTACAAGTCCATCTCAAATAATCGGGCTGCAGTCACCATCACAACGAGTCTCTACGACCGTCGTGCTTTGGATGTAACTGCAGACAAACCGCTCGTCAACTCTTTAAACCACTTGACTTATCTTGTTTCTTCCAGCGCCAAAGTTCGTGAAACGCTCTCAAACGACGGCGGAATCGAACGCTTGGTAGAGATCCTTCACGAGTGTCACAATACCACTTACAACGTGAACGACACCATTTTTAACAGCGAAATTAAGTTGCTCACTGCCTGGAAATGGACATTAGCTTTTCAATGTCTAGTTCTCGTGGGCACTCGAGGAACAGAGAAAATTCGCCAGAAAGTAGTGCGTGCTGGCATTCTTCCTATTATTGCCACCGTCTTGGATAACTACATGAGTCTTCACGAGGGCAGTTTTGTGGCTCTTGCTTCTTCTACTCAGGATCCACTGCTGTGCTTGCACTACCAGGGCCAACCTTCCTACGTCAGCGCTTTTGCAGACGAAACCCAGAGTGCCGCGTACATGAATATCCGTTTCCCACCCGCTGCCCCAGAGGCGGAGCGGCTTTCGCAGGTCGAGAACCCGCATGACGCACATAACGGCTCCATTCGGGTTGGCTCCCGTGACACTAGAGCAGACCGCCCCGATGCTCGTTCGGGTTACTTCAGCAACAGCCACATTAACAGCTTGACAAGTGAGGACTTCGATAGCCTTTCCGTTGACCAACTTTTCAAACTTATCCGTGGCAACCATGCACCCGAGCAGTCTGGGCGGAACTCGGTCAACAATGACATACGAAGACGTTTCCTCATCATCAGTATTATTAAGAAGTTGCGTGAGGAAAAAGAAGGTGATGACCTTGACCAGGGTGCCTTCCAGCGCGAGTATGATATGGACAACAACTTGCAGTTCCTCTCCGATTTGTACTTACAAGACGAAAAGGCAACGCACTTTTCTTCAGCGATCCATTCGAAAATCGCTCCGCGTAACTTTACTGAAACCGGCGTGGTGATTCCGCGCGATGACGATGTTGTGTGGTGTTTGCAACTTTTAGCTTACATCTCCAAGTATCCATATCTTAAGGAAGTATTGCAGAATACGCATTTGATCATCGACATGAGCATTCGTGATAAACAGTTGCGTATGTTTGCTGAGCGTCAGATGAAGGCGAAAATGCGGCCAGAAATGGACATTGCCTCACGCCAAACTCTTACCCCGAGATCACGAAAAGGAAGACTCTTTTCCCCTGGTGCTTTGCCCCACTCATCTGCAGCTATGAGTGGAAACTCAGACACCTATATTGAACGCTTCAATCCTTCTCCTTCGAACTCGCCTCAAATGCTGAGCGACTTAAACATCCGCAATGATAATTTTGATTTGGGAGATGATAAGCTCGACTTGTACAACAAACCAGACGATGAAGGCTTGACTGAAAATGCTGAAGCAAACGACTTTGACGATGACTTGGACGACTTTGACGAAGATAGCGATCACCGTAAGAAAAGCTTTGATGATGAAGTAGATGACTACTTATCCAACTTTGACGACAATGTGACCGTGACTGCGCAGAACTCCACTTATTTGAACAAGTTGTATGATTCCATTATTGACGCTGAGTCTATTACGAACGACTTAAGCCGGGATATTGCTTTATTTCACATTAGCGACAAGGTCAACAAATACATCGAGGCAGAGTGCAAGTCCTTGAGCGATACTATTATAAGGAAGCGGTTGGAGCAAAAAGAGTACCTTTCGCGAAAATGGGACTACGAGACTTACCAACATTTCGACATAGATCATGATATGAGGGAAGATTGCGATTACGACGAGTCACTCATCGAGTACAAGAAGGTTAACTTGTTCCCGATGGTTGAAAAATTTACTTTTTTGGCTGGCACAGATATGTATTACTGGTCTGGTGTCATCATGAGAAACCTGTGCCGTCGCAATGATTTTAAAGGAGGCGTGAGACAATGTGGCAATCTTGAATGTGGCAAGTGGGAAAAGTACCCTAAAGAATTTAGCAAGTGCAAAAAATGCAAGCGCACAAAGTATTGTTCAAGAGAATGTCAAATGCGTGCTTGGCATTGCCACCGAAATTGGTGTGTCCCAAGTAATGCATCTACAAATTCCACTGCTACGGCGACTTCTGGTGCCACTAATTATGATGCCTCTCATGAAATTGCCACAGTTAACACTGCGCCTTCAGACTCCGAAGGGCTAAATTCGAATACGGGAGATTTATCCCAGTAAGGTCCCTTATTCTTTTTTGTGAAGGAACCAGCGATTCTTCGCCTATTTGGTTTTCCTTTCTATGCATTAATGTCTATTTTAGGTAAAGATTAGTAAAATCTCGGGTGGCTTCCAGCCACAACCTGGTATTATACGAAAGTGTATGCCATCAAAAGGGCAGTATCCCTTAAATGTATATTCCATAGTTTTTGAAAACGGCTTAACGATAGCTGAAAGGTAAACCGTACACGATTGGTGCTGCTCCATTCAAGTACCTTAGTGTGCAAAGGTTTCTGCTATTGGCAACTGCTTTGCATATGTCTTCGCATGCAGCAGGCTGTTTATCCGACTCTGTGAAAAATCCCCATTTGTATAGGACAGACATGCTGAATCTGTCAATGTCCTTGTCTGTAATGTCCCATAAATTTGAAACCACTAACGGCGAGCCGCATGACAACCAACTAAAGATGTTACTAGTCGCTTCCAAGTTGCCATTATCTTGAAAAGCACCCGAAGAACAGCCCATGAGAAGTGCCGGGGGCAACGTATTCGTGTTGTTTTCTGTCTTTCTCTTGATCATCTTAGAAGCACGCACATACTGCTCTCCGCCACCATGGCCAAAGTATAGAAACAAGTTGCTACTATAGAGCTGTTCTAACATATGTTCTTCCTCAGGTTTTTCTCCGCAGAGACCTGATGCATTTGGCATACTTTGCAATAGAGGCCCAAACTCCGCCTCAGTTTTTGGAAGGTCTTTACCGGGATTCACCAAGTAAAAAACATTCTCTGGCTCTGTATTCGGAAAGCTGAAGCCTGGATGAAGCGAAAGTAAGTCTATCAATTGAAAGACGCTTGGCATTCTACTCACTGATCTTCCCCGTAAACATTCCATGGATTCCCAAGGAAATGAGGCACATGCGTTGCTGGGAATGAGAAAAATATGTTCATTCTTGCTGGTGGCAGCAAATGAATAGAGTCCTTGAATACTCGATAGTAGTGTGGTTGTCATTGTAGAGGATACCCTTGCGAAATCGTTGCTACCGGTCAATTCTGTGAACGTATACGTAACCAAGTCTCTTATGTCAGCATAATGTTTCTCGTGACCTGAAAATTGAAGATTGTAATAGAGGTCCACTAATCCTTGATTCAACTGAAGCGATGCGTGTTGCTCATTATCGATAGACTGGAGAAATGAAGACCAAATGTTGTTGAGTCGATTTCTAAAAGCATTGTATTCCTGACTTTGGCGATCGGTGAAGAAAAATACTCCCTTAAACCCTTTCAAGAGCTCATCTTCCACATCATCCAAAAGGTTTTTCAAACGCTGATCCAATTCAAATCTCATTTTCCACCAATTTCTGCGGTCTTCTTTAGTTTTCACGGATGTTGTCACACTTTTTTTGGTTGAACCATTACTATCTTCAATTATGCGTTGTAGGCAAGCCGAAATATCTGCAAAAGACTTAAAACTTCCATTATTCTTCCTGAACGGCAATTTGAAGACGAACGGAAGAGTCTGACCAGACTCAAATTTGGTTATGATTAAATTTCCTGATAACTCACATATATCCAAAGAAACGACAACACAAGAGTCAGGAAGACATTTTTGCAATTTCATGTTAATTGTCTTATCATTTAGAGTTAGTAGTTCATTTGCTTCACCTTTTGATGGCATCAAGTCATTATTTTTCTTAGTATTATCTTTTGAAATCAAAAGTTTTTGGTTAGCAGATGGCAAGGCTTTTGCAAAATCCAGTAGAGAAGTAACGGTGTTGAGCAAGTCAAAAGCAAACTCTTCCTTCATCGTGGCAACGAAAGAAAGCATGAACACACAACAGGACAATAAGCTTGATACATAACGTGTGAGACTAACGTTTAAGTACATTAGTTGATCATCTTCTTGGGCAATTCTTAACAAAATTTCTTTGCAAAAAGAAAGATTATTGGAAATATCTTTGAAATCGCATGTCGAGTAAGTAGCACTAGGCAAAATTTTTGCTGTCCATCTGATATTGGTGCCGCAATCGGCAAACAACGCTTTTTCTAAGGTCTGTAGCTTTTCCTTGACTTCCAAAGTAGTTTTCAACAACATTTTTCGTCTATCATTATCAATTGAAATCGAAGGATGTTTCGAAAAATTGAAGAAGACAATATAGTCGAGACCAAGGGCTGCCTTGGTAATATATTTTGAGGAGAGACCAATTAGTAAATTAGAGCTCTTTTCAAACCTTTCCAAAGCGTCCGAGAGTAAGTTGTCGTCATCAAAGGTCCCATCACCACTAAACAACGTTATCAACTTGGATGATAATGCCATACATGTATCGGTAGCCGAACATGCAATCTGGGTTGCTATGCTTTGACCCAGCATAAACTCTTCATCACTAGGTTCAGCCCTTCCAGCAAAACTATAGAATACTGCAAGTGCAAAATGATAAAAAGCCTTGAAGATCGGATACTTGCAACATGAATTAAAATCCCTGAGTTCATTCGTATAGTACATAGCATCTTTCAGTAAACCCAAATGACGAGATGCTTCAAATGCCAGAAAGTATGCTTGCGAAATGAAGAAGTTAGTATCTTCTCTGATTTCTTTTAATTCTGCCAGCATATTAATTTTGCGTAAAATGGAATTCAATATCTTTATGGCGAGTTTGGCATTTCTTAAGCTCGTTACAAAATCACCGTTTAATGAGTTCATTTTCGAGGTTAAAATCAGAAAGCGAGCCACAATCAAAAAATTGCCAAGTTTCTGATTGAAGCTTAGCTTATGTGAGCTTTCAGTTAGATTGAATCCTGGTTTTGTATCAAGGAACTGAAGGATTTCTTGATACTTTTCGCTCGATTTGCCAATGTCTTTCATGCTAATGAAATAATCAAACTGCAAAAGTTTCCACTCAGCCACTTGGCTATAACTAATGCCTCTGTCACTAGTATTTAACCCCTTCATAAGAGAACCAGCTCTTTTAAGGACACTTGGTACCTCCGATATGTTTGTTGTTTCAAGCATAGAGCGGCATAGAAGAAGTTCAAGTTGCAACACCGCATATGTAGTCGCTTTAGTCACTAAAAGAAAATTTTCAGTAAGCAGCTGAACCAACTGGAAATGTGAAAGATGAAAAAGCTCAAACATAATTTCATTGAACACTTCGATCTCAGAAGATTGCTGAGTATTCTCTTCCAGGTTCAACCAACACTCTAAATAGTTTTTAGCCAGCTTTAATATTTCTTCGTATGAACCGGCTCCTCTGGAAAGACAGAAGATATAGATCCCAGCTGTGCATAAAGCTTCAAAAGGAGTAGACGGGTTAAGATTTGGAATACTAAGCGTATCTGCAAGAGATGCAGCTTTGTAAAGATGGAGAAAGTTCGGAGTGTTTTCATCCAGAAATTGCTGCACAAAACTTTGGATACGAAGAGCTTTCTCCGATCCTCTGCGATCTAAATCCTGAATCATGAGCGATATCAACTGAGTTTTGAGGTTAGGGTTCAATTTCAGCACTGGGTCTAGTACTGCTTGGAAGGACTTCGTGGTTTGAAACAAACTGTCAACAATTGGAATAATCACGAGTGGAACAATATCATGACCTGGACAGTATTCAGTATATTTATCTAAGACATCAAGGGCATCTTCAAGGTCATCGAAAGAACACAACTGCGAAATAAGGTGTCTAATGCGATTCTGAAGTTTAGATGGATCTGATATGTCTTTATCTGTAGTGGAGAGATCTAATTGTGCGGAAAGTTTAAGAGCTTCCGGAGAGTGAGAAGCTTCATAACATAGCTTCGTAATTTGCTTGACTCTTTTTGTTTGTTTCATTTGAAAAAGGATCGTTGAGAGTGGCGATAACACTTCTGTCACGTAGACATTGAATGAGGTATCTGCAGACTGAGTTCTTATTTTGGATATGATAGTATCGCTAATATTGATGAACGCTTGACACTTTTCTATTTTATCAATCTTGGAAAATAAAAATCGAAGTACAACGCCCAAAGAACGAAAGGCCGAAGTACGATTCGGATTTTCTGACACTAATGACGAAAGTGAAACATTCAATGCTTCACACGCTTCTGTTGGTGAAGTTATTGACAACAATTTTTGAAGCTTTGATAAGAGGTCGTGATCTTCAACAAAATGAAGTTGACTTAGGATGCCGTGAATGGAGTTGAGAGATGACGAGCGAGGACGGGAAACTAAGTATGAATTGATGGAAGACTCAAGTTTTGGAACTGGAAGAGGATGCAAGGAAATAGCACTCTTCAAGTCGTCGATGAAGGGTGTAATATGAGAGGCGCTTGTTAAATCAGGTAGGGATGTATCGTCAAATTGACCGATTCGCATCTTCAATTCGCATGTTTTGAGCTCCAAGAGGGTAATTCCCATGGTCAATGTTTCGTTTGCATGCAATTTGGATCGGAGAAACTTTGCAACTTTTAGAAAACCGGCAGCCACCTTTGCATTGTTGCGTTCGTATTTCTGGACGGCAGTGGTGTTGGGTGCAAACTTGGAGATGCACATCTGATGATTAGAGTCAGATAAGAAAGACTGAGCCACTTTTTCAAAAACAGACAAGGTCATCGCCGAGCTACCCTTGACGACAGACTGTAGCGAAGCGGACAAATATTGAAGAATAGACTGGAGAACCAAAAAATGATGAGACACAACGAAGGATGCTAAAGACGGTTCCACATTTTGCGGAGACAATCCGTCCACGAGACACATCCATGATGAAAGAGAAAACTGCCCGAGTTTGCGCGAGCCTTGCAAAACCAGGGCAACTGTCCAAAGTTCTTGCAACACAAGAGTGTGTTTTTTAGACGAAGATAATTGCACTATATAGCGCTGGTGTTGAGAAATCAAATCACGGATGTTTGAAGATGCTTGCAAGTAGAGGTACCTGTAAGCAAGAGACACCAATTCTGGGTCAGACGGCGAATTGATGATGTGAAGACATTTCTGGTCCAAAAGCTCGCTTTTAGGTAACCGGTACAGATTCAGGTTTGAGCTCCGTAGCGATAACGGGTTCAGGTAGCGGCCCACATGAGAAGAAAGTGTATGAAGCAACAGGTCTCTGGTGGATAAATCTGCCATGAAGAAAGAACCAAACAAAAGGAAGGAGAAGGGTAGAGAAAGGCTCACTGGAGACAGATGTATGAAGACGCTCTGGGTTACATAAACAAAACTGCACACACTAGTGTTTCTACATTAGGTGCGACGGTACCTTTCTATATGGGCTTAAATATTAGTAGACAAGGTAGCGAAAACAGAAGGTAGGCCTGATTACCGAGAAGGCTGGCCCCAGAAAAGGCTTTCCAACTTGATGATGAACTTTTTCTCTCCGTAGCTAGGATGTACGCATGAGGACCATTTTGCATTTTTGCTCGTCTTTGCTTGTGCGTTTTCAGCCATTGTGCATGTCCCATACTGTGCAAGACTTTAGGAAAACCCAGTTGCACATCTGGCCAAAAGGACAGAAAACAAAACAGGAAACAAAGCACGCCTGCCCCCTTCCATACTTTATGTTTCCGTCACGAACATGTTTCCAGGCCAGTGCGCAGTTCAAACTGCTCTTCCGCTCGTCCATGTCTCGAATTGCGTCTCAGGCAATGATACTTACTGCTGGATGTGAAAATGCCAGCGATAACCTCCATGGCATGACTCTTTCCTCTGTATGTTCGCTTTCGGTTTTCCCAAGACCTTTACTTCAGTTCAATTTGCATCTTCCCAGTTACACCGCTTCGTCTTTGCATTCTAATGGCGGATACCTTTGCCTCCATGTGATGCCTCCAACGGAAAAGGCTGTCTTTTTAAGTAGAATATTTGCCAGCGGCGTGAAAACAGATCCCGAGCACTTTGAGTCCAAAGGAGACGATGGAGAGGTTTTTCACGAAATGACAACGCCCTTTTCGCATCTTCTGCCCACCGAGTACTACTTTCACCAAATCAAAGATCGCAAGGCAAATGAGAGTCTTAAAGTACCTGTCCTTAAAGAGCTGGAAGTAGCCTTCATTTGCCAAAAGGAAAAAGTCGTTGAAATCGATAATCACGAAATATGGGTCGTTGGTGTCACCGATATTCTCTTACCCAACTCCGCATTTGCTAACAGCAAAACTGGTGGCCTACTATATTTTGACAGAGGATTCCATGAGGTTGGGCCGCCACTAAGAGAAACGTAGTTTCTTTACAAGATAAATATACCCTCTGAGTGCTCCCAAAACAATCAGATCGACACTACACGAAGTTAATATATGTCATGAGTCATATCATTTAGAAAATACATTCTCTGCAATCTTACTCCCATGAAGCCTCAATGGCCCGCTGCTCATTTTCGTTGAAATATTCGGAAAGATCTGCCTTCAAGTTGTCAATTGCTTCATTTACCTTGGGTAAGATAGTTTCAAATCTATCGTGCACTCTCTTTTGCCGCCTTTGAAGTTTGGCAATCATGGCTTTCTTCAACGTCTTGAGCTCCATGTTTAGACGAGCAATTTCCTCCTCTCTAACTTGGTACTTTCCAATGCTTTTCTTTTTCTTAGCTTCAATACTGCTCTTTTCATTTTGAACAGTTTTCACGTCGTTTTTCATTTTCGCGCTGTCAAGCTCATGTTCTGCCAATTTCTTCTCCAAAGATGCAATTTCTTGACTAAGGTGCTCCTCCTCCTCTTTGTACTCTCTTTGCATGCCTTCATTAGTCAGTTCTGACTCCATAACAAGTCGTTCCATTTGTTCTATCTCATTAACCAACTGTGTTATAGAATTTTGTAAGCCCTTTAACTTTCCACTGACGCGACCTTCGTTTGCCTCACGGTTCCCATACTTGTCAATCTTGGACTTTAAACTATCAATCTGCTTTTTCAACTCTGTGGTCCGTTTGTGTTCATCTTTCTTAATTTTCCGAAACGTGGCTTTCAAGGAGTTTAAAGTTTCAATAGTATGTTTCAAACTAGACTGAAGGGTCTGTAAAGGAGAGGACTCCAAAGAGCAGCTGATCTGAGTGCTTCTATCGGCAGAAGTAGTATTGACAACATAATGGGACAACTGACGACCTTCGGAGCTTAAATCAATTTCATACTGATAAAGCGGAGTTAATCCATAAATGCAGAGAAGAAGCTTTCTAGTACTTTCTTCACTAAACAATCTCACATGGGGCCAAAAGACACTATTCACTCGGACGCTAAAGCCTGCCAGTAAGGCAGACTCGAATTGGTCTTGATCAAGGACTTCAAACACAACCCTCGAGTCGGCAATTGACGCAATAGCCATTGGAAGACATGAATCCACAGAACCATTGATGAACTTTTGCCCGTTACTTTTATGAGTTGTAGGTTGACCAGCAAACAATTTTGGAGATGCAAAAAGAATTTTTATAGCTGCCAACCATGACCAAATTGGTTGAATAGAGATCGTAAAATACTTGTCCATTATGGTCGTGGATGGTGTCGCATTGCTGTTGGATCTCTTGCGGTCAATAATGGTCCTATTGTGGTTTGTTTTGTTCCCAAAACAAGACTTATTGGGTGCTGGAACCATACAGAAGATCTTGAAGTTACTGGCAGAGACTGATTGTGATGCAAGCAGTAAGCTAAATTCGCTATTAGCCACAGCTGCGTCAAGTTTCATTTCTGGGGGTTCAGAATGTCCTTTGAGGGCCATTTGCTGTTGCAGTTGATTCTGTTCCATATTGATAACAACGACGGAATCTGTTGAGGTAGCTTCTCGTGCAAGGTTATTTCCTGTTCCAGTCTTCTTGAAGGCACTGTATGGCACGTAGGGAGTCAATGAAGATAAGTGGTCCAACGTTTTTGAGTAGTCCTTGAGGATAAAAATACGCAGCAAAAATGGAGAGACTGTCAAGCTAATGACATGGATGCAGAGGACTAAGTATGCGTAATTAACAACGATGGTAGTTTCACGCAAAAGAAGAGCGATAGTTCTGATCGAAGTTTCACCGAGATGAAGGTAGTTCATGCAAATGTGAATCACCAATTGCGTGAGAACCGTATTCTTGCCTAGAAACTTATGGTCATCCAAAGTGAAATGGGCCTTCTTCGACGCAAGATAATTGTAGGAAACAAAAAATGGGGACTGTGTGAACAAAGACAGGAAGAGGCTCGAGTAGCTGAACTCATAATTATTCTGATCGCCACTTGCATTGGCCAAGTTCCGATAAAACTTTGCAATATCACTCAAGACAAGCGGGATGTTCAACACCAACAACCAATTTTTAACAATGTAGTTTATGGATATAACTGAAAGAAACCCAATCAAAGAGTTGAGTAAGCTGCTCGTGTAGAACTTTGAGTCAGACTTTTGTGGTATTGTGCCAGATTGTGTCAGAGAACCTGGGAATGTCGTCGAAGTTGTCGTGGTAGTAGAACCTCCTGCATTAGACACTACCGAAACGTAAGTAGTTGAGCCTGTGGTGTAAGATCCAACTAAACGGCTAGCAACAATGGACTTTGCCAATACGATGGCGTACTTGATCCAGCTAGTGGGCAACGTATAGTGGCACACGAGCAAAATAAAAGAGTTGATGGAAAAGAGCTGAAGGCAGTCTCCAATCAATTCTGAGCGGTAGAAATTGTAACGGACAGTTGGTTTTGCCTCAAGTTCGTATTCCGAACTGGCGTCAGACAGGCCCAAGTATCTGGAGATGGTTCTGCCAGCGATTGTCCGAAAAGAACCCAGTAAGATGTATCCGGTAAGAACAATGCATGAGATTCCTTGAGGCAATAGCAATAAGAGGAAAAGTAAAGCTAGCACGTCACGGTTTGTCTTTGGAGTCAAAATTGAGCTCTGGTTGGGCGTCGGAAAAACCGCTTGTTGGGTCTGGCCCGGCTTGCTGGTGGAGTTCGGGCCAAACGGAGGAGGCAGCATGTAGTATGGTGGATCTGGGGCTCTGGACAGCATGATTCCTGGAGAAATAATCAGGAGGTAAGCGGCCGGAGCAGGATCAGTAGCCCAAACGAAGCGCTAGAGCCGCCAGGTTGAAGTGAAGAAAAACGAATTAGTTCAGGTGCAATACACACAAGAGTAGGAAATATGAAATCGGAAACGGCTATTCCGGAATGTAGATGCAGTTAAATTTTTCGGAAAACGACGCCGTGGCGCTGGTGAAATATTGGAGTTAAACGGTCGAGTGCTTAAAGGTTTTAGGTGAAGGTTGTTCGATGCAGTAGAGAATCCAGTGAGACTCGCACGCCAGGGCCCTTTTTTTTTTTATTTTCTGTGCATTGGGTGCGAGCGAGTCGAAAACTGGTGGAGGAAATAAGAAGACGAAAAGAGAGGGCAGGAATCGGGCTGTTTGTGAGTATCCTGGAGTAGGTCGGTGTATATTGTATCTCAGATCAAAGTATGGAAGGATGCATGTAATTAGTCGTTTTCACTTTGTTTTCTTTTCTGCCCTGCTAGGATATCTCGACTATATTTGGAAACCATCCGACTGCACAACGGCCTCGCACTAGTGTCAAACCATGACAGAAGGTGTCAAAGGCGGAAGATAAAACACAGTGGATAAAGATCATGATCCAGAAGCCACAATGGCCAGATTGGGTGACTTGATGTAGGTATACTCCTTTCTCTTCTAAGGAGTTACAAGTGTAGTCCAGTGGAACCATTAACTTCCGGCCTCCTCTGCGCAGTCCTAGGCCTTCCGAGAGAAGCGGATTCGCAAGTCCATGGCTTGATTTGAGAACAACAGGTAGCACTCACACCGATATAATTTTTGTAGGGTAGAATTGGAATTGAAGTTTCTAGTCGCCTCGGCTCAAAGTCTTCCCGGGTCTCTTTGTATGAACCGTTCCGAAACGTCAAACAAAGATGCTCAGCCCTCATGCGAAATAGGCGCCCACCTCGTATCGTGCAAGTTTTGTCTATAACTAGGGCGCGCCCCTCTTGATTCATCCGATGCCCAAAGTCTTTTGGTACTATCACGTCAGATCGTTTTCTCGCCTGCTCGCTTAATTTTCGACGCCCCTCACGTTCCGGCTATTTACTGATATGTCAATCTTCAAATTGTTGGCCCTCGGCTGCTCCATCGCTGGTGTCTTGGCCGCCGAATCGTCATCTACTCAAAGGAACTCGTCTACGGCCAACGGAAACGCCGTAGACAAAATTGTGTTTGAAAACGTGGGCTACACTGGCTACTACTACGATGTGGAATCCTACACCGATTTGACCTCTGACGACTGCTCCTGCAAACTTGATAAGTCTTTCACGGTTTTCGAAGGCACTAATGCTCCGCTCAATGAAGAGCTTTCTGTCCATTTGAGAGGTCCTATCAGCTTGAAGGGTTTTGGCTACTATGTTAGCGACGACCTGAGCAAGGGTACGTGGCAAAGAAAAGCCTACTACAATTCCTCGTCACAGACTGCTGACAACGTCACTTTCTTGGTCAATGGCGGCGAGTTTTCTCCCTGTGTTGGCCGCGCGTTGACGTACGCCTCGTCTAACGGTACTGGAATTGCCTCTAGTGCAACGATTTTGGAAGATGACAACTTGGTTGAGTCCAACGAAGAGTACACTATCATGTCTTCTGTCAAGTGTGCTTCTTCTGGTGCTCTGAATGACTGTGGTTATTACAGAGAAGGCATTGCTGCCTACCACGGATTCTACGGCGACATCAAGATGTTTTTGTTTGAGTTTGAGATGCCCGAGGCTACTGATGACAAAGACACAACCTACCACAACATGCCAGCGATTTGGTTTTTGAACGCCAAAATTCCAAGAACTTCGCAATACAACGCCAATACTTCGTGCTCCTGTTGGGCGTCCGGCTGTGGCGAGCTTGATATCTTTGAAGTTCTCAACAGCACAAAGCCTCTTCAGCTTGATTCCACAATCCACGACTTCCAGGGGACTGATGATATCCAAAATGGTTTGGAGGCAACCGACTATTTTGAGAGAGACACTTCTGGAGTTATGAGAGGTGGTGTTGTTTTTGGAAACGACCGCACAATTACAGTCTTCATGGATGACTCTATGGTCATCGATGAGTCTGTTGCCGCGTCTGACGTGCAAAAGTGGCTCGGGTCTGCTTCATCCGAGGGTGTCAAGTCCTTGTCAAGTGCTTCGATGGACACTTCTACCACGTCAGCTAGCGCCGCCGCATCAGGAAGCTCGTCATCAAAGAAATCTGATGGTACTCTGTCCAGTCCAACCTCGTTGTGGTTCAGTGCTGTGACGCTTGTTTTGCTGTCTCTTTTGTATTTGTAAAGTCTTTGAATCGGATATATCTTGTTAGAAGAAAACAGAGCTCACTGTTTCCCTTGTAAGGAATAAATTGCTCTTCGGTACAAAATGGAGCGTAAATGACGTAAGTTGAATTTTCCCACTGGCCTTTAATATGCGCCGGAGATGGTTTGAGAACAATACCATTATTATCGCCGCTCCGTTTCAATTGAGGCAATAGTGCTTCAATCCGGTTCAAATATATCGACTCGGCCCGCTGAAGAAAGTCTTTTGGTACCTGGATCGAATCCGCCATGGACAGACTTCGGTGACGATACTTTAGAGGTATAGGCTTGAAATGTCGTTTGGAAAGGAAATCTATATAGGCTTCGCTTTCTATGACATAGCTGGCAGGGTTCTGGCCCACTTTTGGTTTTTCAAGAACGGGAACTAAATTGTATGCTTCGTGCTCTTTCTTTACTATGACTTGGACCATGCTTCCTAATGGGAATCTGAAATTGCTCACATCTTTGCGAGTAGACACTAGCGCATTAGCAAAAGGATTAGCTTTTAAAAGCTGCGAGTCATAATAGCTTTCTTTATACAACTTAGCGGAATGTCCTTTTTCTACTCCTCGAAGCCATTTGGCCGGATTTCGAAGGAGCGGATGCTTCATGTGGAGATGATGTGACTTGGTTACTATGCAAGTCAGTGAGCAGCCTAAGATGGGTTTAAATTGATCATATCAAGAATTCAGATTGGGTTTAAAGTATTCGCTATTGTGGTATTATTCGTTGGCGGCTTATGTTCTGGGACTTGAAATACTTTGCTAGTACCCCACGATTTTCCTGGATCCTTTGCCATTTTGCAATTTACTATATGTCAGTTTGGTCTAATATGAAGAAAACAGACACAGGTATATACATTTTCTTTTCTAATAACTATGTACCTTAGCGTATTCCAGCACAGTCTCTATTCTCCCATTATTTTTATTTTCTTAATTATCATGCTCCTGTGAAAAAACGTCCTCTACCAGAACAACATCAGTTCGCTTTTTTAATGCCACAAAGTACATTTCCCGCAGCTCTGCTCGACAGGCGGCCGGTTTAGTCATGAAAACTTTGTGGAACACCTTCTCCAATTTGTTTTGAAGCAACCTCTCTTCCTTTCCCGTATAGAACTTCATCACCAAATTGCCGTTTTTCTTCAATAGCCGGCAGGCTAAGATCAAAACTCCATCACATAGATCCATGCTGGCAAAGTGATCATTGTCCTTTATGCCGCTTGTATTCGCCATCATATCGCTCATCACCAAATCCAAGGGCTGACTATGGCCCTCAGGATCAAAGAAATTCACAATCTCGCTGTGAGTTTTCTTTGAGAAAATGTCACCTTGCAAAAACAGCGAGCCTTCCGGGGGAGAGCAATTGATAAGGTCCACGCCGAGTATCCGAGGAGTGATGTTTTTGCTTTTGCATCTGGCTAGGGCAACTTGAGTCCACGCACCAGGAGCAAAACCCAAGTCAACAATGTTACGGGTGTTTTTATTGAAGAGACGAAACTTGCTATCGATCTCAATAAGTTTATAAGCGGCTCGGGATCTGTACCCTTCGGCTTTGGATTTTTTTGTGTGGGCATCATCCATCTGCCTGGCGACCCATCTTTTGGAGGAAGTTCCCGACTTCCACCGCACAAAGAGAGGCGAGACAACGTTACCTCGTTTGAAAGAGAAAAACAGGCGAGACATCGGGTTTCCCAGACGTGGAATCGAAATTATAGTCGGTAGTATCTCTGCCAAATGCATTCTTATTATGTGTGGTCCTGCATCTTCGGGAAGCCGATGCTCATCTACAAGTACACTAAGATTTTTTCTGACCACAAGAAGCTCTCGCATCAAAAACTCTCTAGTTTACAATCACCGCCGTCGATATCTGAGTGTCATGGAGTTTCTAAAATCGCTCGCTGAGAACCCAGCGAACATTTTCAAGCTCGCACAGAAAGAAGAAACCGTCGAACAACTTAATACCATCACCAAATCTTTATTGGACCCTATCGCCAAAGAACATTCTGTTTTAGATGAAATATATGTGGACGGACTAGATGCGACCCAGGTTTTTGGCCAAGCACAAATGGTTCTTCTGGGCGTAGGCGAGGCTCTTTTATTCGAAAAGATTCCTGAATTGAAAGAAAAATATGGAACCACAGAGGTGAACAGTGAAGACGATGATGGTGCTGAACTCAATGAAGACGAAGAGAATTTGGAAGACAAACTATCTGGGGATGAGGAGAACTTAGATGACGACAGCGAAGAAGAGTTTTTCCTGACTGAAGAACCGGAAGATTTCACTGCGCAAGAACTTGAACATAGCGAAGATGAAGAAAACGACAACGAGGAAGCCAACGACAGTGAGGCGAGCGAAGAGGAAAATGTTGATGCTCTGGACGCAGAGTCTGAAACTACAAAGGTTGCGTCGGACAACGAATCCCTGGGACCAAAGAAGGATGTCTTTGGCTTGAATGACGAGTTCTTCGACATTGATAACTTCAACAAGCAGATTGTCGCCCTCGAGGACGATGGAGACGATGACGAGGAAGAAATAGACTTGTTCGCTGACTTGAGTGATGCCGAAGAGAGTGAAGAGCAGGAAATGGATTACTATGATGAATTTTTCGACAAACCAGGACAAGAAAAGAAAACAGCAAAGAAGTCCAAAAAAGCAAAGTCAGAAGAGGATGAAGAGTTAGATGAAGATCGTGAACTCGATGATAAGGAATATGATCAGGCTGTTGATTCTGCCATGTTTGATCTTTTTGCAGATGAGGATGAGGAAGTGGAGAAGCAGCAAAACACAAAGCAAATGTCATCTTTTGAGAAGAAGCAACTGCAACTTCAAGCAGAGATTGCTAAGTTGGAGGCCGAGCTTGTGGCTGAGAAAAAGTGGACTATGAAAGGTGAAGTAAGATCGAAAGATCGTCCTATGGATTCACTTTTGGATGACGAAGAAGCTCCATTGTTAGAATTCGACCGTACATCCAAGCCTGTGCCAGCTATCACAGAAGAAGTTACTGAGAGCATCGAAGACTTGATCAAAAGAAGAATCCGCAATGATGAGTTCGATGACTTACCCAAGAGACTCATTACTGATGTGTCTCGCTTTGTGCAAAAACAAAAGACAGAAGTGTCGGAGCAAAAGAGTGAGAAGTCATTGGCAGAAATCTATGAGGATGTATATCATGGAGTGGATCCTGACGAAAAGATCACAGAGGAGCTTCAAGCAGCACATGATGAAATCAGCGACTTGATGACCAGTCTAAATTACAAGCTTGACTCGTTATGTCTGGCACATTATATTCCAAAGCCACATCAATTCAAGTCTCTTGAAGTTAAAGTTACAGATGCTGCTGCTTCCATTTCTTTGGAGGATGTTCAGCCTACACATGTTTCTGACGAGACGAAGCTCGCGCCACAAGAAGTGTATAAGATTGGTGATGATAAGGTGAAGGCTGATGGAGCCAAGGGAGTTTCGCAGGTGCAATTGAAGTCTGGTTTGGCGTACTCGAAGGATGAGTTGGACCGTGACGACAAACAGAGATTGAGAAGAGCAAAGAAGAGAGCAAAGTCCAAACACTTTAACGAGTTGAAGGAGATGAGAGAAGCTCGCGAGAAGCAGAAACCAGAGGGTGGAGACCGCAAGCGCCAAAAGGTGAGTGACGTCATTGATACGTTGTCGAAGGCGAAGAACGTCACAGTTATTGACAAGAAGGGCCGGCTTACAGATGCCAAGGGTAATGCTAAAAAGAACCAGAGCGCCCCAAGCGGCAGTAATCTTCTTTTGTAGGTTTCAGGGTATATGCATACACAGCTAGGTAATACACAGCATTGACGAGAAAGCATAAGAAGAAACAACAAAGGATAGTAAAAAAAGAAACAAAGAAAAAACAGACTACGAGAAGAAATAAAGAAAACGACAATTAGCATCAGCACATGGAATTACCAGCGGTGGAGGCAATTAAAATGTGACAATGCGAATGCACACTACCACAACCAGACCAATTTCATCGCCTGACATAACCGTCGCGCCGCACCGCCGATCAAATGTACCCCAAGCAAATACATCAGTACAAGAGATATACACAAGCGAAAAATCGGGAAAGTACAAAAGCAACATCATCTCGCCAGACCACTCTGCTCAATTCGGTTGCACTGGGACTCACATATGGCTCGCTTGTTGTTGCCATGACATCTTGACGGGGCATGCACCTCGTAAGTGTGTGTGCATGCGGTTTTAAAGTGTTCGCGCAGCAAAATGGGCGTGGGCCCGGCGTTTTGGCACTTTAGAAAAGTCAAAACCACTCGCCTCCTTTTCGAGTCAACGCGGTCTCTTCTCCTTCCGAACCACTTGTCTGTGTCTCTTGACGTTTGTCTGATTGCGTTTCTTTTCGATTTCGCCAGCCATGATTTCGCTTCTGTTCTTGAAGCAGCTCTTGACTATTCCTGTGGCTATCGTATCGGCCGTGGTCAAGTATTACACCACAGGCACCGTTTATCTGACCACCAACAAGGAATTTGCAAACTCCCTCTATAAGAATGTTCATATGTCTGTTTTGTTTCACTTGGCCAATACCTACAACAGAGACGATGTCGCAACGTTCATCTATCGTTCCACTCAGTCTCATTTCAAAAAGTTCAAGTCCCACCCATTGGCTGTGGGATTGAACGGCTTTGGCGAGTCCATCGACCCCCGCACTACTTGGGTCGTGAAGAATGGCAGTGCTGCTGCCTCTGAGAAATCTGCTGTGCTTTTTCTTCATGGTGGAGGCTACTGCTTAAATGTGTTCAGCACTCAGTTTATTGGCATCATGGCCCTCTACTACGCGGTCCCAGAGCCCGAAAGGGAGAAGTTGTCCATTGCTATTTTGGACTATTCTCTCACTTGCCACTACAAGAAATTCCCTACCCAGATTTTCGAGGCCATCCACGCATACCGCGAGTTGGTGAACCAAGGCTATACCAAAATCACGCTTCTTGGGGATTCCGCAGGTACCAACTTGGCGTGCGCCGTGGCTAGGTTTATCGCTTATCCTGAAGAAGCCAAAGCCACTTTTAGCAAGTTCGCTGACTTTGACTGGGACTTTTCGCCTTTGCCTCAGCCTGAGAACATGATTTTCATCTCGCCCTGGCTTGAACCTTGTACTGTTCCCAAATATCTTCCTGGTGTGGACACTGCGGGTGATTTGGGTGCTATCGACACCTCTTTTGGCGATTGGTATGTGGAAGGATTGAACTTGGATGAGATCAAACCGTTTGTGCAATTCACAAATACCACGTACGAGAAACACTGGGCCAACGTGGATGCCTTCAATGGCAAGGGCAGATGCTTGTATCTTTACGGAGCAAGAGAAATCTTGAGAGAAGGTGTCGAACGGTTTGCTGACATCATCACCAAAGAGGGCCTGGGCAAGTTGGAGGTGTATGTCGAGGCAGGCGGCATCCACGACGCTCTTTTCTATGTTGAGAGTCTCGACTACTTGGGCAAATCTGGTGCTCAGAGGGCTTTAGAGGGAGATTTTCTGTCTAAGTTCGCTTACAGCTTGGTGGGTGAATTTTTGGCCGAACTTGTGAAGTAGTTGACGTGAGGCTGTGGTGAAAGCGATCTTAACATTTTCGGTTCTATCAATCCAACCAATTTATTCATGTTGTTTACGGGGTTGCTGATGATAGCGGGTTGATCTCTCTGGTAACGTGATTTATTGTTGCTTGCTTGTACAAATAATGAACTCATGTGTTATTCCTTGCTTGAGACTGTCACCAAAGTTTATTTATAAGAAAAGGTCAGTAAGGGCTTCTAATACGCGGTTCCTTATCACGCTTAACGCTGTCTAGACTTTGAGGGATATGAACAAAGGACTTAGAAATATCTTTCATATACATGTTCCAAATATAATTATTGAACAGTAATGAAGGCCACGAGTATCTACCGTAGTTCTGCTGCATCGGGACTTGAAGGGATGTAGTAGTACTATTAGTTGCTGGCTGAAGGCAAATGTATGCAAAAAAAAAGAAGCTTCCCCACCAGGAGTCGAACCTGGAATCTTCTGGTTCCAGAAGTGGTTACTAATCGTAGCCAGACGCCTTGACCATTGGGCCATGAGGAACGAAGCTCTTGCGATATTGCATTTCGACCCGGCCATATCACGCCTATTGTCGCCATGGAATTTCTGCTGTATAAATCTCAAAACCAGTGTTGATTAGGAGAAGAATGTATTTCGCATTAATGCTGGTGCAGTAAACAGAAACAGATGTGGCTCAGACGGGTTACATCATCTCCGACAGGGTTCAAAATGTCGCCGAGCCCCAAAAAAAGAAGTTTCTGCGCAACTGAAGGGCCAGGTCGTAAATACTGCAATTGTAGGAAGGGACATTTCTCCGAACTCTGAGCTTCGAGCGATATCTCCTTGCCACAGGTTCTACGAATTACATTTTCAAAAGGCTGTTCGGAATTGAAGACGTGCTTCAGGAGATGGGAATACGCCATTTCTAAAATTTTGTTGATTTTCGACATGGTCATTATTTCCTTCTGTTGATGCTTTCTTTTCACCAGAATGCTTGCCAAAGATGACGTTACTCGCGTATATAGCACGAGAATGTCGTGCCTCACTTGCTTTCCCCAGCAGGCGAAAAACAAAGCAGTCACTGCAAAGGCAAGAAAGAATCCGCACTGCGAGGATTCTGCGGGGCTCTTAATCCAGGTTACGAGAGAATCTTGAGGGTACATAGCCATGCATGGCCCTGAACAAAAATATCCTTTTAACTTTGTCGCTTGAGACAGTCTGCGGCGCTCAAGACAGACACCATTAGGCCAAAGACAGTAATGAGTAAACACGACGCGGTGGTCCGCAAACACCGACAATACCGAGTTCGGAAGCAAGCGGACCGGGCAAATTGTGGTGGTGAAACAGAGACACAGCCACCAATCACAAAACGGCTCGGGAATTTATCCAGGTTGCCAGAGATCCAAGGCACTTGACACTATTGTGCGCGACATGCTTGTATGGCGCACCATTGTGTCATGGCCTGTAGAATGGGGACAACGGAAAATATCAGCAACAAACATGGTGCTGGTTCATTATGGACACACCAACATCTGCCCATCGCTTCTGTGCGGTTGTGCAAGCTCGGGACTCTGATGCTGTGTCGTACCAGATGTTAGTGGGTCGCGTGGCTCAAATGTCGCGCATCCGGAGTTCCTGGTGTATATGTAGGAGATCGCCCCTGCCAGATGTCGCTGCCAATTACATTTCCGCAATCGGTTGATTGCATGCATACGTCGGCTCTAACCATATCTTGCAAGAGGAGTCCTTGGAAATAGTCATTGATTCTATCACCATTGTATGTAGAAAAAAAAAATTGGCACCGCCAGTGAAATCGCAAGCGTAGATTACCTTAGGCTATCTCAATTGCAATTTTGCCCCATCCATGGACCCTTTACAACAGACCCCAGATAAATATGGTTAGACCCCATCTGCAGGTCCCAATGGTGGAGGTGCGTTAGGTATCACCACTCGGCCGGCAATATAAACTTAAAAATAGAATGGCGGTACAAGTGGCTGCGTCGACATTGTAATGGACGCATGAGTTGCCCCTCGCCCTATAAATATAGGCTGGACCGCCTGCTTTGCTTTTTGATTCCATCACATTTTTACAGAGCATGAAGTTTCAATCTGTTGCCCTCGTGTCCATCTTGGCATCGCTCGCTTCGAGCGCACCAGTGTCTCCATCCAACACATGGTCTACCTTAACTCCCACCGCCACTTTGCCAAAATCTGCTAGTGCCATCACTTCCACCAGCGGAACTTTTGCATTGTCCATCAGAACTGTCTCGGCCTCGGTCAGCAGCGGCATCTCTGTCAACAAGAGAGACGTGATTTCTCAAATCAGTGACGGCCAAGTGCAGGCTGACACCAAGTCTGCCACTGCCACCGCTTCTGTCATCAACCAAATCAGTGATGGCCAGGTCCAGGAGAACACCAAGACCACAAAGAAACCTGAACCTACTGCTTCCGTCATTAACCAAATCAGCGACGGCCAGATTCAGGAACAAACCAAGAAGACCACTGCTTCTGTCATTAACCAAATTGGTGACGGTCAAATCCAACAACAAACCAAGGCTAAGACCACTGCTTCTGTCATTAACCAAATTGGTGACGGTCAGATCCAACAACAAACCAAGGCTAAGCCAACTCCATCTGCCTCTGTGATCAACCAAATCAGTGACGGCCAGATCCAACAACAAACTAAAACTAAGACCCAAAAGAACACTGCTTCTGCTGTTGCTCAAATCAGTGACGGCCAGATCCAGGAACAAACTAAGACCAAGACTCAAAAGAACACCGCCTCGGCTGTTGCTCAAATCAGCGACGGTCAACCTCAACAACACACTCTGGCTCCAGTTGCTTCTCAAGTTTCTGACGGCCAAGTCCAAGCGACTTCTTCTCCAGACGAGGCTACCGTTGAGGAGACTTGCTACGACTCTGATGCATTGACCATCCAACTTAAGGACGGTGAATTGAGAGACAGCAAGGGTAGAGTCGGTGCTATTGTGGCTAACCGTCAATTCCAATTCGATGGTCCTCCACCACAAGCTGGTACCATCTATGCTGCTGGCTGGTCCTTTGTTCCTGCAAGCTACGCTGGTGTTAACGAAAAGTCTTCCGACACTACCGACGAAGGTTTGAAGTTGGCTTTGGGTAAGCAAACCGTCTTCTACAAGTGTTTGTCCGGTGACTTTTACAACTTGTACGACGAATCTATCGGTGACCAATGTTCTGCCATTGAAATCTTCGTTTTGGAAGCTGTTCAATGTTAAAAAAAAAAAGTTGAAGAACCACTGTTCGCTATTTCTTTCTCGTGCCCTTTATTTTCGTCTTTTGCATTGTCACTTTCGACACATTTTTATCTCATAGGCTAATACAACGTCATGAATGATCATCCTGTATTGAAAAGAACTCAAATTATCGCGGCTAATAAGAACTTTGCATCGCGTTCATTTAAACTTCGCACGCTTAAGCATAAGCTTTAATCCAGTACATTGTCAAGTATTCTGTAGCTACGATGTTTCTTGGTATGTTCTGCATCAAAAAAAAGCAATTTAAAAAAGGATGCTCCGCGGCAGGTTCGAACTGTCGACCTTCAGATTTCACAACTGTTGTTATGAGACTGACGCTCTGCCAACTGAGCTAGCGAAGCTTCCTGTGGCAAATAATTTTTCTTGATAGTCTAGACTCTTTGTAAGAGGTTTCATCTTCAAGGAACAACATTCTATAAACCTATCTCTCAATCCAAATCTAATTGTTTCTCTACTGATTCAAGTCTTCTTTTCGTCTCCACCAAAACCTTAAGAGCAAACATATGGTCCTCCTCTTGGGCTAAGCCACTGATGGTCAACGCCCCATAAAGCCCATCAAAATTAGCCGCTTTGATAGGAACAGATCCGCCATGTGTGGCATATTCCAAACTGCTTACAAAGTAGGCCTTTTCGGTACCTAACGAGCAACCAGCATCCTTCTCTTTCTTGGCCAATTTCCGGCCCATGTAGAAACTGGACTTGCCAAAGCGCAAAACGGTCTTCTTCTTCCGGTTCACCCATGCATCATTGTCTGGCATTGTACCCTGTTTTGAAGGGCTGTGGAACAATACTTGGCCGTTGGCAAGAGTCACATCGATCATGATTGGTTTTGGAAGATCTTGAGCCAACTCACGGGCCAAGGTTCCAATTTGCCACGCAATGTCACTGTTGAAAAAGGGCAACACAATTGGCGATCCTTCTAATTGATCTAATTTTTCAAGTGAATACTGTAATGGCAGCGTCATAACGAAAGGTAGCACTAAAATAAGTGGTAATAGTGACGGATTTTATATGAATCGCGAACAAGTGGCGGGGCTCAGGTGAGTACATAGTGCGCTATAGGGAAAGATGAAAAGGTTCAAAAGGTAAAATAGAAAATAGGCAGAGGCTTGAAAGCTCAAAAGAAAGTTGCAGAAGCCAGTAGTTGTCAATTTACTTATTGCCCGAAGATTGGTAATTTGGAATTGAGCTTGGGAGAGGACGTATCCTCAATCGGAAAGTTTAGGTCCGACGATGCCGATGTATCCCAAGATATGAGAAATACGTCTTAGTGCCGATCGTTTGTATTAATAATTGTGCATGCATTTCAAAAGATTAGAGATTCTCTTATCATATATTTATTTATTGGGACGGAAGTTTCCGAATCTGTACAACAGCAGGCCAATGTCCGTTCTGCAATTCATATTTTTTTCGCCGCGCGTCACCTTATCACAGTATTCTTATCAATCTTCCATATTCGTTCGCCGAGCGCACGGAATAATTTTCCCCTATTAAACGCATCCCAACAGATTCAATTTTTTTTTTTCAACAACCATTCAACCATGCTTGCGGAAAACGTCTCTTTCCGCCGCCGCTTCCTACAATGTGGCAGTGCGGTATTCTGGTGTTTACTTTCGGGTGGTCCCATCTTTGGCTTTGCAGCTTTGAAACCAGTTTTAATCAAAGAACACGTTTACGAATATGCTTGTGATGTATCCATCAATGCCACAACTGCCACCTCTAACTACTGGGCAGAGAACTTTGTCATGGATCCAGAGAAGTTCAGCTCTTTATCCTTGATGTTGGCGAAAACAACGTCTTCGGACCAAGACATCGTGGCCAAGTGCACGAATCAGGATCTCAAACTCAACATGATGTTTACTGTCGGAGCTATGGTGACCAATGTTTCCGCTTTTGTGATTGGTCGCTGTTTGGATATTTATGGACCAAAGGTGTGTGGCCTCATCGGAGCGGTATTCTTATACATTGCGTGTTTCATTTTCATCTTCGGCAAGGACATTGAGAACTCTGCTCTTTCATTTTTGGATCCTTATTTGATTGGTTATGCATCGATGGCACTTGGGAGGTCCGTTCGCGTACATTTCGTCGTTCCAGTTGTCGAACTCGTTTCCTCAAAAAAGTGGAACTATCTTGGCCATACTCACTGGCGCATTTGACGCTTCATCAGCAGTGTTTTTGATATTCAGATTGATCTACAACGCCACCAATCAATCATTTGGCTTGGTGAGCTTTTTCCAACTTTATCTTGTGGTGCCCATTTTCATTACCCTTGCACAGATTTTCATCATGCCTTGGGACTCATACAAGACTGGCCCAGATACAGACTTGTGTGCAAATGATAGCCAAGAAGTTGCCGTGGCTGTGGCTCTGGCGTCTGAGACAGACCCATTGTTATCCAGTCAAATGTCTCCAAGTGCACATTCTGGTAGAAGAGATTCCATTGGTGATGCCTTGAAGCAGCCGTATGCAGAGGAGGGAGAAGAGTTCTTGATTGAGCATTCCGGCGGTATCTTCGGCATATTGCACGGCTTTTCTGCAGAGTACCAAATGAAAACTCCATGGTTTTATTTGATGTGTTGCTTTGCCACCATCATGATGTTGCGGTTGAACTATTTTGTTGCAACAATTGGAACGCAGTACATTTACTTATTGGGTTCTGCGACGAAAGGAACACTATTGAACAGGTTTTTCGACATTGCCTTGCCACTTGGAGGCATTATTTCTATTCCCTTTGTTGGTCTTTTCCTAGATTACTGCACTACAGTGGTGGTTTTAACTGCTTTGCTTGGAGTTTCTTTGACTATTGGTGTTCTTGGACTTATCCCCAACATTTACGCTGGATTTTTGAACGTCATTCTCTTTGTCGCATACAGACCATTCTTCTACACCGCTGTTTCTGACTTCTGTGCCAAGGTGTTTGGATTTGACACTTTTGGTACCGTCTATGGTGCCATGATCTGCGTTTCAGGTGCTTTCAACTTCTTCCAGTCTACTTTGGACAAGATTACACACACCACGTTCCACATGAATCCCACACCAATCAATGCAATTTTGGTGACCATCACATTGGTTGTGGGTGTCGCCATGATCGCATATACTAGACACCAGGCTGTCTTGTTTCAGCAAAAGAAGACTCGCTTGCATGCTCATGCATAGATGTCCGACGGTGTTTGTTACACTTGCCCGTATTTAACATAGAAGATATCTCTTAATGGTAAATTGTAATTTTTTATTTTTTCATTTTTTCATTTTTTTCCAGTAGCTAATCTATTTTGATAAGTAGTCATGGACTAATATATTCTGTGCGCACCAAGAGATTGTGCGAAAATCACCGCGAAATTCATCAGGAGAATATCTACCACGACAACCCAATCTATCTTATCCCAACATGAAGCCAGTTGTCTCTACGGGAAAGGCCTACTTTTGCACCATTTTATCCGCCTTTGCCGTGGTAATTTTGTCAATCATTGGTTATTTGTTCAAGATCGGCCATGAGTCTATGATGGGTTCTACTTCCGACCCAGAAGATGGTGATGCTGTTGCCCATACCGTCTTCGGCGCTGTTTTCGTTTACTTGGCGTTCCTCCTCTTCTGTGGCTCTCAGGTGTTCTTAATCCAAAGAGAGAGCAGAATCAAGTTGTGATTAGACATTCAATTCTCCATCTGTATAATATACGCAAGTCCCACCAAAAGTAGAGATATTCCATATTGATGACAATACGCCACTGGCCGCGTGAACGGTTTCTACCTTTCAAAATACGCTTCTATAGCTTTAACTTCCAGAGGCGAGAGTTGGGAATCACCACAATTCGACATTGTAGTAACCAACTCAGATAATCACGAACTGCAGGACCATATCTTCATCACAAGTACCGACCAATGACCTAAAAGCCATTGAGATTTACTACAGCTGCCTGTAAACGGTGAATGTTACGTATACTTATCCATGCGATTACAACTTGGCAACGCTGTCTTTCCCATCTTTCCAAACCACGTTCCCGCTCCAGTCACACACGTCAAATACCATAAGACGGATTTCGTTGAGCTCTGCTCGAGTTCCACCAACGTTCAACGCTCCCTTTAAATGGCCCTTCAACGTGGGATTAACGTCTTGTGGGATCAATGCTGAAATGACGCAGAACGAAGTTTCTTTGGGTCCCAACACTCCGGTGAAGCTCAATAGAGGCGAGTACACATTATGGAAAGCATACTGCCACAAGTCTGGGTAGGCGTCATACATCTGCGTCCTTACCCTGTCGCTCACCTTCCCATATACCAACAGCCAAAAATCCAGGCCGCGAACCATATTGTCCACAATTTGCTTGTCGTTGACACAGTCCTCGCTTACTGGGCCCTCCAATGTATCGTACGTAGAGATTTGCAGATCTTCAAAGCGTGTCCCAGCCACATCTTCTTGAACTAACGTTGAAGACAGTACATGGCCAGGATTCACAGTAGCTGGACGCAAAGATTTCTGTGCCGCACGTATGCTATTGGGAGTCACTTTTTTCAACGCGGTCAACGCATTGATCAGCTTAGGCAAGCCAGCTATAGGTGCAGCTTTGAGAATGGCCTCTCTGATTTTGCTGGCCACTATGGACTGCGCTGCTCTGATGTCTTCGCTTCGCTGGTATTTGTATGCAAGCGGAAGTTTGTCGTGATAAGTGTGGGGAATCAACACATCGGGTAATGACACACCCACAGCTGTAAGGTCGTCGAACTTTGCTGCTGATGAAATAGAGTCTTCTGCTAGTTGCAACAAATATGTGTCGGTCAAGAGCGATTTCTGCATTGATGATTCGAGGAGTTGTTGTCTCAACGCAAAATGAAGCACCTTGCCGATTTCCTGCGGCTGGTTCACAACAGTAAGCGTTGTCGAGGCAAAGACATACCAGTTGCTGTGGAGAGTCGGGTACTTGTATGCTAGCTTGACAAGTCTTTCTGCTGTTAAGGTGGCCATGGGAGAAGAAAGAATGTGGGGAAGAAAAAAGGCCGAGGAACGCGGAGAAGAGAGAGATGCGTACCGGACTGGTTATCTTCACATGAGAATTGCCAAAAACACGAAACAACTACAGTGCTCTATGTAGCGGTCAAAGCTTTGATACTCAGAACATCAAAGATCTCTTGTATTTGCTATAAAACCATCAAAGTTCTGTATTTGATGAGCAATAAAAACTGTAGCTAAGTCATGCTAAGCGCAGATCAATGTAAATAGTCTCTAATCGGAAATTGAATGGACTTTTAAGTTCGCCGAGATGGAAGAATTTCTGCCTTCTAATCATCTTCAGAACGAGCTGACCATTAGAAGAGTTCAGCAGACCAATAAGAACCAAGACTCATATCTTCAATGTGCGACGGATGACAATAATGTGAATTTCATTTTGACTCGGGTTTCTTTATCGAGCTTCCTACCCATCTTCGGGCTATCTTGTCCTTGATTTTCTGATGCTGCTCAACAGTCCATTCGCCCATGGACCAAAAGTGTTGAAGACTAGAAAAAGCTGGGGCCACTTTCTGATTGAATTGGCGAAACGTCATATTATACTGCTGACCAACGTCCCTTGGTAGATTATCTTGTAAGATAGACTTGATTTCTTGTCTCAGAATGTTAAGCTTCACGTCCTCTTCTTTTTCTTCCTTGTTCAACTTCTTGACTTCTCCTTGGTCGCTTCTCAGTCCCCAAGGTCTCAAACGTTGATGTACCGGGACCCACTGATTAGATTTTCTCCATCTATCTGACTCAACCATCTCCCTAATCCTGGATACGGCTCTCTTATAGGCGAACTTTTTCATCTTCACCTGTAAAAGCTTTCACATCACAAAATTCACATCCTTTTGGGGTTTTTCGTCTCATATTCTTTTGCATGGTCCGTATCGTATGATGCAACGTTTGGTCTATACGGATTCGAAGCTGCGATTGCAGTTTTTAGCGAACATTTCCTCTTCTTGCACCGAGGCAGTATCTACCTCTTTTTTACCTTCCGGGAAAAAAAGCTTCTCAACAGGTGCCTCAGTTCTAAGATATAACTGGCACCTTGCCTCGTATAAAGCATCCAATAAGGTGATAAATCTTCTGGCTTCATTTTTCATTTTGCGGGTCATCACTGGGACTGAATCAATAATCACAGTATGGTAAATAGAAGCGAGAGTTATGTAATCAGATGAGCTGAATAGCCCTTTGCAAATGTAATCAAACGTTACGTAACACACAGAGTTATCCTTGAATGTAGTATCCAAAGTCGATGTACGATTGTAAACTGTAAATGTGGACCGTTTTGACGGTAAATCCAGAATCAGAATCCGTGGATCATGCAAATAAGAATGTGGTTCAATTTGTAACGCTCTTCTTTTGACCAAATCAAGCCATTCTATGTCATGGTTCATGTTATTTTCTTGCACAACCAAGTTAGGGCTGACAACAGAGTCTAGAGCAAATTGTGCTCTATAATCTATGCTGGATCTCATATCGACTGCGACACACCGGGTATTGAGTATGCCAACAAAAGATTTGAAACGAGACTTATTGAACTCCGACGAGTAGAGTTCTTCAGGGAGTTTGTTGGAGGTTGCAATAAGAACACCTCCCAATTTAAAGTAATAAGTGAAAAGTATTCGAACGATTTGAGCTGAAGCAACGTCAGGTAACATAAACTCATCTAACATGAATACTGTGCTCCGCGATATCATTTTCTGTGCTATCTCAAACAAGATAAATTCATTTTCAATGGTCATCTTATGCTTTCCTGAAACAGATAAGGTCAACATTTTCTCCTTTTGAATCCTGTGGATTTCCTCATATACCCACAATATAAAATTATTGTAATGCCATCTCATTTTTGATTTATACGGTAAAGTGCTTGCAAAGATATCCATGAGCATTGATTTCCCGCATCCAACTTCGCCATTTACCAAGAGACCTTGAGGTGCAGCAATGTTTGCTAATTCTTCTTCATCTGTCAAATACCTAATCAAGTCCTTTTTCTTCGTCTCGATGTCCTTTTTAAACCACAGACGTAGCCGGTGAAGCGGCTCTACTTGCAGGTTAACCTGCGATACTTCCTCTGCATGCTGAAGCTCCAATTTCTTCATTAGAATCAGTGTTCTTATTGCTATTTCTTGTGGAGGTTTATAGTCTATCACACGATGGTAAAGCTTTTGGAACTCTTTCATTGCTCTCAACTGAGCTTCATCCTTTATCATTAAACCCGATGCAACATAACTCATATACAACTGAAAAGGATCAGTGGATACTAAAGTTGATGTGGAATCCAGATCAGAATGATCAAACGATGGGATTCTCCGGTCAACTCCTTGAGGACCGGAAGTATGAACGCTCAAACACCTGGAGACCGATCTTAGAATATGGGGCGTATCACGAAACTTTCTCATTTTCGTTCGGATGGAATACCTTTGAAATCTCGAGGAATGTCCATACATCGTAAAAAGATGAATGTACAGCCCAAAACCGAATCGGACAATATTCGCGATCTGATTAGATAATGCATGTTGAACGTTAACAGAAAGGAAGAGATGCGAGGCAACAAAAAAATTGAAAATGACGAACGAAACAGGGATTGAAAAATTCGGCAAGTAGAAAGGCCGATATCAAAAGGGAATGAATGAAGTATACATTTTTTACAATCATGAATGCCATTATTATGCTAAGGTATATATCGGGGATTGTGCACATTCTTCTTAAGTTGTGCTTTCTTGTGTGCTTACCTCACTTGAACTATGATTGAGACCCAACTGCGCAAACTTCTTGTCCAAGGAATTAGAGAGCCCATTCATCTCCTCATCTGTACGGCCGTATAGCTCAAACCACCACTTCACATCCGAGAAGTTGATGAATAAAACATCATCGTTGGAGGGCTTGTGATACGACGCATTCGTAAACTCCGTGGGTCGTGAGAGAAAATAGTCCCAAAGGGAAACGGTTTCTTTGTGAGCTTGGTGCAAAGAGAGCAGCATCTCATTATCAAATAAAAACGTTCCGTACTGACATGAGTAGTAGTGATAAAAAAGCCGTTTGAGGAAACGGCTATTGAACTCAAATTTTGTTGGATGCTGTCTCATTATCTGGTAGACACATTCCAAGAACTGATGAAAAACAGGCGAACACTCGTTCGAGCCTTTATAGACCATGTAGTTCGACTGTTCGCCACTGCTATCAAGACTCTTTTGAGATGCAGATGATGCAGCTGCAGAAGCAGTATTCTTAATGTGTGTTGCAGCTCTTTGCAAAAAAGATGTGACAGCTTCTTTGGTGCCTCCATTTGAGTACGTCTTGCTCGGAGGCAAGTCTGTCGACTCACTCGGAGAGTTTTGCTTCCCTGAAGAAATAGATTCAGAGTCATTAGGCGAATCTTGCGAGTCCGTTTGAGACCTGGGAATCAATGCACCGATGCAACCACCATGATCAGCTCTCGTGGCAAACTTGAAACCAAAACTTATCCACTCTTTTTCAATTAAGACCATAAAACCCTTCATTGTACGGAAGTATGGATCAAGACAAAGCTGCAGTAACGCTGATACTTGAGATGTACGGTCCCAGCCGTCTGAGCAGTGGATCAAAACATTTGTGTTGTTCAAATGAACGGATTTGGTAATGCGATCTACAGATTGAAGAATCACAGATAATCGATGGAGCCATTGTGTCTTTGTGAGGGACTGCTGAAGAAGAGGGTACATTGTATCACCGTTAGATGAGACAGGATACCTGTCGAGGTCACTGAGGATGGAGATAAGCTTGTTGACCGAATCACGCATCACATGGATGTTGTCGATATTGCAAAAAATTTTGTCCACGTTCTGAAAATGGCGGACGTTGCCAGATTCAGAGTCCTGCGAATTGGTACCATGAGATTGCCGTCCCTTATAATTGTCAACGTTTTCTGTGCCCGCTCCAAGAGCATGCTGTGCCAACGCGTTCGTGAGAGGACGCAAATCCACAATCAAGTTGCGTTGTGGTTGCTCTGAAAATTCACTATCATTCGAAAGACGAGCAGCCCTTTCCAACTGCTGCGACCGGAAGATTTCCTCAACCAACTTTTCATCCTGAATTGAACGGTTTTGCAAGTTGAGCCCTACTAGAGGCTGTGAACAACGCGCAATGACATTGCCATTTTCTCCAACCCGATGCTTGTACACCACGGCAGGTAATCTCTGCTTGGAACGGAACTTCCCCGCGTGTTTCAAAATGCTGTCTGATATCGACGATGGAACAACCCATGTTCGTGGGTAGGAAGGGCAAAAGCGATATGTTTCGTTTATGGAAGTGAGCCGCCATGGTTGTGTCTCAGAGTCCTCTGATATAAGATCCTGACGCCTGTACTCATCTTCAGCAGAGTAGAGCAGCCAGCCGGACGACTCGAGTCGCGATTCTAGCATGTTAGGTTTGTAGTCATATGCATAAAATTCCTTGATTGAGCCCTTGAATTTCGGAGACGTGATCAATAAACTGAGTTTATGGTACACTTCTGAGCAGGTTGAGTCGTTGACAAAATCAAAAGAATAGTACGTAAAGTCCTTACAGTAGACACGGATGTGAGAAGCAGAGTACCGATCAAAATCAGTGTCTGTTGGCGGGTCAATAAGAGGCAATTTTGCCCCCGTCATGGATGCTACCGGTGAAACAGACCATGAGGATCTACGTGCTTTGCACATTCGCCCAATCACGGGGTAGCAGAGCCAGATTTCCCTGGGTTTGGTGTCTTTCTCTTGGGCGAAGGAGAACACCATGTGGAAATCCGACAAGATTAGCGAGCCTTTGAGATAATGGCCACGCCTCGAGAGAAGAACATTCTCGAAAGTAATGGCCTTCAACGGATCCATTGGCAAACGGCGATCGTGAGGCTTGGTAGATTTCTTATCTATAATCACTTATCGTGAGAAGTAGACTACTGTTTTTGGGGCAGGTGCTCACGTGCGATTTACTCACAGAGGCTTTCCTTTGGGCGAAAACAGGCGACACGAAGAGCACATGTTCTAGATAATAAAGTATGTTTTGAATGGTGTGCTGCTTTTGTAACGCTACTCAGGTTCGTTTCAGCTCTTTTTTCGGGACTGCCTTTTGTGTAGTTAAATATATAGTCTATAATCCTTCGAAACGGGCGATGCCATTGTTTGGAGGGACCTTTGCCTTCACCTTCTTCAATTTCTTTTTTGGCCGCTGCTTCTCCTCCTCCTCCTCTTCTTCTTCTTCTTTCTCTTGAGCCGTTAGCTTGTTGATATTAATAATTTTTTTCTTTGGCTTGAGTGCTGTCTGAACATCTTGGCGTTTTCGTCTGACGATCTGCGGTTGCTCTTCGCCTTCTTCATTTTCGCCTGCCGATTCGTTGCCCGATTCTTCCTTTGTCTCAACATCATCGACTTCATCATCCTCAGAAATGTCGCTGCCAAAATCAGAAGACATATCTGAATCGGACTCGTCATCACTATCGCTCTCATCCTCGTTCATTTCCTGGTTTTCAACCGTTTCACCGGACCAAATTTTCAAGCTATCCATACCTGCACTGATCAATCTGTAGTCGTAGTCAATTTCCAAGCTTCCTACTTCATCCATGCCGCCCAATTTCCCAATCAGAGAAGAATGAACACGAGACTCGACAATTTTTCCCCTCTTGTAGTTCACACGATGAAGCAATCCTTCACTATCACCACACCAAACAGAGTCCCTCATATCTTCAGTTCCCGCGTTCATGGTAGAAATTATAGCGTCAATAGACGCATTTTTGTTCACTTTTACACGAGAGATTTGGTCCATGAAACTGTTATTAGAGTTTCTCCATAGCGTGACAATACCTTCACCATGAGAGACAAGCACAGTGTCATTCTTGTGGTCGTTCACATAATCACTAGCATAACACATGGATAAAAGCTCGTCTGCTTGGTCGTCTGACTGGGTGATGATTCCCTTTCTTATGTCTAAATGCGTCAACGTGGTCGAGCCAAGACTCAAGTAGTGATATGCAGATACTGCTGGCATTGGAAGGATCTTATTCACAGCATCTTCATGCATTGCAGGTAGTTTGAACTTCAACTTATTGGATGAAAGTTCGTTGCTGTCGAATACTAGCACCAGTCCGTTTTCTGTACCCGCCAACAAAAAGGGATGTGTTGAGGAAATAGCCATAGTCGTGATTGCATCCGACGAATCGTCATAATGCTCAGAAATGGTTGTTTTTGCCATCACTCTTCCCGTTTCCGTCGCTGCTTTTTTGATTATATGATCTTTTCCAACAGAGTAAATCGACTCTCCAACAGAGCTTTCATTAATGTCAAAAATCACCGAACGGCATGAACCCTTGTGTCTTTTCGTTTTCCAGTTTGTAGTAATGCCATCGGCACCATCAATGTTCAGATGGTCAGGAACAACCTTCCACCATGCCTTCTTGAGCTGGGAAATTTGGGAGATTTTATCCTTTTTTCCAGAGTCTTGTAACTTCTCTCTGGCTGCTTGCACTTTTTCCTCTAGGCTCTCGGCATCGTAGGAATGACAAAAGAGATGGCCAGTCGCCAAACCTGCCATTATTATAGGTTTTGTTGGATGAGCCGCCATGCTGAAAAGGGGGTCGGAATATCCAATCTCCAAAATTGGAGGAACATTGGACTCCTGTTCAAGCGTGGTTTTCGAAGCACCTTTCTTTTTTCCCATGATAGTATCGAAAGTCCAACTGAAAAGGTGATGAGATGCGCACTAGTTGATATAGAAATAATCACTATGCACATCGCTCAAATCTACAAGATTGCCTACATTTGGTTTTTACATCAGTACATGCATAAAAAGGAAAACTTAGAAAATGTCTGCCACGCCTGCCAACTCCTTGTTCTTTCTTTTGGGCCAGTACTTGTCATTATAATGCCAATATTGATCACCTGTCACTGGGTGGTTCAGCCTGACAAACCAGTTTGGCTTATAAATCTCGCGCTTCTGCTCTCTTCTCTTTCTTGCAGCTCTTTGCTTCTCCTCAACTCTGTGCTTTTCTCTCGATGCCTCATCGTACCTTCCATCCTCCATTGCTCGTTGGTCAGGTCTTAATCTCGTGTCAGTAGGAGCCAACCATGGTTTGATGTTGTCGTTGATCTCATTCAAAGTCACTGCAAAAGATGTTAAGTTGAATGGAATCTTTGGACGAGGGGCCGCTTGCCATACGAGGAATTTTCTACCACTGTACGGATCAGAAGTTTGGTGTTCACCCTCGGCATCAATTAACGAGTTTCTCCTCTTCTTCTCCGACAAGCCAGTAATCTTCTTAGCATAAATCTTAGAGTTCCATCTTCCTCCAATTGCCCAGCGTTCTTTGCCATGAGCATCTGAAGCGATACCCGACAACTGGTATGCCGAAGAAGCCTTCCATCCTCTTTGTTTCATATCAACTATAAGCACATCGCCGGTTGTGTGGTTTCTAACTTCCATCTGACCAAAGTTGTCCACAGTCGGATTACCAACAATAATTCCGACCACAGACGTGTTGACTTTCTTCCAACTGTAGAGCTCCTCTTGTACTTTGTGGCCCTCTTTGTCAACAACACCATTATCTGGTCTGATTTTACAGAACATTTTACCTAAATGTTTCACATCGAATGAGCGTCCACGGAACTGGGTGTCAACGGCATTCTCACCGTAATAATCCCATTTGACGGACTCAGCGTGACATGCACTAATAGGAGGGTGGTGACTCACTTGCTCTGTAAGTAATCTGAAAGATTGGTCGGGGCGCGAGTACTCGAACGTTTCACCTAATAAAGGATTGAAGGGCTTCGCAATTCTGTCAATAGTTGATGCATATTCAGATGCGGCAAAGGTTGCGACGTAGACGATACGCAAAGTTGAGTCAGGAATAGATGCCGCCTTATTCAACAAGTCATTATATTCGATATCTTCAGCTAGTCTTTGAAGCAAAGAGGTGCATTCATTAAAAGAAACAGGTAAAGACATGTGGGTCATATCTTTACCAATCATGGACTTCAAAATTCCCCATAATCCAATTTTCGGTCTGTCATCTTCATCCATGGCCAACTTTTTCCGGGGAGGCTTTTCGTAACCTAAGAACGACCCCTCTTCTTTGAGTTTTGCAAGCAGCTTCATTTGGGAATCCGTAACAGCTTTTTGTCCCCCTTCAGAAATACTTTCGGTTCCCTTAGTTGCAGTCTTCCCACTTGCAGCTTCATCTTCAGTAGCCACTGGCTCGATCTTCTTTGTTTCATCTGGATTGGTCAATGTATTCTGACTTTCGGATTTATCGGTCGACTTGTCCACTGTCGTCTCAGTTGTTGGATTCTCTTCGACAGTCGTTTCACCAGCCTTTGCGCTCGCTGATTCTTCGACATCTTCATCAAAGTCATCAGCATCAAAGAATTCATCTTCAGAGTCGTTGAAAATTTCCTTGAATAACTGGCTTTGGTCCGTTTTAGTTTCAGTCTTCGCCAATGATTCTTCGTTGGTGATGCTTTGCGAATTCATAAGGCCAGTCGCTTGTTCGTTCGAAACATGGGCAGGTGACATTCCCTTCGATTCAAGCAACTTCTTCAACTTGTATTTCTTACCATCGTAAAGAGCCAACGCCTCTTCTCTCTTTTGGATCTCATTCTCAAGTTGACGTATTGAGCTTTCCCATAACTTGTTCACTTCTTGTTGACGATCGATTTTCTTGAGGAGCTTTTGATCTCTAATTGAGTTATAGGTGTCAAGCTGATCAATTAAGTCTTGAACATTCAGTAACGTCTTCATTCCGACATTGAATGTCTCATCATTTCCGTCAGAAGTCGCATTGGCTCCTAAATCCTTGAACAAAGAAATAAGACTGGCCAACTCCACCTTGATGGCTCTCTTTGTGGATTGAATCTGATCCATTGAATACTTTGCGAGTTGATCGGCCGGTTCATCTGCCGAGGAGTCTCCATCGTAATCAGACCCACTGTCTTCCAAGTCATAATCAAAGTCTTCAGAACCATAATGGAGGCCCTCCATGCTTGATCTATCATTCTGAACCGCCTTGCGTTCGTTGATTTGGCTCAAGCTACCGTGAGTGTTGCTTTTAGCAGAAGTCAGACGAGGCTCTGATGTTATAGAAGCACTGTCTTCTGCATCCGAGGGGGTGAAAGAGCTCAAGGACACTTGACTTGGAGATTTTTTATGTTTTCTGCGTCCTGGTACGTGCAATAAGCTGCTGCGTCTTCTTTCGTCCTCGGTATCCTCAAGAGCCTTAGGAGCATCTTCGGCCACAGATCTGCGCGAAGCGTTCTGTTTCCGTTTCATATTATCCTTAGCCAAAGTAATGGCATTCTGCAAAGTCCATACCCAACGGTTTGTTTCTACTGGGTGATTTGCTTTCAAGTGCCACTTGATTCCGTTTTTGCCGATAATTTCAAACTTTAACTTTTCTGATGAGTCCAAGTGCAAGGTTGCAAAACCAAGGTTCAATGAACCACGACAAGCGTTGATAGTGTCGCCCTGGTTGGTGTAGTAGGAGACAATTCCGGACAGGTCCAAAACAAAATATCTCAACTTATAGCCCGAGGCAATATTAGTCCATTTTCTCAAGTACCCTTTGTAAGTAGGGGCATTTCCTGCCTTAATTGCATTGTTAGTCGAAGCCACTGGATCCATCATGTTCTGGTCACGCGAAGCCACTTTCAAAAGACGTCTGATTGGATCAGCTTTGCTAGAAACCAAATCGATTGGGAGTTTGCCACGCTTGTCTCTCTTGAACGGATCACCGCCATGTTTCAAGATCCAATCGCACATTTCAAAATCTTCTTTGCGGATGAATTCATGGAGGACCGTGTTCCCAGTTTCCGGATCAGCACCATTGATATCCAACAACTCTGCTGCACGAGGATTATTAACCAAAATATTCTCCAAGCCAGCAAAATCCCGGTTGCTGAACATGCGGCGCAAATCCGTCGCTGCTCGTTCGACAAACTTGGCCCGTTCGTATTGCATAAGCTGGGCAATATCCGTGTCCTTGGAAAGCTCCACGGGCTGTTTCCGGTCGGCATTAAGTACTGTGTCATTGATGTTTGGCAATGAAAGAAGGTATTTGACAACATTAAGGCGGCCCGCAGCGACTGCCAAGTGAAGAGGTGTATTCCCGTCCATATCCTGAGAGTTGACATCCAACGAGAATTTTTTGGACTCCACTAATGCTTGAATAGTAGCCAAGGGCGCCACTTGCACAGCGTAATGCAAAACGGTTTCTCGCAAGCGAATCAACTCTGTTGTTTCAATGGTGGATTGCACCGACTGAAGATCCTCGATCAATGATTCGACTTTCTTGATATCGCCTGCCCGTAGACAGTCAAGAAGTTTGAGTCGGATGAGGGAAGCACTAAGATGCAGCGACATTGTATTGTTTGATGTTGCTGTTTCTGTTTCTAGAGGTGAAGTTTATCTGTTAAAGTTTCCGTCTTGATCGCTTAATTGATAGATTGCTTCCTCGAAGATAGGAGTGTGATTCTCCCGACAGCCGGGGCTGCACGTGACCCACACATTCACTTGGGGAATGCCTATAGTGAGAAGCCCAAGAAAAACCTGGCGGTGTGGTTAAGGGAGTTTCTGAGGAAGGCGCTCAATTGGAAATTTCTGCGCCACGTGTTCAGACTTGTATGCCATTGCTGATTTGTCTTTGTATCTTTATCTTGCGAGTTTCTTCCCCGCGAGCGAGAAACGAAGCCTTCTAATTGAGAGCCCGTATCATACTAAAAAAAGCAGTGTGCATGGTGGAGAAGTAGAATGCAGTAGCCCCAAATGGGTCAAGTAAAACACTATGTTAACACCAACGCAGACAAATTGGACAATTCCTGGTTCCATCAAACAATCCCTGGACGGTCTGAAAAAAAATAATCACAAGAGTGTTGGAGAACTCTCTTATTGTAGGCGTTTGGGGTCTGCTGGCACAAATGGTATACGCAGTAAGACACGCGCAAAAAGTTTCGTTGAGGAAGCTTTTTCCATGCACGAGAAAAAATAAAACAAAAGTACAGCTGACTACTAGCGGCGGGTGTTTTCCAGTTTGTCGTTGCGTGCACTTTTTCCTTTTCGGCCACCTTTATGAGTCGCTTGACCGTTCGCTTCTTTCTATAATACTCCAGCTCCTTCTTATCAGTTTGCATTTCGAACCCTGACTCTGATACAGCTTCCCTCCTTCACACTAACCTCCTCTCATACCGGTACATATAGTGTTGATTTGGCCATCGAAGATGCTTCAAGAAAACTTGCTTCTTGCGTGCATTGTGGTCTTTCTGGCGTTCTTCCGCCTATGCCTGGCCTTAGGAATGTCCGTTCCTCCCGTTCAGATTGGAGATCGAAGAAGATACTCTTCCCTTGACAACTTACTAAATTGCGTCGGCTACAGCACGATGAAAGACGACATCATCATCGTCCGCGTGAAAAGCGGCGACAGACAGATCTCCCAGCTGTTGAACTTGCATGTGTTTGACAGTGAGGGCAATCAACTTCGTACTTTGCATGATACCGCCGGCGAACAAATGTTTATGTTTACCAACTTGAACAATCCTACGCAGCTCAATGACGAGAGCCCTGAAAAGCTCATAAATCGGAAAGACACAGGTAACTCCTATAGTGACTTGCTATCGCCAAATCAGGGCAAGTCGTATGTGTACATTTGTTTTGATAACATCTACACTGACAAGTCTTGGAGTTTCCAGAAACAGCATCGCGATGTGTCGTTCCAAATTTTAATCCGGAACATGACCACTTTGAAAGAAACAAACTATAATACTCTTGCCAAGCATTTCAATCTCAAAAACCTTGATGAGGTCGACCTTAATAACAATGACGAGTTTGTGATGGATTTCACAGAAACAGATTTTGAAAATGCCATGAACTCTTTGCATTCGGAATTGCAGCATGTTCTCAATGAACTTAAATTGGCCGAGAACAACATCAACACTCTTGTTGACCATCAGAAACTCTTGAGAAACGCAAATGAAACCATTTTCGAATCTTACACGAAGTCATGGCTTCTCCTCATCATTTGCATTTGTGCCTTCAGTGTAATCCAGCTAATTTACTACAAATGCTACTTGACCAGAAGGAAGATTATATGATGAAAAGACTATCTGCTTCATACTTTGTGTCGCTTAGTGAATTAGCTGGTTCTTGATTTACAATAGCTACCAAGCATGTGAATAATACATAATGGCATTTCATATCAATGCTACTTATTTCCGATGCTGCTTTCTTTATGCGCCGGTTCCCCTCATCTTTTCTCCATTGATGATATCCCGGCAGATGCTCTCCTGTGCTTCTCTATCAATAAAACTGCTCACATCAGAAAACATCATGCTTGCCTCGTATCCCATTCTAATTCTTTGCTCCGTTATACCTAATTCACAAGCACTTAATGCCTTGATCACGTTGTAGTACCTTGTGATGGTGTGTCTGATACTCTCGCTGATATCAGGATCGTTCTTGTCACTGTAGATTTCCCAAGATGATTCCTCTTCTAATCTTGTTATAGACACAGTGCCTTGGCCTGGATTATACGAGCCTTTAGTGTCAAATGATGCTTGTGCTTTATTACTAGATGCATTGGCTTTGGAGGAGACTTCACTTGGCGTTTTACTCAACCAGATATGACCATTGACACCTAGAATTATGCTGACATTTCCGGGAAAGTTATACGAGTGATTTTTCTGCTTGATGACTAAACTCGAAGGAACTTTCAAAAAGATTCCGTTTCTCAACTTACCGTATTTTAAGGAACGTGTGTGTAATGATGCTGACCCATTGCTAAAGATACTTTGTACCTCAGCATTTAATAGATCTCCTTCCTTTAAGAAATTTCTCATTTGTAGTTCATCGCTTTCGTTTTTTCTTCTCAAGACTCCTCCAGGTAAATTCACCGAACCGAGCATTAAAATGGCATCTTGCTTACATCCAATATCCACTTTCCACCTCTTTTGTCCCACTTCCGTGATCCTTCCGACAACGTGATCTCCAGTTTCTGCTTCATATCGTCCTCTTAACGGTATAACACTCAATAATCTGTTGACACGAGACACATTACCAGCAACTGAGGAATATGTTTCATTGCCCAAGGAGTATGTCCCGTGACCTTTCATCCAAGTAGGATCATCAGTGACTAGTTCTCCTGGAGTCACAATCGAAGCATTCTGGTTAGGTCTGGAACTCTGCAAATCTCTGTCTTGCTCTAAAGATTCATCGACGTTATCCATCTCGACGTCTGAGTCTTGATCAAAAATCTCATCCCTCTTGGTAGGTTTCGTTATTGTGATAACCAGATCCATGATATGTCACTAGTTTATTTCCCTTTGAGACGATAAAGAATTAAAGGCAATCTTCTCTGGTTGAATGTACACTTTTTTTGTGCGCGCGATGAGAAATGTAGTTTAAGCCTAGCAGTTCGCATCCACCTTAGCATATCTTTACCAGTCGCTCCTCCTCTTGTTGTTTGCAGGTCTATGCTAAAGAGATTTCGGCTGTTTCCAATTTTCAACCGAGAGCTATTTTTTTCCCCTGCCAGATATCTCCATCTTTGGAACAAAACAGAAAGAAGGCTCATAATGCAAGACAAGTTTGGTCCCCCAGTCAACCGAGACATGAGAGTCCTTGACCGCTCCTTCTTCAAGAAAGATGTCAACCTCTTAGTAGCAACTTTCCCCGATCCAAAATACTTAGGTAATTTTGTCAAGGCATGCAAAGGAGAAATTCTTCTTTTACCTGGAGTGAAGCACATTGTGCCTGTTGAAAATACCAGAGGTGTTTTGTTGAGACAAGACATTGATGATATAAGCACTTATGAGGATAAGTTATCTCCTACAGCATTGGAAAAGATAAAGGAATACGGCGTTTCTATCAAACCATATGTTCTTACATTGGATTATTCTTTCTGGAAAGCAGACGACATTTTGAACGCTGTTCTTCCCGAAAATTTGTTGGATGAAATTCCGACAGGCTTTGCACAGGCTGGCCACATTGCCCATTTGAATTTGCGACTGGAATTCAAGCCTTATGGTCCTTTGATTGGTCAGGTCATTTTGGATAAGAATTCCAAGATTGAGACTGTGGTTGACAAAGTCGACCTGATTGGCACAAAGTTCCGTACGTTCAAAATGAAGATTTTAGCCGGAAAAGACGACTTCATCGTTGAACAAAGTGAAAGTGGGTGCAAGTTTCGCTTCGACTTTAGTTCGGTCTATTGGAATTCTAGATTGAGCACGGAACATGAAAGATTAATTACGCAGTTTCAGCCGAATGAAGTAGTTGGTGACGTATTTGCAGGTGTTGGACCTTTTGCAGTCCCAGCTGGAAAAAAGAATGTTCTTGTCTTGGCAAACGATTTGAATCCCGAATCCTACAAGTACTTGAAGGAAAACATTTCGCTTAATAATGTGCAGCAGTTTGTACAACCATACAATTACGACGGTAGGGAATTCATTCGTGAGTCGCCTAGAATATTATTGGAATGGGCTAAATCTGAAGGAAAAGTACAGAAGACGAAGACGATCAAGCGTCGGAAAGTTGATCCACAGACAAAGGAGAAAATCACCACCAAAGACGTTGAGGTGACAAGTGTTCCTATCCCAAAGTTCTTCACAAATTACGTCATGAACTTGCCAGATTCGGCCCTTACGTTTTTGGATGAATTTGTGGGATTGTATTCTCGGTTTCCTGAAGTGGAGGAAGCTGTTAAGAATGACCCCGACTTCAAGCTCCCGATAATTAATGTTCACTGTTTCGAGAAATATTCTCCTACTGAGACTGAGCCATCTATGGAAGAATTACACAGAAGAGTTCATGCAAAAATCGTCAAACTTATCGGCTTTGAAGCTCCCTTTGAAAAGTTTAGCTTCCATTTGGTGCGTAAGGTTTCTCCCACGAAGCCAATGTTTTGTGTGACTTTTGAGTTACCTCACGAAGTGGCATTCAAAAAATAGTCTTGTATAGACAAATCTTTAGACGTTTTCTATTTGTGCAATGTAGAGATCGCATTAGGATAAAATGTACAATACCACCACTTGACCCACGAAAAAAAGAAAAAAATAAACTGAACCTAAAACAAAAACAAATGGCTTCTAGCGAAATCCAGTACGATTTTTCTACTCTTGCGACCTCTTATTTAGGTTTCTTTGTGGATTCAGAAACTCTCCTGACATTTCTTAATACAACGCAGACTGGACTTGCACATACTGCTTCAGGAACCGATTTCAGTGTGCTAATGAAACACTTATTGGTGTCACTATGTATTTGCCTCTTCGAAATTCTATGTTTCTCGTATCTTCGTATTTATTTGAAGAATCTTTATCAACCTCTAGTCTTCCTGTCAATAAATGCGGACGATGTGGCTCAACAATCAGTTTTTGGATGGTTAATTCCAACTTGGAGGAAAAATACAAATGATTACATGCGGAGTGACCTAGACAGTTATTTTTTCATTCGATTTATTGACCTCTTGCTATTCTATTTCAGCACTTGTGGTATTCTTAATTTCGCCATTTTAGTTCCCATCAATTTCTCTGGTAATAGTACAACACATTTTGCTACCGGGTTAGACAAACTTAGCCTTTCAAACATTGCCCTATCAAAGGCAAATCGTCTCAATGCACATTTTGTTTGCACCTTGGTGTCAATTGCATTTTTCCATTGGGCTCTTTTTCGTGAAATGCAAAATATATTTGAGATACGACAAGTCTACCTAACATCCACGTCGCATAAGCTCAAAGAGCTGTCACGTATTCTACTAGTAGGGGATGTACCAGAGGCTTACCGAAATATTGATAAACTTCAATCTCTCTTCAAGTTTTTCTCAGGTGGGTTAGAAGAAGTTTGGTTCACAGATGATTATACGAAATATGAAAGACAAACTGAGAAGGCCCAAGATGCATTAGACACATTCGAAGAGGCTCAAATTCGGTTTCTTCAAAAGAAAATTAAACTAAAAGATTCAAGCAAAAACAAAAACCAGGAGAGTGTACTTCGTCTGTGGCCATCAATTTTCTTTCCTTTGGTAAAGATCCCGCTCTTGGAGAGACGGGTTTCGATCAGGCTACCCGGTATTTTTCGGGTCTTTTTGTTTCAAAAAAAGATTCCAATATTGGAGTTTTGTGTCCAAACATTAGCAGATACCAATGATATCTTACTACAACGCCTTCAGGATATCAAACTTGGTGATTTCGACAAGAAGGAAAAGGTTATTTTGAAGTTCCGATCACAAGAATCTATGCACATGGCACACCAGACATTACTCTCGAAAGAAATATGGTCTTTTAATCATTCGCTAACCAAAGTCCATCCAGATGATATAATGTGGGACAATGTGATAAGAAAGAGTACTTTCTTTACTTCAGTAGAAAAATACTTCATATGTGTCATTAGCATTCTTGCCATTGCTCTTTACATTATTCCTGTTTCATTGATTACTTTATTGTCTCAAATTCCCGTCATTATCAAATTATTTCCTTTTATGATCTGGTTGGCAAGTACTCCAAAGCAGGTGAGAGAGGTTCTCTCGAGTTTACTACCAGCAATTTTGTTGAGCATACTTACCGAATGTCAGCTTCAAGTCTTTCAGATTTTAGTTCATTGGAAAGGGAAATGGAGCGGTAGCGAAAAGGAATTGGATCTACAACAATGGTACTTTGCGTTTCTTTTCATACAGCACTTTTTGGTGGTATCCATCCTGTCAAGTCTCATAGTTGTTGTTGTTCAGGCTGTTGAAAAGCCAGCATCAATTCCTATTATGTTAGCAGCTAATGTTCCAAAAAGTGCAACTTTCTTCTTTAAGTATTTGGCAGTGAAGGCATTTGCCATGTGCGGCGGTAGCTTTCTCCAAATATCTCGACTTACTAAACATTGGTTATACTATCCTTTCGTGGATACCACCCCAAGGTTAAAGAAAAAAAGACTTCATGATCTCCCAAAAATCAGTTGGGGATCTATTTATCCTTTGATATCTGTGTATGCTTCCATTGGTATTACTTACTGTGTAATTTCGCCCATGATATCTTTGTTCATGATATTTATATTCCTGTTGATTCTATTATATTATAAGTATGCCCTTGATGAGGTGTACTCACATGAAAATCCAAAGGACACATTTGGAATGTTGTATCCTCGGGCTCTTTTCCATCTATACTCTGGAATATATTGTTTAGAGTTCTGCATGATTGGTCTATTCTTTGCCCTGCGGAACCCCAATGGAGAGTGCCCCATGAAATTTCAGGGATTAGTGATGATTTTGGTTCTATTGTTGACCATATTCGGCAATGTGTATGTTCACACACATTTTGGAGCACATTTTGAGCACGTTCCAGTTCTCAACGAATGTGAAGAGTCTGATGACGTTTACACCAATAGTAACAGCGATCCCCTGCTGTATTTGCATCCGTGCTATTCTTTTGATAAGCCCCAGATCTGGCTTCCCGCAGACAAGCTGGGAGAGGCTAGTTGCATAATCAAGCGACTTTCTGTTTATGATAAGGCCTTCTCAGGTGGCACGATAGAAAATGCAAAGTTCACAGATGGAGGATCGTTCATCTTAGACGCTAGTAACGACGCATCAAAATCATGAATGAATGGCATTTTTGAAATGAGATTACAGCATGAGCTTCAGTTCAAAGTCTGCCCAATTGTCACATGTCTGGTAATATACCCATGGCAAATCTGTCTCAGCTGTGAAGAACTTCTGCGATAGCTTCCCACTCACTCATCAATTTCCACTGACTCGTCAGAGCCACAAGCGAATCCTGGCCATATACGCAGAGCTCGTCAAATTGCGCCTCTGCCCCATACTGGTTTGACGTAGTAAACCCACTTTCTTCTTCAGGCGCAGGGACCAAAAGTTCAGATTTGGAAACGAAATAGCCCTTCTTGTCGCCAATGGGGATCGACTCGCCGACTAGCCTCAAACCACGAAACTGCGCGATGTGTTGGACGCGTCCGCCAACCACCTCGTTGCTTTTAGAAGGAGTAAAATACTCCGCAGTCTTTGCAGGCCCAGAATAATGGATTCTACAGGGGACAACATTCACTGTTACCTCTGGGAGAGCATCTGGAACGGAAATCGAAGATGCCATGGTTAAAGAGAGACGCGACGGAGTCAAAAAGGTGGAAAGTAACCTGCAGTAAGAATGGTCTTTCGTGCAGGTTTGGTTAGAGCACGGTATTACGCGAAAGCGGAATAATCAGGCGGCTTAAAATGGCTTGATAATTATAACTTGGAAGATGACCAATTCTCCTGCATGTATTCCTTTTGGCCAATGGCGCAACGGAAACTTGTAAAGCCAAGGTTACCATTTGGAAGCTCATACCGTAAAGTATGCGTCTTGTGTGCAGATTCAACGGAAATTGTATTGTATGTCTCGCATAAACCCGATAATCTGTAATTAAAGAGCAGTCAGACAAATTATCGGTCAAGGTACATAAGCGAAGCAACGGTGCTGCAAGCAGAAAAAAAAAAAGAAAGAAAGAAAATTATCAAAGAACGAAGAATCGATCTTCTTTATCATTCGGATCACATTTTCTGTCCAAGATGAGCATTGCCAATAACCCATTGAAAATTGTTGATATCTCCCAAATCAATGACTCTACTGCCAAAGATATCCTTGATGCTGCTACATCGCAAGGATTTCTTTTCGTGGAAGGTCATGGATTCTCCGCTGAAGAAGTAGCGGATCTTTTCAAAATGTCCAAGGAGTTTTTCGAATTGCCTGAGGAGTACAAGTCCAAGTTTCCTATTGACACCACTAACAATGGATACACGAACTACGGAGGAGAGAATCTCGATCCATCAAGTCAGAAGAAAGGAGATCCTAAAGAGGCATACAACTTCAGCGAGATTGACTTCACCACTTGCGAAACCAAAAGACCTCTTCCAGATTGGTTTACTCAAGACCCTAAAAGAGCACAGTTGGTTAAGAAGATGATTGGTGATTTGTACAAGTTGTCCAACAAGGTGTTGACACTTCTCGCTATCGGATTGAAGATCGAAGATACAGAAGGAACCCCTGGCTCTGAGTGGTTTACTTCGAGATATCGTCCTGACAAGGCTTCAGGCACCACTTTTAGATTTTTGCATTACCCGGGCCAAAAATCCTTGAGCCCAGAAGCTGTGATCAGAGCAGGTGCTCATACAGATTACGGATCGGCCACGCTATTGTTCCAACAGGAGAATCAGGAAGGATTGGAAATTTACTCCCCTGTGAGCAAAAAGTGGGAAGCTGTGCCATATGTGCCACCCAACTCGGAAAAATTCCCTGGTGAAGCAGCTCCTATTGTTATCAACATCGCCGACCAGTTGTCGTACTGGACTGGCGGGTTGTTGAAATCTACCATCCATAGAGTCAAGTTCCCTCCTAAAGTCCAGGAAACTGGCCAGGACCGTTACTCGATTGTTTTCTTCAGCCATCCGAACGACGAAACATTATTGGAGCCGGTGCCTAGCGACATGATTAGGTCGATCCAAGGGCGCGGGGCGAATAATGCCGAAAAAGTAGTTACGGCTAAAGAACACTTAGATAAGAGATTGGCTGCGACATACAACTGGTCCTACTAGAACTCGAGTTTAAGTTTCTTCGCCCGTGTGTGCTAATATTTGCTATTCTCTCCCATTGTTTCAGTTGATGAGAACAAAACCTTATAATGCTTATCGATGATTTTACGTCTTTTAATTCATGTCCTCTACTTTGAACTTTTGTAGCCCCATGAACGAACAAATATTTTGCGCGTAATTCCGCTCTTCCTGCGCGGCGGTTATCCCAACACAGTTATTTGATCCGGTGGTTATTTCGTATTGTTCTAGAAACCCAACACCAGTTTCTTTAGCCAAGGGGTAAAAGTTGATCTCTTGTCATTGTTGCTGAAATGGGGCTCTCAGGGAAAGTTGTGCACAAGCAAATATCTTCCCTCTCCAATTCGGACCTGCCGATCAATTCACCCAGAGTACGGAGTCAAGAAATCATTGCTACAGTCATCACAAATGTTCTGGAGGTTATCGAAATCATCAACCAACAAGAGAAGAAAAACTTCAAGCTTGGCGTGATCTTTTTAGTTATCGCTATTGGAACATGGATTTCGGGACTTGAGTTGGTCAATTCTGTGTTGAAAGGTGATGAGTTCCAAAAACCTTGGTTTCTTGCATTCTTGACCGGCTCATGTTTCATGTTGAACTTTGTTCCTGAAGTGTTAGGATTTTTTGCTCAGTTGATCTTCCGGAGACAGAATCACTCCACTGATCTTTCCCCCCAGCTTTCCTCGTCAGATTTGATGACTCATCATGATCACAGCCAAGAAGTTGCTATTGCTAAGAATGAAGACGATTTACACAAAGAAGGGCCGGTACCTCTTCGTAAAGGTGAAGTTTTATTGCTTGCACTCTACATTGCAACAATCTATTTTGCCTACAATGTTTTCGTCATGGCAGCTCTCCAGTACACATCTGCGTCCAACCAAACAGTTTTGGGATCGACCACTGCCATCTTCACGTTGTTTCTTGGAGTATATTTGGGAATTGACAAGTTTTCTGTCAAGAAAATGGTGTGTGTTGTTTTCAGTTTGGTGGGTGTGGTATTAATTAGTGTTTCTGAAGGAACCCGAGATGAAGATGGCGGAAAATTCAAACCGAAGAATCCATTGCTAGGCAATTTTTTTGCCTTGATTGGAGCTTTTTGCTATGCGTTGTATCTACTTGTCATGAAAATGAAATGTGGTACTGGTGAAAAGACTACAGACGAGCGGATCTTGTTTGGTTGGGTAGGCGTGTTCACCTTTATTTTAGGTTGCCCTATCTTGATTATCGTCAACGCTTTGGGCATCGAGGAGTTCCTGCTTCCACCTAACAACCGCGTACTTATCATGGTTAGTGTAAATGCTGTTTTCTCTGTGATCTCAGATTATGTGACTATTTTGGCTATGCTTCTCACAAGTCCCTTGATCACTTCGTTGGCCCTTACTTCGTCGATTCCAATCACCATCTTGATTGACTTTCTTGTTCTATCCTTTAATGAAGGTTCTTCGGGTGCTACTTCTAACCTCTCCACCTATATCTTTGGAGTGGGCTGCATTTTGGTTTCAGTTATTCTCATAAATCTTAACATCACTACTGAGAATGAGCTCATTGAAGAGGTCATAGACGATGCTCTTGAAGATGCAATAAGGCAAGACGAAGTGTTATCTCCCATTTTGTCGCCATATGTTGGGTCTCCTCATATTCATGAAGCTTCTCCTAGACAACACGCTTCCATTGGCATAAACCATTTATCGCCAAGTTTGAAATTTTTTAGAAAGAGACAAGGTCATGTTCTGTCTCCCTTGGTGCCAGCGCCATTGCTGGAGGCGACTGGTTTAAATTTGAACTCTGCTGGTACAGATGAATCCTCGCCTTTACAAAACGCCAACCATCACAAAAATCTTTATACGATAGATTCTTCTTTAGAAGGCGAGTCAACGGCAACGAATCTTGTTGTCTATGGTGGAGTGAATCATTCGTTTCATGTTAAAATGGTTCAAGACAATGAGAATGAAAGTAGCTAATATTAATAGTCTCTACTAAATATAAATATGCATCTCTATGGCTGGAAATAGCTTGGTACCCTTAGTCTCTTTCGATCTTGGTGTGCAAAACGTGTTCCCGCATGAACAAGGAGGAAAAGTAACCCAAAGCGATTGTCACTGTGCTGAAGATGAATGTACCACGGCAACCTAACTGATACGATTTCATAATCGCATGTTGAACAATTTTAGGCGCTTCTTTGGCGTAGCTAGTGTTTTCCAACGCTCTGCTAATAATATCATTGGCCAACTTCTCATCACTAACCAAAGCATGTATTCTTGACACCATTTGAGATCTGGTGACATTTTGGAACACAGCACTAGCGATGGCAACACCCAAAGTTGAGCCGGTGGCTCTGAAAGTATACTGGATCGAAGTAGTGCAAGCCTGGTACTTTACAGGAACGGCAGCAATTAAGGAAAGTAAAGTCACTGTAAGCATGCACAGGTAACCCAAACCTGGAATAAGCAATATAGTAAACTGGGTGAAAAGCGAGGATTTGGGGCTCAATAAGATTATCCTGATCATTCCAAGAAGACTGAGAAGACCCACAGCCACAGTAAGCTTGTAGTATCTTCCTGTCTTGCGCATGTATAAACCGGCGCCCACAGAACCGCAAGAAACGGCAAAGAAGTTTGGAATCAAACGCTCACCACCTTGAGTGGCCGAAAACCCCATGCCTGCTTGAAAGAAAAGGGGCACGTAGAAGAGATAAGCAAAAACACCCATAGTGTAGAACCAGTTGGAAAGCGAGGATGCCAATACTGTACGCTCTGTCATCACTTCCATAGGAATAATTGGCTCCAGCGAGACATACGTTTCAACATAAACAAAGGCAACGAGAAGCGCGGCAGACACGATAATAAGAGTGATGAAAAATGGTGACAGGTACGCCAACTGTTTACCTCCCATAGACGCAGCAGTAAGAATCAGCATCAATGCGGACACCAATAAGAAGGCGCCCAAGAAATCGACTCTTTTCAATTTTTCCTTGAATTCTGTGCCTGGAGATCCCAAGCCGGGAGACCCGGCAGGCAAATTAAGGTAGGAGTAGATGGCTACACCCACTATGGCTGCAAGTGGGACCTGGAGTACAAACACATACTTCCAGCCAAAATAATCTGCTACTGCACCACCAATGATACCACCAGAGGCTGCACCAAGACCAAAGCAAATGTTGGCCAAACCTTGGTACAATCCTCTTTCCCGAAGAGGAATTAAATCGGACATTGTGATCGTTCCCAAGGTGGTTAGACCCGAGCCACCACACCCGGTAATGAAACGGCCAAAAACCAACCAGAACAACGAGTCTGTGACGCAGATGCAGCACCCGACTCCAAAGAAAGCACAACAAATCACAAGCAACACTTTTCTGCCGAAAATATCCGACAACTTACCAAAAAGAGGCTGGAATGCTGAGCACGACAACAAGTATGCTGTGGCAATCCATGCAATGTTTTCCACAGCATTCAAGTCCGAGGCAATCACAGAAAGCAATGTCGTGACCACGGTGGTATCTAGCGCAGCCAAAAAACTGGCCATGTACAAACTTCCAATGACAGTATAGAGCTGTCTCTTTGGCAAAGCGAAACCGTTCAAGTCGTCTGTTTCGCCTTCGCCTTCTCTTTCCTCGGGCGCCCTGTAGCCGGTATTTTCCTCACTCAAAGACCCATACTGATGCGACGCTAATGTGTCTTTACTAATCAACCCAACGTCTTCAGCAGCTAGTTCGCCTGCAATCACACCCGCTCCTCCTGTAGAGCTATCTTTAATGATGTTCGGACTTAACGGGGTATTATTGTGAGCATTGCTCGATTTAGGTGTAATAGACATAGTTCAATGATGTAACTTGTTCTGTGGGAGACTGTATCTTTTATATCCTGGAAGATAGTGCGGATTTGTGCGTACAAATTTCCGTTGTCGCAGATAGCGATACCGCTTTGGGAATGGTGTGGCGCTGATAAGACAAGCAGGTAAACTGGAGATTGGTTCTTTAGATGGATTGGCCAATACTTCTCTCATTAGGTGGATACGAATAGCTTCCAAGTAAATGTTTATACGTCCATTCAAAGGTGAGGCATACCATTTGCTATCTTGGATGCCATATTTATACTAAAATCCAAATGTTCAAGAACGGTCGCGTGGTCTAGTTGGTTACGACGTCTGCTTCACACGCAGAAGGTCCCCAGTTCGAGCCTGGGCGTGATCATTTTTTTTTGCTAAAATCCGCGCGTTGTATGGCCGAGGTAATGTATACACCTAAATTGAGCACATGATCCATTCTCTAAAAGTGCACCTTATTTAAGGAACAATCGGTTTCATTTTTTTCGTGACTCTTGCTGTTTCCTCCATTACCAAATTGTTTTCCTGATTGTGAAAGTAGCATAGACACATTGGGAACGTCTGAATCTTCGAATATCTCCCCCATGTGACACCTTACAAAAGGTCTCCTGTATGATGTGGGGATTACCCTTTATAGTATGCGACTCTCATTTCCATATGAATTACCATCAACATATAAAATCCGGGAGAGGTCTGTTGTGAATTCCACGTCCGAGAACCACGTCTGAAATGGAAACCCTAGAAATTCACTCGAAGGATTTCTTGGTCAAATGGGTCCATGCTCCGGACAATTGTTCAATTGTCTGGGAGCTTAAACCTTTGAAAAAGTCTATTAATTTCGGCATTTACAAAAAGAGTGATTTCAGCACCTCCACGGATCTGTTGGCAGGAGAACTGCTGGATAGAAATAATGCTCCAGAGAGGCCTATGGCCCCATTTTCTGATTCCTCAGACACAATGGATTCTATTGCAATGAACCGCATGAGGTCGCAGTCGGTTGCTTCTGTCAACCAAATTACAGAACTGAGCACTTATAAAACAAAATCAAGGTCGTCGACATTTTCTTCTAATTTGAACAGCTCGAACTTGGTGCCAATTAAAAAATACAACAAGCTCATACCTGGCGAATTGTTGAAAGGTACTTTCGAGATAACGAAAGGTGGCATGTTTGCATTTATTTTTGACAATTCTTTCTCAAAAACCACCAGCAAAAAAGTTCTCTTTAGCTCTACAATCGTGCCTAATGCAGACTCTAGCTCTATGTCAAAAGCCAGCTCGTTCATCAATAATGGCACTCCTTTGCCATCTCCAAGTTTCGGGCCACGTTCGAAAGACCTTTCGAACAATATAATGACAACTAAAAATGGCGAGGTCTTGCAAAGTGTTCTTTTAAAAAAAAGGAGAAAAAAGCTCCAGGGATTTACGAAAAGACTATTTGTTCTCAATTTCAAGTACGGCACGTTGTCATACTTCAAAAACAATGACAAAAATTTGAGAGGCCAAATGCCAATCAAATCGTCGATTGTCAGCGCAAATTCTAAAACAAGGGAGTTTTTTATTGACTCTGGAATGGAAGTTTGGGACCTCAAGGCTCTAAACAAAGATGATTTTGATGCCTGGGTAGATGCATTCAATATCGTCAAGAAAAATGAATCAACTCCTCAAGAATCAGCAGCCAAAGGACATAATGACGACTATAAGAGCATTCTTGTGGATACAGAGAGGAGGTTGGCGTCGTTGTTGTCTGGTGACTATGATAAGAGCGAGTTAGAGAAGCATATACTGGCAATTTGCAGTCAAGTGCAAGAGTTTCTCGAAAGAAACAGTGGACTTGACCTTTCTCCTTCAGTTTCTACTGCTGAGTTTTTCGATGCTAGAGATGAAATTGATGAGTCTGTGGTAATTATGGATTCTTTCCCAACTGAGAAGAAGTGGGATGATGAACTGGAAGAGCATGAATCATCTGACTCTGATTCAAATTCAGAAGACGAGTTACCGGTCCCTTCTGCCTCCCTCCATGATGCAGCATCTGAACAAAACCCCAGCACGACCGACGACGCAGACCTTTCGTTGTGTCCTTTACCTCTTGAGCCGGTGAAAAGAATTGCAGATGTTCCAGTATTCGAACATGATCCTCCTAGCCTTCTCTCTTTTGTCCGCAAGAACGTTGGTAAAGATATGTCTTCCTTGTCGATGCCCGTGGATATGAACGAACCTGTTTCGATCTTGCAAAAGTACGCTGAAATTTTGGAGTACTGTGACATGATAGATAATGCATTGCAAGGCAATTACCTGGAAGCCTCAGGGGAGAAGATTCTTCGAATTGCTGCCTTCGCAGTCACATACCTCTCGAGTATGAGGAAGAAAGTACGGAGTTTGAGGAAACCATTTAACCCTTTGCTAGGAGAAACATTCGAGCTTGTTAGAGAAGATAAAGGTTTCCGCCTCGTTAGCGAAAAAGTATCTCACAGACCTGCAGTTTTTGCCATGAATGCTGAGTCCCAAACGTGGACATTGTCTTTTAGTCCAGCGCCGACTCAGAAGTTTTGGGGTAAAACCTCGGAGTTTTACACTAGTGGCACAGTGAGGTTGAGTATAAAGTCGACCGGTGAAGTCTTCACCTGGAACCATCCTACATGTGTACTCAAAAACATCATCGCAGGAGAGAAGTATACAGAGCCTTCATCGTCCATAAGCGTCAAATCCAGTTCTGGTCAAAGAGCCGTTGTTGAGTTTGCGAAAGGAGGAATGTTTACTGGCCGCTCAGAGGATTTAACGATCAAGGCTTATGATTCTCAAAAAAGGAGCCTTCCCTCAACTGTGGTTGGTACGTGGACGGAATCGATGACCTTAAAATCAGGAACCATCGAGAAAACAATATGGACAGCTGGTGCTATGTTACCTAATTGGGAGAAAAAGTTCGGTTTTACAGAGTTTGTGGGCACCTTAAACAAAATTACCAAAATAGAAGACGGGTTCTTACCTCCATCAGATTCTCGGTTGAGACCAGATATGCAAGCATACGAAAAATGTGACATTCTGAGTGCTGAAAAACTCAAGCATCAATTGGAAGAAGGTCAAAGAGCACGTCGGAAGAAACTCGAACAGCTGGGAGGCTCGCATGTTCCGTTATACTTTGTCCATGAAGGAGGAGATCCTTCTAAGCCCGAAACTGGGGAATGGGTGTACAAGAAAGGTCCTGAAAGCTACTGGAATAGGAGGAAGGCACAAAAATGGCCAGAAACGGCAAAATTATGGTGATCACTATATACTTAGGATTAGTTATCTAAAGCTTTAAATTAAGACGCTCCTCGGAACTTGACCTCGAGGATAGATCAAAAGTTGGTTCTTCTAATTCGACGGAATTCATTCCTGATGAGGCTCCGGTGAAAGAAGATGAGTTCCGATTCCGGAACAACATGAACTGAACTTGCTTTCTAACACTGTTGAGAAGAGCCCTTTGCAAATTCATTTCGTCCTTCATGAGGAAATTATCATTCATGAGGTTGTTCAAAATGTTTTGGCGTTCCGTAGCGGCACCTGCTTCGCGTTCAACGAAGGGGTTCACTTTCTCTTCTAATTCACTTCTCAATCTTTCAACCTCGTAGTTGATATGGATGAGCGCGTCTTGGTTTAAGTCCCTCCTAAAGTTTCCAATCTCCTCAATGTGCTGATTGTAGCCAAGGTTCGTAATCCTTCCTTGAACTATTCCATCTAGAATCTGATTTATCTGTTTCTTAAGAACTTTGTTCTCATCAACAACCTCCTCGATTCTGTTTTCTAGCTTCTTGACATACGGCAAAAGCAGATTGAGTGAGCAATTACCATGCAGCAAATGGTTTTCCAATGATGGCTCCGTATCTCCAGACCATGGACACCCGATTTCGCGTGCTGGACACACTATTCTTCCAGACTTTAAGCAATTCTCACTGTGCTTTTTCAAATTCTTGAGTGGTATCATGTCATTATTGCAAAGCTCGCACTTTGAATAATTGAAAGCACATTCTGTCGTCAAATGACTCTCTTCTATTATTTTTGTGATTTTCTCTTCACAGAATTTGCATTTGTACTCCTCGTGGACGCAGTGTTCTTCGTCTTTGAGAAATCTTCTTTCTGTTAATTCATAACAACGGAAAGAGCTCTCTTCGTCGGCTGGAAGGGTGTCTTCTTCTTGTTCATCAGCGATCACATTTCTTTGTTTGCGAGCTCGATTACAAGGTACACGAGTAAAATCGCATTCCTGGCGAACATGATGGTCTATCTCCCAGCGATGACCACTCCATTCACATCCCCTATCACGGTTTAAGCAGTATACACGAAGATCGTCAACCATATTCGTAACAATCAATGGTGTAGGAAATAGTTCATTCAAATCTTTAGCATCTATGGGAGTCCGATCAAGAGGACAGAACCCCGTCAAAGTGTCGTCATCTGAACTCGAACCGATTTTAAAGCATTCTTCGATGCATTCTTTGCAGAACGTGTGGCCACATAGGGTTGTCATTGGAGATAAGAAAGGTTGCTGGCATATGGGACAATTTAAGTGTTCAGTGTTTTCAAGATACTTCAAGTTACGAAGATCTGGGACACTCATCGGGTCTATTAGATCAAAGGCATTTTTGAGCCGTCGAACACTGAGTTCCAAAGAAGAACACGACATGAATACTTGAATACAGAGTGATGATGATGGAATAGTGGGGTAAATGCGTTATATCCGTTATGGTATATGCACTACTCAACATATGTTGCTTTCCATTCATGACCATCTTCCGCAGACGACGATCAGATCTATTTTGCAATTTATTTTGCATCTTTGCTGGCCCACACATTTATTTATGAATAAGACGAGATTCTTCATTCATACTTTGATTCCACTATTTGGAATTTTCATGCAAATATAAAATGGTTGTATAGTGTAGTGGTTATCACTTTCGGTTTTGATCCGAACAACCCCGGTTCGAATCCGGGTACGACCTTTTTTTGTTTTTTTGTCTCATACTGCGAGTAATTCGAAGATAGAAAGTGCAAGTCATACTAACATGTCCATTGTGTGTTGGATGCTTGGGAATTTATTTATGTACAAGTGGAGTGAAATCAGGATGCCATTTCAGCAGAGTATATTTGCTTTGTTGAGAAGATATTACCGATTGGTATTTTTTACAAAGAGCATATTCGTGTATAATGCCTACTTTTGACAATTCAGAGAGAAAAGAATAAATCTGAGATGAGATGAAGAGTTCATCTAAAATAGACAAATGAGAAGTAAAAGCTCATTATAAAAGCAAGTGAACAAATCAGATTTAATTATTCTGTCCTACGATAAGTTAGCTCAATAATAAGTTCTTGCTCATACGATACAATTCTTACAACTTTTGGAAATCGAAATACGATAAGGGACCTAAAAAAAATCAATAATGTCAAAAAAAAAAATAGAAGGAGGTACCCAGACTCAATTACTAACGATATACAGCAACTGCTATAACAAAAGCACCAAATACGATTTCAATAACAGCATGAACATTTTACTGAATTCGATCAACCAAACGAAAAGAGGGCAAGTCATTCGACTCTTCATATTAAAGTTTCGATCACCAGACTCCTCCTCAACTCTCAAGAATGGATAAGGATAGTTCACCCCATTGCACAAGAAACAGCCTATTTACAAAGAACATGGTATCCCTCACCGAGAAACCCTAGCTGAGTGAAACTAGGAACACTTCATGAAACACCTTTTAGAAAACCCGTCAAAGCTATAGTTTACAGAATACTTTGATACATGGTTTTAGATCCAGATACGATACTAAAAAAATGCCCCAAAATAAAAGGTTACATTAGAAGGATATCACTGATGGATGTTCCAGAGAAGAATTAAAAGCAAAATAAGTCGTAATCAAATCAAAAATTTCATGAAGCAAATCTGTGACGCTTCCAACCTCGGCAATACCTTTCTTCTCCCTGAAGTTTATAAGTATTCAGAGTATATTGAACACTCATCAACAATGCAAACGTAGAAGGTTGTATAGTGTAGTGGTTATCACTTTCGGTTTTGATCCGAACAACCCCGGTTCGAATCCGGGTACGACCTTTCTTTTTTGATTCTGATCCGTCTACACGATCGCAAAGCTTTACTTTTGGTATCAAAGAAAATTTATTTCGATTGAGTAGTATTCTTCAGTTTTATTGCCTTTTCGAGCTGGCTCTCACTTCTTATTTCTGCGACAATATTGTTAATTCGCGACATCCCATTCAAAAGAAGATCAGAAAAATCCGCTTCTCTCAATGTCCAAAAGAAGAAGAACAGAAATTGAAGATGACGGGGATTACACAGAAGAAAATAGAACTCCTTTAGCAGAAGATTCTGCAACGCGAGAAAGTAGCCCTTCTGCTGAAGACGAGCTAAGAAGTTCAGCTATCGTGTCCATCCTATTACGCATGGTGATGACAAGAAGCGCAAGGAATCAAAAGATACGAAGAGAACACTTTACTGCTATTCTCCACAAACACAATGTGAAAGGAAACACTAAAGCGATTATTTCTCAGGTCGATGCAGAACTCAAAGAAGTGTTCGGGTTAAAACTAGACCAGAGCACCAACGACATAGTTCTCGTGTCAAACCTCCAAAAAGACACCAAGCTTCTTTTACAGAAGCTTGTTGAGAATGGAGATGGCTCCGAATTCAAAGGAAATCCCTACGACACATTTTATTTCATGAACAAAGAGAAGAGGAATGAAACCACAGTTAGTATGCTGGATAGTATCTTTGGAGGAATCATCATGCTCTTAATTGGTCTCGTCATCGTGAATGAAAACAGGATACGCGAGTCTGATCTTCTAGATGGCCTTTCACAATTTGGCTTTTCCGAAAACTTGAACATTGTTGTTCCTAATCTCAATAAAACGACTCAAGAAGTTTTGACGGAAGCTACGAAAAAGGAGTATCTTCAAAAGCTTGTTGCACAAGCACACGGTGGAGAACCAGCTATCGTGAGTTACGCTCTCGGGAAGAGAACGCTACGGGAGTTTGATGCACATACGCTTTTAGAGTTTTTGAATGAAATCGTGGAGCAAGAGGAACTTAAGCCCAAATGCATTGAAACAGTGAAAAGATGCTTTCCCGATGACACGTTTGAAAATTCCGCATCAGGAAATAATGTCCAGTCATGAGTCTAATGATATACACTTACCGAGTTCGGCGCGGAATATTCGGAGAGGGCCCTGCACGGAATTTTTCAACGCAGCTTAAGTGCTACCAAATGGAGGCATGATTGCCTCGATTGTATAAAATTATCTTAGAACAGTAAGATGAAAAGAATGAAACTTCAACAAAAGAATCATCGATCATCTTCTTGCGTAAAATTATAAGAACATCGTCCCCCGCTCATAGTTTGTCTCATTTAGCACATGCGAACTTTGATCGCGTCTCATGTGAAAGAGTGTGATTGTCGAAAAGCCGTATTAGTTGATCCCAAAGCCTGCCGCTTGTGATAAACCATCAAACAAAACGCAATCTATACTTGCCCCACTTTTTACCTCCCCAGTCAAAGTATATAGCTTCAAGGAAACAGACCATCTTGTCTTTTCCCGAAAAGTGCGAGCTCGTATAAGAGACCTTCCTTGGAAACGATATCAGTCTGCGTCCGCGAACTTGGCAAACACGAGATTTTCACCCATTTGTTTTTCCCCCTTTGAACAACCATGTTGGATACGTTGGATATTGCGGTCATCACTGCCTTGGCGCTAGCTGTGGCCTACTATTTTGGAAAAGACTATATAGTTTCGTCTGACCCCCATTCATCTGGCTTTCTCGCAGACGATGGCAGCGAAAATGATAGAGATCTCAGTTCCACTTTGAAGAAGAACAACAAAAACGCTGTTGTTTTTTACGCATCCCAGACGGGAACTGCCGAGGACTATGCCCACAAATTGTCCAAGGAGTTGACTTCGAAATTCGGTTTGAGAGTCTTGATTGCAGATACAGCAGACTATGACTACGACAATGTTCAGAATTTGGACCCAGACTATCTTTTCTTCTTTGTGGTTGCAACATACGGCGAGGGAGAGCCAACTGACAATGCAGTGGAGTTTTTCAACTGGTTGGAGAATGAGGCGGACCAATTGGCCAATGTTAAGTACACGGTGTTCGGTTTGGGCAACTCAACGTATGAGTTCTACAATGCCATGGGCCAAAAATTGAACGAGAAGCTCGAATCCCTTGGAGCAGAGCGCATTGCTCCATATGGCCAAGGCGACGACGGAATTGGAACTATGGATGAGGACTTTCTTGCTTGGAAAGAAAGTTGTTTTGACGCTTTGAAGACCAACTTGAGCCTTGAAGAACGTGAACTGGTTTACGAACCTTCTTTCAAGCTTACTGAAGATGATAGTTTATCCAGCTCAGATGCTGGAGTTTCGAATGGTGAGCCAAACAAAGCATATGTCGATTTTACCAAAGATTTGACAAAGGGTCCATTTGACCACACACATCCATACCTTGCTCCTATCACGAAGACTAAAGAATTGTTTAACTCAAAGGATAGACACTGTGTTCATGCAGAGTTTGATATTTCAGGCTCCAACTTAAGGTACACTACAGGTGACCATTTAGCGATCTGGCCGTCCAACTCTAATGAAAATGTTGCTCAATTCTTAAAATGTTTTGGCTTGGCAGAAAAGGCAGACACTGTTTTCTCTTTGAAGGCTTTGGACTCTACTGTGGCGCTTCCTTTCCCAACTCCAATTACCTATGAAGCAGTTGTGAGACACCATTTGGAAATCTCAGGTCCCATTTCCAGACAAGCCTTTGCATCTATTGCTCCATTCGCTCCAAATGAAGACGCCAAGAAGGAATGTTTGAGATTGGGCGGAGACAAGTTGGTTTTTGCTGAGGAAATTCATGGCAAATATCTCAATTTGGCTGATGCTCTTTTGTCAATCTCTAAAGGTCTTCCCTGGACTAGTGTTCCATTCGTCTTTTTGATAGAGCTCATTCCTAGCTTGCAACCTCGTTACTACTCCATCTCCTCCTCATCCATGAGCGAAAAGACCTCGATCCATGTTACCGCTGTTGTCGAAGCCGAGGAACACGATGGCCATCTTGTCACTGGTGTGGCCACAAATTTGTTGAAGGACATTGAAGTTCATCAAAACCACTCGGATGACAAGACATATGCATCCTACGACTTGAATGGCCCAAAGAACAAATTTAGCAACTATAAACTTCCAGTCCATGTTCGGAGATCAACATTTAAGTTGCCATCCAATCCAAGTACCCCAATTATTTTAGTGGGTCCTGGAACAGGTCTTGCACCTATGAGAGGTTTTATCAGAGAGAAGGTTAAGTTACTCGAGACGTCACTGAACGCCCCTCTTGGTAAGATTTTATTATTCTACGGTTGCAGAAACAAAAACGAGGATTTCCTTTACAAGGATGAATGGCCAGAATACTCAAAAGTGCTTGGAGAGAACTTTGAGTTGGACGTGGCCTTTTCACGTGAAGACCCCAATAAAAAGGTCTATGTTCAACACAAAATCTTGGCAAGAGCTAAGGAGATCAACGCACTTTTGGAAAAAGGTGCATTCATCTATGTTTGCGGTGATGCATCGAGAATGGCCAGAGACGTCCAGTCCACGTTTGTTGAAATTCTTGCTAGTGAAAGAGGCATTTCCACTGAGAGAGCGGCCGAGTTGGTCAGATCTTTCAAGGTGCAAAATAGATACCAGGAAGATGTGTGGTAGACTAGGTGTAATGCAAAGTTGTGATTAATGCTATAATGTAGTGCCTGATGATCTTACAATATCTACTTTTGAGACTCGGTCTTTTTCACACAATGAGGCCAATCCAGGTTACTCGAATTGTAAACATCTCCCAATTTGAGCTCCGTAGATACCCAATGTTTGTATCGAGCTTTTGGTTTCAAGTCCAAGTCATAAATTCGAGCTGCAACCGTGAACTCTCCATGATCACGGATATTGATGACTTGTCCATCACATTGTCCTCGTTCAATAACCACGAAAACGCCCACATCTCGTAATGTCATTCTCAAAGCAAGTTGATCCAGTACGTCTGATTCAGACTTCACATTCGCCAAGATTGTCCCATCATCCAAAGAATCCTGTTTCGCTTTTAGCTTTTGAAGAATACTTTCGGAACCACCGAAGTATTCGATCAATAGCAGTTCAATAGGGAAGTCACTGTTTTTCAACAGAGCTTTGATAGCATCAGGGAGTTTGCCAAGCAAGTCTTTCACTCCTCTCGCCACGGTCTCAGTGCTAAGTAAATCCAAGGTACAGAAATGTCTTTCATGACCTTTCGATTGGAGAATCAGGCATGTTCTGCAGTAATTGTCTAGATTATCATAAAGCCACTTAGGCTTCAACTCTATAACGGCAGATTTAACAATGCCAAGCTCTTCTCTTAGATGAAGGGAGCAGTGTTTGGATAAAGTGAGGTGGTCATTGCATTGGGCAAGCATATTTGGGAGAAGAAGCCCGTACTTTTCGCCGGGCATCAAATCATATCCATTCGTATCCAAGCTAGATAAAAAAGTATCGTCTAGTTCCACGAGTTTAGTGCTGATGATCTCTGTTGGAAAAAGAGCTTTGCATTTCGTATCGATAAACTCGGTAATGCTTAGTGTGGGAATGTACGTGCCGGCATCCTTCTTCATCCGTAGTCTCAATAGATAATTCCGCAAACTTTCTTCAGGACCCACATACTTGAATAGAAGATTGGCATTGCCCTTGGCAAAATATTTCCATTCGTCTGCTAATAGTCTTGTTGTGTCCATTATCTATATAATCTTCAAAGAGGCGCATTTTTCATGATCGCGCGCTATCGCCAACTACGATCGCGACTGCTCCACAATTTGTGTCTTCGTAAAATTCATCGTGTTAGGAAGCTGACTTTTATCCACCATTAACACTCTTGCCGGACCTTTCACAACGTAAAAAAGTGGCGCTCTGTTGAAAACATGACACTTAATTGTAAGACTTAGCCATTTCTGTGCGTCCTTTACCTTTTCCAAGACGTAAAGGAACTTCCCTTCTATATCACGCAGCAACCCTAGGGAAGTACGTATAGATACTTTTGCCCGAGAATAAACGTCGCTGAGACGTCTATACATGCTCGCAAAGGCTGACAGCACGGCATGTGGCACCGTAACTTTTCCCACATTCAATTTCCAGAATTCATACTGTGTTGTGCCAAGTTTTGAAGTTGTATCTAAGTGGACATTGGATGCAATGAGAGCACTAGGGCTCAAGAGGATCAGCTCGTTTTCTTCAACAGTCACATCAAGTACATTGTGGTAGCCATTGACTACCAAAAACCCCTTCCCCTCACAAAGCAAAGATGTTCTGACCCCAGTCTTTTTAGGTGTCACCGATAAGTCGTAACCGGACCATGCAACTAGATTATCGACGTCTGCCAATTCCCACTTGTCTCCTTTTTTCACATCAATCAATGAGTAATTGTTAGACCCAGATGCTGTCCCAGATACAAGCAAGGACATTGGCGACGTCAGACTCACTTTGTGAAACTGCAAATCTTCAGTCAACAGTTGCGGCTCACTCGACACATCCATAATATTTCCATTCACAGCACTGACAGACGTGGTTCTAATATTTAGTATCGATGATTGTGGAAGTTGAATCTTCAACAATGTTCCTGGTTCTCCGATTGGCCTAACTGTGGGAAGTTCAACAAATGGCCCGTTACCAGTTGAAAGAGGAAGCAGTTTGTTTGTCATGTCAATAACAGGCTTGGCCACGCCACTGAAGAAACGGCCATGTGAACTATTTATTTTTCTTAGTAAGCTTCTCAGTTGCATTCTTGACTAAGTAGTACCCTCTGTGGTATCACGTCGCGAAAAACTCATACACTACTTCGTTAGATCCACCAATATTTGAAGATATAAATTGGCATCTTACAACGCAGCAAGCTGATGCTAGGCTGGAAAACACTGATATGTTGTCTAAAAAAAGAAAAAAAAAAAAAAAAGGAAAAAAAAAAATTGTTTAAATATTTTTTTGGCATACTCATACCAGCAAGTCGCATTCGTTCGAAACTTAAGTAAAGCGTGCGACAAGTGCATTTGTCTTTTCAATGAAATCTAAGTCATTCTTTGAAAAGAGTTTTGGATCCACATCGTGAGCGATCTGTGAAATTTGAACAAAGCTCCTCCAGAGCTTCAACCCTTCTTGGAAGTCACTTTGGAGTTGATGTGGGGTGACACTATTGGAGCTATTCAAATTAATATTGAACGATGGGTTACCCACTTGAAACACCTGGTCTAACAAATAGTCATTTGACTTCTTCTTTGCATTGGCGGGGGATTCGCCAGCTTTGGCCAGCTTAATACAGTGGTCAAAGAAAATCTCCCCCACCACACCAAGTAAAGTATTGTTAGGTTCCATGTAAAATGGAAGTTGATCAACCAATTCATACCAGTCTTTTCTCAGGTCGAAACTAAGTTTCAAGGCATCTTGTCTCACAATCATGTCAACCAAGCATGTTTGAGTGGACGTGGCCAACAAATTCTGAATAAAGACAATATGACTACGGAAGTTGAGCAAACTTCTTGAGATTGGCCCCTGGTAATTAATCGGATGAATGTTGAGCTTGTGCAAAGAAAATATGCGGGAGATCAAAGCAACTTGTTCGTTTTCTTCCGAAGAAAGTTCAAGGTCAGGAGCAGCAAATTTGAAGCTCTTGAGAACACCAGGGTAGCTTCTATCATAGGAACACAACTTGAGGCTGCCAGTGTTAAGAAGCATCAAAAGTAAAGTCAATTCTTGAAGAACAGCACTTGAGACGTCTGGTTCAACATTCACAAACTTTTTGAGAATCTCAGGAACGCTATTTATCTCATTAGAGGTGTTGTTGATTGCACCCAACACAAACAAAGCTCTCAAAAATGCTGATGATACCAAGTCTTTAGTTTTAAGTTCGCGAGTATCAGGTTTTGAAGAAGGATCAAATTTAGTTGGAAGAATTGAAAAAAAGGATTTTAAAGAAAACTCCTTGATGTCATCATTCTTCAAGACCAAATGGTTCAACCTCATGAACATAGGTGGAGTCAATCTATTGTTGAGTTGCAATGGTTCTTCTCTAAACCAATACTTAACATCTATCTTCTTAACTTGATAGTACCTAGCCAAAGACTGGGTGATAAGATTAAATTGATAATCAAGGGTGTTTTCAGCTAAAGGTGACGTAATAAGCTTCTTATAACCATCGCCTAGACCCATTTCAAGGGGAGGGCGCACAATATAACGACCCAGAGTTATTGCTTCCAACAATTTCACAGGTAATAACCCGAGAGATTGATAGAAGTAGATTTCAGGAGGAAGTCTTTGAGAAACAACATTGTGGATCTCAGTAGGGACTTTAAGTGGAGGTACGACCTTAGCTTTCGTGGAGGATTTGTGCTCTGTATCTTGTTTTTGAGCACCAGTCTCTTTTTCCTCTTCATTTTTAAGCACATCAGCTTCGTCAACGAAGCCAAACTTTGCCATTTCTGTGAAGTACAAACTGATTTGACCATCAGTATTGATTACAGGCATGTACTTAAGAGCAGCATGACCGGCGAAATATAATTCCAACAAGGATTCATCATGTAAGCCAGAGAGATAGCCATAAATATCGGTCGCGGTCCCATTGCAAAAGGTGTTGTACTGGTAAAAAATATCCAAGGCAATGCGGAAATAGCTAAGTTGTTGGTAAGGCGACATTGGATTAGGTTTTGGCAATGGAGGCAAATTGGAAAAAGTTTCAGGCTGCACAGAACATCCAACCATAATGCTCAAATCACAGAATTGCCTTTCGGACAAGTCTAACTCAGACAAAACTTTCCGCTTATCAACAAACCTAAAATCTTTGGATTGAAACTCCATTCCCAAAATGAACTTGTCGGCGTTGGTAAGAAGAATATCTGTAGACCCGTAAATGGAATCAATGATTCCTGCCTGATGCAAGTAGGATAATTGGAAAGAAGCATTGTACGGACTAATAATGTAGTCAATACCATTGGCAATGAGATACTTGATCAAGTCATTCATCATTGTACGGATAGGCAATGGGTCAACAGGCAAGCGAAATGATTCGTTCAAGTAAACATAACTTGTGTTGTTTGGGTTCGAATGTTTGGAGTACAATTTTGTCCAGGTGGACTCCAAGTGTTGTTCTTGAGGTGTCAACTCATTTGTACCAGGGACTTGTTGCTGCGAGCAAATGTGTAATCCAGGAAACACAAAAAGTGGACGGATATTGAATTCTTTGAACACTTTCAAGTCAGATTCGATATAGCTTTTCAATGAGGATGGCACCCCACCGACGCTAAACAAAAACTGTTCCTTCTTGTAGGTGTAGATTCTGCTCAAGTAATGTTCGACATCAATACCAATGGTCGCATTCTGAAGAATCTGGATTGAGCTTGTACTTACAAGCTTGCGCTCGAACAAGTAGGATTCTAACGATTTAATGGGCATGGGACAAGGTAAAGACGACTTATGAGGATCCAGTTGGGGCCAAGTGGTGAGCGCAACTGCGTGCAGGACCAGACACCTTTACCATTGTCTTACGAGAGGATATAAACAAAGGCTGGCCAAAATAAGATTGTACCAAGGGGCGGAATCGCAACATCTAGTAAACAATAAGACATGAGGTTTTCTTCTCGGTACATCAATGTGTTCCCTGACAACAATATGTGTCACTAAAAGACGTTGCGCGTGCTCGATCTGCGACAAGCTAGCGTCTACATTTGTCTGGCCGCACCAACTTGCGTAGACGTACATTCATGTGGAATGATGTTTTTGCTCGAGTCCTACACCATTTTAGGCTAAGTAGCAAGAGGAGCCAATGCAATTTCCAAATGAACAGAGCCAGTCATGTGGGATACAAAGGCAGAACCCAGAAACCGGTGCTACCCTTAAAGAGAATTATAAAAAAAAAAAAAAATTAAAAAAAAAAAAAATAAAAAAAAAAAAACTGTTTACAAAAAATAAAGAACCATCAAACAAAGAACAAAGGGTCTGATTCACCGCGATGCAGCAGAGCCAACATTGCCAGACGAGGAGCGCTCTGCATAAGAAAAAGACAAACAATCCACCGCAGAGCAAGCCAGCAGCCCCTCCTTGACAGCTCGTAAATACGATCGTGGCACAAGACGCAAGGTGGTCTTGACCTTAAACTGCGGTTACGCACACTCCGTCTATATATACGCGAGACGGTAGAGGTGTGCACGCATGTTGGCGCGCCTTATGCGAGAATGCTACACGGGTCGCACCACGCCTAAAGAAGGTAAAGAGCGCACATAAATGGCCCGTCGAGGCAAGACAGTACAGGCCAAGACAGGAACCAGCAGATCATACAGACATACAAGTCTTCAAAAAGTGGCTGTCAGCATTGCGGGAATGATGTGACTTCTCCAGGCAAGATTTATGGGGAGCCTCCCCTATTTTTTTTTTTTTTTTCTCGTTGTGACGACTAGCGTTGACCAAGTATGCGGTATATCGTGTGGTGGATGGTTCTGAGGGTTTCTTTGGGCGATTCTACCCGTCGCACTGGCAAGGCGCAATGCGCTCCGTAAAAGACATGTCAACATGAGAAAAAAGAAGGAAGGCGTAACTAGAACAAAAAAATACGCTGCAAGCCATCAACTAAAGTGTCTCGTAACTCGTAGAAAAATACACCCAAGACAATTGTACTGGAGTAACTTCAGACCTGCTTCTAGTGAGTCCGGCCGTCATACCTTTATATTGTCTCTTGCTGCTCCATTAGTCGCGTTTCTTTGTGGAGGATTTCACAAGCCCTGACGGAAAAAACCACCAGGCGAAAAAAGACACAACAACTAGCCGGCCAACACCTTGCCGCTTGCAATTGCTTCCATCTGTGGCTTTTTCCCTGTCTGAATTGTTTCTTACCTTACTGCTCTTTTTTCGTTCTCCTGCTCTGTCCATTTCCCCTACTTTCATTCCCGTTTCCCTGTCTCGACCCCCCATTGCAAGCTCGTCTTACTGAGCCATGAGGAAAATATGGAGCAAAAGTTCAAAGCGCCGCTCCATGGTCAATCCATCGGGCCGTGCTGACAGTTCAGACTTCCCAGATTCGGCTTCCATCTACACAGAGGTGCAGTCGCTCGATCATGACATTGTTCCTGAAAATCACGTCCGGTCGCTAATTCGCTCAGAATACGACTCAACATCAGTCAAGCACCTGTGGTTGAACGGTGTGATGAACGCCGCCACCACAAACGATATTTCCGACTCTACGCTCCGGCTTTTTCGCGTCGACCTCCGTGGCTCTCATTTATATGTGTACCGTGCTCCGTCGCACTTGAACACGCGCCTGTTTAAGCCAGGCGACTCGGACGAGAGTACAGATACGACCCGGCCTGAAGCCCGAATGGATTCGCTTCATCGCAGTGGTAGCACAGACTCGTCTGCCCACTCTACTGCTGCTTCTGCTCTGGTGGGAAAGCTGCGGAATATGAGCCTGGGCTCGTCAACCATTGACGCTAGCGAAACTACAGCCATATCCACGTCTGAGTATGTACCGGCAATCACTTACTTCTCTACAGCCATCCCGTTTCCTGGCTTGCAATACGATGTGGCATCGCAGACATTCCTTGCAGGTTCTTCCACAGAATCACTCGTCCACTTTTACTTATTTGCGGACGAAACTACATCAAGCGCACCTGTTCAGCAACTTCAATGCGTCCTACCAATGCTTCCGCGGTTTGGCGATGTATTGAAAACATTCCACTCTTTCTTGACCCACATTTTTGCTGGTGACTTTGGCGAAAAGGTCGATATCTCCGATATTACACACAGAGTACTCCGCTTGCTACACCATGTAGCCGACAGCTTTAGTGGCTTCCTTTTAAAAGCTGACGTGGCACCGCAGATGTTGAAGATTATCGAACTGTTCATGAGTCAAGCACCTCCAAAATCGCTAGAATTGATTCTGGACTTCAAGAACAAAATGCTTGCCAAACAGCGCGAATTGCTCGACTTGCTAAATACCGTTGACTCCGCTATGACAGGCTCCACATCTCAGTCACCCGTGCAAGCTATGGGCGCAGACGTGTTTATCAACCACACAAATCTCTTTCTGCTAGCAACCACAATCACAAAGATTGATGCTCAGTTTTTTGCGCAGTGGAATTCGAGCAAAGACAAATCCTTATTGCTTTATTCCTCTATCTCCGATCTTTCTATGGGCAATATGCTGTTCTACACTAAAAATCCACTCATTTTCAACAATGAGTGCCACATTCACTACCTATCTCGGTTGCTTGTTTATCACCTTTTCCTTGAAAACCCTAACATCACTGCTGAAGAACGCGCTCGTATATTGGAGAAATGGATCGATCTTGGTTGTTTGCTTGACAAGATGGGTAACATGTCTTCTTGGTTGGGAATATCCTCTATCGTTTTATCTCAACCAATCCTTCGGTTGACAGAAGTTTGGCATCAAGTGTCTTTAGATTACATCAAGCTTTTGAAAAATGACTGGTCTCCTGTCCTTTTTGAACTTGACAAATACCACTTGACTAACATCTACGAGAAGAATCCATTTGGATCTCAACTGGGTCAAACAGATGCGGATTTATTTGCGGCTTCTAAGGAGTCCTATCATATCATGGTTCCTCGAGGACTAGGGAAAATTTACCCTAAGGAAAGTGTTATTCCTTATTTTGGTGATTTACTAGTAAACAACAACTCGCCAACGACCATTTCTGAACTTGAGGCTATTTGGAAGAAAGTCAACTTTTCCTTTGATCGTTGGCATGATTACTTCAACGGATTATACAACTTCGACGAGGTGATTCAGTATAATCAGGATGTCTTAAGGAGATACGACTCCATGGGATTTCTTTTCACGAATGAGAGTCTTAACCAAGTGCTCTATCTAGGTGTCAACAAGGACAACGAAAAAACGATTCCGGCAACTGTGAAGTCTAAGAGTGAAGGTGTACCACCTGCTGACAATGACGTTGATCATGAAATGCATAAGAAATTGCTCCGATTGATTGACTATAACTGTGATTCTATCAACCTTGATTTCCTTATGAAATATTCATTGGAATGTGAACCTTGCATACCCGAAAAGTATCTTAAGTATGTCGAGGAGTCCATTACAAATAAGGTACAAAAGTTGGGGTTTGCTAGCAGCAGTTCATTATCTGTCAATTCGTTAGGTTCGGTGGCAAGTGCCTCAGACATCCCAGAAGGCTCAGAACCTTCGATTACTGTATCCAAACCTATTTCAGAGAACAGTTCCCCTGACGATGAAATTCCCCTTTTTAACAATAATTATTTCAAAATCAATTTGCTGAAGTACGAGGATTTATATCCCACGATTACAGACGGAGATGGTGACGAAAAGCATAATATAGTTGTGGATGATGATTTGACCCTTCGGATAGACGACTTTGTCGCTGATTCTGATGGCTCGTTCACGGCTGCTGTATCAGATCAGGATGAAACTATGGATGATGATGGTTTGGGTATTGATGTGGATGATATCTTAAACTCCGACAAGTTTAAAAACTTCACTATATCAGACAGTGGTGAAATACCCAGATTATCTATAGATAGGAAGAGGAGTAGCTTTGGCTTGGTTTCCGTTAACTCGACTGCTGCGCACCTGTCGCATGTGGTGAAATATATTCCCCGCTTCGCAACTATGGATAAATTGATTGATTTGCTATTAATCGATCTCAAATATTTTGATGAGGACTACACACTTGATCTCACAGAGTATAGGTTTGTCTTCATGCTAACTTATAGCTCGTTTTTGACGACAAGGGAGCTTCTCGAAAAGCTTGCTCACAGATTCGTGCATTCTGGTAATGCCGTAATTTCAGTGATGAAAAAGCAGCACCTTATGAAGGAGGGGAAGTATGATCCAATGATTTTTGGTAGCTTTCCCAACTGGGATGCAGACCCTCAAACAAATCTAGGAGAATTAGGTGATGTGAACTACGAACTTCTCCTTAAGATACAAATTAATATCCTCAAGGTTTTGATTGTCCTCATCAATAATTTTTTCCCTCAGTTTTTCAACGATTTTAAGAACAAAAAGATTATGATAAAGTTCTTAAAGTTGTACAGTAATGAAATTTTGCAATGGTACAACTCTAACAAAATAACAAAAGATCTAGAGAAACCATTTGAGAGTCTAGTCAGCTACTATAAACGATTGAAGAAGAGTTTTGTGAAAAAATGTTATAGACCCGTGGAGCTTCTGAAGTCCGAGGAATTTTTTTCGAACGAGTTGAAAATATTAGGGTCTATGAACGAAGTTCCCATTAACAGAAATTTGCCAAGTTTCAAGAATGTGCACAAGATCGAAAAGTTCTTGAGTAAGTTCAACAAGATGCTAGCTGTGTTTTACAAGGGCATTACACCTGAAAGCTGGTTTGAAACCTTTAAGATTTTGGAGAATCTGTTCGTGAATCATTCCCTTCTCAGCTTTAATCTACAGAAACCTACCATTTCCGACGAGAGCATGGTGATATCTAATGTCTTTTCTTATTTTGAAACACTTCATGATCTGTCAAGTAAGGATCTTGTACTCAACAAGCTTCCCTTGGTATTTAAAATGTTATTCCGAGTTTACTTCAAGTTCAAAAGTTACATTTTGTTGCAATTGTGTGATATCCTGATTACTATGGAAGAACGCTTTGAGAGAATGAAGACTTTGCTCGTCATGTTAAAGATCACGAAGCTCAAAATGAGCGACAGTCAATTTGTTTTCGAGGGCGACCAAAAAGATATTCCTTCATGTATTGAAACTGCTTTAACAAATGCCATATATTCTCCTGAAAGTCGTTATTTCTCAGAAATGTGGGTACGAGCGGCTCAATCTCTTCATCGTAAAGAGGTCGCAAACGCTAATCTGGGATTTAACATCGAGTGGTTGCTTCCTCAAAACCTAACTCATAGTGATTTGCTGATGCCCAGCGAATCTCTTCTTCCATGTTTCGGTTGGATAATCGAGAATTTAATCTCAATTAACAAGTGCCCATCCTATTACAGGTCCAAGATTAACTTTAACAAGAGATACTTGATTTACAAGGTTATTAGGGAGTTGAGCATTGAAGAAGTTGATGATAATGACATCGCAACGAACGAAACAAAGGAGTTTGACTTTTTGTTACGACTAGACGAATCGAAGGTACCGCTGGTGCAAGAAATGAAACAAACGATACCTCAAGATCGTATTAGCAGATTTCTTTTTAGGTCTATTCTTCAAGCTCAGCATACTATCTTGGCAGTGGATAATCGCAAGAAGTCTATCAGGGATGCCAGGGCACACCTTGAGATTCCCTCGACTCCTAGTCATGCTCAGGTCACGAGAAAACTGTCTAGTAATGCCTTGAAACGGCAATCGTTGAGCTATAAAACCAACTCGTCTTCAAGATTCAAAATCAGTGGGCTCTTTTCCAAGTCAAGAACTTTCGGCTTGAACTCCAATGGGTCTGAAAGAGTGGTTCTATTCCAAGAGCTTCCCGACCCTAATACGGTGATTGAAACCAAGTCAAAACCAACTGTCATTATTCAATTGAAAGACAAGAAAATATTTCCTGTTTACTCCTTATCTAACTGCTTTAAGATCGATTCGGAGTCAGGTGGGGGTTCATTTGTCTTTCAAGCGCCTACTGATTCAGACTCTAAAGATTGGTTAAGAAAACTTTGCTATGCTAACAGGCACTGGTTCTATTCGAAACAAATTACTGCAAGAACTAATCATGACTTCACTACTTTCGGAGTGCCTTTGACGTTGGTTTGTAGCAGAGGCAAGAGCAACACTCCTGAATTTCTTGACGTGATATATGAGTTGATTGAACGCGAAGGGTTAAAGGATGTTGGAATTTACCGGATTAGTACCTCCATCACAGAGCTTGCAAATCTAAAAAATGAGATTGATACGATTGGATACATTGACTTGAAGCTGAAGGCAGTTGATGTGCATTCACTTACAAGTTGCGTTAAGTTGTATTTCCGCGAGCTTCCAGACGCGGTGTTGACGGACGAGGTTATCGAATCGTTGTATAAATTGGGCCAGGAAAGACCCCCTAAAGAGGCAGGAGACGAAAAGTTTGACCGTGCGGCGTACCGGGAGGTTGTGAACAAGCTTCCTTTTAATCATTATGAGACGTTCAAGGCGCTTTTGCGACACTTGAACAAAGTTTACAATGCTAGTGAGGAGAACCGTATGACAGCGTCTAACTTGGCCACAGTGATTGGCCCTGCATTGACAGAGGCCAGTGGGTTGGAGTCACTTGTGACCAACTTTGGCATGATCAATTATGCGCTTGAGCGCTTGATTGAGCGTTACCAAGAGGTGTTTGAAGACACTGAGTAGTATCACAGACAATATATAAACTAATAAGATGGATTCTTTCTATGTACATCAATGTCTCTTAATGAAACCTTCGTTAGCGGCATCGCGTCTCTTTTCGATTGCCTCCAACTGCTTGTTTGTCTTTGCCATTTTCGTGTGGCTTTGCTGCTTCATTCTGGAGTTGAAGTCATTCCACCATTCACCAAGAGTTGCAGGTGGGGCTTTTGCACCAGGAACCACCACTGGTTTAACAATTGGTGGAATACCAGCAAACTTACGGAAGTACTTGTTCTTTAAAACAAGCGACTGGAAAAAGGAAAATACAGAGTTTGCGGCAAAATAGAGCACCACAGCAGATGACATGCTCTGGGTGATCAAAATGGAAGCAAACGGCAACCAAGTCATGACCTTCTTCATCATGGGATTCATGGCCTGCGCACCTGTCTCACCACCCGAACGCATCATTCCTGTCACCACCAAAGCAGTCAAGATTTGCAATCCCAAGTATGGATCGACCTGGGTCAAATCTTGGAACCAGTAGGCACCCTGGGTAGAAAATCCTTCAACGGGATACGCAGCCATTTTCCGTGTGGCCTGGAAGAAACCGTATGCGAGAGGCAACTGAGCCATGGGCAACAAAGAATGGGCGGTTTTGATGCCGTTCTCTTTGTAGAGCTTAGTACGCTTACGCATAGCCAACATTCTGTCTTCATTATCACCGGTTTTGATGTCGTTCATGAGCTGGTCTAACTCGGGCTTGACACGAGCCATTTTGGCCATGTTGGCCGATGACTTGACATAAAGTGGGAACATGAACGCTCTGGCAATAAACGTTCCCGCGATAATGGTGCCCCACCAAGGCAAGCCCGAATAGACATGGGTATACTCTAGCATGCGCTCGATAAGTGCTGTGGGCCCATATCCGTCAGCAAGCCCAATCGACTGCAAATAGCCGATTTGGTCCGACGTCATGAGTGTCTCCGGCAACGAGGTATTCTCAAAGCTAGGCAAAGACGTCTTGATCTCCGACACCACAGAGTTTTGAGCTTCGGAAGTCGAGTTAAAGCGCACAAAAGGTGAAAATGCACGAAGCGGGCGGAGGCGCAGCGACCGGGCTCCAAGTTTCAACATGGCAGAAATGTAAGTTGGAGTGGCAGAATGGGTAAGTTGGAGAAGTTGTTTTTCAGCGCGATGTGGATATACAGTCTGGGTGCGAACGAGTAGAAGAGGCGTTACAGAAGTTGAATGAGATAGAAGAGTTCAAAAAATGGAAAGGGTTCGAAAAGTCGAAAGAGTTGAAATTTTGTAAGGATGGGAGTAGTTAAAAGAAACCCGCTTTATGTCAAGAAAGAGTAGCAGCTAAAAAGAGAAGATGAGCAAGAAGACATTTAAACGGAAGACAGAAATCAACAGATTAATTCAGTGTCTGTGAGAATTATACTTGCGGTTTATCCTGCTTGATATCCTCGAATTTTCTTTCTGTCTCTTGCAGGTATGTTGTTATAACGTATCATGAACTTCGATATGGCTAGATTGCACAAGCGTTTACTAGTTTGAGGTATTCAGGTCTAGAAAGTCGCCACACGCATCTTCCCATTCTAGTCGATTACCTTAGATTGAATGGCATCTTACCTCCCGTTGCTTTTGTACTGGTGGATGATTGTCTTCATCTATTGGGCATTTTGACAGTTTCAACACAAATGGCCCAACCTTTTTCTGTTCGCGCTATATCCATATCTTATATATCTCATGGAATTGATTCATCACTAGCCTCCTCAAATCAGTTCACCTTCTTTCATAATCCGTCATCCCACTTCCCTGCCTATGTATCGATAATATTCAAAAGCAACTACCCGCCTAAACTTCACCATAGCATTCCAACATCTACCGCATCTCTCACATCCATACTGTGCTGAATTCACCTAAAAGTCAGTACATTAATGCTTCGAAGCTCCCTCTCCCACGCTGTTTCGCGTTCTCGAAGCACCTCATCACTTGCTACGTTATTATCTCTGGCTCCAGAAAGACAGGTTTTCGAACACATTGCTCAAAATGCTACAAAAATGCTCCAGCCACCTCTAGTGGAGCAGTACTTGTTCAGGCTCCTCACACAAAACAACCTTAATGCTGCAACTTCACTTGTTCATATATTGTATAATGCGAACGCTAAGCATTATCGTCTTTCCAATCAGTTCTGGTCCCTTCTAGCCTCAAGTGCCGCAACTCAAGCACATCATGCTGCAGCGTCCCTAGTGTTCCATGAAGTTGTGATGCCACACACGGCTATCAACGAAAAAAATGGCTTTGAAAACCCTGACGTGCCATTTCTTTTGCTTCCTACAGCTCTTGAACAATTGGCACTAGTGTTTGTCCACGCTGGCAATGCTGAAGCAGTAGAGGGACTTCGGCACTATTTCCGGCGTTTCTACTCGAATTTGGGCCACCGCGATGTCTATGAAACTCTCAATGTGGCCTCTGTCGAATCTTTGGCGAAAACAGGCGACATGGAAGGAGCTTTGGAAAAGTACGTTGAACTAGCTTTCAAATACCGGGGCCACAGCAGTTACAAGGACCCAAAGGACGCCATTCATCTGCTCAAATACGCCAGTCACCGCAATTACAAACAGCGGCAGGAAAACATCCAGAAAAACCTTCGTTCGCAAAAGAATCAGAAGTATCAAGACGGTTTCCTCTTCGACCCAAATATCGTCTACAACAAGTACACTATACCCGGCGGAAACTACTGGTCTATTCTAGATGGTTCACTCCGCGTAGCGGACTTGCCCTACTTCCATGCCCTTCTCCGATCGCATATCCGCAAGTTGATCCAAGAAAAGCACTCCGTTGTAGATCGGCTTTTATCTTTCATCTCATGTCATCATCACTCATTGCATCGCTTCGTGGTGGCAATTCTCTGTGACCTAGATTGCGTAGAACATGCATGGGCTGTCATGTCAAAGACACCAGACTTGTTTCCTAAGCTTGACGCATACGTGGTGTATGCGGGTATGGATGACTTTAATTATTTGTTCCGTGCGTTGAAACAACGCCTTGAGATGCTGCCTCTGAAAGATGCCTTAGAAATTTTAGCTCGGAGTCATGCGTTGGTACAACAAGTCGCTGGAGACAGGCCATTTCCATATTCTGTTAGACTGTCATATTTGTCTGCCCTTCTTGCTTCCTCGCTGACAGGTAAACATGACGTCGAACGAACAATAGCTACTTGGTCGAAAGATACGTTTCCCAAAGTACTTTTGGATGACCATTCGTACAAGCGTCTACAAAACTTGGACATCGAAGCGAAAAACTTCTGTGTTGTTCTATAAATGTCTGGAATGATTCTCGCCAGATGCGGGTTTGTTTTAGAGTCTGGGTTTGTTGAATCCACATATGATCCTTCACAGCGCTGGACAATTCATCTTACTTTATCAATCTACCTAGACATACTCTTGTTCTAGTCATCTCTTGGTGCCTTGATGCGGTGAATGCGCACATCATCCAGGTCCTTCAAGTCGCCGACAACAGCAATATCCTGTGGTGTGATGAAGATAGACTGTGCGTTCGAACTTTGTAGCTCATGGATCAATAAACGAATGGCAATTGTTCGGTTCACCGAATCCATAAACACATCAAATTCATCTAGACCGCAAACACGGGGTTTCATCACTTTCCAGATACTAAGCAAAAATGCGATTTGAGTGAAGGACTTCTCACCTCCCGATAACGACAGTACTGCCCGAGTATCTTTGTCGTCCTTGGTTTGAACTTCGGTCACAACACGTTTCTGGCCAAAATCAAACTCTAATTTACCTTTAAACCCACGAAGAGCCAAGCATTGTTCGAAGGCCAGCTTCGCCCTTGTGAGTTTTTCTTTGATGGTGATATTCAAGTTATCAAACCTCGAGTTAAGATCATTTTCCAATGTGACACGTGCATGTTCCAAATCATTGAGGCTGGTTTCACACTTGTCCTTTAGTTCTTTGCTCTGTAGTACTTCATTCTGTATTTCTTCAAACGTTTTGTTCGTATTTCTTTCCGCTTCCTCAATAGCATTTTGAATGGCTCTAAATTCATTCGTGATAGATTCTGTGGTATCTGAATCGGCTATCTCTATCTCTTCTCTCAGACAATGCTCTTCCGCAGCCAGTTTCAACTCATCGTACTTTTTCTCGTCTGATTCTTTCTTGTTTAGCTTTGCCCGTATCTCGATCAGTATCTCCTCTTGTTTCTTGCTATGACCTTCAATTTCTGCTTCAAGAAGCTGGACATTCTGGTTGTATTTCTCCACATTATTCTGCATTTCAGTGATTTCATCTGTGAGCTTTTGCTTTGTTGCGTTCATACCCTGCAATTTCTCTGCCATTTCTTTGATTTCTTTTTTGGATTCGTTTAGGTTCTGTAAAAGTTCCATCGACATCCCTTCTCTAGTCTTGATTTGATTTTCAGAATGAATGATTTGCTCTTTGAGACTATCAATCTTTCCATGGTCACCTTCCTCCAGAAGAAGTCTTTCTAAGTTAAAGATCTGGTTGTTTATCTCCTTGAGAAATTTCTTCTTCTTTTCTAATTCGGTTTGAAGGTTCTTTTTCTTCGCCTGCTCTTCAGCCTTCAACTTGTTCCGTTTCTGATGGATTCTAGCCTCCTCATGGTTCAATTCCTCTAAACTCCCTTGAAAATCATGTGATAATTCCTTACCGGCCAACCTACGAAGATCGTTTGAGTAAAATATAGGATCTCTGCTCAATTGGCCATCTCGTCTAGAAACACGAACACCGGAGCTTCGATCCTTGAGGCAAAATGCGTGTTTCACATTCCGATTCTGTGTAATCAGTTCAGCCTCTCTCATCGATTCACAGATTACCATCTCTTCAACACCGCTTGAATCAATCAATGTAAACTTTACATCATCGTTGTGAATATCTAAAGTATCAAGAACAGTTGCACACCCTTCAGGTGCATAACCATTGTAAGCGAAAGCTTCAAACTTTCTGACAATTATGTTTTTGAAGATTTTTTTGCCCCTCATGTACTGGTTCAAGAGGCGACGATCATGTTCATCACAAACGACAAACGAGTCTAAAGTTTTTTGAAGAGTTGCATTGATAAGGTCTGTCCATTTATCATATCCTTCTTTAACGCTCACAAAGCACCCAACAGGGCCAATTGGCTTAGAATGCCATCTCGTTTCCTTCTCAATATCACGCATAAGATAAGCAATGTTGTGACCAAAAGCTGCATACTTGTTGTTCTTATTTCTTTCGAAATCCAGGATCTTTTTTTGAATGGCTGCTTTGGCTATTCGATGTTCTTCAAGTTGTTGTGTGAGTGATTCCATTTCAGGGCTCGTTCCGCTTATAGTATGCAATTGTTCTTGAAGTTCATCTCGGTTTTCTATCAACATTTGTTGTCTCTTCTGTAACATTTCCAACCTTTCCGCCATCTTTTCCTTTGAGCCACCGTTTGCATCATCGATTTTCTTCTGCTCAAATTCAATTTCATTCTTATACTTTTCTATCGTTTTACCAAACTCCTCTATTTCTCGTTTGTAGTTTAGTAAATCTGCCCTATAAGCATGGATTTGTTTCGTTGCCTCTGCATGCTCAACCTCAGATTTTGAGAGATCCAATAAGTGTGCGTCAAGCTTTTCTCTTAGAAGACTTGCTTCTTTGTCTATAAGCGATGCTTGTTCCTGATCACGCTCGATTTCAGTAGCAAATTGCTCCTTTTTCTTTTCTAAATTTGATAGTTCATCTTCCATTTCTTTGATCTCAGATTCCTTTTTTCGAATTCTCCTCTCTAAGACCTCAACATTGTACCAAAATATTTTTCCGTTGATTTTCTCTAACTGTTGTCGAAGTGTATGAGAGTGTTTATACTTTTTGTAAGCTCTTTCGGACTCAGCATACTTTTTACATGCTTGTTCGTAATAGTCCTTAGCAGCAGCAGATCTATTTTGAAGACTTAGGATATTGCGCGATGCCTCTTGATAGTTTCGGAGAATGGATTGAATATTAGTGCCCTCACTGAAGTAATTAAATCTCGACTGTTCAGTACTGCTAGCAATGAATTCCCGTGCTTTATCTTGGGAAAGAAACGATAACGGGTTGTTCACCATAATAAAGAACTTCTGTAATATATCATCGAGGGTCTTTTTCTTATTGGATACAACAGAGCCATTCTCGCTCCTGATAGAGTATGTGTTTGCCGCCTTCTCGCAACAATTTTCTTTCAATGATAAATAACTTTGCCATAAGTTTCCTTTTCATATGAAATCATACCCCGTCATTATCGATCTCTATGGGTGATACGAGGCTGTAGATTTGGCCATCTTTGATAAGGCTTTTAAAGGAAGAGCCTCTGGCTTGTATCCTGCAGCTTTTTGCGCCCGAGGCCCGACCGAAAATCCCTGTTAAAATAGCCACTCTTTCTCCGAGCCGATTACGAACCAATGATAAAAATTCTATTTGCGGCCCTAGATCAAGTTCAAAGTAGTCGTGGCACATGAAATTTCGAAGCGTGAGTTTCCGAATATAACCAGCTCTTACGACACGTTCTCCTTCATCTTCATCCTCGTCGCTGTTTTCTGAGTCATCTTCCTCATCGCCTAACCTTAGTCGCTTCTGTGCAAGTAACTGTGACATGTATTGTTCGGCAGACTGGCCCAGCTATAGCTGTTAGTAGCAGCTTCTTGAATATGATATTGGTTGGAGATACATACGCTGACCATAAACGTTCTCTTTTGAGCAGCCAGTCTCGAGTCCTCTGAGACTCTTGGAGGCTCAAGAGTAGCCATGGTGATTGAGAGGTGTTATTTCTTTTTTTCTCTATTGTGGAGATGTTTACATGGAAGTGATTTACGATGGATCGCGAAGTACCAGAGTGCACATACGGAGGCTTGATCCAGGTAAGATGGGCTAAGATATCAGCCTTCTGAGGCAATTGTACTTTCGAAAAATACATCGAGAAAATATCTGTTGTCTAGTTTGGCTCCTTACAGAATTGGATTGCCAATTTTTGATGAGCAAGTGTTTGCTTGTATGCTGCGCTGGTCCAAACGAAATAGAAGTATAGAAATAATCGCACTCTTTTCTTTTACGCTATTAGCTCTCTTCCGTGACAATGGCTAAAAAGGACGCTAAAAAAGGAAGAATGGACCCGCTGTTGATCACACCGGAGTATATTGCCGAGCAGCGGCGCCTCCGGGAGTTGAAGAAAGAGGAAAAAAGGAAAGAGGCGGAAGAGCTGGGCTCGGGCACTGAAGACGACAAAGTTCCACCTTCTTTACGTTTTATCAAGAGACCCATGCTTGCGATTCCAGGCCAAGAGAAAGGCTCAGGGCTACCAATAAGCATTATGTCGTACAATGTACTAGCTCAAGCACTTATTCGAAGAAGCCTTTTTCCGACAAATGGAGCTGCTCTAAAATGGGGTACACGGTCGCAAGTACTACTCTCTGAGTTCAAGCACTATGACTGTGACATTCTTTGCCTCCAAGAGTTAGATTATATCCAATACAACAGTTTCTGGAAGCAGAAGTTGTCCAAATTGGGTTACAACTCTCAATACTATAGGTCTGGAACCAAAAACCACGGCGTCGCCATCTTCTACAAGCAAGAGAAATTTGCATTTAAGCATTCCATGTTCATCAATTATGATAAAGAAACTTGCGGGTCTGTTCCGCTTTCAACGGCTACACTTAATGTGGGACTAATGATTTACTTGGAGTTTTCTGAGGAAGTTTTAAAGTCTCACCCTAAATTATCTCGGGATGGGATTATCATAGGTACCACACATCTATTTTGGCACCCTTTCGGCACTTATGAAAGAACCAGACAAACGTACATCGTGTTAAAGCAAATGAAAGAGTTTACGAGAACATTGCAACTTCTCTACGGTGCCGAGAAATCGTTTTACAGATTCTTTGCAGGTGATTTCAACTCCCAACCATTCGACTCACCTTATCTTTCCATCACAGCAAAGCCAGTAACTTACACTGCCAGAGCTAAGAATGTGATTGGTCGTGCTTTGGTTCACGAATGGAATAAAAAAGAGAAGAAAGAAGAAGATGAAGAAACGGCAAACAAACAAATTGAGGATAGTAGTGACCAGAACGAACTCGATGATAATCCAGTCCCGGAATTTTTCCAGTTCTCGCCTGAAATAACGCATAAAATCAATGAAATGGAAAGCTTGCACAATGATTTGGACATGCGAGCCATTTCATTATATTCTGTCGGATACGGTTTGGTACACAAAGACAATGCTGGACGTGATAACGATCGGGGTGAGCCATTCTTTTCAAATTGGGCCCATTCATGGAGAGGGTTACTTGATTACATTTTCGTGCTCACAGACTGGGACAAGCAAATTTCCTACAGCAACAAGATAGACTCCTTACAAGAATTAGAAGAAGCGAATAAGGTCAGGCTCTTGAGCCTAGTGAGATTGCCTACACCTGAAGAGATGGGTCCTGAACCTTCTGGACAACCTAGAATCGGACAGTTTCCTTCGGACCATCTCTGTTTGATTGCCAAGGTAGAACTTGTGTGATTGACCAATAATTATTTCTCATTTACGCCCTGAAATACTTCTAATATACACCTTCACCCATAAAGATATGGATCACGATTTCAACATAGTTAGAATCAAATCCTCCAATGGACCATAATCTTTTTTGCTAATTAAGTCGAACTCTTTAGAAAAAAGAACATAGTGCTTCAAGCTGGTGTTAAGATGACTTTGCAAACCCAATTCTGAGATCTCATGGAAGTGATGGCAATAAATGTGCGCATACACCCGCAAAAGTCTCTTGAATATTGTCTTGACCAAGTTGGGGAATTGTTGTGGAAAGGGGGCTCCAATTTTGGACGGAAAGATGTTGTCATTATCGAAGAAACCTTGAATCCAGTTCATCAAGTTCTCCACGTATTCACACGCTGGTAAGGAGACAGGCTTTCTAGGAGACGCAGACCCGTTGGCAGATGGATTCGTATCCTGCCACAAGTATTCGTATTCTTCCGTAGCAATCATTCTTGGGCATGACTTTGGGGAACAAAACTCAGTGATTGTTCCATATAACATGTTTATCTGGTTATAGAAGTCAACCACGTGCACAGCTAGCCACTCATTGATATCTTCATCCTTTGGAAGCTTCACTGCTTTAATTAAGGCGTTGTCAGAACCTAATGTTTGTTCGGCGTAGTTTCTGATGTCCTTGTGTGAAGTTACCGTTTGCGTTGCCATATTTGACGAGAGGTTCATTGAAGAATGAGCAAGATTTTCCTCATCGTTAAGCGAACCAATATTCACTGGAGGCAAAGGCGGAAGAGCAGCTGTGTTAGATAGCGGCTGCGGGCTGGATATGGGGGAGCTCAGCTTTAACTTAAAGCCTCTAGTTGTTCTCAACGAATGGGTGTTGAAATTTTGGAAAAAAGACATTATAGGCCGATTCGTAAGGTGCCAAAGTAAAGCAACAAAAGGGAGGTTATTTTTGCAGACTAATCAACAAACCAGATTGATGCTAGGAAGGAGGGATCAGAGTTAGCAAGTCAGATGGATCAGTCAAAAACCTGTGGAACAGCGTGTGTTTACAAAAAAACCGCATTGGGCTAAATGGGTGCTTCGGGCGCGGGACTTAACCCATTGTGCAAGTCACTAAGCATACTGGGCGAAAACACCATGCATTTGATGGAGCGATAGGTGAAATCATGTTTCAGCCAAGAATCCTTGCACTGCCGTAAGCGGTGGCTGCTAAAATCGCATTCTTTCATGATATTCAACGAGTTGAACTCGTCCAAAATGGACCGCTGGAGTCGAAGAAGAACCATCTCAGCTAAGGGCGGGCCCTTTTCTTCTGCGCAATCCAGCGCGCTGAGATACGAGTGCACGCGAAGCAAGTTCTCAATGTTTAAGCGCACCAAGTGCTTGCCATAAAAGGAAAACACAAAGGGATACGAGTACTCCAAATGGAGCGCAAGTGACGCCAATAAATACTGAAAATGGCGGTTCATGCGATCCATGTAGCAATTGGCGGCGGGCGTCCAGTACTCGATTATAATGTTTAGACGCTCCAAGTGCTCCACCAGCACGTGAGAAAGTTGGGGCAGAAGTGCATTGACAAGCTTGCACATCAATGCAAGCTCAATGGTGGCCAGGTCGGGTTTCCGAGTGTCTACGACCGAAAACATAAGTGACGGCCATAATAGGGACTCTGAGAATGCCTTTCTGAAAAAGAGGGCGCCAGGGTTATCTTGTGGGAGTAGTCTCCCGTTGATTTTGATGTCCATAGCCATCTGGCGGTTAGCGGTTTCTATGTAGTTACAATGGGGTGTTTTCGTACAAGAAGAATCGAGCGAGGAAGGCACACGCTGCTTCCCGGTGGCTTTTGCGAAACTGTATCATACGATACCGAAAAGTAGTCTTCGCCGTCACGGAGAATAAGTTTCATGGAATGAGAAGAGAAATTAAGGTGCAAAAAGTGCGCGGATATTTGTTGCAGTGTTTATAGTTTTTACGCAATGCGACATAATCTTTTCACAAGACCAGAAGAGATAAACTGCAGAACGTGCTGAGATTGGAATAAACTCCATCGTGAGAAATCAGTCATCTTCTCTATGATTTCCTTTTCATTGGAAAACACTTTTCTATTCTTTTATTTTCTCGGATCTCCACAATCTATTGAGGTTGTACTCTACGTTTAAGGTCCGCGCGCAATGATTGTAAACTCATCAGAAGACTACATTGTGGACTTGGCTGAAAATTACCTGGAGCGATAACATAATCTTCAAATCCGAAAAACCAAAGGCTAGATACTACTTCTTTATAAACTATCAAAAGAAAACTGCATTAACTCAACACCTTAAGTTCCATGCACCAATTTTCATTGCAAAGTAAAGAACAAGAACAAGTCTAAATTACCAGATGTCACTTTCTACCACGATAACACCTCGTCTAACGCTATCTCACGCTATCACTTCGCTACCCACATCGGAGTACTTTGGCGCCCTTGGTCCCAGGGCCATGAGCTTAGCTGCATACCGCCGCCTTTTCCGTCTTCGCCATCTTGTGGAAAACCATGATTATACGACTATATTACGGCGCCGCTTCACTCGCATAGACTTCAATATTCGCCGGCAAAAAGTTCTCGGGGTGCTTCTGCCACTTTCGCATCAGGATATGACCACTCGCCTTGCCAACACTGTGGCATTTATCTTCAACAGCACATGCCATTCCAAAGACGAAAGACTGCCAGTCTATTTCTACGACGATCTCGTCCGCGAGACTCGTCCGCGTCTTGAACGAGAAATCCTATCCACTATACTTAATATGGATCGGCAGATGCCCCCAACGCTAAAATATGACTATTCTTATGATTGGGTCGATGATGTGAAGCTGTTCTACGCAGAGGTTGGTTCTGGACCGGACCGTCGAAATATCAACAGGCTTTTCAAAAAGCAGCAGGCCCCCTACTTGGGCTTTCTTCAGTATGAACAATGCGTGATGCTGTTGAACGAGTCTATGAACTTATGTATTTAAATTTCTTTCCTGGATGTGGAGAGAAATAACGACCAGGGTGTGAGTTATTGTCTCAAGATTCTACCTCACGGGGAAAAGATGAGAATGGTTTCCAACACAATGTCTGGATTTTTGAGTTTGGCAATGATAATTTCAACAATAGCTCGCCATCTCAGTACAATCTTAAACCACGAGAAGGTGTAATCATTTCCAGAATATTTGGATTTCGCATAGCCTATCTCCGTTTCCATTGAATGTGACAAAATCATGTCAGCTTTCATTCTCAACGTTGCGCATATTTCACACTGAACCTTTCCACTCCTTTACGTATTGCCTTCCCTATCGTCACTTTCTCCATTCTCTCGTACAATAACGATGTTTCCCTTTTTCTTTCAGGCTCCTGCTTAAGCTAGGCCCGACCTGCATGGTGTGTGTTTGCTGATATCAAATCGTTCCTACTCCGCTCTCCACGCTACCCCATCATTGTATTTCATCTCAGAGACTGATAATATGGCGTGGTTTACATGGAATAAGCAAAAGTCGCCTCAGATTGAGCAACGCTCACATACGCGCATGGAAACGGCACCAGAGTCGGACATCGCCCACACATTGAATCAGATTTCATCCGAGGACTCGCTTCCTCGCGTACAGGTGTTGTCGGCTGAATCATACAATGAAACCATACAAGTCAGTTTGCCAGATTTTGTGTCGCAGCGGCCAGAGAAACTTGTTCATTCATTGATGGGAGAAAAATATGCCTGACGAAAGTATCATATGCACCAGCGGATGAGCAGGGAAACAAGACATGCTTAAAGTTGAGGGTATAATCTGATTGAGTTTATTCAAGCAGATGCAGCGCCTCGAATATTTCTGCTCCTTGCCCAAACAATATGGACGCTACCTACTTCGAGTGCAGAAAAATCACATAGTTACTATACGCAAGGGCTACACACTCGCCAGTACAGTAGTGGGCCGTTCAAAACAAAGTACCCGAACATTGCTCCAACAGCAACGGCGATGCTTGCTCCAAGAGCATTTCCTCCGGATCCGGGTGCTTGGTGTGGGCTATTGTAGGACCCATTTCCCCAAGTTTGCGACCATGTGGAGTTGACATTTTCCAGTACATTGTGAAAATGCGAATTCTTGCTGTGAGCAGTTTCGAGTGCTTCCTTAGATTTGGGTTCGGTAGTCTTTGATTTGGGAGAAGCCACTGTGCTTATCTCAGTCGATGTGACTTTTTCCGGCGTAGGCTCAGCTAGTGCTGGATTATTCTCCTCTTTCCTAGGTTTAGACACGGTTTCCAAAACTGAAGACGCAATCTTTTCTGACGTAGGTGCTGCTTTGAAGTGTGAAGTTATATCCGGCGTTGGCTTTTGCTTTTGCTCTTCCCACTTTGTGGGGTAAACTAAAGTAGAAGTGGACTCTGCCCCGGTTTCAGGAAACTGCTCAACTTCTGAGCTTTGTGGCCATGTTTTAGGCTCTTGGAATGAAGCTTTTTCTGTTGGTTTCGTGACGATCTCTGTCTGCTTTTCAGTCGTACTCTCAACAACTTCCTTTGTTGAAGACGTAGTATGTATTGTCATGGTACTTGCACTGTTTGTCTTCGATTCTATAATGCTGGCTGTTTCAGTTTCTGTCACTTTCTCAGTTTTTGTCACTTTTTCAGTCACCACCATCTTGGTTTCGGACACTTGTACTTCAGTTGTTGTTTCCGTTGCAGTTTCTGTGTTGGTTTCAGTGATGGTTTCAGTTTTGGCACTCTCAATGGTAGTTTCAGTGGTAGTTTCAGTTGTTGTTTGCGTGGTGGTCTCCGTTTTGATTTCAAGCTTTGCTTTCGTCAGTTCAGTCGTTTTGGGCTCATTCGTTTTCTTTACTGATTGAAATTTTTCGATGTTCGTTTTTGACGGTTCTGGTTCCAGGTTTTTCTCACCAGTCAGATCACTGGAACGGGCCTCTTCTTCGTCCTCTCTGTTGATTTTCTCAATTGTGTATTTTCTGATCCGAGCCAACTGGTCTTCACCTGCAACCAGAATGGTGGCACATGCCAAAGGCAGTCCATCTGCATAGTGAATCACAAGAGCTCTACCCACAACATAGTTTCTGGAAGTCGGATTCAAAGAAAGGAACGGGTCAACAAAATCAGTTTCAAAACACGTGCCTTCTAAAGCTCCATGCTTGCCTGCCAAATTTCCCACAGCACACTCATTCTGATCTTCTTCAGGGCATTCGTCCAGAGATGAGTAAGGATTGAAAACAGGACCTGTAGTATCGCAAGTATTATCTGAACCCACAGCAAATTCATGGATATGGTATGTGAACGGTCCTCCTTCTTGAGGTAAATCTACCAAATCCACATGCACATTGGCACTGACTCCATTGGTGCTGGTCATAATCACATAACCTTTAGTTTCAGCGTTGGGGCCACTGTGAGGAAATTCTGCAACGGCAAAAACTCCAGTCGGATTTTCTGTTGTGGGAACAGAGGGGAGAGCTGATATGGGCGCAATGGCCAATACAATTGCAACTAGTGAAGAAACTCTCATTGGAAAACTAGTAATAAAGTTTGGGTGCAAAAAGGCTTGTCGCACAGATAACTGCAGAGGGACATGATCAAAAAGGATACGCATTTTGGTACCTTTAAGCCTTACTGAGCCCAGCTGAACCCAACTGAGACAAATTAAAATGAGACACAAACTACAAATTGACAACAACAGCTCCTGGCTTTATATAATTACGGGATTAGACAAGTCAAGTAATGGTGTATTATGGCGACGCCAATTTCTTAAAAGGTAGGGTATGCTTAAATTTCTATGATTGTAATGTAATAGGGCCGCCCAAGTACAGATCAATGTCAATTTACGATCGCTTCCAGACACTGGAATGTGAATGCAAACTTGTGTTTCACATATAGCATTATGCGACTTATCACGTACTGTACTAAAGAGCTCACTGATTCCTGACTCATTACAAAGAGCCACCTCCTCAGATTGCTTTCATCCTACAAATAAATGATACTTTTTACTAATTTTCTCTACAGTCACTTTTCACCTAATGTATTCCCAATGCATAAATAAATAGTGCCCTATACCATGAAAGACTCACCGCAGCCGCAGGTGCCCTTTGAGTTGGGGTTCTTGAAAATGAATCGAGACAGAAGCTTGTCATCGATCCAGTCCATCTCTGATCCGACAATGGAGAAGAGTGCTTTTGAATCAATAAGCACTTGCACGCCATCTTGTTCGACCAATTCGTCAAACTTACCTGGCTTATCCACATACTCCAAATGGTAAGTCAAGCCCGAACATCCTCTGTTGCGGACACCGATTCGGATAAGCTGCGGGTTTGGCTGATCGAGCAAAGCCCGAAGATGTTCGACTGCACCTGGTGATAATGTGATCAATGCTTTTCTTGGACGCAATTGTCTCCTAGGCTTTTTAGCTTTAGTGGTCTGTTCCACCTTGGGTTGCTCCTCCGCTGCTGACGCTGCAGGCGGTTCTGGAGTTGTTTGGACTTGCTCTGGAGCAACTTGTGCTACTTTTTGTTCAGTCTTTTGTTCTTTGCTCTCTACGTTTTTGAAACGAGAAGCTCTGGATTTCCGCGCAGGAGGCATGGCAATTGTAATAACCTCGTCTGTATTGTTTTTGGGTGCTTCGCGGGGCATTGCTGGAGTTGCCAATCCGTGAGCAGCCCATCGGGAGCTTCTATTTCCTTGCGGGCGCTTCTCGGAGGAGATTTGAGGTTCAAGTTTGTAGTTGAGGCGACCGAAATCGACATTAACGCCCTTGGAAGTACCTGGAATAGTTTGCATGAATCTCTTGTTCCCTTGTTGAGAAGCATATCTGACAAAAGTGCTCGTCGGCAGGAAGAAACGGCTCCTTAGCATTGTGTACCTGTAAAAATGTATGTTGCTATTATGGAAGAAATGCAAAATGAAGAGAGACTTGTCTCGAAGGATTTGGGTCAAAAATAAAACCGACTTTCTGGATGGTTGCTGATAAAGAAAGAACAATTGACAAGTTCCGGAATAGGTTTGTATAAAAGAACAGTAGATGATACCAGGTCAAAAATAGTCACTGTAAAAAATGCTTACCAATAGATGCAGTCCGATGTGCAGTACGTCACTGGAAATAATCAAAAACATAAAACGCATGATTGGCTCAATTTGCAATCCGATCGCGGCTCCGAACACTCGGGTCCGACCGTTCTGTGGGGAAGTCAGGAACCCTCTTGAAGCATTGAATGTATACAACTAAACGAATACTATTTTTCTTACGTAACCCAAGAACAAGAAATGTAGTCGGAGAAAAAAAAGTTTGGCTACTCGTTTAAAAAAAAGCATTAATTATCTGATATGTAGGCCACCTTGGGGTAAAGGACAGTAGAATCATGGTCATCAAAAGTAATTCATCATAAAGGAGACGTCTCTCTCTTCAACCAGGCCAACTCGACAGAGTGCTTAGCAAATGAAGGACTCAACTCATTCCAGATTGTGCGATGGTAATTGTTGATCCACTTCTTCTCCTCAGGACTCAACAAAGCCACATCGATTAAGCGGCGGCAGAATGGTACTCGGGTAATGGTTTCAAACTCAAAAAAGTTCTTGCCATTGTACTTCAACCCGCTGTCCTTCACAAACATGACGTTCTCGATACGAATACCGTACTCTCCATCTTCGTAGTAACCTGGTTCATTAGAAATTAGATGACCAGGTTTCAATGGGTTTCTGGCACTTGGTCTCGGGCCGATCCCGATGGGACCTTCATGCACATTGAGATAAGCTCCGATACCATGCGATGTACCGTGTCCGTAATCCAATCCATGTTGCCACAAAAACTGTCTGGCAATAGAATCAATCTGGCTTCCCGTAGTGTTTTCTGGGAACTTCAAGTCACCTAGAGCAATGTTGCCTTTCAAAACTAAAGTGTAGTTTCTAACTTCTTCTGGCTTAGGAGTACCAAAATGCAATGTACGAGTAGTGTCGGTAGTACCGTCCAAGAACTGGGAGCCCGAGTCATTAAGATAGATCTTAGAAGGATCAATCGTAGAACATGCTCCCCTAACAGGCTTATAATGAATAACAGCACCGTTCGCCCCAGTAGCACTGATGGTATCAAAAGACAAGCCAACAAAATCTTCCTCTTCTTGTCTGAAACGGGTTAATTGTTGGTCGGCCTCCACTTCATCAATAAGTTCAGCCTTACCAACGATCTCATTCTCTAACCAAGCAAAGAACTTTACCAATGCACGTCCATCCTTGAGATGGGCTTTACGAGCGCCTTCCAACTCAACGGAGTTTTTGATGGCCTTCAAATCTTCAATAGGAGATGGACTAACAGATTCATATGCGCATTGCAATTGGCGAATAATCTCCCATGAAGCAGAATCTGTGTTCACCAACACTTTCTTGTTGGCCAATTTGAGTTCTAACGATATCGTAACGAGGTCGTTCCAAAAAGCTTTGTATGGTTTCACTTCCACGTTGTTCTTTTTTAATTCCTGGGCAACGTTAGCGTCGAATTTGCTATTGTCAGCAAAAAGCAACACTCTCTTATCACTAGTCACAATTGCATAACTGTAGAAAACAGGGTTGAATTCGATGTCAGATCCTCTTAAGTTCAATAACCAAGCAATCTCGTCAAGAGCACTGATGATTAGACCATCGGCATTTTTCGAGACAATTATTTCCACAACTTTAGCAATTTTGGACTGAACCTCCTCGCCAGTGTACTTGGCACTCAATGTTTTGATGATGCTGTCGGTACTTTCAGGCAACTCCTCAAATTTGGACCAGATCTGGTCCACCAAATTCGTCTTGACTGCGACAAGCTCAACACGAGCCTTTGGTGAATTGCTAAGTTCAGCCTGTATGGCACTTTTTATCTTTTCGTATTGCAGGAAACTGATCAACTTTGGGTCGACACCAATTTTTGTCAACGAGCCAGAATCTAAGGATAATTGTACAGCTTGTTTCGCAGCCCACAGTTGCCATGAGGGCTCATTTGGCACGCCTTGTTTCAACAAGGACCAGTTGAAATCCAACTCATTAGCTGCTTGGTTAAAATAGCGCCCGTCCGTGGACAAAGCGGCTAAACCTTCTGGGGTATCATTCATACATGTGATGTCACGTGTGACAATAGCGACACCGGCACTTCCAGAGAAGCCCGAGATGAAGCTTCTTCTCTGGTCCAGAGGCGAAACGTACTCGCTCTGATGCTGGTCTTCGCTGGGGATAATGTACACGGCCAAGTCATTCTGTGCCATTTGCAAACGCAAGGCTTCCAAACGCTGGGATGTGTTGACTTCCTTGTTCTCAGGCAAGCAAAGTGACGCAGCATCAAGAGTAAACACAGATCCCTTGCGGGAGCCGTTGGGAGAAGTGGAACCAGAGAGGTTTCTCTTCAAGTTAATTCTTTTCGCCATGATGGACGACCGTCTGTTTGTACGAGACAATAAGCCGGGCGAACATGTGCAGTTGGCACAGTCAGCTCTGCTTACTCTTCTGTTGGCAACTCTCATTGGTTTGGGTTCTTTCCGTAAATAAGCAGATGTAGTGAAAGAAAGAACGGACTTGTTTCCCAGTGACATTCACTCGTGCGCGCGCTTATGTAAGCCCAATATCTGGTCCAGCAATGGCCAGAGATGGGAACAGCAGTAGATACGAGTTTACAAGAAGAGAAAGTAGAAAACGAAAATAAACAGCGAAAGAAAGAAGTTCTATGCCATGTGATGAAAAAGTATGATTGTATCTTGGTGAAGCCATTTCTCCTCTAGCTGACATCGTTGCTAGCCTTCCTATTCTCATCAATCCACCTAGATATTGTGTGCCGGCATGCACTTTTTGAGTGAGCTCACTTTATTGCTAGAGCTTTATCTACATTGAACAACGCCTTTTGTTCTGACTTTTGGTGACATCGGCTGGCCTTGAAGCTTCCTGACCGTTTGTGGTTTCTTTTTTTTTTTGAATTTTTGCTCCGGACATTCTCCTTTTTTTGTGGCGTTTCAAAAGTGCGACCATACTGTAGTCTCATTACTTGACTTCGGATCAGAATGTCCTTCGAGCATGTGGCTCAGGTATGTTGGAAACTTCAATCGAAAGCTGTTTGGATTCGGCTCTCAGAAAACTGCGTTTCGAATAGTGGGCAATGTTTTCTGAGAGAGTATTCAAGCTAGGACACAACATCAATACTAACTACGCAGAAAGTGGAGCAGCTATACACATGTGGCGACTCAAATGAGGTCCATATGCTTCAACTGGAGTTGCAGGCTCTCCAGAAATCTCCACAGGGATATAACCTCGCGTCATATTTACTCCAGCATCCTTCCAGGAACTGCCAATACTTTGGTGCATTGACTTTAGCTGTGGTGATACAAGCACCAGACCTTACATCTGAAGCCTCTCAAGCTATTCTCCAGCTAATACATCTCCATATCAGTCGTTTAGCTCAGGATCCGTCTCTGCTTCAGCCCAACTTGTTCATCATGCGGAAACTAATGTCTAATTTGTCTTTAATGTACTTGAAGGAACAGTCTGCAATTCCAAATCCTGTGCTGGTTCTTCTTCGTGCTTTGGGTTTGCCTGAAGGTGCAGATTCGGCTTCAATGCGTTCGTACTTGCCAGAGATACCTCCAATGACGATAGCACTTGTTCTTCTCTTCCTTTCTATTCTAGTTGGAGACGTGCTTAAACTCGCTTCCTCGAAAACTGCTCTTCATATGCGTATCCATACCGAAATATTCCCGTTTATGGTCGTCCTTTTCGAATATCTTAATTACTTGAAACAACTCGATCGCTTACAAAGAACATTGAGTGTATCAGCATTGGAGACTTTGAACTCGTGGATGTCGTATCTTCCGAATATAAACGGAGATGCTCGTTATGATGCAGATCTGATATCAATCTTCGTTGAGTTTCTTTTTCTTTATTTGGAAAGCAACGTCGATCCTGAAAATCAAGACTCCCTCTCAGAATGCCAGATGGTTCTTAATATTTTCTTGGAGTTACTTGAAGTGAATCCTCTGCTTCTTAGTATTGAGATTAAACTGAAATTGTACTCTTTGGTATTTGAGAATGACAAATGGGGTGTTCAGTTCATGGATAAAGTTATCTTTACTGATAGACGAGAAGAATACCAAGAAGAGGTTAACAGCTTCGTTGATTTGGTGATTACAATTTTGCAGTTGAATGTTATCCGTCTTTCGAAATCCATCCTCGACTCTTCTACTCAAAGAATACTTTCCATAGCATACCGCCTAACTGCTGTACCTGGCACTCCGTACATTGAAGACTTCATAAGCGAGCGCATGTTAGTGTTTTGGGAAGAATTTGCTTCCGCTTATGAGGACTCTGCTGATCTACTAGTTGAGCTTTTTGCAGTAAAATCGGATCCGAGTTTCGAGCAGCAGTTTGAGAATGAACGGAAACGCATTTTTAATGAAGTGGCGAAGGTTTATTGGGCGAAGCTTCGCATGTCTGAAGCAGAGACATTCGAGTCTATCAGAGCAGAATTTAACTCTTACCGGAGTAGTGTAGCGGACTTTTTTTTAGTCGCCTACTCTCTTTTAAAGACGGAATTTTACAGTACATTGACTTCTTCGTTGATTGAAACAACGAAATCATGCCAAAATAACTCAATGCTGATAGTTGATATTGAAGCTACGTTGTATTTATTGTTCAACATCAACGAGGACACGGCTTATTACGAATCACAGATGGAGGCCCTTGCACCGTTTTCCCTATCCATTTTTGAATCTGGCATAATTGCCACTTTCAAGCAGCTTCCTCTCGATAATTTCATGAACCAAAGGTTTTATTCGACATTTATACAATACTTGGCCCTGAACGAATTTTTTTTCAAAAGACCAGAAGGAAGCGTGTTCTTGGGTCAAGTTTTCGACTTGCTCTTCCCCTTCTTAATGAGCGACTTTTCTAATCTTTCATTATTAGCATCGAAAACTGCAACCAAACTATGTGAAGCCTGCAGCCATAATTTGGTAGGCTTTCTACCCAACCTTGAAATCATTGTCATTGAAATGCTCCGAAACCCTTCCATTGATAGTCTCATCAGACTGCGGATGTTCAGTGCGTATAGTTCTATAGCCAGAAGAGTGGACAACGTTGAAGAACATTCCAGAATAATCAATGGCATGATCTCGACTATAGCTGAGGCTGGATCGCTGATGATGGACGCCAAAAGTACTTCCTTGAATGATGTTGAAGAAGATTATCTAGTGTCCCTTCTTTCATGTCTTGTTAATGTGGGAAAGGGTAGCTCATTGACAGATGAAGATATAGACGAGCTTCTGGAAGAGCAACAAGAAGCGTATAAGTCGTATTGGCTAAAGGATCCCCTTAATACTAAGCAGTTAATCCTTTCGATTGTGGAAAACTACTCTTTGCGGTATCCATTCTTGGCCCAAAAAACAATCATTATTGAAAAATGCACCATGGTCTTCCGTGTTGGCCTAGGCGAAAAGTTAGGAGGGCCATTCGATTTCGGCGTTGAAACTATTGCTCGATACGCAATATCCGTAATGGAGAGTATCACAAATGCAAACGGTGTGCCCTATGTCTTCGAATTGATAGAATGTGTTATCAGTGTGAACTATCGCGAGTTGACCCCCACGATAGTTGAAGAATTAATGAATAGGTTGTTCACGCTAAAGTTGGCGTTTTTGAAAACGGATCCAGATATGATTAAAAGTGCAATCAATGTGTTCTCAAAGATGATAGAAGTTAAGCCATCACTCGTTATACACTCTGAAATCTTTACCACTACTGTTATTGGATTTGCTATCGGGGGTCTAGAGGCTAATGAAGCTTTCATCATTAAATCTGTCCTGAAGTTTTGGTGCAACATCTTGAATATGAAACGAGGAAGTAAAGAGGATCAGGACCGAATCTTGCAGTTGTTTTGCAATCAAAAATTAGGCAAACATGTTACTTTCAGCTTGGTAACCTCATTTTTAAAAGCTCCAAGATCTAATCTCGAATATTACTACTCAGTCTTCCGAGGCTTGGTAGGAAAATTTCCCATTCCTTTCAAAGAATGGTTTCAGCAAACATTGCGTGAAATTCCAGATATTATAGCGCCTAGAATGTCGGAAAAGGATTTGGATCTTTTTGTACATAAACTAATGATTACTCGTGGAAGAAGAACAGCAAATGAAGTTCTTAAGTCACTATGGTTGACAGTCAATGGTTTGGTTGAATACAACACACAAAGCTATTAATAGGCTGGTCTACAAAAGCTCCATAAAAGGTAATTTTGTGGAAGATGTAAATATACTCAAAACATAATAATTAAAATCAATACAAACCACCCTGTATATGTCTTAAAGAACAGATTCCAATTGCTTGGCCAAATGCTGACTCTCTGCATTAAAGTCCACGTCCGCAATAGAAACCACATTATACCTTACTCTCATGTTACCGTTAAAGCTCTCTTGTCTGGCTCTTAAACGGAAATTAAATTCTTTCATTGTAACTGAACTCACGAGCTCCATGAACTCATGGTTCTCACCCTCTTCCATTTCTTTCAAAGCCATCAACTCACCTGCAGTTTTGTTGAACAACTTCTTTCCTTCTTCATCAAAGAAAGTGGCCCATATTTGACCAGTGTGATCCATAATAGAACAATTCAAGATGTACCTGTAGTGAGGTTCAGCAAAAGTCAAGTTACATCTTTCACATCTCCATGAACCATCGCTCTCCTGGATAACCTTTCTGTTACATGGAGATGGGCCTCTTCCGTTGGTGTTGACTTCATTGTTACAAGCAGGGTAACAAAAGTTGTCAGTCTTAAAGTAGTTGATGGTAGCCTTGATGGAGAAGTAATCTGGTTTTTCCTTCGTTCCCAAATCTAACTGTTCAGCAAGCGCAATAGTCTTCCTGTCCTTCAAGGAGTCTGTAGACAGTCCTGTTTCCGTTTTCAAACTCTGGAAGTTTTCACTAGAGCCTTTGCTGTCATACCAACCTTTCAACTGATAAGCCTCTGGAATGTCTGGGTTGCTTAAAAGACTTCCAGATGGTGTTAAACTCAACGAGCGACCACCGAAATCCTGAACTTTTGCACCTTTGACTGCAATCACTGAACCAACTGGGATGTTGAAATCAACTGCAGTTGCATTCCACAAGCCCAAGTCAATAGCAAAGTTGGAGTCATCAACTATGGTGATGTTTCTTCTGTCGAAAGGTTTTCCTGTAGATTTTGCAGTGATTTGGAACACATCATTGACATTCTGTATCACACCAATCACGTCAATAATTGTATCCTTTTCAGCGGACTGGATCTGGTTCAATTTTGTAAAGTTCATATTGATCTTAGGCACGTCGGATGTGTCGAAACATTCGGTGATTTCGGTGTCCTTATCTAAAGACAACTCATAAGGGTGGCTCAAGTGGGAGAATTTGGGTTTGGCTTGTTGAATTCTTGCTTTGGTCACGTAGTACACTTTACCCTCTTGCAACAAGTTGTAGAACTTATCGGCCATGTCGTTGAATGCGGTGGCCCTAATCTCATCGCTTTCATCCAAGAAGTTGACGTTGAACAACTTACCCTCTCCTTTGGCATTGGACCACGTTCTCACGTCACTTTTGTACGACACGCGACCCTTGATTGTCCAGTTGTTCTGGTATGGAGACAATGACTCAATTGGGTTTACGGGCCGCTCAGGAGCTGCCAGGCGCTTGCTTTGCGCTGCTGGTGCCTGAGGCTGCGGCGTTGTTTGCTGTGGGGTTCCATTCGACACCACTCCAGTAGCAATGTCTTCTGCTGGGTTCTGGTCGAAATACTGGTCGAGACTGGTGACATCAGACGCGATTCTCTCAGCCTTGGGAACGTCCACCGTAAGATCGGCAATGAGAAGAATACGCTTCATCGTCTTGGCAATGGTGTACTGGTTGATGGTGATGATCGAGTAACGCGTGAAGCCGTTCGCTTCCAAGTACGCGTTGCAGCGGGAATCAATCAAGCCTTGCACTGAATAGCGACCGTCGCTCAAGACACATCTATATCTTCTTTCCGTAGCAGAAGACTCGTTGATGACTTTCGAATTGGTCACTTGTACACGAAGGCCTTTTCCGTGCCACAAGTGACACGTGCTTCGAGAAAGTGCTTCTTTCAAGGTTCCTGGAACCACTCCGTATTGTTCTGCCATGATGAATGTGGTTTCTATGAGAAAGTTACGCGTCGGATGTGTGCGCGTATTATGTGTGTAGGACAGGTATAGACAATGTATAGACAGGATATGCTAGAAGATATGTAAAAGGTATGGACGGGAAAAAAGAAAAATAAAAAGCTTTTTGATGAGAGATGATGGTTTCACCTAGACGATGTTCAATTTTATGCGACAAAGGCTTTCACTGTAACGAATGCCAATTCCATTATTGGGGTGCGAGAATGAACTCCGCATTTGGTGATTTGCCTTCATTTAGAATTTTAAGAACGTAGGTCGCTATTCTCCATCAGTAGGTTATCATACAATAATTAGAAATGACTGGTCTTGTCTTTGGTGCCATGGAATGTATTTACCATCTTCATGATAAAGATCCTTGAGAGCGAGCTTACAGTGTGCTTGGATTGCAGAGTAACTGATGGCATTCTTAAAACCCCAAATTTGTTCAATCGACTCAAATAATACAAGTGACACTTTTTTGTATTAACATAATGTTTTATCTACAGTTAACTTTGAAATCGAATAAACTCATTGTATTTGGGACTGAATGGCTTCTTGTTGGAAGAGCCTTTTGTTTCTTGAACTGTTGAAGAACTGAATTTAAATAGAATTAAGCTGGTCTCAGACAGCACTCTCCTAACTGGAAATGGGTGTAACAATGACTAACTCTAATTGATACCTGCGTGCCACGTCAGCTTTGTGTTTAGACTTGCCGGAATCACTGAAATGAAATGCAAAAACTGCATTGCTCTAACCTCATTCCACCACATTAGATGACGTTGTTACAACTTTGGTTGGGCGTTATACAACTCGTCCCTTTCGTTAATACGCACCGCACCACTTTTTGTAAGTGCACGGGCCAAGTCATTGATCAAGTCGTCGACATTTTCAATTCCAATGCACAAACGAATCAAATCTTCTGGGAAGTCACGTTCCTCACGAGTCTTGGCGTCGATCGAAGCATGAGACATCTTGCAAGGCATTGAAATCAAGGAATTGACGCAGCCAAAAGACACGGCAATGCCAAAGATCTCCGTCGCCTCGACGATCTTCTCTGATATCTCAATAGAACCTGTCTCAAAACTCAACACAGCACCTGCACCAGTACACTGGCTTTGGTGCAATGCATACTGCGGGTGTGAACGAAGACCAGGATACCGAACTTTGAACCCGGCCTGGTGTAAAAATTCTGCAATCTTCACACAATTCTGTTGTTGGCGTTCGACACGAACGGCAAGGGTACGCAATCCACGACTCAACAACCACAGGTCAAAGGGGCTCAAGCCGCAACCGGTCGAGTTGATCACAAAATAAATACGCTCAGCCAAAGCCGGGTCGCGCGTAGCAATGATACCTGCCATGATGTCATGATGTCCGTTCAAATACTTGGTGGCTGATTCATAGTGAATATCCACACCCAAGTCGAGCGGGGTCATCAACAAAGGGGTCATCATAGTATTGTCAAAGACAACAATAAGGTCCGGGTTGACAGCATGAGCGTGCTCTGTGATAGCTCTGACGTCACACACCTTGATCAACGGATTCGTAGGAGACTCCAAAAAGATCATCTTGGTGCGCGGAGTGATTTTGGATTTGAGCAATTCCGTGTTGGTTGTGTCATAATGGTTCACAGTCAAGTCTCCTTTTTTGTGCATATACGTCAACAAGCGGTGGGTTCCACCGTACAAGTCGTCACCAGCAATCACTTCGTCACCAGGCCGAAGTAATCTGACAATGACATCGAGACATCCCATTCCGGACGTCACGGCAAAGGTCTGCGTGGCCTTCATGATCTTGGCCATGTGGTTCTGCAAAAACGTACGTGTTGGATTTCCCGAACGTGTGTAGTCGTATTCGCCCATGTTGGAGAGCGAGTCTTGCTTGAAAGTGGCAGATTGGTATAATGGGGGAACACTGGCGTTGTGCTGGTCGCCAGACTTTGTCCACACCAACTCGGTTTCAATACTGTATTTTTTGCTCATGGTGCTGTGCTTTCTTTTTTTTGCGATCTATTTTGCGTTATTAGATGGCTCTGGTGTTGCGCTGCGGTATAACGGTAGTAAAAGAAGTTGCGGTAGTTGAAAAAGGCCGAGTGGAGTCTGCGATTAGTCACGACGTGCATACAACGATAAGATCCACAGTTGAAGGAGCCGATAACGGGAATACCTGGATTCGAAAAATAAGAAACAAAGTAGTATCGATGCAAATGGTTCAGTTTTTGATATTTGGTCTAGGCTTCGACTAGACGGTATTTGTTTGCATTTGTCTTCGTTTTGAGGACATGTCAAGACTGAGTCTTTTTTTATGGCACGCGCGATTACCTCAGATCTGTATAAGACAAGACTTCCACACTGTGTGCCTTCATGAGTAAAATGCCGTCTACTTTGACTCGTTGATATTTAATTATGTTGATTTTTCGTTCTGGCCCTCTACTTCGGATGTTTTACTTGTATTGGTATCTGGTTTACCAAGGAGATAATTGAGAGCTCATACGGGACAATTGAGCGGAAATGCTAATTGTACTTCTCCTAAATATTCATTATCATACATTTGCACTTCCTGGGATATTCTGCAATCAGGAAGAAATTGGCAGTATATCGGTCAAGACTATAATTGTATTTATAAGACCTTCTTGCAGTATGTTTCACATTGGCCTTTGCTACTAAGTATGCATGCCAGATACGACCAAGGTGTGTAAAATGTTGAGGCGGGGAAAACATCCTCCAGAACCTTACCCACATGTCCTACCTTGTTTTATCAAAACTCATGTCCTGGCTTTCGTCTAATTAGAATATACGCATGCAAAAATACTCCTACAAGTCCGCTCTGGTGAACTTGCGGATGTCGGTTGGCTCTGCGGCCTTCAACACCTTTCTTCCGCTCAAAGGCTCGCAAGAGTGTCTGCCCGAAACAGGCCCGGCCTTTTCCACGGGCTTGCCGTCCTTCAACTTTTGCAAGAGCTCGACGGTCTTTTCTGGGGTCAAGTCTTCATGGTAGTCGTCACCGACAGCGAGCATTGGAGCATTGACACACGCACCCAAGCACTCCACCTCTTGAAGAGTGAACAACTTGTCTGGAGTGGTCTGGCCCGGCTTAATCTTCAAAAAGTCAGTGACTGCCTTCATGATTTCATCAGAGCCACACAATTGACAGGGCGTGGTGGTGCAGACTTGGATATTGTACTTGCCCATAGGGTGTCTCATGTACATGGTGTAGAAAGTGGCCACTTCGTACACTCTCATTGGAGGCATGTCCAACATCTTGGCAACGTAGTTCATGACAGAAATCGAGGTGAAACCAATCTGGCGCTGGCCCAAGTCCAACAACGGCATGCATGCGCCCTTTTTGTACTGAGGTGGATACTTGGCAATGATCTCCTTGGCCCTCTTCAAGTTCTCGGCCGTGAACTCAAAAGGCATCTGTTGGTTGTCCTCTTTAGTGTCTCTGTGGACAGAGATTATGCTGGTTCTGGTGGACATTTTCATGGGGGCATAGCTGCCCAATCTTTTAGGCACGTAACGGAACATGATGTGAAAAGGCTACTGCTGGCAAGCGAGGAGAGAAATGCAAACAGCCGGTTCAGATGTTTTTCTTCAATGTTCTTAAGCGGTACTGGCTCTTTTTTTTGCGTGCGTAACCTGAAAATGGGAAGTGCTCATTGGCCCAAGGTCTGCACCCGTACCTCTGGTCTGGTCACCTACAAGACACAGAATACAAGACAAGTACAAAGAAATGTGTATCGGCCCATGACACAGAAAAAGATGTTCGGAATAGCGTCACAATAAAGACCGTAAGAAAAAATCCCAAAATGGGTGTGTTTGGCGTGAAAAAGACAGTTTGAAGGCGCGGACAGTAAGTGAGACTAGAAAGAGGAAATTTTCGCAATCGATAGAGTTGAGTTTGAACAGTATACGGTAGAGTTTTTAACGATTAATACTGATACGGAAACAATACTTCTCTAGAGCTTTTGAAGAAGTGCGGGCACTTTTTGCGTAACAGTACTTGTTCTTGTATCTATTGAATACATGACAACTCCATTCCCGTATTTCATGCCTCCCATCTCTTTTCTTCTGTTATTCTTCGATTTGATTTAAGAGTATACTTTGAGCTTCAGTGATGTATTCGACAGCGTTATTATGAAATGAGCTCGAGGCCCCATGTTGCCCGCTGATTGGGTTTCGGCACGACTTGTACACTTGTACTTTTGGAAAAGCCATAAGAAAATACAGTTATTACTTTTCAGGGAAAAGTACAGTGTTTACCATGTACCTGGTAAAGTTCCCGCAAACGAAAATATGGTTTGAGTAAAGTGAAGTCTATTCTGAACAAATCTAATTATGGAGCTGGAACGGGAGACTGTCTGCAGTCGCAACTCTCACCTCAAGTAAACCACAAACCCTCTTAAGCGCAGACCTTGAAGAGATATTCAGACCGCTTGAGCATCTTTACGAAACAAGCGCAGAGCGCTCCCATTGCATCATATTCGTATAGGGGATCTAGTTGAGTTAACCTTAAAGTTCGCAAATACAGAGACTGAATTGACGAACAGACATCGGGCTCTCAAAACAAGGCAGAGAGGAGGCATTCGAACAGAAAAACGGCGCAGATCAGATCATAGAAAACAATCTATCTCACGCGTATTCATACGATCCACTCAAATAACCGATCTTCAAGGGTACCCGAAAAAACGGATCATCAGGTCTGCCATCAATCTACCTTCCACTTCCATCCATCAAACACTATTAAGCAACACCTCACCGGGTTTATCTATCGACTTTCCTCGTTCAAACGCTACATAATTCGCAGTATCCACTATGGACGCCAGCCGACAAGGGTCGCCGACGCCCAGTCACCGGGCCCCAAAGTACCCGCCTTCGACAGAAACGCCGCGTTCGCCCTCACGCTCAACACGAAACCTCTCGCCGCCAAAGCTCGGCGAAGCCCAGTCTTATCCTTCGGTATCACCACGGCGCCGGTTGAATGGCCGCTCGTTGTTCAGCGACCGACATATTCCCAATCGCACAGGCGTGGATTTGCAGGCCGCATTCAGTTTATCGGCGCAGGACGTTATGCCTGAACTTCGGTCAGCCCGCCTGGGAGCTCCAGAGCGCGACGAGCGCGCCGGCAACGAGATCGAGCTCCGCAAAGAAGCAGAGGCCAACCGCACCTTCTCTAGTGTGTTGAAGGCAGAGCTTTTCGGTGACAATGTGCCGATGGCTGCGGCAGAGTTGGCTCGACCAAAAGCCGTATCGCCCGGTAGAACCAATCTGAGCGACGTTCCCAGCACTTCAGCAAATAACATCCGCTCGGCCAACTCGCTTCCTGTTACTATAGCGTCCGGCCGCACCACACCACCGCAACCCGCGGGCGGGGCGGGCGGAAGCGGAACACCCCGACAGAGCGCTAATCTCTTTACATATCAGCTGCCGACCAAGCTGCGGCCGGTATCTCGAGACTTGCTGCACGAGCTTTTCTCGCTTTCACCCGTGCGCCTGGATCTGCAGCGGTTTTTGCTCAGCCCTCAGAAAAAGACCCGCAGCATTTCTAAAGTGCCTTATCGTGTTTTGGACGCTCCTGAGCTCTCTGACGACTTTTATCTCAATTTGGTGGATTGGGGTCTGCAGGACGTTTTGGCAGTGGGTTTGGGCGACTCGGTTTATTTGTGGGATGGTCTGACACAGTCTGTAGAACGGCTCTGTGTGCTCGAGAACAAAGATAAAGTGACGTCGCTCAGCTGGATAGCCTCGGGTACCCATCTAGCTGTGGGCACGCTGAAGGGCTTGGTGGAGATTTGGGATGCCACAAAAATCAAGTGCGTGCGTACCATGACGGGTCATAAGCTACGGGTGAGTGCATTGGCCTGGAATGAGCATATTCTTTCAAGCGGTTCGCGTGATCGTACCATCTATAACCGTGACGTACGTGTACAGAGCCACTATATCAACAGCTTTGATAGTCATAAGCAGGAGATATGCGGCCTCAAATGGAACGTCGAGGAAAACAAACTCGCGAGCGGCGGTAACGACAACAATATCTTCGTGTGGGACGGGCTCGATACGAAACCGCTCCATAAATTCTCCGAACACAGTGCGGCCGTTAAGGCTCTAGCATGGTCACCTCATCAGCGTGGAATATTGGCGTCGGGAGGTGGTACAGCTGATAAGACTATAAAGGTATGGAACACCCTCACGGGCACACGCATAAACAATGTGGAAACAGGTTCGCAGGTGTGTAACCTCATTTGGTCGAAAAACTCCAACGAGCTCGTATCCACTCATGGATACTCGCGCAACCAAATCATAGTGTGGAAGTATCCGTCGATGCAGCAAGTGGCGCAATTGACAGGACACACGTACCGAGTATTGTACTTGTCATTGTCGCCTGACGGAGAGACGATAGTCACGGGTGCAGGCGATGAGACGCTACGATTTTGGAATGTTTTCGAAAAGAACAGAAACGACGAGCCGCCGTCCTCAGTCTTGCTAGAGGCATTCTCACAGTTGCGGTGAGCAGGATAATAACACTATTGGGAAATAACAAGAGATACGTATTGTGTAAAGATGTAGTCGAGGCACTCAATTGTAGATGCCATATAAATTTCGCCCAAAACAGCCTGTCGAGATGTCGGCCAGTTTACCGATCACAAAAGGTTCATCCCCGCTAATGAAAGAATTGGCCAAGTTCGATCGTGTGTGTGCAAATGAAGTGTGAACGGCATCCATGTGTCAAAGTGCAAAGTTCAATACAGTACTCTACCCTATATACATACAAAGAAGCCTAATATGCCCGGGAGTGTAGATACGCTTATCTTATGCGAATTCCGCGTCAAACGGCATTTTACTCATCTCCGAGAGGACGCGGGGAAAAGCGGAGAAAGCCAAAGCATTTGTCAAAAAGCCACTTAAATACTGAGTGGCATCAACACTCCAGCTCCAACATCAACTACGGCACTAGGGTGAAAAGGAGCGCATACTTCCTAAAACAGACGGGGCGGCATATGTAAACCACAGCTGCTTCAACAGATATTTGTGCCGGAATCGGTGGGTTACTCATACTCGTTTTTATGCATAAAAGGCATACAGTCGCACCTACGACTTTCCTAGCCTACAATTCTTTTCCTTTTAAATTTTTGTTTCCTAGAGACACCTTCTTTCACTCACTCTATTTATTGATCATGCCAAAGCCATTAGCCAAAGATTTGTCCCACCTCTTGAGTGAGGAAGCCAAGTCCAGAAAATCTTCTCCATTGAAGAGTCTCTTTACCTACTTTTCTCAGCCTAATATGACCTACTTGGGAGGTGGATTGCCGCTTTCCGATTACTTCCCATTCGACAAGATTTCTGCCGACACGCCTAGCGCACCTTTCCCTAACGGAATTGGAGCCAAGGTCACCGACGAAGATAAGACTGTTGTGGAAGTGTTCAAAGACAAGACCAAAAACGATCCTGGGATGATTGAATTGTCGAGATCCTTGCAGTACGGTCATACCGAGGGTCAGCCAGAGCTCATCAATTTCTTAAAGGAGCATACGGAGCAAATTCACAAGCCTCCTTACGAAGATTGGGGACTTATCTGTTCTATTGGAAACACCCAGTCGTGGGATGCCTGTTTGAGAACATTTGTCACTCGTGGAGACGCTATCTTGGTGGAAGAACACACCTTTTCGTCTGCCTTGGAAACGGCTGAGGCGCAAGGAGTGATTCCCGTTCCAGTTCAGATGGACAATGGCGGTATTATTCCGGAAGCTTTGGAAAAGTTATTGGACAACTGGGTGGGACAAAAGCCCAAGATGTTATACACAATTTGCACGGGCCAGAACCCTACTGGCTCTTGCATTGATGCGGAAAGAAGAAAAGCGGTCTACAAATTGGCCCAGAAGCACGATTTTATCATTGTGGAGGACGAACCATACTACTTTTTGCAAATGGAACCTTACACAAGAAACCAGGATGAGAGAAAGGCTAAGCACGTGCACAGCCACGAGGAGTTCATCAAAGCTATGGTGACTTCCTACCTCTCCTTGGATGTCGACGGTAGAGTTATCCGTTTGGACTCTGTATCGAAGACGCTTGCCCCCGGCTCTAGACTTGGGTGGATTGTAGCGCAAAACAGCTTGTTGGAGAGATTTGTGAGATTGCACGAGGTGTCGATCCAATGTCCTTCTGGTTTTGCTCAGTCGTTGTTGAATGGATTGTTCCAAAAATGGGGACAAAAAGGTTACCTTGATTGGTTGATTGGCTTAAGAGGGGAATACACCCACAAGAGAGACGTTGCTATCGATGCTATGTATGAGCATTTCCCACAGGAAGTTGTTCAGATTGTTCCACCTGTGGCGGGTATGTTTTTCGTTGTGCACATTGATGCTTCAAAGCACCCTAAGTTCAAAGAGTTTGGTGAAGATCCTTTGAAAGTAGAAGAGGCTGTTTATGAGAAGGCATTGGAAATGGGCTGTTTGATGGTTCCTGGGTCGTGGTTTAAGGCAAATGGCGTAACAAACCCTCCTCAGCCTCCAGTTCCAGAAAATGAAGAGCATAAGCATAGTATTTTCTTTAGAGGCACCTATGCGGCCGTTCCTTTGGATGACTTGAAAACTGGTTTGGAAAAGTTCGGAAAGGCAATCAAGTTGGAGTTTGGCTTGAACTGATCTCCTGGTGTTGATCTATTCCGAAGTAGAAAATGAATAAACTATTCGCCAACTGCCGTATTTTCATGCTTCATGAATCTTTGTAATTTTCTTTCTTCTTCTATTGGCCATGAACATTTCCGGTCTCAGTTTCAAGCTGTCTGGCTTAAGTTACCTATATGCATCCTTCATCTCTGTAAAGTCGCTTCTACTTCATGCAAGTAACAATCGCGAAAGGTGATTATCACAGACGTTAAACGATACTGTTCCAATTGACAGACTATGCATATTATAAAGCTACCCTGGCTTGGGCATAGAGGTGTGTTTTCTTCTATTGTTATATTTTCAACGTGTCTTGTACTAACTCTGCAGCTGAACATCGCTCCATAGAATGCTATTCTCTAAGCATAAATAACGACGGTACCAAACTAGCATCGGGAGGTTTGGACGGCAAAGTGAAGATATGGGATGTCCAGTCCATTCTCCGATATAAGCTGGAATCAGAGCAGCCGGAAATGAGCTCGCTTCAACGTCGTATGGAAACACAGTCGACTCACGAGTTGGAGAGACCTTTGGCATCCATGACTAGACACAATGGTGTGGTGACATGCGTCAAATTTTCACCTGACGGGCGGTTTCTAGCTTCTGCGTCTGACGACAAAATCGTGCTCATTTGGGAGAAAGATGACGATCAGAATCGGCCCAAACAGTTCGGGGAAACCGAGGCAGATTTGGAGCATTGGACAGTGAGAAAAAGATTGGTTGCTCACGACAACGATGTCCAGGATATTAGCTGGTCTCCAGATGGAGCACTTCTCATCAGTGTTGGGTTGGATCGGTCCATCATCATTTGGAGTGGTACAACTTTTGAACGTATCAAACGGTACGATATTCATCAATCGATGGTCAAAGGAATTGTGTTTGATCCAGCTAACAAGTTTTTTGTTACTGCTTCTGACGATCGAACAGTCCGCATTTTTCGATACTATAGAAAGTTCAATGATGTTTCATCCAGCAATTACGAGTTCCAGATGGAGCAAATCATCATGGATCCTTTCAAGAAATCTCCTCTCACCTCTTATTTCCGAAGAATGTCTTGGTCCCCAGATGGCCAACACATTGCTGTTCCAAATGCGACGAATGGGCCAGTCACTTCTGTGGTCATTATCAACAGAGGTAATTGGGCCACAGATGTTTCTCTCATTGGCCATGAGGCTCCATGTGAGGTGTGCTCGTTTTCTCCCAGAATCTTTCGTCTTGACAAGTCTGCAAAGACGGAGAAACTTACAACCATCCTCGCGTCTGGGGGTCAGGACAGAACTTTGGCGATATGGAGCACTGCTTTGACGAGGCCCTTAGTGGTGGCAGAAGACATTGTACAGAATTCCATCACAGATATCTGCTGGTCTCCTGATGGAGAAAGCCTTTTTTTGAGTGCTTTAGATGGATCTATTACTTGTGTGGCTTTTGACAAAGGTGAATTGGGTGAAGTGGTGAGCGAAGATGTGAATGATTCACAGCTCGTTCGCTATTGTGGTACAAGAGACTCGGCTATCTTCCCCGAAAGTGCAGAACAGCTACTACTAGAAAGTATCATGGATCTGACCGAAAGTGCTTCGTCGCAGAAAATTCATTCTACTCAGGGAGAGCCTTCGCAGAAGGTGAATACTTCCAGCATCACAAAAGATGCGGCTAAACAATCTTTGAACCATGTAGAGGGAACATCAGCCAAGCCAAATGATACGAGCGAAAATTCAGCAACACTTTCGAAACATGCTTCCAATGAGAAGTCTTTTAATTTGATAGAGGCAAGACAATCACCTAAGCCGACACTCTTATCGCAAAAGGTTAAGATAATGAAAAATGGAAAGAAGCGTGTGGCTCCTTTATTGGTATCACAGTTATCGGGCTCGTCGAAGTCAAGTTCAAGTATTCCTAGCTCGACCAAAGTGTCTAAGCAATTTGATATTGCTTCGAAAATGTCACAAACTTCATATTTCTTGCCGAGATTAGGTCTACAGACCAGTGTACATGGACTTCGACTGCGAGCAATAAAGCAAGACGATGAAGACAAGAACAGGGACCAAGATAACGATAATGAAGACATGGGTTTTGATGAATCCCACGCATCTCGAATGCAAGCAATCTCAACTGCTAGCGTGAGAAGAAAAATTCGAAAGTATAAGAAGTTTCTTATGGAACTGAGATATCCTACACCTTTCAAGATGGTTTCTCTTCTTCCTGAAGTCCTTTATAAAGACCAAGCTGTCATGAACAACGAATTGCATAAAATCATACATATCAAGGATATGCAAGTGCTGACAAACTCAGATTTAATTAGTACTGCGGCACTTGATTCCATCAACGAAAACCTACTCTTCCGTGTGATTGTTAACAGCATAGAACACATGGGTAAACCATTTACTGATCTTTTAGAACATGAAGAACTGCACCAGAATGGAATGGATTTGGATGAGAAAAACGACTACGTTACTTCTATTGTCGAGATCCGTAATGGCCTGGAATGGGCCGAAGATGACGAATCCATGAATATGGATGTTACACAAAGGGTAGACTTTCAAGATCCAACGCAAGTCATTGTGACGAACGATGAGAAGGCTTCTCGAAAGAGTTACATATTGTATTTCCCTTTCAAGATCCAGCAGGTTGTGCCGATTATTTTTGAAGGAAAGCTAGCATTTTACGTTCTAGTTTCCTTCCATGGCACTGTCCAGATTATTCGAGCTGAATCTGGTATTTACGTTACACCTTCTATGGAAATGGGAAGCAATGTTGTTGTAGCAAAGCAAAACGGAGCTTATTTGCTACTCTTGACAAGTTCAGGTCTATTATTCTCTTGGAAGTTTCCCAACTATGGAAAGGGCCAAAGAATGATAGAAGCAGTTTTAAAAGGTGTTTCGGTTGCGCCAGCACTCAATTGTGAAACTGCATTACCAGAGACGCTGGAACACGTCGAAAAGAAAAACATCCTGGTTCCACACGTTTCTGTGGAAAATCTTAGAGCTCTAGAAGTGGATGAGCGAACAGGAATGCCTTATATTATTCTCGAGAATTCTAGTACAGTGTACTCTTATTGTGCGAGTATGATGATTTGGACAAAAGTGATGGACTCTTGGCATTACTTGTGCATAAATGAACAAAAAAATAGCGGTGATTTATTCCCAAACACTGCGTCCGTGGTCATGGAGAAACTGTTTAATGACTTTCAAGAAAAAGTGCAAAAAGGAGCAAGAAGCAAATACACGTTCAACGAATCGAACCAAGAGCTTCAAGAATCAATGGCCTACCGGCTTCGGGAGTCTATTGAATTTATCAATGCGTGAACGTATATTAAGAGACGATTATTGTTTAGTTTGAGCTTCAGAAGCAGCTGGAGCCTCGGGCTTTTTCACAGGCTCTTCGAGATAAAACTTTATCAAAAACTCCAAGGAAGACAAGACGGAATTGAGAGCAAACATCCATACGGTCAAACCCACGCCGCCCGTAACTATAAATGGCAATGCAAGAACCCACTCGATGTAATAGGGAAATACCTTGGGTGGAAGATAGAATAAAACAACTTTTCTGTACCAAATTCTGGAAAACCAGATAGGTGCCGTTGTCGTGGCAGCAATGGCTAGGTTGACAAGTTTAGAAATCTGAGCCTTTTCGCTCGAAGTGGCCTCAGCCAAGTCATTCACCTCACTGTTCAACTTGTCAAACTGGCGATTGAGCTTAGTCCATTTGGCGTACTCGTCCTGTGCACTTATTGCTCTTCTTTCCTTGTTTACTCTGACTAACTCTTCTCTTTTCTGGGCGAGAGCCACAAATTTGGAATGGCCAGCTTTAGATGCTCCAATAGTGTAAAGATACCATATTCTGTCTTGGATCGTTGTCTTGCCAATTAGGCTGATGCACACCTTTATAGCAAGTACGCAAAAAACGAGAACCACGATACTTGAGGGTTGAAGTTCAAACATTTTTGAAGTAATAATTCCACGCTAGGGTTTTCCAGCCACTCTTGTACTTAGGTGCGTTGGTGCTCGCCGACCGGAAATCACGTGGCACAATACTTCGTCTGGACAGACCACGATAGATGGAGCTAAGGAAGATGTGTTCAAGTTCAAATCCACCGGCTCTTTGTCTATACTTGGTTTCCACGTTAGTTATTCCATTTGTTTTATTTATTTTTTCTCGTTTCTGGTGATAAACTTCACATCTCCAAAAGTGTTATCAACCAAAGAGGACGATCGTGTCACGTGCGCCTCTTCAAGCACGTAGCTCGTTTTTTTCCTCCCCATTACAAGGCACGTTCATCTTTACACCAGCCACAAATCCGTTCCAATGTCGAGTGACCCAGAAGACGACTATGTGCCTTGGATCCAGCAGTTTTGTGAAGCCTTTGGGCATGATTACTTTGTTCCCGTTGCCCAGGAGTTCATAGACGACGATTTCAACTTAACGGGCTTATCTCTGCAAGTTCCATATTATCGGGAAGCATTGTACACAATTTTGGACTACCAGGTCGAGACTGCTGATGGCAATAATAGCAGTGCCGCTGCTGGTGCTTCAGGCGGTTCCTCGGGTGGCAAGAGGGGCGATTTGCCCAACAAAGCATTGCTATCACACTCCGCCGAGCTTTTGTATGGGCTTATACATGCAAGATACATTACATCGAAGCCAGGGTTGACAGCCATGGCCAGCAAATTTGAACGAAGCGAGTTTGGTATTTGCCCGCGCTACTATTGCGACGGAATGCATTTGATTCCCGTCGGTGCCACAGATATTCCAGGTCAAGAAACGGTGAGGCTATACTGTCCTTGCTGCAGCGACATATATTTGCCTCTGAGCTCACGGTACTTAAATATTGACGGTGCGTTTTTTGGCACGTCGTTCCCGGGTCTTTTGGTCAAGATGTTCCCTGAAATCGACAATCAGTGTCGGCTCAGAATCAATAGGGTAAATCAGGATAATTTCGGGTTGCGGCTTTTCGGTTTTAAAATCCACGAGTCAAGTGCCAGTGGGCCGCGGATGAAATGGTTGAGGCAAATGCCAGAGACTGAGCAAGAGAAGGCTGAGTTCGATAGTTGCGAGTTGAGTCTCCCAGAGGAGGATACAAACTTGGAGCTTGAAGCAGCCTCTGAAGAGGCTGATGATGACGACAAGACTATGGCCAGCGACGGTAATTAATGATAGAAATCTTACCTTGAGTACATATCTTGCAGTCAACTGATACGATAAGGAACAGATGGACGGGCGAATTCATGAAGTGGTGGTGTTGAAATGATTAAGGAGATTTTATGAAGCAATCAATCAAGTGAAGAGTGAAAGCAATTACGAGATATCGCTTCCGATTTGCTTTGGGCAGCAAATGCTCATGGAACAGCTATTATTCCGGACGGGACAATGGAAGTCGCTTCTTCATGGTATACCTACTTTTTGGTGTCAGAAGAGTACTGTTGTCAACAATTCTTATCTACAGCGCTTATATAAGGATCATTTTGTAATATATGATGATGGAACTGCTATGGTTGACGTCGCGTACATATGGAAAGCTTCTTCAGTGGGTAAGGAGAACTGGCTTTCCTGGTTCCCAGTCCTTGATGCCGTTGGCAATATTCACCCAGTATTTCATACGAATGCTTTCAATGAGAACTGCGTCCCATGGAATTGGGTCCTGCGAAAGGAGTTCTTCAAGTTTTGCTTCTGTCTCTTGCATGCGATTTTCATTTTCTTGTGTGAGCATTTCCAAATCTGTTTCGGACAGAGCTAACTCCAACGCTTCATGTGCTTCTAACACAGTCATCAATAGCTCTTTGTAGTCAAGCTGGTAGTCCTTTGACTCTGTTTCAAACTTGGAAATTAGCTGCTTGGCTACCTCATCTTTGGCAATGTCAATATGTTCCGGATGATGGAGCTGAATGAAGTATGCTGCTCTTGTGTACGGGTTCCGTAAGGTAGAATATGCTTTGTTTATGTTTGCAGAAGTGTTGTCTTTGGGAGAACTTGAGTCAGCAAAAGCCGATGAAGCCCATAACAATGTCAGGATGGTGTTCACTTTGAAGATTTCTGTATTCTCTGCGCAATTGGCGTAGATTCACCGAAAACGGATCTTTCGGAGGCCCTCCGCTTGGAAATGATTTCGGAAAGAGATCAAAATAGTTCTTGACATGGGTCGCATATGTTCTTAGCAATTTTGCCGGAAGCAGAGCGCTTTTTCGGAACATTGTGGTAGTGAATAGTAGTAGACTTTAGCAAAAGGCAATCGTGGGGTTTAGTATGCGCACTTATACACAAGATGTACTATGTACTTTCCACCGAAGTATGAATTTTTTGCGTAGAATGAAAAGAAATTTGCAAATTTGAAAAGTAGAGGACATAACGTATTGTCACTGACACATTATCACTTACACCATAATGTCAGCAATTTGCTGCTGTTGGATGGTTGAATCGCAAGGTATACTAACGCTTCCCTCTAATATTTGATGATCGATGTGCAAGTTACGAGAACGGTAGCACATGTTTACCCTCAAACCGTTAGTTGGAGAGACTTCTTTCAGTCTACCTTGAAGTACGTTGTTTCAGAGTGCCCATCGCCTGGTTAAAGTAATAGAACAGGCCCTCTACATTTCAACATGTTTGTCGTTATTTTTTCCTTGAATTTTTGAGTCTATCAGCTTTGAACTAATCTTGTCTTCATGAAAACGTTACGCATTACTCCATTTATAGCATTTAGTATCTTCTTTCTAGCTTCTATTATGCTCGCCTTTCCACAATTTCTTACTTTATTGCCTCGCTTGAATCGCGTTCCTATTTATGGTGGGCGCACGCCCGTGTGTTGGCCTCTACCAGCGACGAGTTTTTTCAAGATTCAGATTGCAAACAAAGCCTTCAAGTGGTATACATCACACTCTGGTCCTTGAAACCTGCTATTCTGTATCCATTATTGTCTAGGTATACACTTACTGGGTTCAGTCATCCATCTTTTTTTTTTACTTTTTACACCTGTTTTTCTTCTGGTTCCAATCTTTATCAACGCACTGAACGTCCTAGCCCGCCATGGATTTCGAGGAAGCCGAGGATATCAATGGTGTCCGTTTTGCATGGAACTCGTTTCCTTCCACCAAGGCCGAAGCTAGCAAGATTGTCGTCCCTACTGGTGTATTGTACACCCCTATGAAATACAGGGAGGATTTGCCCATTGCCGCCTATGATCCATGCTACTGTCAAAACTCTCAGTGCCGAAGCATCTTGAATCCCTACTGTTCTGTTGATCCAACAGGCTTTTGGATATGTCCATTGTGTGGCACCAGAAGCCAATTGCCTCCTCACTACCAAAACATTACCCAAGAAAACTTGCCTATCGAGTTGAGTCCTCTTTCATCCACGATCGAGTATATCACAGCCAAGCCTGTGCAACAACCTCCAATCTTCTGTTTTGTCGTTGACTTGTGCCAAGATGAGGACAATTTGAAAGCATTGAAGGAAACTTTGGTAATTTCTTTGTCGTACTTACCACCTAACGCTTTGGTTGGCTTGATCACATATGGTACCATGGTTCAAGTCTATGATTTGGCGGCAGAAAACGTCAACAGATCATACATTTTCAGGGGCGACAAAGAATACACTGACAAGCAGGTTACAGAAATGTTAAACAAACCGGTTGTGGTGCAACCAGGTCAAATGAACGTTCCAAACTCCTTGCACAGATTCTTCTTGCCTCTCGAAGAGGTGGAATATCAGTTGACCACCATCTTGGAAAACTTGAGTGCTGACCCATGGCCTGTTGCTCATGGTGATAGACCTTTGCGTTGTACGGGTTCGGCTATCAACGTTGCCACGACTTTACTCGCCAACACCTTTTCTGGTTTTGGTGCCAGAATCTTTTTGTTCTCGGCTGGTCTGTGCACTTTGAATCCTGGTATGATTGTGAGTAACAAGTTAAGAGAGCCAATCAGATCGCACTCCGATATCGACAAGGACAATGCAAAGCACTACAAAAAAGCTGTCAAGTTTTATGATGCAGTGGCTGCAAAAGCTGTCAAAAACTCCCACACCGTTGATCTTTTTGGCGGCTGTTTGGATCAAGTCGGCTTCTTGGAAATGAAGTCTTTGTGCAGCAAAACTGGTGGTGTCTTGTTGTTGTCAGATGCTTTTACCACGTCTATTTTCAAACAATCTTTCTTGAAGTTGTTCAGCAAGGATTCGGAAGACTACTTACTTATGGGCTTCAATGCCACTTTGGACATCAAGTGTTCTAGAGAATTGAAAGTCAGTGGCTTGATTGGACATGCCTCATCTTTGGGTGTTAAGACTCCAAATGTTTCGGAGAACGAGGTGGGAGTTGGAGGCAGTTCGCAATATAGAATCTGCTCACTCTCTCCTCAACACACTTATGCCATTTTCTTTGATGTTGCCAACGTGTCTCCTTTGCCTCCAAACGCCCAATCCTATATCCAATTCATCACGCACTACCAACATTCGTCTGGAACTTATAGAATGAGAGTGACTACTGTCTCTAACATCTTGACTGGTGACGAGCAAATCTTGGCTCAATCATTTGACCAGGAAGCTGCAGCTGTCTTGATGGCTAGAGTCACTCTTTTCAAGTCCGAGCAAGATGATGGTGCCGATGTGTTGAGATGGATAGATCGTATGTTGATCAAGTTGTGCCAAAAATTTGCAGACTATAGGAAAGATGTGGAGGAGTCCTTCAGATTGCATCCACAATTTGCCTTGTATCCTCAATTCATTTACTACTTGAGAAGGTCGCAATTCTTGCAAGTTTTCAATAACTCCCCTGATGAAACTGCGTTCTACAGACATATCTTAATGACCGAAGATACAAACAACTCTTTAATTATGATCCAGCCAACTTTAACATCGTTCGGTTTGGACCTTGAAGAGCCAGAGGCTGTTTTATTGGATTCTGTGTCCATTAAAGATGACCGCATTTTGCTTTTGGACACCTTCTTCCATATTTTGATTTTCCACGGTAGAACCATTGCTCAATGGCGCCAAGCAGGATATCAGGACCAAGAGGAATACGCTGATTTCAAAAGATTGTTGGAGGATCCAAAGTTGGAAGCTGGTGAGTTGTTGATTGACCGTTTCCCATTACCCAGATTCATCGATACCGAAGAGGGCGGATCTCAGGCAAGATTCTTGTACTCCAAGTTGAACCCAAGTACTTCGTACAACTCTCAAGACATTTCGAAGGGAGCAGTTGTGTTGACTGATGACGTCTCACTTCAAGTGTTCATGTCTCATTTGCAAAAATTGGTTGTTTCTTCTTCCAACTAGTGAGTTTCTTTTCTGTCCATTGAGCAAGTCTGGAGTGGATAAGAAGTGAAGAAATAACAAGCAATAGAAAAAAGAAAGTGAGAGGATAACATACCTGGAATAGAACAAACGCAAATTATAAATTCATATAATGATTGTGTTTACTTCTTCTTGCTGGGTCATAAATGTGAACCATTGTAAGCATATAGCCAATTTTAAATAATTTTTGAACAAAGGTTTAGTAGTAACCAGTGTGGAATCATCAATACAATTTTGCGCGAAAATCTCAAAGTCAGTTTCCATTGACATCAACAATGTTAGTAACCAATGAAGAACTTAGCGCAGGTATGTTGAACTCTGAACTCTATCAATTGGTAAATTCTAACGCTTAAGATGAGATTGCGCTATATGACCGTCAAATCAGACTTTGGGGCACAGACACACAACTTCGGTTGCGCTCAGCAAAACTTCTAATAATCAACTTGGGAGGTATTGGGACTGAAATCATTAAAAATCTTGCTCTTGGCGGACTTAATTCGATAGAAATATTGGATGGCTCGACTATCAAAGAAGAAGACTATGCAGCACAGTTTTTCTTACCCAACGATGATTCTATCATTGGTGAACTCAAACTTCCTCATGTTCTTCCAGCTATCAAGGAGTTGAATCCCAGAGTTGATCTTCGCATTAACACGAGCAAACTTTCAGATGTGGCCCCTGAATATTTTGGAAGTTTCGATTTGGTTGTTGCCACAGAACTCACCAAGAAGGAAATCATTGACATTAATACTATTTTAAGAAATTATGGTATCCCTTTTTATGTCACCGGTATGCATGGCATGTTTGGATACATTTTCTCTGACTTGATCAAGCATGAGTCTAGAATTCAAACTGAGAGGGGCAATCAGCCTCGTGAAGTAAACCTGAAAATTAATGATGTTAAGACAATCACAAAAGTTGAATATAAGCAACTGGAGAATGTGGAGCTAGTAACCATTGAAGACGAGTTCTTCCCTCTATCAGGATTATTTACATCCTCCAAATTGACGAGACAGTTGAACAAAAGACAACTTAAGAGATTATCGCCAGCATTACCATTGATTCTCTCTCTTTTCGAGGTAGAGAAGCCTTCTGATCCTGAACAAAATTTGGACAAGGAACTTCTTCGCAAGCTACTGTTGGAAAAATGCGAGTCACTTGATATTCTTCCGACGATTGTTAGTGAAGAATATTTAGACCTTTTCTCTGCACAAGCATTCACTGAATTTGCACCAGTGGCTTCTATTTTGGGTGGTTTTCTAGCACAAGATGTAATCCAGTTTCTAGGACAGAAAGAAAGCCCCATCAACAACTGTCTCATTTTAGACTCGCATCGCTCTGAAATTCCTATTTACTACTTATAAATTCATTAGCGAAGACTTGGAGTAAGGCCTCTGCCTTTTCTTTTTTTGAGATGAGACGTTTCCCTCAAAAACTTCAAGTATTTGGTCATCTTTGTTCGGAGGGCTTCGTTTTCCTTTTGAAGCTTTTCATAGGAAGCATTAATGGAAAGCTTTTGCTTTTTAAAGGCTCCTTTAGCCAAACGTTCTTGTTCTTCTGCTGATGCCAACGACCGTTTCAACTCGGTGATGCTCTCCTGTGTTTGTTTTGTTTGCGCCTCTGAAGTTTTTATAGACTCAACACAATTTGATACTTCCTTTGCCATGTAGTCTCTTTCTTCACGTTTCGTTTGTATTTTCGAAGCAAGTCCCTTGACCTCGTTTTGCAAATCCCAAATCTTCAACTGATTCGCAATAAAACGTCCCTTCGCGGAATCTTTCTCGATATTGTTCTCTTCAATGAAATTGGAAAGCTTTTCTTTCGCCTCTTTCGTGCTTTCTTCAAGAGACTTGACTTCTTCGTTACGTTTGAGTGTCTTTTTCTCTGCTATCTGAATTCTTTGCTCAGAGTGATCTATGTCATCGAGAATCTTTGATAACGTTGACTTTATTTCATCAGTCCGCCGACCAATTTTTTGCTGTCTTTCTGGCTTGTTATATTCAGTGTAAGCGTTGTATTCTTCTTCGACTTTGGATAAGCTCAAATAACCTGTATTAAGCTGCAAAATTAGTTTATGTGAAAGAATTGAACGGTCCTTCTCCGTTTTTGCCCACAATTGATCATGATTATGAATCCCGCTCAAGGCATTATAGTCATTTTTGAGAGGATTTGAGACGTATTCTGACTGCAAGCGTTTCGTTTCGTAGTACGATTTCTTTTTCGGTGACGTCTCGTTAGCAGTTTCATTGGAATCGTATGGAGTATAGTGATACACGACTTCGGTAAGCAATGATCTTTCAACATCGGTTGCCGAAAACTTGGGAATGTTTGGAAGTTCAGGTAAGGGCCAAACTGGGAATGAACGCAAGTCTCGACGGAAAACGTGATCAAAGAATGTGTGAGACAAGTATGTGAGATTCTGGTTGTAGATGGGAAAAAGGTCTGGTTGCAAGTTTCCGATTTGATCTCTCATACAAACGATGCAAGATATGAGTTTGTATAGATATGAGTCAGAGTCTTTGAAGTCTTTGTAATGTAGAAGGCAATGTTCGATGGTGTTTACTGGGATCAAGCGAATGAGAACGGACTCCTCTCCACGACGATTTTGGGTGCGTAGGCCCTTGAAAAAGGCAGAATCGGTATCAACGTAGCCGTCCAAAACAATCAAAGCATTGAACTTGGCACTTTTGAACTCGCTTTCGTTTTTAGTGACCATACCGTCGTGTGGAATCAAATGAATGGTCGTTTGCTTTGAGTCTTTTGAGTTTTTCCCACCTCTTGAAGATTCTTTCTTCACATTGTTTCCCACGTACCTTTGGATGCTTTTCGGGCCTGAGCAACCCAAAATAAGAGCTTCCACTAGGTCAAAAACGCGGGAATCATTCTTCATGACGATACCGACATTTTTCTGTAAGTTCAGCACAGAGTTCAGTATAATGACATTAATCAAATCCTTCAAAACATTGAACTTTCCACTAGTCTCCGCCAATTTAGCAGGAATGTCTCGAATACCCAAGTTTTTGGGCATGTAATGCTGGATAAGCAAGTATGGGTGAGTTGCTACAAGCATGCAGTTATCAACACAGATTTCCAAAGACTTGACAATAAGCTCTGTTGTGTCATTTGTTTCGCAATACTTGAGAATATCAGGATAATGTAAAGAAACAATCTGGTCGGTGAGCTCTTTTTGAAACTCGAACATAGGCGTGGGCAAGTTGTATTCGCCCGAATTGTTGACTTGTTCCAAATGTAAATCGACTATCGGTGGCTCTGGAGTGCCATCTAAAATGCTTAGCAAGTCCATTGAAGAGAGTGGAAAAGATGGATAACGCGGATGTGAGTTCGCGATACTGTTACAAAATGGTGCGGCGAAAGGACAAAGTCGCTTAGTTTTCCTGTCCGCTATTTTCTACTGTATGTGGCGCAATCAGTGAATATCATTACAAACTCATTGATTTTGATAGAAAAATCATGTTGAAGACCTTAGGTGAAGGATATTAGTAAAAATATATATATTTGGTTTGAAAAGAAAGAAAAAAAAAAAAAGGAAAAGGAAAAGGAAAACTCACACAAGTAGTGCAAAGTATTCTTGTGGTTTAATTCCAAAGGCTCTTTTTGCATTTGAAATACTTCAACTATTTATTCAGAGACATATATCCCAGTGATCAACAGCCTATTAATCTTCGCATAGCAAGCTGCAACATGCTATCGATGAAGCTGATTTTCATCGTTTCCCTTATATTCTATCGTGTATTTTCGCCAATTGTTCCTCTCATACCTTTCCCCATAATCTGATGGTTCTGTCCCAGCCGCAGCTCACTATACACAGCGCATCTTTCCCCACGTCAACACTCATTACCTTGTCTGTGTGGCCAACCAAAGACTTGACATGGAGCCAGTTGTCTGACGACCAAAGCTTCACCGTACCGTCGTAGGAACTTGTGGCTAGATATGTGCCCGACACATCCAACGTCTGAGTATTTTCTTCGTTTTCGTCTGCCACAGGCTGTGCCAATGGGCTCGAATGAGTGTTTTGTACAAATCGTACGTCGCTGACAATCTTGGTATGAGCAGGTATCGAGAAAAGCTCTGCTCCATGCGCTTTGCGCATGTCCCAAATTTTCACAGAACAGTCAGCACTACCACTGGCAAGGTGATATCCATTTGGAGACCAGTCCATACTGTAGATTCCTTGGATGTGGCCCTCAAGCGTGGCAATAGTGCGGCCGCTTCGCAAGTCCCAAATATGGCCTATAGCGTCCAAGCCTCCCGTGGCCAAAAGACTGCCATCGGGATGGAAGCTGCAGGCGAAAACTTCCTTGGCATGACCCTCTTGTTCCAAAATCTCCTTTTCGGGCCGCAAGACGTCCCAAAGTTTCCAGGTGAGGTCAAAAGATGTCGTTGCCAAGTATTTTCCGCTAGGATGGAATTCTGTCCGCGCAATCCGTCCGCTATGAGCATTGTCACGGCGATAAGTATTTGTCAATGAGCCGTCGTCGACTCTCCATATGTTGAGAGTACCTTCTGCTCCAGCTGAAGCGAGTGTGGTGGACTCAGAAGGACTCCATGCCAAAGTCGCCTTTTCAGTATGATAGCCCGGTTTCAGTCTCACCGCCTGGCTGATGGATTCTTGTGTGTCTCTTTTGAAAATGGTGACATGTCCATCCCAGGAGGAACATGCCACTAGAGAGTTGGAACTGTTGATGCGGACGCCATTCAATGCTCTAGTATTACCTTTCACGGTAAACGAGCCCTGGGGCTCGAATTGTTTGAGTTGTGAATTGATATTTCGTCTGTGCCGCAACACCTGGGCAAAGTTATACGATGCAGAAACTTTCCGTTGTTTGTCAACTCGTTGCATTGCTCTATCTATAGAGTACGCTAGTATGTCTTTCCGTGCCTCTAGTAATGCATCATCTCCTGGTGTGTAGAATTCTTCTTCTTCCTCCCCTTCATCTTCTTCGTCACTGTCCATGCTATCATCCTGTACTTCGGCAAACTCAAAGTTGGTGTGTTTTCGTTCACTCACTAGCCGTACAAGACGCTCTCTTCTTTCAGCCTTGCCTTCACCAAAAAGAGTGATTGGCTCTCCCAACTTTCGGAGCTCCAGTCGCACCTCTTGATCGTCCGTTGGTATGAGCAAACTGATCTGACGGTCTGTCTTTCCGCGGTCATTGACGACGGGTGCAAATGTTTGGGCCATGAAAGAAGAGTTGGTGGTGGTCTACAATTGTGTGCAGTGCAGACATGTTTGGTGCACTCGAAGGCAGATGAGCAGAATCGCGATTAATGCTAGTGAACATACATACAAAAAAAAAAAAAAAAAGAGTTGATGACGATATTTACATGCAAATTTGCATTTCAGTGGTGCGAAGCCACGATCCGCTGAGCAAACTGAGCAAAGTTTTCTTTTCCATTCACCATCTCATGCAAATTGGGCTGACAGAAAACCGCCAAGGTTTCGCGCGAAACAGATTCAGATTTCGCTCCGCGCACATAATGTGGAACAGCCTTGAACTTTCCGCGCGAGATCTCTTCAAGAGCAGACCCGGTTTGAAAAGCAAGACAATCAACGGGAATTTCTATTTTTGTCGCCTTGTTTTTCCTGTCACGGATATACAAACCGGCCGAAGGGTCTGGACACACGTCCAACGTTTTCCCCAGCCTCTCATCAATGAAAAGGGCGCTGGTCAACCCAGTGATGCAAGAATGGTCAAGATGCTCGCCGCACCACTCGTCTGATTCTGTCTCTGTAGGGTAGTAGTGTAAGAGTCGGGCTTTGGAGCAGGTGGAGCTTTTAACCAACGATGCAATTTTGTTCTCTTGGTGTGCCGGATCAATAGTGTAAAGCATTCTGTCGCAGTTCTCTGCTACCTTCTCTGCCACATCGATGATCAAATTGCACAATTCCTTCGTATCTTCCTTGAACGTAGATAGTCCCTCCAGCTTTGACGGCCAGACGTTGGGGCTTGTGTAACTTGCGAAATCCTCAAATGCAGCGGCCATCTCGGGTTCGGGGCCCTCAAGATGGCTCAGTTTGTGGAATGCACAGTTGACATAAAAAGAGCCCTTGTTGAAATCTGGAAGCCCGCTAGATGCAAGAATCTCCTTCCCGCGTGACCATCCTGTAAGCCACGTTGATTCAGGCTTTTCAAGTTTTGCCAATTCCTCCTCAGGTAGATGCGCTAACACCGATATGCCACGAAGAACCCTTTCTCGAAGCTCATGGAATTTTGGCGGAAGGTCTTTCACGATGAGAATCCCTAAAGATTCAGGACCAAAAGCCTCTGTGAGTGTCGAAGCATCGAGGCCGGCAGATAACTCTTGCAATGTTACGCTTACAGCTTCCATGATCTCTTTGTATTTCGTTTGTTGAACTGTGCGCGAACATAATTTCCCTTAAGAACATGTTGTTAGGATGCGTCGTTAGAATCCACTATTTTCTTGCAAAAGGATCCGTTCGAGACGTTCCCTTCTTTGATGGAAAGCAACTGTTTGTGCTATGCTACCTTGTCTTTGAATCTCTCTGAAATCGTTGTATGTGCGCCGGTCTGGCTCGCTTCTCTTTTTACTTCTGCTTTTTATGCCATCTCTAGTTCGTCTGATTGTGCTTCCCATAACATACTTGAGCCTGAACTTCATAAAGCTTGCCCCCTGTCTTCTTTCCGTAAAGTGTTTTTGAAGAGGTTTGATCATATCTGAAAACGTATGCTGATCCTCACACTCAGAGAGCACACACATCATATCTTCCGTAGTTGTAGTACATCCCAGTTTTTGAAGCTGACTGGCCAATGTTTCCGCCACCATTTTCCTTCGTTTCTCAGACTTGCTAGCATCTGTGCAGATGACTAAAGCTGCTCTCTGTGACGAAGCAGTTGAAATGTATGTTCGAATGAATTGGTATACCTCTTGTCGTGTGATACTTTGTAATACGGCCAAACTGATTTCTTCCTCACAATGTCTGCTTTGGAAGTTATATGTGCCATTTAGAATCTGGTCTAAGTGGCCCCAGTGTTCTTTGAAGAAGTCAGATGTAGGCTTAGGTCCAGAACCATGTTGCGGTTCCAATACAGCAAAAAGACCAGATGGAAAAGTATTGTCGCTGTTGTCTTTGTCTAAAGACTCCATGAATGGCTTCATGATTTGATTCTGAAAGTCCCTCTCAGTCATTTCATCCATGGTGAACTCAATGTACTTCAAATAGTCTTCAAGCTCGTGGACAATATGGTTGCAACTGTATTTGCCGGAGGGCACAAGCATGTATATGCCAAAAGTTCTTCTGAAAATTCTTATTCCTGTGAAGTACCCATACGCTAGTTCCCTTTTCATTCGGAGTTCTTCAGTTGCTGTTACATTCAAGATGTGCTCAATCACTTTTGCCATAGTGAACGCGTAAGTGTTAACACGTTCGCCCACTTGAAGATAGTACATTACAGCAGAAAGAGACTCATCCAGCATCTCAAAAACGTGGGTACCATTACCAAGGATAATGCTTGAATTCTCCAAAGAAGTGAAGCTCGAATTAGGCTTTGATGAAGATTTTACTAGTTGTGAAAAGGTGATGCATTCATCCTTATCCATTGAACCACTGATTAAAATGGACGAATAGGATGCACTTCTGTCAACAATACTCAAAAATTCTTCAATATCACTGGTGTCAAGTAGTTCCAATGCCTCCACCCTCTCCTCGGGCGAATGCAAATTTTCCTCCAAAATCATGTAAGAAGCCCCGAATACTTTTCTCACTCCCGAAGTTTTCACGTATTCATCATACTTCTCTCTCAAAACTTTTCGTGGGCCCTTGAGTTGATGGTAGTTATAATTTTTTCCAGCTTTGAAAACCCTCTTAATGTTGGCTAGTATTTCTCTTGTGAGAATCAAAAGTGCTTGTTTAGTTGCAGTGCAATTCACCATTATGGATATAGATCCGTTGACATTGCTGTAAATTCCCCATTCGCTTCCAATCATTTCCAAGTGATATAATGTTGGTTTCAATTCACGTCCAACTATTTCTGTTAGCAAATCAAGTATAACTGAATTTCTTGTTGTGGCCGACACTTGTGGAAATTTAATACATATTGAAGCAACAATGATGTTAGTATTCTCGCTTTCTTCTTCTGACTCTTCTAACCATAGCTCCATAGAATCATCAAAAAATTGAAGAATGGGCGAACGTGAACTAGACTTGAAGTCTCTGATTTTACTCATTTTCCCAAGGGCAACCTCTTTGCATGGAAGAGGTGCCCATTTTTCAACCATTTTTTTCGGCGTTGAAAGCTTAAAATTGAACTTTGTGCTTTGCTCAAAGCTCACAGTCAGAAGAATGTATTCGAAGTGGAAGAAAGGGTCTTTGCCAATTTTGACATTTGTCGAGCCCATCTTCAAATATCTCATGACATCACCAAGAACTACCATCTTGAGATTATTTGTGGTCAAGCACTCTTTTAAGGCTAGCTGCAAATCATCATAAGCATGTTCAATATATGTCCATTCCTTGAACCCTTTTATCAATTCTTTATCTAGCTCTCCTGATATTAAGCTTTCAGCGTACGAACATACCTCTTCTGTAGACGATATGGTGGGCTTTCGGGAATAGAAAAGATACCTTTCAATATGATCATAATGATATACCAATTCCATGATCTGGTCTTTTGAAGCATTTGCTATGGTGTTTTCAATGTAAAATAGTATCGTCTCTTTTATTTCTACCTCCTTTTTCTGCCCTTGAATAGTAGGAACCACTTCAATTATCAACATTTCTTCATCCTTGCAAATTTCCTGAAGAAATACGTAAACTTGATTTGCCCATTGAAGTCTCCGTTTCAAGTAGTCACAAACCGTATCTAAGGATTCGTCACCAATTAAGCTACAAAGCAACCTCAGCACAGGCTGATAATCGACCAAGTGTCGTATTCTTTTCAATGGAAAAAATAACCTTATTTTCTTTGTCACATCAGTTTTGATGAGAAGACAATTATGGTTTCCAAAAAGTCTGGCTGTTGTATAGTCCTCGAAAAAGGAAAAGCTCGAGCGAATAGTTTTAGGAGACGACGGGAGAGAGTTATTCCGGCCCCATTCAGAAGCGGAAAAGTTAGAAACGACCATTTTCCTCAAATGAATTAAAGTTTGAGGACCTTTCAACACTAAAACCATATTTTGAGGCTTAAAGTGTTGATTAATATGAGCTGAAACCAACGATTTGATTTTGGGAGTAGGAACGCTTTTCAAAGTTGTGCTGTTCCCACAACCAAAGCGGCTGAAGGGATGGTCTGGGTTAGCTAGAAGCTTCAAGGAATGCAAAAAGAGTTTTTCCACGTTGGTTCCATTGCCATTGTGTTCATCGTCTACTGAGACGATTTCTTGTTTGATATACTTATCGTTAATTTGAGGTTTCTGGATACGATTGGCTAGAGCTGCTAATAAGGAGTCTAAAACGAATTTTTCACTATCGATCGTATTTTCAGCATAAGTTGATATCTCAAAGTAGAAACAAGTTTTCTCTGCAGATGTGTAGGCATTGAAATCACCCCCCGAAGAGACAATGAGGTTTTCCAATTTATCGGACTTCTTTGAGGCCCTCATCATTATATGTTCTGCCAAGTGGGCTACTCCAGGAACTTCTTGTGGATCTGAGAAGTTTCCGGTTCCTGCTAAAAGGGACCCTGATACCAAATCTGTTGATGTATCATTGATTAAAAAGCATCTGAGACCGTTGTCAAGCGTCACAAAAAGGTGCTGCCTATGTTTGTACGCTAAAGGAAGTTCTAATTCTGGTTCTATGCTGCTAAAGGTCATATTTGCCTACGGACTGGTGCTGAGGCTCAAGATTGGATTTATGTGTTTGACATATGTTTCAAGTAGAGCTACAACTTTCCTAATCAAGCATGCGCAAAGGGAATATAAAGGATCTTGGTCTTTTCCCAGAAGATATGATATAAGAAATGATCGAAATTCTTTACTGGAAACTTTGCAATAAATATGTTATCTATTCGATCTTCTGATAATCTTGTTCATCCATGTTTTTGTGGGTACGCGAGCATGAAGAGTATTTACATTTTTTAAAGAAAAACGCGACGTCTGTACAAAAACACAATACAAAGGGAGGCATAAAAATAGCATATGGCGACGAATGTAAGCGCAGAACATGCCTATGATAAGCAAGAACCATCGTCATAAGACCAAACGCATTCAATTTTTGGTGTGACGACTTTGACGCAAATTATTTCTAGTATGGCTGGCACTCTATCTTGATTAATGCACAAACCCCAGGACTGCATTTGAAAGGTCACGGACTATCTATTCCATGCATGAAGTCACCTGCCGACCAAAATAAAGGTTGAGAAAGCCTAAAGCAAAAGAGAAGAGATAACACAAGCTCGACTAACTAAGTTTAGCCAAATACAAAACATCAACACATTATATTTTGTGAAGTCTCCTTTCAGAAAAAACCGTGCTCTTAGCCCTTGTTATATTAGTGTATGGGGCCCCTTAGTGTGCACACTTCCCGCCTGACACTATCAGAAAAAGAAACGTGAACTTCTGCCCCAAACGGTTTTTCCCCCTTTGCTCAAGAGTAACTCCACATTACTACTCATCTACTACGACAAATTGCCCATACTGCTATCCAAAGTGTTTTCCCTTGTTGTATCATCAACTTCCACTCGAAAAACCGTCTCTTGCAATCTGGCTCACCCTTGCTAACCACGTTTCTTCCACTTTGACCACTTTAACAAATGTCGAACCCATATCTTTATAACAGCTACCAGCCCTATTCGCCTCAGATGATGGAGGGCCAAATGAACATCTCTCCCACATTCCACAACTTACAGTATCTCAGCGGCTCTGTTGGTTCTACGACAGGGTCACTATCATCTACATCCTCCTCTGCATCATCAACATCCAACTACTCTTTGCACAATCCTCGCATGAGATACTACTTGTCCAAATCGTTTGATCTTGAGGACGACCTCGAGTTTTGCCCCGACATTCCAGAAAACCTTCCCTTTAACTCGAGTCCCACCTTCAAAAAGTTCAATCCTTACACAGCATCGGTGTTTTCGCCCACAGTGCAACCAGCGGAACTGTCAATATCAGCGATTCCAAGCGTTCCCTCTTTGCCCCGCGTGAGCACCCCAAGAACGAAAAAAGTCATTGAGATTGTCAATCCACATACGAAAGTGAGAGTCGGGTCTCCTGCCATCCAGAAGTAACGAGCAAGCTTTGATTTGACATCGAAAGATACTGCCCATCACTTCCCCCAACTAGAGCTTCATATTGCTCTTGTTTAGTTCTCTGCTGAAACAAGTCTTCGGCATGTAAGGTCTCTGGATGACTGTATTTTAGCTATTGTAGATTGACATTTTAATTACACTGATTTTATGATTTAAAATTGTAGGTGTCGAAGTTCCTTGCTTAATAAAAAAATGTCAATTTCCCCTGACACCAAGGGGTAACACGATTGCCAGTTGTAGACAATATGAGGGGGGTCAATATTATGTGGATAAGCTCCACAGTGCATAATCTACAGGCCCTAGGTGTTCGCATAGTAATACTTAAAAATGACATCGGAATTTCAACAGACAACCAGTACCTAAAGCGAAATTCCGTCAGGTAAACGAACATCCTTATTAGGAAATGTAAGCGAGCGATATCAGGCTTTCTCTAGCCAGGATTACACACAACAATCTGGCACCAGGCACACGGTAATTTTTCTCCACCAATGCCGACAACGGGATTTTGACTGGGAACACATCCTGCACACACGTACATTATCTCGCCAAATGGAAGGCATTTGATGAAGGCCGATAGCCCAATTAGGCAGGTCCATGAGAAGGCGATAGCCATGTGCCCAATGAGGCAGGTGAAGCGACACTACCCATCGACATCGATTATGCTATAAAATAGAGACTGTTGGCTGTCAGTGAAAATAATTTTTCAGATCCAAGGCTGACACTTCGATTTTGCACAAATGTCTCCATCTATTCACCCCTTTGACGGCATTTACGATCACGAGATCAAGATCGCTTCCAAGTTGATCAAAGACGCCCATGCTGCTTCTGACAACGTTCACTTTATCCAAATGGATAGATTGGACCCACCAAAGAAGGACATGATCAAGTACTTGGAGGCCGAGAGATACGGTGCTCCACTTCCCCTGATCCCTAGAGTGTTGTACGTGTACTACTACACCAACACATTGGAGTTCAACAAGGCTCTTGTCAATGTCACTGTGGGCCACATCATTACCAAGGCCCGCTTGCCTCACGGCGTCGTGGGCCCATTTTTGCCTGAAGATGTTCAGGAGTGGGAAGACTACTGTCTTACCCACCCAGCAGTCAAGGCTGAGATTGAAAAGTTGAAATTGCCAAAGGGCTACACTGTCAGAAACGACCCATGGATCTATGCGACTGACGATCCAAACGAAAAGAGACCATTGGTACAGTTTTTCATGTACGTGTTGGCCAACAATGGCCACTCCGAGTCTAACCACTACTCGTTGCCATTGAAGTTCTCGCCTGTGTTTGAACAGCACACCAAGAAGTTTGTTAGAATTGACTTCTTGCCAGGTGGATTTGACGAGACCACCACTCCTACCGGCCCATGGCATGTTGTTCCAGGTGTCGAGTACCACCCAGACTTGAACGGTGAAACCGTGCTCAGAAACCCAAAGCCATTGTTGGTCCAACAACCAGAAGGCCCATCTTTCGACATGTCTGGCAACAAGATTACCTGGCAAGGTTGGGAGTTCCGCGTGGCTCCATCTGTCAGAGAAGGTTTTGCTGTGTACGATGGTTGGTTCAAGGGCAGACAAGTGTTTTACCGTATCTCCTTGTCTGAGATGACTGTGCCATATGGTGACCCAAGAGCTCCATACCACAGAAAGCAGGCTTTCGACTTGGGTGACTGTGGCTTTGGTGTCAACGGAAACAAGTTAGGTCTCGGCTGTGACTGTCTTGGTGTGATCAAGTACTTGGACACTAGAACCACCAACGGAACTGGTGAGCCAAAGGTCTTGCCATCGACCATTTGTTTGCACGAACAGGATGCGGGAATCTTGTACAAGCACGTCAACTACAGAACAGAGAATGCCGTGGTTGCCAGAAAGCGTGAATTCGTTGTTCAAACCATTGCCACTGTGGCCAACTACGAATATGCTGTCAACTTGAAGTTCGTCAACGATGGTTCCATTGACATTGAGGTCAGAGCTACTGGTATCTTGTCCACCATGCCAATTGACGAGAATGTCACAGTGCCATGGGGAACCATTGTGGGTCCTAACGTCATGGCCGCATACCACCAGCACATCTTGTCCTTCCGTATCGACCCAGCTGTTGACGGTCACAAGAACACAGTGTGCTATGATGATGTGGTTAAAATGCCACGTAGCAAGCTCAACCCTTACGGTGTTGGATTTGTTACCGAGAGAACTTACTTGGACAAGGCGGGTTCTGTTGAGCAATCTCCATTTACCAACAGATCTTACAAGATCATCAATGAGAATGTAGTCAACCCAACTACAAAGGGTAATGTTGGTTACAAGGTGGTGATGCCTGCTAGACAAATGATTTTGGCTGACGAGGACTCCTTCAATGTCAAGAGAGCAAAGTTTGCTACCAAGCAGCTTTGGGTCACCAAGTACCAAGACAACCAGTTGTTCGCAGCTGGTGAGTTCACCAACCAGTCGCAGACCGACACTGGTGTGGGCGAATGGGTCAAGGGAGAGGATCCAGTGAGAAATGAGGATGTTGTTGTGTGGGCCACCTTGGGCTTCACCCATATTCCAAGAGCTGAGGATTTCCCAGTGATGCCAGTTGAAATCCACAACATCCACCTTGTGCCATTCAACTTTTTCGAGCGCAATCCAGCTTTGGACATTCCTCAGGCTACAAACAGCTTCAACAAGTCTGTTTTGGCTCAAGTTGGAGATGATGTTGCTCCATCGTGTTGCAAGAGTACTTTGTAATGGACTTACATGGTACAGGAGATTTATGAAAGGGTGTAATTTATAGTTTATATTAATCAACATTGTTACGAAAGAAAAGAGGCCTGAACTAGAGTGATATGACCACAGTAGGAATATCATTGGAAATACTAGGGAACTTCAAATAGTTTTCGACGGGTCTACCCAATGCCAACATGTTCACTTAAGAAACTATGTTATGTTTGGACCCAATTGTTCACTAACTCTCAAGAAGAAAGCCGAAACCACCGCCATGCTTACGATTTTGCATAGCGAAAAGAGTCAGTATCAAAAGCTCCCTCTTAAATAAGCAGCTAAAGAAACGAACAAGAAATCCGTGATAGTTTAGTGGCTAGAATTACCGCTTGTCGCGCGGTAGACCGGGGTTCAATTCCCCGTCGCGGAGCTTCTCAGCGCAAGTGGTTTAGTGGTAAAATCCAACGTTGCCATCGTTGGGCCCCCGGTTCGATTCCGGGCTTGCGCATTCTTTTTGAAGTTTATTTGTTCGATTAAGCTTTTTTTTTTTTTGATCGCGCTTTTGGCCTACTTCATTTCTCCTTGCCTTTTCTGTCGATCCATCATCTATGTCCACACATCTTAGCCCTCGCCCAGTCCCGGCCCCGAAACACCATCATAAGCCTTTACCCAAGCCAATGGAAGTCCACGACAAAAGACACGCACGCGGCCGATTTTCCTGGGTCAAACGTTTAGTCCAGGGCCAGACGAGAACTGGACCCGATCTAAGGACCAGACCTTACCAGCAACAGACGCAATTCCCCACAACGAAATACTTGCCCGAAAATGCTAGTGGGCGCAAATCGCAAAGAAGCACCGACGTGTCGAGCGACTCGGAATCGTATGTTTCGGACAATATCAGTACTGTGCCATTGAAGCTGGTGGTGTCCCACGGTTCTACTACAAACTCACCTTCAATTCTCAGCACCGAAAACCAGGCCGACAACTCGTCATATATGGCCTCCACAGCGGAAACCTCGTTGGCTCCAAGTACGCACATTTCTCTTCTGCCCAGTATTCATACGACACAGCCGAGAGCAGAGCGGGACAGCGAGTCGATTGTGACATTGGCGAGCTCCTCGCGTCGTGGAAGACGTAGAAGCATCGACACCAACTGCAGCATGGCTGGAATTGCACCGGCAAGTATTGTTGAGCGTTTGACCGTTCACCCAGTATCGCAGGACGATTAGCTGGGCCGGTGACTTAGGCACTAGTAAATATTTGAGATTTGGAATTGGACTTTAGATTCGATACTTGTAAGGACGTAGTTCCTCATTGAGATTCATGTTATCTACATCATATTGTTTGGTTGGAGTGTCTGCTTTCCTTCCACAATGAAGCAGTGAAGAAAATCAGAGATATTGGTTAAAATAGAACTTGACCTTGGGGTAATGAAAATCGTCTTCGAGGCGTCTCCCCAAATGCGTTTTTGGGAGCTTAAACCTATAGTGTCATATCATGAACAACTGGAGCCAATACCCAAGATTGAATTTTGGGGACTAATCATACACAACTTTGCAGCGTCTTCAGCCGTGGACAAGCCAAATCGGCTTTCCGTCTATTAGAATGAATGACTACATTACTGGGGCTCCTTAACAATTTGTGTACGGCCTGTATGGAGGGAGGAACTTAAATACTTAATGACCAAGTCAATTGTTTAACGCAAGTTGAGTCCGAAATAGAAGAATGGAAATCATTATGTGATCGTTTTGTGTTTCATGGTCATTTGTAAATGAATGCGTCGTTCCAGACACTGATCGTTCCATCATATATATGAGCCCGAAAATGAGGACACCTGTTCTTATAGATTTTGGACCGTGTGCATTGGTGTAGTGCGCTTTATTTTGGGTTTGGGATGCCCTGTTTTTGCGCTTTCTTTCCGTTAGAGTAAAGTCAGTTTTCCGTTTGGAATCTGCGGCCAATGACATTTCTATAGTCGCCGCCGATCTATTCGTATATCAGCCATGGAACGTCACATATGCATTGTCCTTGTTGTACAATAGAATGCTAAACAATACTCGAATGCAAATATGAGGATGGTAAGACCCTCTAGAATTCAAGACGTAAACACATCTGTGGCACCAAGAACACAATTTCAAGAACATGGTCCGAAACAATTCTTACCAAAAAATTGAAACAAGAGAATTTGCTGGATATTAACTTGCCAATTGCATATTTCTAGTACAGACATTTACCTAGGGGTATAGCCGTTCCTGCCGATTATTTTCGCAGCTAGGTCCATCTTATATCCTATTGTGGCATGGCCGAAAAAAGATTGGACCTGCAGGGTTGGTGAGAGACAAAAACAAAAAAATTAAAAACGGTAAACAAAACTGTCACCATTGCTCCTCTAAACAAGGGCTCATCTTTGAATTTCCTCATCTCCAACCACTTGGGGGGCATATCTTCTTCTTTTTTTTTATTTTGTTTTCATTTTCCAACCACTTTATTTTTTCTTTTGACAACTTATTCTTTATACTGCCCGCTTTTCTAATCTTTTCCTCCCTTCCTTTCTTGCATACTCCGTTCATACACGAATGGGAACTTTTGGCAACGACGCCTCAATTGAGGGAGATGTTTACCTCCAGAAACTAGCGACCTACATTCGAAGAAATGAAGAAGGGCTTGCCAATGGTCTTCTTTGTTTTTCCAAAGTGAAAACTCCGAACAAGGTGAAACCGCTCCGACCCAGTTTCACCATCCACCATCTTTACTACCTCACTGATCGCATTGAAAACTCCTCTTTAGGTGTTGATGTCGGGCCCTTGAACATCAAATTGGACACACCAAACCATGAACCGACCTTCATTTCGTTCATGGCCAATAATGCTCGGAACCTGCGGCATTTTGACAGTGATGCGCGGTCCATCTCTTCAATCAGCTCGGTGAAATCCATTGTATCGAGTGCATCTGTCTACTGGCGCTCTTTGGCATTCAGTAAAGATCCCAAAGTGATCCAAAAGGACCTCAAATACCTTTACTCATCCTTTACGAAAATTCCATGTTTGATCTTGAACCCAAAGACGAAAATCAACAGTATTTCGGGCTACGAGGAATTCCCTTGTGATACATCGGTGCCTTTGAAAATGTTTAAGAACCTTCAGGTATTAGAGCTTGTGGAATATGAGCCTAACGAAGTGTTTGGCTGGCACATTTTGAGCGAACAGCTTCGAATCTTGATCATTCGGAACTCTAAAGTGAGTGATATCACGGAAATTTTGTTCTCGTTGGTGGTTGACGATGAAAACGGCAGGTCCGCATTTAACAATTCCCGCCAAACGAAGAAGCACGAGCACGACGAACATGGAAACAACAAGTATGCGCGTCGTGATCGTGCCATGACATCAATGGCATATCCCAGCTCTAGAGACCAACATTTACCGGATACACGAACAAATACAAGTTCCTTTACAGCTTCAGGCTCTGAAAGATACCATGTTATGTTGCCGGACAATAAATGGTTTTATTTGAAACAGTTAACGGTGTGCGAAAGCTCAATCTCGTCCATCCCAAGCTTTGCATTTAAACCTTTGCACAATCTTGTTAAGCTCAATCTTTCGAACAATTTGCTTGAAGATCTACCGGATGGTCTAGACCAGCTTGTCAATGTCAAGTACATGAACTTTGCTGATAATTACATCACTTCCTTGAGGAAGCTACCGTCCAACTTGAAACATCTTACTACTCTCAATTTCAACAACAATAAGATCACAAACATCGAAGGTCTTGAGAAGTTACGGAATGTTGACAAAATCGATTTGCGCCGTAATAAACTTTCAAGCATGTCTCTGTTACGACCCATTTTGATGCAAATCGTCAATGAGGATTCCGTGCTTAGTAACATTTTTATTTCTGGCAACCAATTGCCTAAGACTTACCGAGTTGATCTTTTCAACTTGATGAATGGTGCAAAACCTAAAAACATGATAAAGATCGATGACTCTCGTCCTGGATACTTTGAGAATGCAATGCTTCTTGATGCTGAAGGTGCTAAGAAGTGCTACGAAAAGTTCATGAATATTGAGACACACGACGCACCAATATCACCAGCTCAAGAAAATATTGTTTCTGTTCCTTTGCCAAAATCACCCGAGAAAAGACACAGAAGAGTCAAATCCGGTAGTAGTGTTGATGAAATTACTCCAAAAGTTGCATCTATGCATTTGCAAGAATTGGAGAATTCAATTTCCAGAAAACATGCAAGCGTTATGACTACGGCATCGACGACAAGTACCGTCAAGTCTCCAACTAAAGCACCCGCTGTAGGTGCCACCCGAGGAAGCATATCTCCTAGTCCATCCATGCTCCTCCCCAAGCTGGTGTCGAAGCTGGGTCCACTTCCTCTTCTTCCCAACCAGAACTTGGGCAATCATGCTAATTTTGGCAACACCAAGATACCTTCTATAACCAGACAGTCATTCCATACTCCAATGATTAATCAAAATATGAATGGATCGTCATCCACATTAAAGAGCTCAAGCACCATGACACGTCTTGATTTGGACTCTACGTCAATTCAGAACCCTGCCCCGAGTGTCATAACAGCAGTACAGGTGCAAGTGGAAGGATTCCAATAATATTCAAAATGAACACCACATGCTCTCCCTTGTCTTTGTATATCTCATTTCTTAATTTTTTGTTTTCCGCACTCATGTCTGTGGAACAGAGTTGAAATGCTGCGAAATGTTGATATACAAAAACCGACTCTAGACGATGGTGCATTTTTTTAGATTTGGGGCTATGGCTGCTATAATGAGCTTAGCGCTAAGCACAAGACTTCCCGACTCTCGTGCGCCTTCAGCAATCTCTAATGAAGAACATATCAATGTAATGAACACACAATATCATGAAGTCACATTCCCACCTTATTACCCATCCCGTAAGTCTCAACTGAATTTGTGGTTACCACCATACTAACGTATCAGCGCTTGGCGGCCGTATTGATGGTGTGTGGCAAGATGCATATTCGAAAGTCCGTAAGTTGGTGAGTCGAATGACTATACTAGAAAAAGTAAACTTGACCACAGGGACGGGTTTTGCTTCGGGACCTTGTTCGGGAAACACGGGGTCGGTTCCAAGACTAGGAATCCCTAGTTTCTGCTTGCAAGATGGCCCCAATGGTGTACATGCCACTGATTTTGTTACTCATTATCCATCTGGGTTAGCCACCGGTAGTACATTCAACAAGGCGCTAATGTATTTGAAAGGAAAAGCAATAGGAAGAGAATTTAGAGGCAAAAACGTTCACATGGCACTTGCGCCTGTTGTGGGACCCATAGGGTTGAAAGCACAAGGTGGGCGAAATTGGGAAAGTTTCGGCGCAGATCCGTATCTACAAGGTGTTGGTGGAGGGCAAATGGTGAAGGGAATGCAAGAAGAAGGTGTGGTTGCTGTGGTGAAACATTTCATTGCCAACGAACAGGAATACTTTCGTCAAGAAGGCGAGCACCCCGCTGACATTGTGGCATCTATTAGCTCTGATATCGACGAGCGTACTTTGCATGAAGTATTCATGTGGCCCTTCGCCGACGTAGTTAGAGCAGGATGCGGCGGAATCGTCTGCTCTTTCAACAGAGTGAACGGGACTTACTCATGTGAGAACTCGTACTTGCTTGGAAAAATGTTAAAAGAGGAATTGGGATTTCAAGGATTTGTCGTTTCTGACTGGGGTGCCCAGCATAGTGGCGTCAATTCGGCTCTAGCAGGGCTCGATATGTCTATGCCTGGCGATATCTATGATGAATGGCTAGAAGGGAAATCTTTTTGGGGATCATCTTTAACGAAAGCAGTCTACAATAATAGTGTCTCTCAAGAGAGACTTGACGATATGGCTTCTCGGATATTGGCTCCGTTTTTTGCCTCTGCTGGCCTATATCTCCCCATGGAGAACGAAGTACCCAACTTCAGTTCGTGGACTTTGGACACATATGGCCCCCAATTCCCAATCCAAAAAACTGGTCCTATCGTGCAGCAAAATAAACATGTTGATGTGAGATCTACTTTTGGCGATGATATTGCACTTGGTTTGGCTCGTGAAGCTATTATCCTTTTAAAGAATGAGGGAAACAGCCTTCCAATCCGCAAGAATATACGGAAAATGCTTGTTGCTGGTTTGGGCGCTGGTCAGGATCCAGATGGGTTGAATTGCAGAGACGGCACTTGCAGCAATGGTTTCCTAACATCTGGTTGGGGTTCCGCTGCAGTTAGAAACGCATTGACTATTACACCTTTCCAAGCAATAGCCCAAAAGGCCCACCTGAGGGGAATACTCGTGGAATACAACCACAATAACTGGAATCTAGAGGCAATCGATGAAATGCAAGAAGTTGATATGGCCGTTGTAGTGGTGAATGCTGCATCAGGAGAGGGCCATATAGAGATTGATGGAAACTACGGCGACCGCAAGAATATTTCTCTCTGGCATAATGGAGATGAATTGATCAAACATGTGGCAGAAAAGTGCTCAAGGACCGTTGTCATTGTCAATGCAGTGGGACCAGTGGATATGGAGCCATGGATAAACCACAAAAATGTCGTAGCTGTGCTCTTCACCGCTCCCCTTGGGCAGTTTGGAGGAGTGGCATTAGCAGAAGTTTTGTTCGGCGAAGTCAATCCTTCTGGTAAGCTCCCTTTTACTATTGCTAAAAAGAAGCTGCATTATGTTCCATTGGTGACAGAGTCAGAAGATGAGGAACCTCACGATGACATGAAGCGTGGCTTCTACTTGGATTACAGATACTTTGATAAGCACAGTATTCTGCCCCGTTTCTGCTTCGGCCACGGCTTGTCTTACTCGGAATTTGTATTCTCTGATTTGCGTATCAAAGAAAAGAACCAGCCGCTACAGTTCTTGTCGCCCGGCAAAAACTACTTGCCTGTAACTAGTCGGAACAAAGAAGATAACCGTGATCCTGAAGAAGCGTTGTTCCCAGAGAATCTACAAAGGCAACCTGGTTTTATATATCCTTACCTCGAAGAGGAAAGTTTGTCAGATCTGGATGAGGAAGACTTCAGCTATCCCCCAGGTTATTCCACCACACATCAAAGTACACCCTCTACTGCAGGCGGAGGTCTAGGCGGGAACCCAAGTCTTTGGACACAGGTGTACGATATCAGCGCACGAGTCACGAACATTGGCAGATATGGAGGCGCCTATTCAGTCCAGTTGTATATTGAGTTCCCAAATTCCGAATTCATTTCTCCTCCCAAGATTTTACGGGGGTTCGATAAAGTTTACTTGGAACCTCATCTGAACGGCACTGTTCACTTCCCTATATTACAGAGGGATTTAAGCGTATGGAATACAGAAAAGGCACAATGGGTTATACAAAAAGGCGTCTACAGAATCTCCATAGCTAGCTCAAGTGAAAAAGTGGAGCTCTATGGTGAGATTGATCTTAGTGGGTAAACAACGCGCCAAAAAAATAAGCGCGTACACTAGTGCGCGCGCGTTTTCTCCTCCATCATAATGATACGCATTGTTAGTGCAGGCTAATAGTTTTCTTAGTAGAATCTCACAAGCTCATGGCCAAACGACTTAGTTTGGCAGAGAAATATGCCCAGTCTAAGCAAAGTACCACCACCAAATCACCAGAGTCTTCAATAAAACATTATACTTTGCTAAGGTCTCCATATCGGAGACGCTCCCCTAAAAAATTCACGTACTCACCAAAACTACAGAACCTCACATCTCAAATACCCGAGCTCAAACCACATATTCCAAAACTAGATAATATCCAAATCAATGGTAACTGGAAAGCAAGAAGCCCAATTCGTCCTATCAGAAAACCAATTCTATTGACCCCAAACAGAATAAAGCGAACCTCCCTGTTGTACAAAGTGTTGCCTTATGAGCTGAATAACCTAAACTTGGGTACCAATGGTATCAGAAAAGATCGGAGCTGGAGAAGTAAAAAAGACTCTTCGCAAGGACTTGTTAGGGAAGGTGTTTTTCAGAAACTCAAGAATTTTTTAAGCAAATTCAGTTTAGAAGAACAAGAGCGGAAAAACTTAGAGTTTGAAGCATTGAGAGAATCAGCTAAAAATGTCCTCTCATTTCCCGTGAATGAAAGGAGCCAAAGGGAGAATGAGAGCCCACTTAGGTCAAGAAGGAGATTCCAAGATGATGACGACGAAGTTGACGCGATGGTGCAAAAAGCTAAATTACAATTGGAAAAGAACAAAAGGAGCGAGGAAAAGCAGGAACTCTTGCAAATAATAGAGAAGGAGAAACTTGAGCGGAAAAATCTTCAGGAAGACTATGAACGCCGGATTTATCTCATGGAACAAACACACAAAGCAAGAATACAGGAGCTTTCTCAAGAGATTGAAAACCTAACGTACAAGGCCAGTCTGCATTACCAAGAGATTGAGGCACAAAGGCTAAAAGAGTTAGAGAGTTCCGTGATGAAGGAAAATGAGTCCTTTTTACTTCAGCAAAAGGAAAATGAAGAGCGCCTCCAACTAATAAGGGCACGATTCGAACGAAAAGAAGAGGAACTTAAGGCAAAGGAGGAAAGATTGGAAGAGATGAAGAAAGAGATAGAAAACTCGCGTAGAGAGATGAACAATATTCCGGCAACCAAACAGAGCTCGATCGCACCGATAACAGTTCATAGGACGTCATCTTTTTCCGTATTGGAGGAGGAGGGAGCAAATGGAACCCAAGTCAACGATCTTGCGACAGATGTCGAGACCATCAATCGTGCATCCAAAATCAATGAGATTCAAGTGATCAACTTTTACGACATGATGCAAAAAATTTCTGAACGAATCATTCAAAAGGAAACGGATTTCTCACCGAATGAAAGGCGTCTTCTTGAAAGTCTCGAAGAGATTGTGAATTCCCTAGATGAACACATGAGTATTAGTCCAACAGACCAGGATGAGTATACAACCAAACTTGATGAATATTCATCGTTTTTCGATAAGTTCAATCCATTGTTGAAGGAGAACCCACAACAAGCCCGTCAAACATACAACCGTACAACATTGAAGGGAATCGAAGAGTCATTTGAAAGACTCAGCAAAAGTTTGAAGCGGAAACTCACCAAACGAGCATTTCAACTACGCGATCTCGAAAGCCAATATGATAAGACAAGGATTAGTGAGTATGACTACAATCAGCCCAAGATAGGCCAGGCTGTCCAGGTTCTCAAGAGAAAAACTATATTGATTGCGCAACAAAAGAAGACAATAAGTCTTTTAGATCGCCTTGGCTTATTGACATCGACGATCCACAAAATTCGAAGTTCGCTAGCCGAGAGTATGTAATGATAACGATTTCAAATAATTTAATGAGAGCTAATTTTCAAGTTGTTAACTTAACAAGTAATTGCAAAGTACATCTACGCGCGCGCGAAAATACATACGCGTAATCAAAGATCGCGAAGACTTCTCTCAATCATTAGATACACTATCGTTCCTACTGACTTTGGGTTAAACATTTCCTACTTGTTTGCCCTATGAGTACTTTGCAAACACCGGCTTCTTTGCCTGTGAAACTAATACCGTCTAACATCCGTCCAGTGGCATATCGAATTTTATCTAAAAAGCATGGTCTCAATATTCAAACTGATGCTTTGGAAGTGCTTACAGATGTAATAAGTACTAGGTTTGGTGCAGAATGGAGAGGAGCGAAAACCCAGAGCTTTATCGAGGAGATTGCCAAATCGTGGAAACAACAAGACAGAGGAGTTTTCATTGATGGGAATGGCCTCAAACAAGTCATCAAAGAGCTCACAAAAGACAAGAGCGGTGCAAAAACAATGAGCAGTTTCATAGAACCTGTACGAGCAGAACGTCTGGATACGCTTGTAGATATGGGCAATGAAATTGGAAGCGACAAAGAGCTACTCAACTGGGAAGAATATTTTCGCTTTGTTACGCCCGACATCCAGCCCAATTTCAAGTTCGATAAGGTCAGGAAACAGTTTGCTTTACAACCTGTTGCAGGAAGCAAACTCAAAAGCACATATGATTCGTCAATGAGCTATTTTAGTCAGAGATATAATTTAACTCTTGACAGACTATCTCGAGATGAGAATTTTCACAAAACATCCTTTTCAAGCATTGCCGCTCTCAATACCTCCCTTAAAAAGCCGTCTGGCTACGAAATCACGCTAATCAAAAATGTTCTTGGTCGAGATGGTCTGCGTTTTATGTTGTTCGGCCTTTTGTCGAAAAACATAAACGGAAATTACATATTGGAAGACACTTCGGACTATATTGAGCTCAACATGACCCAGGCACATAAAACGGAGGGATCTTTCTATTGTACCGGTATGCTTGTCATCATCGAAGGCATTTATTCCGCTTCGGGTGGCTCAATGAGTAATGATGCCAGTGTTATCAGCGGATGCTTCCATGTTTCCAACATTGGTCACCCCCCTGCGGAGCGTAGAGAGATTGGTCTTGAAGTTTATGGAAATTTGGATTTCATGGGCATTCATTCTGATGCATTGACTCAAACAAAGAGCAGTGCTTTGGTGAAAGTGGACAAGGCATTGCGAAGGAAACTTTCAGCATTGGAGAAGCTGTTAGTGAACCACAAACTCCTATTGCTTGGGTGCAATCTTCATCTCGACGATGCAAAAATTGTGCTGGGGCTTCGAAAGCTTTTTGAAAAGTTGGAAGTCACTTTGGAAGAGCAACAAGACAACCCTCAAAGCGACAAACCATTGGCTATAATCATGCCTGGTTCTTTTGTTTCTCAACCACTTGCTCCTATAAGTGGGACAGTACATCTGGCTTCTAGTTCTGAAAATTATAAAAACAATTTTGACAACTTTGCTGAGCTCTTGTCGAAGTTTCCATTGGTGGTAAACAGATGCAAATTTGTTCTTGTCCCCGGCCCAAATGATCCTTGGCAATCTGCGTACTCCCTTGGAAGATTAAACTTGAATACTCTTCCCCAAAGCCCTGTACCCAACGTTTTTGTAACTCGACTTGAACGTTTGTTACCAAAGGGAAATCTTATTTTAGGCTGGAACCCTATGCGGATAAATTATATCTCTCAAGAAATTGTGTTGTTCCGAGACGACCTCATGGACAAGTTCAAGAGGAACGATATTGTGTTTCAGCACGATTTAGAGCTTGAAAAATTGCAGTTGAAAAGAGAACAACAGGGCGAAGATAAGAACGTCGAGAATATCATCGGCGGAAACGTGCACTTGACTCCTAAGGTAAAACAAGCCCGGCAGCTCGTGAAAACTTTACTTGATCAAGGTAACCTCCAGCCATTTCTCAAAGACTTAAGAGTAGTCAATCCTAATTACCATCATCTGATGCGCATAGATTGTCTCCCGACAACCATCGTATTGTTTGATTCAAGATTCGAATGTTTTGATGTGACCTACAACGGCTGCAAGGTAGTAAACGTGGGAAGTGCAGTGAGCAACCAAAACACCAGGAAATTGAACTATGCCGAATACCTGCCTTGCATGAAAAAGTACAAATTCGAGAGCATATACTTTTAAGCATATAGAGATCGATGCTAGTGGGAAAGTACTACTCCAAATCGAAGAAAGTCACTGAGATAGATTTAACAGATAAACACGATTCTTAATTTACACACCCAGTGACTATAATGTAGTTTCCTCTGTTAATTGAGTGTAGCTATACTACTGATTTAGGCTAAACTTGTTTTTAAGTTTTTTCTATTGTTTGTTTCGCCAACATTGTAAAGTATAGCTATTTCCTATTTCCAACTCATCCCATAGTCATAGTTCATTTTTTTTCTGCAATTGCAATTCATCTACATGGAGCGCTTTATATGACAATACAGACCTACGCTGGAAAAAAACCAAATGAACGCGCACTGGATTCTCCAAGATACTCCTCCTACAATGCTGAAACCCTTCAATAAAGACCTTCATGTCAAGTACATTCAAGATCTTGACTCTAAAATAGCGAAACAGTCATACGAATATTGGCTTCTGGAACATCTTCGCATCAATGGGCTTTACTGGGGCCTCACAGCATTGGCGACTATGGACAGACTAGATGCTTTACCAGAGGATGAGGTGATTTCCTTTGTGCTCACATGTTTTGACGAGGAAAAAGGTGGATTTGCTGCCTTCCCTGGGCATGATGCACATGTTATCACCACTCTTTCGGCCTTACAAATTCTTTTAATTTACAATAGCATGGAGGTTCTAGGAGAGGAAAAGACAAAAAGAATTGGTGATTTTGTTTTGAGCTTACAACTCCCCGACGGTTCTTTCAAAGGAGACGAGTTCGGCGAGATAGATACGCGGTTTGTGTTTGTTTCGCTCTACATTTTGACTCTTTTGGGACGCACAGAGGAAAAAGTTATGGATCTGGCAGCATCATTTATTCTAGACTGCAAGAACTTTGACGGAGGTTTTGGCATGTATCCTGGAGCAGAATCGCACGCTGCACAAATGTACACTTGTATTGGGGCGTTGGCGCTTTGTGATCGCTTAGATTCTGTCAGCCCAAGAACAGCAAATTGGCTAAGTGAAAGACAGGTGTTGCCTTCGGGTGGTTTCAATGGGCGGCCTGAGAAATTACCAGATGTGTGTTACAGCTGGTGGGTCCTACTGTGTTTGGCCATGTTGCAAAAGGCTCATTGGGTGAGCTTTGAGAAATTGGAGGAGTTCATCTTGAGCTGTCAAGATTTGGAGAGGGGCGGCTTCAGCGATCGGCCAGATAACCAGACCGATGTGTTCCATACATGCTTTGCTATTGCGGCTTTGGCATTGATGTTTCCGGAAAAGTATGAGTTAAAGCCTATTGACCCCATCTTCTGTTTGCCAAAGGAAGTGGCACAGAAAATACACAGGTTCTCAAAGCAAGAGAAATAGGGGAGGAATCTTATGTATGGGTAAGTGTAATGACAATTGGGCATTCCATTAGGAGGGGACACAATAACCACCAAAGATGTTTACCATATAACCATCAAAGATGAATAATGCCTTACAATGTGAAAAGCGCTAGTTTTGCTCCCGTTCAGTGCTTGGGATTTGCGAGAAGCACGTTAGTGACAAATAAAGCTTCCCTGAACCTACTCTTATAAGATAAAGCGTCAGAGTATTTTCTAATTAAGGCGAGCCTGAAAGATGATCATCGACAGCTGTATGGTACGTGTTGCAGAGACTCTAGCCGCCGACAAAAGAAGAAAGAATGTCATATGTACCATTATGAACTTTAATACTGATTACTGTGTCTACACTAATAACGTTTCTTAGGCCCAGGCATGGGTGCGAATTCTCAATCTTTTGCATAAATGGTGACTACATATGAAAATGATATAGGATATCAAAAAAAATAATAAAAGGTAAACAACGGGGTTAGAAATATATATTTACCGTAATATTCATAAAATCAAATCGTGGAGAGAGAAAGATAACGAAAGCTTCACATTTTAACAGCAAACATGTAGTTGTGTTGAGAACAAACTACATTGATGTATATACACACTATCAGAAATTCTCTTTTTCCTATATTTCATGTTTCCGAAGATCGGTCTCCGAAGATAAGGTAGGATGAAGTGCCGTATGAACGACACTCATCTGTCGCCGTGAGCTCTTATCTTTTATCTGGCCAATGCTGTGAATTCTTCTCGCATCTCCAGCCAATACCAGAGCTCTCCTTTGGTGAATCCCACATATGGTGCTTGACTCACGAAACACTGCGCTGACTTGCAAGCAACAAAAGGCGCATGACCCGACTGCATTCTATAGCAACTAGCCACGACCGAATCCTGTGATGGCAAGTACCATAACTATCAAATTAATCATGCTTTTCATTTTCTCTGTCTTTAAATATCTGTTCCAAAACTTTGCAAGTTTCCAACTTACTTAATCTATATTTCTCGAACTCAGCTGGGCTTAAATTGCGCTTCCAGGCTATGTCTGCCAATATATCACCAATCAAAACTATCGGTGCTTGTATTGCTAGTAATAACGTGTCAATTACGTACATACACTAATTGATATAAAAGAAAATATAGACGCTATTGCGCTTTCTACTTCACAAGTTGTTAGCCTGCACACCAGAAACTGCCTACTCATTTTGAACCCGTGCATCCCACATGGTCAATTTAACCAAGAGCCACACTAATCAGGTTCGAGGATTCAGTTTCAAACCATTTCTCTATGAGCTCCTTCTTCTCTGACAGCCCCACACACCCAGCAAATCTTATTTGCGAATTGTGCCGTTTGTTCTACAACAATGGTTGGGTCACTGGTACTGGAGGCGGCATTTCTATTAGAGACGTGGATGGGCCGAACCCTAATATCGTCTACATTGCACCTTCTGGAATCCAAAAGGAACGTCTCCAGCCAAGAGAGATGTTTGTGGCAGAATTGCCCGGCAAGATTCTCAGATCGCCCAATGATGACAGCGATGGCCAGCCTCTTTCTCCTGATCTAGCAAAGTCTTTCCGCTACAAGCCTCTGGCATGTACACCATTGTTTTTGAGTTGCTACAACATGAGAGATGCCGGTGCATGTATCCACACACACAGTCAGAACGCGGTGATGGCCACTTTATTGTTTGAAGATAAGGTTGAGTTCAGCATGAGCCATATTGAGCAGATCAAAGCGTTGCCGCACTTGCAAGTGGACTCTGACACCGGGAAAGTACAGAAAGTGGGGTCCATGCAGTTTTATGATACCATGGTGCTTCCCATCATTGACAATACCCCTCACGAGGAAGACTTGACCGACTCATTGCAAGAGGCCATCAAAAATTATCCTGGGGCCACTGCTGTTTTGGTTCGTCGCCACGGAATTTACGTTTGGGGTGAAACAGTCTGGAAGGCCAAAGTGTACAATGAAGCTATAGACTACTTGCTCGAGTTGGCAATCAAAATGCACCAGGCGGGCATTCCTTTGGTGAAGAAGTAGCCGCAACTAGACTTGAGAATGCATGTGGTTTAATTAACATTGTAGACAATGCTAATGTAATCTCCTGGTATTATTCTTGGCATATTGATATATTTTGATGTTTTTATGGTCTCCTGGGATTAGAGGCATGTCATTAGTGTGATTCGTTTTCGATTAAGTTGCCGTCTTGGACCGTCTTTATGATGTAGTGCTAGAGAGGATTTTTCGTGCTTTTCAACTGGCAACCATGTACTGCCATCCACTCAGTCTCAATTGACGTGTCCACTTCTCCAATGCATACAACATTACCACCACGTAGCAAATAAACACCTAGTGGGATTATCTGGTTTTCTCCGTCTGGGTACACGAGTAATTCTAGCGTATTGGAGATGATGATGTTGGTGGAGTGGTCAAAACTCTCTAAGATCCCTTCAAAGAGTCGGCCGTCGGTCGTAATAACACGCACACGAGCTAGAATAGTTAGTAAAGGAATAGGGAAAGGGCAAATTAATCATCACATACATCCGAGGTACTCTTTTAGTGAAGACATGAGTATCAAGACGCCTTGAGCCAAAGTTGATATTGAGCAGGTGTGTGGTGCACATGACCATGCACGTGATACACATCTGCGTAGAGCTCCATAGCTATACACACTTGACAATTATTGAGAACCGACTGTGACGTATATGCACACCAATTTTATTGTCTGTTCTTTTTTGAAATGCAACGGCATTCTATTAACACAGTAGATGACATCTGCACAGTGTTTTGGCCATCATCGGAGATACTACGGCAAGTGATTTGAAGGCTCTCATTGAAGATGTACAAGTGTCACGAAATCGTCTACGTTTTTAAGAGGCTTATCAGTAAATTAAGATGTCACTCAGTAATTTTTCTTACTTGAGTATTATAAGTTGTATTAAGACCAAGAATTTGGACGTCTGCCATGTACAAAGTTTAAAAGGGCACACGTTCAAATTTTCAATTTGTTACGAGGAGGGGGCGGGCAGAGAATCCTGATTCCAGTCGAGTTTTCATTCACTCAGTCACCGAGGAAGGTGACATAGTCGATGTCCCTTCATCTCTCTTGTGTAGAGAATTGAATTTTGAAATGGCTCACTGCAAAGAGATAATCTGACTCTTCCACCAGTCACAGTATACTCCAGGCACGTAATGAAGCTGATATGAAGAACCTGAAGACAATCCCACATGCTTCAATTGCAATTTTGTTAGGGGATACCACAAAATATTGATATGGCTTTTGAAAAAAGAAAAGAAACACAAACATGTGTTTCACAAGAATAATACTGAGAGCTACACACAGTTGCAGTCCGACTACCTTGCAACCATCCACTATGCATCACCAAATTTACTTCTGATTAGATAGTTTCATATCAATCAGATATGTATATGCATACAATACCCAAGAGTTGGGGGTTTTTAGAACGTTCATGAAAGTTCGTCGAAGAGATACTATGTGTCTGTCTTCTACATCACAATCTGCCTATACTGAATCATAGAGTACCTTGATGACTGCATATTCACTATGTGCCCAGCGACGATTTTACCCAGCCTTTAAACCAGTCGGCTGCCTTAAATCACCCGGCCGACTAATTTTATTTTTCCTATGCTCCATGAATAAGCCGAGATTCCTTACTACAACTGTCATGCACTATTGCACAAAGTGAAAATACAAAATAGGAATGACTGTGGAAGCTGTGGTTGCCATGTACCATGGTCAGTCTGCAGGAGAGCCCATCGCCAAGTGCCGCGAATTGCTCTATTCTAGGCAATAACGTGCGGAAAAAGCCTTCGCAGCGTCATTCTTTCGGCGTGAGTTTCCATAAGAAATTTTGTACTGGCATTATCACCAAATGACTCAACATACATCCCAAATCGCCAATTCTAAGGTGCAAAAAACGCATGTCACACTATGCGATCACGAAATGCGTTCCATCTGCGCATAAAATTTTTTTCTCGTAACTACGCTTTATTCTTTATCACTTTGATAAATATCTAGGTAACTAAAACACATTAGCATACAAAATGTCCGAGGTGACTACAAAGGAATCATCATTGGGAATTAATACTACAGAATCCCCAAATGATTCTACTAACCCCCATTCTACCTGGCAGAATTTTAAGGACACTTTCAAGCCTGCTCAAGTCACTTCCGAACAGGATTTCTCTGACTTGGACACTGTGCAAAGGGCCAACATTAATTCGGCCAATTCGCCGCTTTCTAAGCAATTGAAAAACAGACATTTGCAAATGATCGCCGTTGGAGGCTCCATCGGAACAGGTCTTTTTGTTGGTTCGGGTTCGGCATTGGCCACAGGTGGCCCTGCGGGAATTGTTCTCGCTTGGGTTATTACTGCAACTGCAGTTTACGCCACCATGCAAGGCCTTGGAGAATTGTGTACAGCTTTTCCCATTAGTGGTGGCTTCAATTTGTATGCAACTCGTTTTATCGAGCCTGCCATGGGGTTTGCTATTGGATGGAATTATTTCATGCAATTTTACGTATTGCTTCCTTTGGAGTTGGTGGCCGCATCTATTTCCATCAAATACTGGAACAGCACATTTGAACCCAGACATTTTTGTGGGAATATTCTGGGTCACTGTATTTTTCATCACTATGTTGGGTGTTCGTTGGTATGGTGAAGCCGAGTTTATGTTTTGTTTGATCAAGGTGATCACTGTTGTGGGCTTCATTATTCTCGGCATCGTTTTGATTTGCGGAGGCGGTCCCAACGGCCAGTTCATTGGCGGAAAATACTGGAGGAACCCAGGTCCGTTCGCTAATGGATTCAAAGGTGTGTGTTCTGTCTTTGTCACTGCTACATTCTCCTTTGGTGGCACAGAAATGATTGGTTTGGGTGCAGCTGAGGCTCTCAATCCTGTAAAGGCTGTCCCTAAAGCCATCAAACAAGTCTTCATCCGTATTGCCTTGTTCTATTTCGGTACCATCACCATCGTGGCCACTTTGGTTGCCTACAATGATGATCGTCTTTTAGGTGCTTCTTCTGTGGATGCCACAGCCTCGCCTTTCGTTATTGCCATTGTCAACGGAGGTATCAAGGGCTTGCCAAGTGTGATCAACGCAGTGATTTTGATTGCTGTATTGTCTGTGGGAAATGCCTCCGTCTACGCCTGTTCTCGTTCCCTCAATTCCCTTGCCGAACAAGGCATGGCACCAAAATGGACAGGGTATGTCGATCGTTTGGGACGGCCATTGTTTGCTATTATCTTCACCAACATTTTTGGCCTTTTTGCATTCATTGCCGCATCTGACAAGCAAGTTGAAGCCTTCAACTGGCTTCTTGCGCTCAGTGGTCTTTCTTCCATTTTCACTTGGATGTCTATTAATTTTGCCCACATTAGATTCCGTGCAGCCATGAAGGCGCAAGACCGGTCTTTAGATGAATTGGCATTCAAATCAACCATTGGCATCTGGGGATCGTGGTACGCCATGTTCATTTACTTTTTGGTGTTGATTGCTCAATTTTGGCTTTCCGCTTTTCCCCTTGGAGCAGAGTCAAGCGCATCAGCCTTTTTCCAAGGCTATTTGGGTGTCCCTATTGTGTTGGCCAGCTGGATTGGTTACAAAATTTACACTAAATCGTGGAGAATTATCATTGACGCCAAGGAGATTGATTTGGATACGGGTCGTCTTATCCCAGACATGGATCTCATCAGACAAGAAAGAGAAGAAGAAAAAGCTAGATTGGCTTCTATGCCCTGGTACCGCAGGGTACTTGCCATCTTTTGATGAGAGCACCAGATAGCATTAGCATAAAGATATCATTAGACATAAGCATAAAAATTGTATATTACAGTTACATGTAATGCATAAGAATTCACCTATCTATTGACTAAATTGTCGTAATGGTACCACGCCAATTAGAAAAACTCATAGCAAGTTCTAGCAGTTTATTGAACTGTTATTGATAGGAGACAATCAGAATTTTGATGTTGTGCCAGACGATTGGATACAATCGTTAAGGTAGAATTGTTTAGTTGAGAACTACAGAAGACAATACGCAAAATTAACTTCTAATCACCTGATATTCTTTAGAAGATTCAAGGTGATTGGGATACTTTTCCCTTTATAATTATCATAACACGATACTTAGATGAATGAATGGTTTCGAAGAAGTTGAAATCATGGCCATAATCCAATAATCGACATGACTTTTCATTGTACAATGTTTACAGGTTAAACTACTCCAAGTGATACGTGATTTATATTAATGTACAGAAAGTGTTTGCTAGAATTTGGCTACGCATCTCACACCAGGTGGGGTGACATTAAAGCCAGAAAAGAATTAAAGTTGGCTTAACAGACAACGTGGTAAGCTCTTCTGTAGAATGGCAAACTAGCAAGGTAAGCCTTTTCTTCAGCGATCTCTTGCTTCAAGAGATCCAAGTCCAACTCTCTTCTACCAGTGTCAATATCAACCTCACTAGCAGGGATGTACCATCTCCAGTTCTTCTTCCAGATTTTGTGGCCAATGTAGAAAGCAAGCACAATTGGGAAAGACAAGTAAGCCTTGAAGAAAGCCTCAGCATCAGGCTTAGCACCCATTGGCCAGACGGCAAGCCAGAACTGGGCAATGAGGACCAAAATGACCAAGATGATACCGAAGTAAGAGCCATAGACACCAACCTGAGAGGTGAAAGCAAGCTCATCAGTACCTCTACCTTGTGCCTTAAGAGCCATTCTGAACTTGACGTGGCACAAGCAAATGGAACCCCAAGTGAACAAAGAGGACAAACCAGAAATAGCCAACATCCAGTCGAAAGCCTCACCTTGCTTGTTAGAGGCAGAGATGAAACAAATCAAACCGAAAACCAATTGTGTGATAATACCCCACAATGGTCTTCCTCTCTTGTCAATGTAGTTGAAGAACTTTGGAGCTTGACCAGCTGCAGCCAAAGCAGCCAAGGTTCTGGAAGTACCAAAGACGGAGGAGTTACCAACAGACAAGACGGCAACCATAATAACAACATTCATGACAGAAGGCAAACCACTAATACCAGCGTTCTTGATGGCAATGACGAAAGGAGAGTAACGAGCAGTTCCGTCACCGTTAGCCAAGTCTGGGTTGTCGTAAGGAACCAAGCATCCAACCAAAATCAAAGAGACAACGTAGAACAAGGTGATTCTCCAGAAAACTTGCTTGGTGGCCTTTGGCAAGGACTTTCTTGGGTTAGCAGATTCAGCAGCAGCCAAACCAACCAATTCAGTACCGGCAAAAGCAAAAGCAGCAGTGACAAACACGGAACAAAGACCTTTGAAACCGTTGTTGAAAGCACCAGGGTGGTGCCAGTACTTTCCACCAATGTAACCACCTTTTGGACCACCACCGCAGACCAAAACGATACCTAAGATGATGAAACCAACAACAGCGGTAACCTTGATGGCGGAGAAAACAAACTCAGCCTCACCGTAACCTTTGACACCGAAGAAGTTAATCACCACAATAAAAACGTAGAAAGCCGCACAGTAAGCTGCTGGATTCGTTTTATCATCCCAATATGACACAGCGATTGCAGCAGCAACCAACTCTAACGGGAAAACAACCAACCATTGCAAGGCGTAGTTCCATGCCATGGCGAAACCCCAGGATGGGTCAATAAATCTAGTACTATAAGTGACGAAAGCACCGGAAACAGGGAAAGTAATGGCCAATTCACCCAAAGCGTGAACGGTAGCGAAAATCATACAACCAATCAAAACGTAGGCAATGATGACAGAGGCTGGACCACCGTTGTGCAAAACCTTACCGGAACCAATAAACAAACCAGTACCAATGGCACCACCAATGGCAATCATTTGCAAGTGTCTACCTTTCAACGATCTCGACAAAGGTGAGTTGGCAGTCATGATGGCAGCCTTCTCCACCTCGGACAAGTTTGGGTCAATTCCCAAGTCCGCCTCGTTGACTCTGCGGAAACCATCAACAAAGTGCTCCCATCTTCCCATAGGAGGCTTGGCGTCTTGCGCTTCAAACGCATCGACATAGACCATGCCATTCTTGTCGTTGGAGGACGCTTGGTCCCTAGACGTGATGTAGTTCAACTCTTTCTCAGGCATGTTAGAAAAATGTGTCTAATGGGAAAGAGTAAAAAAATCCTAGGAGGTGTAGGGCGGCCGCCGTGTTTAAATATTCTTGCCCTCGTCTGGCCTAGCAGAGGTATTTTGCACCTGCACCAAGCGGCTGATAAGACTGTCTGGGGCGCGCCGTATCAGTATGGCATTATGGCAAACGAAAAAAAAAGCCTGCACATATTGCCCATGGCAAGGCGTTTTTAAGGTGGGGCCCGCTACTATGATAAGTGAGCCAAGACGAATGATGGCCGCATCGAGTGTTTTAGGAAATTTCGCCCGCAGTATTGCCATTGTTCCGGCGGTGTTGCCTCGGCCTCTCGTCTTTGGCCTTTGTGCGGGGGGTCTACGTCTATAGACCATTGCAACGATGCTAACAGACGGGAAAGCAATATTACTCGGCTCGTAAAAGGTCATGCCACCCATTGTCCAATGACGAATGAAGCGCTCCGAAAAGAAATTCCATCTTTAATTTTCCTTATCTCGCTAGCCTGCGTGGATAAAGCCGCTCCTGCACACAAACACACATCCCAGCACACTTTGATAAGATCGCTCATAGCGAATAGGTTTAGTCTTGCCCATAAGCGTATTCGTCTCTTCTCTGCAGCAAAGGGTCCGTTGAGGTCTTTGGGCCTCGTCTCGTTTGCTCTTGTCGGCTTCACCATTTTCACGTTTCTTGCTCTAGCTTTCGCCCCGCTTTTTGCATATCTTATCTGACGGCCGACATGTTTTCTTGGGGTAGACGTGTTAACGTGATTTGTCATGCAAAACCAGTCCGAACGCCGTTCTTCATCGGTCTATATGCAGAGCAAACCTCTGTCTCTTCACGGCGTTTTGTCTTCTGTGGCCTGTGTGCAATACCGCAAAAGAAAGGTCAACTATCTGAAGCTCCAAATCGGGTACGCTCTGCAGATTGACTAATTGCCTCATCTGCTCGAAATGCCGTTCCCAAGGTCTTATCTAGTCGCTTACGACAACTAATGCCTTGGCGAGATATTCTTGCGCTTCTAGGAATGGCGAAAGTGGTGTTTCACACTGAGGAATTCCGCGAATGGTCATAGAAGCCCGCCAAGTGTTTAAAGTTTATCATGTTATCTCATGATGTTATATTATTATTTTTTTCTTTTGCTCTAATTTGTCCGTTGTATCTTGATAGACGAGAACGGCACCAATCTCATTCAGATGGCCGTAGATCTCATTATCACAGATCTTCAATTACCATTCTCCTGCATCGCTTGATCTCTTTATTCGTACGTTTCAGTCATAATCGTATCTTTTTTAGTTGAGCCTTCTTTACTTGATGCGTCATTTCGTTCTGTTGTAAGGTAAATACGATGCGATATGTTAAACCGTTGTTACAATGATACCTTTAAGGACGAATGGCGAAATGAATCAATAGTTCTGCATTGACGATATATAATGAGCAAACGCAGAATCAAGCAAACAAACTCGAATATTGGAAGGAATTAGAATCTTGTGAATATTTGACGTTCTTGGTCCGCATCCAGTATCGGTGAGAAGGAAAAGTTCAACAATGTTTAGTTCCAGGGTATTTGCTTGCTTTGAAAATTGAAAACAATATGTATTCTTCTGTCTATGATATTCTACAGTACAGACTTTTGCTGTCCTTCTTTCTTCAGACTGTGAGTATTGTTCACATATTCAGAAATAATACAAAGATGTCGGTTTCTCCTACATTACCTGGCATTCAGAGACTGACTTGAGCTATGCCCTGAAAAGTATGATTTCGGTAGGTTCACTAGCCAAGATTTGATAAATTCTGTGACCAACAACATCGATAGTTTCTAAACATCCTAAAAACAGACAAAGCAAAAAACCCAAGCTTAAGATTTTTGATGCAAGATATTTAACAAGACGAACACAAGTGGGATTGTCTATTGCCAAAAGGAATGTTCAAGCATCGCATAGATGCGCTTGAACCAAAAGTAATTTGACTTCCGTTCTATACTAGTTTGTACACGTAGTTTGGTCCGAAGAGCAAACGTTATGAAATTACTCTTCCTATTTTATAATGTGAAATTATCCGGCTCAAGGGATTAGTAGGATATCCGGGAGTACCGCCCATACAAGTACATCGGATCAAGTTGACACATGTGATTAGATACTACTTTCCTCATGCAAAGATAGATTATATTATTATTTTGCTCTATTTTATTCAAGGGGAGAATGAAAAGAACAGAAGACATATAAACCACCAGCTTTGGCTGCGTATAAGATAAGTAAAGTCAAGATTCGCAAATACTTGAATCAAGATTTCAAAATACCACGTTGTCTTGAGATGCATCAATATACGACTCCACAAGGCCATCTAACGAGTTCCTTCTACAAGTATTCAAACGACTTTAACATTTACAGAAATTATATGATGCAATAGAAAAAAGGGCCCGTGCCTACTTCTTTTCCTTCTTTTCCTTCTTGTCTTTCTTCTCCTTCTTCTCCTTCTTCTTCTCCTTCTTCTCCTTCTTCTCCTTCTTTTCTTTCTTCTCCTTCTTTTCCTTCTTCTCCTTCTTCTCCTTCTTGTCTTTCTTGTCCTTCTTCAGTTTTTTGGAAGATTCCTCTTCGTCATCATCTCTCTTTCTCTTCTTCGTAACTTCTTCATCATCAGATTCATCATCAGAATCTTCAACTGGAGCCTCAGGAAGAGGAGCAGTGGCATCGGCATCTGCATTGTATGCTCTAGCCTCGGTGATATCAATCTTCTTAGCGTCTCTAATGACCTTTGAAGTAGTTCTCAAGTCTCTACCTTCCAATGCGCTCAATCTAGACTCAACCTTGGCTCTGACCTCCATACCAAAGTCACCAGAGTCATCTCTGTCCTCGGACAAAGAGTCGTATCTCAAGGCAACAGCAGCCTTGGCAGCCAAAACTCTAGCGATCTTACCCTTGTTCTTACCAGAGGCTTGACCGACCAAAGAAGCATGGTACAACAAACCGTATTTTGGTGTGTCGTGCTTGGTCTTCAAAGCTCTAAACAAGGCTTTTTCAGCACCCAAAATCTGGATAGTCGAAGCAGGAGCCTTAGCCAAAGAGGTCAAGGAACCAGCGTGGGCAATCAATCTAGCACCAACCAACTCACCAACGAGAGAGGTCAAGTTAGGAGCGATAGCCTTCATACGCGACGACAAGTAGTTGGACAATTGTTCTCTGTAAGCAGCAAAGTCGACAATTTGTTCGGCAAGAGCCTTGATGTTGGCCAAATCGACGTCGGTGATTTCAGTACCCATGGAAACTTCAGCGGCACTCTTGACTTGCTCTTCCATTTCTTCAGGCAAGATCTCGGCCAAGTCAGTCTCAGAAGCGTTGGATCTGACACCCATAGTCAAAATGATTCTAGCGTAAGCAACAGAGTCGGTTATAAGCTTGGCCAACTCTGGGAAGTGCCAACCGTACCATTCTTTACATCTCATGGCGTATGTGTTCAATTCCTTGTCCAAGTCGTCCAAAAGAGCAATGGCTTGCACGATCATGGTGTCAACCTTGTCTGCGCTGAACTTCAACTTGTGTCTGCCGATGGAGTGGGCCAAACCAAGAGACATTTGCTTCAAGGTGGAGTCATCCAAACCAGGCAAGAGCTCAGGCAAAAACTCACGGATAGATCTGTGCAAATCCAACGAGGCAGCGTCGGAAACAACAGAGTAGTTCAAGCCCAACTTGTTGATGGCATTTCCCAATTTGGCCTCACTGACAATCAAAGTGGCCTTCTTCTCGAGCTTGACGTCTTCCAACAACTTCTTCAAGTTGTCAGAAACTCTGCCTTCGATAACGGCGTTGGCTTCTTCCAAGGCATTGGCGGCAGACTGGAATTTTTCAAAACGGTGGATTTTGAATTGTTCAGCAACTTTTTCCGCCGAGTTCAAGTCTTCGAGCAAGCTGGATGACTTGTGGATTTTCTTGTCAGCTGCTTTTAAAAGAGCGTAACCCGCAGCAGTTTCGGTCAACACGTAAGCCATTTTGATATTTGCGTGCTGCGTGACTTGTAGTGGAACAGGTTATAGGATGGAAAAAATACTTGACCGATGAGGTTGAGAAAAAACTTCCCCGACTGCACACAATTTGATGCTATACCTGAGGTACGGGTGTACTTACCACCAAACTACAAACCATTTTGGCAAAGACCATTTCTGCTAAATGAAAGAAACTGATTTTGTATGGGTGTAACGCCTTCATTTTGCTTTGGAAAAACTTTCTTCTGTAGGGGAGTAGTCAATTAGACCCAGATGTTTGGCACCTATTATGCAGTCCACCCAAACATTGTATAGCGCAGACTAACACAGAGAGCTATCAGGATAAGAGTGAGCTATGGAGCTTTTCTTCGATTTTAGTGCTCCGGCGATCTCTTCTACAAAATTTTATGTGATGGTGGAGCGCGTTAGATTCACGTATTCTTATTACGTCATTCTCACGTCAGTATCAACCGCTTGTCACTAAACCTCGAGCAGATTTTCCATTGCGTTTGTTTCCTTGAAGGTATATCAACTTTAGTTTGATATACCTTCAATGTCTTCCTCTTTTTTGAATGTTGTTTTCAGTGAATTGTAGGTTCTACACCAGGAGAAATCAGAGTGCATGCAGGAGCACACGTATAGATGCAAAAGCATTTAGATATTTGTACTTTCATGGTTGGCGATAATGGAGAAACGTGAGAGGAACTCTGGAAAGTCCCCTGTTTCGGCTAGCAAAAGGCCGAAGCTGTCGCTCAAGCACAAAAAAACATCATACTTTCTTCCACAAAATACATTAGCATACAATCCGCAGAGCTCCATACTGGACAAGAATAACAAAATACATGCCCCAAAGGATAGGCTCCTTGAAGAACTGCGCAAAAAAGGACCAGAATCCACGAACCCTAGCATCAAGGACTCTAGTACTGAAAACGTGCTGGAGTCTTTCACTCCTGAACCAACAGAAACGGGCCAGATATCGAAAACCCACGTCCAATCTACAAAATTGTATGACAGATCTTTAGAACAGCACAGCTCAGACGACAGCTTTGAAGGCGTCAGGTGGCAACCAACAACCAGTCCAAATAAATATGCCCGTCCGATTCTTTCTTCGCCATTGAAAAACGCAGATCTCGGAGACAGATCACTTAGAAACGTGTTGACAGCAGAAACCGTGGTGAATGAACTAACAGACTCCGTACTTTGTAAGTACGGCTTGGGAATGCAGAACACCTTATCTCAAACTCCGAAAAATCACCGAACAAGCCTGGATGTAGCTAAATCGACTCTAGATATGTCGCCTACACTTACACGATCCAAATCGTTTGATCCGCGCAGTTTACAAACTACCTCCACATCCTTAAGTTCTGAACTGGCCAAAGTCTCCAATCTAAATATTTGGTTGGATAAATTTCAGGGCCCTGGCCACGTTACAAAAGCACCTCTGGAGCCTCCAATGAAAGCTATCCAAAATCTGCACGTACCATCCACTAATTCTAATGACGACGCGTCTCTGGAAGAAGACCCTTTCTTAGACGATGACACATTTCTTGCAGACTTGAAAATTGAACTGTTCACAACTCAAGGAATACCTTTTCAGCAAGCCCCCGCCAGCAAATTGGATACTCCAACAGAGTTGGCTCATGATGCAGAAAGCGCATCAATTTTGCATCGGGATAGTCCCAAATCATTATCACAAAGACAATCAGCTCTAAAAGCTTCAACACTGTCAGCATCATCGCCAACAGTCTCGACAACGGCATCGCCAAATGCATCACCAAATACATCCTTAAATGCATCACCAAAGAATAGCTCTCCTCAAATCATTCCAGAAGAGTCAGATCCTTTTTCAGATGATCTCGATGTTGTTGCCATCGAAAAAAGTGCTGTGGCAACACAAGCGACCTCGGAACCTACTTTGCCAACTAAAAATGGAAAAAGAAACACCGGCAGATTGTCCCCTTCGCCTGATTCTTTCGAGGAAGAAAATGTCGGTGCTAAGTTATCATATACCCGTGCTGATTTTGTTCGATACCAAATCATGTCGATCATGCAAACCACATATCCACATCAAAACTTCAAAAGGAAACAGCTCATATTAACTGTGGCTGATGCGGATGAGCAGACGACGAAAATTGTAATTCGTGGGGACTCGGCAGAACTCAATTTTCAAGAGGGTGATATCATCAATATTATCATCACCAGCCCCGAGTCTCCTAAGCTAGTTGATAATAATAACAATCTCATAATCTGGAATCCTGATACTTTAATATCATCTACTGTCGTTGCAGACCAATTATTTTGTCCCAGAAAGACAGTTATGAACAAACGATATGTGTTTCCTGGCGAAGCAACTATTCCGTTGATTGTGGGAACAACAGTACATGAGATATTTCAGGCATGTTTTATTACAGAACAATCCTCCCCAGAGTACATGGAACAGCTTTTGGAAGTGGAAACTAAACGACGTCTCTTGGAAATCTATTCCATGGGAGATGTGCTTGAGGAGACTAAGGATCGGATCCGGAAACATTTCTCCTTTATTGAAAAATGGTTCAACACGTTTTTCAAGAAACCACCTTCCATTATTCCAACTAATAAGCACCAGCAAAATATCAAGTTTTCGGTCGCTGATGTACTTGATGTGGAGGAAAGTATATGGTCGCCGATGTTTGGAATAAAAGGTATGGCTGACGTTACTTTGAAAGCAAATCTAGAAGGTGAATCAGCAACAGGTCAGTTTTTACTTCCCATGGAAATCAAAACAAGTAAAGAGTATTTGAGCCATCATGCTCAAGCGGCACTTTATTCTCTATTATTTAAGGACAGGTACAACGCTAATATTTCATCCTTTCTTATGGTTTACACTTCTGAGGAAGGCTCAACCAAAAAACATGATATATCTATTCCTGACCTCAGATCGTTGGTAAACTTGAGAAATCGAATTTCACCTTACATAAAAAGTGGTACTCGTGAGTTGCCTGATATTATGAGGCAGCAAAAGTGTGATAACTGTGTGATTCAAAGCAGCTGTATGACTGTCAACTATCTACTTGAACATGGAACACCTGAGAATAGTGGTTTGAATGATGGCGTTTACGAAGACTTAACAGAACACTTAGTTCAAAGGCAGGAGTATTCGGATTATCTCAATTACTGGGATGACCTTTTGACGAGCGAAGAAGAATTTGTTTCCCGATTCAATAAAGATTTATGGATTTTAACATCTAAGGAAAGAGAGGAGGAACAAGGAAAGGCTCTTTCCGGAATGATAATTACAGAAAAGTCTGAATTTGTTGATAACACATCTGAATTCATTTACAAGTTTCAAAGGCGCGATTTCAAAAATATTCGACCTATTGATGCCACCATCATATCGAAATATGATAGAGTGATCATCAGCGATGAATCAGGACATTTTGCATTAGCCCAGGGTTTTGTGAAGCATATCGATTGTGGTTGTATCATCATCCTGACAAGGAGAAAACTAGTTCTGACTGAAGTGAAGAACGATCGTTTTCATAGGGCAGCAGTTTTAAGACCCACTCAATCCCAATCTCCACAAGGGACGCAAACCGAGACGGTCATTTTCAGAATTGATAAGGATGAAATGTTTTACGGTATGGGAGTCGCCAGATTTAATATTTTGAACCTTTTTCTTAGAGATGGTGATACTAAAAGAAGGAAGTTGATTGTTGATCTTGATACTCCACGCTTTTCCCCCGTACCGGTGGCGAATGTTAAGAAGGATCATTTTAACAGCGACCAAATTAGAGCATTTAACAAGGTGTTCCAAACTAAAGATTATTGTTTGATTTTAGGTATGCCTGGAACAGGTAAGACAACTGTTATTGCACATCTTATTCGCATGCTTGTGGAGGAAAAAAAGTCGGTACTTTTGTCCTCATACACAAACTCTGCGGTAGATAACATTTTACTCAAGGTTAAAGAATTTGGAATCGATTTCATTCGGATAGGTAATACATCCAGGGTTCACCCAGATATTCGTCCTTATATTCCTGGATCAGACGAAAAATGTGTCGAAAACTACGAAGATTTTATACGCATTTACCAAAAACCGCTTGTTGTGGCAGCAACTTGCTTAAGTATGAGAGATTTGGCCTTCAATGTTAGGGAGAGATTTGATTACTGCATTGTTGATGAAGCATCTCAAGTTTCTATGCCATTGAGTTTGGGTCCTTTATCAAGGTGCGATAAATTTGTTTTGGTAGGAGACCATTATCAACTTCCCCCTTTAGTTGTCCATCCAAATGTTAACGTTAAGAAGGGTCTTTCGCGGTCGTTGTTTCAAATATTAGCGGATGAGCATCCTCAAAGCATAGTGGAATTGTCATTTCAGTACCGTATGTGCAAAGAAATAATGCTCATTTCGAATGCCTTGGTGTACAATAATAGATTGCAATGTGGATCTGAGACTGTTGCAAAACAGTCTCTCACAATCCCAAATCCAGAAGCCCTTGCCGCATATATTGATCCAAGAAGCCCTTTGCTGCATAGATGGCTCTCTGATGTGTTCAAGCCAGAGAACAAGGTTTTGTTTCTAAACCATGATAATATGAACGCATATGAGCGTAAAGTTGGAGAAAACGTTTCTAACTTAGTTGAGGTTGAATTGATTAGGCAAATTGTCGAGTCGTTGTGTCTTTGTGGAGTTGATGAATCTAAAATTGGTGTAATGACGCTTTACAGGTCCCAATTAAAACTCCTTGTACAATGCTTTAAACACAGACCACGTCTTGAGATATTGACAGCTGATCGATTTCAAGGTCGAGATAAGGAATGCATCATCATCTCATTTGTGAGATCTAATAAGGAAAAGAGAGTCGGTGATCTACTCAAGGACTGGAGAAGGGTGAATGTAGCGGTGACAAGAGCCCGTTCTAAATTAATTACGGTAGCATCAAAGTCTACCCTTTCGCATGCGGACTCCATCAAGGACTTTGTGTACTTAGCGGAGCAGAAAAATTGGATCTACAATTTACCATCTTCAGCATATCATGTCTATCAATTACCGAAACCCAAGGACAACTTCGCATCGCAAGAGATTAAAAAACAACCTATAAAATTTGGAGAAAAGATTATAAGCAAACACCCAGTGGTGAAAGATATTTTATCGGATATGAATGCCATTAATTAATTTATTCATTATGCACAGTGTATATACATTATAGCCACGTAGTGGACTAAATAGCAAAAAAGAAAACTTGGAAATTACCTCCTGGAGCCGGATTAACATTCGCTTGGGCATTGTCATCTGCATTGTCTCTATTATGGGCGCCTCTCACAACGCCAGCCTGCCTTCTGAAATTTCGGAGAAACATGAAAATGAAAATGAATGCCGTGAACATGAGGACCATGTAATCGAAGATCTCGTACTCTTCCACATCATCAAACCGTCCACCTTCATGATGTGCCTGAGCTTTTTCTAGAGCTCTGTCATTATCTTCTCCAGTGGTCTGTGACTTGCCAAGGCTTTTAAAAGTACTGAACCACCCAGAGGAAGAATCTTCGTAATCGTCCCTCTTGTCACGGCTCAACAAGAGTTTCAACCGGAGTCGCAAAAGCGCTATGCCAATGGGGTAAGTGTTGCCCTTTGCATCGTCGGCCTTTGATACTCTGTATTCCTGCGAGTACTTAACACTAAGGTCATAATAGCGTTTTGCCATGAAAAAATCCACCGTGTTATTAGCGGATCCAAGCCCATACTCGTACATGTAACCCAATTTATAGCATCCATGAGGCGAGGCGGCCAGAGCAGCCTTACTATAGTAGGCAAAGGCTTTGCTGTAGTCTGTGCTTACATTCGCATCAGGAATACCTTTGGAGTAGATATCACCTAGCAAAATGGTTGCGTCGATATCTTCTTGAGCAGATGCTAGCTCCAAGTAGCGCAATGCATCACGTACGCGGATAGGATCAAATACTTTCCTTTTCCATGAAAACAATGGTTCCATCTGGTGTAGCAAATACGACGCAGACACTTGTGCGTTACTCAATCCTTGCTCTGCCGCTATCGCATATCCCAATAAAGCATTTTTATAGTCGCCATACGTGAGGGCCTCAAAAGCATAATTCAAGTGAGGCAAAAGTGTATCCTCAGACAGTTCGACAAACATTTTGTAGTAGGATACTAGATCGGTACACGTAAACTGTTCGCCGACAGAATCGGCAAAACCAGACTCCACTGCGTCGGCAAAATAAAACATGGAAGCGTAATGGCCCGCCATTGCCGCACTCAGTAACAAACTGTACGTTTTACTCGTGTATGTAGGGGTGAATGGATCGTCACGCACCCCGTTGAGGTAGTTGGAATAAATGAAAGCAGCATGAGCACTTCCATTATTGATGGATTGAAGCAATGCCTCCTGACACCCCAAGCTCAATTTTCCCGTGTACACGGGATCATACATTCGAAGATACGCCATATCCAAAGCGTCCTTGTCGTTGGCATAAATGGCGGCAGCTGCAGTTAGCCATGTGTAAGCACGAGTAAGGTTGCGTTCGGTGCCGTGACCTTTGACATACATGTGGCCCACAAGGTTCATGCAGCGGCTATACACGTAGCGATCAACATTTGACACTGCCCAATCTTCTTTGCCTGCAACGTTCTTCTTCCCTAAATATGCACACTTGAGAGCGCTGGCAAAGGCGTTGGGCCAGCGTTTCGGTAAAAAGTAACTGCCGTGGTAATCCTGGAGAGCTTCAAAATAGTACTCAGCCATTTCAGAGTCATGGCTGTCAATATCATTGTCACGCAACGAGTCTCTTGTTTTCAAGAAGCGGTCAACTTTGGTGTATACAGAGGAAGGCGACTCGCTAACTTTTGGTCCAAAAATTCCGCCATTGAAATCAGGGATCCGGATATTATGGGAGAGCTTCTCCAACGACAGGTCTAATCCTTGGCGGTGCGCTTCTTTCATGGCAATACGAGCGGCACGAGAATAATAGAATTGGGCCAAAGCACAGTTTTCAGGCCGACCCACGCCTTGGAAGTTCTGGTATGCCAAAACAAGCAACGCATTCAAGTCATCGTTGGCTGCGGCAAACTCATAGTACACGTTTGCCTTAGTCTTGTCCATCTCCATCTCACCAAACAATCCAGTGGAGTACATGAATCCAAGCATGAAATACGCGTGTCCATGTGGTGAGTCAGCCACAGCCAGCTCATAGTAGCTGCGGGCTCGAAGATAATCGACGGGGACCGCGTGTTCGCCAAAGGCGTAGATGTCACCTAATGCCACCTTGGCCTCAACCGAACCAGCTTGCGCCGCCTCTTCCAATAGGGCAATGCGCTCCTCTGTGGTTGGATGCAAATTTAGCGGAAAAAGCGGAGCCTCAGTATACTGATGTAGTTCGGTATCGTACTGTGGAACGGAAATGCCATCGTCTATGTTTTTGAAGGTGTATCTCGGGGACATTCCATAATACCGGGATGGAGCATTTTTTGCAAGCGCCTGTGCACGTTCGTACGCTGATTCACCAGACACAGCGCCTGCACTGGCCAAGTATAGCACTGCCAAGAGCAAACGTAGTGCAAACATGTTTCAAAGTATTTTTCAGTCAAGGTGTACTTTATGTGGAGTTGGCGTCAGATCAGCTTGCATGCGCAAAGTGTGCAGGTCGCACATTGTATGTTGGTTTATATCACAGAAATTGCAGTTGACAGTAGCTGCAACGTCAGCTGAATTTGCTCACGGGGTCTACCTTACCTAGATAATCGAGGAATATGGCTAAAATTTCCTTCTGTTGGCCAGCTTCTCGTCCAATGAAAGCCTTGGCAAATGTGGGTCTGTCACGTGACGCTCTCACCCGAGTCGGAGATGTTAGCTAACCACGAAGGACAGATAATAACAGAAGGGAAGAGGATGATGCTGAGAGAAACAATGTGAAGAGATCTTCTACTGAATAGCTTTCACGCTCGAACTGAAGTTCCGCGTCCAAGTGCCACTCTGATGTAGCAGATCTTATGAGTATAGGGCCAGCAGGATCGTCTGCAGTACGATACCCCTCGCTACTTGCGGCTTAGCTGGAATTTCCACTCACACAACCCCATACAAAACGCAACGTTTGGCATACCTGTTTGGGCCGAGCATTTCCCTGTTTATCTCGCCAGTCCATCCCTTGCACGCAATTCCTGTGGAGATAGTCAGACGCCTTTATTATAGTGAGCCAAGAGATGCAGCTCTGGACTGAAAATAGCCCCGCCCAGATCTCAGATGAAGCGGTTTTCCGCTCGTCGCCCATGATCTTGGTGCAATTCTATGCGACCCTCGAGTTGGCCCGGGACCTAGTTTTTGTCTTGGGAAACTTGGGCCATGTTCATTTCCGAGATTTGAACTCTAGACTCACGCCATTCCAGCGCACGTTTGTCAATGAGTTGCGTAACATTGACACAATTGATCTCAATCTTACTTTCCTCCATAGCATGATGGTGAAATACGAAACATTGAAAGGTGATCCTTTTGCGAACCTTTCGTCTGAAGAAAGTGGATTGCCTTCTAGCTCTGAAATGGACGATATTAAGCACCAGGTAGAGGAAATCCATGACAGAATCCGCAATCTCGATGATTCATTTATTTCCTTGGAGCTCAAAAAAATGAAATATGTGGAAAACCGTCATGTCATTAGCTGTGTCAACGATTTCCACAAATCTACTTTGACAGATCGTAATGACGACCATGACGACTTTCGTCGTTTTGAGATTTCTGATGATGAAGAAGCGTTACTAAGAGACGACTCCCAACGACCAAGCTTTGGTATTGATGAAGTAGCTGTCACACTCAATGACTACTCTATGTTCAATTCTCTTTCCGGTACCATAGCTCGAGATAAGATTCCGATTTTGCGTAAGGTGTTGTGGAGAACTTTGCGGGGTAACTTATATTTCAACGAAATCCCCATTTCAGAAATGTTGCCTGCTTCTACAGATCGCAAGTCCGAGCTCATAGCAAAAAGCGTGTTTATCATCTATATCCATGGCGAGTATTTAAAGACTCGCGTACGCAAAATTGTCCAATCTTTAGATGGAACAATCTATGACAATGTCAATGGAAGCGCTAGTGCAAGGCTAGAGACTTTAGATGACCTCAATTTAAAAATAGAGGACCTCTCTAGTGTGGTGGAATCAACAAAAAGCCATATCATAACTGAACTTCTTTTTGCTCAGGAAAAGTTTTTTGACTGGTATCTCATTGTAAAGCGGGAACGGTGCATCTATGAGGTTTTGAATAAGTTTGATGAAGACAGCACTCGAAAGTTTCTTGTTGGAGAGGGTTGGATACCAAAATCGGAGCTTGAGAACACTCGGCAGGCTATAAAGTTATTGGTTCGATCGAAAGTTAGCCAACCCCATACCTCTACAGATTCTAATTTCATCAACTTGTCCACTGACACTTTGTCGACACCAGTGAATGGTGCCTCTAGTCCGGGCACAACAGAAAATACCTTATTCGCTGTTGGAGATGAATACGATGCTTCTCATGACCAAGGTAGTGACGAAGAAGAAAATTATGACTTTGTTGCCGTTGTAAATGAATTATCTACAAACAGGACGCCTCCCACGTACCATAAGACTAACAAATTTACTTCTGGATTTCAAGCAATCGTGGATACTTATGGTATTGCCACTTATCAAGAGGTGAATCCGGGACTTGCGACCATTATTACATTTCCTTTTATGTTTGCTATCATGTTTGGAGATTTGGGTCATGGATTCATTGTCTTCTTAGTTGCGTTGTACTTTATCAAAAACGAACGATTTTACAACGCACAAAGAAACAAAGATGAGATTTTGGAGATGGCTTTCAATGGTCGCTATATTGTATTGCTCATGGGAATATTCTCCATGTATACGGGATTGATGTACAATGATATTTTCTCCAAGTCGATGACATTGTTTAAATCAGGATGGAAATGGGAATACCCCGAAGGTTATGATTTCGGGAAAGACGGTGCTATCAGCTTGACGGCAACAAAAATCAAGGGCAAAACGTATCCATTCGGACTTGATTGGGTATGGCATGGTGCTGAAAACGGGTTGCTTTTCACCAATTCTTACAAAATGAAAATGTCCATTTTGATGGGCTATGTACACATGAACTACTCCTTGATGTTTAGTTTGGTGAACTTTCGTTTCTTTAAATCGCGGGTCGATATTATCGGTAATTTTATTCCCGGTTTCTTGTTCATGCAATGTATTTTCGGTTACCTTGCTTTAACAATCATCTACAAATGGTGCGTGGACTGGCTCGGGACGCAACGTCAGCCTCCTGGTTTACTTAATATGTTGATCAATATGTTTTTGGCTCCGGGAAGTATCGAGGATCCGTTGTACACTGGCCAAAAATTTGTTCAGGTGGCATTGGTGGTGGTGGCATTGATGTGTGTGCCTTGGCTTTTGTTGTACAAACCCATGGTCTTGAGAAGAGAAAACAATCGTGCTCGTGAAATGGGATATAGAGACATTAACTCCCATCTTGACCACGTTTTGCAGTTGCACGAGGAAGAAGAGGCTTTAGAACAGGTGGGTAATGGACACTTGACTAGAGATGACGATGATAATTTGGCAGATTTGGGTCTGGAAGACGAAGTTGATCAGTTGAGTGAGCATTTCACATTTCCAAATGATATTGAGCCTATGCATCACAATTCTGGGGGGCATGGTGAAGAAGAGTTTAATTTGATGGACGTGGTTATTCATCAAGTGATCCACACAATTGAATTTTGCCTTAACTGTGTTTCGCATACTGCGTCCTATTTGCGTTTATGGGCCTTGTCTTTGGCACATGCACAATTATCGAGTGTTTTGTGGACCATGACAATCCTGAATGCATTTGGCGTAACAGGAACGACTGGAATTATCATGACTGTATGCTTATTTGCGATGTGGTTCACCTTAACTGTTTGTATTTTGGTGATGATGGAGGGAACCTCCGCAATGTTGCATTCTTTGCGGTTGCATTGGGTTGAAGCAATGTCCAAATTCTTCGAGGGTGAAGGCTACCCATACGAGCCATTTACATTTGATGCATGTGTGATATAGTTAGAAGATGAAACATGTGTTTGCATGTGTCCATCAAAAGTTCTTTTTTTCAGTTTTAATTACTATCATTTCCACACACAAGTATTCAGCTCTACCTGTATGCTTTCAATTTTACAGACTAATAGTAGTGCACCAGTAAAGAAGGTTTTACGTACCAATAATGTATATATAAAATAAATAGCAAAAAGTCTAAAATAAACCACCAGTGAAATAGATTTTCTTCGTAACACACGCTCTATAAGCCCAAAATATCAGAACAACACGACGTAGCTTGTTCATGCCATGGTCAATCAATGATCACATAAAATAGCACCCGTAGAAATGACAAGGTCTGTAAGATCCGTCCGAAGTGTATGCGATAAGAATCGTTCCTTCGTTTCGTCATTTAACCATACTCTCATCAATTTGATCAAAGAGTCTAAGACACGAGAGGAGGGTGCATCCACATCAGATACATCGTCCTGCTCGTCACGATTTCCTTTAGGTTTGACAGCACCGCACGCAAGTTTCAACAAACAAGTGAACGAAAGCAAAGACAAAGGAATGTCAGAGTCTTGAAGGCTTAAAAAGCGCAATAAAGCAAGCGCATTGTTTCTCTCTTCCTTTTGCGCATAATAAAAAAATAACGACGTCACCAACGCAATGAACTTTTCCTCGTTGATCAAGTTAGCGGAATATATTAATGATTTTTGGTTGTTGTTGATGACGGTAAAGTCTTCGAGTGGAGAGGTGGTCGACGTAGAAGTGTCAATCGTGTCTTCAGTAGATTCATCATCACTGATTTTTTCATCGTCCGTCAATTCAGGACCATCAAAGAAAGTTTTTGCATTCCTTAAGCCATTAAGAACCTTCGATTTCATGTGCACTAGCAACTCCGGGGTTGCTTCGGGATTTACTATGCATTTGAACAAAGAAAAAGTGTTCGATCAACTGACTTGAAACGTTCTCATTCTTCAAAAACTCATCAACCTTTTTAATGTCCTTTTCAAGATCAGTCATGCATTTATCCCTCTTTTCCGATTCAGCAGTGAAGTATTCCAAATAAGACAAGTTCAACTCATAAGTAATCTCAAGAACTCTCCATTGGAATATAATTGCAAAAAGATCACCCTTGTTTTTTAGAAGAACGTCCACGTAGTTATTTGCATTGTCTCCGTTGACAATGTTCTTGTTGACAGGAGACCTAGTTGCCAAGTTGACAAGGCGAGTTATCAAGGTATCAGAATCGAACAAAGACAAACCATCAACTGTTTTGATAAATTTACTGAGGTTTTTCAAACTCTCACTGTCGCCCGAATATTCGAGATTCATCAACAAAGATGCCTTCCATTTCACATTACCCTTGATAGCTTTTGATAAGACAGGATACTTTTTGATCATCATGACACCTAAAAGCACTTGCAAAAAGCAATTCTCATACAGCGACTCGCACGATGAAAGACTTGCATAGTCTCTCATCACCTCATAATATGAAAATTTGCTTTGACCCAATAGACGGGCGATAGCACAGTCTTTGCTATCAGATCCTGTTAAAGGAGCCTGAAGCCCAAGAGAAGCAAGTACCCATGAGGTCCATACATTACCCCTCACCTGTTTTTTGCCATCATTCTTGCCGAACATACGACTTAAAGGCTTTGCCATCATTAAAACGCCGGACATGACAACCGCAGCTCTAACAACAGGCAATACTTGCAACGTCACCGCCGAAGGATGAGAAAGAGCACTTGGGAAAAATGGAACTGCAGCCATGCCTTTAAAGTTTTCTCCAGAGATAAAAGAGCCACATAAAGCAGTGGCCATGCCTCCTCCCAACATCAAACTTGAGTCCATGTTCAAGCCACTGCTGCGGGAAGAAGATACTTGCATGGGGCTTTGTTGAAGACCGTAGTCCATAAATCCCATTGGCTCGAAATTCTGATCTGGAGCAGTAAAACCATAAGACACATTATTCTCTTCGGGAGCAGCAGAGGCTATTGGAGGCTCACGCGCAAGAGGCTGCAGAGGAGCATTATTCCCAGCATCACGGACTAGATTCTGCAATTGTGCAATCTGTTTACTCATGAGGCTGTTCTTGTGCTCCAAATGTTTGATATACTCTGTAGCCTTGGTCAAGACAGAAGCTTTATTCAATTTGGACGCAGGGGACAAACCTTCCAAGTCTGTAACCAGGACGTTGGTTTTCCCTGTCACGATGCGCAAGGTTGGTACTGCGTCACGGAGCTCCATGATTTTGGAGTTGATATTTGTTCTGTACTTTTTCTCAATCATATTGTGGGATACTTTTGTCTTCTTGGCTGGCTTGTTGACTTTATCTCTGGGAGAGACTTTCAGCCTGGGAGAGACCAAGTCTGTGTGATCAGAAGCCGAATCAGAACTATACGTCTTCATATTGGTGGAAAACATTGCTGGGGAAAATGGCAGAGGAGGCTCCTTTTTAACATGAGCTTCCGGCAGCGTATGAGGAGAAGTGATGCTTGTGTTGGGAGTGCCGTTCGAAGAGGTAGCAAAATGGGAGCCGGCCAGGTCCGAGCCCGAAGCCAGACTGAAAGACAGCATGCGAACGCCACCATCGTTCAAGCCAACGCTCGAAGGCATAAAGTTCGCTTGCAGCTGGTCTGCATAATCTGGGCCTGTGAAAGAAGAGCCGGAGTTGAACAACCCCGACAGGACAGAGTCCAAGTCGGAAACAAACATCAGGTCAGGAATTTCCAACGGCTGAGTTGAGTCAAACTCCCATTTCTTGTCAAAAGACGGGACAGTATTCTGGAGCATCAGCAAAAAGTTGTTTGCATCTTCAAAGTCCAACATTTCGTCGGTGTATTGGAAAGTAGGCGACATGACTGGAAAGCCGAGGTTGCGCCTAACTAGTAAGTGCTAAAAGAACAGAGAAGCCGAAAAGCTTGGTCTGCTGGAATAAAGTAACCGGATGGGGAATCTTGAGATCTCAACGAGATATCAAGATAGAATTAAAAGCACACAAAGGGATCTAAAACACCTTCTTGTCGGGACAAAATAATGAGTACTAATTACCAAGGGAAGCAAAAGCACGATGACATTTGCACTCTGTTTTGTATATAATTCGCTCTAGGGAAAGTGGTCTGATTTCGCAGGTCATGTATGTGTATGGCACGTGACACACTGCGCGCGTCTGAGACATTGGCACTAGTGCAGGAAATGACTATCTTTTTTTTTCCTTAAATGCACTACTGCGTGCTCCCCAATCTTATGTACACCAATATGACGTGCCGCTTATATCCTTTTAGGTGCGCGGACCCTTCTACTTCGGGAAATGATCGCTTGTCGGTCCACTTCAAATACCGTTCCGTTGACCCATGTGTACTTTTTTCATTCCTTTTTCCTCCCCAGATTAAGGTACATGCGTGGTTTTCTGACGGAGTATTCTGGCCAGGTCATTCCAGCCACCTCGTGCCATTTTTGGGTCGCATTTGCCTCTTTTCTTTTTCCCTTTTTTTAGTTGATTTTATTTTTTTTTGTTCTTTGACTTTGCCATGCGCCCGTTTACAGTTCCGACAGAAAATACATGCATGTTCTTGTGGCTGGAGCTATTGTTCTCTTACACCAAGGTAGGCTGTGATTTGGAACGCTAGGGTTTTCGTTTTGATGTTTTGGTTTTGTAGAGTATTTTTGTATTCTGGTCTCGGAGAATTCATTGACCGTTGGTACCCCTTTTCCGCTAAGGGAATATCCGGGGATATTCCGGGGTGTTGCGCACATTCCACACACTTAGGTTATGTCCTTCAAACCCCGGTCTACCATGTGGGAGTGTATATGTGCTTGGTCTCGTATATTGGCATGTCACAATAACATTTAAAAATCAACAGATAAAGAGAGCAGATGATACCTGGAACTGCGTGCTGTACCAGCCGATGTATTGGAAAGCCAATGCATCAGCATGCTCGTTCCGGAATTAGAGCCTCTGCGGTGTGTGTTCATGTTTCCAGTTATTATCTCTAACGTAGCGTCTGCATCTTTTCGCGCAAGTATGGCCAAATGTGGTTCACGGTACTGATATGTGGCCATGTTATGTCCGAGATTCCATGCTGGTCCGGGATCCAAAAGATCCGTCTCGGTCCTCGTTGAAACTACAGTGGGGTATCGGCATGACAAACAGGAGATGCCAGGAGCACAAAATGCAATTAAGCATTGGAAAGCATCGACAATGCAGCAGCACATTGTTAGTTAGTCAATTGCCCCATTCCGAACCACCCTTGCATATCCGCGCGATAATAAAGCCACCACTTCTTCAATGAATATGGATGTAATCATGCGAAAGCGACAGTATAGAGTTAATGCGACTCCTCGGTAGCCTCAAATCCGATGGGATTATTACCTTTTCCTTTGAACTAGTGAATAGTGGGATGTATGCCAAGAAAAGACAATGCTCGTAAGGACCGCGCGGCTCTTGTCAGCCGAAGAAGTTTATTACTAGGCAAGCTCCTTTGAAGAGGCAACTGCTTAACACCAAATTAAAAATACCAGTGGACGAACACTGCTGCTTGAACATTTCTAACTTTCCATACGAGCCATAAACAATAATGTGGTTTGTCTCCGTTTTCTCGTGTGGTACTGTAGATTGCCCATTCATCATCTTACATAGTAAAATACATAGGCGCGATAAAGGGCTTTTGAACGCTAACACAGTACAACAAAGAATTAAACCTATCCAATGAGAGCTAACTCAACCAATATAGGTAACCGTATGTTGCGGTCACAACGTTATGTTGTTCTCTTGATATTTACGATGCTTATCACTATGTTGGTTGTGCTCTCCTTTTCTGCTCATAAATATGTGGACCAGAACGCCATAAGTAGTTCCGTCAACGAGTCCTACAATACCCTTGTTGATTGGGCTACAAGCTCTTCAAAAAAAACTCTGGGTGAATCCGCGGATGCGGGTCGCGATTATGATGAATCTGAAACCACTGGCTTTCCCTTCACTTTGGACGATGATGCCGATTCGGAGGCAAACAAAACAGACCTTTCAAAGGAGGAAGATTCGTCGGGCAAAGATACGGCCAAACCGGCAGAAGGCAAACAGGAATCTTCCGAAGAACCTACGGAGGCAGAAGCATTGAAGATTACGGATAAGACGGCAGGACTGTCGGATTGATTGGGTGGGCTATACATATTCGAAGAATTATTTAACATTACAAGTTTTTCCAGATCAATTTCTCAACGTAATCGCCCTTAGACTTCTCGCGAAGGAAGCCCATGGATTCCAACTCGAAACAACTCTGGAGAAACCAAGCGTATGCGAGCTTATCCCATTGTTTTTCATCCGTCTCGATATCGTTGAGAAGTGTCTCCATCTTCTTGCTCGTTTCTGTGTCCGCTGTCCTCACAGCATTCGCAATTTCTGACAACAAATCCTTTTTTTGTAACGACAGCTTGAAGGCAAGATAAAAATCCCAGAGATTGATGTTCACTGGGGCGTCTTTATAAACCTGGTAGATTTTGCTCAACACTGGTCCTGTCATTCTCATACTTTTATTTTCTTGACCAATATGCTCCAACACCAATGCATTTCGTAAGTATTTTTGTGGTTCATCCATCCCTTTTTCTATAATTTCTCTCAGTTTCGGACGAATAAGACTAATCATAAGGTTCTCATAATTCTCCTCAATCGATGTTGAAGAGCTTAAATTCTCTAGCTCTGAAATTCCACCATTGATTGTTAATACCTCATTAAATAGGTTATCATGGATTTTCATGTTGACATTCTCGTTTTTGTAAAGGTAGTCTGTAATTGCATCGACCCACAGATTATTCTTATCATCTTTTAGCTCTTCTTTGAGTTTGGTGATATCTCGGTCAATACAGTTTCCAATTTTTTCCTTGATAGCGTCACTGTTGATGAAATGGACGAGGCTGAGAAATTCCTTCGAGCCAAGAAGCTTTAATTTCTTCAACATATCACTCAAATAAACAGAGTTAATAAGTTGATTGTTCGTTATCAATTTGTAAATTTGAAATTTTTCTTTGGAGGCACCTCCTATATGGTGCACTATATGAACTGCATTCATAACTGCATTTTGGTAGTTCTGAAACCTGCTTTTTGCTTTCTCTAGGAGCCTTTGTAGTTGCTCATCATCAGTAAGTAGGCCGACTAATTCATCTTTTGTCTTCTGCGCTTCAGTGGAACCAGGTTCCATTTGAGCCAACTGATGCATCCTAGATTCCATATAGGTTTTGAAAGACGGAAGTTTTCTTAATGCTGCATAATGAAATGTTTCAGCAGGGAAATTATTATCGACAAGGGAGGAGAGGGGCAGTTGATAGAAGTGGATCATGTATGAGAGTTTGAGTTCTGTGATCAAGCTGTCGATCGAGTTGTTGGAATTCTCGAATCTGCTTAAGACAATCAGGGAAAGACGGGCATCCAACAAAAGAGGATTATCAGGCGTGATTTCATTTTGTAGCAAAATATCGTTGATCACTTGAAAACCAATATCTTTATTTTCTTTTGCTTCAAGCTTGCACCCATTTATCATTGTTCTGAGTTTGCTAGTTATGTTTGCAGTAATCCAGTCACTGATGTTCTTTGAACTCAAACTCATGATGAGCTTTAAAGGCGCTCTTGTTGCATAAACACAAAATAACTGGACTAATTGGTTCAACACCTCATTACTGAAGCCATTCGTGTCCTCCAAAATTACCACAATTCGCAACTTCTCGGTGTCTTTCTCTTGTTTCCTATAATCTTTGATCCAATCCTCCACTATTTCAAAGTCGTACGAAATTCTACCACCATCACCTTCAATGACTTCTTCTTGTTCTGCTTCCTCAAAATCTTCGTCGCCATTATCCTCCTTTACTGGAAGGTTCTCCTCATTTTCCGCATTTTCGTCTTCTTGTTCTTCCACAGAATTGTCCTCTTCTGTCCCTCGTCTACTTGGGCCCTCGAGCACTTGTTTCACCACTTCTCTAAGGGCAATTTTCACGTTGAAACATGTTTTGGAGTTGAGAGTGACAACTCTCAAGTTTTGGTACTGAGCAGGTCGGCTTCTCATGTAGAAGGAAAAATCGTCTAGAACTCGAAGATTGTTGGCTGTGTTGGAGCTGAGGCCCAAGAATGCCACATTTAGCTTAGGTGTGATTGGATCTTCAATGAATTGCAATAGATTAGCAAACAATTCATTGTTGGCAGAATTCAAGATTTTCTGTATCGCCCCTAGCTGGTGTCCCCAGATTTTCTCGTAGAGGCTAAATCTATGTAATACATGATGGGGCTTTTCGTGGAGAAGCTTGCAGAAAGGACTTCTGTTGGCGTTATCTAGCTTTGGCTTTGTCGAATCTTGCGCCACATTCGCCTTTTTCCGTATCGTGGGGTCAATGATATAGTGAGTTTTTTGGGCATTGGGGTCCAACTCAGGACGCTTCATAAGAACAGAAGAAATACGAAGTATGAGATCGAAGAGTTTCTTGTGCAGAATAATTGTTGCGCATACTTGATGCGGGTCATGTCAAAACCTGAATTATACAAAAAAGGAGATAAGTACTGTTTTCTCTTTTTTTTTTTTTTTCCACATCCTAGTGTTTTGGCACTTCGCTTAAAGCGGATAACTCTCTATCAAATTGTTCCGCCTCTATCCCAACCAAACAAGAATTGTCGCATGGCTACAATAAAATTGATTTAAAAGATCACGTCCCATTTGCATTGCTCTCACGCCAGGGTTTGTTTTCATTCCTCTATTTAAAATCTTTCGTCTCCCAAAAACTTTTGCATTGCATATTCTCTCCCTTCCCATGGCTACTGACAACAATTCTCGTGAAAATGAATCACTGTCTCGCCGGAGAAAACCCTCCAACTTGGCTCCAGTTGCTTCCGAAGATGTTTGCTCTGAACGCCTGGTCCAAAGTTCTCAAATGAGCGAAGATCTGTCGGTTGCAGAAAGTAGTAGACCGGGTCTGAAACAGAACAAACTGAAGAGGAAACGGAGACCCCGCATCAATATCGCTCCATTGAATACGCCTCTTCACCGGAGATTACAAACATTGAGTGTGTTGTGGCATACGATATCAATTCCAGCATTTCTATGCTTGTTTCTCTTTGTACTGTATCTCGGCTGGGTCTCGTGGGTTTTCATTATGCTCCCATACTTTGTGTGGATGTATGGCTTTGATTTACATACCCCGACAAATGGCAAGGTTGTTTACCGTGTCCGAGACTGGATGCGTAACTTCATTTTGTGGGAAAAAATTCGTCGATTATTTCCCAATTAGAGTGTACAAGACTTGCGAGTTGGAGCCCACTTTTACCAATGTCTTGGTGGAGTCAGAAGATGTCCCCGATGATGAAGATGATTTAGTATCAGAGTACGCGCGCACGTTTATCGATGATATCTTCAAATTCTTTGGCCTTAAAAAAAGACTAAATGATTCCGATCTGTCATTGGCTGAACTTCGGAATGCTTCCAAGTTTGGCTCTGACGATAAAGGATCCATAAAGAACCCATTGCGCTATAAACGTGTCTCTACTGGGCCGCGCTACATCTTTGGTTATCATCCACATGGGGTAATTTCCATGGGTGTTATGGGTATGGCGGCCACAAACGCATTAAGAAATGAGCCATATGAGCCTCCATTAAAATTTCTTAAACCCTTGTTCCATGATCCATCGAAGGGTGAGCGGCTTTTCCCTGGAATTGGATATATTTTCCCACTAACCTTGACTTCTCAGTTCGCCCTTCCATTTTTCCGCGATTACCTCTTGGGTTTGGGCTTAACTAGTGCAAGCGCTAAAAACATTAAAAGTATCATTAATAATGGTGACAACTCCGTTTGTATCGTTGTTGGAGGCGCTCAGGAATCGTTGCTCAATGATATGGTTGGAGACACGCGTGTGGGTATTGGGTACAAAGCTCCACCGGATTCAGATGACGAAGATGAAAACGAAGAAAAAAAAGAGAAGAAGAGAAAGCCTATTCGTCTTGTTCTAGCCAAACGGAAAGGTTTTGTAAAATTAGCAATTGAATTGGGAAATGTTTCCCTCGTACCAACTTTTGCATTTGGTGAGGCTGATGTTTACAGACTTGTGAAACCTTCTCCTGGATCCTGGGGGTACTCCTTCCAGCAATGGATGAAACGCGCTTTTCAATTCACTCTACCCTTTTTCAGTGCCCGGGGCATTTTCATTTATGATTTTGGCTTTTTGCCTTACAGGACGCCAATCAACATAGTAGTTGGGCGGCCAATTTATGTTCCTTCAGGACTTCTTCTGGAACAACAAGAAGTTCCCAAATCTTCCTCACGGGGCAGACAATCTTCTTTAACCAATCTTTTAAGTTTAGGCAAGACTAGAAAGCCACAAAACCGCAAGCATATCCCGCAGGACATGCTAGACCATTACCACGGGTTGTATGTTGAGGAACTCAAGCGACTATTCGAGGAGAATAAGGGTAAGTTTGGATACGGAGATGTGGAATTAATCTTGGAGTGAACGAAAACTGCTTTAAATGTAAAGTTTACAAGAATTAAAAGATGCAATGTATTAACCTATAAACACGTAAAAACCCCCTTATTCATTTTAAAAATTCTCGTCTTCGTCATCTTCGGGGAGTTTTCTCCGAAGCCAGCCTTCCTTCTTGTACTTGCGGTATTGTTTAAGAAGGCTGCGGTCCAACTTACGTCTTCCACCAGCTTTTTTTGTCTCCACTTTAGATGAAGAAGGCTCTGCTTTTTCAACCTCAGGAGCAGTCTTCCGATAGAATGATTTGGTCTCATTTAATGTTTCGTTAAACTCCTTCATTTCTTGTAGTTTAGCTTCAAACTGAAGCTCCTTTTGTTTGACTTTAGCATTCTCACCTTTTTCCCACTCCCGGAAACCATCAAAATTAGGGTTCCCTCCAAATGGGGCATGGCCAAAGATCTTACCCTTTGGATACAAGTCCCAAAGAAAGTCATTATCAATGTTGTTCATGAGAGGGTTGGAAACAAACATTCCTGTGATGGACTCCTTGAGTGGGTGATCCGGAGCTTTCATCAAGCCACTGTTATCGTAGTCGATCTTGAAATCAAGAATGTTGTGTGCTGGCTCAAAGGAAGATTTCTGATTTGGCGTTTCCTGGTCTAGTCTTTTGGGACGGATAAACTGGGAAGGGATCTCAAACTTGTATGAGAAGGTATTCGAAGGTGTGATCTCGGGCCGCTCTGGAAGATCTCGCATGTACACCTTAGCGTAAAACTTGTCCAAAGGCATATCTGTGATCTCCTTTGGAGGTTTTGGAAGTTTATCGAAAGGAATGTAGCACTGCGTTGTTTCTTTTGTAGCAGAAATGGTGGATGCTTCTGGTTGAACCTTATCCTTTCTTGATCCGCTTCTCTTCTTCAAAACAGCACCCAAGGGCTTTTTCGCCTGGGAAACATCCTCGGATGCATCGTTTTCCGATTTTTTAGACGACAGATATCTGAGCGAAGTCAAGGCATATTTGCTAGCTCTGGAGTAAATCAGAACGTTCTTGCTCAAAGGTCGAGCCGATGTAAGGAAGGACATGTGTATTAGAGTTGAAAGTGTAGTTAGTCACGGTATTTTTGCAAAGCGCCCTAGATCACGTGCTCCAGTAAAGATGTTTAGTTTTATGAATATAAGCCACTTATAAGCGATACAAATAGAGCTTTACTCGTTAAAGGAAGTCTCGGAACACATCTGGAAGTGAATATCCTGCTCGAAGTTTTGAAGCCATCATTGCTTATGTGGTGGCAAAATATATGAAGTGAGAAAGTCATCCAGAAATCTATTGATTCTACTTGAATAGTTGCTGATTCTGTGAAGAAGCAGAAGAATGGTAAGCTAGTATTTACTTAGCCCTTCAATGGGGTAGCTGTTTAATTTAATTTTTTTTGCCTTCGTTTTTAGGAGTTGGCCATTTCGCATGTTTTCTACGAATCCGGGAAACTGTGCAAATATTTGATGCGAACGACAACTTCTAAACTTGATAAAAATATGAAACAATAATAGCAAAGAATCATAATCTAGTCTAGATGGCACCCATCTTATATCATCACCATGTTCAGATTTCATTCGATATTCACATTAGAACATGACATTATTCAAGTACAAACATGTCAACACTACAGTGGTGGAAATAGCCTGACTCCGTAGCTGAACAAAAGCTGTTGTCAAAAGGCAGCATTTACTTCCGTATTTAAGTACCACAAAACTCAAAAATTTGGTTCTCAAATCCACTTTCCTTTTCATCGCAGATTAATGATTTTACTAACTCAACTCATTGAGTTTAACCCAATCTTTATATGTAGAGATCTTGGACCAAGTGTCGAATTGACGACCCAACATTCAACTAAAGGAAGAAGGTGGGTCATACAGAAAACAATGTTTAGGTAAATACAAAGTAGGTAGGTGATGTCCCCTACGATTAACACAACTATAGGTTTTTCCCTCAAACTACAACCAAAACCTAAAGAAAGCAGGTGGTACATTATTGGTTGTACAATAGTGAGCAATAACAACAGAATATAATACGGCAAGAGTTAAAGCGAGCTCGAGACACAATCCAAAGATGAAGACAGGAGAGAGAAACTTTATACAATATCTATGACTACACCCTTACATTATCGCAGATCCGCTGGAGTGGTCGCCATGAGCAAACTTATCACACAAATCATCCCGTTTCAAATTAGAAAAATTATAGGAGAATCAATGCTCTAATATTTCAAACCGTCGCCCTAAAGCCACATGTAATATTACACCTTATCTTGGCCATCTGATGCCACACTAGAAAATTGTGCGAACAACGTGGACCGCGCTCCAAAAAATACTCCTACCTTAGGCACCAACCTTCACCCAATCGAATCACCGATACCATGTCGCTCCATAGAGAAAAAGTCAGCTTGGCAGAATTGCCACACACATACGATAAGCCTATTCCCTTGGCTGTTATTGGTGGCACAGGTCTTTACGACTTGCCCAACTTGAAGCCCGTGGCGAGACTCACCGTTTCCACACCTTGGGGATTCCCATCGGCGCCAATCACCGTTTCGGTCACAGAGAGCGGCCACGCCATTGCGTTTTTGGCGCGCCACGGCCCACACCACGACTTGTTGCCTTCTGACGTGCCTTCTCGCGCCAACATAGCTGCGTTGAAGAAGATTGGTGTCAAGGCCATCATTGCCTTTTCTGCGGTGGGCTCGTTGCAGCCCGAGATCCGCCCGCGCGACTTTGTTGTGCCAACCCAGATCATTGACCGTACCAAAGGCATCCGTCCATCAACCTTCTTTGAAAAAGGTTTCGTGGCCCATGCCATGTTTGGCGAGCCTTTCGACGTGAAGCTCAACCGCATCATCTCGGACGCCATTCCTGCCACAGGCTTCTTGGATGCTTTTGACTCAGCTGCCGAGCCAAAGTTGCACACCAAGCACCACACCAACAACGGCGAAGACTTGACTGTGGTGTGCATGGAGGGTCCCCAATTCAGCACCAGAGCCGAATCTCGTCTCTACCGCACATGGGGTGGCTCTGTGATCAACATGTCCGTGTTGCCAGAGGCCAAGTTGGCTCGTGAGGCTGAAATTGCCTACCAGATGATTTGTATGTCCACCGACTACGACTCGTGGAACGAAAGCGAGGAACCAGTGACTGTGGAGACAGTGGTGGGAAACTTGAAGGCCAACTCGGCCAACGCATGCAAGGTTGCTGCTAAGTTGATTGATGTTGTGTCGGACGACTTGTACAGCGGAAAGTCTGGCTTGGCTGCGGACTTGGAGGGTTCCATGAAGTATGCGGTCAGCACCAGCACCCACGGTGTCAAGAAGGAGTTGTTGGAGAAGATGCACTACTTGTTCCCAGGATACTGGCCAGTGCAGTAGATGTGGCTATTTATTGATACAATAAGACTAGACATGCATCTGTAGCAACGTTGGTTGACCCAGTCTAGACTCCAACTTTCCATAAGAAACCACCGTGGTTCATAATCATAACCATATAGGTCCCAACAAGGTATTCTAGAAATATATAAGGTGCTTCCAATTTGGATCGAACACTATTCGCCACCGTTGTTGCGGCAATCAAAAGTTCAGTAAGATGTCGCTTTTCTTAGTTATGGGGAGCGACAGTGCTAATGTCAGAAGTGTTGCCTGATTCTCAGAACAATAGATGATCAGTTTGGTGCATGTTAGCTTTGGCTAACATAAACGCACATGACGACAACGAACCCACGGTTCCCAAATCATGCCATCCATGTAATTTTTTTTTTCATGTGTATCTTGCCAACGTGGTTTCCTCATATCACACAGCACAAGTGTGCTTGCAGATTCTTCTCTGCATCCACATCTGCATCCAGAGAAACACCAGAAAATGCGTCTTAATGCGGGGAGGAGGGAGACAATGAACCTGCCCATGATACACAAAAAAAGTGGCTTACCTCCTGAACCACTTTATAGCTCCACACAGCATGCCAAAGCCCTATGCTTGCTGGATTTCGTTACTAGTACTCAACCTCGTAAGCCCCTCCTATTCTCCTAGCCCAATGAGGAAGTACCATAGATAATGCGCAGGTGTTGTGGGGTAGACTTTTTATCCTGCAGCATGTACTCCGGTCACCAACTCCGGGCTCTATATGACAGGCCAAGGATAAAACTTGCATCCCGGTGTTGGAGCAATTGCTCGTATCCCTTGTGGTTTTGCATAGTGAAACACCACGCTTTTGATCCCCTGTCTTGTGCGGCTATAAAGGCGCACTTTTCCAGCTCATTCCAGTAGTTGACTGGTTTTTTTTTGTACGTGTCAAACTGCTGGACAAGTAATTGCAACTTGCATTCGAAGGAATCATAGCTTCAACTGTCACCTGATTTGACTCATCTTTTTTCTTGCTTTGATATTTTCTTTCCTTGATCTACATTCCCCACGTTCTTCCAACCTCATCTTTCAACCTGCATAGCGTTCTCAGTTAACGTCTTTGACCTACTACACTTCTTTACATTTGCCATTAACAATGTCGTTGAGAACACTCGGATTGAACTCTACCTTCAGCCGTATTTTTGCAAAGTCTGCTGATGTGGCAAAATCACTGCAAACCGTTCTTGATTTCCGCAAGTATCCCGAACAGTCATTGTCCAAGATCATGACTCGCTGTGACAAGGAGATGGGCGGCTTTTCTTCGGTCCACTTCGATATGGACCCCGAGTCCAACGCAGGACACTTCCACGGCTACTTGAACTTGGACTTGCCCAAAAACAACCCCGAGATCACCAGATCAGGCTATGCCATGTTTAGAACAAAAGACCAAAAGGAATCCTGGCTCTCAGGAGACTCCTACTGGGACTGGTCTGAATTCAGTCTGTTGGTTTTGCGTGTGAAAGGTGATCGCAGAAAATACTTGGTGAACCTCCAAGCAAACACTCCTTTGGTGACAGACTTATTCCAGCACAGATTGTTCTTGCATCACCCGGGTGAGTGGGAAACTGTGGTTATTCCATTGGATGACTTTGTCATGACCAATTGGGGTGTCATACAAGATAACAGTGAATTGAACAAAGCAGAAGTCAAGACAGTTGGTATTGGCTTGTTGGATAAGCAGTATGGCCCATATTCTTTGAAGATTGACTGGATCAAAGTGATGACAGGTGCCGAGGTGGAAAAAGTGGCAAAGAAGTCCAGAATTGAACGTTTAGCCTTGGAACAAAGAGCCGAGGCCCAGGATCATAAAGATGTTGAAACCAACATGCCTACGGGCAATGGTGGTTCTGCACTCAACACACACAAGTTCGAGGAGCCAAAAAACACAGTTGTCTGAAATAGCTAACGTACAGTTGCCTGATTTCTACTTGAGTGGCTTATTTGTCCCATTTTACGTGGGAATTGGCTATTATGTTGTTATCGTTGAAAACCCAATTGCTGGGCAAAAGGGGTAAATATGGGGTTGAATTCAAGAAAGGGAGGTAACCCCTTTCTTAAACTAGTCACTGTTATATCAATGCACACATAAACAATCCCCTCCCATGTAAGCAAAAATGCTCCACATCACAAGACGAATCCAGGGTAATTTCAAAAACTCCGCTTTCTAAAGGTTCTTCTCCTCTTCCGAGCCCTAACTGTTCGCACGTGAGCGAAAGTCGCATAAATCCTGTATATACATAATTTTTTGCTTTAAATATTTGTGAAAATTTCTCGCGTTCAAATTTTCTTTTTTTTCTCTTCAACCCTACACTGATTATTAAAAATGGCAAGAGGCCCGTATGTCTAACCTGCTTTTCTCATGAGAGAAAACAGATTGCATGACAAAACCTAAAGGAGTACGCCTGGGATCGGGCGGAAACTATATAATACCGCAGTTCAGCTTGTCTGAATAATAAGTCGGTCTCCAGCCATATTTATATGGCCCGGATGGGAGCCTTGTCTAATAATCGGTAGTGTAAGTGGTGGTAGCGGGAAGTGCTGAATGTGAACTCAACTATTCACGAAACAGCTTAATTCAAGAACTTAATTTGCTGTCGGGATTTTGCTTTAGCATATTCTGGTTGTCTTATGTTTCATATTGAGTTTTGTTTGGATCCCTTTCAATTACCACCTTCTTACAGCCGATGCATCTGTTTCTCGTAAAAAAATATCATACTAACATCTTTTCAGAAAGAAGCACCTTAAGAGATTGGCAGCCCCATCCCACTGGATGTTGGACAAATTGTCCGGCACCTATGCTCCAAGACCATCTGCTGGTCCACACAAGTTGAGAGAGTCCTTGCCTTTGATCGTTTTCTTGAGAAACAGATTGAAGTACGCTTTGAACGGTAGAGAAGTCAAGGCTATCTTGATGCAAGAGCACGTCAAGGTCGACGGTAAGGTCAGAACCGACTCCACTTACCCAGCTGGTTTCATGGATGTCATCACCTTGGAGGCCACCAACGAAAACTTCAGATTGGTGTACGACATCAAGGGTAGATTCACTGTCCACAGAATCACCGCTGAGGAAGGTTCCTACAAGTTGGGTAAGGTCAAGAAGATTGCTTTGGGCAAGAAGGCTATCCCATACGTGGTTACCCACGACGGTAGAACCATCAGATACCCAGACCCAGCTATCAGAGCCAATGACACTGTCAAGATTGACTTGGCCACTGGCAAGATCACTGACTTCATCAAGTTTGACACTGGTAGATTGGTTATGGTTACCGGTGGTAAGAACTTGGGTAGAGTTGGTGTCATTGTGCACAGAGAAAAGCACGAGGGTGGTTTCGACTTGGTCCACATCAAGGACGCTTTGGACAACACCTTTCGTCACCAGACAATCCAACGTTTTCGTTGTTGGTACCGAGGCTGGAAAGCCATGGGTGTCTTTGCCAAAGGGTAAGGGTATCAAGTTGTCTATTGCTGAGGAGCGTGACAGAAGAAGAGCCCAACAAGGTTTGTAATTAGCATTGTATACTAGGAATTAATGGTTTAGAGTACGAGCTAGACATGTCCCTGTATGTTGGTGAGGATGACGTAGTTGATGGATGTAACCACCAGCTAGTTTCCGAACGTCGGAAGTACATACGTTAGGGTACAAATCGTTGACACCAGCCGCTACAATACCAGGCGGATTGTCAACTCGTCCTTTCCATTCGAACAATGCCGAAATTGCCGATGTCACCTAATTCAACAGATGAATGACAGACCATAGCCGGTCCGGCACAATACCTGTTATCTCCGCAACCTGGCCCACGCACCACACGTGAGTGTCTTATCGTGAAGTTACAAATCTTCCAGTGAACAACTACCATGACTTCTCGATACAGAGTCGAATATGCGCTCAAAAGCCACAGAAGAGACGAATTTATTGAATGGATCAAAGGGCTTCTAGCTGTTCCATTTGTGCTCCATTCAGACATTGAGAATTACAGTCAGGAATATGTATTGGAGGGTCTCGAGAACGAAATGGACGTCGATGATCTGCAATTGGAAAGAACTTGCCAGGCACGATACCTTGAAATATTCAATGATGTGGAAAAACTCGTTGATAACACTATTTTCTTGGACACTTTCGAGCCTGATGAGCAACATGTTTCCCGAAGCCGGTTGCGACTGCTTGTTCCGACCCTTGGCCGGTTCTTCACCCGTTTGCCCTTGAAGGAAGCATTCCTTATCGAAGATAAAAAACGGCTGATTTCCCGCAGACGTCTTGTGAGCCCGTCCTTCAATGATGTGAGAAGTATCTTGAACACAGCCCAGGTTTTAGCACTTACCAGCAATGCCCAATCCAAGCTCAAATTGGTCACTTTCGATGGAGATGTGACATTATATGATGACGGAAAATCTCTCACGTCCGATTCTCCTTTGGTAGACTGTTTGGTGAATTTGCTTTCGTTGGATTTATTTGTTGCTGTGGTTACTGCTGCTGGATACCCAGGCCATCAAGGAGCGTTCGAGTATCACAAACGGCTTTTGGGGCTCATTGAGGTGCTTCGTGAAACAGATAAGTTGCTGGAAAAGCAGAAGTCAAACTTCTTGGTGATGGGTGGTGAGTCCAATTATTTGTTCCGCTTCAGCAGTGAATCAGGCAATTTGGAGTTTATCGATGGGCAAGAGTGGTACTTACCAATGATGCGCCAATGGGACCAGTTGAAACTTATAGAAATCATGAACGAAACACACACCCACTTGAGGTTCTTGCGCAAGAAATTCCGCCTAGATGACGACTCCAAAACGAAGATCATTCGCAAGGAAAGATCGCTCGGTATCATTCCGCTTCATGGTTATAAAATCAACCGCGAAACCCTTGAGGAGATTGTGTTATCCTTGCTGGCGAAATTACACAGTCTCCTACACCCCAGAGGACCACAAGGTGTGAACCTTTTGAGTACAGATGAGAACACAGCGTCCCGAAAGTCAACCTCAGATTTCCGTGTTTGTGCTTTTAACGGTGGCTCTGACGTGTGGGTAGACATTGGAGATAAGGCATTAGGTGTGCAAGCTTTACAACGGTACTTGTGCCGCTTCCATGTCGATGACGATACTTGTCCCATTTCGAAGTCGGAAAGTTTACACATTGGCGATCAGTTTGCATCGGTAGGAGCAAATGATTTCAAGGCTCGTCTAAGCGCATGTACAGTGTGGATTGCCAGTCCAAGAGAAACGAGGGAAATATTAGAGGATTTGATAGAAGGCTTGAGGAATCGCGGGAGCCAGAATGGAAAGAAACAGTATTAGAGCAAGAATCTTCCAGTTGCAGACGCATGAAACACTCACATTGCAGAAGACCGATTAGACACACTCAATTCCAGATAAATAGAAAAAAAATTTACACCAACACAAAAGTTGAAAAGAAGTACAAGACTAAGCAGATTAACCAAATATGGTCCAAGACTTAAACACATGCGCGACTAATCTTTCGTACCCGCGCTTCTTTATCTGTTGATGTAGACACTGTAACGTGCGAACATGTGATAATCTTTATAACCCCGCCATACTCTTATCCATAAAGCCTCAAGTGCATCTCCGAACCAGAGTTTCGCTACCATGTTCCTGAAAGCGGAATACTACAACCCTGAAGCAGCCGAGTACTTAAACCCAGAGACTAAGCGCAGGGTCGCCATTGTTACTGGGGGGAATTCTGGTCTAGGCTGGTACACTGCGTTACATTTATACCTTCATGGTTACGTTGTGTACATTGCTGGAAGGACCGAGTCCAAGGTTCAGAAAGCTGTCCAAGAAATCAAGGAAGAGGCCGAAAAACGCCGAGAATCATACACGGACGAACAGAAGGCCAGCAGATATGTTGGTTCCTTGACATTTATCCATTTTGACTGCTGTGACTTGAAATCGGTGGAAAAGTGTGCTCAAGAATTCAGTAATCGGGAAAGAAAATTGCATATTCTCATCAATAATGCTGGCTTAATGGGTGTGCCATTTGAGCTCACAAAGGATGGCTATGAGATTCAGTACCAGGTGAACTTTGTTGCGCCCTTCTTGTTTACATTGAAGCTATTGCCCTTATTAAAGGACACTACAACCGACAGCGAGCCGCTGCGTGTCATTTGCTTATCTTCTGTGGGCCACACCGCAGCTAAATCATACTATAGTCCTACTGACAATCTTAACAAGAAGCCGAACTTCTTCTATACATGGATCAGATACGGCAATGCTAAAACTGCAGAGATACAGTTCATGAAGAAACTCGCAGAGGTTTGCCCGGATATTTTGTCCTTTTCCGTTCACCCAGGCGTTATTGTCGACACGCAACTTTTCAATTACTGGAAGAACTTGCGTTTTGTCGGGCCGTTTGCCAAACTAGGCATGCGGTTTACTTCTACAGTTATTGGCGTTACCCAAGAAGAAGGTTGTTTGGCCACTTTGAGAGCAGCATTAGACAAGTCATTGCTGAAGAAAGACAATGGAGCGTATATCGAAACTGGCGGAGTTTTTGGCAGACCTTCCAAAGTTGCGCTGAGCCAAGAGTACGCTAACAAATTGTGGACTGAAAACTTGGAGCTATTGAAAACGAAGGGTTTCAACGTTGATCTTGAACTGTAAAGAACAGTAGAGACTCTTTCGAGTTTTGGTTTCTTTTTTCTAACCTCTTTTTCTGTTTACAATGGACCATATATCTAGAAACACAAATTAGTTTACGCTTTCTTGTAACTATACCAGACGAAATGACTTTGAATCACGTTTTGCTCAAATAAACCCAGAAAGGAATCATATTCATAACTGCGTGTGGAGTCCGCATAAATGTCTCTACGATGTACGACATTAGTCAAGCTGCGAAACTGTGATATCAAATAAGATTTCTTCTCATTAAGAGCACTCCAAAACACTTCTCCACACTAGAAGTGTGAAATTTTTCTTTGGATCAGGCATCGTTTCAACCGAAAACCTTCGTCGCATTTACATCGGTGGTTAATTTTATTTTGCTTTCCCAAATATTCGGGTTCAAGGTAGGGTTTGCCGTTCTCAAGTGATTTGGACCAAACGTTTTTGCAAATCAAATTTTGATGGCGGTTGAACTCACGCTGGAGCAGCTTGCTGTGACATCAAGCAGACTATCGGAGAACGAAGCTTCTCGTGTCATTAACGCCAGTGTGGCTGATACGATCAATACCTCCCATGAGTATGAGTTGAACAACTCAGAGTCACTAACATTTCTCTACAATTTACTCTACGACGACAACTCGTCGCTTACAAAATCAGATATTCTTAGCATCCTCAACTCCCTCAAAGAGAGGGAGAACAACCTTCCCTTCTCTCTAACAGAACGAAAAGAGTACACAAATGTCCAAGGAGTGAGATTACCACCTAGTCTATCCCGGAAGTTTTACCTTGAAAGATCTCGAATAGGGAACTTGTCATGGTTTCGAAACATTCCAGACTCGAGAGAACACGCGTTGAACGTAAGTACAACCCAAGATTGATTTTGCTATCCTCCTTCAGTACTAACCTCCTTTCCAGAGTGTGAACATCGTGTCTTTCAATACGAAAACAAACTTTTTCCGTTTCAAAAACTTCTATTCTCGTTTGAAAAGCCACATCACTCATTTCCAGCTACGATCGTTGGTGGTTTGCGGGGAGAATATCTCAAACGGTATTTTTTATCCATCGTCTTATTATCACGATCACAACCTAGAGGTTGTCACATCAGACAATTTTGGAACTCACACTCATAGTGATGACCATCATAATTTCTTCAAAATCATCAGGGTAATGCCTGATGAACAAGCGCTTTCCCCCGACGCTATGAAGTTGGACTGCCTCATAGACTCCCGCACGCTTAAACACCACTCTAACAACCGAATATCATCCAGTGCGTGCTCAAGTAAGTTTTTGGTCAATGGAACGTTCGAGGGAGGTTATATCCTTCAGAACATTGAGGATCCTGACAATCACTATTTGGTGGGTGAATACTTCCTCACTACTGCTGCCGATGGTATAACCAACCATGTATCTATTAGCAAAGATGATCTGGAATTGATAATAGCGTCTAATGATGCACACATTCGTTTTGTCGATTTGCTGTCCAGTAAAATCACTCAATTCCAACTTCCATTTGCCGTTAACTGTCTTGCGATCAATCATCACAATCCTAACGAATACTTCATCGCAGCAGATGATACGAATAATTTCATTATCGATCGCAGGGCTATGACCTCCGAGTCAATTGACTCTTTTACAAGTTTCCGGGGCCATACAGATTACGGTTTCGGATGTGATTGGTCTCCTACAGACGAAAACATGCTCCTATCGGGAAATCAAGACGGAACAGTTCGCTTATGGGATCGACGGATGTCACACAATTGTCTCTTCAGCTGGAGCAGTGCTTTGGGCTCTCTGGCATATGATGTGGCCAGCGAAGCATGCGGTGGCCCCGTAAGAAACTGCAAATTCAGCTATTATGGCAAACATGTGGTTTGGGCCGAAAGTTTGGATCATGTCGGCGTCTTGAAGGTGGACGATCTACATTCTGACTGCGACTTGGTTCTTCCAAGGGTACAGTCTATTGATTTTATCGGCAAATGTATTGGGTTAAACATGTGCCCCGTGGATTCCGGACAGGGTGAGCGACTCATTATTGGGGTCAATGATTGTCCTCTTGGTGGCATTCTCAATTATGAGTTGGAAGATTCACGAAAGACTTTAGATTTTGCTTTTCAGTTCTAACAACATTTCTATTTATATTGGTACTTAATATTACTCCTGGTTATTATTTCCTTTTTTAGATCACCACATCTCGTCCAAATTTTCCGATACATGAAGGCTTCCCCCAACCTCTTTTATCAAATCGTCCAACTTTGCGATTTTGTCGCTAGTTCGAGTAATGTTAGCCACAACTCGCACCTTGTTGCGAGCTTTAGTAATTGCATGTTCATACTGCTCGACTTCAGCGTCTCCATTAGTCTTGGGTATACTATCAATCAACTCTTGTAATTGTGACAAATGAGACGCGAGATTTTTTTTGTCCAACATTGTCCATTCATCTATTAGACCCTGGATGTAGCCTACTATAAGAAATCTCTGAAATCCGGTTTGAAGTCCGTATGCTCTTCCCTCCAAATACTGTTCCCGTGCGAACTGGTCTTGTCCATCTTTGAAGCCCTTTTTGTAGAACTCATCTTCGAGGTCCAAAACGCCATCAAGCGTTATATTTTCCATTGCCAAACAGTCGATTTGTTCCAAGTTTAAGGAACTCATCGCGAAGTTAAATGCATTCTCCACATTTCGCATTTCTAGCCTCAACCTACATTCTTGCCTCTAAGTTGACTCAATGGAAGAATCAGCTGACCTACGGTCTGGGTCACGAAAGTTGACCAAGAAAAAGGAGTTGCTTCAAGTGGGGTACGAATCAGACTCCGAAGATAATGATTACGATAGTGAAGAAGAGAACAGTGCAGACAATGTGGCCACAAAAGCAGACGACGACAATAATGACAGCACTATCAGCGGAAACGGATTAGACGATGATATGTTTGCGAGCGAGGATGAAAAGGAAGATAACAACCCTACCTTGACCAAATCAAAAGGATTCAATATGGATGAATTTGAAAAAGAGCATGGTCTAGGGAAGTATGATGATGAAGCAGCCCCGTCGATAGACGCTAAGGAAGAACCATCTTTCCCGGAGAGCGACAAAGGTGAGGCACATGACTACTATAACAACATAGAGGATTACGATGGAGACGAAAGACGCCCTTACGTCAAACATGAATTGCAGATCGAAGCCTTTAATTTGCGAGAAGAGGCCGAAACGGGCACTTTTGACAAGGACATGAATTACGTGAAAGAAAAAAATAGCGACGACGAAAACGAAGAAGATGCTTGGATGGCTGGAATTAAAAACTCTGAAATCAAAAAAGCTCGTGAAGCACAGCAAAAGTCAACCTTTAAGAAAAGTAAGCTTCAATCTTCTCAAATACCTACAGAATCACTTTTGGGAAACCTCATCTCCTTGCTAGAACCCGCAGAAACTCCAATGGAAGCTTTAATAAGACTACGACCAAACAAATCGAGAAGAAACAAGAAAATTGTTGACGAACAACAAGAAAGAGTAAGAAAAGACGCAGTTTTAAACTTGACAGAATGTTGCGAGCAACTATCAAACCACAAAGGTATCTATTCCGTTTACGACTTAAGTCGAGAAGAGCTTATGAGGCTCTATTACAAACAAACTGGGGAGGAATTCCAACTCAGAGGCGTAAAACGGGGAATTGATCAAATGGAAAATGAGGATGAGCCTTCTCAAGAAGAAATCACTGGTAATGAGAGTAATGGATACGGAGAAAAAATTTGGGAATATCGTTGGGTAGATAATAGAGATGAAATATTGGGAACATACTCGTCTTACGAAATGAATTACTGGAAGGAAACCTACTTCAATAATGAAGTTGAAGTACGCCGAGTGGGGCAAGAGGAATTTGAGCCAATATCGGAAGTTGTCTTTAGCACCTGAGCTGTTCATACGTCTATCTATCTATCAAGTATATAATTTTCAATCGGAAACAGTATTTCTCGGGCGAGACTCTCTATTATATCCCAACCCACGTTGCATTTCCACCGAATTTTTGAGCTTAGAATATCCAGAGCATAGGTTCTATTAATTAGTCCCAACGATACAAGAGTAGATAACTGAGTGTTAACATCAACTGTAGTATTCAAGGTAAATGTTGCAAACTCATTGTCTTTCTTTGCGAGTTCTCGTTCCGTAAGGTCTTGATACAAGTTCAAGTATTCTTGGTTATCTTGTGACAACGACTTTGATTCGTTTCTGTAAATCACCGAAAGAATCGCCTTCAATCGTTCTAGATCGAAAAATGATGCTGACAATAGTCTTGAATTGATGTTTTTCTTGCTGATGGATGATTCTGTTGTTTTCCTTTCTTTTCTCTTTTTTAGTGTTTTCATTCTCGAAAATACATTAAGGTCACTTTTTGGATCCACATATGAAGCCAAGTAAGATGCGATTAAGAGAAACTTGGAATGATAAGGCAAATCTGCAACCGGAGAAACGTTAGAAGGAACTTCTTCGGTTTTGGTAATGTAATCTGTGATGCAGCTATTGCTCACAATGCTATCATTGAAAATCTGGTCTCTGATATCTCTGAAAAGACGAAGGAACTCGGAAGGCTTGTATCTTCCATTATTGACAGGATTTGCAAATTTATGCCAGAGATTATGACAAAGATCGGACAAGAGTAATAGGTCAGAGCCTGTGTAGTCATAAAAGAGATCAACAATCAACTTCGTGAAATTCCTCCAGAATGCAACATCCTCGTCTGGTGAAACATCATTCAAGTGGAAAGAGTGTTTTGCTTGCAAAATTTCGACGAGTTGATCCTGGGAATATGGTCCGAAATGTATGTGCGGAACAGATAGAGTGGATATCTCTCGTGGGTCATCATGAGAGGTGATGTAAATGACACTGATATTGCGGATGACGGAATGTTCTTGCAATCTGACAAATGCAGAAAATAGATCATCAGTGGGGTCGCAACATTGGTCAAATCTATCTAGCACAAGGACATGTGGTTCATTGTAACCAGTAGCAACAATAAACTGTTCTAACAGCATCAAAAAGTATGCAAAGTTCTCACACAAGACAGACGTTCGAGCCGCTTTCAAACCTTTGTACATGAAATTCAGTGCGTCATATTCCTTTCCACTTTCCGCCATTATTGACATGAGGCATCTTTGTAGTAAGATCTTCTGAGTTATGCATTCATCGCAGTTGACTATACTCTTCTTTATTCCTAGCTCATGAAGATAATTCAAAACAGTGTACGTTTTGCCAACAGATTTGTAGCCTTGAACAACTAGGTTTGGACTCAGACATAGCGGTTCTTTTGTTATGAAGCACAGCAAGAGGTCAAGCTCCTTCTCTCTCATAGAATTGTGAATGAAAGGTTGGTTTAGAACAAGGTATTGTATACAAATCACATCGGCGGATACTAGCGTTTATCGCGTATGAGGGTTCTCGATCGAATAAAATTAACTTATGCATTCGTATGTGTTATATAAAATAGTCGTCTATAAGCCCTAATAGCATCTTCATACCGTAAGCTTTTGCCACATTCCGGAATATGTTCACTCTCTTAGAAAAGTCGTCGAATTTTAGAGTTTCAACCCATGCGCCTGAACATTTGCAAAACTCGCTCATGTTGTCAGCCTTAACAGCATGACATCTTTGGCACGTATAATCTTGCGTCAAGTATTTTGAAATATTTCTATGAAGCTGTGCAATCAACTCCTCTTCCAAGAATACTTTGTTGTAGACATGATGGCAGTGAGTACATGTCCAGATGTTCTTTTCCTCCTCACGGCAAAAGTCAATGTCCCTAATGAAACTGCAATAGTCGCATATAACAGAGGACACTTTGAGAGATGCGCTCGGACTCGAGAAAATAGATTCAGGGCTGAATTCTTTCACATCCATTACGCTTAAAAGATCCTTCCTCAACATTCGGACTTCGATGCTTCTCTTCTTTGATAAAGCGAAAACAGCACATAAAAATTTCACCAATTCCAACACTGGATTCTTCATTTTCAAAACTGATCCCGGGAGAGTTGGGAACTCATACTCCTTAGCCATTTCTGGGTTGAGAATGGACTCATTTTGACGGCGATAGAGCTTCTCAATCCGCCTCTGGAGTGGTTTCCTGAAATTGTTCATCACCTCACCAGTGAATTGATCCTCCTCTTCTGCATCATTTGAATCCATTTTCTGCTGGCCCTTCAATATATGTGCTAACTGCGTTACCCGTTGTGTTCCTTTTTGGGTGCTTCCTAGTAAAGTCTCATTTTTGTACTTTGCTAAAGCGTCGAGAAAGATCACCAACCAGTCATCAAAATCGTTCTGGAAAATGATTGGCAAAAATTTCTTGATGTGCCATTTACTGACTGGTAGCAATTGCTGCACATCATCATTAGTGATTTCCGTACAACATCTGCCAGCAAAATTGAACTCGTCCATCCACACTAAGATATCCCAATAGCGGACGATCTTCAAATCAAGGAAGTTGAACAAAGGCTTTGAACGGGTAGCATTGACAACATACTTTCCGAATGCGTACGAATTTTCCACAGAAATTTTTGTCGTTTGAATAATTAATTTCAGTCGATTAGCAAAAACAACATTGGCATTCATACGACGGAATTCACCCACCAACTGCAAGAGAGCCTTACTGGTAAGATTGTGGATATGATGGTGAAGTGTAAAATCGTATAGCAAAGAATCTTGCCTTTGAACCCATGAAACTAAGCTATTCATCATAGAATCTGCATTAGCGTTGTTACTAACAGCATCATCCCACCAGTCTTTCACCATTGAACGTAAAATTCCTAGAGCAACAGGGGAGAAAGTGTCAAGGGCTAGTGTTGATGCACCATTGTTTGCATCCCCTAGGAGAGGATCGTCGGACAAGTCAGTCCCCTCAGCTTCATTGATCAAAGAGCTCGTCAAGATTGTATTGATTGTGAGATTTCCAATCTCCACCTCCAAGCATGCCGTTTCATATATTTCAGGACTGTTGATTGTAATGAAATCAAAATTGTCGAAATCCTGGACGTGGTCGTTTTGAAATCCTCCATGATCAGGATATGGTTTGTTTGACCACCATAAAACAACGTTGTTCTGGGTCAAACGTCTAGAATACTCAATATCAATCAAATAACCTGGAGTTTCAATCTGCAAGTTGCATAATGGTACTTTTCCATAAGACGACAATGACGTCATGTTCTTCAACCACAGCGCCAAAGAAAAGTAATGATTGACTATTCTTTTGGCAATGAGGGATTGCCATCCTACTGCTGGTAAAGATATTTCCCCAACGCTTAACTTGATTGTTGGAAAATCAGAAGCCGCTTCTAATAAATCTAACACTTTGTTGCAATATGGAGATTGAATGCTGAGCAAAGCTTTGTTGCTTCTGCTCTCATGGAACTTTCTGAACACAGAGTTCAATTTTTTGTACAAAGTGGATGGATTATTGAAATAGGATGTATCAAAAGTCATCTCGGGCATGTAATCAATGAAATTGTAAAGCTTTGAAAGTTTGGATTTTTTAGCTTCATAAACCTCTTTGTAGATCTTGCTAATATTATCTGGGAGTTCCTGAGCTCCACTAGAAGGTTTCAATATTAACATAGTAACGTTTGAGTCCCAAGTAGTGAAGATGGCGAAGAATTCATAACTATTAGTCAGAATATGAAGCAAATAGACCACATCCATGTCAAACTTTTTCAAATAAGCCTCTTTTTCAACTTTAATCAAGTCCTTTGTAGTAAACCCATTTTTAAGACACTTACCCAACGCTCCAACTTTCGTATCATCAAATCTGACAATATTTCCTAAGTCCATGATGGCCCTGTCTATAGAACTGACTTCGGTTTCATACAAACCCAAAATTTTGGAATCATGAAGTATGCTATCGACCAGACTTATTTGTTCGTTATATGTGGATTCTGTCATGGTCATTTTGAATAAATTTGTTGCATCATGGCCATTGGGCAAGATTGCCGTCGATTTCTCAATTTCACAGTTTGGGATAGGCTTAAAGAATACATCAGCCTTGTATGTGGCGTAGATAGTTTTTGGAATGTGGAACAAGAAAGAATGAATTTTCCCCCCAGAGAAAACGTAAACCTTAACTGCACCAGGATTCATTGGGTCTTTTTTATATTCTAAAATTTCCCAATCCGAGCCAGCAACATTCTCTGCTTGTCGGCGGAAACATACTCCCAACGGAGGATCTATAAGAAGAATCAACGTTTTCTCCGAATAATTTCTTTCTTCTATCTCTATTTTTCGATTGCACCCTCCACTTAGCCTTCTGGTATTGCAAAAAACTGACATAATCCTCCGTCATAGATGGACAAGGAGAGTTCAAGATGGCTACTGCCTTCTCATCTTCTTCAGCTTGTAATCTTTGAGCCTCCCGCATCTTTCTCTTCTTTACAGTAACTTTTCCTAATTTTGTTTTAGGAACTCCTTCATCCACTTCTCCAAAATCTTCAATATCTTTGATGGCTTTCGTCTTAACTTCTTCATTGGAAGCTTTGTTGAAGAACTTTGAAAGAGAAGTTTGTTGGAACTTATCCTCTTTTACCCGAATTCTTTTCTGTAACCAGTCCGGATGAGATACCCGAGGAACAGGATTTTTGACATTTTGAAGAGCAGCAGGAATTGTTATAATTTTTTGAATGACAGATGCAAGACGTTCCCGATAATAATCCCAGTCAATCACTGAACGAGGATCAAAGTCTGTGAGAGATGGATCCTTCAACCACTTTTTAAGATAGATCTCTTTATGTTCAGAGGAAAAAATTGAAACTGGGATTGCTCTCTCAGTAACTGGACTCTCTAAAGGTTTGGCACTGATAATGTACTTACAGGCTAAACCAGCATCCTTGACCATTTCCTCTCCCAAAAATTCACCCAACCGTTTAGCTGTTGTGATGGAAGTAGATTTCTGTCCTTCGTATTCACTCAAAGCCTTACTCATACTTCTGTTTTCACAAATAAGTTCGATCAAATCCTCGTCTTCAAGCATACCGCCTTTGGTTTCTAAGACGTCGAGCCAGTTATTAGCAACCGTAGAAACAGCTTGATAGCAAGATTCCAACGAATCGCCTTCGAGGAAGAGCTTGAATATATCTGATTGAAAGTTCTTGATTAACTGAAGCTCTCCTCTTCTTTTCAACTCGAATCCTTTTAGTTCGGCGAGACTTCCATCCTTATTGAAAACCGCATATCTCTTCTTTAATCCTTTTCCTTCTTCTTTCGAGGTTGGTAAAACCATGGCTTTGTAGGGACCATCTACCTCGAAGAAGATGGAGTTCTCTGATCTCGTTTTGTATTTAAATGTATCTGCATCAATCAAGTCCTGGTACTGATGATTTGTGAATTGCTGGTGCACCAAATAGTTCAACATGGAGCAAGGATACTCCACAAATATTTTTTTGCCGTCTTTGCATTTCAAGTTGAAATTCTCCGGAAAGGACTTAGGTAAGATACACCAGATACCATCAGTGTCCAATTCCAAAGGGCGACCAAGTCGTTCCACAAGAGCTCTCGCCATTTGAATAATGGTAGCACCTGTAAGACATGTAATTCCAGCCATTTCCATTGAGTACCAACGGGAGCCTTTTCTCATAACATAACCATAAAAGGAATTTAAAATGACTTTGTGTGCCAATTGCAAAGAATCATACAAAATGACCATTTTATTTGCTTCGTCTTTTGAAATAGATTCTTTACATTTCGAAGCTTTGCCTTTCCACACTTTTGCTAAAGTTTTGAACTCATAACGACGGTCTCTAAAACCTCTCACTGTATCGACGTAAAAAGGATTTTCTCTTTGGCAGACAATGGCCTCTCTGTTGACTGTTTTTGTCTGCTTGATTCTGTTGTAAACTTTTCGAGAGTAATCACTGATTCTCTTCTTAATAAGCAGAGCTTGCTCAGCATAAGGAAGTTCATCGAAAGAACGAGCTGGTAACCAAGGGCGGGTACCTGGAAAAGTTTCATTTTGGAGAGTCCTTTTGACCATACCATACTCATTTTGTTCAGCAGGATAAAATTCTCCTCTCCAAGCCCAGGTCATCCGCCTGTCACAATTCTTTCCAGGACGATTGAAATCACAAGCTGCGCAGTCCTCTTCAGATTTCATAGAATCGGGCTGCAATCTGTATGAGGTCATGATGTTCGGATACATTGATGCAACGTCAACGTGGTATATTAATGGGGTTTCATTTCTCACTGGAGAATCACGCAAGCTTTCCAACTGTTTTTTAATAGCAATGTAAACTTCTTCAAAGTTTTCAACGTCTTCCATGGACTTGTGGTTTTCTACTTCAATGGTGAACTTTAAGGTCTCACGCAAATCTCTAAGTAGCTGATCAATAGCCGTCGGGTCAATTTTAAAATCTGTAGCAATGTCACTTCTAAAGACACCTGCTTCCAACGATTCCACATGTCCACCCACGTATGTTTCAGATTCAAGTAAGTGTCCCTCGTAGAATCTTTCGATCGGATCAGTATACTTATTCGGAAGCAAAATATTGCCCTCGTAGGCTTGAACCAGGAGCAACATCTCACATAAGGTACCAGTACCCTTTCTCAAGACTTCGTCAGGATTCAACGGAAGAATGGTACATAAGGAGAAGATAAATGGATGCACATACTTATAGTACAAGTAATATGTGGCCACAGCATCGGAAACGGAATATTCGGAAAGGATTTGTGGACGTTCGTAAGCATAAGGTGTCATAAGTTCCGGATCCAACTCAAGAGGGTTGTAACCCAATTTTGCAGTGGTAACAGCTTTCAAACCTTGAGACCCTTGCGGCAAATACGAATCTCTTTTAACCCACCTGTAACAATCCATGTGAACACAGTATTTCGATTTGTATTCATCCTCATCATCCTTCGCAAAACCGATCTCATTGAATAAGTCCATTCCATGGAAATTGGTTCTATTTTCCACGAAGGGCCAGTCGAAAAAGTCACCGTTAAACGTGGCAATGACAGTAGGACGCACATCACGGATATGTTCAAAGAACCTCATAAGTACATGTTTTTCATCGGGTTCATTAAAAATGGTAAAGTTTCCTGGGTATTCTGGCTTCGGAGTGTATTCGAAGTCTTCAATATCTTCAGAAATAATTTCTCTGTTTGTGATTAAAAAACCTTCACCGTCAATCATGTAAGAAATCATCATAATCTGATCAACTTTGGCGTCAGGAAACTTGAGCGGAGCCTTTGTGGTTTCTATATCAAATGCTAGGACCACTGGATCAGCAAATGCAATTTTTTCTTTATCCTCCTCGAAAGTGATTTTTCCATGCTTAGCATACACATCGTACCATTTACCAACTCTGACGTTATTATCAATGGAGACACGAACATGGTAAGGAACATCATATTCTCTAATGTCATCGATGAATGTAGTTGGGTCAGTCAGTGCATCCTGTTTGGACTCATTTGATTGGAATCCATCCGTAGCAGACGAAATGCCTGAAGGATTATTAAAATTGTAAATACGAAAAACATCTCGCGTGTCTCGTTTCGCTTGGTTCTCTTTGATTATAGGATTGAGGAGACGTCTTGCGCCGATGAGATCAGTTGTGTTATGGAAAGTAAGTTTGATTAGTGTCCTTTTCAAACCCACCAAATGATTAGGAAGCGACAAGTCTTCTTTGAGTTCACGAGAGATCGACTTCACATGGAAGTCTTCCAATAAACGTTTCAACAGCTCTTCCACGTCTGGTTCCTTCCCTGGCACTACCATTAAAAAAAAGTATGGATCGTATTGGAGTGTAGCTTTGAATGAACCTCCCTCTTGGTCCAAGAAGTAGAAATCGACACCCGAGTAGCCTGCCAAATAATCATCCGTAGGGACAGTCGTAGCATGCATATTGATCAACCAGCCTTTTCTGGGTTTAGAACCATCATATTCTCCTTGGTCAAATCTTTCAAACCCCATCATGGCGTCCAACTGATCTATTCTTTGAACGACGTCTCGTTTTGTAACCGAGTCATTGAGCATGGGATTTAGTTGAACGGACTCATCTTCTGCTTGTTTCGAGACTCTATAACGAGAGGTTATTTTCGTGGGTTTCGATGTATTCTTCACAAAGCGAGCCGATGTCGAACCTTTGAACCGCGTAGTCGTAGCAGTTGCAGGCATTATTGATACTAGCCGATAGAAAAGTAATGGAAATGGATTAAATTAGCCTCAAAAAATTAGGATGGGAAATTCGCTAGTACGTTTAGTGAGTATATATGAAAAGGTGTAGAGCCATCAAGTAACTATATAGGGTAACGCGTTGCATGAAACGCGCACTCCACATCTTTTTTTTTCCTTTTTCCCTGAAGAGTGCACGTGACCGCCGCCATAAGTGCCAGACAGAACCAAAGTTGTAATATCTTGACCTGCTCAACGTGACATGAAAATGACAATCATAAATTGCACGACTACCGAGTAGAGGAAAAGAAATTGCACACGAAGTCGCCTTTGGTTGTTCGAAATGGTGTTGGCGGAAGTGTCACCAGCACCCACTGGTAGAACCAAAAACTTCAAAGAACGCATCAAAAACAAGGACAAACTACCAACAAGAACAAAGAGCACGCTGTAGAACGCGAGCCATGAGCCGCCGAAAAGATTCTTCCAACAAAGTAACACGGTTATAGCCACGTACTTGTAGCTGCTGAAGCTCACGAGGTCCCAGAATGAGCTTTGAGTCGAGCAGTTCAACAAGTAAAGACCGATCTTGAAAATTAAAATGTCCAAAAACGAGCATGCCAAAGTCTGAGATGCAAGGTACCCAAAAACTTCGGGATGAAAATCGCCCCGCAAACCCGAGAATAATGCCCAGAGGAGAATGTACGAGATAAACGACATCAATGGGATATACAAATCCGGCGCATTGATATCTTCACTTGGAGGAGCATACGAAACGCCTGCGCCAGATGAGCCTGCGCTTTCCGCTGTGGTCATTCTCGACCAGTTGCGGTGGCGGTATGGGAACAAGATCAACCGAAGCTTGTTCCACACATACAGGTTGCTCACTTTGAAGTAGTATTTCAAGTCGCCCGCCACAGGCATGTAGCTGCCAAAGTTCTGCTGGATGTAGTTGTTGGACTGGCCAAAGCCAGATTTGGCAAACTGCGCGGCCATGCTAGCGGCTGGATCCGAGAGGAAATTGGAGTATGGCATGGAATTTGAGCCTTGTGCCGCAGGCAGTGTTCCTTGTGGAAACGCATTCTGCTGTTGTGGGAATCCCTGCTGTGGGAATCCTTGCTGGGGGAATCCCTGTTGGGGCATGTCATGTTGTGGCTGGAACTGTTGTGAGTACTGCTGGTTGGCAGCTGGCTGCTGATACTGCTGCGAGGGAGAATAAGATGGCTTCACATGATGCGGCTGGGGATGATGCAAGTTGCCTTGTCTGGGATATGCCTCAGGGGCCGAAGCGTACGGGTTGTACATTGGTTGGGGACCTTGTGACAACAAGAGACTTGAGGTGTAGCGCGACGGTCGTGCAGAAACCGTTACTGTGACACGATTGCTGGAGATGTTCAGAAAGCGAGGTGTTGCTTGAAAATTAGCACACGGCAAGCAAAAAAGCAAAAAAGTTAGAGCCCCGAAAGTGTGTGAGCGTGTGTGTACAGAGCAATAGGCTGAAATTTTTTGTAAGTATCGTGTCGCATGACGAGGCTAATTTACAGTATTATACGAATCAACATCAACCCGAGAAAAGTTGAACAAAGAGAAACCAATTGAGTGAAGAAGAACAGGAGTCAAAAGATCCATCCGCTCGAGCACTTTGGCTTGTTTTGAGTGTCTGAGTGGTGCGACTCGAAAAGAGCGCAAATTCTAGCAATGCCTACGAACAGTCGAACGTTATAGAGCCGTGTGTAAGTCATTGCGCGAACATTCTAGTGCGGGCGCGGATTAGAGCTGGTGCAGGCGAAATAATCCGATCGCCCAACGATCGGACCATAGTGCGAAGTAGTCTAAGCCAAATAATGGAAGTCCCACAAGGAAAAGAGTAGCGTGGGCGTCGAGCACATAGAGCTGGCAGAGTTGGAATTTTTTTCTTGTTTTTTTCCACGTCTTTTCTTCGCTCATCCACCATGTTTATTGCTCTGGTGCTTATGGTCTCATAAGGCGATTGCTATGGCCCCTGGTACCTCCTGCAGGATCGCACTATAGCTATATTTGCTTCACCTGACGCTCTTTCCACTCCACAATTGTCTTTTTTCTCTCCAATGTCTCAGGGCAAAGTTCTCGTTGTTTCAAATCGGTTACCAGTAACAATCACCAAAAAGGATGATGGGTCGTACGATTACTCCATGTCTTCCGGAGGCTTGGTGACTGCTCTTCAAGGCTTGAAGAAGTCCACAGAATTCCAGTGGCTTGGATGGCCCGGCTTGGAGATTCCAGAGGCTGAACAAGAAACAATGAACAAGGATCTTATGGACAAGTTCAAATGTACTGCCATCTTCTTGAGCGACACCATTGCGGATTTGCACTACAATGGGTTTTCCAATAGCATATTATGGCCCTTGTTCCACTACCATCCGGGCGAAATGAATTTTGACGAAAATGCATGGGCCGCATACATTGAAGCCAATCGTAAATTTGCATCCAAAGTTGCGTCGCAGGTCGAAGACAATGATATGGTTTGGGTTCATGACTACCACTTGATGTTGTTGCCCCAGATGTTGAGAGAGATCTTGGGAAACTCGAAAAAGAATGTGCGTATTGGCTTTTTCCTCCATACACCATTCCCCTCTTCGGAGATCTACCGTATCTTGCCCGTGAGAAAAGAAATCTTGGTCGGTGTTTTGAGCTGTGATTTGATCGGTTTCCATACCTACGACTATGCAAGACATTTCTTATCCTCTGTGGCACGCATTGTGTCAGATGTGAAAACAGTTCCAAACGGTATTGAGTACCAAGGTCGTTCTATCAGTATTGGCGCTTTCCCCATTGGCATTGATGTCGACAAGTTCACAGAGGGCGTGAAAAAACCCAATGCTGTTGAGCGCATTAAGCAATTGAAGCAAAAATTCAAGGACGTGAAGGTTATTGTTGGTGTCGATAGACTAGACTATATCAAGGGAGTGCCTCAAAAATTGCATGCGTTTGAGGTTTTCTTGCAAGAGAACCCTGAATGGATCGGCAAGGTTGTTTTAGTTCAAGTGGCGGTGCCATCGAGAGGTGATGTTGAGGAGTATCAAAACTTGCGTGCTACTGTCAATGAGCTTGTCGGTAGGATCAACGGACAGTTTGGTACGGTGGAATTTGTGCCTATTCATTATCTACACAAGTCCATCCCATTTGAGGAGCTTATAAGTTTGTACCACATTTCTGATGTGTGCTTGGTGAGTTCCACAAGAGATGGTATGAACTTGGTGAGCTATGAGTACATTGCTTGTCAGGAGGAAAAGAAGGGGCTGCTCATTTTGTCTGAGTTCGCTGGCGCAGCTCAGTCGTTGAACGGAGCTATTATTGTCAATCCCTGGAACATTGAGGAGTTGAGTGAAGCTATCAAAGAAGGCTTGACTTTACCTGAGGAGAAGAAAGCGCTCAACTTTAAAAAGTTGTTTGACTACATTTCCAAGTATACTTCGGGCCAGTGGGGAGAAACATTTGTCAAGGAGTTGTACAAGTGCAATAGCGATGAGAATACATCCAAATAGAGAAAATACATGAAGCTGATTAGTCAATACGAGTCATTCATTAATGTGCACTATGGTGTTAATTTACTCCACAAAATCAGCATGCAACGCATCGGTGAGAACCAATGAAGAGACGGTGTGAGATTCGAGATTCTCTTTTGTCAATGGTGGTCTTTCGTCAGCATTCTCTTTGTCGTCCTTCTTCCCATTAAGAAGAGCGGATCCATAGCCATACGGAGGCGATCCAGGACTAGGTAGCTGGCTTTGCGAAGACCGGTTGACAAAAGTACTATCACTCAATTGTCTTGGTACATCGGCTGAGATCACTTGGGGCTTAATACCCAACTTCGAAAGCAACGAGTTGTTGGCATACAAATATGCACCGGGAGAAGAAAGAGGTTTTTGAATAATCCTGCTATCAGAATACAACAGCGTATTTGGGAGATGTGCCTTGTGAGGAATAAAATGTTTGGGCGTGGGAGTAGATGGTACTTCGCTAACCAGCTTCTGCGGTGTTTCTTTTTCTTTTTCCTTTTCCTTCTCCTTGAAATGATGCACATCTTCCTCGAGTGTTTTTGCCAGATTAAATGCAGACATAAGATAGGGTAGCTCTTCTGAAATTGTAGACTTGTGTAGAATGCTGGCAGATGTAAAGGAAGAAAGAGATTCGCGTCGTTTAGAGACATACGACAGATCAGGCGACCTCGAAAGAGAATGCTTTGTGATAGAGTGTACCGTAGGCTGTGTATGCAGCGACATGGATTGAGAAGTGGAAGCTTCATCGGAAGACTCGTACTCGTCGGAGTAATCGAATTTGGAAGGACTCAGAGAGAAATCCGGCTCTAGTTTCACAGGTTCTTGAGACGCAGGAACAAGATCTGACGAATCTGATGCTTGCTTTTGCAGTGCTCTTTCTAGTTTGAAGACTTCAAACATCTGTTCCATATCGCTAATGACAGCAAGACACTCATTTCTGTCTTCCGTATTGTCCACCTCAATCGCCTTATTTAGCTGGTTGAGCAAACTAACAACAAATTGCTTGTAAGATGCAACTGTTGCGCTTTCATCATTGGGATTATCGGCCAACATGGATTCTAGATCACTTCCGATCGTTATAAGTTTGGCCTTCAGGTATGCAATTGTCACTTTGTCTCGAAGTTCGTCCTTAAGTTTGATGCTTCGCAACGTAAGTGTCGTTAGAAGCGTGCCACTATCACTGATATACTCTATTGGAGACAATGATCTCAGGGCGTTTGTAATAAAGTCTATGTCTGCTGTTATCTTGTTGAGTTTAACTGTGAGCTCTTGACAAGAGGATATAACACGCAAACTAACATTTGTGTTGAATATTTTGATTTCATCTGGGTTTGCATTATCAAAATGGTTAGTGGAGTTTATGTCCAAGGACATGAAAGCCCAATTCTTCAAATTGAGGTCTATCTTCTCTAGGGCTTGAAGTATACTCAAACTCAAATTGCATAGCCGAGAAACTTTACGTTCAGCAATAGGAAAACCTTGGATCATCAGCAAAAGTTTGGCCGTTTTTCCCTTTTCCTTATTTAGGTTTGCGTCTCTGGCGAGAGTCAATATTGGATCATCATAAGACTCGGCAATATCTAGCTCTGTGTAAGACATGGATCTTTGTGGCTATGACTTACAAAATGCAATTTATGGGACAAAACGAAAATAGAATTGAGGATGCAGGAGTCTAAAAGATGGCCGGAAGGCACTGGAAAGAATATGCTGAGGAGAAAATGGCTAGGAAAACCGGGGTAAAAAAATTGTTATAGTACGAGGTGAGTAAATCGCAAGATTGCCTGTTTTCCTGGTAAACATGAGCTTCTGCAGGATATTCCCCACCCATAAACAGGAACACACAAAAAAGAAAGGGCACCAGCGGAATACATGGAAGAAAATCAGAAAGCTGAAACCGACTTAAATGATGTTAATGAGAATATATGCCTTGTACCTCGAATACGTCACTAGAGAAGGTGCGTACCCAGACGAGTAAAAGTAGTATCTAGCGAAATGAAAGTAGTACAGACGATTTAAGAGCGGAATGGAAGGAAGAAAAGAAAAAAAATCCACTAGAAAGCCATGCCTAAAAGTGTACATGGACAAAGCAATGAGTGAGAAGTATCAAAGCGTTCATGTTTTTGGTTTCTCTCCATTGTTACAAATAATTTGTGCTGTCGACTCAAATTGGTATCAGGCGCACACAAGATAAACTCGGGAAAAGAAAAGACGTCAAAACATTTATTAGCCAGTTGGGGATGGGGAGAAGTAACGGATGCTTTATGAAGATACAGATGCTAGGAGTGACCCAAATGAGGTTTCTTACTAGGTCATCAGAAATTAAACCAGTCAGCTTCAAATGGCGATATTCTATCACTATTAGAGACCATTGCAACGGATGAAATGTTGTGCGGGAGTGCAGATTTTGCAGAGTCGTATAACAAAGAATCATGAATGGTGTAACATCAAAAGCAAAGGTGCAAAGTCATGAAGTAACAGCGGGTGGTACCAGCAATACGAGGAAAGCCGAGGTGCCCGAGATATAATGATGAATTCGAGGATTCACAATCTTTTCACATGAGTAAAATCCTCGAAAGCATTATCATAGGCTGTAAGAAACCAGCCAAGATAGTTTCAGACAGCACTGGGCCACGGGAGTGTGATGTGGCTCTTATCGTTTAACACAAAATTGAGTGTCCATTGTTCAGTGTGTTTTTCTCAAAGATCTTCTGCCTAGGATTGTGCCATAGCAGCATGCCATTCATCGTACGTCTGAGAACCGTGGAGAACCACAATTACAAGTGTCATATTGTCAAAGCCAATTCCGGTTATGTTGGAGGCCATACTGATGCAGTCGTGCAACACATACTCCACGACATGTTGGAGTTGCCAACCATCATGAAGCTTTTCACGAATTACCGCGAGAAGCTGATCGTTGGTGTAGCAGTCCCAGATCCCGTCGCAAGCCAACACTAGGAACTCGGGTTGTGGCATCACTGCTAGGTCATACACCATGATGTCAGGCTCAACGCTGACCTGGTAGAGTTCAGGAGGAATCGGTACCAAATTGTCGTGCACAAGCCCCCTGTTGCGTTCGAGATACGAGTTGTGGGAGCCTGACGCGCTGAGTTCTAGCCACGGGAGCTTGAAACTAGCATCGCCGAACGCCCGCAGAAGCGCAAGAATCTCATTGACGCGAGAATTGGCCACGTAGCCTCCAGCATTCTCGATGCGGACGCGCTCGCCCATGGTCAGCGGTTTATGATCAAACGAAAGCGTTTTCGGAAGCCCGCCAGGCAACGATAGGATGGCCCGCAGATCACCGGTATTGGCCACCACGATATATCGGCCGGCCAAAATGGTTGCCACCACTGCAGTCAGCCCACAGTTTGCTGCTTGGGCCTCGGGAAGCGCAGCGTCCACTTTGAAGAAACAGTCTTTGATTTGGGCAAGCACTTTGCGCAACAGTACCTGCGGCCCGTCTGCGTTGAGAGTACGGAAGATTTCGGGCACAAGCAGCGTGCGGAGGCGCTCCGCCACGTCTTTGCCGCCGTGGCCGTCGAAAACGCCAAACACTGCCAACTGCTCGTTTTCCGCCACACGAGCATCATGGGCATCCTCCATGGTCATCCGGTAGCCCTGCATGGCACCAACACAGTACGAGAGCGTACCGTGGCTCTTGAAGTCGATAGACTTCTCCTCCACAGGGTGTGAGAGTAACTGGCCCATGGTGTTGTGGAATTTGGGCGTACAGTACTGCGCGAGAAAAGGTAGCAGTAGGGCCAAACAATGGAGGGAGGAAACCACAGACTGTTATTGGCTGAAACGTCGATGCTCAAGAAAAATGTGCAGCAAGGAACTGGCCGAGGTAAGATGGAACAAGTCAAGCAACGTCCGAAGCACAAGAGCAAAAGTAGTATGTGTGGCACTAAGCGGGAGGAGCCGAAAGACCTTATCGCATGGGCCTGCAGGCTCAAGAGGGCAATCTTGTGCGTGAGTATACAGTCGTTTCGCAAATATCTGCGGAAGCGACGCCGCAAGACGGAAATGTGCATAGTGAGAAGGAAGTGGAATTTGAGTACGAGGCAGATGTAGAATGGACATGCTGAATTTATTGCCTGCTGGAGTTTTCGACTTTTCAAGAGCTAGGGAGAAAGTGAAATGTAAGTGGCACTCAAGGTGTGTACTATAAAGTTTTGCATTTACTTATTTACCAAGCTTCTCCACAGACGTTGTATGCTGCGACCATGATATACTTTGGCCAAACGCAGCATGCCCTAGAGTTCAACCTACGGCAACTGGTATATGTCCAAGTCTTTCCATTTGAAGTACGTTTGATTGCATCTCCGCCGTGATTTCTTGTTACCATGCAATTTACACAACACAAGAGGCCATGCAGATATGTTGTGCGTCTTAGCCAGTATTGGTAATTCAAGTCACTAGCCCACTATACATATCATGTGGTCCCTGAAAATACTGGACAGCATTAAAATGGCAGCACGACACGTTCATCTGTACAGATAACCACGAAAGATTTCGCATCCAACTGTTTCCATGTCAGTGTATAGTGGTGGAACCCAGCTACGTCACTGCCTGCACCCCTCACCCCGCATTTCCGCACACTCTACGGTATCAACCACTTGGAACTAAGCCTCTTCTACCCATTGTACGAACGGCAAGCAAATGCACATTCCCAAAATCACGCCCGAGTCGCCCGACGGCGACCTTCACTACAAGCCGCCCGCAGCCTTCCCCATTGGCCCGCATTTCAAGAAGTACTCGCACAACCCGATCATGGTGCCGGACCCAACACACGAGTTTGAAGAGGCCTATCTCTATAATCCCACTGCCATTGTGGTGGATGACAAGGTGTTTTTGTTGTACCGCGCACAGGACCGCCACAAGACGCTGAGTGTGGGCATTGCGTGGCTGGAAGACGGCTTCAACTTCACGCGCCATCCGCGCTCAGTGCTCTGGCCCACGGAGCCATGGGAACGGGGCGGCGGCTGCGAAGACCCACGGGTGGTGCGCGACAGCACCACGAAAAAGTTCATCATGACCTATACCGCGTACGACCGCGGCACGGCGCGGCTCTGCGTGGCCGAGTCCTTGGACTTGTTCCACTGGAAAAAACACCCACCGTTTGTGCCGTCAGGGTTCGAGGAGATTTGCACGGGCGCGGACGGGAAGCAGTACATTCGGCACGGGTGGCTGAAATCGGGCGCAGTGTTTGCCGAGCGCCACAAGGACGGCCTCTACTACATGATTTGGGGCGAGTCTGGCATGTACTTGGCCTCGAGCAAAGATTTGGTGGAGTGGCGCACTTTGGGCGGCGGCCGGGACGCTCTTTTCACAGAGGGCCACCATGTATGGCAGAACCGCCTCATCGAGCCGGGGCCTCCGCCTATCCGGTTGGCGGGGAAACGCAATCTCTATGTGTTTTTTTACAACTCGTGCACTCGCGGCGGCGGTCAGTATGAGAAAGGCACCTACTCCGTGTCGCAGATGCTTATTGACTACGACGATGTGCGGGCCGGGCCCATTGCGCGAATGGAGCGGCCGTTTTTGGTGCCTGAGGCGCGCAACGAGGTGCTGGGCCAAGTAAATCGCGTGGTATTTTGCGCGGGCGTGGTCCAGTTCCACGGCCAGTGGTTTTTGTACTACGGCCAGGGCGACCTGGAACTCGGGGTCGCCACCGCACCCCTTTAGACTTTCTTTTGCCCCATAGGGACGCTGGCTGGCCGAGTGTCGCTTGAAAAACCTGCTTTGTTTGTTCTTGTTCTTGTTTACGCTGATTTTTAGTATTATACACTTTACTGAGTAACTTTCAGTTTTAAAGGGAACTCTCGTGATGACAGCCGAAGATTCGAAGGAGAGTCTTCGTTCAATCTGTCTTAATCGTTCAAACTCTTTGTAAGTACGAAATTCGTGGGCCTCGCGTAGTAAAACCTATTCGATCAACACTCGCAAACAAAAATCAAAGTCTTGCAATTCTTAGTTATTTGTGCCTGCGATGAAGCTACAAACAGCTTGCAAAGCTTCTTTCAAATGATTGGCGTCTTTTCAATAATTGCACACAACTAAGCTTTTTTTTTTCAGTAATTACACATAATTAAGCTTCTGAATGTGTCTTATCTCTCTTCGATCAGCTCATTAGCAATCTTGTTGGGGCATATTGCCTAATAAGGTTCCCCGCGGAAGACCGCGGCCCACCGTAACGGGCCATTCTGACCTCTTTTGTCGTCAACCAAGTACGTTTGCCTGCTCATAAACTTGGAGATTTTGGCTCTTTATATCGGACCTATCTTTTGCTTTTGGTCCTCTTATCCTTTTCAAGCAGCACATCTTCACGCGCGGCTGGAATTCTGTCGAAAATTATCTTCTTCTCCACATGAAGGCTCTTCTCAAAAAACCATCCTTACAACCTAACCAGCCAGTCAATGACAAGGATCCTGTTCGGCTTGCGTTCCTTGGTGGCCCCAAGTGTGGGAAAAGCGCCCTTATCTCTAAACTTACGAGTGGAAATTTCAGCGACACCTACTATCCACTGAGAAGCACACTTCCAATTCTTTTCGAGTATACCCCTTCACCGAAGCAAATAGAAAATGTGTTGGACCCAACAGCGCCAAATCGGACATTGGATAGGGCTACACGAGCAGACAATGTTGTTTTGAGTCCTGTTATCTATAAGGCGCTCGTGAAGGATTATTCCAAAACACCAGCCTCTGTCTCGGACCCGGACCTGGACCTCATCTCATCCAATGAGATATACGCCACATTTAAGCCATCTAGCAACCAGGGTCATAAAAATGTCACCCCAATACTCACAGAGCTTATCGATACCCCGAGTTTCAACCCCAACCAGATTGTGCCTTTCTTAGAGGCATCTTTGTATATCAAACTAGATAGAGATGTTCTTCACAACCTCGCTGACGAACCACGACGGCCTGTCAACACAAATCCTCTATTGGTAGCTAGTGGCGCAGGCGAAATGAATGGCGATGTGGATGGATACTTTTTTGTTTACACTGCCGTGCCTTCTCTCGATCCTCCAGGCTATGAGGAGAGTATGCAACAGGAAGTTGTCAGAGATGGACCCGATATTTCTCCCTATTCATCTTCTGAATCATACAATGAAAACGGGACGTTAAAGTCGGTCACAATGCACAGAAACTCTCAGGCAAAGTCTTTTAATCTCCTTCCCATTATGAAAGAAGCTCTCGACGAAGCGTGGCGTGAATACTACACATACAAGACACGCTGGTACCACGGAGAAGAAGGTGACGTATTCTCCCTCAAGTCCGCATTGAAGAACATGTTGTCAGAGAAATCTGAGGCTCCAACCGCTCCAGTACCCAAGTTGAAATTGCTAGAGACGCCTGTGGACCCTGCTGATCCAGCTTCACCACCACCAATCTGGATAGTATGCACTCATAAAAACCTGCCTTTGGCTTCGCCAAAATTAATCGCTGATGGAAAGCGCTTAGCCAAATTGTGGAAATGTGGATTTGTGGCGTTGGACTTGACTGACGATATCGAAGACTCGTTGGCATGGATGATCCGTGATTTAGTGGAGCGGAAGAAAATACAGAAGAACAAGAAAAGGAAATACTAATTATGGACTTGAGGTTGAGATGTGGGACTGGCATCGATGGATATAGAGGATACTCATAGATAGCAAACGAAAACGGAACATGGAGGATTGAATTGCACTTAACTGTAAACGATATACGACTCCCACAAAAATTGATACAGCATTTAGATATAGAAAAGCATCTCAAAACTCGAGAGCACAATCGGATTGGAACTTATCACTAGTACAGATAAGAACTACTGATTGTGCGACTGGATGTACATCTGACTGCAGACAAAGCAGATTGATCTACTCCGAAAGTCATCTTGTTACAATTCATTTTTCATCTATCATAGCTTCCCTTGGTCGATTACAGAAAGCTGTGGTCTTATTTTTTCATTCCTTTTGAGGATGCCGCATGACTCGAAACACACAGCTACATGCTGTCCGATTTGCGCAAAGACCGAAACTCTACATACTCAAGACCTTGTGTGTAAAGATTGCGTGAATAGTGGCGTTGAAATCATTAAGAACTCGGTGGCCCGAAATGAAGAGCTTAACATGGGCATGCGTGCTGAAATCAACTCCATCTTCGAAGCTTGTTTACATTATCAGAATGGTCAGAACTTGTCTGATCTACGACAACGCCATACAGATGATAAACACATTCCCAATGTAACCACAGACTCAGTGAAGAACTTGGCAATACAACTACAGAAGCTCGCAATTGCCAACACAAAGATCAAAATCAATGGAATTCAGATGGCCGAGGATGCAATGCGTACTAAAGTACAACGTACTATGGCTAACATAGAAAAGACACAAAAGAGAATTGATGATATAAACAAGCTACTTGATACGAAAGTTGCTGAGCTTGCAGCTGTATTCAATAAGCAAACAAGATCTCTTGAAACAGAGACACAGCAGATATATGACCAGTCTATTGATCAGACTATGAGATATTCAGCAGCAGTACAAAGAAAACATTATAAAGTTTTGCGGGACATTGCTCTCCCCAACTACGATCAATGGAGACTATCTGTGTCTAGTATTTCCAGAAGAAAGAACGTGAAACTACTACTTTTCGGTCTGCCTGTCATTCAATTATCTTCCTTCCTAACATTCAATAATAAATTGACTGAGATCAATTCCTTCATTGAGAACTTGATAAGATTTCAAATCGAGCTTCAGGCTCTTCTCTCACAAAATGACAATCTGGTAAATCTTCCGTTTCTAGAGGATTTGATCCCACTACTTCCAAATAGTTCTTTTTACGACTTGGTTCAGGAGAAAATCAACTTCGTTACTAAAGATGGAAAACCAACAACTCCCTCTCCAACTTTGGAAGAAAATGAGGATATTTCCCCAAAATCATCAAAATTTTCTGTATCGACTGATAGGAGCATTGATAAGATTGTTATTGAAGGGAATGTCATCAAAATCCCTATATCTTTCAAGACGATTAATTTGCAACGAAGAACTTCCTTAATGAGTCCTGAGCCTGCGAATTCAATTTCAGAACCCGTGAATGTTGACAAGTATCTGCCATCATTTGGCTCGTATTCCTTTCAACCCAAACTGCCCTCTCCCTTATCTGAACTGACTCAACAAAAGTTAGCATTGAAAGGTAAGAAAATCGTTATTACACCTCATAAAATTCTTACGAAACCCTTTACCCGTTTAAAACCTAAAGAGTACTTGAAGTTCATACTGGTTGTGGTCAAGATTCTCATTAATTTTGATGTGCTCCTCAAAATCACTGCTGATCGGGCACCTGGAAATAACTTAAAGAAGCAGGCTTCTTCAGGAACCCTCGGTAGTACTTTTCATCAGTTAAGAGCGAGTGGGAATCATTATCAGGAAAGATTATTTAACATGTCTGATAGGGAAGGAGAGGATACCATTTATGATTTTGAGAAAATCTTGAGTAAGTTGGCGAATTTGGAACCTTACTTTCATTCGCGATCAACTCTACAGAAAGCCAAACCATCTAAAGACCCAAGCTCAATCGCCAGCAGCCTCATTAATATTTCCTCATCGCCATCATCATTACGTTTCAATACTTCCAATTCTGAGAGTTTCCCTTCGAGTGAGTTCTCAGCTTCAATTGTGAATGTGGTAGCTTCGCAGGTGAGCTCAAAAAAGAAACCCTCTCGTCTAAAAGAATTGTATGATACTGTTTTCAATAGGCAAACCAGTGCCGTTGCACCTACACAGGCAGAGAACATATATGGCATGGTCAGCGAGACTAATTCACACACCGATGTTTCAAAGTCAAAAGTTTCAGAACGCTCGCCAATAATCGCCACCCCAGAAACGTTCACAGATACCTCTACCTACGAGCAAACATTGGGCGCCGCCAATGGACAGAATTACAATGTGAAGAAAGTGATGCAAGATGTGCATAAGATTCTAGCAAGCGGATTCGGAAACAGCCGAAGCAAGTCAATTAGAAAAGTCGGTATTGATAATGAGGTCAAAAAGGCTACATTATCAATGATGTCACAGCTGAAGGCACAATTGGAAGACTGGAATGTAGTCAGTACGATGTACAAGTAAGTAGATGGCAAAAATTAATATAAGAGGGAATGGGTGTGTACTGGTGGGTATTCCTGAGCACGAAGTGCGAGTAAATTCCATACCGCTAATATCTCGGCCACAATCTAATTATCGTCGAAACCTGATAACATCCTTCTTGGTCGCGGCCTTTCATCTCCCCAAATTTTCTTAAGATTGAATCAGCGACTGTCCTGAATTTATAGCATGTTATCTGACAAGGAATTGTTCGAATTGAACAAAAAAGCCGTCACCGAGGGCTTCAAGATTAAACCAAGAATCAGCTACAATACCGTTGGTGGTGTCAATGGTCCTTTGGTGATTTTGGACAATGTGAAGTTTCCAAAATTCAACGAAATTGTTAATTTGACTTTGCCTGATGGAACTACCAGAGCTGGTCAAGTTTTGGAAGTCAGGGGCTCCAAGGCTATTGTCCAAGTTTTCGAGGGTACTTCTGGTATCGATATCAAGAAGACCAGAGTTGAATTTACAGGTGAGAACTTGAAGATTGCTGTCTCGGAGGATATGTTGGGTAGAGTCTTTGACGGTTCCGGTCGTCCAATTGACAAGGGTCCAAAGATTTTTGCAGAGGACTACTTGGACATTAACGGTTCTCCTATCAACCCATATGCCCGTATTTACCCTGAAGAAATGATTTCCACTGGTGTTTCTGCTATTGACACCATGAACTCCATTGCCAGAGGCCAGAAGATTCCGATCTTTTCTGCTTCCGGTTTGCCTCACAATGAAATTGCTGCCCAAATTTGTAGACAAGCAGGTTTGGTTAGACCAACCAAGGATGTCCACGACGGCCACGAAGAAAATTTCTCGATTGTTTTCGCTGCTATGGGTGTCAACTTGGAAACTTCTAGATTCTTCAAGCAAGATTTCGAAGAGAATGGTTCATTGGAAAGAACTTCCTTGTTCTTGAACTTGGCCAATGACCCTACTATTGAAAGAATTATTACTCCTAGATTAGCATTGACAACTGCCGAATACTTGGCTTATCAAACTGAGAGACACGTTTTGACCATTTTGACTGATATGTCTTCTTATGCTGACGCTTTGAGAGAAGTGTCCGCTGCCAGAGAAGAAGTCCCAGGTAGAAGAGGTTACCCTGGTTACATGTACACCGATTTGTCTACCATTTACGAAAGAGCTGGTAGAGTTGAAGGAAGAAACGGTTCTATTACTCAAATTCCGATCTTGACCATGCCTAACGATGACATCACTCACCCAATTCCGGATTTGACTGGTTACATTACCGAAGGACAAATTTTCGTCGACCGTCAATTGTCTAACAGAGGTATCTACCCACCTATTAACGTTTTGCCTTCTTTGTCTCGTTTAATGAAGTCTGCCATTGGTGAAGGCATGACCAGAAAGGACCACGGTGATGTGTCTAACCAGTTGTATGCTAAATATGCTATTGGTAGAGATGCTGCTGCCATGAAGTCTGTTGTTGGTGAGGAAGCTTTGTCTACTGAAGATAAGTTGTCGTTGGAGTTTTTGGAAAAGTTTGAAAAGAACTTCATTGCCCAAGGTGCGTACGAGAACAGATCTATTTTCGACTCGTTGGATCTCGCCTGGTCGTTGTTGAGAATCTACCCTAAGGAGATGTTGAACAGAATCAGTCCTAAGATCTTGGCTGAATTCTACGAAAGAGCTAGAGACCAAGATGACGATGAGGAGGAAGAGGAGGAAGAGAATGTTGACAAGTCTCACGACTTGATTGACGCTTAGATTTTGTGCTCTTTTGAATTCACTTCTCTTATCAAACATTTAGTTCCAAGCATCAATACGTAACTCTTTATATTTCCCACAAATTGCAGTGAAGTCAGTCTTTAGACATCTGTATGGCTGATGTGAGTGCAGAAACTCTAAAAAGAACGTTTAGTTTAATTTCATTCTTCGTGTATGCAATGCTTAAAGCTTATACTATGGTATATAATCAAGCAGATGATTCTGCTGCTTGTTGCTTCTTCAAGTTTCCAATGTAGTTGATGGCAGAACCTGCCTTGAAGAAATCAATCTGGTCCTTGGACATTGTGTGCTTGCACAAAATCTCAAACTCAGATCCATCCCTCTTGGTCACCTTAACCTTTAAGACGCCACCGTTATCACCGTTCTTGGCCACCATGTCCTTCAAGTCCACAGTAGTCAATTGGTCTCCGGCAGAAATCTTGTCGTAATCGCTTTCATCAGCAAAAGTCAAGGGCAACATACCTTGCTTCTTCAAGTTGGTTTCATGAATACGTGCGAAAGACTTGACCAAAATGATCGAGCCTCCCATGAATCTAGGGGACATAGCAGCGTGTTCTCTGGCTGAACCTTCACCGTAATTGTGTTCTGCAACGACAATCCATGGTCTTCCTTCATCCTTCCATTTAATCATCAAATCAGGTATAGTGTAGGCATCACCATTCAAATCATAAGCCTTATTGACCTCGCCAGTTTCTTTGTTAACAGCACCAATCAACGTGTTGTTTGAAATATTTTCTAGATGGCCCTTGTATTTCAACCAAACACCAGCTGCAGAGATGTGATCCGTGGTACATTTACCCTCAACCTTCAATAAAACTGTGGTCGAAAGTTCATCTCCAGACCAAGGTGCAAAAGGCTCCAAAATTTGCAATCTATCAGACTCTGGCGAAACATTAATTTGAACCTCTGGCTTTGGTTGAGGGTTGGCTTCTGGGTAGAACTCACTGCGTCCTTTGATAAACCCGTCATGTGGCAATTCTTCACCTTTTGGTGGAGCAAATTTAAAAGCCTCGCCGTTTTCCTTTTCGATAGAGTCCGTGACAGGGTTATAGTTCATATCACCAGAATAAATCATCGCAGTAACAACATCCGGAGAAGTTAAGAAGTTCATTGTGTTTCTGTTACCATCGTTTCTGGCTCTGAAGTTTCTGTTGAAAGAAGTGAAGATAGCATTGAAATCAGACGAGTCCTTGGAAACATCTGTTCTGTCCCACTGTCCAATGCAAGGACCACAAGCATTTGCCAAGACGATGGCCCCATTACGCTCGAACACATCAATCAAGCCATCTCTTTCTATGGTAGCTCTAATTTGCTCGGAACCCGGGGTGACAAAGAATGGAATTTTAGGCTTCAACCCAGCTTCTTCTGCTTGTCTGATGATGGATGCTGCACGAGACATATCTTGGTAAGAAGAATTAGTACAAGATCCAATCAAACCAGCACTGACCTTTGAAGGCCAACTTTCCTCCTTTGCAGTTTGACCAAATTTGGAGATGGGGGTAGACAAGTCAGGGGTGAATGGTCCATTAACATGAGGCTCCAAACTAGACAAATCAATTTCAATAACCTTATCGTACTGAGCATTTTCATCAGCCTTCAAATACCCAAACTTATTCAATGCCACATCAGCAGCGTCTGCAATGGGACCACGGCCTGTTTGTACCAAGTAGCGGCGATGAGCTTCTTGATATGGGAAAGTAGATGTAGTGGCACCGATTTCGGCACCCATATTACATATAGTGGCCATTCCTGTGCAAGATAAAGACTCGACACCATCGCCAAAATATTCAACAATGTAGCCAGTACCTCCACGAACAGTTAAAAGGCCAGCCAAGTGGGTGATAACATCCTTTGGCGAGGACCATCCACTCAATTGTCCTGTCAACTTAACACCCAATATTTTTGGAGCCTTCAATTCCCATGGAGTTCCAGTCAAGGCATCTACAGCATCAGCACCTCCAACACCGATTGCAATAGCTCCCAAGCCACCAGCGTTGGGCGTGTGGGAGTCTGTTCCCAACATCATTAATCCAGGAACAGAGAAGTTCTCCAAAACAATCTGGTGAATAATACCAGAACCTGGCCCCCAGAACTGGATTCCGTACTTCTCACCACAACTTTGCAAGAAATCAAAAACTTCTTTGTTGGTAGCTATAGAACTTGGCAAATCGGCATCTGCGCCCTCTTTTCCGACAATCAAGTGGTCACAGTGAATAGAAGCGGGAACAACAGTGCTAGACATTCCAGTAGTCATAAATTGCAAAAGCGCAGTCTGGGCAGAAGCATCTTGCATAGCAACACGGTCAGGATTCAACTTCAAGTATTGTTGACCTCTGACCTGAGCCAAATCACCATTTACCAGTGCGAAGGTCTCTTCAGGATCCACCAAATGTGAGTACAAGATCTTTTCTGCCAAAGTTAAAGGTTTGCCATTTGTAACTTTTTGCACTGTTTGCAAATTTCCCACCAATTTGGCATAAGGTGGAGTTCTTGACTTGTACTCATGAGGAACTTCGAATGCCGAAGCGAAATCGCTAGAGGTAGCTAACGACCTTCTGATAAAAGATACAGGTGATCTTAATGAACGCCTCGCTGACAACATGACCCGAGAGTTAAAAAGACAAAGGTACTGGGAATATGAGAAGAATTGTACTGGTAATGTGTTGGAAATTTTTCACGACATGCACTATGACTGTCCTACATATCGGCCAATAGTTTTGTGTAGAGTTATGATTATTGAGATAGAGCGCGGGGCCCTTTTAGATAAGTGTGAGTCACTTTAACAGTGCGCCGCATTCACTATCGCACGTGACCCCCTCGGATTGAAGAACTCTGTCTGTATCTGCAGGCTGTCTTTACACTACGTGTCACCACTTATCCAAGAAATAATCCTTTCAATAGATCAGAAAAACTCGGACAAGTAAGTCGGACCTACCTATTTCCGTGGGCATCTTTTGGTGCATTAGACTTACTCTTTTGCTACATAGAAACCTTGTTTTTATGTCCTTCGCTGATCAAATACCTGATGACTGGCCTTATGGAGATTATTCAAATCTTTCACTCTTTTTTTTTTTCCATTCCAAATATGTAGATAGAAGTTGCACCATATTGTATTTTCTGTCTATGTGCACTAGTATACTAAAGTGTTTGTTGAGAAAGGTCTCTTGGTTGAATTTCACAACTCAATTTCCAGGCCCTATCTTCGTCTGCCTTGTTCTGTTGCAGAATTTTCCACAACTCCAACAAAATCAATTCTTGTAGTGCAGGCACTGTCGCAATAGTGTAGTCTTCACCAGTGGTTTTTGACAGGTTCATTGAGAACAAACTGCCTCTTCTGTGCTTGCCCTCTGGTTCAGAATATGGGATTTGCAAGCACTCAATGTCAGCTATAACTCTTGATATTTTCAAATACTTGTCGATATTGATTAACTTTTGGTTCAAAAATGTGTTGGCTTTCCTGAAATTTGGGTTTCCATCACTCACAAATGTCAAATCCTGTAAAAATAATGAAAAGTAAGGTACAACAGGTATGTTGTACTCGTTCGACAAAAGAAATTTTTTCAATTTTGATCGATAGACACTGTAGTTCTTATCTGGATGAATCACGCCACTGAGATACTCAAATAGCGTAGTATACTTCTCAGACAAGTCACTCCACACTTTTGACAATCTAGTAATCAAATGAGATTGCATCGAAGTGATGATAGCTGCAAGAGAGTTGAAGTTCCTCAAGTAGAGACACGATATGGCTACTTTTAGCCATGTTTTCACAATGTTTACCCGTATCTTATGGTTGATCTGTGGTTGCAATATCGATTCCAAAACGTAATCAGATAAGCAATTTGTAAATAATAGAGATAACCGGACGTTGGAAGCTAGCTTCAAATGTGCTTTTTCGGCGGTGAAGTTGCCGTTCAATAATTCTTCTGGTTGAATAGATCGGAAAATCTCTGACTCAATGAGTGTAAATTGTTTTGCCAATTCCAATCCATTGAAATCAAGCAAATTTGGTCTATAATTTGTCAAGACCCAGCTTTGCTCACAAAGGGAATACCAATTGGGTAAAAGACGAGGAAGAGGAATCGGTGTAAAGTGCTTTGACTTGATGTACCCAATAGGACACCAACTTTCCCCGAGAATTTCACGATATGTTCTCACCACATTTTCAATTGTGTTTAGTTGGCCCTTTGTTAACAAAGAGTTCGCTGTAGTAGTTTGACTGCTGACGCCAAGAGGTATTGGCAACGTCATTGACTTCAAGGAACTTGCAACGGAGCTGTTTGTGTTAATCTTTGTCAACTCATATCCATCAACCATCGAGTAGCGCGATTCGATTGATGCATCAGAGTCCCTTTTTTTCATGAAGGACGAGGACTCTTTTCTTTCGTACTTCGCTAATGTAATACTTCTGCTTTTCAACTGGGTATGCGCGAGCAGGACATCCCTAGAAATGAGATGTGATGCAACTTCGATTAACTTCATAGCTTCCATGGGCAAATACAGAAAGACTCCTTCGTTGAAAAAGTTGACCAATGTAGATAAGTATTGGGCATCATCCTCATGTGACCAATAAGATTCCATCCATATTTGAAACATTTTGCATATTAATCTTCTTCTGTTTTTCAATTTTACGTTCAACAGAGCATCTTCTAGTTCAGATGCTTTGACATGTTCATGGGAAGCATCAAATCTGTGGATTAATGCCTCAATCAAATCAAAACCGTTGGCAAATCTTCGAAAGCACATAAAGAAAGTGGATATGAAGAAGTATTCTGGTGGGGAAACTTCATTAGTTAACGTGTAAACTAATCCTTTGAATGAAGCGCCAAGTAAGTTTCCGTTAGCATCCACAAGAAGTTCATCTTTTATTGTAAAGTTGTCATTCTCCACTTTTGAGTCGCTCATAAATCTTTTGAACTCTTCAGAATCTTGACCAAAGGAAGTAGAGTTGTCGTCTGTTAGCATGACTTTATGAAGTATGTCGACGCCGGTAGGTGTAATTCCCATACTTCCAGAAACACCAGATCCAGATCTAAACATGGAATATCTGCTAGCGCTTTTGGGATTCTGTTTTTTCATTGTCCTCAAATCCATGTTTTTGATAGACATTGACTTCACCATTCCCACTGAACATTTTTTGATAAACTCTTCAGGCTCAATTCGCATGCGAGAATATTCTGGATAAGCACGCTCTGAACTTAATCTGAAATCCCCCACAGTTTCAAAAAGTGTTTTAACTGAAATAATAGTTTCCCCAATTGCCAGGATCATCTTAGAAGCCACTTGAATGAGAAACTTTCCCTCTGATGTGTATGAGTAGTTATTGTTATCTTGTACCGAACCCAAAAACTCGTAATTTTTTGACTCTCTAGTCGTGGAAGTTACCAAGCATTTCACACCAGTAACTAAATCACTCACAAGGGACAAAAGAGCGTCTAGTGATGAATCCAAATCAGTGGCTTTTTGCAAAGAATAGTCTGAGCCAGTTTTGGAGATGTACAATAATTCTCTGAGAAGCAAAATTATTTGATGCGCAACAGTCTCGAGCATTTCACAACCTGCTGAATTATGCTCAATCATATCTAACCTTCCAATTAAAAGCGCCAAATACGAATACAAAACGCCATTAATTTCAGTCACTCTTTGTTTGGCCATCGGAGGTGAAGATAGGAGAGGATAGTTGTTCAAATCCTCCTGTAATTTCTGTTCTGTCTTCCTTCTGATTATCTCGTTGCTTTCCTGGGCCCAAATTTCAAAGAATCGTGTGCCTTTACGAACCACCTGGAATACAAGAAGCATCAAAATTTCAATCCTGTCAAAGTTGGATGTGCCTTTATACTCGTTCGCTTTCGACATCAAGGTGTACCAATCTGAAAGCAAAGACTTACGAGCTTTCCTAACCACTTGTCGCTTGATGACAACCTCATTGGATCTCGATAAACAATCTGTCTCTTGAAGCAAGAAGCGTACTCCATCTCGGACAGAGTTTATTGTTTTGATGGAAAAAGTTATCTTTCCATACTTTGTAGTGTGGGACAAAGGATTCAGTAAGAATCTGCCACAGAATCAAGTAGCGGAGCCAAATAACGGGAATATTGTAAGGAGTGGGCCGTATCATCCTCTCCTAATTCATTAGTTGTATCCACGGCCATCGTGAAATAATTCATGGGGATCCAACCACGATCTAAAGTTTCAATTAAAGTTACTTCGCCCCAACCTGAGTCTTCTATCGTATGAACGAAGGCTATATCACCTTTCTCAAATGATAAGCATACAGAATTGTCTGCTTCCGATTCATCAGGCACGAATGGGTGTAAAGCCCTGATAAAAAGTACAGACATATCTTCATCCTGATCCAAATCTTGGGCCCAGTTTTTCATAACTGGTGGATGCACTTTCTAATGCTGTCTTGGAGAATTCAGAGTCTAGTGTTGTATCACCATTATGAGTGTGATTAGGTGAAGAATCAGAGTCTTTGAATGATATATTGAGTCCTCCGTTCATCAGTTGCTGTCTAGAAGGAAATTCTTTCTTTGACGGAGTAATGGATTTGCTTGCACTGGTTGGTGATTGTGGAGGGCTCCGAGGTCTATGAAAGCCAGAGGCAACATGGAAATTATTTTCCGATGGGCAGTACTCGTTGCTTTTATACGAGTTTCTATTTGAATCATTTGTGTAGTACGATTCGTTATCCTCTGGCGGTTTCGAGTGAATCTTCTTGTAGTATGTGCTAGTTCTCAGATTTGCTGCAGCATTAGTTGAATTTGCATTTTTCACATTCATCAGAAAATTTGTGTGGAATCTATAAGACTCGTCCGTTGCCGAGTACCTTGTGTTTTTCAAAGTGGAAGAAAGTCTGTTGAAAGTTTTATCAAGAGCAACCTCCTCTTTCTCAGCATCCTCTAAGGGATCTTCTCTGTATTCCAAGGACGCCAACTTAGGGGTTTCGTCTATTAATGGTCTCTCCTCTGAATATGCATTTAACATTGGAGTCTCGTCGTTTCTTTGTAGGTCGTCTTCATTCAAGCGAGGCGTAGCGTTTAAATCTGGGAAGCTTGGATCACCCGACTCTGTCCGTAGAAGAGACTTGTTTATTGACGTGAAGCTTGGACTCTCGTGGGCGGTAAAATAGCTATCAAGTGTCTGGTTTGAACGTTTCGGTGATTGTAACTCATCTCCACTGGTTTCTGAACTGTTGTAATCCAGACCGAATGCATCTGCGTTGAATTTAGTACCCTCCCTAGTTTTTCTTTTGCCAATGTTAATATCAAATTCACTGTCTAGAGGCGAATAAACACTTGATGAAACGCTATAGCGAGGATGTTCCATGCTAACTTTAAACCGATCTTCACCGAAAATAGTAATTTAGTTCGAAGAGTGTGATGGTAAAACAGCTAGATGCAGAAAATGACTTGATCCTAAGAAATTGATTTCAAAGCCTTGGTGCACTGCTTGTGTTGACAATATTCACTTAGGCGGGCTATGTGCTGAAAGGAACTCGATTCTTGAAATCTAGATAAACTGCAGGATGCGTATCGATCAGAAATGTACTTAACCATGCCAAACAGATAAAAATAAAATCCAAAAAAAAAAAAAAAAAACGTCTGGCTGCGATAGTATCCGAGGTTACTCTTCTTTCTTATACAAAATCCAAACCGAAGTGCAAACGCTGAGGGCATTTTTGTCTCTCTAAACATTTTGCCCTCTTGTGTCTGACGAGACGCGTCTCAACAAGACTTCAGTCTGCCGTGGACGATATAACGTCGAATGCATGCAAAAAACTTGAAAATTCTAAAAATCCGAGAATTTTAAATCAAAGGGAAAGCTTTAAGGGGGTTGCTCCTACTTACAACAAAGACGAACCTCACACCTCCTTCTCTTGAAACCACATTTAGATGCTTCGTATCACGTGAATACTAATTCCGGCACCGGTTTGTCTCACTCCGGACGCGCTCTGGCCTAGTCGGACCGGAATATACTTGGTCAATAACCGATGCATAGATATGTAAAAAAAAAAAAATAGCATGCGAAATCGTATCTCGCAGAGCATCTGGATAGATTGGAATGGAACTATGACTTTTGATTCTAGGCTATTATTCATTTGTTCCAGTTCGTACGTTTTATCACAAGCCTAATCATAGTATATCAAGCGGGTAAAAATATCGCGGTTCTGTTCTTGGCCCCAATGAATCAATTAGCTTGCATGATTTGCTCCACTATTCTCTACTATTGTCCGAAGTTGTAAATGTGCCACTAATTCTAATTGCATAATTACGATATATAAGTTCTGATGTGAAGTTGTGTAGTTTTCGTATCTGCGAATGCCTTCCGAGTCGACATGAATGGTTATGCTACTAGTGTCCCACAAAATACGGTTACTGGTTACACTATGCAAGTTTATGAGAGAAAGATCCAATGTAGTAGAATCCAGAATAAATGCCAGGATCGCTATTCACTGTATCTTTGGAAAAGAATCACCGCATGTGCTTATACCGTGAAGATGCTTTTTAATTTATTAATGTACATTATTCATCTTTATCTTGGACTTTCTTTGGCCCTTGCTTTTTAGATTTCATGTCTTTGACGGTGCTGAGGAACCCTATCAAAACAATAGTACAAAGGGGTCCTAATAATGGCAGAAAAACAGCAAGCTTGTGTTCGCTCGGGAAGTATGCTTGTTGTACCATTTCCTTTTCAAAAAAAGCTTTATCGGAACTTTCAACACTTTTACTGGCCAAAACTATAGCTTCTTCAAAATGCAGATTTGCCAATTCGGTCATAGCTTGATCGTAGTATGCTAAAGCTTGTTCAGTGTGGAACTTTGTAGACTCAGGAATAGAGATCTCATTCAAAGAAGTCGACAATTTAATTAATGACGACAAGTTCTCCAAAGAACGCTTCAAATTTTTGAGTGCAATTACCCTATTCAACGAGTCAATGCGAATCCAAGGCGATTCGGAATTTTTAGGTACACCTAACAACTCAAACAATTGGGATGTGAAAATCTCAAAAATAGGTTGCAATTCGTAGGTATTCAATTTGAAAATGGTATCATTAATAATGGGCATTTTTCTGTTGTAGATGTAAACACCGCCCCATTGTGGAATTAAGAATGAGTTGGTATTCGAACCTTCAACAAGCAACGGAACCTTTTCGTAGTTGCTTTTGGAAAAGTATAAGATGAAGTTAATAGAAGGGTTTATATCATGTGTGATCAAGTTCCAGTCTCCAAAGTTGATAAATGTAGATAATTCGCTCTTTGGTATAATGTTTGCTTTCAAATCTTCCGCATAACGAGTAGAACTTCCCAACTTGGAATACAACTGGACTTGGGTGCTGATTTTGAAGTTTGCATAATTAGAAAGAGCGTCGAAAACAGGATTCATAGCTTGAATAGCTGATTCAACGTCCCATTCCACCGGTCTACCATTTTCAACAAATAGATTGAAAACAACATTGTATGTGTTTGAATATGGGAAAACAATATCCGAGTCCTTTTCGTCTTCTTTGATTCCGAGAATCGATAGTATTTGTTTGCGTTCATCTCCGAAAATGCTATTCAATAATACATTAGTCACAAACTCACTTCCATTTGCCGTAGGTTCAACGTTCAAACTAATGTTTCCAGAGCTCGATGAGACTTTGTAGGAGTTTTGGTCTGATGTTGATACAATGTTGACGTCCAAAGTATAGACTTCATTCTTCAAAGCCTCCTCGTCTTGTAGTTTCAACTGTAATGACCATTTTCCACCCAAGCCATCATTGTTGTTCCGAGAATCGAGAGAGTCTTGCCACTCTTGAACCAAAGATTCATGTGATGGGTCGATTCGAACGTACACCGGGATATTAAATCTTACTAAATCACGGAAGCTGTTTATCTTTGCTTCCACTTCATGGCTTGGTAACTCAGCACGATGGATCAGAGTTGTGTATAAAAACAACGGAACACCACAAGACAAGATGAAGAGGAGTACCCCAAATATGATACTGCGTCTTGCCTTAGTGATGTAATGCACTTCTTGTGACGTAGTCATAGTCAAGTTGATATATGATATCAAAAGTTCAGTCGCGGTTAGGAAAATACACCTCACACTTTCTTTCTTGTAATAGGCAAAGTTTCCAATATTGTTCATTGGCTTCCTCCAAGTAGTGTTATTCAATATATTTCCTTTATTATCTTCTTCAAGTGCAATGTTTGAATAGATCTGAATGTATGGGGAGTTTTGTACCTTTGGATACTATGATAATTTGCACTTTTTAATGGATTTTGTTTGTGTATTGCCAGAAACTTTGAAAATGTGAACATGCCTACGAAGTTTAACAATACCTTCCGATCCAAAATTACAAAGAAGGAAAACACACATAGAGCCTACCCATTAACGATTTTCGCCTCTAGACCTTTTCCATTCTTGTGCTGATCAAAAAATTACCACTCACATCTTGACCAGTCGCGCGAAGCCAATTCTCGATACTTCTTTTCTTATGTTTAAGAAGCCGCCACAGCCAAAGCCTTCAGCTAACATCAAATCCTCTGAAAGGCGCAATCTCCTAACCTCAATATGTACTGAATATGACATTGAAAAAGCCAGTTTATCCAAAGAAGACGAGCATGCTCTCCTTCCAGCAACCATCAAGCAAAGCTCATACCAAAGTATCCAAGGCCATAAAGGAATAATTTACTATGACACAGAAGAAAAGCCACTATGGTTCAAACCAAGGGATCATCCAATTTATCCTACCATATATACATTGTGGAAAGGCGCTTACCTTCTTCCAATCATTCTCACTAACGAACCTACCATCGAGCGGTTGATGAATTTTGCCAATTTGATGTTACCTGGTTGCATACCGCCCTTCGACAAAAGAGCCACAAAAGGAACCCTAGTGGGTGTCTCTTGCTACAAGAATCCAACGGTGATCAAAGCAATTGGCCATTGCTCTCTCAACATGACCCAGTTTGATGATGTGGTGGACAGAAGAGGCGTCGCTGTCACAATAATCCATTCTCTTGATGACGAGCTTTTCAAATTGTATGACCGCGACGTCGTCATCCCTTCTGAGGTAAATAATGTGAAGCCTCTGGCAATCGACTCCACCACTGAAAGTATTGCTGAGGTTTCTCTCGCAGACGAGACAGCAGCACAGGAGATTGGAGAGCAGCCACCTAGAAATGAGACCCCACTTGAACAAGGAAACGAAACCGATATTACAGAGGAAGAACTTGCAATTGAGGACATCGATAATTTCTTCATCAGAGCCTTCATTCAGTGCGTCAAGCAATCGAAAATCGAATGCCCAATAACTGCATCCAAAATCATGTCTGAGATCCTCAAATGCTTCCCTCGCATGGATCCCAAGTATTGCAACATCAAAAAGTCGTCGTGGAAAAAGACTGCAAAGTACCTTAAAGCCTTGGAAAAGATGAACTATCTTACTTTGAAAGGGAAAGGTGACGATGTAGTTGTGACTGCCATCACAATTAGCCCAGAAGTTGTGGCCAACTTTGTACCGCATAAAACCATGGAGGATTCGAAGACTGGACCAACTCCTAGCAAGAAGGACTCTGAAAAAAAGTTATCTGTCGTGTCATTGTACAAGCCAAATAACAAAGCAAGAATGATCTTCAACAAATTAGATAAAGATTTCCAAAGGCTATATACGAAGCAGGAACTCAAAACAATCTTGAACGAGTACATCAAGGTTTCACTGTTGCCAAACAAAAACAACCCCAAGATGATACGCTTGGACGAAGTATTGTTATCCTTAATTGGAGGTACCGAGGAATCACTCCCTCGTGATAAACTTTTTGATGCGTTTTTGAAGAAATTTTCATCTAATTACTGTGTCTTGAGTCCAGGAGAGGAGATGAGTAGATCTACCCCTGTTCACAAGGGGGAACCCCCTAAGGTGAAGATTCTTACGCAAAATGTTTTGGGACGTAAGAAGACAACCAGCATTGTGAACTTCGAAACTTTCTTTATCAAGCCCCAAATATTAGCCGAAGACTTAAAGAACTTGTGCTCAGGCTCTACGGCTATCAATCAATCTGTTCACAATCCTGCTCTTACTGAGGTTATGGTTCAAGGCCCCCATGGACCAGCTATTGTCGATTATTTGAAGAATAAAGGCGTACCAATAGCGTTTATCGACTTTGAAGATAAGAGCAAAGGAAAGAAGCGAAGATAAATCGTAAAAATAAAAAGAATCAATATAATACATAAGTCATTAAAACATAGAACTAAAGAAACGAAGTGAAAAAGAGGTGACCACCACAAAGATTTTTCATAGAACAATTTCAATAACCTTTTGAACTGGTCCAGCGCTTACAAACGCGGATTTCGTTTCTGGGTTCACCTGAAAAGTTTGTGCTGGTATACCCCCTGGGTATATATGTGCATTTCTGCACTGGCTTATGTTGATGTAAGTCAAAGGAGAATAGCCACTCAATAATGCATCAACTCCTGCCCTCGTGACCCTGACACATCCCTTAACGACCAACTTTTCCAAGTTGTTTAGATGAAGCGAAATCGCATACAAAGAAGAGTCACTGACAGCAGAGCCACAAAAGGAAAGATCTAGCTCCCGTATCTTGTGGCAACCCAAACATAAAACTTCGATTGCAATGTCCAGTAATGCACAGCAGAAATTCAAATCTAATATTTCCAAGTTGGGAGCAGCGTTGGCCAAAGAAATAACTGCCTTCTCGGTTAAAAATGTGCAATCCTTCAAAGACAACTTCTTCAAATTTGGAAAGTTTCTATACGTCCAGTACTGAAAGCCCGCATCAGTAATAGTGGTACATCGTGTTAGATCCAAACTCTCTATACGAAGATTGGCATGCATGGATATGTGATACATGATATTGTCAGTCAAATGCTTACAATAACCAAGGTTCAAAACTTTAAGATTCTTTGAACCTGTATCGCCGTGGTGATATCCACTCTCCACATTTGTTGCTTGAAGCTGATCATCGTTGACCCATCCAATCAACCTCTCAATAACATTGTCATTAACTTTACGACAGTTTGAGAAATCAACTTCTTCTAAATATCTTCCAACAGACGGGGATGTCAAATCCATTATTGCCATTGCACTCACCTCCCATATGGAACGCATTTTCAAAACTTTGATTTTGCCTGACATTCCAATTTCGTTAACCATATAACTAAAACCTTCATCGGTAATGTGAAAGCAGTTTGATATGTCAATGTACTCCGGGCGAGATCCAACAAAGTCTGTTATTGATATTAGCGCATCGTCGTCAACAGAAGTATTCCACGGCGTTAGATCCAAGCGCTTAAAAAGATTTGGTGCAACATATAAGAGCTGTCTCCAACGTCTACTTATTGCCCTCAATTTCATCAATTCGGGCAACAGTAAATACTCAAAAACTTTTAGAAGAATCTTGTCAGGAATAGAACCAGTGCTTACCAAAACTGACGATCTTCTTCGGCCTGCCAAATTAGCTAATTTAACTCTTTTGCAATGAGGCATATACTGGAATGGCTGTTTTCTTCCAGGAGGTAAAAAAGTGTTGAGAGTATCTGATGGGTTCATAGGTGGGAGGGAAATATCTAAGGGACCTTCTGGTAACCTTTGCGAAGGAGAAACAGCACCGCTAAACAGCTTTCTTTTACGAAAACGCACTGCATCGTCGCTCGAATGCTTTGTTAAGATAGGTTTGGTAAATGGTAAATCTTGATCGCTGAAAGAAACAGGAGAAACAGATTTCGAAACAGGCACTCGGCTATCACCCGCGTTGAAAAATCCCCAGTTGGGGTTGAACAACGTGGGCTTAGGAGCAACAAGCGGTCGTTTTACTTCCTCGCCATCAGAAGTTGAAACGATTGAAGCTACTGGAGCATCAGCAGATTCTGCCAGTAGCGAAGATATTGAAGGAGACGAAAATCGGCGAGTGGAAAAACTCTGTGTGTTAAATCCAAGTGATAGAACCAGTGGGTTCGGGGATTGTGCTGTTTGGTTGGAGTTTTTTCGTTCATTGGCGGTATGGCGTATTTGATCAGCAATAGTGGGATACTGTGCACATATGCTTTTCAACTGATCTGAGCGAATGACAATAAGTTCCACAGATGTGACAGAACGAATCGTTGCACTTCTTGGCACATTCTCATTGCCCTGAAGGTACTCCAAGAAAGACATTTCGCCAAAGTAAGAGCCCCATTTCAAGCGAGCTAACACTTGCTCCATATTTTTGTTTTCACCTCTGTAATCCACCACTTCAACCTCACCATTTGTGACAAAATATATGTCCGAGCCTAAATCCCCTTTGCGAACAATGTATTCAAAAGGTGTAAAGTTGAGTGGTTCCACATCCAAGGCCACTTTATGGATTATATGAGAGGGAAGGTTCTTGAATATAGGAACACTCTTGATGAAATCTTGAATGGACACAGTTTGGTCAACATTATCAGCCAGGACCGCATCTAACGGCGAGGATGCTTTTTGAGAAGCATTCACGATCTGAGATAAGGGCAGCGGTTCTAACGACCCGGGAGAAGCAGGAGCGTGCAGCGAGTGAAAATGTGCCCCAGAGTTAGGCGCCGGAGACTTGCTTGGTTTGAGTATAGGCATTTCCGCCTTGTTCTTTTTCTCGTGCATAGCCAATCTCTCTTGTGCTTCGTCCCGAATGCGCCGCTCAATCAAAGGGTACAGACGGAGCACCACATTAAGGGCATCTGCGGTGAGAACCCCAACCAAGACACGCTGGCGTGCCACTACGGTGGCAGTTCTGGGCCTGTTGAACAAAATGCCGATTTCGCCAAAAAAGGCTCCCGGCGCCAACTCAGCATAGACAGACTCGCCATCTGTCGAGGTCACACTCACTGTGCCTTTTAGGATCCAGTACATGGACATGGCCGGATCGCCTTCCTTGATGATGTACTCTTGTGGGTGATACTGGACGAGTTTGAGCTTAGCGCCTACTTTGGTGTGGAACGATTTAGGTGCATCTTTGAAAAGCGGGAAAGTCACGAGCTTGTCAAGGAGGGTCTGGGGGATGGATTTCTGGGCAAAAGAGTCGTGGTCATTGTCGGTTTCCTCAAGCGGCCCGCTGTAGTCGTAAAATTCTTCGGAAAGCAGAGGCAGTGGGGATGGAGATACTGGTTGCTGGTGTACAGCGCCGTGTCTTTGCGCTTCTTGTGTCGTAGCAAGTGGCGATGGGCTGGACGGTTTAAATTTTCTCGCCGGCAGATTCATTTTCGACAAGAAACTGGCCACTCGGGGCACCGAGCCAGAAGTTTCTGGAACTGGGAGAACAGGAACGACAACAAGAACCGACCAGGGAAGCGAGATCGAACCCAGGGAGCGAGATGTAGCCGTACAGAGACAGGGAAAGAAGATGGGGAATCCAAGTTAGGCACAAGTTATGCGTGCAGTTTGTTTGATTAGGAGAAACAATGAGAAAGGTGCAAAAGATTGCGGCAGATTATGTTCCAGGGTAGTTTAAAAGTGCGTAGACACCAGTAAGATGTGCAGGAAAAACGATGGTGCTTTTTCTTCGTCAAGCGCTGTACGTGAAGAAAGGGTATTGTTAGAAAAGTTCTTGTGCCGGCGATCTGCGGCCACCTTTAATGTTAAGCGAGACGGAAGTTTGACGTGAAGGTTTCCATTTCGTTTCCACGTAATTTTTTGTTTGTCCATTGGCTTGCTTGTTTGCTATGTTCATTTAGGTTGAAGATGCGTGTGCGGATCGATCTGCTATCTTTAGGTTTGAAGTGCGCAGCTATTGTCTACAATACATGACTGAACGAATGCATGATGTGCCGCAAGAAAAAAAAAAAAAAAAGATCAAGAAAAAAGAAGAATCAAGAAAAAAAATATAGACCATTTAAAGAATAACAATGAAAATAATATAAGCAACTGACGCCGAGATCTGCAGCTATGCAGGGTTGCAGTTGGAGACAACATTACATTACGGTAAAGAGTACATTTGTGCCTCACAGCATTGACATTGGGCAATCTATAGTGTGTCTTCATTAATAGCGGGCAGATTATATGTACAAGAAGCGAGCCTAATTTTTGAAGTCGATGACAACGGCAGGGCCCAAAGTGCTGCTCAAACAACATTGACCAATCAAATTGGGCTTCTTCGTTCCTGGTGGCTGGCACGCGTAAACAGCTTCAGAGGCAGCCTGGATGTTCCGTATCACCTCCTCGTCACTGAAGTCACAGCGCGCCACAGGAATGCTCAAAAGGTTGCCCTTTTGCTTGAAATTGAATGCACCAAAGTTTTCCTCGATAAGCAGCACAATATCCTCGGACACTGTGCCTCTTTTAGCAGTAGGCATCAATCCCTTGGGACCCAAGACACGCGCAATGGGCCGAAGGAACGCCACCATTTCCGGCGTGGCGTACGATTGGTTGAATTTGCTAACATCGACAGCGCCCAGCTGGATTTGCTCAACCAAGTCCGAGCCACCTACAAGAATTCTCTCGTCGAGAGCGAAAAGTTTGGCGCGGACGTCTTCGTCCAGAGTGAAAACAATGGCCTTGTTGTCCTTGATGGCTTTAGGGAAGAAAATCTTACCCTGCAACGGCGTGGAACCCTTTTCTGGAAGAACGGTGAGTTGTATGGAAACGGTTGTTTTCTTTGCAGGCTGACCCACTTCTGCCGCACGCATGTAGCGCATTGCTGTTGGCACTTCCATGTAGAGCGGATGCAAGGATGGCAGTTGTTTCTGCTTGGCTTTCTTGGCCTGGGCTCTCTTTGCCAAAACCTTTGGGTCTTTCACTGCGTGATCTTTTGGGGACGGGCGGGCATTTGGCACGCCGTTGAGAAGGACCAGCCTTGTAGAAAAGCTGCGTATGAGCGGCGCAGTTAGCTTCAAAGATCTCTGGAAAGAGGCGGCCAACATTAGATAGTGTTGCATTACGGTGGAGGAAAAATTTGATGGAGCGAGGGTTTGTAATACACGTGATGTAATACACATGATACGACACACATGATTTCAAATCACATGACCATTAAGAAGTCATGTGCAATACATCACGTGCAATACATCACGTGCCAAATGCGTGCATCTTCGCTGCCATGCAAGCAATCACATGTCATTAACCGCGTGGCGCAACTCATTGTCACTGTCAATTATTTTACCCCATTCGTATGAGGCAGTCTTTATTAAAGAAGTCCGCCCCATGCCAACAATGGTTTGCCGCCAGCCAACGCCTTAGTTGGGCCCAGACTGTCCATGTCATTTAGTCGCAACTTGTTTGTCCTCATGGCCAGACTGAAGGTTTTGGAATTTCGGTGGCACTAGTCTCCACCAGATAAGTGTATGTGTGCGGGCAATGCAGGCCGTTGAGATGTTCTATTTTTGTTAAACGCGCACGCGTAGAGGAGATATGTGAAGTCTGTGAAATCTGCGCAGTAACGCGTGCTTCTATTTGAAAGATATCCGTTCGTTTTATTTTCGCCAGATACATCACGGCCATGTGCATAGACAAGCCAAAGTAAGATGAAAGCGGCGGGCAACTGAGGCTAAGATAGCAAAATTGCTATTAGGGGTGTAGTTTGCCACACCGCCACCTGTTGCACGTTTCATGTTTTCCTTTTTCTGTAGATTACGTATGAGTGACATGGGTGCCTGAGCCTCGTGGAAGAAAAGGGCGAAAAAGAAACTACAAAACGGCCATAGTTGTTCGCATTGTGCGTATTATACAATAAAGCTGAGACGCCTCCAATCTAGCCAAATAGTTGCCACCGTTGAAGCAACTGGTGTATTTACGGTTGGGAACCTGGCCAATATACATGTCCAGATATGGCTGGTGTCTAGATCGTTTGTGGTTGGTTGCAGTGGTGCAGACAATAGATAGGACTGCAGATGCGCCGTTTGAAGTACCCGGCGCAGGAATATTCCCCTTTGGGCCTATCCTGCGTGAAACGCGCCTTTTATTTTCGCCTCTTTTTTTTTTTCTTCTTTCCCCTAACGGTCTAATTCGTGTAGAGAAGACTCAACCGGATTTAGTTTCACTGCAGTGTTTTTTTTTTTTTTTTTTTTTTTGTTCCCTCTACTCTTTTTCTGTGTTTCCTTCTGTTCTTTCGCTTTATTTTTCAACATCCCAATTTCGTCCTACTGCTTTCCTACCGCAATCATACACCCCTTGTGGTTCCTGACAGATTGATTGCTTAAATACTTCGCATACATTGTTTTCTCCGCAAAACCTGTTTCGCGCCTACCGTCATCCTACAACATGACACCTGAAGGCAAAATTGCTATCCAAAATATGAATCTGCTTCCGGCCTCCCTTCTAGAGGCAAATACCCCGCGGCAAGATTTCCGCTCCATGCCCAAAAGCACCGTCAAAATCAGCAAAGGCCTAGAGGCTGAGGTTCCTGCGCTTTTGGTGGATTGCCTTGAGGTGATATTCTCCAATGGGCTTGTTGAAGGCATTTTCCGTATAAGCGGCTCTGCTCGTCGTATGAAAACCGTCACTGAAGACTATGGCTCCTACCAAAAATGGCTCAACTCGACCGAAAGACAGCCCAACGTCCATGACGTGGGCGGAATTATTAAAAAATACCTTCGTGACTATTTGGACTCCATCAACGGCTTGTTTCCCGCTAGAGTTCTTCGAGATTTCAAGCAAGAGTACGTGTCCCATCTACGCAAACTGAGCGAGTGTAGCGAAGACTCGTTTAAAAGCGCAAACACTTCTCTAGACTCTTCTGTTTCGCTCTCGTCGATTCTGGAGGTGGGCGAGGAAATGGACAGTCACATATCTAATCCCGATTCCCTTGTTGATGCTTTGGCTCATTGCCTTATTGTGAATAACTTGGAGAGCAAGAACTTGTTTTTCATCTACTGGCTATCGGTGATGAAGCGGCTCTCATTATACCAAGACAAGACGAAAATGTCTGTTTCCAATCTGTCGATCATATTCCAACCTTATCTATTCAACCAAACAAATGTTGAGGACTTATCTAAGTTCAGGAACATATTGACTTTTTTGGTAAAGAACTTTGACTCGTTTATCACGCGATTCAAGTACTACGAAGAGGTAATTGGCGGCCTTCATGCACTTGATAATGATTGTATGTCGATCTCTTCATCTGGTTCCGTTTCGGCTTCACCGTTAACCATTTACTCGTCTAACCAAGGTTCGCCGTCAAAGAACACCGATGAGCCAAGGAGGAAGGCTTCTATCTCCAACAGATTATCCATGTTCTGGGATAATTACAACCTTCCAGCAAACCGCTCTAAAAGGATATCATTCCTTAGTGCCAAGAGCAGCGATAGGTTTGCATCTTCCGATAACCTTGGAATTGATAGCCAAGTTCAAGATACCCACAAACAATGGAATCCAGAGAATACAATTCTCGATTCTCCAGAAACCGAGACCCCCATACTCGACAATGCTGAAAGAATTTCGGCTTCCCCAGTACATCATAGAGAGGAGAGAAAGGAGAATGATGTGCGCAACCAAATGGACGGCATTCCCCAAAGACCAACTTTACCCAAGAGAAACAGTAAGAGAAAGAGTTTCATTGAGTTTTTCCGGTCTTCCCTGTCACTTAATAGCCAGGAAAATTTGAGTACAGGGGTTGCCGTCTCCCCTCTTACTCCGCCTTCGTCTTCGTCCATGCTTGCTTTGCCCAAGCAAACAATGGGCAGATCAGTGGATGATTTAACGAAAACAAAGGATGTGCAGAACACTAACATTTCGGGACGGAAACTGTTGGGCCGTAGCATATCTTTGAGACTCAAGAAGAAGTGAGGGTGCCAGAATCTGAAGAGGTGAGCATAGTTACATGAAGCAGTGGACGACGCAAGGCTCCACCATTTTACGAAGCAAACGAATTTTCTGTACAATATTTTTTTTTTCTATTACTTTGTTGGGCAGGTATACCGCTAAGGGATTTCTATATTTTTCATAGTTTGTATCAATGTGTGATGCGATATTCTTTGTATTTTAGTAACCTATTTCCAGAGTCGCACATATTTGTGTGCGTCTCGATGTACTCCAACTCTCAAACTGCTGCCTTCATTTCTCATGTCGAATACGCCCCATGCTTCTTTCGATATCATAGCATCCAACACGTTTGTTGGTTTTCCTGATGGGAAGATATTTAGCTGGTGTCCTAGAATGGAACTTCTTGCTGTATCCATGAACAAAACCTCGATTTGGGTATTTCGTTTGAACGGCGAGAGAGTCTATTCGATTAACAATCGCAGTGAAGTGATCCACCTAGTCTGGAACCAAAGTGGGAAGTTCTTTGGAGTCTCTGGTGCTGATAAATTCGTCAAGGTGTACGATTCCAACAATGGTGCCCTTATAAACACTTTCGCAACAAGTACTGTCTTGCCCATTACTTTGACCAATTGGTGTTCTGTGTGTACTTTTGAAGATTCAAGCAATTCGAAATTGTCCAACCTGGACTTCTTCAAAGTGAACACACTAGGGGGAATGCCCAAACTTGGAAACGAAATAGACAGGATAGGATCAGAGACCAAAGCATTCTCATCTAGCACTATTCAGCCAGTGACAAACACAAACGAGGATGAATCAGTCCTTGACTGTTTGATAGTTGTGAACGCAGATGCTCTCATGTCTGTGACGTTTGATAACTTGTTCATTGTCCCAGATATAGAATTGCCTGATAATTGCAAGTTCTTGAAACATGGCGTGGCTGGCGATATGTTTCGCCAGCACTTTTTAGTCGAAGAAGAAAACGGGAACTTGAGTCTAAAAGGTGTCACGTTGGATATGTCAGTCCCAGAGCAGAAGAAGCACCTTGTCAATATTATCCGTTGGAGCTCTATGCTTGTATCCATCACAAATCATATCAATGAGCAGTTTCGACTCATAGTTAAGGAGGCACAGGAATTTGTCACACTTTTTGACCGCCACATGGGGAATTTAAAGGACGCCTTGTATTCTGAAGTTGATCTCACGGCAGAATTCCCACAACCAGCTGACGTGGAAGCGAAAATCATAGACACATTCATGCATATGTTACTTTCTGGACTAATACCTGCAAACTTGAAGGATTATTGGCTAAATCAATTTGGTGAACGTGGGCTTCTTAAAGTTTCAAGCGTTGGAAATAGTGCATTCGATAACGCGAGAAAGACTCTGTTTTCACAAATTATTTTAGCTCTTGAAAAATGCATTGTTATCCTAAGTAATATGGAAGCAGTAGTGTTAGCTGAGACAACTTTGCATGGCCTTGATTTCGGGATATCACTGGAAATGATTTCTAAGTCGATCTATCTTGCAAAACAATTGATCAAAGATTTTTATGAATTCATCTGGGAGATAAAAGAGGAACTGGAAGCATTCAATAAAATGTTAAATTGGTTGAAAGTTGAAGTCGTCGACAAGCTAGCGAAAGAAGAATCCGACCCACAATCATTTTTCTCTCAGCATTCTACAATGGAGTTCAAAGCATCTACGGTAATGGATTACTTTGAACAATATTTACTTGATCCAGCCTTTCTTAAATATTTGCCAGTGAATACTTCAAACAATGAAGTACTCAATAAATCCAACTTGGTTCTAGATTTGCAACAGTCCATCAATGAATTGATCGAAACTGTGGATTCTCAGCTTTTAAAGGGATTAAGAAATGACATAAGAACCAAAGTGAAGTTCAAAGACTCAACGACATTGCAAATTCAACCCAAACAAGTTGAATGCAAATTGAAACTTTCTGACTCTGGTGCTCTTGTAACGGCAGCAAAAGGATCGAAGCTCCTGATAATAAGAGTCTCTGGTGTTGATCAACAGAAACTTGAGCTTGATCTTGGCGAGCAAATAATCTCCCACGAGATCCTCAATGGAAACAGAATAGTTGTGCTATACAGAGAAAGCGAGGTTAATTATAAATTTGAACTATATCGAATCAACTTTGCCAAGAACGGTGTTGAATTATCGAATTCAATTACTTTTAACCAATCAACATTCATAAAAACACCGGCTTATATGTCAATTAGTGGCATGCAAGAGGAATCACTAGGAATTGCCTGTGTCCTAGACGCATCTAGAAAGCAGTATGTGGTATTGAGATTATAGCTAGTCATAAAAGTTTTTAGCGGGACTCATCTGGTAGTTTCCCGCGTTATCGACATAAAATTGGCCCATGACATATTGTCTGTAGTAGAAGCGAATGTTTCTTTCGTTTGGAATTAGGCGTTTTTGCCAAACATATTTTTTCTCATAAGGTGATACCGCTCTCGATTTGCTTACACGAAGCATGTATCGTCTGAAATTATCATTAATGGTGTGGTGCTGGTCAGTGTCTTTGGCGGTAGCAATGCAAATAAGATGGTCCAAGTCTTCTTTATCCAAAGGTTTGTATGTACGTAGTAGATGCTTTGCATAGGAAACCTTGTCTCTGAGTTTTTTCTCTCTCACTGCGATACTAAGAGGTAAACCCAATCTTGAAGGCTCGAAATGTATCTCTAATGGGTATATTTTCACATCCAGCAAGATATTAGCATGCTTGGAAATAAATGCGTGAAATTCTTGAACTTTCTTTAGAAGCTCCGCCATAGGGCGAGACGACAGAGTTCGTCTAGGTAGGGGAGTCAACGGAATGTCATTTTTCGGTAAGCTAAGCGCCAACTCTTTCATTAACAGAAAGCTGTTTTCTGGTTCCATTCTCGAAAGTTCCTTCCGATAAACGGAAATGCTCTTCTCGTTGCCGAATTCATATATGAGGTGCACATGCGGCCAAAATGGTTTCCATGCGCTATACTTGGTCGAAAAGAACTCTGTGGCCCACGAGGGAGAAGGAATTTTTCTCTTGTAGATTTCATCTAGGAGTTCAGGGATCCTCTTGTATTTGCGGTAAATCAAGATATCATCTAGAAGTGAAACCATCGAGGTGTACTTTTTAGGATCCACACCGGCGTATTTGTGGAAGCTTCTTTTCGACAGAAACTCATATCGCAACAGCTGCTTGAAAAGGCTGATGCTTTTAACATCCAAAGGAAGCCTACCGATCTTTCTATATAGTTCACGGTAAGCTTGAATGATCTTGGACATGAAGAAGATAGAGTAGTAGATCTGGTGTGCATACAACAGACCCACCATGTCAACACCAGATGATCCAAACGAACAAGTAACATGCTAGCAATGAGAGAATAAATTCCCCAAGTTATGGAGCCAGTGGAAGTAGAAATCGCTTCAAATGTAAATTGACCATATTAGTCCCAGTCGGTGCATCCATTCAAGTGTTTATGGAATTCGCACGCGTACATTCATCTTACACTATGCAAACAATTGTCACCACTAACTAACCCGAGACAAAATGGCATTAGCGGAATCTTTTCTACGGACCATTCATAAACTCGGGCTCTTGCCCAAAATTATCCGGGCGCTACCCATATTGTCTTTTTTTCTAGCCATAGCTAGTTTTGGATGGCTTCTCGTCTTGCCTATGGACGGCCAATACCGTAATACATACATCTCGGAGAATGCATTGATGCCAGGCCAAGTCATTTCCTATTTCCGTGAGAGCGAATGGAATATTGTTCGGGGCTACAGAATGGAGGTGACCAAATGGAACTTTCAACAAGCTTCAGAGGCCAATCCTCTTTTGGAATCGTGGCTTGAAGACAGCGGCTTGAAAATATACCACCATCAAGATCCCAAAACAGAGTCCGATACCATGTATGCTGTGATGCATGCGGCTCGTGGAGACAACACGGAGTCTCTTGCATTGGTCGTCCCTTACTTTACTTCTGATGGCCAAGCAAACATTGGGGCCATGTCCATTGCTGCTGCTTTGGCCAGATATTTTACTCGAATGTCCATTTGGCAGAAGAACATCATTTTCGTTTTCCCACATGATGGCCACGCGGTGCTCAGATCCTGGGTCGAGGCATACCATTCTTCGTTAGACGATACGCCTGGATCTATAGAAGCAGCCATAGTGATGGAATACGCCTCCGCCTTAGACAATTTCAGTCACATGGAGCTTTTCTACGAAGGTCTTAACGGACAGTTGCCCAATTTAGACTTGATCAATACGGTCACGACCATTGCTCGAAATGAGCAAATCAAGGTCAGCATTCAAGGTGCAGCAGGAGACGATCTCGACCGTAATACATACTTCACCAGGTTGCGCACTTTGCTTACAGGAATATTGAACCTTGCAATCTCCGGCCTAAGCGAAACTGGGCCAGGATGTGAAAGCTTCTCTGGCTGGCAAATCCAGGCGATTACCATCAGGGCTGTGGGCGAAGGCGGACCCGACATTACACAATTTGGACGTATTGTCGATTCAACATTCCGTGCGGTCAACAACCTACTTGAAAAATTTCATCAGTCCTTTTTCTTTTACCTCATGCTTACGCCGCTCAATTTTGTATCTATTGGAACATACTTGCCTTCTGCTGCTCTTTTAGTGGCGTCGTTTGCTATCAGTTCGATTTACTGCTTAGCAACCGGTGTTTCCACTAAAGATTATATCTCCGAGATTGGACACGTCTTAACGACTTTCACTGGCATCGAATTTGCATGCTTGGTTGCAAGCATAGCCCTCACCAAATTTGTGGTGGTACTCCCTGACTTTTTGTCGCCATTACTCGTGTTCTTGTTTGCGGGCTCCATTGTTTTATCTTTATGTCCAAGCATTAGCATCTTGCCACATAGAAAACTTTCCAAGCCAATGTCGTACCTGCTTTTAGCCTTTTCGTTGTACTTTATTGCAATGCTCATCGTCAGCTTGCTCATTGTGCATTTTGCTTTGGCCTTGTGTCTTGGAGCCTGTGCGTTTCCATTATCATTGATTCCGGCTTTAATTAAGCAATCCGTGGACAAAAAGTCATCTGCGTCTAAGATCAACACAAAGATTTCTCTTTGTCTTTTGGCTTCTTCCCCTGTAACAGCTATCGTTGCGTTGGGCTATACTCTTCTGAATGGAAAGTATGAAGGTGCGCTTTTTTTGATCAAGGGCTTATTGTCCGCATGGAGAGAGATGCAATGCTGGACTTGGTTTGTTTTATCTCTTGGTTGGTTTCCAGCGTGGATCGCTATTGTTGTGGCATGTTCTCTTGGTCAGTTCTCGGACGCAGAGAAAACAAAGAAAGAGTAGTTAGAACGAGAGTATGCAGCGCCATTTATTTGGTGACTATGTAAAGCTAATTCTTGTATTTAGAAACAAAGTCTTCATGAAACTTAGTCCATTCCTCGATCCACTTAGTTCCTGGTGGCAAGAATGTAGTTCTTAAATGGTATGTTCCCGGTACCTGGCCAAAACCATTACCTGGAACGCAGCAAATACCTGTCTTCTCCAACAATTCTGTACAGTAGTATTCATCCGGTGTCAAGTTTAACTCTTCAGACGCTTCAAACAACTTACTGTACGTCTCCTTGGTGAACTTCAAGCTGGGGAAAAGATACATGGCACCTTGTGGCTTGTTACATTGAACATCTGTCATTGCACAGAAAGACTTGTACAAAAGAGAAGCTCTCTTCATCAAATCATCATGAATTCCCGTAGTTTCCTTTTGATACAACTCGTAAGATGGCTCTCCCTCTTTAGGTGGGTTGATCATCAACTCCACCAAAGCTTGGCCAGAGACAACAGGACAAAGGTTGATAGAAGCTAACTTAAAAATGATATCTCTCACTTCTTGGGAGAAGCCAACCAACTCCATGTAGCCGCCTCTTTGTCCACACTCACCACTAACACCCTTAGATGTAGAATGCAAAGATGCAAGCTGGACGTGTTTGTATGTCTCTGGATCTTTCTCAAGCAACTGGGCGTATACTTTCTTCATCGACACGAACTTACCTTCAAAGACATTTTCCTGGTAGACTTCATCAGCAATAAGCACAAGACCGTGCTCTGCAGCAATGTCAATGATTTCAGCAATGTCCTTTTCGGTCAAGATTGCACCAGTTGGGTTACCAGGATTGATGACAACTAAAGCTTTGAGATCCACACCGTTGGCCTTGTTTTCGTCAATCAAACGGCGGATTTGAACGGGATCTGTGGACCAGTGGCTGTCCTCGTCCAAGAAATAGCCAATAGGTTTGGCATTGTTCAACGCAATCGAAGCAGTGTATAAAGGATATTGTGGGATGGGAATCAAGAAACCAGCATTTGGGCTTGAGGATAACACTTGTATCAAGTACAGCACAGCAGAGGAAGCACCACTAGTCAAGAAAATGTTCTGTGGGTGGGCTGCGTATCCGTCTCTTTCCGAAATGAACTTGGCGACAGATTTTCTGACGGTGATATCACCTTGAGAGTGAGAGTAAGCACCCACGGAACCTGTAGTCTTCAACAACTTGCGAGCTCTTTCCACAACATCGGGAGGATACAAAGAGTCGGCGGTTTTCTTGTCCAAAGTGCTGATTTTGTTAATCAATGTAGGGTATTGCATCAAAGACAAGACTTGTCTGTACCAAGACAATGGCTGCTGGTCCAACTGTTGTGGGTTTCCAATGTTAGCACTGATGATGCGATCATATGGCAAGCCATGACCATCAGGGTTCAGGTCAATTTCCGACCTCAACTCGTCGGCACGAATGGGGATTTTACCTCGGACAGCATATTTTGCTTCGAGAGTGGACTCGTTCAAGTCAGACACAGTAAGCTGGGGTGCTGGCTTAAAGCTCGCATAGAGCCGCTTCAAAAGGAGAGAACGCGAGCTAAGACGAAGCGAAGACATGATGCTCAATAGGCGGAATTTTTTTTTTTCTATGACTCGATTCACCTTGAGATAAGAGACATGGCGACCTGCAGAAAAATAAGCTCTTGTCTTGAAGAAAAGCGGAGAAAATGGATGAACAGACATATGAGGGGCCACTATCATGTTTCAAGTGTTCAATTAAGGATGCTCTTTTTTCTTTGCTCCATTTTCATGTTGTGCTAGTCCTTTACTCTTGATGTGATTGACGTTGGTATATGACGAGAAGAGCTCGGCAATTAAGTGCCGCAGTGCCGATGTTGACGAGAATGAGAAAAAAAAAAAGTAATGCTGCTTCCAAAGACAGCGAATAAAGACCAATAGGGGAAAACCCCACATCAAAAGTAGAGTTATCACGAGCAATATATCATATTACCATCACATTGGTCCAGCCATTTAGCCGTGTGAATCAAGGTGCGCGACTGTAGACCCTCGTTTTCTTGCATGATTAGCTGCATATGGTATCTAGACTTGATTTGTACAAATATGCACAAGACTTGTCACTTGACCGATATCGTAAATTGTGAAACATGTAAGAACTTGTTCGAACGCAACCAGCGGAACTCCGAAACGAAGCACGTATGTTAAAATATCAAGACATGCAGCAATGGTCAAGCGAACGAAGGCCCCAAAGCTCCTCCAGTCGATGGCAGAAGCAACCAAAGAAGGCAGCTAAGCAAAGATGATTGAGTCCAACGAAGTGCCCAGATTTCCAAGGGATCTTTGGTGATGGAAAGAACTGCACAAATGTAGAACATGCGTTCTCACTTTGCACTCTTGCGCAGGGCATGTATTGGCTAGGAATAGAGACAACGTTCGGTTTTTTTTTAGTCCAAGCCTTGCAATCGTCTTGTAGTCACATTGGACTTGTGAAGAAGCAGAAGGAATTGGTAGGAAATACCAGAAGCTCTAGGTGTGATAATATGTCAATCTGTCTCCTATGTACGTGATGCCCCTCTCACGCAATCCCTACATGCATATCTAGGGTAATTTTCTACGGTATCTGATTCCAGTAGAGGGTCACGGCAAATTTGTTTAGACCATTCTGGAACATTATATTTTTTTTCTACGCCAACAAAGCTACGCCTACAATGAAACAAGCGGCAGGGCCAACAAAAGTTCGATGCATTGCTTTTCTTTCACGCAACGTTCGATGAGCAAAGTAGCAACAGTTCCAAGCCATGACAATTGTAACCTGTGCGATGGCTCAAGCACGGCCACTTAAAAAGAATCAAGCGCAAATTGCAACGGTCTTTTGTGAATGCCCATTAACCCGTTACCCCAGGTTTTCTGTCAAAATAAATACAATGCTAGTGTTGCAGGTTTCCAAAATATCTGTGGTGTTACAGCGAATCGGATCGCAGGCCGATCACCCCACTGTGCTAGGACAAACAAAAGGAAGAAATGCGAGCCGCGCCTTGTGCAGCATTTTAGCCGGGGCTACAGGAGTACAGGTCTGAGTTTGCAGGAGATATACGGTCGTACTATGTTTAAATATGGAGCAACATCTACTGCCCAGCTTCTAATCATTGCTTATCGTTTCTTTCTGCCGTCGGCTACTATTTAATCATCTGGTGTCTTGACAATTTGTATAGCATTGCGACTCATGTCTGCACTGACATCTAGGCGGTTTTCCATCGCCCTTGAAAAGGAGCCCGTATCTCCTTCAGGATCAGAAAATGCAAATGAACCTCGTTCAGCGTTCCTTGTTGACAATCTCAATACCCACCCCCATGCATCTTTACCGCTGCGAGATCAAACTAAGTCGGACCAGTCCTTGTTCAAACTGCACTATTCCATTTGCGACTTGAACAATTTCGGCGACTACAGTCTTGACAAATCCCCTCAACACCTACCCGATATTTCTACTCGTCGCAGACACTCCGTGGCGACCGACATGAAAAACCATCGTCGCCGCAACTCGGTGGCTATCCGCTTCCTGATACCCAAATCCCCAAGCGATGTTGAAAGCCTTGAAGAGGTGTAAGTCCTTTATTGGATGTAATATATTTATAAATTTGTGCTAGCGACGCAAAGATGTTTTTCGTCCATGCATATCTGGGGGCTCAGTCTGTTCCGAAGTACAAGGAATCGATGAATCTGTTTCGGAACATCCAGTCTGTGTCCTTGAAACCTTCGCTGTTGAATTCCTGGTTCACTTCTTCCATATTGCTGAGCCTTCCGACAATAAGCGTGATGTTGGGGAAAACATTAAAGATACGACGAACCCCGACTTCGGTCAGTAAGTAAGAGATCAATACAATATTTCGCTCTTTCACCTCGTGGTCAAGTAGAACTTGGATAGCCATAATGGCTCCTGCTCCACTAATAATTTGCGCATCAAACAAAAAATATTGGGATTCCTCATTTATCTGTGGCAATGCTTCCATGTGTAACTGTGGTTCACCGGTCAAAGAATCACTTTGGATTAAAAGCTTTCCCACGGGAATGTCTGGGAATGTCTTGCGAAGTGAATTCATGAAACAGTCTCCCGATCTAATAATGCTCACTGCCACAAAATCGTGTGTTGGTTTTAGTCCTTTAAATTCATAGCCACTAGGACACGATACCGAAGTTTCTTCAAAGCAAGTGAGTTGCTCGAGGGCCTGTTCGATGAGAAGGTTTGCTATTCTGTCGAAATAGAAAATGAAGTCTGTGCGTTCAGTATGCACATCAAACAAGATGGAGTGAATGCCGGCCGTGTGATTATTTCTAGGAAGAAGTTTCAAGTTATCAAGGCTGGAAAGCTCAATCTTGTTGCTGAGACCCAACGCCTTGAGTCTTTCGAGATGCTCGGCACTTTTCAACGCCAACTTGTTTTGAATGTGCTTAATCATCACATCAATAGCTGTTGAGTTGTCAAGGCCTCTTGGAATGACAAGATCAGCATTTTGCATTGTGGGTGCTACGCTAGCAACAGAATTAGGTTTGACAAACCTTTCCCATTGGCGAATCACTCCTTCGACATTTCTGCCTCTGTATAAGATATCCCTGGTAAGTCTTCTCGCCAAGCACAAATCCAACTCGGTGTCGACGAAAACTTTGATGTCCATCAAGTCCAAAAGCCTCTTGTCATACAATGCATAAATCCCTTCTATAATAATAACCGTAGCACCGTAGATGGTGATTTTCTTATCTGTTCTCGCGTGTTGAGCGAAAGAGTACACTGGGATTTCCGTTTTCTTTCCTTCCTTCAAAGATCTAAGTGTTTCCACTGCGAGGTCTATGTCAATAGAGTCTGGGGTGTCGAAATCGTAGTTGTTTTCTGCCACCAACTTATAATCTTCAGGAGTCAAGGGTTTGTAGAAATTATCAAACAGCAAAAGAACAGTCCAGGGCTGGTTCAATTCTTGGATTATGCGCTGCGAGACTGAGGTTTTTCCTGATCCAGAAAAACCTGCTATTCCAATCACATAAGGTTCAGTCCATGGTGGAATGTATGTTGGTTCGTTTCTGCCTGTCACAGTACTGCGAAGATCCAACTCAGACACAGATTTCCCATCTTTCGAGTCTACCATGGGACTCGGAGTGAAGAAAGATGAGCTCTCATCATCGTGTGGAGCTATTCTGGAGTATCTTCTTCCTTTTTTCTTGCCTAGTGAAGACATTGTCTCACAAGTTGGATGAAGTTGACTGTTTCTGGATTTCGCGATGTGATCCTGGGATTTCGCGATGCTCAAGCTTGCAACTATATTACTCTGCTCCTACATGTCCCACATTCAAAAAGGGCGAGGTTATTCTCGTAAAAGAGACTATAGTCCTGATGACGAACCTATAGACGATACCTCTGTGATCAATTCTGAGTATCCACAGCCGAACAATGCCCCGGTTATTACCCCAGAGCACCAATCTGAACAAGCAAATGCCACCATCGCAAGACAAGACAATGTCGGTGGACAGCCTACGACTAAGGAACATAAGGGTTTAGGCAAAGAAAGTGAAGCTGCAACTTCTGTCTCCAACGATAATGGGCCAGACATTGACCATTTGCGTAAGAAATCTAGAAGAAACTACATACACAGCAAATTTGAAACCGCCCTAGATGATCTTCGAAAAGATGTGGCTCTTCTTGAACTGCGGGAAAATCGCCTGGCCACGGAAACGAAGGCTTTGAACGAGAAAAAAAGAATCTTGGATCTTATGGTATCGAAGGAAGAACAACCGGATGCTGAGTTTGAAATTCCAGATGAGTATTTCACAAGTGGCGGAGCAATCGATCAAAAACGGAAAAGGGAGCTACTCAAAAGCAAGTACGTGGAGGTTTCTGAAAAGGAGGAGAAAAAAAAACGATTTGAAAATCAATGGGAATTAGATCAACTAAAGAAAGCCCAGACTATAGTTTCGTCTAATCCAGATGAAATACAGCTTCCAACACAGCCGACATATGACTTTGTGTTTGACGAGTCGCAGTTTGTGGACTTTTCAGAGTCTGAACCTACATCCCACGAACCAGTAGAGCCGACTGACATTCCTAAAGTGTCTCATGAGATTGAAGAGGTGAGAAAATCCCTACCAGTGTATCAGCTACGCCAATCGTTTCTAGATACTATAGAGAAAAACCAGGTTTTAATCGTCGTTGGTGAAACAGGATCGGGAAAAACTACGCAGCTTCCTCAGTATCTATATGAAGCTGGATATACAAAAGCACCAAATTCAGACATTCCATTGAAAATTGGGTGCACACAGCCCAGAAGAGTCGCTGCAACCTCTGTGGCCACTAGAGTAGCAGAAGAAGTTGGTTGTGTTTTGGGAGAAGAAGTTGGTTACTGCATTCGTTTCGATGATTCAACATCACAGAAAACAGCCATCAAATATGTCACAGATGGTATGCTTCTACGAGAGTTTATGGCGGACCCATTACTATCAACGTACAGTGCATTAATGATTGATGAGGCTCATGAACGGACAGTCTCGACAGAAATCGTTTTGACGTTACTCAAAGACATCATCAAAGAAAGGAAAGACCTCAAGCTCATTGTTGCTTCAGCCACCATAAATGCTACAAAATTTTCAGAGTATTTTGACGGTGCTCCAATTTTCAATATTCCAGGACGAAGATTTCCTGTCGATATCTGTTATACGAAAAACCCCGAGGCGAACTACATCCAGGCGGCCATAACAACTGTATTCCAGATTCATCTCAAAGAAGAGATTCCAGGAGACATATTGGTTTTTCTCACAGGACAGGAAGAAATCGAAACCATGGAGGAAACATTGAATGATGCTTGTCAAAAGCTCGGGGATCTGATTAAAAAAATGATTGTGGCTCCTATATATGCAAACATGCCACCAAAGCTACAAAAACGAATTTTTGAACCCACTCCTCATGACGCAAGAAAAGTTATTCTTGCAACTAATATTGCCGAAACTTCCATCACAATCGATGGCGTGCGATACGTTGTTGACCCTGGTTACGTTAAAGAAAATGTTTTCAATCCTTCAACAGGTATGGAGAGCTTAGTTGTTGTACCATGTTCAAGAGCCTCTGCAGATCAGAGAGCTGGAAGAGCTGGTCGTGTTGGTCCTGGAAAATGCTATAGGCTCTATACGAAATGGTCATTTTATAATGAGCTACAAGCCAACCCGACTCCAGAGATTTTACGAGTCAATTTGAGCACCATTGTTCTATTACTATTATCTATGGGCATCACAGACTTGGTGCATTTTGACTTCATGGACCCACCGAACTCACAAACTTTGATCAAATCGTTGGAACTTTTGTATGCATTGGGAGCTTTGAACTCTAAAGGTGAACTAACAAAAACTGGAAGACGAATCGCAGAGTTCCCAATGGATCCTATGTTCGGTAAGTGTTTACTTAGCAGTGATGAATTTGGAGTTACAGCCGAGATTCTTTCAATAATGGCAATGTTATCAGAATCTGGTAGTTTGTTCTTCAGGCCAAAAGATAAGAAAGAACAAGCTGATAAGAAGAAGGAAACTTTCGCTCATGATCTCGGAGACCATTTTGTATTGTTGAATATATGGGAACAATGGTCTGAGTCTGGTTTCTCTAACATTTGGTGTGAAGATAACTTTCTTCAATACAAAACACTTCGAAGAGTCAAAGATGTTCGCACCCAGCTCGAAAATCTATGCCGCAAAATTGGGCTTGATGTTGAGCAACGGGAAGATATAGAAGAGCAAGATGTGAAAATCCAAAAAACTCTTTTGAGTGGGTTTTTTCCTAATGTTGCTAGACTCTCCAAGTTAGGAACAAATTATGTGCTGCTCAAAAAGAACCAAAGTGTATTTATTCACCCGTCATCCAGTTTATTTCCCGTCAAGCCACCACCAAAGATAATCTTGTACCACGAGTTGGTCTTGACAAGTAAAGAATACATGAGAAATTGCATGATTGTTGAAGAAAAATGGATCCAAGAAATCGCCAAACACTATTATCAGAAAGAGATCAAGAACATCTCTGGTCGGCCTTAGTCATCAGCCAACATCCTTCGATCTCTTGGATTTCCACTCTGCTTACGCTTCGAGAACTTTTCATTTGCAATTTGTCTCCCCCATCGCCTCAAAAGCTTCGAATAAAAGAGACCACATGCGTTGCATAATGTACGATTTCCACTCGGTCCACTTCTCCATTCTGGTGTTTTTGTGAATCCACATTGAGAGCAGCTTAGGTTACTCTTGGCGCTTAGTCCCTTGTTTAAATGGTGTGGAAACCGTGTAAGCAGCTGCTCATCAATGTTTTGTGGTCCCGTCGGTTTGACAGTAAAAGACAATATTCCATGGTCATCTCTTTCTCCCTGTGTTGACGACTTTGGTGGCACTGCTTTCAACTTGCTGTGTAATTTTCTAACTTTTCCGGCGGACAGAGGGTCGTTCGTTTTTTCCTCTGAAGATTTTTTTATGCCAACAGGTGAATTTTTAGATGTAATATATTCTGACTGACATCGTATCATTCTAGCGGGTGATGTTTCAGGTGTGATGTATTCCGATTGGCTCTTTTCCATGTTTACAGGAGATGGTGTTGCTAGTACTCTATGTTCTGGTTGAGGAGTTTTCATTCCACTCGAATTCATCATTGAATATTTTGGGGCCCAATCGGCTTCCGGACGGGTCTCTAAATTGCGGTTTAAAACTATGCTGGGAGTGGGAGTAATATTTGGAGGTTTACTCAAGGACACCATGGTTCTTGGCATGCTATCATGGAACTTCTGCGGCTCGTATCTTGATTGAAGATGAAGGAAAGGACGGTCAGGAGCCTGAGTTATGCCTGACCACATTGGACTTTTGAGTGTCAGGGAGTTAATAACGGTGGGAGTCCATAATACAATTTGGGTCTGAGGTTTATTCATACAGCTGTTGATGAGTTCAGGAAATGAAGGAAGAATGGCCTTCCGATTTTGGACTGAAGAATCAGGAACCATCTTCAATTATCTTGACTCTTGCGTTATAGAAGTTTGAGTATTCTCTCAACATGAAGCACTTTCCGCAATTCGAAACTAAAGACGAATTTATAACTTTGGAAATTACTATAACTAATAGGCAAATATGCAATTGGGTGCAAATCATGTTCTTTGTACATGGCTGGTTCAAGCATCTTAATGCATCGTAAGGCAAGTCGACGCAAGATATTAAGCTACATGGAAGTCCACCCAAGTCTAGAATTTCCCCATTGGAAAGGTTCCTTCTATTGTCCGAAGTTTATTTTGACTTTCATATGCATGGGTGCTTCCAGCATCACATTTTTTACCTTCGAAACAAAGAACAGACACAATGGCAATTACGATACTTCAAGCAGTATTACTCTTCCGCGTTCGGCTAAGTATCTCGGATCGCTCGTATGCATTCTTTGCATTTGGTTCTAGAAGAACAACCTTACCAGCTGTCAAGTCTATAATTACTAAGTGCAGTTCTTATCTATAATATCTCTCCGGCCCTGGTTTGTAGTTTTTATCGCGCATCGCGACCAATTTACAAAATTGCAAATCCCCACACAACAATAGAGTTGAGAGAAACGGGGGAAAGCAATCTCGGAACAAACAATAGGACGCTGTTTAACCCAATACTTTCGTTGTAGATCATAGCTTATTAATTTACAATGCCCTTCCTTTCTCCGATTGGCTAGTTTCTCTTCCCCGTACTCGCCCCAGGTCGCTTTAGGAAATGATGCGCGTATCTTTTTCCAACTGGTCAACTCCCGAGGTTCCCGATACTTGTATCGAATTCAGGATGGAAAAGAACAATCCTCTCCTTCCTTTTGCATTCTCAACTTCCTATGCGGATGAGAAAATCCCTTTGAACACAACTCCACGGGAGAGACATGTGATTGATGAAAATGCAAGCAGTATGTATCACACGAGGACTTCTGCCAAAACGATGAGCGTCAACCGCCCTGCTCTCCATTTTGCTCCTGCCTTGAAGAGAAAACAGGGCGAGTCTTTCAACGAAAAAGATGATATCAAAAGAATAGAGTTTGACAACGATTTTTTTCACCACCCTGGCCCCTCCACACTACAAGATTCTGATCCTGAGACCGGTAACGAAAATCAGGACTTTGTTGCTGAAACTCTTCCTAGCAGTCCTCCGGTTCTTCCCCAGATGTCGGAATATGATCAAACTGTTTCCACTTACACAATCCCCGACTCGCCTATAGATCCCGATTGCACTTTCAGAGATTTAAACACATCTCCAGTGAAGCCTGAACGCCCGCGGCTACAAACTAGCAACCAAAGTTCCGAGGCGGATTTTGGAATCGACCAGTTCAACAGATTCAAAACCCTGAGCTATATCCAATGTCCATCCACAGATATGGACCCTGAGGATTATCAGTCAAATTATGAGAAAAAACAGAACGCGACTGCTCGAGAGATCATTCTACAGGCTTTCGACGATGTATCTCTTTCTGTGAGTTTGGTGGGCATGGATTTGACAGAGATTCCAGATGAAGTCAAAGACTTGAATTCTCTAGTCAAGTTTGACGAACATAGCATGCCATCACTGTATCAACTATACTTGACCAACAATAGGTTGAGATCGCTCAACCCTGCCTTATTCAAGTTCGAAAAACTCAATGTTTTGAGTCTACGTCTAAACAAGTTGCGAAACATTCCGAGCGCTATCGGACAGCTCGTAAACTTGGTTGATTTGAATATTAGTATCAATCAACTAAAATGGTTGCCGGCCCAGATACTCGAACTTCCCAATTTAATCACTTTCAGTGCTGGCCCAAATCCTTTCATTTCAGTGGATGAAGATACCATTGAGGTCAGAGGGGATGCCGCAGAAGTTTATCCCAGAATCTACATGCTTGGACATAAGCTCAACCATGTCTCTCGCATAAAATACTTTCAGCCTGCAAAGTATGTTCCATCTTTGAAGACTCTATGCTTAAATACCATTGCCCGCTATGACGTCACATACAGAGAGACAAGAACATGGAAGAAATCCACTCCTCGTATTCTCCATACTGCGATAGCCGCTGCTGTGCACAAGGGAAAATATGAGGAAAAGTGCAATGAATGCGATACGATAGTGGTTGAACCGTACGCACATGTATTTGAGTGGTGGGATGTTCTTGGTAACAAAAACATACCTTTTAAGCGAGAGTTTTGTTCCGGCCAATGTGTAACCAAGTACAAAAGTCGAACCAAAGCTCTTTCATTGTCGCGATAGATGACACAACCAGCATATATTCAGATAAATAAATAATGATATCCATCACTCTACCAATTTTTTTACGTAGTTTGAAGGAAACATACCCGATTTTCCATTCAATTCACCTTTCCACCATTCGCCTTTTTTTTCGATGACTTTCACCACGTCGCCCTTTTTAAAGGAAAGATCATTAACTTCTTGAGCCGTAAACTTGAAGGCTGCCCTATAGTAACCTAAAGATGTAACTGGGTGTATGATTGTGTTCGTAGCATTCTTTTCACCACAAGGTGAAGCTTCTGTAGATGCTACCAACGTAACCTTAGGTTGCTCAAAGAAATTGTTTTCATTGAACTCCTCTACCAACTTTTCTCCAAACTCTTTTATGGAGGGGCCAATAATGTCAGTCGCAAATTCATCTTGCAACAAACGTAAATCGCTATCGATTTGGTTCGCAACATTGATCTGGGTGTAGAATATGAAAGTGAAAGCTTCCTTCATGAAACTTTTGGCAAAATAAATAAAACAAGGTAATTCTTTTTTCAACGCCATATTGTGTTTTTCATACTCTAATTTAGAGAGCTCCATTTTGCGTTCGGTTGCAAAGTATTGCTGACTTTGCTTCATGGTCATATTACCAGCGGCTTTACTTATGGACATGGTATCGAACTTGTCGTAGATTTTGTCATAGTCAACTAAAGCAATGTCTCGTTTCCTGATTTCCCCGCGGAGTACCAGGATATGAGTTAACAATATTTTCACTCTTTCGGCCAATACAACGGGAACTGTGTTAAATATTTCATCAATGGACAAGCGAAGACTCTCAATGACCTTTTCATAATGTACGGTACGTTCCAAAATATGCTTCTGAGACTCTGTGTCATCATCTACCTCGAAGATGCTCTTGACATTACTGACTATTCTTTCCATGTGAATAAGCCACGCATTCACAGAATCTTGGTACGATGACATGATTTTTAGCACTTTCTTTCCATGTGACTCAATTGCGTTCAATTGCAAGAGGAGCTCTTCAAATTCTTCGTCAACTGTGCTAGTAGCTAAACGCATAGCTTGGCGCAAGAATTGCGGTGCCCTTTTCAATCCCTCATAACTGATTCCTACTTTGTAGCTGCTCTCCAGAGGTGGAGTTACAAATTTTGAAAGAAACCTTTTGATACCTTCTCTGTTTGTCATTTGCAATCTAATGGTTGACTCGAATTTTACTAATCCACAAAAACGCGAATCTTCATGGATGACCATGATGCGAACCTGGCCAAGCTGAGATACGTTCAGGTTTTGGAGATGATCCTCTGTTACTTTCCTTTGTGTCTAACACCATTTCCAACTTGCTGTCGAAGTATTGCAAGGAAGATAGCTCTTTCAAAAGTTCTGCTCTCACCGACAAATCTAAATTTGACTCGTTCAATTCACTCTTAAGTCTTGTAGACCTCTCCAAAAAGACATTGTCCAAACTGTTTATAAAGCGCTCTCCAAATTGCTTGTCTGTAGGGATATTCATGTTTACTTTCTTCAGAAGAATGCGGACCGTCTTTAAATTTTCAATAATTTTTTGAAAATAGGCTTCGTTTTTCTCACCATCTGTAACACAAGTAGGTGGATTCACTAAAAGTAATGCTGCATAGTATAACATGATATGAATGTGTACTGGGACATACTTCAATTCCGAGAGAATATCATTGTCATCCAAAACAAGATTGAGCACTGTTTGGGCAGCGTTTACTGCGATGTTAAGTCCAAGGAGCGTCTCATCTTGCGACACTAGTTCTTTGTTAGAGATAAACTCATCGTCATCGTCTTCATCTTCATCATCAGAATCTTGTCTTGCCCCATGATCAATAGCCGGAGATTTTTGCTTCTCCAGTACCTGACTGTAGTTTTCCCATCTAGGGAAAACAACATCTTCACTTCCAGTATCCATTTGTAAGTGCCTGACAATTGAACTGTTTATGTGCATTTTGGCAAAGTTGTAATAAATCAATGTAGACTTAGACAGCCATACAGATCCGCAGTTCATGGGTGCAAGAAGAACTGTCCATGAAACCATCCATTTATCTAGTTCAAGATTTGATTTTGAAGGGATTCCGAAAGCGCTAGGAGCAATAAGCTCCCATGCATTACCCTTGAATGCTTCATTAAGTGCCTGGTTATACTCCACTTGGGAGACAAGCCGTAGATCGGTAAAGCTAGGTGCCTTGCTTTCATCAGAAGATTTAGAGTTCTTCAGCTCCTTTTGATCTGTCTGACGACCCTTAGATACCTCTGATTGATCTATCGCCTGCGTAGGACTAGATTTGATCAGCAGAGTTCTAGACAATAGGACCAGCCTACTATTCTTGAAAGATTCATCATTTCCATCCAATAAGTACTGTCTGTTAAGCGTCATACTCTGTTGGCCATCTAGAATGTACAACAAATACCACAATTTGAGTTTATCTTTTTCCGAGAGGGAGCTTTGTGTTTTCGATGCTGAGGGATGATTGAATTGAAACTCTTTCGCTAGTTGCAATGCTAAACCTGTGAATCTTTGGGAATCGGAGAGCCAAAAACTGCAAAGAACTAGTGCCACTATCGCATTGAAACCTTCTTCTTCTGTGCGAGGTCTTCCCTTGAATAGCAATTTAGCGCATAGATCATGCAAATGTTTCTGTAATGCATCTCTTTTCGAGGATTTCACAGGGTCTGGATAGTGCATGGATGCAATGGTGCAAATAGCACATATAAGTATCGGAGAGATTTCCCAAATGACATCAACAGAAAACTGCTTTATTTCAAAACCAAATAACTGTTGCGAAATGTTTGTGTCGAAATAGGAGAAGAGAGCTTTGGCTTCTTCAAGGGAAATGACATTCTCGCGGAAATCATCATCACCATACTTTGTTTTCTTCGGTGGAGACGCAGATGTTGACTCAGAGTAAGAACGCTTCGACCCTATAAGTGGAGTTGGGACACGAGAGGATAACTCGATGTGCTGCTGTCTAAAATATTCGTTTTCCGCTGCGTATCTGTTCTTAAGTTCCATTTCATGACCTAATGCTCGCTGATTTTCACGAAGAGCTTGTAGAAGATGATCGAATTTAGAATCAAAGGAGTTCAATTTGTTTTCCATAGTAATTTTCCATTCCGCGTCAGCCTGACTAACACTCAAAGAGTTTTTTTGATGCAAATGGGGATTCTGACGAGAATCGTGTATTTCGAGGCGGTTTTGGTCTGCGATGGAGTTATTCTTCACTTTCTGTGATGGATAGAAATAGGACAGACGACCATTTTGTGGCCCCACGAGACGGTTAGGGGTCGATGCAACTTCTGCTTTCAGAATATTAACGAGTGACGGGTTCAGTGGAGACTGGTGAAGGGGAGCCAGATGATTTGCGATCAGTTTAGCTTCGGGCTGTACTGGGATGGCTTGTGGGTAGTAAAGAACTGGATTTGCTTGAGGCGGCACGGACCCACCTTGTTGGGAAAGGAAATTCGACGGAAGAATATCGGGTCCCGGATACTTGTTTTGTCTTTGCACATCAAGCAGTGGAAGTTTGAGCGATGGAAGCTTCGGCACAAAATGGCAAGAGCTTGAGAGGCCCGAATTGACGCAACGAGTGCAAGGCAAACTCTCCACGTACTCGCATTTAACCTTGGAGCGTTTGCAATTGCTACAAGGTTTTGTACGTTTTTCTCTGGCCATGTGTGGTGAAAAGAAGGGACGCCAATTGGAAAGGTTAGCGATGGAGTATACAGGCGCACATCAACACTCGAGTAAGAGTGAACATGAGACCGAAAAAAATGAAGGGCCAACTTTTACATGTAGAGGAAGCTAGAAAATGAATAAACAGTAAGGCAACAAATGGGCTCAAAGAGATCGAATTAAGGAAGTTGAGCTACTCAATTTTGAAAAAACTGGGTGAATGAGAAAGTTAGTGAACTAAATTCATTGATAGAAAAAGAGATTGAGATGTAGAGACCTTTCAGTCACAAAAAAACGTAAGATAAGGTAAGCGAAGCAGAGATGCCTTGTTTAATTCTAGAGAGAAACTAGGCTGGTGCTCAGTCTTCGCACAAATCTCGAAAATCGGCTTAAAAAAATTCATAATCAAATCAAACCTTTAAGAAGCCACTTGAATCGAGATATGCTATGGGATTGATTTGAAATGGATGTAATCTTCAGGAGAGCATGTAAATTCTCGTCAAATAACTCTTCTGATTGGCCCAGCAGCAAGAACTAAAAGTTTTTATGGACTACCTGTGAATGCTTTTCCAGATTAAAAGCCCCGTCAGAATGACTTTCCGTATCACAATCCCTGTATTAATCAATTCTCCATTTTGAAACCCATTGATTGTTCTTCCATATGTCTTTATTATCACATGAGTATATACAGACAGGTTACCCGCACCCGTGCCCCACAATCACCATAGCTGGTAGAAGCAAACAACCCATAAATCACAGTTGAGTATAATGTCAATGAAATCGCGGATCAAGAACTTTTTCGGGGCTTCGAGGCAGTATGTGGTTGTTGGGGCATCGCAAAACCCATCCAAATTTGGATTTCGAATCTTGTCGTGGTATGTTAGCCACGAACTTCCAGTAGTACCAATAAACCCCAAGGAAAAGGAGATTTTGGGCCAAGCAGTAGCCCCAAATATCACCACCGTGCTAGATGCATTACATTCAAGGAAAGAGTTGGCACATCATGATCTTTCACAGAAGGATGGGCTCAGTATCTCGTTTTTGACTCCGCCAGCAGTGACAGTTCGAACCTTGGACGAAATATCGCAATTCGACAATTATGAATCGCTCATCAAGGGCCTTTGGTTCCAGCCCGGGAGCTATGATCAGCTGGTGCTTGACAAAGTTGCCGAAATCGGGCTTGACAAAAGGGCCATCCACGAAGACGAGTGTATTCTTGTCAGAGGCGAAGAAGGAATGTATAGTGCCAACCTCTAAGAACACAAGCACAGCCAGCCAAGCGGCGAAACAGTTTTGTTTGTAATGCAGAATAAAGTAGTGTTAGTCCATCATTTTCTTGATGTAATGGCTCCAAGACTCGTCTTCGCCTGTCCTTGCGCCTTGCGCATTTGCAAGTACCTCCATCTTGTATGGGAACGGAGCCACGTCTAACGTCATGATAGGTGGAATGTGGTCCTTGTGACGATCAACATAGGAGGTGATTTGCTCGAGACACTGCTCAAAGCTCGCCAAGGAGGGCCGAAGGAAAGCCTTTGTATTATCGGTCAAAGAGGCAAGATGTTCAGGGCTGGCCAACGGCGCACACTGGACAAAAATGCGCCAGGTTTCCCATGGGACCAGATCGTTTCGCCCGTCGGTAATCTGGCCGAACCAGCCCGATTTCTTTTTCGCTTTTGCCTGGTTTTCATCAAGAAACTGCACTAGCAAAACGCCCTCCAGTGGCGCAGATTGGTGGCCCAAGTGTTTCTTGATAAGATGGTCAATATTTTGGTCGATTGTGGCATCTAGCTCGGGCTGGTCTGCCACCATCGGATACGTGATATCCAAGAATTCATGCGTTGTAGGCGTTATGGGGCCAAAAAGTCGGTGGAAAAAGATCGTCCACACAATGCCTGGAGGAAGTTAGTAGATATTTGGGCACGTAGATCTTTTCAAGACACTCTGACATACCTTTCAATGACTCCCGAACAACAGACCGATGTGCGGTAAGATGTAAATCGAATTCCATCGCCTACAGTTGAGAAAGAAGTAGTTGCGCAGATTCGCGCGACTATCAGTGACTTCTATACTAGACTCGGGATGACTCAAGAGGTATGTCGGTTCCAATGATAAGACATTGGCAGCTTCTGATGATGCTTCGGAGATATATACAGACGTTACATACAACTTCGATATCTATCACGGCGTAGTGTTGCGTTTATTTTTTTGAATGGTCGTATGTCTCGTAAATATGCTGTCCTTTTGCAAACTCCGCCATAGCCTTGGCTACTTTAGGCATCGTCTGTTCTGCTAGTGTTTCAAGTTCCACCGGAGAGAATTTGGCCAAGACGAAGTCCAGAACCAGCGTTTTTTGCGGCGGCTTGCCGATACCTATCGCGAGCTTGATGTAATTGGAACCTATGGCCTGGTCTATAGAGCGCAAGCCGTTATGGCCTCTGGCGCTGGTGTTTCTGCGGCGGATCTGGATCTTACCAAGGGGCACTTGTAGCTCGTCGTGCAAAACCACCATTGCTGGCCGAGAATTCAAATTCTGCTGGTGGTATTTCTGCCATAGTTTGGAAACTGGAGTTCCGCTGAGATTCATATACGACGAGACTGTTTTTGCCAAGAGCACATTGCTGAGCTCCGCCGTTTGAGACTTGCTGTAAACAAACAGAGAATTCAACGCCATTGGCTTGAAAGATCCAAAGTTGGTCCAGTACTCTTCTATCATCTTATCTAGTATGTAGTGGCCCACACTATGCCGAGTACCATTATATGTTGGAGTAGGATTCCCAATTCCAACAACAAGTACACTCAGCGCACTCTTAGAAGAGAAAAATCGGCTGCAACGCTGCCACAGACTTCTATTATGAAGGTAAGGGAATCTCTGAAGGAAAGACATCAAAGTCTGTACTACTCAATTCGCGCTACATGTGCATTCTCTTGTACGTATACCAGGGCAAAAAGGAAAATAAAACTCCGAAAGATTAAATTAAGATATAATTCGTCATAAATACAGAGATAGAATTTAGTCTACCTAAGCCATGTTGGTCAAACTCCGTTGCGAGCTTTCGTGTCGGATATGGTGGGCCGTAGACACATTCTTTAACTCCTCCAAGCGCTCACGCAACTGCGGCACGTCTCGTAAGTTCTTTTCCAACATAAGTCTTTCCTCTTCAAACTTGAGTCGCCGGCTAGCGTCCAAGGGTCCGAAGAAATAGCCTCCCTCGCCGTCAAGCTTCAACAAAAAATTGTGGAAATGCCAGAGGGCCGGTCTGTGGGCAACAGAAATCAAGGAAATGCCAATCTCTTGCGCATGCTGGTACATAAACTGTTCCATACTAGGAGTGACAGCAGAAGTGCACTCGTCCAAAACGGCAAACTGAGGCTGGTGGTAATACAAACGGGCCATGGCCAAGCGTTGCTGGGCTCCGGTAGACAATTCTTCTTTCCAGTTCTTGACTGCGTCCCAATCAGAGTCGGACTGAAGTAAGTCCCCAAGGTCCAAGATATCCAAGATATTCTTCAAGTCCTTGTCTGTTTTGCCATGCTTGTTTTGCTTGTACTCCTCTAAAGTATGCGGATATGTGATTTGTTCACGTAACGACCCTTTACAGAGATAGGCTCTTTGTGGCAAGTAAAACATGTTGTCGGACGTAGGAATAGTTATGTGGCCCTCCTTGCAAGGCCACAAGCCGCCTAACATCCTAAACATGGATGATTTACCTGCACCGTTAGGACCGGCAATAAGCAAATGCTGACCCGGTTTGATGCTAAAGCTGAGGGACTCTATAAGTGTCACATCGGCTGGGGTGACTAGACGAACGCGATCAAAAGTAATTTCATTTCCATAAGTGACAGTGCCAGTAGAAGATTCACTAATGTTGCCCAATCGCTTTTGCTTGATCGTGTTCAACGCTTTCTGGATAGAGGTCACTCGAGAAGCATGGCCGACAACTTGAAGCAAGTATTTTCTCGAATAGATCAACCGGTCAATGGAATCGGATGCACTCAAGAGCAATCTTCTGTTCGTAATAAAGTCACTTGTGGCATTTGGATCTTCAGCTTTGCCGAAATACTTGTTGATGAAAACAGGAGCAGAGCACAATACTAGACCAGCGGCGCCCCAGAAGTACTTGACAATAAATGTCTGCGCTATTTCGTGGATTGCTCTCTTAGAATACTCGATTTTCAAAAACCTCTCAAGCTGGTAGTAACAGTAATCAACATAATCCAACTCCCGAGGATGACCTCTCAAGAATGCAATTTCCTCGTTGTTTGCAACAACTTTAGAGTGTGCCGAGCGAAGCTGGCCTTCAAGACTGGCCCGTTCCGAGGCCAATTTGGCAAAAGGAGGAGAAAAGAACCGGAGAATCGTCGTGGAAAAGTGGGTAAGTAAACCAAGAGCCAAAGTACCTTCTCCACTTCCCACTCCACTTCTTGAAAGTTCTCTGGCGCACAAAAACAAGTCCAAACTAGGTTTCAAAAGTTGGCCCGGAAGACTAGCCAAGGCCTGCGCCAATCTTGATACGTCTGTAGAGATTCTCTGATCTGGATCCTTAATGTCGCTATCCGCTGATTGGAGAAGCGCATAATAGTTTGGGTCTAGGTTATCTGGCAAATAATCATGAAGAATGCTGTCGTTGATGTTCCTTCTCAAACTTTGGCGCATTTTCTCTTTGGTCCAATTAAGCAAAGCATTGACAAAGGATGCTGGAATGCCCAAAAACATCCAAAAGGCCAAAAGACGAGCAAACTTTCGTAGCCTCTTCGTTACGAGCGCACCGACAAGTTTACCGTCTAAACTGGCAACTTCAATGGTTAAAAATGCTCGAGCAACAAGAAGCACAATATGGCCAGCCAAGTAACCAACAACGGAGTCGGAAACGCCGGGAACGGCAGATTTTAGTAGAGTCTTCAAGTCATTTCTCGAGAGCCTTGGGGTTTTCTTCTCTTTTGCCTTTTTTTCTGTGCTTTCTTTGCGGACTTTTTTATTGGAAGTCGATGTGGCTCCAGTAAAGGCCGCAATGAAAAGTAGGAGATAGGATATGTTTAAAAGAATGGGCCGTTTGGATTTGTAAGCGTTGACTATGCTCCTGGCATAGGAATCCGAGCGGCTTTTGGAGAAATGGCTCATTTCGTTAGGAATGTGACAGAAAAAGGGCAATGACAAGTATGATAATAGCCCAGTTGCTACTGTATATGCGCATATAGATGATGTGGGGAGCGCATACCGAGGAAAAAGCGGAGTAGAGAAAGGCCGAGGAATTTATACACTCCACGTCAAAGAAGAAGTGGTAAATATGGAAGAGACATAGAAGTGCTCAAGCCAACAAGTAGTAGATGACTTACATACAACAACACAACATCAGCATTCATTAACTAGGAACATGCAACCACGGAACCAGAACTATCATGTGACAGTGCTAAGATATGAGAGTCTATCAAGATGAAACATGAAACATCATTAAGGTTAGCGCCAAGACGAAAGCACCATTTTCTAGGATATGTCGTAAATGTCAGAAACCCAAGTTATTCGCCCAATAGAGCCTGGAACTCTGCCTTAGAGTCGGCGATTTTCGATTCCAAATCGCGAATGCGCTGAAAGTAAAACGTGTTGGCTAGATCCGTGGTGTTTTTGCAATTTGGGTACTGCTCGAGCATGGCGTTGTAAAGTTCCCTTACCTGGAGTCCAGAAGGCGCGTTTGAGAGGGGAAATTCTTCCAACTGTCGGGCTAGCGCCGTGCTTTTATGCTGAAACCACTTTTCTCCAAAGTCATCGAGATTGCTCGCACGAACGTCTTCAGGCGCTATAAGGCCTGCTGTATGAAGGAGTTGGGTTAGGAGAAGCAAGTCTCTGTCTGTATACGACTTTGGGTCTGTCACGGTGTCTTTTGGCGGAGTAGTCATGTATGTGTCTAGCTACTTAAGAGACGACATGGAGAGAAGCCATGTATGTAGGTGCAGGAACTCCACATCCATTATAGCTAAAGATAACGAGACGATAACATAATCAACATGGCTTTAGAAAGAGTGCCAAAGCTTCTCTTCTCCTCTTCATCGTTCTCGTCTTTCTCCCATATTATCTCCGCCTGTCCCGGATGCTAAACATGCTTCTCCTAAACATTGAACCTGCAGATGACAAGGGACCCAGGTACATACGCGCAGATCACTACAAGAAGGTGTCATTTGGGTTCCGGATTATGTCTAATCTCTCGCCTAGCTTCAACACTCGTTTTGCTAGCATTGGGATTGCCACAGATGCAGACGCCGCCCGGCCGCCAAAGAAACCAGCGAAAAAGCTGTATCCGGCGAGCTTGTATCCGGAAAACTACCATCGTGAAACTGCCACAACTCCTTCACGGGCGCCTGTTCTTTCGACAGCGAAAAGGGCCGTCTCCAGACACTCGAATCCTCTCAAGCAAATTAACTCGAGCTCCACGGCCACAAAGCGCCACTTGAATCGTCCCTTGGCCGAATCTGCCGATCCTGAAACCCAATCTCCATGTAAATCCAAGCCTCGGAAAGCTCCTGACCTACTGCTGTGTTCCTTCATGAAAGAAACGTCTTCGTCACGGAACAGACAGGCTCTAGCAGAAAAGCAGGCTAGACAAGCTGAAAGGAGTCTGATCCAGACCAGAGCCGCATCCCACTCAGAAATATATAATAGGCGTCCAGGACATCTAGGAACAAAGAAACGTCTTTTTCCGAAATCAGCAAAATCAACTGACCTTGCATCGCTAGCAACCAAAAATGCAAATGTTCCTGAACATACTTCCCCACGGCATGTGTCTACAGCATACACCAATCGCGATAAAGAAGACGTTTACGCCCGGCTTTATAACAATGCGTTGAGGCTGAAAACAAGATTGGATAAATCACGCAACACGTCAAACCGTAGGCCATCTTCCAGAAGTCGATCGCCCAACTGTCCCTCTATACCTTTAGAGGCAACAATGTTTGATGGATCCAGAAGTATGGATAGCAGAAAACCGTGGACAGTCAATGACGTATACCAAATCATATTTGCGGCAGACCCGCTGATTTTTAACGAAACGAACTCTCTGGATTTCTCTATACCCCCTGTGGCAGGTACGGACCCACGCCAGTTGTTGGATTCAACGGAAGGCGCTGCTCTCAGTATATTCGAGCGCGGTGAATTAATGCGCAAGTCTAATGTATACTATCTTCCAAATCTTGGAAGTGGAAGGGACGAAAGCTCTATAAACATCAGCAGCTTCAAGAACAACTACGGGTTCGATGATTTAGAAGGCAATTACGTTATACACCAGGGTGATCACATTGAATATCGTTACGAAATCTTGCGGATTCTAGGGACTGGATCTTTCGGAAATGTTGTTCTCTGCGCTGATAGAAAGTATCAGAATCATGTCGACAGTCGCAAAGTGGCCATCAAAATCATAAAAAACGAATTAGATTGGTCATTGCAAGCTGTAAGTGAAATCAAACTACTCAAGAGTTTGAATACACCACCACATGCGTCTCAATATATCATGAACTATTGTGATCATTTTCATTTTCGTGGGCACATGTGTATCGTTAGTGAAGTGCTTTCATTGAATCTCTACACATTTTTGGAGCTCACATCATTTAGCGGAGTTCGGCTAGCATTACTACGCAAATTTGCACGAGACATATTGCGTGGACTAAGCTTCATTCATGACACGCATATTATTCATTGTGATATAAAACCGGAAAATATCATGATTAAGCTTCCACCATATTATGACCCTAACCAGACCAGCATATCTGATTTCCTTGTTAAAATCATCGACTTCGGTTCCTCCTGTTATGAGAACGAAACATCATATTCGTACATCCAATCCAGATTTTACAGAGCACCAGAGGTTATTCTCGGTGCACAATATGGCTCAGAAATTGATGTATGGTCCTTTGGTTGCGTTATTGCCGAATTATTTTCCGGCACTCCACTTCTTCCCGGGAAGTCGGAATTGGAGCAGATGGGTCTTATTTTAGAGATGTTTGGTGCTCCATCATGTACTCACATCATCAACGAACGTAAGCGACTTATGAGGCAAGTTAAAATAGCACGCTCAAAAGGATTAAGTGATCCGCTTGTTTCAGATCCCTCGCTGTTGCTTTCAAAAGGGAAACCTCCAGTTGACGAAAGGAAAATCAAAAAGACCCTTCTCTACTCACTTTTCAATCTTGAGGGAAAGCTAAATCTCAAGTTTCTCAACACACAGCTTCAATCGGTTTCACACAAGACAAGCGCGCCGAGTCCATTCAAGCGCACCATCAAACCCAATTCTAAAAGCATAGAAGTGGCTTTAAGGCTCCACTCATCGCATGAGGACCGCAACGACATCAGCCACTTCTCCAAATTTTTGCATAGTATATTTAGGTTCGAGAGAGAGACGAGGGCCACTGCCACAGAACTTCTAGGCCATGTCTTTCTCAACGAATAGAAACAAAATAGAACAACCTTTCATCGTCTGTCAAATATCTACTCTAAACTCTCATTTCTTGCTAGTGTGCCTTTTGTTGCTTGTCCATCTGGTACTGTTCCTAGTCGCACACAGATTATCATGCGCGCATGTATCATGGGTTATATCTTCACATGCTATCTGATCCCCACTCAGGTCTTACTTCTTTTCATCCATCATGAGTCATGAGAATCACGAACATTCATCCAGAAGAGCAAGGATGATGTCGTCTCTATATAGTTACAGCAGCTGCGTGGCGGATTCTCGTCCTGGATCCGCGCGAGGTATCGCTGCTGGAACTGCTGCCAGTCTTCTTGGAATGGGCATAGAGCACCTAGACAGAAACAGCGAGGACAGTCTTCGCTTGACAGACGAGGAATTGGATCCTACGCTTCTGTCGGGAGAAAGCCACGGCAGATCCAAGGATCACAGGACTAAAGAAGAGAAAGAGCAAGGCCATTTCATGGACAGGTTTATGGAAAGATTGCTCCGCCATACTATAGCGGAGGATTCGGCAGAGCTGGAACAGCTTCTGAGTAGAATCAATGATCCATCAAGAAGCGGGAAGCCGCAGCTATCGTTTCGCATCTTTGCCTCTAACATGAAGCAGTTGAGTGCCCAGATGGGTACGTTTTTCCGTCTCCAGTATGGCTTGATCCATGTGCTCACATGGAGAAAACCGACGAAAACTCTCACCTGCTTGGTGGTCTACACTGCAGTATGTTGCTGGCCCCATTTGGTTGTGGCATTTCCGTTACTTTTTTTGCTATTTGGTGTGATCATTCCAGCGCATTTATATCGCCATCCATTCCAGAGACCAGAAATCCTTCCTGTAAAGAAACGAGGCGAGTCGTTTTTGGATTTCTTGAACAAATCAGATGACCATAGTGTTGTTTTGGACCTTTTGAACGAGCCCAAAGAGGGATTTCTGGACACTCAGTCCATCAACAGCTCATCAACTTCTGTCTCTTACGCCTCTACTCCTTTAACACTTTCTTCCGCTTCGGAGAAGACTACACCGGAAGAATTGCGAAAGAAGGATAAATCCAAGTACGTGAAGTCACAAGTTTCAATGCTTATGAATATGCGGGACTTGCAGAACTTGACCACAGACATTCTCGAAGCAATGGAACAAGCAAAGCAACTCTCTACAAATATCGTGGGTTTCAAAGATGAACGACTCACAACATTTGTGTTTTATGTCACAATTGCAGTCACAAGCGTTGTTTTGTTGTTGGGCAAGTATATACCATGGCGAGCGATTTTCATTTTCTCAGGCTGGGCTGGGCTTATTTTGTGCCATCCCAACACAAAGAAATACCTTGTTGGATTTGGAAACGCGAAAAGCAGTAAAGCTACCGAGAAGAAAGAGCCGAAACAACTTTTTCTCGACACATTTGACTCGCGCAGCATCATTGTGGACGACGAGCCTGAAGTGAGAGTGGTGGAAATTTACGAATTGCAAGCACGCAATATCTTGAGGCGCAAATGGAAACCACATGCGTACTCCAAAAGATTGTTCGACTGGAAAGATCCTGTGAGAGTTGCAGGAAAACTACCACATGGCGTCGACAATCTTAGCAAAGTATTACCTCCACCGGAATGGAAGTACGACTTTGGCTACGCTAATAACTGGCACATTGACATTGAGCCACAGAATTTCTTGTGGCAGAGGGGGATTGACATGCAGCACTTGGAATGTCCTTCAGACGAAACAGAAGGTTGGATATACGACAAGCTCCCAGCGGATGACGATATCTCGACCGAATTCAGAAGAAGACGTCTTTTCCGCGAGTGTTTCCGATATGCAAGGCCAGTGCCCCGTTTTAGTGTAGGTACATAGAAATGTAATCTATAAAAAAGGGCATTAAATGAATCATCGGCTCCTAAAAAGATTCCTCTCGTGACTTTTTTTCTTTTTCCTATCGCCATGATTTGCCAATTCTTCACGGTTATTTTTTTGCAAGGTGTTCCACGTCAAATGCGCACCATCAACTTGCATACAAGTCTATACGTAGCTTTAACGTGAGCCGCTTCTGTCTCTTAGCACCTTTGTCCTGGATCTTCCAACACTCTTTCAATGGATAACTTCTCGCTGAAAGTTCGCGTGTTCGATGCGTTCCCCAAAGTGGCGCCCGAAGCTTCTGTGCGATCGCAACGTGGCGGTTTTTCCACCATCCTCACCGTTTTTTGCGGCTTGTTGATCATATGGATCCAGATTGGAGGATATCTCGGCGGCTACATCGACAGGCAATTCTCTGTGGATAACGAGACGCGAAAAGACCTCAACATCAACTTGGACATGGTTGTGGCCATGCCATGCCAGTTCATTTCGACAAACGTCATGGACATCACTAGCGATCGATACTTGGCCGGGGAAGTGCTCAACTTCCAAGGAACAGGCTTCTACGTGCCTGAGTTTTTCGCTCTCAACAGAGAAAACAATGACTATGACACCCCTGAGCTCGATGAAATCATGCAAGAGACTCTCCGGGCAGAATACGGCATTGCCGGTGCTCGGGTCAATGAAGATGCGCCAGCGTGTCATATTTTCGGCACCATTCCAGTGAACCATGTACGCGGCGAGTTCTTCATTGTGCCAAAGGGAAGCATGTATCGGGATCGGCTGCTGATTGATCCCAAGGCATATAACTTCTCGCATGTGATTTCGGAATTCTCGTTTGGTGACTTTTACCCATTCATCACCAACCCATTGGACTTCACTGCAAAGGTGACTGAAGAGAATCGCCAGGCCTACAGGTACTTTGCCAAGCTTGTGCCTACACACTACGAAAAACTTGGCTTGGTTGTGGACACCTACCAGTATTCGCTTACAGAAATCCACAACGTTGACCACAACCGGGGCATACCGCCACCAGGAATCTTCTTCGACTACTCGTTTGAGCCAATCAAGCTCACCATCAGGGAAAAACGTATTGGCTTTTTCGCATTCGTTGCACGGCTCATGACCGTTCTTTCAGGCTTGCTTATAGCTGCAGGCTACTTGTTCCGATTGTATGAAAAGTTGTTGGCGCTCTTGTATGGTAAAAAATATGTCGAGAGAGACACCGAAAAGAGACTGGGAGGTCTTCTTGATAAGCTGTTTACAGAAAAGAACATTTGAGATTGCAATCTGTAATTCATAGCAGTGCAATCGCCGCTACAGCTCACAGTGTATATTATAGTATAGGAGAAAGTGGAATGACTATGACGTCCCATTTTTTTTTTTATGTTCAAAGGCAGAACAGGTAGAAGATGTACGTGAAGGAATAATCGACTTTTCTTCGATTCTTCTTATCAATTGAGTGTATAATGTCTACGATTTTTAATCCAAGATTAAGTATTTCAAATTCAAGATTCAAATTGTGTTTGCAATTATCAAACTTTCTTTTATATTATTTTTGAAAAAATTTTTTTTTGTCCCCCACTTCTACTACACTATTAATTTGTTGTAGTCTTAACCAACAAGTTAAAGGACGACGATAAGCCTTCGTGCAGGAAATCCGGCCCGTTTATGCCACTGCACCCAACAAGGAAAGTGATTCCGAGTCAACTAACGTTCTCTTTTTTTCCATCTTCTTCCCACTGTTTTTCTGATCCAGCTCCGCCTCTCATTTTCGTACGGAAAATGAGACATCATGCAAGCTCCTCCAAAAAAGAAAATCCGCAGATCCCGTTTGGGCTGCCACAGATGCAAGCGTTTAAAGATAAAATGCACAGAAGAAAGACCAGCATGTGCCGCTTGTCTCAAAGGTAATGTCCAGTGTGACTACTCGCTCAAGTTGACATGGGGTGGCCGCCCATTCAAAAACAAAAAGGGTTCGAAGTCTCCCAACTCTGAGTTTGTGCTGCCGCAAACTGCTTCTCCATTGGGTACCCTTACCTTTGTTTCTGGATATGACGGCGCCTCTACTTCAAGTATGGGAAAAGCGAACGCAGCATCGTGGCCAATGGCAAAATCGGAATCGGAGCCTATGCCTAAGACACAGCCAATGCCGCAGTTTCTGTCTTTAAATAATACTCCACAAAACGCCTATAAAAGTCAAGACCGAGGATGTTGGTGGACCCAATTTAGGTGACTTTGCAATCCCGAGATCACCTACTCTTTCCCAAATGCTAGATAAAGATCTAGCCTCGGCATCACGGGCCCTTGACTCGTTCAACCAAAGCCATGGACAAGTGAGTCTCCGAAACTCAGAACTTCTCACCAGTCTCATAGACGGACAACAAGATACACTGGAGAACTATCCCATGTCTGAGAATCAAGTGCTTGTGAACGCCAAAAATGAAAGTGATCTGAAAATCCTGAACAATGTCGAAAGCGGGCGTCTGAATGGGCACAAGGATATCAGAATACAAGATCTTGTGTTTTCAGCTAAAACCAGCCCTGAAGTGCAAGCAAGGACTCCGTCAGATTTTCATCTGTCCGAGACTCTGGATTCGCAGGATCCTTATGCCAAAGATATCGCATGCATCGAGTCACTTATTCCAGAACAGCCGAGATCGCCGTATTTCTCTGATTTCCTCAGCTCCTTTCCCAAATCTCCCTGGTGTTCTACCCAATAGATCACCAGAGTCTTTATCATATGAAGAGGAGGTAACACGCTCTATTCCAAATGAAGCTAGTGTAGAAGATCCAGAGAATATGAGCGAAGAAGACCACGCAATGGCGGTGCTTAATTCAATTCCACCGGCTTTGATGCCGCTTCCGGAAATATTATTGAATGTACCATACTATCGTCAGCTTTTACACTTTTGGATCAATGTGGCTTCGAATAACTTGGTGCCAGCACCATCCCACATTTACAGAGATAATCCATTCAAAGTCATTTTGCCCCAGATGGCCATGCATTACGACGGTATCCTCACTACGATTCTAGCATTTTCTGCCAAAGTACGGCAGTCCTTGGACCCTAATGGCGTCAGCCAGCAACCAATTATTGACCAGCTTCTTGGGCGATCATGTAACGAGCTTCTTCGACAGCTCCAAGATAAAAACGAAGCTACGTCAGACAGCACGTTGGCTATTATTCTTCTATTGTCAGGTTATGAGACGGTTTCGTCCAACGACTTTGAGAAGCACAGGACACATAATATTGGTGCTAGTGAAATTGTATCTGCCAGAGTTAGCAAAATGGTTGGAACAGCAAACGAAGATAGCACTGGTGCGCAGATTCTGTCATGCTTTTCTTTGTCACATCTGCGAGACGAAAGTGATATTGCCTACTTCCTCATGCGCTGGTTCGCTTATATGGATATTCTTGGGGCTCTTGCAGCTACTAAGGGCCGTGATAAATATTTGCGAGCGTACAAGAACAGAGGGAAGTACTCTCCAGTTGAAAATGTCTTTGCAAATGATACCAATGGCACGTCCAGCACAGACCCAAAGAGAGACATTGATTACTTTGTGGGTTTCGATACTAAACTTTTTCGCCATTTTGTCAACATTTCTTTGCTTATTGACGAGGTCAACAGATACTTGGCTGAGCCTGATGCACGAGAGGATGCGATCCCACTGTACATTATAGCCAATGGACTTGAAATAAAGCTGCAGCTCATGAAAGATTATGAGTACGGTGAAGAGCGAAGGAGCACCATAATGGACGAGCTTATTGAAGCGAAGCTCAAATTCAAAAAGCCTCCCAGTCCTACGAGCTCCAAAAACGTCAAGGATTTGGTTCACGACGACAATATTTTACGTGCTACAAACAAGGTGTTTTTCGACGCCGCACTCATGAATCTTTATCGGCGAGTTTTCAGACTCCCAAGATCGTCAACTATAGTCCAAGATTTGGCTACAGAAATGGCTGAGATCTTGGAGTACGGCATTGAACTGACATCTCCTGCTGAAATCTGTTCTATTTTCTGCCACTTTTGTGCTGGATGCGAGACACTAGATCCGGAGAAGAGACAATTTTACTTCAATCGCTTTTCAAAGCTTTCGATTGCGGGGAACATCAACGCTATGAAGAGTTTGCTAATAATGCAGAGATGCTGGGATACTGGAGAGGACTGGCTTACAGCCGCAAACGTTTTGGACATTGATGTTGTTCTCTTATAATTGGCGAAACATATGGAATTCTCTTCGTATACACTTGAGGTACGAGAATTATGGGTCCGTGAAGAAAAAAAAATACATTGATTTGAAAACTTCAGACAATTTTCACGTCAAAGGTGAATATAGCGGTGAATACTATTAACGAACTGACGAATACGCGAGTCCAAGATTGTAGCTAGCACAAAATTTGACTTAGTATATTAATTGAATGTTCAAAACACACAATAGTCAGTCTATTTCTTCTCAAAGTAACTACTCTTCACAGTAAAAAAATCTATTTTAAGGACGCAATTTGCCTTTTCTGAAGAGTATTTCTAAGTATATTGTACTTTTGTGACGCGTAACCTGCACACACCAACTGGTCCATCAAGGCTCCATCTTCTTTTCGTGAACTTACTCTTTTCTGCCAACACTTCAGCTTTTCTATCTGTACATAACTGGACAGTAGTCCTTCCACTTATTTTTGTTCATACTTTCCCTTGCATTGTAAACATTTGCAAACCAACATGTTAGGTCCGGAGGAATTGGAAGAGCTTAGGAAGGACATTGTCCTAAGCCACACGGAACCTGGCAACTCCGAGGTTCAGACCCGTGTACTCATGAAATGCATTCAAGTGTTGTCGCTGGATGATCTTCCTGAGGATACGCACTTGTTTTGTAACAAGGATCTTCAGCCAATTTCGGGCCATACGCTTATCATGTTTTCGTTCCCAGGCCAAAAGAACAAGCAAAGCCGTATCGTCGAGCAGAAAATGGTGACCAGCATGATGAGATGCAACGACTGTGTGCGGAGTTTCTGGCGGTGCTTGTCACAGATGCGTCAGCGGTTTGTTTTACTCCGAAAGATCCCCGTGGCTCAAGTGCAACAGTTTATGAACATCATCATTGCATGGCAGACACAACGGATTGCCCAGGATCTAGAAGAAATCCTTAAGGCCCCGCCAAATACTCCAGACAGCTTGAATAAGTTGTTGTATGACGCGCTATCTATTCCTTCTATGGTCAGGAAAGATAGTGCTATGCGGCCTGAAATTGAAAGACTCATAGACATGGTAGCTGATGATTCTACCGTGTCGCAACATTTGCTTCCTGCAGTGGTTACTTATCTTGTGGAAGGTAACCCGAAGGAGTATGCTTTTGCAGAAAAAGTTTTGGCCAAGATCCCACTGGAGAACAGAACTTTGGATCCTCAAGTCATTGACGAATTCAACTACCACTTTTATCGCATACAGAACGCAAAATACTTTACTCCAGACCTTAGCTGTCGCTTTTGGAATATGCTAAAGTTGCTTCTTGATCATTTTCCTGCGACTGAAATTACAAGATTACTTAAACCTTCGGATTTGGAGGAAATGAGCTCTTTCACCCGAGTAAGGCTTTTTCCTTTGATAAGAGTGCTATTCAATAATTTGATGGCATTGTTAGAGGCCCCGTTACCAGTTCTTTTGAAGGTACTTCAAAAATTCTTAGAGGTTTACGATGTGCGTTTTTGGCAGTTAGCTCCTGACTGCCACTACTCCAACATACTTGACACAGTCTTACCTAACGCACACTTTCAAGCATATCTTCATGAAGCTGCAGTCAAATCGGATGCCAAGACTTCACTCTCCGATTTACTTGCTTGGATGTCGCCCCTTGTGGACAGTTTATCCGGATCCCAGAAACAAAGTGCGGCCATAAAGTTGTGTGACTTTTTGGTTCAGCGTGAGAAAATGGAAAAATCCAATGATAGATTTGATTCAGTAAACATTTTAACGCAATGCTTCACCTTTGATCAGTTGAATCCCTTGGAAACTTCAAAGCAATCTGAAACCTCCATTAATTTGATGAGAATGAGAGATGCCAGGCTGACTGTTTCTAGTCATGCGGAATACTTTATTACATTGGCAAAGAAAGATGTTGACGTGATGTCGGCGGCTCTTAATCTCATATGTTGTGCCTTGCGATATGATATTTTGGTTGCAGCCAATAACTCTGCCGTGATACAGCATAGTGAAATACCTGCATTACCTGATTTTGCTCCCAAATTGTGGGAAGAGTTGACCAGATTTTCGTTCACTAAATCATATCTGGTTTCGAAAATCTTAGAATCATTCACAGACGCCCTGTCGATTATCATATTCAAAGAGAAAAAGAGTGATCAAGGCTCAAAAGAGTTGAATGCTTCTATAAAAATTCATAACCGCGAGTGTGAGAAGCTTTCAGCTCAAATATCTAGCGTTCTAGACAAGATTTCTTTGGCAGATCCAGATGAACTCAAAAGTATCATAAATGAAAAGGAATGTCTGGTTGCCCTCTGGAGCTGTTTATTATCTCCTTCCATAAATCAATCTGCGTTAAATGTTATCTACCAGGTTTACGATGCAGAGGGCCGTTATGAGGCGATTGAGAGCATATTTGGGCATGCTTTAAAACCAAATATCAATGCTGTCGTTACATCCCTTTCTCATATTGCTGAACTCAAGGTATATGAAACATGTCCGAAGACAATGAGAATTCTCATGGATGTTATCAGGGCACTTATGAACCCATTAACCGGCATCTTGACCACACAGGCCGAGAAAGCTAATGACTGTAAAGATGAGTTAAAGTCTTTATGGACAGCAAGTTGGTCTTTTTTGGTTATGGTGTATCAACAAACCCTAATTTGGGCTGGGCTCTATCATCTTGAGGATTTGATAGAATTTACCCGTGATACACTAGATACTAGTCACTTACTATTAGACTCATTCAGAGTTTTGTTGGATATTTTCAACGACCCAAGTGTTGCTGCTCCTCTCTTTAATGTTTTTATGGAAGCATTCCATTATCTTATCGTCTGGCTTCGCTTGGGGGATACCTCACTTTTGAATTCTTGTGTTGATATCGTATTCAAGGGTTTCGACTTTGCTAAGGAGTTGAATGTGAATGTGGACAAATCTTTTCTTATCATGTTTGCGAAGTACGGGGCCAAGGCCAAAAAGTTCAATAATAAGCTCACTGAACAACAGAGAAATGAAATTTTAGCTAAAGCTAGTGAATTCGACGCTCCTTTAGTTCAATATGTGATTGACGAAGTCGCCAGAGAACGGGCAGGTAAAATGAATGCTTCCTTGGCTCTGACTAAGTCTCAATCTCCATCTATTTCACCCGGTGCAACTTATGCATACCAAAGCAAACCCAAACAACCTAAGCAGCTGACTTTATCAAGATTTGGTGTGATTACTAGCACACCTCCTGTTGCTCCACCACCACCCAAGCCATTCAAATCTAATAATTTGGAAGCAATCAGAAATGAACTCAAATCCAATAGGACACCTTCAAAAGTCCCCGTTATCAACCCGGCACCACCAAGACCAGCCGGATTTAACCCTAAGCATGCCCCTGTCGTTGGTCGGTCATTAAATGCATTGAGACATAAGAAGGTGGAGTCTGACTCTTCAGATGACGACGAAAACGACGAGGATGTGGACATTTCAGACTTGTTTCTTGACTCTAAAAAGAAGACTAAAATTACAGAACTTGATATTCATGGTAGACCAGTGGTGAAAATGGCTGCTCAAAAGAAGATTGACAACAAAAGACAAGAAGAAGAAAGAATGCGGTTGCGTCTAAATGTGAATTTGAAACCACTCTACTCCACGATTCTAAAATGGAATTACAACAGCAATAGCGAATTCCCAACTGATGAAAGAGACATTTATCAGCCAATTAAAAATACATACACTTCGGCGAAAGAATACGTTAGCATGATTGAGCCTCTTTTAATGCTCGAGTGTTGGCAGGGAATTCAGTCGTCCCGTGTAACAGGGCAAGAAACACCTTTCGATTTGCTTGTTGGAAGCAGAACCACATGCGATGGTTTTTTTGATGTATACGCATCAATCAAAAAGACAGATTTGGCTACACGCAAAATTGGCGATACGGACTTGTTGGTCCTTGGGTACGTTGCTGATAAAAATATGAATGATCCTCGTTCTATATCATCATATCTCAAGAATCCAACTTCTCAGACATGTTTAGCAAAAGTTAAAGAGATTAAGTCCGCAAATGCTGATTTCAGTGATCTTACAATTCGTGTCTATCCACAAGGTTCCATGATGGGGATATTGACTCCAAAATCTGTTATCGTTGCAATGAAGGTCATGCCTATGATAACAGTCGAAAGAGAATACTCATCACTTAAAGGATTGCCATATTACGATTTGTGTGACGATATTCTTAAAGCCCGTCCGGCAAGCCCTGCAAACATTTCTGAGTCTGAAGCAACATCTATGTGCCAAAAGTTGAATGTCAATAAGTCCCAAGCAAAGGCTATCCTAGGCTCCTTTCAGAATAATGGGTTTTCCTTAATTCAAGGTCCACCTGGTACCGGTAAAACGAAGACCATCTTGGGAATTGTTGGTAATACTCTCTCGCACTCAAAGAAGTCCAATGTCATTGAGGTTCCAGGTGTAACATCAAGTGACCACCATTCTGACAAAGAACAAGGCCCGAAAGTATTAATTTGTGCACCAAGTAATGCCGCGGTTGACGAATTGGTTGTACGTCTTCGCCAAGGTGTTCACAATGCAAAGGGAGAAGAAATGATCCCCAAGATTGTACGCTTGGGTCGGTCTGACGCTATCAACTCTTCAGTCAGGGACTTGGGTCTCGAAGAACAAATTGAAAAGCAACTAAAAGTTCGAAACATATCAGTTGTCATTGATCCGAACATTCGAACTGAGCATAACAAATGCATTGCTGAGAGAGATGAGATTCGTGAGAAATTACGCAGAGGTGACTTGGATGATGAAAAGATTGCCGCTTTGGAAACCCAACTTCGTGAGATTAATAAAAAGCGAAGCGAATTAGGAAAGAGATTAGATGAACAGAGAGAGAATGCATCTATTGCTTATCGTACAAAAGAAATTGAAAAGCGTCAGCTACAGGCAAAGATCTTAAGTGAAGCGCAGGTCATATGTTCGACGTTATCAGGTTCAGCCCATGATTTCTTGGCTAGCATGTCTATGAAGTTTGACCAAGTCATTATTGATGAAGCATGTCAATGTGTGGAATTATCTGCAATAATTCCCTTGAGATACGGCTGTAAGAAATGTATTATGGTTGGTGATCCTAATCAATTGCCTCCTACCGTTCTCTCCCAAAAGGCTGCATCTTTCAAGTACGAGGAGAGTTTGTTCGTACGGATGCAGAGAACGAATCCAGAATCAGTCTACCTTTTGGATGTACAATACCGTATGCATCCTCAAATATCCAAGTTCCCAAGCGCTCAGTTTTACAAGTCTAAATTAACGGACGGGCCACACATGATGGAAAAGAACAATAGGCCTTGGCATGCGGACTTTCCATTATCGCCTTATCGGTTTTTTGACATTGGTGGCAGGCATCAACAGAATGTGCAAACAAAATCGTTTTTCAATCCTCTGGAAGCCAAAGTAGCTCTCGAGTTAGTTGAGAAGTTGATGCAAATCTTACCTCAGGACAAGTTTAGAGGTCGAATCGGTATAATTTCTCCCTATAAGGAGCAAATCCGGACCCTCAAAGACACATTTGTGCGCAAGTACGGAAATCTAATCCTCAATGAAATTGACTTTAATACTGTTGATGGATTCCAAGGACAGGAAAAAGAAATCATTATCATGTCTTGTGTTCGTGCAAGTGAATCTGGTAGTGTTGGTTTTTTGAGTGATGTGAGACGTATGAACGTCGCTCTTACACGTGCAAGAACAACTTTATGGATCTTGGGAAATAAACAATCCTTGCGGAGAGATAAGATATGGTCCAAATTGATTGCAGATGCAGAAAGTAGGGACTGTGTTACTCTGGCTGAACCAGGGTTCTTGAAGCGGATATTCAAAACTGGTCAACCATCTCAAAGCACTTCCAATGCAAATGGAAGTCAGGAACTGCCTGAAACGGTCGTGGACAGAAAAAGAAAATTATCTTCTGTGGATGTCGTCTCTACTGAAGTCACGCCCAAACTTTCGAAATTGGATACGTCCAATCCAGGCAACTCAACGGTGGGTAATCAGGTCCCATCTACTTTGCCTAAACCATCGCATGCAGAAAACGCTGTGGACATTAGCTCGGCAAAACAAAACTTGTCACCTACTTTAAAAAAATCACACGAGAAGAAACGCGTTCCTTACATTTATAATGCTAAGCTGCTGTCAGCCCTGACAAGCAACAATGATACGAATAGAGGTTCCGCAAGCAACAGTCGTCCTTCCGAAAAAATAGCATCAACAGAAACAAAGGATTCCCCATTTACGCAGAGTTCAAACCAACAAACACCTAACACGGCCACTAGCAAGACGAGTTCTAGTAACGCTTCCGGTATAAATCCCACGAAGTCTGGCGTTTACATGCCCCCACAAGGACCGCGAAAGAGAGGTTCGAGCAGCAGTATCTTCATCAAGCGGAAACGGCCCACTTAGCCCTTTCCCTTATATTAATAAACATCATTATTCGCTTTTCATGCTCTTAGATCTTGGAGCATACAATCCCTCTTGGTTGTTTGAAGAGAACACCTTTGCAGGGGCAGTGGTAGGAGCCGTCGAAGGATGGTATCCAGCAGAAGTTATACGCATGCTGAGCCTGTCGTTGTTGATCTTTGTAGTAGCTAAATCTGTAATGGAACGGTCAACCGACGGAAGATGCTTCACAAAGTCATTATTACCTGTTAACTCGTCAATTGCAGTAGCTAATGCAGTTAGCTCCTGATGGATGATAATACCTAGCCAATTTGCTTTAGACGTTGCTGCTGAAACGTGTGTGTTGTTCGCTTTTTGGAGATCTTCCTCTATGAGACTGTAAGCTATTTTCAATCTTTCAATTAGCTCTTCCGTTCTTGGTTCGGAGCTGTTCAATATACTCATCACAAGACCTTCCTGTGAGGATAAAGTCTTACACGTGGACTTCCAGGCGATGCTCTGGTCATTATAGAAGGCGGACAAGCGTGAGGATTTTAGTGAGAGGTCTTCAAGAGCTTCAACCTTGTGTTTGAGGAGCTCTAATGTAGGCAGTAGGTTAATTTTCTCCGTAATGGTGTTCAGAAGATCATCTACATTCTCTTTGCTTGCAGGTTGCTTTGGCGGAAGAACGAAATTATGCACAAAGCCGTTAATGCCACTCTTCAAGCGCTCAAGACTTTGGGCTCCCCTAGAATATCCCAATTTATATGGTGAATTTGCCAAGGATACGGTATTAGGTGTACCGTCGAAATTGGTAGCAGTTGGAATCTCAAGTGGCTGGACGCCCATTGGATGACCATTAACGGGATTTTGAGCTCCATTAGTATCTCTCAGGTTGTTTGTTGCGGGATGGCTCTTTGAAAAATTATACGTTGCATTGTTGGTTGTGTTCTTTTCATCCAACAACGAAAATGTGGCATCCACCTTTTCCGACCGCAAAAACAGACTTAGGTCTTGCAGAGGAACGCCACTGAAGGTCAAATAGTCGGATATCACATCGCGACCTTTGCGTTCAAGTTCACGGAACCGATGTACGTATTTTGCTGATTTGCTTTCCAAAACCGAGCTTGTTTCGCCAATTTCTTTGGTGATGGCCGCTTTCTGCGCCTTTAGCGCAGCTATACGCTCTTCTAGTTGGTCAATTTCTGTTTCAACCAGTGACTTTTTCCGTAAGAGACCTGCTAGTTTCGTTCCATATTTGCTATTTTCGCTCTTTATTGCACGCACACGTTGAAGTACCTTCTCACGTCGCTTGTCCCATCGAGAGAAATCAGCAAAAAGCTCTTCTGCTATTTCTTTCTCACGAAGACTGACCTCGTTGAGCAGCAAACATGTTTCGGAAAGCTGGTCGAAATCCGATGCGAGAACAGCTCGGATGTGCGTGCAGTCATCTCCCTCAGACAAGAGTTCCAGATGTTCATGAATATGGCGTCTTAGTTCTGTCACAAGGGCATCCTGGTGAGCTTGCAAGAATTCTCGTGGTTGCTGTTCAAAGCCGTCTGAGCCTTTGGTCCTTCTACCTGAAAACGCAACTCCACGAAAGAACACGGAATCGCCAAGGGAATCTCCCATATTTGACATAACCGAGTCCTGGGGCGTTGTTTTCCACCCTAGTTTGGATGCCGAAATCTCTGCCAGACGAGTTGGCGTGAGCTCAAGTCTCTCCACAGCAGAAGGACTAACTGTGTTTGCGCGGATCCCCGTGGACAGCGAGTCAAGCGACTGGGAAAGAAAATCGTGCGGATCTAGACCATCGTCCGATGATTCTGGAGGAGCAAGATGTGTCAAGGGCTCGAGCAGTTCTCCCAAATTGATCAGCTCGAAACCTGAGGGCAACATGCGATAAGATATCGGTGCGAAATGAGATAAGTACAGTCTTTTATGCTGGACTCTACAAATATCCAGCCAGGTGGAAGTTAAAAACGATTCAACAGCTTGGATCTTGTTTAGTTTATTCTCCGTATAGCATAAAACTTGGAATTGGGATCCACAACTTTAGGAACTAGAACATAAGGTTCGTATAAATTTCAAGCGCTTTCACCAGATCGTGTGCTATCTTGGCTATTCATACATTGTTCATATACCAAAAGTCCTTGAAACATGGCACTTCAATGCTTTAATCTTCAACTACGCTTTCTGGAGCATTAAGATTCTTCGTTTGCGTTACTTTTGTGAAAAGCCAGACGGCAAGCCATACAGCCCAAATTTTACTCTCTTTTCTCTCTTTTCTCTCTTTTCTCTCTTTTCTCTGTTGATTGCTCATCATCCTAATTTATCAGTGATGATCTTCATATTCTGCCTTCCCGGGCATGATCCATATCCTTTCAGGATGAAAAGTACAGTCTGTGAGTATTGGTACTTCGGCTTCTCGGGTTCACTACTGTCCTCCCAGAACATCTGATTTGTGGGTTCTAATGATAAACGTTTTCGTATTTCAGCGAATGAACTCAAAGCTTAAGCTTCATTTCTGTATTCTGTCTGTAAACACCGAAGCACCGCCAAAGAATATGTAACAGGGGACTCAAAGGATCCAGTTCATCGACGTAGAGCCTCTGACGAAGTATTAAAAACTCTTCATTATTCACTTTAACGTTCTATGGGTGCCTGAAATATCCTACACGCATAGTGGGGCCCATTCTTCATTGTTTTTGTTACCATTACCTTTACATATGTAATCGTAGTCCATGTCTGAATCCATAGGAGTTCCACAGCTCCTACCCTAAGATCTAAAAGTCGTTTAACGTCAAAACATTGGCTACCAGTGTCAGATCCACCGCATTGCGGAACTCCTCGAAACTCAACTTATTATCACCATCGCGATCGTTTTCCATAATCGTCTTGTCCACCACCTGCTGAAGCTCTGCATCCAGTAGATTTTTGCCAACCATCATCTTCATAACAATGAACAATTCGCCTGTGGCAATAAATCCGTCCTGATCAATGTCGTAAATCTTGAACGCAAACCTTAGTTTCTCGTCTCTGGATGTTTTCCCACTGAACGCAGAAAGTCCAGTAATAAATTCCTGGAAATCAATAGTACCATCGTTGTCCTCGTCAAACACATCCATAAGTCTTTGCGCCAATGGGTTCGACAGAATTCCCGGAATAGCCAAAAACTCATTCTTGTCAATCGTTCCGCTACCATCGCTGTCAAGTTTCATAAACCGTTTCCGCAAACGATCGATTTCTTCACGGTCAAAATTTGTTCCATCCATTAGGGAATCTAACACTTTAGATGACGCCAACCCCATTGTTGTCAGGTGTATCGTTGGTTTTAGTAGTTGAGTAAGTCCATTATCGCCGCACAAGACTATCAACGTATTGTCTGCAGGATGGTTGATTATTTGGTTTCTCTAGAAGCCTACTGAAGATACAACAGATGTTCTGGAATATGTCTGAAATTGTTCAACGTGCCCAGACACGCTTAATTTCATGTTTCTATTGCTACTGACGCATATTTGGTTTGTGTGGTTCTGTAATGCTGAGAGTCCTATCACCGATATCCATCTCACCACCGCTCTGAAAATCAGCACATTCAAGACTTTGCATGCTTACAACTTTGGTGTGAATGAACCTGAGATATACAGCCCGCCATCCACAGGCAAAACTATACCGTTCAAGTAGTTAGACTGTTTCGCACTCAAAAACAAAACGGCATTCATCAAGTCCTCCTTCTTGCCAAGCCGTTTCCTTGGGTTCTGTTCGGCCATCACATCTCCAGCCATGTCTAAAACCCCCTGCGACATTCTGGTAGGAAAGAATCCTGGCGCCAAAGAATTGACAGTGATATTGCGTGGGCCCAATTGTAAGGCCAAATTCTTTCCCATATGGGATACCCCAGCCTTGGAAGCTAAATAGCCATACACTCCGACAGGGTCACTAGCCACAAGAGATGCCACAGAAGACATGATCAAGATTCTCGAAGGATCTTCGTCTGTACCAGCGGCCTCAAGTAAAGGAGTAAACAATTTTATGGTGTGGAATACAGCAACGACATTCAAGTTCAAAATTTTCTTCACGGCAGAAACAGGATGATCTTCTAATGGGGCACCCCACGAAGCACCGGCATTGGCCACTAAGATATTCACCTTGTCAACCTTCTCTGACACTTGAGTGAAGAACTTCTCGCATTGGCCTTCATCGGCCAAATCAGCTGGAATTGCAATGACTTGTGTGTTGCTTGAATTGTCTTTGGCCACTTTCTCCAAGTAAGCCTTTGCCTCATCACACGCCTTTTGCTTTCTAGAAGTGATCACCACCGTTTTCGCTCCGTTGAGAACGTATGCCTCAGCTGTGTAAAGACCCAAGCCTCTCGTTCCGCCTGTCACCACAGCAACTTTTCCATTCACGTTATAATCAACCATGTTTCTGTTTCCGAAGCAATGCCTACTAGGAAAGTGTCGACTCTTATAGTAGATATGACCCTCGGACAGCCTGCACAAAATCTCTTCCCCGCAAAGTGGGCTTCGACCGTGGATGTACAACTACAGAAAAGAGTGCGAATAAATACATCTTCTCTTCAATTGAGATCCTGGAAGCAAGTATGTCTCCCCGCTTTACTCCTATAACTTTTGCTTGCGGGGCAACATCTGGAACACCATCTGCAAACCTTGGTTTTGCGGGTTCGTTGTTGAGAACATGAGACGGTCACTATTGATCATGCGTATACCTTTGCTAGGAATCACCTGGATCAACGTATTCTTCCCATCTGTAGAGTCACTAATGGACCATACTTCGATAACTTCCTCACAAACAAGGAAGAGATTGTTGTCAACAAAGGAGATGCTTGTGGGGCGGAAATCAAATCTCACGGTGGTTGTACGAGAAAGACTGCCAGCTTTGTTCACAAAGATAGCCAAATCCTTGTACACCAACAAAAACTCCTTGTTGTTGTTAAGCTTGAACATCCCCATGGGGCTGCAATGAGAAATGGCACGCCGGATAACGTCTGTGTGCTTGCCAGTTTTTCTGCCATACGAGTCAATCTTCTTGTTCCCAGACTCTGGTAGATCTGGGATCGTTCGAGGCGAGAGAGTACTCAACTTCATCACTTCAAAGCCTCGCTCTGTATGCACAGCAATAGACGTGTTGAAGATAGAAAGTCCATAACATTGTCCCGCAATGTAGAACTCTTTTATCAAAGAGAATGATGTCAAAATTCCATTGGCATCAGTGTCGAAGATGAAAACCTTGAATCGAACTTCTCCTGCAGCCTTCCTGGCGACAAATAATGTGGGAATTTCATTATGGCGCCCCACCTCATAAAACAAAATCTCTTCATTGATTATCGGGAATGAGCTCAATCTTTCCTTCCGCTCATAATATACCTCGACAAGCAGCTGAAGTGGGTAGTGACGCAAAACTTTGTTACCGAGAACAAGAACAACATTTAGGTGTGGTACAACTGTCAATTTGGTAACATTTGACGTGTTCAATATCTGTTTCCATCTGTTGTTTCTGTCGGTACAGAAAACTCCCTGATTAGTACCTACAAAGACAAAGGTACTTCTGGAAAACGTGCACGTCTCGGCACATTTTATTTTTCTCCTCTCTATCATGTTCTTTGGCACATTAGGAGAGAATACATCTCGTGGGACACGTCTTGCTTTCAAAACAGCATTCGTACTTTCAGCTAGCATTTGTATAGGGTCATTTGGAGGAAGCACAGGCAACTTCGTTTTCGCCGGTTGATGCTCGTACGCAAAATAGCAGTTATCCACTAGATCCAAATCATATGGAGCTAGCGGGGATACTCTTTTCATCAAGTTGTACCTCGACTTTTCCAAGACGCTAATCCACCTGTTGCGTTCGGCCTCACTGCCAGCAAGAAATGTGTGAGATTCATGTTTCCTTCCAGCATATCGAACTTTGAAAGGATATGTAAATACATCCTCGTCACCATCCCCATTTTTTGATGTGGATGTGCTTGTGCCAACTTTAGCAGTAATGCCGCCTTCTTTATCTCTGTTTTCGACTATCAAGAAGTCCATCAATATAGGTGTCTCGGTGACCTTATATCTGATTGTCCGTTGACTCTTTGAACGTTCTGTAATTAATAGATAATTGTCTAACACGATAACATGTACCGTATTTGTGTTGATTTTGAGGTCACCCTTCTTGTTCAAATCGCCTCTATAGTAAAACTTCCTCTTCGTGGATGTAAGATTAATGTTAGGTTTGAAAATATTTGATTTCCAAGTAAGATGTTTCTGTAGAATGTCTAATGAGTGGACATTGTCAGCATGGACTTTCATTTGGTTTACTGTGGTCCCTAGGCTTTTTATTGAGTCCACAGCTTTTGTCAATACTTCGTATTCTTCTTCTTGTTCATCGTAAAATTTTCTGATGTCCATCAATTGCAAGGGTAGCTGCTGGTAACGAGAATTGAAAGTACTCATTAAGAGCAAATTACCATTAACTTGTAAGTCCTTGACTTTTGGATTGTTTCTTAATGTTGAGTCCCAATCTTTGAGCGCCTCGTTTCCCAAAAGATACTCAATCATAGGTACACAACTCATGTACTCAAGCAATGCACTACGTACGCTTTTTGACCATTCGTAGTACAAGCTTGCAATTCCGGCGATGTTCGTAAGAAACTTGCCGTCGGAAATGAGTATTTTCAACAATGGTTCGTAGAGATTTGTTTTATGGATGGATACCAAGTCTTTTGCTGATTTCAAGAGCTTTTCGCCAAAATCTCTCAAGGAAAACGTAACATCCTGACTTATCATGGTTTGTGATACTCTCAAAAATTCCGGCCCAACGGTAGTCACAAAGCAGTCTGCTCTTTGGATAAAAGTCTGCTCGAATTTTATTAGGTCAAAAAGAAATGATTGTTTCTTGGAGTCAAGAGTATCATTGTTGATTTCCTCTGGGGTCAATTGCCAATGAGTAGCCCAATCTGATCCCAAAACTAGATCAGCGATATTCGTTGTTTTGCGGAAATGCTCATGCTCGATAATCTTGTTCAACTGACATTGGGATGAGTAACATTTAAGCATCTGGTCTTTCACAGAGAAATTTGTGTGGTCTGCGTCATGGCAATAGCACCCTGTAAGATCAACTAAAACACCACTCACTTCTTTATCCGGTATAAAATGGGCGAACAAATCATTAGTCTTTTTTGTTCCATCATCTGCCTTAGGCTCTAAAGCAAGCGCGCCGTTCGATCGAAATGTCTCGATTATTCCACTTGCGTTCTTGCCTATTATATCAATAGGGGTATTTCTCTTGTGAAAAACCAACAACTTGATGAGCGCTTTCCGTAGTTGTTTCTCACTGATGTCTTGTCCACTCACCCATGTATTTAGTTGTATGCACCAAGCGAAAATATTTCTTAGAGACCACACATCCTTGCAAGTTGCAAAATGGTGACTTGTTAGCGAAGAAGAAGAAAATGGGAGCAGTGGAAGATCTAAAGGTACAGGAGGCAATTCATCATACTTTCGACGAAGAGTCGGAGAGCTTTGAAGTCCACTATCATTTCGGAAAAGCGATAGCGTTGATCTGAAAGCTGTATGGTTTATCGGAGTTAAAGGCTCTTGTTTGGGAAGTTCTGGAAGCGAGGTGTAATCGAAAACATTCATGTAATCTCCCTCATGATGCTCGTTGTCATCGTAATAATAGTCGGTATAATCTTGTTCTATCAAACTCCAGCGTGGAGTTCGTAGGTCGTCTCCTACACCGAAATTCATATCTCTTTCGTCTATCGGATAAAAATTCAGGGAGCCGCTAGTAGGGGAAATTCTGTTACCCTTTTTAGGCGAAGGCGATCTACTGCTTCTGCTATGAGCCAAAAAGCCCGAGTATGAAGATTCAGCAGTGTATCGACTGAAAGATGGAGACTTAGTTGGCGAATTCAGGGGACTCGAATAGTTGCCTCCCAGTTCGGGAGAAGAAGGATACGCTACTCCAGCACCATAGTTGTTCCCAAGAAACTTGTAATCTGGAGATCGGCTCAAAGACCTTTGCAGCTTTGACATTTGAGTCGAGTACAAATCGTCCATGAGCGAAGGGATTCTGGATGGTGTTCGGTTGATATCGATATCTCCCAAGTGCGCTTCTTCCCTTGGAGAAGATTCGTCGGAGTCTGAAAGGTCTAGATCGCTCAGTACCGGATACGGAGGTGTGGGGTCTTTTGCTGGTGGGCTAGGAGTGGGACCTTTAATCGAAGATGTGGGGCGGATGTCTGTCTGACTTTCGTCTCGAGAAAAAAACGGCGAAGAAGTTGAGCTCAGCAAACTCTGAAATTTGCGAGGTGGATAATAGCGCCGTCCTGGTGGAAGATCTGGCGAGACGCTAGGTGAACTGCTTGTTTGAGGGAAGACCGGAGACAAAGTCAGAAAAGAGTCTTGTTGGGCGTAATGATCTCTTCGGTGATTTCTTTCGTATTCTCTTTGGTGATCTCTTGGGTCGTCTCTCTGATAATCCTTGTGGTAATCTCTGTGGTAATCTCGCGGGCTATACGTATCTTGATAAGGGTCTTGAACGTAGGACAGGTTAAATTTCAGTGGCTCCTGGGGCAGAAGAGACGCAGCCACTTCTAGAATGTTGGCGTGGCTTCCTTGCTTGAGCTGGGTAGGGCTTGAATATTCATCGAATGGCAAGTCTTTGGGACCCTTGAGTCTGGGACTATCGACAGAAAACACCAGATCATCAAAAGAAAGATCAAACGACTCATTCTGTTTCTCCGGAACGATAATGGCCGGAGTTATGGTGCTTGGTTGTTCCCGTTCATTTGCATGGTACGATTGGTAATGGTCGGTTCCGGGGTTAGTGTTGATACGTAGACCGCTTTGTTTGTACTCATTGAGCGGAGGAGGCGGTTTCCGCCTTAGCGATTTTTTGTTGTTCAGCGACAGCATGGGACCCAAGCAACTTTGTTTCAGCAGATCCCAAATTCCTGGACAGTTATGAATGTTATCTGCTTTCGGGTACCGCACAGTAGGACCCGAATCAAGGTCACGTGCAGCATAGCCTTTGGTCAGCCAGAAAGATACCACACAGAAGGAAACGAAGCATACAAAAGATGAATTGGCTTTACTATCTATATGACATTTATGCAATTGAATCTGTCATTTGTGTGGAGTACAGTGTAATGTGTAGTGGTGAAGATCAGAAGATGCGAGATTGCACTTGATGTGCGATTATGGCTAAAAAAGGCGAAAGAAGAGCGTAAGCGAGAGAGTAAAGTATACGGATTTAGCTATTCTGCTTCAACACCTACATTTATAATTTTTTTATTGGTAGTTGTTGGTTCTTCTCACTCTAAGTATTACATTATTTTCTCTTCAAAACGTGTTGTGCAATGGGTGTGAATAGTTACTGAATCTGAGATAGCCAAAGCGCGCAAAGCCGTACGCGTATCTTTTCTTCACCAATGTATTCCGCTGAAATCACCCAGCACTTGGCTGAAGGGTCGAAATTCTATGCAACCAAGGACTTTAGTCTGGCTGCTACCAAGTACGCAGACGCTTGCGAAGCTTACAACAAAGAAACAGGCGAAGACAGCGCCGAGTTGCTTTTGCTTTACGGCAAAGCGCTTTTCCAGAATGGAGTGGCCAAGTCAGGGATTTTGGGTGGCATAGGTAACGAGGAAGAAGAAGAAAACAAAGAGAAAGAAGAGAAGGAGGAAGAAAACGACAACTTCCAGTTTGAAGATGGTGTTGAGGAAGAAGCTGAAGAGGGCCAAGAGCCAGAGTCTCAAGCCGAGGAAGGCGACGACGAAAAAGTCGAAGAAGAGTCAGACTTCGAGGCAGGGTGGGAGATCTTGGACCTCGCACGGTCCCTTTTTGCAAAGAAGGTCGAGGAATTGTCCTCTGAAGAATCAAAGTTGACCATCCCGTACTTGAAATCAGACGACGAGGAGCCCAAAAACGAGTATGTCGTTGCCCTTAAGAAGCTCTCAGAGACTTACGATCTTCTAGGAGAAGTTTCTTTGGAGTCAGAAAACTTCTCCCAGGCTGCAAGCGACTTGGCTAGTTGCCTTGAATTGCGTGAGAAATTGTATGACCCATTACTTTCTGCTTTGGTGTCTGAATCACACTACAAGTTGTCATTGGCTTTAGAATTTTGTGTGGAAGATCCAGAGCTGAGGCAAAAAGCAGCAGAACAGATGAAGTTGGCAATCAATTGCGTGAAACTGAGAAGCAAAAACAAAGAGAAAGAGCATTCAAAAGAGACCGATGATCTTCTCCGCGACTTGGAGGAGCGTTACAGAGAACTTAAAAAGGACCCACAGGAGCAGTTCAAGGCTGAGCAATTGAATATAATCAAAGGTATTTTGGGAGAAGCTGTTGAGTCGAGTTCTGCCTCTGAAACGCCTCAGGCCCGCACTGTCGCTGTGAACGATTTATCTTCTATGGTTAAAAAGAGGAAAGCCAAGCCAAACAACGCGAACACCAAGAAACCCAAGAATGAGTAACCAAGGAGATATAGAGAGTGTACAATAGTTTAGTTACAGTATGTTAGTTTCTTATTCAGCCCAATAATACAATTTGAGAAATGAAAAGAAAACGAGAAAACATTTGAACGAGTATCAGATTCAGAGAGAATTTCATGTCACAAGTATAATGACATCTCTGCATAGATGAACGGTAGTAGAATGAAGGAAAAAAAGTTCTTTAAACGAATCAGTTTACGTCGGATGGAATCGCTACTTCCTTCTAATTTCAATGATTTCTTTCTTTTCTGCTTCGACAAAGTAAGACTACTAATTTCTATCAGACACCTTATACACAGGCTGTCTACATCTCTTCACTTGGGCATCGCAGATGTGCAGGAAATACCAATCCATCTTGAACTAGGCATTTTTTTGAATATAACACCCTGTCCCAAAAATGGCGCCTCCTTCAGTTAATAATAAACAAAAACGGAATAGACGTCGGAAGAAGAGAAGAACGGAAGATTTTTCGTCGGACTCAGATTCGGACTCGGACTCGAGTTCTTCTTCTGCTCCTTCAGACAAGGAAGAAGAAAAAGAGAAACCAACGGCAAATATCAATATCGACGACATTGACATCGAATCGGACACGGAACATGCCACAGAAAGAGCAAATGATGAGCCCCTCTCAGCAGAAACACAACAACAGCTAAAAAAGATAAAGTTCACTAGCACTGCAAATCAATCCATTGCAGAGGCAAAAGAAACAGTCAGAAAGGACAGACAGCAGTTAGAAAACGAATTTTTGGCGCATATGGCGACTGGTTTTGCCAATGATTTGGATGAGCTTCGGAAAAAGCCCGATTTCAATGAAAAGTCGATCGTTATTTTGGCCAAAACCCTCCAATCTGGCAGCAACATGTTTGATGAAGAAACGTTGAACGCCTTATTGAAATAAACTTGTTGCCACAAGCTAAAAATCAGAAGTGATTGGCTAGCTACATACGGAAATTTTAAGAGTACGAGCATGACTGGATGTAGCGAAATCTTTAGGACATGTAGCAGGATGAACAGATACAGGGACAAGAATCAAATCCAATCACATAGTATGAAGAGTGGTTTAGCCATGAGTATGTTGTTAGGATAAAATAAATAACCAGATTTAAGACTAATATACTTCAAGATCCAGACGCAAAAGTTTTTCTGTGTTTCCTAATTTAGACTTTTAGTAATGATTCGCAACCTTGCACAGTGATTTGTGAGACGTCCTTAGAGATTTCAGGACAGATGGCCCTTTAGGAACATCTTCAGTCTAATTGGAAAGTATATTAAGGCGGTGCTCACGAGCATAACAAGAAGCCTGGTTAGCTCAATCGGTAGAGCATTTGACTCTTAATCATATAAGGTCAATCAAAAGGTTGCGGGTTCGAGCCCCGCATCGGGCTTTCTTTTTACTGTTGTGACCCAGCAGCAAGGTATATTCCAGTTTATCCGGTTTGCTCATCATTCCTTGCTATTTTTTTTTTCTTCGTCTATAATACGTCGTTTTCCCGTCTGACCTACCCTAGTTATTTGCGCACATCGGTACATCTTCATCACTTTAGTAGTTCTATCACAAAAGATCGTAAGTCCTGCCTAAACACGAGCAAATTAAGAGATCCGTCATGTCACTTGTCTTGGCAAGACTTGGTATACTCGCAAAAAAATCGGAAAGTTTCCCTACTGTAGGTGCGGCGTGAACTATTCACATGTGTCAAGTAAAGGCGAGATTTGCGCACCTGCACAGCCAACGGGCGGACCGAGTCAATTTTCTGTTTTTCCCTGTCTGAGTCACCACCCTGCCTTAAAAGACCCTGCTGCTGCCAGTTTCAACCCCACAATGGATAAATCCAAAACTGTCGAGGAGACACATGACGTATCTCACGAATTACACCCATTTAAGGTGCTTCTGAAGTTTCTGCGCAAGTTGGATGCCTTTGGTGTGGAAACCAGAGGTATCGAGCGGATTCCCTCGTACGAGCGCTCTACTAACAAAGTGAGACAGCTCATTACAGTTGTCGGGCTTTGGATCTCTGCATGCGGCGGCTTGTCGTCCATGTCGTCTTTCTACTTGGGTCCTCTCTTGTTTGGACTAGGATTGAAGAAGACGCTTATCACCGGTTTACTTGGTCAAGCCATCGGCTGCGGTGTGGCCGCCTACTGTTCGCTCATGGGTCCCAGGTCGGGATGCCGTCAGATGGTGGGCGCCCGCTTCTTGTTTGGCTGGTGGCTTGTGAAGCTTGTATGTATTGCTTCGATGGTGGGTGTGATGGGCTGGTCGGTGGTGAACTGTATTACTGGAGCGCAGATTTTGTCGTCGATGAGTGGTGGTTCTGTCCCGCTTGTGGTGGCGATTGTGATCATTGCTTGTGTATCGTTGGTGATTTCCATCGGCGGAATCCGCTACTTGCTTCGCGTGGAGGCCTTTCTCAGTATCCCGGTGAATATTGCGTTTTTGACCTTGTACATCGTTGGCGCCAAGCAGTACGGCCACTTGACGTTGGCCGACTCGCCACTGGAAGATGCAGCTACCGTCAGGGGCAATGCCATTTCCTTTTTTGCCTTGTGCTACTCCATCACCTCCACATGGGGGCTGATTGCCTCCGATTACTACATTTTATTCCCAGAAGACACTCCCGACGTGCAGATTTTCTTCTTGACGTTTTTGGGAATCTTGATTCCAACCACCTTTGTCGGAGTTGCCGGTATCTTGATTGGTAATGTTGCCTTGACCTATGAACCCTGGAACACAGCATACACAGAAATGGGAATGGGTGGCTTGTTGAATGCTGCTTTTGAGCCATGGGGCGCTGGAGGCAAGTTCTTGTTGTGTCTTATTTTCTTGTCTTTGATCTCCAACAACATTTTGAACACATACTCTGCCGCATTTGGTGTGCAGTTGCTTGCTCTTCCGCTTGCACGAGTTCCAAGATGGATGTGGGCTATTTTGCTTACTGCCGTGTACTTGGTTTTGTCCATTGTGGGCCGGTACCATTTCGCTCTGATCTTGGGCAATTTCTTGCCCATGGTCGGTTACTGGATTACCATGTATTTTGTGATGTTGCTTGAGGAAAACACTATTTTCCGTACAGATAGATTTATCCATTTGTACACAAAAGAGTTTTCTGAGCAGGAGCCCAAGGTCTCGAACGTGGGTGGCCATCTCTACAAGCGCAATGTCCACTATAATTTTGACATTTGGAACGACTACGACAAATTGACACTGGGCTATGCGGCCACATTCGCCTTTGCTGCCGGAGCTGCCGGAGCTGCAGTAGGAATGTCGCAAGCCTACTGGATTGGGCCCCTTGCTAAGAAAGTTGGCGGTGAATATGGTGGTGACATTGCCATGTGGCTTTGTTTGGCCTTTAGCGGTGTGAGTTACCCCGGCCTAAGGTATTTGGAATTGAAAAAGTTCGGCAAATAAGTGAAAGATGTGGGCGCCGGCAAGAGCTTTGGATAAGTATTAATACACATCTAATGTACTTTACTTCTAGGTCATGTGGGGTTCGTCTTAAATCCGCATTTTTCGAGATCGGTTGTTATGTACCGAAACTCCGATGTGGGCCGAGTCAACAAGAAAGCATCTAACATGTAGGAAAGCAAACATTACGGGAAGGTGGTTAAATATACAATTGGCGAAAACCACCACAGGATGGAGGTTACAATTGGAGAAGAGAGTAATGCTTTTAGTGAATACTACAGTCTGGCACCAATGAGGACATTATTCCAGCGTATCGCCTGCATATCTGGCCGTTTTGCTCTTGAAGTGAAAACATGCACAGCATGCAAAAGTTGGAAAGGAGTTCTCGATCTCAGCCCAAATGCGCCCATAATACATCTACATGCACCTCCGTATGGAAAACCAATAATATGGATGTAGCAGTACTAGAATATTCTTTTAAAATCATTTTTCTCCAACAACGTACGATTGTGTCTAGGCCTTTCCAACATGGTGAATCTAGTCGTGTCTGCTGCTTGATGTTCCTGGCATTCCTGCCAGATCCGATTTCGCTTTTCTGACAATCTTATCCTGATTAGTGCGGCTTGCCGTATGCGCAGGCGCAGACCCAACGGTTTACGAAGTGTATACACTCCGCGCATAGCCATATCACCGCTCCGTCTGGAAAAGACACAAAAGGAAAGGCAAAAGAGGGGTTCGTATAGTAAAGGCGAGACATTGGAAGCAAACCAGACCAGGAAAACCTTCATTTTGAAAACCGGATTTCGGCTCCGATCGCAAGATTGGGAGCACTCGCATATAATGGCCCAAAATAGAAAGAACCTGGTAGAAGCACCGTATCGCGCCAATAGTGGGGGAGACATGGAGAATGAGGAAGTATTCGTTTCGCCATCACCCGATCCCAAAAAGTAGGCCTTTCTGGTGTGGTAGAATCGGCCCTCTTTTTTTTGACTCACCTGAATTTGCCACTTCCCTTTTGGTGCAGTGTTTGCATCGAAGTGAGCTGGAGAAAATTCACTGCCGTCTGATAATGCGGCTAATCTGCATACTGGGTTAGTAATCAATCGACTTGCAGGAGCTCGTAATCGCAAAAGGTACTGACTCATCAAAATTACTTAAAAGCGCCAAGCGCTCTTGTGTATACATCCGTGTTTTTTTTTTGTTTTAGAACATCTCAGAAGCTTTTTCCAACTTCAATTCAATGTTAGAAGAGAAGCTAGCTACAGAGCCCTCATTGGGCAAAAAGAAGCCCTCGAAATCTTCTACTGCCACAGACCCGATCTGGACCATTCTCCCTTCGTATGATATGTACCAGGCCACTTTCCATGGTGACGACGAACCTCCTCAGTATGCCGGGGTTTCTTCAGCCTCCGAAGTTGATACCCAAACTTCTTCCTCGGGAATTCCAACATTGAACACAGAGTTCAGTAGTACCGAACTGGAAAATAGAATTACAGTTAGCACTTCCCAGGACGCGAGTCTTATTATTGCAGATGAGTCCACCACCAGCTGGAGAGAAACCATTTTGGACAACATCCACAACTTGCGTAACTTGACCTTTTCCGACAACAAAACCGCCCAAGCTGTGAAGATCTCGGTGCATTTCACCGAGGACGTTGGCGAGGTTGGTAAAGTGCCTAAACATATAGACCCGCTGAATTTTGAGTATAAGCAAGGCGACTACTTGAACGGATACGTGCTTATACGGAACGATGGGCCGGACCCAATTCCCTTTGACATGTTCTATGTGCTTTTTGAAGGTAATTTCATTGTGCGGGACATTACCAATCCTAACTCGACCAAACCTGTCACCGTCCGCAAGTTTTTGGAAATGTACGATTTTGCAGCATCTTACAACAGAGCAAATGTTAACCGGCTCCTAAAGGAACACGAAGGCCATTGGTACTGCTGCTCTGATTTGAAAGATCCTATTGACGGCACACATCTGTCTCTTGGTGAAAAACAGCAGGTGCTTCCAGGAATTACATATAAAAGATTCTTCACATTCAAAATTCCCGTTCGTTTGTTGGACACAGAGTGCAATGATCACAAGCTTGCGGGCCACACAGAGTTACCTCCAACATTAGGCATGCCTCCCCTCCAAAAGCAATCTATTCCAAAGGAAAAGCACGTGAGTGATTTACCCATGATTGACGCTTCAACAAGTTACGGTGTTATGGCTAGATTTATTGGTAAAGCTTCGAAATATAATGTGGATGACGAAAAGGATACGGGAACGAAATTGATTAACGCCAAGGGTGACGAGTTTATAATTTTGAAGGAAAGCATTTCGCATGTCCGGATTTTACAAGAGTCCATTCTTCTTAGTGATGGAGAAAAGGCCGCCAACAAAGAGGCCTCAAGACTTCTATATCATAACTTTCTCAAACGGGTTGAAGAGAAGATCGAAATTGGAAACGAATTGAAAAAAGCCATAGAAGAAGAAAATGATCTGAAAGCCTTAGACTTGGCTCGCAGGCTAGAGGTTGAAAAACTAGTACGCGAGCGGTCTCAAAACGATAATGTCAAGTTCAGTCAGTTGTATACCTCCAACTACCACAGAAGAGACTCGAAAGATGCACTTCGCAAACCGGAGACTTACGACATTGTACTTCCAATACACAAGAAAACTTTGTTTGGTTCTAAGAAAGTGGAAGGAACATTGATGGTTTCCACTCCAAAAACAGAATTTCTTATTGATTATGTTCCACCAAAATTTTTTAGAGAAGGCATGCCCACAGATGACTCTTCTTGGAAGCTACAGGTACCTATTGATGTAAAGTTTACTCCTTCAGGTCTACAAAACAACGAAATCAAGCCTCCTTCGATCAAAAGCATTCGTGCCGAGTTTGTTGTGTTCACTGTGAAATCGAATAAACGTCCGATTCCAGTGGAACTTAACCATAACTTTCTTTTCACCAATGATTATGCGGTGAAAGGCATTCCACCTTTCCAAGACAACTTCACGCACTTGGTGAAAAAACCGGTGCAAGCTTTAGCTGGGAGAATGTACAGTTTATTGAGAGAACTAGGAAGTCAAAATTTCAGGGTGGAACATGATTTGGCAGCAGACTTGAGTGCTATGGCTAATATGGAAGAGAAGTATAACAATTTGGTACTCCATGACAGCAAAATACAACACCAGGGCCAAGTGGCACCAGCAGAACGCGGAGTTGGTGGTGTCTGGGAAAAAGACGGGCAATCTTTTACGAAAAGCTTTTCTGTGCATCTTGACATTACCAAAGCTCAGAAAAAGGCACCTAATGCTCCAAAGTTGGCTCCGGGCTATAAAGTCTACGATGAGATTTGTTTTGTTCCCAGCTTTCAAACATGCTTGTTACTGCGCATGTACTACATCCAGTTACATATTATGTTCTCTGATGACCAATTTGTACAGATGAAAGTTCCTGCCTCAATCGCAAAAGTGCCTTCGTGATCTGTGTCTTTCATGTGATTTGTGAATTGATGATCTTTGTCAAGTGTTGAATTATTCGTCAAATATTCTTTTAATGCCCAAATATTTAATTTAATTTAATTTATGGTTTTGCTCTTAAATAACATTGCCCGATTTTTCCTACTTACTGTGTCCTTTGAATCGGGTCCGTAGGTAGTAGATCTCGTCGGTTTCTTTTGCTACAATATACCCACACATACACATTAATTAAAGCTAAACACTTGAGAGCTATTTGAGGTGAGTTCCGGCTAACTCGTCTGCGATAGCATCGACAGAAACATCCTTGTCTTCGACGGAAAGGCCCAACAACTCCTTTTCTAACTGGTCCAAGTCCACGTTGGCATCGTCGAAAGTATCCTCGCCTTCTTCGTCATCAGACTCGTCTTCGTCTTCGCTGTCAATTTCCTCCAAGTCGTCCAATTCGTCAAGCTCACCAAAGCCTCTGTCTTCGAAGATGGATGAAATCTTCTCAATGTGGTCGGAGTCCTCTTCGAATCTGTTACCATTCAACTCCAAAAGCTTCAAGTTGGGCAATTTGTGCGAGACAACGCTGGCCAATTTGGCCAAGGCGTCGGCTTCTAACTCGTTGTATTGCAACTTCAATGTGGAAAAGTGTTCCTTGACACTTCCCTCGTGGAAACGTTCAACCAAAGCCAATGATCCCTTTGGCTTCAACAAACAGTCATTCAAGTTCAACTCGACCAACTTTTCCCACTTACCTAAAGCGTCGGCCAAAACGACAGCCGCCACGGTGGTGATTGTGTTGTCTTGCAAATCGAGAACTTGCAACTGGGTGTTCTTTGACAAGCCTTGAGAAATCAATTTTGCAATTCCAGCAGGACGACATTCCGTTTTGGTACAATCTGACTGTCTGCAAATCGGTCGTGGTTTCTCAAACCGATCGCCAAGTAGTTGACAGATCGCACTTCTCCAATCTGTTTCTGCCACAGATGAACGTTTTCAACGATGGCTTTCCTTGCTTAGCTTTTGCCTGGGCCAATTTGGCCAAGCATTTACCAATCCGAGCACCAGCAAAAGGACCCATGCCGTATGTTGGATAAAATCAAATGCTCAACAGAAACAGCCTTGGCAAAGGTAATCTTCGAATTGGATCAATTGTCTGCAAGCCAAAGGCGTTGTCGCTCAAGTTGGACAATCTTCAATGTTGGGACATTGCAACAATGCAGGCAACAAATACAGCAAGGACTGGGGGATTTCGGTGTTCAAACGGCCAGTGTACAAGTCCGAGAAATCCACTTCCACAATAGTGTCCTTGTGTTTGGCAAGCGCCTTGCTCAAGGCTTCAGAAGCTTCAATACCAATGGTGTTTCCGCTAAAGTCAACTTTGGTGACTTTTTCTTTGGCCAAAAAATCCTTGAGGTAGGGCTCAATGTCGGCTGCGGAATCGAACTTGACTTGCTTTCCAGCAATGGAATACGTGGTTTCGGGAGTTACCCCGACATCGACATTGACAGACGCCATTATGGAGCATTTGCAAGAGAGAGAAGGAATTTTATGGCTGCGACTATGTGCAGGTCACCAACCTCTGGTGTTGGAGGGCCATGAAAAACTGGGAAAAACCATGTATTTGCAAGAGAGAAAAGTATTGTGCTTCTTTTGGATGCTGAATTTGGTTTGTAGCAGTCTTTGATTCTCGAAAAATGGCGGTATTGCGCCATACGGTGCCAAACCAGCGGAAAAGGCATGTGCGGATGCAAACGAGAGGTTTCCCACCTAAACACAAGTCAGGCCATTTCAGCGGGGCGATTAACTACAGATCAGACCACTACAAGTCAAACAATGACAACACGTCCTAAATTGAAGCGGGGGTGGGGTGAAGAAAGTCAAAGCAAGGTGGTGGTGGCACGTGACCGCACATTCCGGTGTGCAGAGGCAGACTTCCTCGGCAAGTTTTTTCCAAGTTGAAGTAAACTCCCATTATCATGGCTCCTAAACAACAACCAACCACGCTCGAGCAAATCACGAAGACCCCGGCTTTCGCCGTTGCCGTCCAAGTTGGACTTTTTGCTGCCGGTGTTGCGTTCATCCAATCTCCTTTGATGGACTTCTTGGTGCCTCAGTTGTAAGCACATCCCTCTGTACATATCAAATGCAAGATGCGATCAAACTACTGTAGTAAAGTGTGTATTACGGGAGACGAAGCGATGGAGAAAAAGGGCTTGATTGGTCTTCGCTAGGCAAACTTTGGACAGAAGAGATCGAGATCATGGACGAGCAAAAGATGACGAAACAAAGATACAAGGAAGCTAGTGACGGCCAAGACACTAGATTGACCTTAACATCAAATGACAGTTACAAGATAAACTCAGTGACAAAAGTACCTTCTAATTACTTGTCATGGTATGGCTTGCGATCAGGCACTAGGAATATTTGGCATCGCACCTTACTTTCCGGATAAACAACGCTCTTCATGTTTCTGGTTCAATTTGCTGTCATCTCGTTAAACCTTCTGCTTTCCATTTGTAAATACCATTCTGCAAATACCATCTGGACTATTCTACTCTACCGCTAAAACTGCTCCCACTGTCACTAAACTGCTCCCACTGTCATTAAAAGTCCTCACACTGTCACTAAAACTGCTCCTACTGCCACTAAAACTGCTACTACTCTCACTCATCCTCTTCAGGCTACTCCATGTGTCGTTTTTGCATCATCACTGGAACATAACATTCGAACGAATAAATAAGTAGCTGAATCCCTGGTCATCTTCGCCTTCGGCAAAGTCTCCGTTATAGACGGTCAAGTCAACCGCACCACCAAAACTCCACATACCCGCCCAAACTTACACGGCTCAGCCCCACATCTCGGCCTCGGAACTCTGTGTCTCGTCTTATCTTGAGCTCTTGTCTTCGTTTCTCGGCCCGCACATGCACATACCGCGGGGCCATTTCGTCCCTCGGATCATCTGTCTTCTCCACATTTTCGCGCGCATATAAACCATCAGTGCCCCACACAAGAGAACGGTTTTTTCTTGTTCCTCCATTCTTACCCACACATTTCTTCATCTTCTTAACTATGAGTGTGGTTTCCAATTCCGTCGACTCGGCCGCTCCTCCAAACCCTCGGGCCCTTCTTGCCGCTGAACGTGCCCAGAGCAAATTCGATCCCGCCACCATGAACTACTTTTTGGAAACCTCCAAGGAAACTTCCGACACCATCAAGGAGTTTGTGCAGCAGTTGGAAAGAGACCCGATCATGAACCCCGGCGCCAAACAGTACGAGTTGACCAAGGAGCAGCAGCGTGTGGTTACCGCCCGCCGCATTGCCCGTTTGGCCCAGTACGCCGAAACACAAAACGACCCTACTTTCCAAGGCCTCCGCGCCTCCATCATGAGCGTGTTTGACCCACAGGTGGGAACACGTCTCGGTGTCAACTTGGGTTTGTTCATTGGCTGCGTCCGCGGCAATGGTACCAAGGACCAGTACGACTATTGGTACAAACAAAAGGAAACAGGCTACGTGCGGGGCATTTACGGCTGTTTCGGTATGACAGAGTTGGCCCACGGCTCGAACGTGGCTGGTTTGGAAACTACCGCCACCTTTGACGAGAAAACCGACGAGTTCATCATCAACACTCCTCACATTGGCGCCACAAAATGGTGGATTGGAGGTGCCGCCCACTCCTCCACTCACTGTAGTGTTTACGCCCGTTTGATTGTAAAGGGCGAAGACTATGGTGTCAAGACTTTTGTGGTTCCTTTGCGTGATGCCAACCACAATTTGATGCCTGGCGTGGCTGTTGGAGACATTGGTGCCAAGATGGGCCGTGACGGCATTGACAACGGCTGGATCCAATTTTCCAGCGTCCGCATTCCCCGTTTTTTCATGTTGCAAAAGTTTTGCAAAGTCACTGCTGAGGGAGATGTCACATTACCTCCGCTCGAACAGTTGTCATACTCGGCGTTGTTGGGTGGCCGTGTTCTGATGGTGATGGATTCATACCGCTGGAGTGCCAAGGCTGTGACAGTTGCTCTCCGGTACGCGGTGTGCCGTCGTCAATTCAAGTCCAAGTCTCAGGCGGACGGCTCTGAAACACAATTAATCAATTACCCATTGCATCAACGGCGCTTGTTCCCATTCTTGGCTCAAGCAATTGTGTTTAGTGCTGGCTCGTGGAAGTTGGAGCACACATTCAATGAGGTGTTGGATACTTTGGACAAGGCGGTCGAGACCAACGACATGAAACGCATTTTCGCCTCCATTGACGCCATGAAGTCTCTTTTCCTCGACTCTGCTGCATTGAAGTCCACTGGTACCTGGTTGACTGCTGAGTGCATCGACCAATGTCGCCAGAGCTGTGGTGGCCACGGCTACTCCTCTTACTCTGGCTTTGGCAAGTCTTACAACGACTGGGTGGTGCAATGTACATGGGAAGGTGACAATTCTGTTTTGGCCATGTCTGTGGGTAAGCCTGTCATCAAGGCTGTTGTTGCAGTCTTGGAGAAGGGCGCCAAGGAAAAGGGCTCGCTCTCCTTCTTGAACAACGCTGCCAAGTACGACAACGATGAAATTGTCTTTTCCAACACTTCCGACTTGCTTGATTTCTCGAACGTGTTGCGTGCTATCGAAGTGTTGATCACACGTATTGGTATTCAAGGAGCCAAAGTTGTGGCAGACAATGGAGGCAACTTTGATTCTGTTGGTGCTCCAAGTTTGGCCATTGCGAAATTGAAGGCGCATCACTATTTCCTTGAGGAGTTCCACAGAAGACTTCAGAGCAACGAGTACAAGGAATTGAACCCCTACCTCGAGCTTATTGGTAAGTTGTACTGTGCTTCGAATGTGATTGAGAAGTTTGCAGGTGACTTTTTGACATACAACGTGATTCCGGGCCTGGTTGCTCGCGAAATCACAAACGTTACTCTTCCAGCCTTGTGTGCGGAGGTCAGAAAGAATGTTGTTGCTTACACTGATGCTTTCCAGTTCTCTGACCTGATGCTCAACTCGTCTCTTGGAAAGTACGATGGTGATGTTTACGAAAACTACTATAACACAGTCAAGACCTTGAACCCTCCAGAAAACCACAAGGCCCCATACAGTGCTGAATTCGAGGCTGCGTTGAACCGGGGTCCTTTGGATGCTCGTGAGAGGTATGAAAAGGGTGCCGAAGTGGCGGCAATCTTTGTCTAAATGATATGTACAAAAATGATTTTCTGAATGGCACCTTGGATGTAAGTGAAAATTGTCACGCTAGTCGAGTGTATTTTACGCGGGAGATGAATAAATTCCAGCATGGTATCTTGGGAACACTGGAGTCACTATTCAATCTTGTCCCATGATGGCACTGCTTTTGGCCTGCGGGTTGTATTGTATGCTTTCACCCTTTTTTCTTCTCTTTGAATAACGAGTCTGAAGAAGAATAATTTCATTGTGGAAATTCAAGGTCAAGCGTAAAAAAAAAAAAATTCACATGTTACATGTGCAATCTAACATCAATGGCATCTCTTTGTTCTCGCATATTGCACATCTACAGACACCTCCCCACAAATCAAAGGCTTAAAGTTATATCGAGTTATATCACAATCAGGAGACTTTCCTCTTCAATGTAAGTCTTCCGTTATCCGATATCACTCCCCTCCTTCTTGACCTTTTTTCCGGGGAAGACTGTGTATTCGAGAGGAGAAGTTTACCCCACAAAAAGATGCGCATCGCATATAAAGCCTTGTCACCATGAACAGAGAAATGAAATTACCATTGCACTTCCACCAAGGAAAAAAAATATCCAAGACTGAAAAGAATACATCATGGTTGCCGCTACTTTTGTAAGCAACTTGCCAGCACCTGAACCCGCGGCTTCGATGGCGCAAGAAAGAGCTAGGGCGGCCTTTGATCCAGCAGAAATGCACCAGATCTTAGAAGGCACTCCAGAAAAAGCCCAGCAGATTTTGGGCCTCTACCAGCTGTTGGAAAGAGACCCCGTGCTAGCACCGTCCTTTTACGACTACGAGATGTCCCGCGACGAAAACCGCTTGCAAACCACACGGCGCATAGCCAGAATGGCTCAGTATGTGGAGAAAGAGTCTCCGGAGGATTTCTGGCGGCGTTTGGGACTTGTGACCGCCTATGATCCATCGTTGGGGATCCGTATTGCTGTGAACTTGGGGCTCTTTGTCAATTGCATCAAAGGCAACGGAACTGCGGCCCAATACAAGTATTGGTGTGTGGAAAAAGAGGCTCGCCATATGAAGCAAGTGTGGGGCTGTTTTGGCATGACCGAGTTGGCCCATGGATCCAATGCTGCTGGGGTTGAAACCACTGCTACTTTTGACGAGAAAACCGATGAGTTTGTGATAAACACGCCTCATATTGGAGCCACGAAGTGGTGGATTGGAGGAGCGGCTCATTCGGCCACTCATTCTAGTGTCTATGCCCGGTTGATAGTCAACGGAAAAGACTACGGAGTGAAGACGTTTGTGGTGCCTTTGAGAGACTCTCAACACAACTTGATGCCGGGGGTCTCCATCGGCGATATTGGATCGAAAATGGGCCGTGAGGGAGTCGACAATGGCTGGATCCAGTTCTCTGGGGTTCGAATTCCTCGCTTCTTCATGTTACAGAAGTTTTGCCGTGTCGAGAGAGATGGCACTGTCAAGATGCCTCCGCTCGAGCAATTGAGCTACATTTCTCTTTTGGAAGGCAGAGTTGGGATGGCCGCAGACTCTTACCGTATCTGCGCCAGATTTATTACCATAGCTGTAAGATATGCAGTTGGCCGTCGCCAGTTCAAGAAGGAAGAGAAGAAAAAAGATTCAGACAATCTCGAAACACAATTGCTTGATTATCCATTGCACCAGCGGCGGTTGATGCCTTATTTGGCTTTGACGTACGCTGCAGCTCTTGGAACTGATCGTTTAGAACGGCAACACAAATTTGTGGTCTCCTCTTTGGAAGAGGCGGTGAACAATGACGACCAGAATGGAATAAAAAGGTCTTTGGGTGACACTAAAGCGCTTTTTGTGGACTCTGCTGCGTTAAAGTCAACTCTCACATGGCTCGCTGAACGCTGTCTTTCGGAAACCAGACAGGCATGTGGCGGTCTGGGATATTCTGCCTACTCTGGATTTGGACAAGCTTATGCCGACTGGGCTGTTCAGTGTACATGGGAAGGCGATAATTCTGTATTGGGAATGTCTGCTGGCCGTTCGGTGATGAAAAAAGTAGCTGACGTTTTGACAAAGAAATCAGGTATTTCTCACAACAAGGTGTCTGGCCAAGGCAAGACTTTATCCATTGAAAACGGCAATGTTTCCAAACATCAACTTGGAGTGTCAAAAACCAATCTGCGTGCTGTGTCTTCTCTGAGTCCTGGTCTTTTCAACTCGGATACATTGTCGTTTCTTGACAACGCTTCTTCATACTTGACTGGATCATACCTCGAGTCGGACTTTGCGCCTAAAACGGTGCTTACTGCACTTGAAGCATTAATTGTTCGTGTTGCCGCTTCAGCTCTTGAAAGCAAAGATGGCTGGGACCTGGTGTCCTACGAAAGAGTGCTTCTTTCTCGTTTGCGTTGCCATCAATATTTGTTGCACACATTGGTTCAAGTTTTAGATCGCAAGAAAACGCCTGATCTTCAAGAACCTCTTGAGAAAGTTGCTCGCTTGTATGCTCTTACAAGTATCGTGGAAACTTATGCTCGTGAGTTTATTGCTCATGGAATTATGAGTGGAGAAGCTAGTTTGATTGTCACATCAAAGTTGATTCCCCAACTGTGTTTGGAAGTTCGCCAGCAAGCAATTCCTCTCACGGACTCTTTCCAGATTCCAGACACCCTTTTGAATTCGGCTATTGGTACGCATGATGGCAATTGGTACGAGAATTACTTCCGGGTGGTGAAGTCGCATAACGATGCAAGAAAGACCAAGGCTCCATATTCACACGAGTTGGAGGGGTTCTTGAACCGTCCAAATTTGGATGCCCGTGAAAGACACGAAAGAGGGCACGAGGCACAAAAGAAGCTTTCGGGGTGAGAAAGCTGTATGTAGTGATTTCATATTGTTCAATCTTCAAACTTATAACTCTTGAAGTAATGCGAAAGCTTGGATGTAAAGCCTTAATAGTGCTAGCATTAAGATCTCATGTCTTTTTTTTTTTGTCTGTTTTTTCCACTTCCTAACAATTGACATCTGTACTTATACGAGTCAGGGCAAGGAGGGTCCTTTTGCATTTGAAGGTGTGGTTTCTGAATAATCTCTCTCATCAGTCACCTATATCTATTCTACGACATCAGAGAAATCGTGATAATCCTGAAACATGATTGGAAATAATATCCATCGGCATCGAAGAAAGAATCAACACGACATCGAAAAGAAAATGTACAAAAATGTCTTTGCGTCGTCGCACTCAGGTATAACCGAACAATGGACCAAAAATAGACATCAAATAGTCAGCAAGAGTTCAAGAGAACAAAGACACAAGAGAAATCCAAAATTGGAAATGGAAGAAAAGAAAGAAAATTCATCGAAGATCATTTTTGTGCTTTTGAAAAACTGGACATCCTGCGGAGATAACTGTAGCCGTTCCTTCGATGCATATAACTTTTAATTATGTGTGCATTCCAGTCCTGCCAAATTTTTTTTCGGGATAAGAAAATGAAATTAAAGAGAGGTACTTCTGTTATCTTAACGCAGAAAGATCTTCAGAAGAGTAGCTCCAATGCACGGCTATTCCATTGACGGTTCCGTTGACGGTTCCATTGACGATTCCATTGCATGGACGGAAAGGGAAAACGCGCAAAAACTAATACTGGCAATGCCCAGGCTATATACCGTATGACAACATGCCAAGGGCACAAAACAACAGCTGTCAAGCCAAAACAGCTGGAGTAAGTAACAACAAATAGGAAGAGACGGTGCCAGTTTATCCGAGGTCAGGTACAAAACCGGAACAAACAGGATACTGGCAAAAGACCAGCTAAGACCACGTAGCTTCTATACACTACGTGCGGTCACGATCTTCAGGGCCGTTCGGCCCATTTTGGATGGGGGCACAGCGTAATTGGGGGCCAATGTGCAGTACGGCTGGTGTGCCCAGATAAAAACAAGCCCTTCTCCCACTTTTTGTCTCACCATCACAAACATCGAGTATGGACAGTGAAAAGATCGTTGCCATTTGTTTGGGTATGTACACATAATCCGCCGTGTCCATTGCGCCATGCTAACCACCCCAGCTATCCTCTTGCCTCCTTTGGCTGTTTTCATGAAATGCGGAGTTTCCACCACTTTCTGGATCAACATTGTGTGCTGTATTTTCGTTTGGTTCCCAGCCATTTTGCACGCCTTGTACGTTGTGTTGAAGGACTAAATATTTAATGTAAACTTTGCTAGCATTGTGTAGCCTAGAGCCGGCGGTTGGTTTCGGGCTCCGCCACGTGACCCCCCATTGACCAATCGCCGCTCACGTTACTTTATCCGAAGCACCAGCCACAAGTACTGCGATGACAGATTCTGCTTGTGGCAAAGGAAAGCGTCGGAGTAGGCATCGGCCGGACCGGAGGTTGGGGAAAAACCCAGACACCATGATTCTGTCGGCAAATTGCCGTTAGCGGCGGGAATTGCAACTTTAGTCTAATATTTGCAGGGCGACGAGTCAGAGGCGGGCCAAAATGAACAATTGGCGAACATTCGATAAATATCTTGTGTGCAGGACCTGGATTCTCCGGAGGTTTGTAGAGCAATTTTGCAAGAGCAGAGTGACGGAGTAGGCAGCGGAGGCTAAACTGACAAGAAAGATATGCACAGGGGGCGTTTAAAGCTTCAGCGGAAGAAGGGGGACGCTCACAATGTCGAAGGCAGGTTATGAGCGCCGCGCTCTCTTATCTCTCACCTGCATCTTTCTGATCCTTATAAGCATCCGCTTTCCAAAAAATACCAAAGCATCAACAGCCAAAGGAACAGGCGAGATAGATTGATAAATAGAGCGACGCAAGCAGAAGCGAGCGGTATAGATACTTCAGGCGTGACGAAGCGACAAAGAAGAAGCAAAGAACAGAAGCGAATCAATCAAAGCAGAAGAAAGCAAGAAAGCAAGAAAGCAGAAGAAGCAGAACTTGCAACCCCAAGACCTCAGTGAAGATAACAGACGACAACTGTTTCATCGGCAACACCAGACAACTTTCCGAAAAAAAAAAATTGCAGATACACTGACTAACGTTTGACCACTAGTCAGCCCAGCATTTCATGACCAGCATATTGCATCCCCACGACACAAAACATACAGATGAGCCAGTCTGAAACAAGCACACGCGAGCCTGAGTTGCCGCCGTTTTCATTTTCGAAAAAACCCATCACACACCCGCCTCTTTCGCTGATGCTCAAGGCGTCGCCCGAAAAAGAGTGCCGTGACCTCGACAAGCCGAGCCTCAACACGACCGACTACGACGAGCAGATCCGCGCGCCCCGAATGTCGGTAGCGTCGCACTACACGCACAAGCCACAAGAGTTTGGGCGCGCGCCGCTGTTTGGGCGTGCGCCACTGTTTGGCCCTGCGCCGCTGTTTGGGCGGGAATCGCTGTTTACGTCTGTTCAGACAAAGCAACGGGAGAAGTCTGAAGGTAACGAGACCCAGTTTTCCGATGGCGCGCGTTTTTCCATTTCTCTGAACGACTCGGGCGTCTCGGGCGCCGTCTATCTTCCGGCCGCGCTCGATATGGGCCCGCGCCGCGACCTGGAAAAAGCGCTGCCGCTGCCTACTGACCACCAGACATTGATGCGCGCGCTCGCCAACCTTCAAACAAACACCACCACAAGCGAAAACGAAAAGAAGGCAGGAATCGACGCAAGCGCAAACACAAGCGCCACCGGCAGCGGCGACAGCAGCAGCAGTACGCTCCAGCTGGTGTACGGGCTTAAGAAACCCTTGTGCACCCCGGCCGTTTTGCGGCCCATCGAGACCCCGGACGGGCTGGCGCTGGCGCTGCCCGAACTTGGCGCGATCGAGGTGCCCCAAAACACGGCCGACAGCGCGGGCGACAGCGGCATGTGCGCCGAGCCTACGCGGTCGCACTGGATGCCCAACCGCGCCAGCAACCACTGTATGCGATGTTTTGGCGGCTTCAGCGCGTTCCGCCCGAGCCGCCGCCGCCACCACTGCCGTTTTTGCGGCCAGTTGGTGTGTCTGGACTGCTTGTTTGCCAGTGCGGAAGTGTACTATGTGGAGCCCGAGGCGCGCGCGCGCACCGACAGCGGGTCGCTGGGGGCGTCGGGGCTGTATTCGCTCGACGACGAGGCGCGCGTGATGATGGACGCGCGGGCGCGGCTCGTGGTGCCGATATTGCGCAACCGCGCCCAGTGGGGCGGAATGGGCGGGCCGCGCTTCCGCGCGTGCAAAGTGTGCAAAACGTGCGGCGCCAACTACCAGAGGCTCGTGCACGCCTTGAACCACCGCGCGGGCGAGCACATTTCTGCGCCCTATGTGTTTGTGGATAACCCGTACTTGTGCGAGCGCGCGCCGCCGGCGGTGCGCGAAACTCAGCCCGAACGGCGGGCGCTGGTGGGGCAGGTTCCTTCCGACTGGACATGGAGCACTTTTTAACACTGGAGCAACGGCGCTTCGTGTGCCGTGTAATGAAAATGCTTCAAGTGGTAATTCAGACCTGTCCGCGGCCCTGGCCATCATGTTCTTCCCGATAGACACCTGGAACCGATACTTTTTTTTGGACCCTCGTTGCGTGAACCTGATTGTAATATGAATAGATAGAGTGCATCAAATTACTGTACCGAGCGGCTGCGAGGATGTTGAGGCTTGATTTGTCTTTAAGAACAGCCTCTTGTGAGCCGTCAAACATGTTAAATCACGTTCGCTACTTGCATTTCTGCAGCCGTCTCTTGGACCCAGTCGAACTTGAGCCTGGATTAGTCGAAACCTATTAGTAATGTGTGCACAATATAGATAGCAAGAAATCAATCCAATAGTTTGTCTTTGTTCACTTGGTTACGATAGGAGCAACTAAGATGTGATGAGAAAGTTTCTCGCGTATGTTGAGCAAAGCCTGTGCCATGAATCAAGAATGGCGAAGGTTTCAAATAAACTTTAGATAATGCACCTTTATCAGTGTATGTGCAGCTGTGTGGAGCGGAATTCTCCTTCTGCTTCAACTAATTGCAATGAGCCACGTGAACTGACGGCAATTTGACGTGGATTCCACGTTCATGACATCATTTCCAACTTCCCTTTTCCCGCTGATTGGCAACTATCATCCACTTCAATATTTGGCCGGGTCTCTGTTAATCTTCCTCTTTTGGAGTAATTCTTCTAACCGTGCGTCTCATGGAAGCGCGCTTATGCGGTTCGCGGTTTTTGCTTCCGCATGCGGGTTTCTCTTAATTAACCTCTCGGTGATTCCCAACTTGCTTGGCCATTTTTTTCCTCTTTGGAGTTTCCCCGCGTATTGGCTTTCAAAAGCTTGTTTAGCCAGGCACTCGCCCAAGTCCGTCTTCCCTTTTCGTTTCTGCTCTTTTCTCTCCATTCAGATCCTCTCCAGCCACAAGCAAGGTACCTGTTCCGTCTGCAGTACGGTAGTGCACAGCCCAGACTTATCCACCATTTTCAAATCCATCAAGCTCAGCCAAACGCGTTCCTTTCTTCCTCATGTCTCGCCAATCCTCTACAGACAACCTGAGTCGTCGGATCTCATCCAATAACCCATTCCGGCAAGATCTTGCGGGCCCAAATCCCTCGTTTTCCCTCAACAGATCCTCCTCTTCCGTTCATCTGTCCGGATCAGCGTTCGAAGAGTGGGTCAATAAAAACAAAGAATTGATTGAGCTGTCAGATGAAGACGAAATCCCCATAAGACCACTGTTCCCGGCCCAGTCCCGTACTGGCAGCGACAGCAACGTCAACTATGGAAGGTATGTATTTTGCAATTTTTTTTTTTGATAGCGTAAACGCTTTGAGCGGCTAATTTGATTTCGATTGTCCATGGCTTATTGCTGATTGTGTCATTTCCTCATTGTTTGGCCGCTGGAGCTCTTCTTTGATAAGGCTTGCCCCTTTGTTTGGTGCTTTGGTTTTTGACTCGTTCTTCGCTTGATCTTTGAAGTTCTGATGTTCTCTCTCCTATTGTCCTTTGACATAACATGTGGCTACAAATGAGAAAAAGAGACTAAATGGGTCGCGTATGCGTGACAGGTTTTGCAGTTGCGACAGATTTTGCATTTGGAATCAGGATGCCGCCAGATGAAGATATGGTTGACTTTCCCACCTACTTCACTTGTTGAAACCCTACCGGCCACTTTTGTTTTGCAGCCCTGGCCCAAGATTTTCCGTTCCTTCGCAATTTTCTCGTGTCACGGTTTTCCGTTTTCGGGAGCCTCGCGTTTTCGCAGCCTCGTTTACTGCTGGCCATCACCCCGTCCTTCCCCTATTTGCATCATGGTGGCTGGGCTAGTCGCGGCTATTTGTGACCATCATCCGAATCGGCACGAGCTCTAATATCGTTTTGAGGGTCACGTGTGCGCACACCGTCTACTTTCTCCCCACTTTATGTTGTCTCGCCCCCCGTATCAGTACCTTATGGGCCGGGCCTGTCGCATGGAGCTGGGGCCATGCCGCGCCGCGCGATCCTCCTTGTATGCCGGACTCTATGCAGTGCCTTTCCAATGTTGCCTCTTATCCCTCTTGATATTGCTCTTCGTACATCTAGTCCTCCGCCCGCTTTTTGTTTACGCCGCAACTTATATCTTTTACTAACCTTGCCAGAAAAATGTCCTCAAACAACCCATTTGCTTCTGCTATGAGTGGCGAGTATAAACATCATAGAGACCCTCCTCCTCCTCCCCCTTCTGCTTCGCACCACAAGGTCGCTCCGCCTCAACCTCCTCGCGATAAAAAACCAGCCCCTCCTCCCTCGTATGAAGAAGTTGCCGGCGCTGAGGCTGCAGCAAAAGATTACCCCAGAGAAAAACTGTCTTCCTCTGTTCCCCACCGCTCGCACAGCGAAGCAAGCCATAGACGTCGACATGGCGAAAGCAGCCGTCACCATAGGTCAGGAAAGTCATCGTCGAAGCATAAATCGTCGAAGAAAAAAATTGAACCTCACAAGCCTGGTAATTTGGACACCATCGATAAGTTGGATGTGAGCGCATTCTTTGGTGGCCGCTTCCACCACGATGGTCCATTTGACGCTTGTACACCCCACAGAAACAAAAACGATAAAAATGCCCCTGTGTTGGCATTTCCAGCTGATGGACCTAACAGTTCCATTAAGGCCGCTGGACCAGGCATTAACAACGATGACCGCATGGATTTGGCCTTTGGAAACTACACAGAAGACCGCAACGAAATTGTTGGCATCAAGTCACAGCCACAACCGGCCCCAGTGCCTCTTCCAAAATCAAACCGTGGGTCTGATGATCCACAAAGTACAATGTATACCCCTCGCTTGAACCCATCTGTCGTTGCGTTTGATGCGAACCAAAAGGCGGCTCCAATTCACGGCCTGACGACTGCAGGTTTAGGTTCTTCTACATTCCTTGATGGCGCGCCGGCACCCAAGACAGATGAAACTTTCAATAGTAGCGGACTAGGACGGAAAAAATCGTTGGTTCAGAGATTGCGCAAGAATAGTCTGAGCGACCAGCCAGCACGCCGTATGTCTAACGACAACTACAGCGAGTATGCACGCTCCCCCTCATACGAAGAGGAGAGCAGTAACTCCTTGTTGCGCAGAGTCAAGAGTTTGAAAGTGGGCCGCCGCTAAGGGCGCCACATTGTACTATAGATAACTTGGCCGGAAAGGGTCTGGCCAATATATGTGTATTTGGAGCGCGCTTTCGAGCTTTGGTCGTGCACTTAATGCGCGCGCAGTGTGTGCGCGCACCACGCGAGAAAATGAAAATGCGTTGGATCAATTTCCTCTTCACCCATGTTTTCGTCGTCTGCTGCCCGGCTCCGTCCAGTGAAAACCCCTAGCACCCAGCGATTTGTATCTTATGTGCTTCCTGCGGTCCCTCTCTTAGATAGTCTCCGTGCTACCAGTTCTGAGTTTTCTGGCCTTTACTCGGCTAAGAGCGTTAACGATTTGTGGTTCACCCGTGGACAAGCTGTGGTCGATCGTTTGAACTCTCAGCTTGAGGAAAACAAAGTGCGCAATCCACCAGCTGATTTGAGCGAGTTGATTACCCTTACATTCGCCAAGCCTGGATTGAATGGAGTATACGAGCTGGCATCTCTCTTGCACAAGATGCACTTCTGCTGGGAATCTTTGCGTCCTAGTAGCAATGGAGTTGTTTCCAAGGCATCAGTGGACGCTTTGTTGAAGACTCCATCTATCGCCACGCGCTTTGCCAACGAGCCAACCGACGAAGCTTTGGCTGAGTGGATTCGCGATTCTTTCGGATCAGTTGCTGAGTTGCGGACGCTCATGCTCAACAGCGCAAACGCCATCAAGGGCGATGGTGCCACGTGGTTGGTGGCGCAAGCCACATACGCTGAGAACACTAGCGATGATGTATCGTACAGTCGTTTAGCGGTCATGAACACGTACAACGCGGGCGTGGTCGATGATGCTCTCCGTCTGGGCCAGGTGGCTCGTATGAAGCAGCAGAAGCGTGCTCGCGCAGAGGCCCTTCAAAGTCGCGATGCTTCTAATGAGACGCTAGAAGAGGTTTCAGAAAATGGAGCTGAAACCAACGTGTTGGGAACGGTGGAGGAAGCTGAGGAAGCACTCTTGTTTTCAGAGCGTAAGTTGGTTCCTTTGCTTGCAGTGGATGCATCCATGAGTGCGTACTTGGGAGACTACGGTGTGTTTGGCAAACAGCAGTACTTGGATAATGTGTGGGAATGCATCGATTGGGACACTGTGGCGCGGAGAGCACCTCGGCGTTTCAAGCCATCGGTGGTGTTTGAGCACTGATCTTGTATATATTGCCCGCTACTAGCCTTTGCTGGGGCGTTGCACCATGCTCATGTATTTTGACACTCGATGGAATTTTCTGATTGCGTAGGATCTCATAAATATAGATTTATTTCGATTGGTGTCATACCTGACTTTGTAGATCAAGCTCCTCTTTAAATAGATACGGCTATGGACTTTGTCTTGTGTGACGTGTCTGTTTGTTATTTACTTGTTTTGTGAGTCTTATTGATGTACCCTTCCCTGTTCTATTAGACGGGAAAGTTTAAGACCATGTAAAATAGCACGGGCTTCAGAAGACTAATATTTTCAGTATATAACCATGGTCCTCATTGCTTCAAATGAATTATCCCTATACATTTCTTAAGATTTTATTTACTCATACAATTATCGTTACCACTGCTGTTCGAAGATAGGGACGTTTCTCGTCAAGTTAAGTCAACTGATCCTTGAAGTTCAGAAGATTCGAAGATTTGGAAAAGGTGTACCTCAAGTTTTGCAAATACACAATGAACTGGATCGACCTATTCCAGACTATATTTACTTTCTTCCTGCAACCACAATTCAGACCCAGATACGTTGTGGGCCCTTTCAATCTCTTCTAAAATTATTCGACGATCAAATTACATGAAAACTCCGTTAACATCAAAAAAAAAAAAAAAAAAAACATAATAAGACAATGGAAGAATACAATATTGATATCAATCATCTCATTTGCTAGACCAAGCTAGGTGAACCATCCATTCCGCTACAAATATCAAAATGTGCAAGACTTTTAACTATAATTGCGTATTACACAATAAGGTTCTTCTAATTCTTAATTACCTTCTTCACGATCTTCTCCACCTCATCCCAATCATCAGTAGGCACACGAGTCATTTCGATGTCGCCAAAGTACTGCTGGATGTATTTCAACACCTCGTAGGAACGCTTGTCGTGAACAAACGAGATGGAAACACCCACACGGCCAAAACGACCAGTTCTGCCAATTCTGTGCAAATATGTCGATGGGTCTGGCTTCCCGTCCTTGTCCACTGGCAAATCATAGTTCACCACCATAGAAACAGACGCAATGTCAATTCCACGTGCCAAAACGTTGGTGGTAATTAACACCTTGGACCGGCCCTCGCGGAAATCGTCAATCAAACGATCTCTTTCGGCGTTGTCCAAAGATCCATGCAAAACAGAAACAGTATGGCCCTCTTGCTTCATTTTCTGGTACAACATGTCTGCAGTGCGCTTAGTTCCCACAAAGATGATGGAAGAACCAATGGTCAAAAGCCCGTACAACTCACACAACACTTCGAACTTGTGTTGCTCCGAGTTGCAGTCCATATATAGCTGTTTGATCCCGTCGACATTCAATTCTTCCTGCTTCAACTCCAACGAGTTGGCATTGGGCACAAACCTCTCTGCATACGCGCGGACTTCGGTTGGGAAGGTAGCGGAGAACAAAACCAATTGCGCAGTTGGTGGCAAGGCCTTTTTGACTCGAACACACTGGTCACCCAAGCCCTGTGCATCCAACATGTTGTCAGCCTCATCCAAAACGAAAACACGCACCTTGCTCAAATTCACACGGCGTCTTTTGATGAGATCCAACAAGGTTCCTGGTGTGCCAACCAAAATGTGCTCATTGAAAGTGCTGTCGGCAGAGTACGAGCCAGGAACAACCAACTTGCTGGTGACTTTGGTGAAACGGCCCATGGTCTGGATAACCTCTAGCGTTTGGCGAGCGAGTTCTCTTGCTGGGGCCAAACAGACTGCCTGAACCAGATTGTCCAGTTCGTCGACACGAGACAACAAGGTCAACGAAAATGCAGCTGTTTTACCTGTACCAGACTGAGACTGGCCAATCATATTCGTGGGAGGGTTCAGCAACAAAAGAGGCAACGCCTTCTCCTGGATCTTCGATGGCTTGTTGTATTTCATCGCATACAAGCCTTTGAGCAATTCGGGCGACAACCCTAGCTCCTCAAAAGATTTCACTGAGAAAAGAGGCGAGTTGGGGTCCGCTTGCAAGTCGGCCAATTTAACCTGGACTTCATAAGTGGATTTGATCAAGTTGGTTTCTGGTTCGGGCGCTTTTTCTTCCTTGTCGACCTTTTCTGTCTCCGCCTTTGGGGCCGCCGAAACTGCAGATTCTACATCTGCGTGGCCTTCTTTTTGCAATGACAACGACGCAAGAAGCTCCGAGGCGTCTGTGGTGGGTTTTTCGGCCATTGTTGTAGAAAGATGAATACAGTGGGCGGTTTTTTTTTCGTTAGTGTAGGTGAGGGGTACGGGTGTGCTGCCTCCACAACCGATTTGCCAATGTTATACACGTCAATTGGGTTCACATATAGTCTAAGACTGCCATTGGGTTTTCGTATTGGAGAAATTGTAGGCTGATTTAGGGGGGATAACGGTTTTTTGGTGTATGACTTCAGGTGTCTCTATTTGTAATAATGCTCATTTTTGTCAAACGGTAGAGAATGAGAAAGGTTGGACAATACTGACTAAGAAATACAAAACGTGAAAATTAATCGTCTGGAAACAAGAAAGTATACAAGCTCTTTGCTCCCTTGCTTTGATGCTCACAATGGTACAAAATTAGTTTCAATTATAGCTCCTGCAAATGTCTAATGTCACGTATTATTAGATGCGGTCTTGTTCCGAAACAGGTTAAGACACTTCGTAAAGAGTGGGTAATTTTGAATTTCAGAAGTCTCGTAGAAGCTCCTCTCATGATGTTTAAAACCTGCAAAGGAGCTACTTGCCTGAAGGTCCAACGTTGCATGAAGCGTAATACAGACATTTCTCCTACAATCTAAATGGCCACATTCAGCAAGTGTATTAAGATTGTTGACTTTGAGATTTTGTACCCGGATAGAAATAGAGCCAGTCAAGACTTAAGGAATGTATCTTAGCTTATAGATGTATGTACGGTTCAGTTTACATCGGTAGAAGGCGGGATCTTATTGTGAAACACATTGAAACTGAACCTGAGGCAGGTACATATAAGTCAATCATTTACAGTTAAGTTGACTACCGAACATTTGATGAGAGCCAAAACACGCATTCGAGTCCTGATTTTAACCCGCAAACCCCTGATAAACTTAGAAATATTAGACTACACCCACGGCGATTTCAGCCAAGCCCAAAATTTTGACAGGGTGTTACAAGGTGCACATAAAGATGAACATAACGCAATGGATACTTTAAAATCTATAAATGTTGTGGCATGACTATGATGTGCTGACAATGTAAGCATCCAGCGCATCTTTAAACTCAACTAAACTTAACCGCACAGCGTCCTACATTAGTCTGCAGAATATTACCGTCTGATGACAGGTGGTGCAATCACTCATGGGATAGTTAGAGACTCCATTGGTTCACCAAATACTAATTCTGTTTTCTCCATTCTACAATGATGTTAGTCTACAAGTATGTTTTCTGACGCTTCTATCAAACCCAGTTAATGACATTACTATAAGTGCCCGCCTCAAAAGTACATGTACATCTTGTCGTCACTATTGTATTCCTCTTTGAACACACAAGCATCTAGTTTGTCCCAGTAGCGGCCTTCTATTTGCGATTGTGCATCTTCTTGATCGCGGAAGAAACTAAGGAAAATGGCGTTCTCCACCATCGAAACACGTACGTTGTCTTGGCGACTCAATTGGCGCTGCAAGTCTTCCAACTCTTTGGTTTCCACTTCCATACTGAGCCTGTTTCCCATGGGCAAACGAGCGTCACCTTTGAAGTCACTAAAGTTGGTGAGATTGACCGTGCGGTGGAGCTTACTTGGCTTTGATGTTTCCTCCTCCTTTTCAACAAAGTCCTTCAAGTATATAGAATAGTCCATGGCTCCTATTGGTGATGCATCCAAACTTTCAACTTTTGTCTTTTGTGAAAGCGGCGAGTCTATTGGGATGGTTTCAACAGATATGATGTCGCTCGGTTCCAGGTTGACGCCGGTCAATGTTTTTTCGCTGGAGAAGTTGGTAGTTTTGCTTTTGAAAATCATCAGTTTGCGTTTTCCTTTTAAATCCGCCGGGATTTTCAGGCTCCTTGCCTGTTCCGGGTTTTCCTTGTTTTCCGCTACTGAGCTTGGGACGAACATGCTTTTCCTTTTCGTAACGGTGTTATCTGCTAGTAAAGTGTCGGCCAGCTGGCTTAAAGGCCGAGGTTTGCCAATGATAGAACTGAGATCTTTTATGGATGACTTGCGGCTCCGAATGGACATGAAAAGCCCGGTTTTTCTCTTTTCCGAAAGATAGGATACGCTCTGGCTGCGAAGCATTGCACAATGTTATCAGCGAATAGAAGTTTAAGTGGTAGCTCAAAAAGGTAACTCAGCAAACTTGTCCGCACAAGAAGTCAAAATTTGGCTTTCATATATGTAGCTTCAAGCATCAAAACATTGCATGCATGATCGCGCATCGAACCTCCTGCGACGCGAAACTTCAACGTTTCCTGTACATGGCTCTTGTTTGTCTTGTTCCTGGAACATGCAGTCCATCTTGTTTCCGCATACCGGCACGGCTATAAAAGCACAGAAGACCCACCGAGTCCGACCGGCCGCGTCTGGAATGGGAGAATTTTTACCGTTTCGGTTAAATTAAGTGGCAAGAAGGGGGTTTATACTGTGGAAGGTTTGGAATTTGACTGTGAGGCGGGTCTGCTTCTTCAGAGCGACTTGTGCGTCTTCGCATCTTTGGGCTAGACTTTCCCTGTTTCAATGGAGGATGCTGGCCACAAGACGTTGGCTGAGAAGAAAATCTTAATCTTGCTGCTGCATAAGGAGTTGCAGCAAGAGCCCCTTTAATCGTGATGTAGTATGCACCTAGACATAGTCTAGTAAAACGAAAGTGCATTGGGCTTCTAGGGTGTTGAAATGTTGAAAATTAGGAATGTTTACGCAGGTTGAATTAGCTACGTGCAATTAGTACAAAGGTTTAGAAAAGTGGTAGTTGCTGCTAATTATGTGGGTGTGAGCTCAAGGCAGGAAAGTCATCAGAATTTCACATACATCGCTTTGACAGGTCTATTTACATGATCTTATAAAGTATTTTCGGCCTTGGCGGAATAATGTAGGAACACAGCTTATGTATCTGGTAACGGATTACCGTACACGAAAACCCCCTTGTGATCAACGGTGCAGAGACCAAAGCGATTTCAAATTTCAGAGATTATAGCTCCAGGTTCTGGCGATGCATCTGGTGGAAATGTTAAGAAGTCGGTTAGTATCGGACATTAACTATCCTAAAGTTCGAGCAGTTGTAGTGAACACTTATGCTAAACAAACGCAAACGTAGTGAACCCGGGCAGAAGGTAACCTAACTACTTAGCGCTTCAGCTAAAACGGGTCTGTCATAGTACACTACGTAGATGTGTAACTCTAACTTAAGGCTCGTTCAAACCGTTGTTTGTCCGCTATTGGATTGAGATGAAGATGTTTTTTGACCAATCAACAAAGTACCCAAAACATCTACGAATAGTTGATATTGACGATTTAGCAGACGCTATACATCGATTTTAAGCAGGCAGTGAATCTAAGTAGAGAGTAACCCAACGACTTGAAGAAGCTGTGAAAAGAAACACGCTAAATGAATGATGCTTGTGCTTCAAGGACTTTTCGATTATGAGAATACGATCGTCTTCAATATAGATGAAGGCACCAAGCAGAGAGCCATTGTTACTGTAACTTCTCCACTTCGCATGCTACTGAACATATCTCTATTGTCTATTGATAACCATCTATTTACAGTATAGCCACTATTTACATTATAACCAATTGGCGTATTTTGTCTCCTCTGAAATCTGCGCATGTGCCACTGCATGCCCTTTAATCTTTTCCACACACCGTTCCATCACCTCTGCCTCGTCTGCTGAAGCATCTTCTCCTACTGCTGGAATAAGTCTGCTGGTGAATGGTGTTTTCCCCGTGTATCGCTTCACCTCAGTGACACTTTTCTGGACCCAGTTTTCCTTGCGCAAGACATTACCGTTTGCATCGCGTCCACTCAATGTTCGGCTGATGTACTTAGTTATGGGTTGGCGTATGATCGCATCCACTTCCTTTGGGAGGTACACCACAAGTGGCCCAGACTCAGGGTCTTTGGCTCCAGTGGGTTTGAGCGAAACATAACCCAAATACCGGAGCACGAGGTCTATGCTACCGTAGAAAGACGGAACAATATGCTTCACTAGTGGTGTTGGAGCATTGTTACGGGTACCCGGAACCACAAACACATTTTTCAACGCCGGGTAGATTTCGGGACTGCGCCACACGTCCATAGCCTTTTCCATATCTTTGAATATATGGTGTGGGTGGCTGATGAGGTTTTTGACTTGGAACATGGTGTTTTTTGGTGCTTGCAAAAAAAACAAGCCTCCAACGGTCAAAACCTGGCCAGACTTCAACGTCTCGTAGTGCGATTTGTATGTACCGGCCTTGTACACTTTCTGGCCCTTGTGCAATGCCTTTATAGCCTGTGGTGCAAGAAAGTCGTAGAGCTGAGCAGTCTGGGCACTCGAAAAACCAGGCACATCGTAAATTGTCACACTGCGACTAAGCTCAAAGGGCAAGTTTCCTCGGGTAAATCCAGGCATGTACGATGCACCAGGCCCGTTTTGCTTTTTGAAGGCCGAGGCCAATGCCCTATTGTGTTTGATGAGCGCCTGGCGGGTTTTAGGCTCCTGTTGCGTGGAAATAACCTGATTGTCTATTTTCTGAAGAGCCCGGTCTCTTTTCGCATTGGGTAAAGCGAGCCGTCTTTTGTGAGCAAGGTGCACCAACGACTGGATCAAAGTAGACTTTCCACTGTTAACGCAACCAATGAAGTAAGTATTGTCGCGAAGACTGTCAAAGAGTTTTTCCGTGTTCCAGTCCACTGTGCCGCTAACGCAATGCACGTTTTCCACAGGCACATTGAACATGCGCCAAAAGTAGTCCTGATAAAACTGAAGTCCGTATTTGCTAGCCACGGAGTTTTTCTGGAAAAACAAGTCGTTTTTCGTAACCACAAACTGCATTTCACGCGGTGATCTGTGCCGAAACACATCTTCATTGATAGACATGGGGAAATCCGTGGCACTCACGACATAGGCCAAGTTCGCATATGCGGGGATGCTGTGCATCACGTCCGACACTGCTGCAACGGCAAATTGGTCAAGCGGAAACTGCGAGCGGTAATGGGAATCACGGCAGCGGATACACAGCACTTTGTTGGCTGGCTGTTTTTGGCTTTTCGGCGTTTCCTTCTGGCCGGAAACCTGCAACCCCTGCGCACCATTGAGAAGCAAATCCCGATCAGCCTCTTCAAGTGACGCAAGATGTTTTTCGTAGACGACATCGGTTTCTTTTCGGAAATCCCGAGAACTTCCCGGCGCCAAGTAGAAACCTGGCTTTGATCTGTCTTCGTTTTGAAGTAAAACTCCACACGATGAACATTTGGGAAGGATGGCGTCTGCGATGAGCGGCGAAAACTCAGATGAAGAAAGACTTCGCTGCAGTTGCAAAGCTCGTGGTGCTAAATGGACACGCATACGCATAAGCATCAGCGTACACAGCAGCGGTCGCATGTGCGACACAGCGGCACGCTGCAAAAGTTGCAAGCCCGTCTGGATTTGCGCTTTGAGCATGTCTGGTGGAGAGCAAGAGAGAATGTCGCATTAGTAAAGGGCGCGCCTGCCGTTTGGAAATGTCAAAAACGACCCATTAGGCGACAATGTCGCGCCCGCCCCATTCCATCTGATGGCTAACTCCACAAAACAGAAAAAAGCGGAAAAGCCCACGTGAATATCGACAAGATTATGCGGATACATACATTAAACTGCCCATTGTTTCGGGTGGGTGATTATCACACGTCATCTCGGGGATGTTTTACCACTACATTGTTCTCTCGCAAAGGACAATCTCCGATGCATGTGTGTGCAGTACTACATCGTAATGGGCATTCAGAGTTTGATGCCCCGCTCCTAGGAACAAAACCCGCATGCCTAGACGATCCACGTACATTACTGCACGTGACCAGGAAAACATGACTCCCAGTTTCAGGAGGTCGTATTTAAACTCGCAGCCAAAACAATGCGTGCGTGAAAGTTGCGCCGCAAAGTATTTTCTTACTGTGGAGAAACCACTCTTGTGCATATTTCCTGTGCCTCGTTCACGACATGCGCTTACAATTGGCATTTCAAGCTTGCGACTTGTGTCTTGCGATTTTGTTGGTACATGCCAAGTTTCTTGGACGTATATTTTTGAAAATTTTTTCTGAAAAAAGAGGAGAGAGCAGGAAAAAAAAAGATCAAACACCTTAGGGCCAATGTAGGCAATTCCCTTCAGGAGGAGAGTAATTCCAGTCAGAAGAGGAAATAAGCAACATGTGGTTTAAAAGCCGCCATGCGGTGCACTTCTCGACGGCATACGGCTCCTCACACATGCAGAAGGCCCCATGCTTTGATTAGACGAAAGTTATGGATAGCATTCCATCGAGAGCTTGTAACATGGCAAACGTGATAAGAAATAGCCACAGAAAATTAAGAAGAGGTGTTCTAATACAAGCGGGCAATTTGAGTTCGGAAGAATCAACTGACTTTAGCAACGAAGACTTGATTTCGGGTACAAGTCGCATGATCCTGCGCTGCACTATATCGAATTATTTAGGTGCTGGCGCAGAATTATTCAACGGCCATGCTACAGATGCTTGCCTACATGATGTAAACACAGCATAGCAGCTGCATATATTTTTTCAGCATAATTGACGCCCTCGACACGGCCGTCAAACTCGTAGTCAAGTCGAATTGGATGTGTTTTTGCCATATCGAGTCGAAAAAGAAAGGCAATATTTCCGATTTCCTTTTGCGACCAATTTCAAAAGTGCGGTGGAGTTTTTTAATACGCTAAATTGTTAAACTCGCGAATTTTGACAATGTGTGGAATATGCACCATGCAGATGACATGCTTAGGGAGCCTCGACGTACGACGTGCGTTCATACTTATCTGGCCTGTTCAAGTATTTCCGTTTTTTTTTTTTTTGAATCGAGGTAAAATTATTTTCCATGCGTCACACTCCATACCACATATGTGGCACTTCAAACACCAAATGAGATATTGCAGGCAACCAAGGTTACAAGTGAATTAGTTTTATTTCCTTTGTGATGGTTGTTGCTGCATTTCTTGAGAAACCCGAGTTTTGTCGTGCCATAAATCTCTATGTAGTGGAGCTTCTGGAAGATGAGAGCCATGCTCGACAAAGAAGGCTTCTATACACACATTCATTTCAAGGAAGGGAATGTCTTGACGAAAGATGCAAAAATAAAATAATTTTTCGCATTGTTCCAGGAGCCTTGGTCTCGCAACAAGGAGAAGTTGAAGTGATTACATTCGAAACATCTGGTTTAACACCCGCATGGGCCGCGCATAAAATTACGAATGCAAGGCAACGATTACATAATCGCGCATATTCATGGTTACGAGCCACGCAGCATGATCCCGCTGGTGGAACTTTGCTATAAAAGCCAACGTAAGAAACACCATTTTCTTGAACAACGGTAGAGCCGGTGCTGGCACCTATAGCAGAGGGGAATATTTTTTTCAAATTGAAGGTAGCAAATGAATGCTACGTAATTCAGTCCCCCTTACGGCTATTGTAGAAAGAGTTGTTGGTGTGGAACTGGGCTGAGTGTCCTCACGGACGAAGAACAAACCATAGAAGGTTAGGCTATGTACAATCGAAGTGGTGCAGGTACTGGGCATTAACTGCATCGTCTACATGCATAGCTGCACGAAAATTAAAGGAAAATCTTGCATTTACTTTGCGCACTTTGGTTTATATCACTGGACTGACACCTCAAGGAAGAAGTGCATTGTCGCCCGAAATAGATTCTTTTCTTTGCATCCGCGACAATAGCGTATCATTTTCCCAGGTTGGGGTAGGCACAATGTCTTTCTGCAAAGGGGCAAGTGCCCATAATAAGACACAGAGGCCAAGCATTTGGACCAAGAGGCGCAGAGCACCAAAGGTTGGGCGGCCCGTAACTACAGGTTGCGACATGTCTAGCCGCGAAACAGGGAACATTAGCGCTCGCAGAAACCCGTTAGCCGCGCTGCAGCACACATGCTGTTGCTGTCACAGCATTTTTCATGCATGCACAGGTTGCGAGCCGCATGACGTACCTCCTTTACCTCCATGCCTCATGTCCAAGTGTGAGTGTTCTTTCCCACCGTCATCTGCTGGCGGCTACCACTTTCTTTTCCAGCTGAATTCTCAGATCCTGGCAGCTTTTACCCCTTTACTCGGCTCATTTCGTCTGGCCCACCCACCCCCATATTCCTTGCATCTTCGCCAGCTTTTCAACTAGCTTCTAGCTGTCTTCTTCCTAGCTTGCACCATTTCTCCATCTCGCATTTTCCAAACTCCCCCGACGCCACATATGACCAAAAGATCGGCGTCTGTGTCGCCCCGTGCGGCAAAGCTCATGCGAACAGACGCTTCCGGCGGATATTCGGCCCAAGTGGGCGAAACATGGATTGCTGTAGGCCACTGCGCCACGTCAATGGGAATTGTTGCCGTGGCGGTGAAAGCATACGAGGCGGCGTTGGCGCACATGCCCGATTCCGTCGACGCTTTGGTTGGCTGGAGCCATCTGCTTCGGATGAGCGACATTAGCGCCAACGAAACCGTCGGGTCGCAAAACGCCATCCGAAGACTAGCAGCTGCAGGCGAGCGGAACCCAGAGGTGACCAAAAGTGCAGCCTTTTTCCGCGAGCTCACCGAGTGCTATCTTCTAGTGGGGCTCAATGAACAGGCGCATCTGCTGATCCAGCAGGCGGTGCAGCGGCAGCCGCAGGATGCAGCGCTCCATCTCTTGTTGGCGCAGACACTCATTCGCGCCGGCGCGCGAGCGCAGGCGGGTGCAGCGTTGGCGCATTGTCTCCTGCTCTTGCCTGCGCAGCTTGCGCAATTCACCAAGGACGACATTGAGACGGCGCGCAGGGCCCATGCGGAATTGGCCGCCATTGCGGCCGCCGACGGCAACATCGAGTTGCTGATTACAGAGTTGCGCGCCACCTTGCTGTTGCCGCCGCCACCTTTGGCGCGCGCAGACGAGCACATTGCCCTTTGGTGCGCCTTTGCCACCGCCATGGAGCGGGCCAACCGCATTCCCGAGGCGTTGGAAGCGTGCGAGCGCGCCGAAGTCGCCGTCGGGCCTTCGCCCCACATTCTCATCACCCACGCATACTTGCTTTTGCTCGACACGTCGCGCGCCAACGCCGAGGCGGCATTGACGCTTTTGTCCAAAGTGGTGGCGGCCGAGCCGCCCGAAGTGCGCGCGGCAGACTTCACCCCGGCCGACGCCGAGCGCGCGCCCGATGTGCCAGGCGACTTTTTGCCCTGGTACCTTTTGGGCAAGGCCTACACGCATCTCGATGCGCCCCGCGCCGCATACGACTCGTACCAGATTGCCTTGCGCCGCGCAAACAACCTGCCCATCACCTGGTTGGCCGTGGGCAAGCTCTACTTGGAGTTGAAGCAGTTGCCCGACGCCTTGGCCGCATACCTGCAAGCGTTGCGCCTCCAAATGAACGAAAACCTGCCTGGCACCGCCGCAGCCTGGGACGGCTTGAGCTGCGTGTATGAGCGGTGCGACGACCAGCTTGGTGACGCAGCCGACGCCTGTCTGCGGGCGGCGTTTTGTTTCCGTGCCATTGGCGACGCCAAGAGCGCAGACTACTTTGACGACCGTGCCAAGCGCCTCCAGGCTGCTGCCGAGGGCAAGGGCCCCGTGCCCGAGCTTGTGGCGCCGCAGGGTGTCCCCAACTACTTTTTGCGTGATCTTGTGACGTTGTTGCCCAGCGAGCGTGTTGCGTTCGTGCTGGGCGGAACCAAGGCGCGTGCGCCCGAGCCGCCGGCGCCAAACGGCCGCGATGTTTCAGCACAGCCGCAGGCGCCCGCTCCCGCGCTTGCCCCGGCCCCAGGTCCAGGCGCGCAACGCCCTCCCTCGTACGAATCTCGCCCGCAGGGCGAGCGCACGCCGTTGGCGCCACCTCAGCCTATGGCGCCACCCATGGCACCTCACGCGTTCGCCCACAGCCCTGCGCCACATGAACTTCCGGGCCCTCCTCCGCATTACGCCTTGGGCCAGTATCCGCCACACATGGTGGGGATGGGCAACGGCGTGATGTCGCCGCCCGGCGGCCCTCAAGGCCACCGCTCGCCTCACATGCCTCCCATGCTCAACGAAGGCTATCCGATGGCAGGTTCCCCCGGATACCTCTACGGGCAGTATATGCCAATGCATGGCGGGATGATGCACGTGCAGCCGTACGGAGGCACCTGGCGCAGATGATTCGTGGCGAGGGCACTTTAAGCATGCGTGTGTGCATGCTCCGTTAGAAGCGTCAAATGGCACTGCTGCTAGCTTTGTGGGCTGGTTTGGGTCTACGAGCACCGCTAATGTAACACGAGTGAGCTTTGCTTTGGGTTGCGGTGCTATTGAGTTCGCTGGCTGTGCAATATCTAATCTGTACCAATAGTATATGCTCTGTGTATAATCCTTTTCTGGCTACTTGTTTGTAGTTTGTGTATGTATTGGCTCAGGATACATTCTTAGGAAGGCACCAATAATGAACTTCACAATCATTTCCGGTAATCGTCGCTTGAGAAGCTATCACGCTCTGATTGGAAAATCCCGATTGGATGAAATATTTCGTGACGGGAAGCCTACTTCCAAAAGCGGATTTAGGGATTCAGGTATGCGGCCAAGATCTTCGACTGCTTTACGGATCTGGATCCAGCATTCAATGTAGAATTGGGTCGTATTAAATTCCGAGAAGCTTTAGCCACACTCTTTGACACTGTGTAACGTTCGAATAAACTTATGGTACAGGTAGAGTAAAATTATAGCAACATTAGACGTAAACTTACGGTATTCCCAGGTCCGTAGTTAATGATTCGTAAATTGTTCGATAGCTCCTTGTTCAAACGAAAGGATCCTTTGTCTATAAGTTAAACGTTGACATAAAGTACGTTTTGGAAAGGAGGAAGGATAATCAAAGATACCCGAAAAACCGAAACCGACGGCGCTGGAAGGGCATTTTGACATGAAAGATTTGCCAAGTGGTACAATCTTGCCTTATAAACAAAAGTACATTGCTATCCAGATGTGCATCGTCATTTTCCGGCTTGGCACGGATCTGATTTCAGTCGCAAATGCAATAACAGGATCCATAATTTCACTGACTACAATTTATTAGAACAATTAATTCTTGAAGCAAGATCAATAAATTCTTGAAGCGACTTCATCTGATTGCCTTAAGGACGTCTATTGGATTTGCTTTAATGTTTTATGACAGTAAGATGAACATAAACAGATAGGGACACAAGAAACAACAGTGGAACTTCGGATGGTGCACAGTCCAATCTAGTTGCTTTAAATCCGTACAGTGGCCTGACCAGTTTTGTTTTGCGTAGTCCCATTACAGACGCTAAATGGTCCAATTATTAACACGATATGGCCCATCTCTCAATCCACGTTTTCTAACCTTCTACCCTTGGCATTTGTTTCGCTCTATTTCTTACGTTTTGTTTCCTTTCGACGATAGTCTTTCAATCCATTCTTATTACTAATTTCCACAAGGCTAATATTCATGTTCAGAACGGTATATGAATACATGGAGAAGAGCCACTGCATCAACGTACAATGATAATTGCCAGATTCTAGCACCTATAACTTTCTCGCGGTACGAATCGCATGAATGCAGCCAAAGTATTTCCACTACGGTGGGCCATGAAACTGGACAAATTGTTTATACAAACCCACGTCTAATATCGTTCTCAGCCGTCTGACGAACAGACTACCATGCATGCGCCAAGTCAAAAAAGTCGCCCTCGAATACGCCCGGCGCCATTCGCGCAAGCGCAGGCAAGGACGCAAAAGAATCGCGCGCGCGCCCGCCTCGCATCACCACGCCGGTGTCTGCTACCCGAAGCGGCAAAACATCGCCTGAACTGTCGCCGACGTAAATGACATGCGCCGCGGCATGCGCGGCCCGCACCGATTCAAGCTCCTCCTTCTTATCTGCGCCCGTCCTAATATCCCACTGCCGGTCAAACTTTCCTGTGCAGATGCCGTTATTATCAAACTCAAAGTCATTTGACCGCACAACAATGTCATGCACGCCGTGAAGAGCGAGTGCGGCCTCGATGAAGGTTTTGCTCCAATTGACGCTCACAATGTACATCGGGGTGCGAGTTTCGCGTGCCTTAGCCACAAGCTGCACAAAGCCCGGGCGAAGCACAACTTGCAGCGCCTGCGCCTCAAAGTCCGCGCGCGTGAGCCCCAGAAAAATGCCCGCCCGTTCGATGGCGCCGATAGATACCATCTCCATTTCTCGCGCGCGCCGCTGATACTGTTCCTCCTCCTCGACCGACAGGCGAGGAAGCTTTTGTGCGGAAAACTTGGCCGCAGCATCAAGATACATTTGGACAAACGTGTCGAACGGCGGAAGGTTTTGTTTGTGCACATATGCTGTTTGGGCGACTAGCAGTGTTGTGTCTTTGGTTGTGATGGTTTCGTCCCAATCACATACAAGGACACGAGGCATCGTGAGGTTGCGTGTTTGGGCAAAGCCAATGGGCAAGGGCCAAGCGCTTGAGCGGGCGGGGAAAAAAATGCGACGGCAAGAATGTTGCGCCGCTGCAATGGGTCGCAAAAAATTGGCAAAATTGGCAATGGTTAAATTGCGCGCACAATGTGAGCGAGCAAAAGCGAGAAAAGTGCCTTGGGAAATTGGTTGATGTTTTGGAGAGAATCAGAGTTTGTGCACGCTCGGTGTTTGTTTGCGCGAGCGGTGCAGACACGCCACTGCATACACGCAATGTATGCACGCACCGCACGCATACACGCAAGTACCCAATGCACCTAAGTGGACCCAGTGCACACACGCCGACGCATGTGCTTGCATGCATGTTAAGCGTGCCTGCGTAGACCAGGCACTATTATTTGCTACTCCTGCGGCAGTGCATAACCAGCCACTGTATCCAGGTTGCGACTTATGGCGTCTGATCCCTTTGCCCCGTGCCGCCCGAAACACCCGCCAACAACCGCACCATCTTGCCATCTGCAGTCGCACGCTCCCTTAGTAGGCCCGAATCTTGCGTTGCGAGATAGCGTCGTGCAGATTTCTATTTGTGCGGGCATGACGCGCGCAGCTTCCTATATAGGAGCAAGCCTCGCTGACTTTTTCGTGCCATGTCCCAGGAACTCGGAGAACTAGGAAACATTAAGCCATCCAATGGTGAAGTGCCAAAATCTGTAGGCGAAAACCTTCAGACTAACTCTGCTAAGGTTGAAGGCGAGAATGCCTCGATCGGGAAAGCCGAAGGACAACTTGGAAAAACCGAGGGCCAACTAGGAAAAACCGAAGGGCAACTTGGAAAAACTGAGGGCGAGCTTGGAAAAACCGAGGGCCAACTTGGAAAAACGGAAGGCCATCTCGGCAAAACTGAAGGCCAATTAGGAAAGACTGAAGGCCAGCTTGGCAAAACTGAAGGCCAGCTTGGAAAAACTGAGGGTCAACTAGGTAAATTCGAAGGCCAATCGGACATTTAAGTTATTTCCTATTTAGGCAATACCTGATTCTGATTCTGATTCTACATCCCATCAAGGAGGCCCGGAAACATAATAAGTAATTAATCTACATTTTTCTTTTCTACCATGACCCAAAATCAAGAAGAAGTCCCTAGCATTGAGCAGCAGAAAAAGCTCGAAACGTCTTTGCGTGAGGCGTTGAACCCAGACGGAAAAAACCCACAGGTTGACAGCGCCATTTCATCCACTTTTGATTATATTCGGAAGCTGCTTGAAAAAATGGAAAACTCTCAAGACAAGGACAAGACAGCGCAAGAAATTGCCAACGATTTGAAAGATAAATTTGACAATTGGGCAGCGAATCAAAAGCAGACCCAAAACAGTAATGAATCACACTAAACGAGCATTTTCGGATACACAGTTTTGCTTCATCTTTGTCATTTCGATTTTCGTCACGGGTCCAAACTTTATAGCTTCTAATATTATATCCCCTTCGAAAATTTCTGTCATTTCAGTCAAGTGTGGTAATCGTTGACGGTAATCGCACGTGACCCAATGTGTAGATAAGATATTCCTATCCAACTTCTTGGGCCAATGCAATTCTTTTTGTTTTTTGTGGCCTGGTTTTCTTTAGTCCTTGCGGTTCGGCCTTTCCATTTCAAGGCGCCGCAAGAGGCTTTGATTTCTGTTTTCGACTCGCAATCTTTGTCCGATTACGTTGTGGACTCCAAATACTCTTTGCTAGAGCTCCACAAAAAATTGGTGGAAATCAAGTCTATCAGTGACAACGAGCTCAATGTGGGCCAATGGCTAGGCGCCTACTTGAAAAAAGCAGGATTGACTGTTGAGTTGGGTAAAGTTGACGGCGAAAATGACAGATACAACGTTTACGCCTACTTGGGGAAAAAGAGAGACACCAGTATCGTGTTGACTTCTCACATCGACACAGTGCCGCCATATCTCCCGTATTACGTCAATGGCACACAGATTCACGGCCGGGGATCATGTGATGCTAAAGCATCTGTGGCCACACAAGTCATTGCCTTCTTGGATATGGTGAGCCAGGGTATTCTCAAAGAGGGCCAAGTATCACTTTTATTCGTTGTAGGGGAAGAAAATTCAGGCTCCGGAATGCGCAAGGCCACTGAAAGCTTGGGTGCATCGTGGGACATTGCCATTTTTGGAGAGCCTACGGAAAATAAATTGGCTGTGGGCCACAAAGGTATATTGTTGTTTGACGTTGAAGTATTTGGCAAGGCGTCGCACTCCGGATACCCAGAGTTGGGTGTTTCGGCTACAGAGATCCTTGTTCCGCTCTTGGCCAATTTGCAGAACTTGGAACTCCCCACGTCTGACATTTTGGGACCTTCCACTTTGAATATTGGCAAGATCGAAGCGGGAGTAGCGGCAAATGTGGTTCCAGCATACGCCAAAGCCACGATTGCAATTCGAGTCGCTGATGATTTGGCTCGTGTGGTGCATCTTGTTCGTTCCGTGGTGGAAGATACACCTCATGTTGGCCCTTTCAGCTTTTTTGGAACAGAACCCCAGTTCTTGGATTACGACGTCCCTGGCTTTGGCACTTTGGTTGCAGCTTACACCACTGACGTGCCTAATCTCGGCCTTCCTTTGAAGAAGAGATATCTATACGGCCCGGGTACCATTCATGTTGCCCATGGTGCAAACGAATATGTGGAAAACCAGGATTTGCTTGATGCCATCAGCGGCTACAAGAAGCTTATCCAACACGCTCTCTCGGAAGTCTAGTTTAGCAAAGACAACAAACTCTTCTAATTATTACTTGTGCACCATCTCTATATCCATCACGAGTAGAAATCTCATGGTGGACTCAAACCAGGTGTAGTTGATATAGCTCGGTGCATCCAAACGCCCAGAAAGAGAAATTCTGGGCGACAGAAAGAGGCGAAACGCCCCGTCTCCAGCACCTGCAACTCTACAGTAGGGAAAAAAAATAAAATTTGTATTGGTTTCGAAAAAAGTGGGTGCGGTGCTCTTTATATAGTGCCATACTGCAGGTAAAGGCAAACCATGAATGGGGTCCTAGAGAAAAGCCACTTATTAATACAATATTCAAAAGCATTTTCGAATCGACGAATAGACGATTGCAGTGGAAACGAATATTGTCATTTAAGCTTGGCTGGACACAAAGAAGCCAGATTTGGAGTCTTCCCTGGTCATCGGTACACACACGACTCATCTACATAGATGCATCTACAATGCAAGATATACAATATCTAGACAGTATGAGTAAAGTTCCCGCATGGAAAAGGCTTGGTCTTCAGGTCAAAGACGAAGTTTCTGAAGATCCGTTGGCCACCACAACACATTTAGAACATGACAATGTCACCAACAAGATAGCGAAAAGCTTGAATCGAAAAAGACGGTTAGAGGAACAAAAAGATGGGGCTAAAAAACCGCCCAAGCGAGTCAAGGTTCCCAAAAGCGAAAGGAAACCTCCGCCAGAAAAGGACCAGTTGGCCTATTTGCGCCAGTACGCTGAAGATAAAGATAACTGGAAGTTCAGCAAGCAAAAGCAAAACTGGCTACTAAAGAATATCGAGTCGATTCCGCAAAACTACGAAGCTCCTCTTATATTATACGTCGAAGGAATCCAAGGCGGGGCACGTGCTCGCTTGGTGGAGCAATTGAAGCAAGTGGTGGAGAAATGGAATGCTGTTGCACAAGCTGTTGAAGATCGTGTGAATGCGCAGTTGTACGGAACAGGAGAGGAGAAGAAGGACGAGAACGAAACAAAGGAAGAAAAGGAAGAGACCAAAGAAGAATCAGGACCACTGAAGGAATATGCCATAAGATGTAATAAGTTATTGGCCGCAATCTCTGAAGAGGAAATTGTTCTTAAAGGTGTGGAGGAGCAAGAAAAGGAAGAAGACAAACAAGAAGAAAAGGAAGAGGATAAAGAAGAAAAGCAAGAAGAGGAGGACGAACAAGAAGAAATTGCTGAAGAAAATCAGACTGATCCTTCTAAAGAAGAGGTGGTTGATGCAGAGGATGCAGAAGACAATTTGGTGATCGATGAGGTTGAAGTGGAAGAGTACGAGTTTAGCTCAGAAGAAGAAAAGGTGAAAGAAGAGAACGACAAGAAGGAAAAGAAGAACGACAGCAAGAAAGAGAAGAAGGACAAGAAAGACAAGAAAGAGAAGAAGGATAAAAAAGATAAGAAAGAAAAGAAAGACAAGAAGGAAAAGAAAGACAAGAAGGGGAAAAAAGACAAGAAAGACGAGTAATGTACGAGTAGATTCCGTACTCCATAGATATTAATCGCATCATTCGCATATACAACCTCGCCTAGCCCATACTAGCATTTCATTGTAGCACAAACGTTTTGTAAATGAACACATCAGCTTGTGGAACCACAATGCATGAAATGCTACACAGTGGTGCGTACTTTCTAGTTTTATGTACATCGAAACTCTACTCTATCCACACGGCTGATATTTCACGACAAGCAACGCTGCTCCCTTATCCTATCTACTCAACTGTGCTGATCGCAGAGCAGGATTTTTATGTACAACGACTATCATACACATTCAAATAAACCAATAGCAGTCAATCTCGAGTTAAAACAAAGCAACTACCGAAGTATTTGGCTTTAAGTAGTGGACCATGGAAACAGTGGCCAGTATCATTTACAATTAGGGGCCTTGAAGAATGAGTTCCCACCAATATTATTCGCTGAATGCATCTGCCATAAAGCTATCCCGAATTTCTGGGCTAAAGGAAGATGAATAAGCACTACAAGCATCACATACTAGTTGTTGACACGATAAAGAAACCAAAGATGTTTGAATGCTCAATGAACGAGTATTAACTACTTTTGAAATTGTCTTGAGGTGCCCTATTGGAATCTCCATGTCTTGGAAGGCGCTCAGTTAATTTATACATTCTCTTTCCTTCCTTCTTTTTAGTCCAGTGAGCACAATAAATCCACAACGACACCCGTGCACCACAAAGTACATAGAAGCAAAGCCTACACTCTCACTTACACCAGCATGTCTAGTTTCAATATTTTGCAATTGGAAGATCGGGCGCGTGATGTGGACCCGGATCTTCGATATATGGCCTTGGAGGATTTCCAAAAAGGTCTCAATGATCCAAAACTCCAAGTACGGGGCGCTGCCAGATTCACGCCACTATTGTTCAATTTGCTTCACGATAGCACCACCGAAGTGCAAAACCAAGCGGTGAAATCGTTTGCGCCGTTGGTTCGTCATGTGAACGACAACGAGATCTTGCGGATTGTGGAAGACTTGTACGCGGAGGTGGAAAAAGCTTCCAACACGTCAAAGTTCAGCACCTCTGTGCCCAATTTGGCATTGCGGTCTGTGTTCAACGACGCACATAGTCGTTTCAGCAAAGCCTTGTCCAAACGAGTAGTCGACTTTCTCTTGCCGCAGATCTTCGCTCTTCCATTGTCTATGACGATTGACAAGATTGAGCTTTTGATTGACTTGATCAAATGTTTGGGCTTTGTTCTCACAGAAAAAGAAATCCTGACTATTGTCTTATCGTTGGCAGAAAACGCCTTTAGCGAGCTGGGAATCATCAGCAAAAGATCCATTGTTGCCGTGGACTCGGCGCTAGACTATATCTCTCAAGCAACTTTGGACCAGTTGCACAAGCAGACACTGTTCTATGACCAAGTGGTGCAATCTATATGTGCCAAGCATGACTCTATTGCCGATACCTCTGCAGCTGATGGGATTTTTTTCAGTTTGCTACAGGTTGTTTTGGCACAAGTGAAAAAGACAAAACGCATCACATTGTCTGAAGAATCCGCCCTGTTGGTATTTGCCAGGATCATAGCAAAGTTGAACTACCAGAACTTGCTGTCAGAGATAGATGTGGAAGACTTGGACATTGATGTGTTGAGTACGGAAAACCTGATTCGGGAAGATGCATTGATTACATTGTCGAGCTTTTTGCCTTGCATTCCGTACGATTGGTTTTTCCACACGTATTCCACCCCAATCACGGAGATTATAAGTGCGTTTATTTCGTATGACCCTTTGGCGTACCAAGACGAAAGTGACATGGAAGACTATGGCGATTCCGAAATTGAATTTTCCGACGACGAGATTGAGCAGTTTGACGAGACTTCGGATAGCGATGGACTTGCCTCGAGGTTAAGATTGCAGGCAATCGTATTATTGGACACCTTACTTCAAACATTCCCAAAAACTTTGCTGTTGATATACCATGAAGAACTTTTTGCCAAAGCCATCACTGCTATCAGCGATCGGAACGAGCCAGTATCCAATCAAGCTATTGTTGCTGTTTTTGGGATTATTAACTCAACTTTTCAGTCGCATGAAAGCCTCTTTAGAACAGGTTCGGATGTCAGCATGGTTACGGAGGGCAAAGCTGCTTCTAGAACTCCAGAAAGTCAACTTCAAGAAAAGTACTGCCCACAATTAGAAAGCACCGCATTTGATGTCCTTCTCACACAAAAGAATATATCGAGATTTTCAAGTACTAAAATGTTGTTGGAGAGTCTCATTTCAAATCTCACGTCCAGCCTCTCTGAACTGTTTTTATCTCAGTTACTCGATCGGATACGTGAATTCAACTTGTCTATCAAAGTTTATGCTGACATAGTCAACTTGTATCGGTGCATTTTGACATCTTATGATTTTGATACTATTCCAAGGGCATTCGTTGACTACATACTTCAAGATGTGGTGCATTCATTGGAAGATACAAGTATTCATCACAGCCTTGTGATTGATATATTGCAAGTGTGCACCATTTTATTCCGTAAAGCATCGCACGATAAAGAGTTTCAGGATTTCATGAACTCTACGTTTTTCAGTGCTTTAGCAGAGAAAATTACCGTCAAACACTACTCGAGCGACGTGCGCCAACATCTTTTAGGAGCCTTATCAGAACTTATTATCAACATTCCTTTGACTCAAGAGAATGCAAAGTGGGCCAATAACATTTTCCAAGAAAGTTTAGATTACGAAGTGACGGTGAATTTCACAATAGAGAATTTGATCAACGTATGTGACAAGAAGCCACAACTCTTCAGTTCTCAAGAACTATGCAACCTGATTATCAAAAAGCTTAATATGTACTTGGGATCAAGTGACTCCAGCTTGTATGCGGATGTACTTTTGTTACTTGATAAGCTATTTGAGAAAACTCAAGCTGGCGATGAAAGCGACATGCGTTCCCTCACATTAAACGTCATGGAGCTTATTCAAAATTCTACTGACCAAAATTTGATTTCTCGTGCCTTCAAAATCTTAGGGCATACCTTGGATGTTATACCGGCGGATCTAGAATATTTTGAGACTCTCATTACCAAAATTATAAACGTGAAGTTGGTGGATGTTGATGATTTCAATTTGGATACATTTGAATTTTTAATTAAACAAATTGCAGCTCATAACACTTCAACACCTCCGGAACTTTTTGCCATTGGTATGAGATTACTCACTTTGAAACTATTTGTTTCTGCTAAGACCATGGCATTGATTGCGTCAGAATGCCAGCTTGTGTCTGAAATTCAAAACATTGAAAGTGAACTCGTTTCTTACTGCCAAAACAATCCCGGAAATATCCATTCGGACAAGATAGTCTTCGATATCAATTTTTTGGGATGGGCTTCATTTACCGATATGGTGACAGTAAGTTTCGACGACTTTTATGCCATTCTCACCACGGATGCTTCTGATGTGATTTGCTTAGCAGCGGCAAGATCCTTGGGTCTTTCAATTGTCAGGGATATGAAAAAACACTTGCAAGCAATGTTGAGCTGCTACCAGCATTTCAGTGCTGAGAATAACCCAAAGGCAAAGTTGCTTTTGGTTGCCATCAAACAAGTGTTGAAAGAAGGTGCTGTCAAAAAGGAAGTGGAAGCATTGAGAAGTATTTGGGACAGTCTTATCCAAGTGATTTCAACAAAGCAAGGAGTCCTTGTTCACAAAGACGTTTCAGAATTGCGTTTGGCTGGTGATGTTTTGACAAGGGTTACTGCAGCTGATAATGACGAGGACTACCAGAGCAAAATCTCCCAATTGCTTACGACACAAAGCTGCGAGGATTGCAACGAATTTCTCGTTTACACGATAATTGTTGTCATCAAGCAACTCATGAGTCGTACCTCGGATGTCTTTGACGTGGGGTTGATGGAAAAAATCTTACAGTTCCTTCCAAAGTCCAACATCGAAATGAAACAGGCCATCATCAGCACTTTATTGACAGGAATTTATAACAAGTCACTCTCCTTTAGTGCCATTCTCAACGATATTATTTTGCCACGCATCTATGATGAGCTAAGCCCAAAGGAGGAATTCAAGAAAGTTATACCTATGGGGCCTTACAAATATGTTGTGGATGAAGGTTTGGAAGTGCGCAAGTTGAGTTACGAGCTTATCAGTGCCATTATTGATCTAGACACCAGCAAAATTCGGAAAGAGGACCATCATGTGGATCAAGTTGGATTGTTTGAGGTGTTACTGGCTAAGGGTTTGAACGATAGTGAAAATGACATTATCGGTTTGACTGTGGCGAACTTGCTTCAAATAATACAGAATAACGAAAACGTCATCACCAAAATTTTCCAACCAACAAGAGTTTATCGCATCCTTGACAAAGCTCATGAATAGAAAACTCAGAAGCAAAGCAAGCACACAGGAACTGGAAAGCTATGAGGACACCTTACGCTCGACAATTCGACTTTCAAAAGTGATTCATAACATTTTGGTCCAGACCAACACATTGAGCAGTGAATGGAGCAATTATTACAATGAACTCAAGAACAAACATTATTTGCTTTTCAGTGCAGTTGAAATATGAGCACTTGTGGACAATCACAATTATAACTCACTGTGCATATTGCATGCGGAAAACTGGCAAAGGCGGGGAAACGTCGTCAGCACTATATAAATGTGACAATATGAAACATGTATAAAGGCGACGTCTGACTTGTACACTTCTCTGACTACTGCGGTGGCCAATGTCAAGATGAACTTTTACTTTCATAACCTTCTGCCCTCGAATGCGTCGTCACTTGTCATCGAAAGGATACACTTGCTACGTATGTGGCTGATGACATATATCTTTGGGCTTATGGATCTGACCCACGACAACATACTGGTTTTGTTTGACCACATTCTATATTATATTATGAATGCTTTGCTTCTAGTGATGATCTTGTTTGACGGCATAGTCGACACGTTCGAAGCAGCGAACTATCATTTCCACTTGGCTCAAAAACTCTTTGCACATGGAACTTTCAGCAATATCAACTGAGTCAGAGCCTGAAAAGGAGAGCAGATACTGACACAGCGAAGCAAAGCGTGACGCAGAAGTATGTGTTCTCCGCATTTCACATGCATAGCCGTTGTACTGCAGAGAAGCTCGGATTAATGCTTTTTCCCTTATAAGGTGATGCCTGTACAGTTGAAAATGCTACTTAAAGTCACCTACGATTGTCATGAATATATTTAAGAAGCTTTACGTTATTAGCGTGTAGGAACGAATGTTGTTCTAGACCAAAACGTAATCAGAATCTTGTGCGCAATGTAGGGAAGCTACCGAGGCAAGGTTAGGAAAAGGAAAGGTAAGCAAAAAAAAGTTGTTTAAAGCTACGATTTCAAATTCTGAGTGTAAACATTCATAAAGCTTAATGAAATAAAGAGACCGATTCAGGTATTGTGCAATTAGTTCCTTCACCTGAAGTGTATGTTCTCTCGTTTCTAGCTGTCACAGAAAAGGGCGTGTGGTCTAGTGGTATGATTCTCGCTTTGGGCGATGGTTCGGAACCCTGAACCTACCAAATATGTGAGAGGCCCTGGGTTCAATTCCCAGCTCGCCCCTTTTTTTACGTCTTTTTTTTACTATTGGCAAAGAATAATTTATATAGTCACGGCCATATATCGGTAACTTAGTATTTAAATTTTAGTCATCATTCTGCTGTGACCTCGCACTTAGTTAAGACATATTTTGCCTACTAACAGTTTATATGTGGACTCGCATTATCATTGTGATAGGATTTCTGGGTAACTAGTCAGCCACTTGTTCTTACTAATAGATTCTCTATCCTTCAGGGTATGAATGACCTGTCCCATATTCTATTTTAGGAGAGAAAATAAACTAGAAGAGACCTGTAACCTGGAGCTACGTGTTCAGAAAATGGAGAAAAGTGGAGCCAGGGACGAATTAAAAACAGATCATAGGCTGGCGCAGATGAGTGAAGTTATCGGAAACAGTCTTCCGATCGGTGACAGAAAAGTTACGCAGTTCGCTAACTGCGTCAAGATAATATCCTCGGTTATCTCCTTCTGTGGACCATTTTTGCTAGCATAAAAAATAATGTCCATCAGAAGCGTTTCTGTAAAGAGTTCTATCCGCGGATTTACTTTGCATTGCTTTATATTTTCTGCAATATTTTCCAATCTTTGTATCTTGATTTACATTCATTGCCTCATACGCTGTTCTATAATTGTAGGTCTCTTTATTCTAATCTTTTGGAAACCGAGTGTATGCATCGCGGTTCTACCGGCTTGCTTTTCTTTTTAATCATCTATAGCCGGTTGGCATTCTATCCGACAAAAAAAAGAATTCAACGGCGAGAATAGCATTGAAGAAATCAAGAAATCAAGAAATCAAAGTAGATCACTGTTCATTCACATAAGATTTCACTAAGATTCAAAAGCTTATTAAGTTGAATTTACGAGTTCACTTTAATTCTGGATGCTTTAACTTTTGCTATTTACAAATATAATAGTCTAGTTGTTTGTTTTCATGTCGCCAATCACATCCAACTTCTGGGCGTCCTTATAAATATTTTGGTGCTTTTGGTATGACCCTGGATATACTTCTGGGAACTCTTTGCAGTACAGAAAAAACTCCCATATTCTGTCGGGCCAGTTCTCGTCTATAACTTTTTCTTTTTTCAACTCTGCTGCCACTCTCTCATTTTCTTTCCATACACGTAACAAGTTGCCTCCCATAAGCTTAGCCACTTGCTCGTCTGTAGCTTGCGATTTTTCCATCACTTTTTTGATCAAGTCTGGGTACTTCGAAACATCTTCAAGGCCCTTGGGTCCTTCAGGAATGCCATCAAAGTCCGAGCCCAACCCAACGTGGTCCCACCCAATCAAATTGGCCACATGTAAAATATGGGCAACCGCATCGTCAATAGTAGCCGAATCCTCGCCCGGCCGCTTGATGAATGCTGGGTAGAAGTTGATGCACACCACGCCACCGTTCTTCTTCACTTTCTCCAATACTTCGTCAGGCACATTCCGAACATGGTGCGTGAGAGCAAACGCCGAAGAATGCGAGAAGATGACAGGTGCTTGAGCCTCTTCTAATGCATCGTGCATGGTCTGGACACTGACATGCGAAAGATCCACCATCATGCCTAGACGGTTCATTTCTCTCACACACTTGCGGCCAAAGTCGCTCAAACCTTTGTCCGGGAGTCCGCCGGCAACAGAAGACGCCGCAGTAGCAAACGGGTTGTCGCAATTGTGGGTCAAGGTGGCATACCGCACGCCCATGTCAAAGTAGGTACGCAAAACACCCAAAGACGCATCCACTTGGTGCAAACCTTCTATGCCCATGGCTATGGCCAATTTCCCCTCTTTTTCAAATGCGTCAAGCGCATCCTGGGCACATGTAGCGAGCTTAAGGTCGTCTGGGTACATGCGGGTCAAACGGCGGACAAAATCGATTTGCTCTGTGGTGTCCCGGACCACAGTAGTGGGTTTGTTGAAGTTCTGGTACAACGGGTTGTCGTCCTTGCATTCGATGAAGCAGCTGAAAAACTGGACGCCAACACCGCCAACGTGGAGTTTTTTCAAGTCCGTGTGGCACGTGAGGCCCTGTTTGAAGGTGAAGGCGTCGTCATTTTCCACCTCGTAGTGAAGTTGCACCCGCACCAGATAAGGAAAGTCGTTGTGCGCATCGATAATCGGGTGTTTTTTCGCCAACGCCCGGAATCTGTCGGCCGAGTCCATATTCTGGAGAACGAAAAAGAAAGAGAAAAATGGGCGAGAGGATATAGCGGAGAGAAATTGAGCGACAGAGTAGGTTTGGTGCCGATGGCCCGACGAAAGCGGAATCCCAGTGCGACCGTGCGCTTATCGCCTGCCCTTTTCGGACAGGCATTGCGCATGGCCAGATGCCCATCTCCAGATTAGCCAACCGCCGCTGATATAAAGATAGCGGGCATGGTCTTCCAGAGCTAGTGTCGCCTCTTTTCTGGACCCCATCTCGCACGCTTTGCACCTTTATTTATTCTGTCTATTCCATGTCTTCCAAAGGCGATTTCGAAGTTCTGGTCACACACACCAGTGCAGTGAGACACCAGTATGATCCCAACACCGGCATCAAAAGAGGACTCAAAACGAGGCACATCTCCATGATGGCGCTTGCGGGCATTATAGGTCCTGGTGTTTTCATCGGTATGGGGTCGGCGCTCCATGCTGGAGGGCCTGTGGGCTTAATCAGCGGTTTTGCTATAGTGGGCATTTTGGTGTTGATCATGATGTACTGTATTGGCGAGCTCAACTCGATGTTCGACTTTAATTTCAATGTACATGCTTCTCGGTGGGTCGACCCGGCGTTTGGCGCCACTTTGGGCTGGTACTACGTGTTTTTGTGGGTGTGCAACATCATTGCAGAATATGTCTCTGTGACATCTGTCTTGAGTTTCTACAGCACAAAAGTGCCGATCTATGGCTACTACTTGCTTTGCTGGGGCGTTTTCACTGTCTACCAGATGTTCGGTGTTGACGTTTTCGGCGAGGTGGAGTACATTTTGGCCTTTGTCAAGTTGCTTTTCATTCTGGGCTTTTACATTTTCAGCATCATCTATGCTGGAGGCGGAATCAAGGGCCACAGCCCAGGAAACCCATTCCGCGACTATCCGTTGGCCGGGGGCTTCAAAGGAATTGCCAACTCTTTTGTCTACGCCGGTGTGTTCTACACGGGAATCGAGAGTCTTTCAGTGACGTTTGGCGAGCTGAAAAACGTCCGTGCAGCAGTGAAAACAGCAGTCCGCCAGGCCGTGTTCCGTATCTTCTACGTTTATTTTGGTATTTCCATTTCTTACGGTATCACAGTCAGATGGAACGACCCAAACCTCTCGAGCTCAAGCAAGACAATGAAGTCGCCCATGACCATTGCCTTGGTCAATGCAGGCTGGCACAACGCAGGCTACTTTGTCACTTCTGTTGTTTTTGTTACTTGCATCTCCTCCATCAACAGCGCCATTTACTTTGCCGCTAGATGCTTAAAGAGATTGGCCGATGATGGTTTTGCTCCCAAAGTTTTCACCACCGTGAGCAAAAATGGTGTGCCTTGGGTTGCCACGCATGTTGTGCATCTTTTTGGATTTTTGTCTTTGCTTTCCATGAGCGACAGTGCCACTGTGGCTTATGGTTACATTGTCAACTTAGCTGGTGTGTGTGCATTTATCGTGTGGACCAGTATCGTCTATGCTCATTACAGATTCAGAAAGGGCTGGTTGATCCAGGGGAACAGCGTTGACGACCTTCCATTCAAGTCTCCATTCTACCCATACTCCAATTATGTGGGAATTGTGTTGGGTATAGTTCTTACTTTGGTGCAAGGATGGTCGGTGTTCAAGCCATTCCAGAAGGGCCAGTTCGTTGATGTTTACATCATGCTCCCACTTTTCTTTATATTCTGGGTCGGTTTCAAGTACGGCTTAAAGAGTAAATGGGTCAAGTATGAGGATATGGATTTCGAAACAGGACTACAGGAAACTCAGGGAGCCATTATGCTGGACCCAGAGGAAGGTTCGGCCATCGACGTGGAAAAGCCTCCGTCACAGTCACTCTGGAGGAACGTCTGGAATAGTATATAGGAGATTACAGTATATAAGAGGATAGTATACAAGAAATAGTACATAATATTAAATGCCCGCATTGAATCTCCAGCCAAAGCTCTTTGTAATGCGGAACCAGTCCACACAACAGGTACCGTTGCGATTTTCTTTCCACACCTGCCGCAAAACAACTTCCACCTTTTTCGTATTATCGAATTGGTACTTGTCAACGATGATGGCGATTTTCTCCAAAACCCAGTCCCTGTCAGATTCGCCCACAGAGCTGATTCCAGCAACTAATAAGGGGAAACTCAAACACACGGAAAGCGGTGTTTCGATCAATTCTTCCAAACAATTCAATGCCTGTCGAAGAAGTACTTGGATTTCTGGGACGATAGGTGGAAGTCGTTTGAGCGATTGCTTTATGTATAGACGAATTATCATCTGGTACAAGGCAAACATGGTGAAATGATTCTCGATGTTGTCGTGTTTGGCAAGGATCTGGTAATCTGAAGGGTCAACAGAAGCGTTGTTCACTTTCTCTTCCAATGTTTCTGCCTTTTGTAGCACTTCATTAAACTCGTGCATATTAGCCTCTGTCACATCGGCCGTAATGAAAGATTTCGACGTATTGATGAGATTTATAACCTCTCCTAGAATTAGAACCAATGGGCGTACGCATCCCTGCATTGGATCAAGCGATTCTGTGTCTCTCATGTGGAAAAGCTCATAATATTGGTCCACGGGGTAGAAAGTTCCATTCTCGTTAGACTGTGAGGCCAAGATATCAAAGTATGCAAAGTTCTGCGCCAAGATCTTGCCTTCCATTGAATAGTTAGCTAGCACTTTGAATCCACCCATCTGGTTGAGAAGGTCGTAGCTTCGGGAAAGGTATCTTGACCACGCATCTGTATCTCCTATGGATATTTCTATGCACATGAGAATAGCGAAACAAAAAAGAGACGATATGAAGCTCTGCGGATCTGTAACATCCCTTGTAGCTAGGATGGCGAGCAGCTCTTGCACAAATGGGGAATTCCGTGTGCATGGAGCCGAAGCCAAAGTCCAAGATTTTGATAGGCGGTCTCGAAAGATACTTCCCCACCCAACTAAACACTGGAGCACAGCTGGGTCTCGTATTGCCAACTGAAGGCAAGTGTGGAAAAAAGGGTTTATATTTTTCGGCACAATGGCCATCTTTGGGGCAACCAAAGTGCAAAAGTACTCAAAGTGGTTGTTTTCAGCGTCCGAGAGAGCATAGCTCAACGGAAGAGTAGGAGACCTGGCCAAGCCTGCAAATTCCGGCGAGAGATGAAACTCGTCTGGGTCAGAAATAAATTGCTCGAAATACTCTCGGAGTAGAGGAGATAGGTTTGTGTGTTGGTCGGGAAGTTGAGGCAGAGTTTGCATCTTTGTTAGAGCCAAGCTCTCTTTTGGTGTTTCCGTTTGTTCGGCAACAATGTTCGAAACAAACCGAATACGAGAGTATCCACCCTTGTTTTCAGGCCAGCGACATTCCAACTCTCGTGCCAGGCAACCGCCACATATAGGTTTGGTCTGATCACATTTCTTTCTACCGTGGGTCAGTATAGTTCCAGAGAAAGCAAAAAAACGGGGAAGAAAAAAGGAAAACATACTTTCTAGACTTGCACTGGAGACACCCCGAACGAGATCTGGTGACCTTGGGCTTGTGCTTAGAAACTGGCATGGTAGTTGATGTTCATAGATGTGTGCCTGCATTTTGTCTCTATGGTCAAATATCCACTGATAACACCAGAAGATGGTCTAATGGGTCCCAACTGACACGTTTTACGAGAAAAGCTCACTTAGATGAGCTGAAGAATATTCCAAAGAAATCCATAGAATAATTTCAACATAATTGTAAACGGAATGCGTGAGATTTTGCAAAGCACGGAATCTCCTCCGCTTGGCTACTTGTCCTTTTTCCCTTTTTTCCTACATTGCTTTTGCCTTTCTGATTTCTTGACTAGCCTGGCTTATCAAAGTCTTTTGTTGGAGCAATTATTGCATCGATTGGCTTATCAGATTCACACATTGGAAAAACGTGCGATGCGCTTAACGCCTTCCTATTTGAGAAACTTCGCATTGATTTGCTATACTACTGGATCACAGATCTGTAGTCTCATCGGAAGAACGGATGATTTGATAACATTTTTCGTGATTCCGTCCCTGTTGGCTGTTGATTGTTAATCAGGAAAAAAGTTCCGTGTGATCTTTATAAATGCATTTTATAAAATGTCGGCGAATGGGTTTGATCTCTCCTCCAAAGGCCAAAGATATCTTTCGAAGTATTATTTAAGTAGTTAAACGGTTTATGAAAGAGTCAGGTCAGAAGTGTTAGCCCTTAAAAATGTATAATGAAACCAATCTATTGTAATAGAAGTAAAACCGGCGTCGAAGTGAAATATGTCGTCCTTTGTGACAATGACTGAACAGAAAGATGAAGAAAAGACTTGTGTATTTAAAGAGACAAAACATCACACCAGAGTTATTGGAGCAGGCTCCGAAATCACGCAATTCATTAACGAAAAAAAAAAAAAAAAAGAAAACGATGTGTAGAATACGCGAGCCAGATTTAGGCTGTGTTCGGTAATAACTTTGAGATAATCGTTCTGTGATTTTGCTCTTGCACGGTCTAAAAATGACATTCTAGTAAAGGTTGTCATTGTTGCAATGGTAATTCTCCAAATGCTATAACACATAATTCTTGTATTTGTGAGCCGAACTCAATGCATGTCTTCGCTCAATCTATGTACTATGCCTTGGCAAGCTGTGCCTTAACCCAGCCTTCTAGTCCCCCCTTGACTATGATATCTTGCAAGTTTGTGCCAAGTTCACCAACCTTTTGCTCCAAAATTACGTTTCCCTCTGAGTCTGTAATTGTCACAAGTGCCTTGGTGACGTCCCACTTCAAAAACCACCCGGTTCTGATGGTCAATTCGTTGGATCCGCTATACTTTTCGCGCAACTGGTTGATCAACGCTGGGATTTCCAACGTCAACAAAGCGTTGTTGATGCAGTTTCTGGAGAAGATGTTTCCAAAAGAACCCGCAACGACCAATTTCATTCCACGGGCCAAGATAGCAGTGGCTGCTTGTTCACGAGAAGAGCCTGTGCCGAAGTTGTAGCCGGAAACGATAATGTCGCTGGCCTTAGTCTTGTTCTTGAACTCAGAGTCATAGTTTTCCATACAAACCTCGGCCATCTTTTCCTTGGAAATGTCGTCTTGGTAGGTGTATTTTCCAGGGTAGATTCCGTCAGTGTTGATGTTGTCTGCGTCACACAAGATCAATTCGCCCTCGATGGACTTTGGAAACTCGTCCAAAACATCCACAGAAGCGCTTGCATCGCCAGACTCGGCGGGCTTGGCGATCTCGATCGACTTGACAATTTCGCCTGGCGCAGGAACTGGAGTTCCGTCCAATTCCTCGGGTCCGCCAATGCGGCCCAAAACAGCAGAAGCGGCCACAACTTCGGGCGACGCCAAGTATGCCAAAGCATCCTTAGAGCCCATGCGGCCCTTGAAGTTTCTGTTGGTGGCCGAAATTCCCACCTCGCCGTCTTTCAATAAACCAGTTCCCAATCCAATACAGGGACCACATCCGGCAGGAAGCGGCACGGCACCAGCAGCCAAAATGTCTTCCCATGCGCCAGTAGCTTCGGCGTCGCTTTGGACGTTGGCCGATGCTGCAGCAACATAAAACTCCACACCTGGGGCAACCTTGCGGCCACGAATAATATCAGCGGCGGCCTGGATATCGCTCAAGCGCGAGTTGGTACACGAAACCAAGTATGCCTTGTTGATAGGGATCTGTTGTTGCGCCAACTCGTAAAGCGGCGCAGAAACCTTAACAGAATTAGGTCCGGAAACACAAGGCGAAAGCGAGGCCAAGTCTATGCGCAAATGTTTGGCGTACACAGCATCAGAATCAGACTGCTCACGGTTCTTCTCCAATTGCGAAACAGTCTCCTTGTTCACGCGTGGGTGTGGCTGAGGCAACTTCTGGAGACGTTGGTGATAAAAGTCCACCAACACATCATCGACAGGAAAAAGACCAGATAACGCACCCCATTCCGTGGTCATGTTGGCGATGGTCAAACGGTAGTCCACAGGCAAAGACAGAACGCCGTCGCCCACGAATTCAATTGCGTGGTTCAACACTTCATCGTGGTTGAAAACTCCACAGAGAGCAACAATCACATCTTTTCCCGTTACACCAGGGCGCAAAGAGCCCACAAGCTCGACCTTGGCCACAGGCGGGATCTGCCACCACGTTTGGCCCGTGGCCCAGATTGCAGCTGCGTCTGTACGAACAATCGGAGTTCCTAAAGCACCAACACCACCATAAGTGTTCGAGTGCGAGTCTGACGCCACGCACAAGCTCAAGGGAAACGCGTAGCCCTCCTCAATCATGATCTGGTGGCCAATGCCTCTGCCGGCCGGATAGAAGTCGATGCCCTGGCGCTCGGCAAATTTCTGAATGTTGGCATACTTGGTCAAGTTCTGCTCGGACCGGTTCTGGACGTCGTGGTCCAACGTGCACACAATCTGTCTGTTATCGTGCACTTTGTCGGCACCCAAGCCCATGAATTTAGACGCCACAGGCCACGAGTTGTCGTGAGACATGCAATGAGCAGGCTGGATAGACACATAGTCTCCGGAAAACACCTTCTTTCCCAGCGGGAGCCCGACGGCGTACTTTTGAACAATCTTTTCCGTCAAGTTCTGGCCGCGGGCTAGCACGGCCGAACATGAGAGGCCTCTTCGAAACAACATGGTTGGTGATGGAAAAGCGGAAAAGTTGAAAAATGGCCTATCGGCCTGCAGAAAGACTGGCTTTATCTGATGAGTCAGAATAAGGCGCGCGCCATTGGGTGTTCCATGCGTGGGGTTGCACCTCTGTTATCGGGATGTCGCGTTAGTCATCGCAAGAACGCCGTATCTTTTGCACCCACACGAAATGAAGCTGAAGAAAATGCAGTAAAGAAAAAAGGTAAGAGAATTCGTAAGAAATTTGGTAAGAAATTTGGTAAGAAATTTGGTAAGAAATTTGGTAGGAAATTCTGGTAACAAAATTGGTAAGAAATTCTGGTAACACTGGGAAGTGCCAGTATATTTCTTGGGTGTCTTACACTGCTTATTCTCGCCCTCTTATCGTCCACCTTGAGACAAAGCTGGATCTCAAAGGTGCATTATTTGCAGAAGTGTTGATATTAGAGTCGGAACACCCATGATATAATGGATTATCAAAGTTCTTGTGTCTAGTGACGTCGAGTGTAGATTTGCCATCTACTACTGTCTGCTCCAAGCATGAAAGTTAGTAGCTAAACCTACTTATTTCCCAGAACTTTTGATTTGGTGAGCTTGATCCTAAAATTGCCTCTTTGCAGTCATTCGAATTGTCGTGTTTATTTATCTATTGCTGTGGCTTAGATGATCTATATGATGGTAGCCAATCATTGAATTTTGGACGTGAAGCTTGAATTTTGGACGTAAAGCTTGAATCATGCATGAATCAGGATCTCAAGAACAGACAATGCTACCACCTGGTCGATTGTATCAATTTTCAAACAAATTAGGGGTGAATCTGCCCTTACGTAGAAAAGTATGGCATGGAATTTCTCTTCGTTGCTTGAACTAGCCTAGTCTAGAATCTGTGGTACATAAACCGAAATTCGCGAAGCTCTATGTTCTCACTTGATTAGTCTATTCCTGTGGATCTAAGTCCTTATCGTTTTTCGTACAGGTCTGTACCAGTATTCCCGCTATACGTTGTGCCCATGTCAAAAAAAGCAATTATAGCCTACTACAGTAGTTCTTGAGATCAGCTATTTTTTCGAAATTGCAGATCGTGTTACTTGTCGTATTGAGTTTCTACACTTTTTGGTGCGACTAGTGCAATTCGCAAACTGAAACTACAAACAAGCACAGCCGCATATAGACAAAACATAACCTAAGCTTCACTATACACCTTACCTAACCTAATCAGTTCCCTTGGCATCTCATCCGAGCTCCTTCATCCATTGCTATTGCCTCGTTTTCTGCGTCATCTCCATCGTATGTCCTCATGAACTTTTATGCGCTTTTGTTCTGTTTGGCCGTGGCTTCACTGTATGTGCTTGCAATCAGAGTCCATGTGCCGCCCCGCCTTGCTTGCCTTGACCGCAATGCGCCCGAGCTCGTTCGTTTCCGGTTCTGGCGCATTTCACTCCTATGTGTCTTCACCGTGTTGTTTGTTCCTTGGGTCAACTGGGCCCTTCTTGGTCTCTATCCGAGCTATATACTGGCCATTCGACAACTAGGCCTTGTTCCTGGTTTCTCTCTCTCTGGGAGCGTTCTTGTTGATTCGGCCAACATTGCTAAAACGACGTTAAAAATGGCACTATTGTACATTGGTCCTTTGGCTCAATACGCTTTATCAAAACCAGATTTGGCCTCCGATCTTTCCAGCCTGTATCTCTCCGTGTGGGGCTTTCGAGACCATGTGTTTGGGCCCATCACCGAAGAATTGGTCTATCGAGCTGCAGTCGTCAGTGTCCTTCGACCTATAGCAGATGCTCACAAAATCACGATATGGGCTCCGAGTCTTTTCGGCGTGGCCCACTTGCATCATGGGATCCAACTCCTTCGTGATGGTGTGCCTTTAACTGACGCCCTGGCACAAGTAGCATTTCAGTTCATTTACACCACCCTTTTCGGAATCTTGGCCAATCATGTCTACTTGTCAACTCAGTGCAATCTATGGTGTGCGGTGGCAATGCATGCGGCAGCCAATTTGGGCAGCTTCCCTTCGTTTGAGTTGCGTCACAAGCATCCACGGCTCTTTATTGTTTACTGTGCATCTCTAGTGGCGGGGGCGGTGTCTTTCTACAAGCTTCTTTAATGCACAGTTGGAAGTTCTGTCCTCTTTGGATTGAAAGGCACAGTGGATCGTCATTCAGCCATCAGATCTTAGTTTGTTGGTACGAAGGACATTCTTTAGCACTGCCAATCGAGAAGAGGCCAAACTCGCCGAAATTATGTGAAATTACAATGGCCTCATGACGTTGTGTGCCAAAGGAACGCTACTGGACAACTATATATGGCCAAATAAATAAGCATTGCATTCCCAAGAAATAACACGAAGAATTATTGAATTCTCAGAATCGCGTTTTGTGAAAACCTCTCGCGTATATGGCATTACGGAATACGGACAACTGTGCATCTTATCATAGGATCAAAGTGGCCTTTATGTGTTGACTACGTCTTGAAGGGTGATTACGATTTTTTTTTTGTTTGGATGATTACGGCTTCGCAAGTGTGTAGATCATTTACCAATGACCTCATTTAGTCAGGTTTCACATATTTCATCGCAAGGCTGACGTAGATATTTATTTTTGCGCGGATCAATGCACATTACTGTAAAGAGGAATTTTGACGTTGTGGAAAACAAATACAAGAGCCACAGTAGTCAAGAAGAAAGAAAAAAAGTGTCCAATGGACCACGTTTAACGTGAAGTGTTCCAATGGCAAGAACAAAATCCTCAACTGAGCGAGCAAAGGGGATCATTGTTTTTCCGTCAATCTAATGTGCCCAATGTCTGAAATTAGCGCGCTAACTTGTCTAACATGAGCCAAAGCTACCCCTAAGTGCCAAACAAAGCAAAAAAGCCTGGAAAAAGAAACGTAAAAAGGCCCACCCGTAGCACCAGCCTCGAACCAAAAGACGCTCAAAACCGTTCGTCTCACCTGCCAAAGTCACGCTGTCCAGCACATAATCCTCAACACTAACAGTCGCTGGGCCCTGTGCAGTACGCTAACCTTTTCGCTGTACTTCAGATCTCTATCTTTGTTCTCCACCGCAAAAGGACACGCTTAAACAGCGGCATCACCACAACAAGTCTTTGACAAGCAGAAAAGTCAGATAGCGGCACGTGAGCACATCCCATTCTCCACTCCAAAACCACACTCGCAGCCAAACAGTACGAAGAAGCATTCCCTCAAAACCATAGACCAAGAATACAAACGCAAATTCCCTCTCGAGTCAGGTGAATCCGTCAACAATCCCACCACAATCGCATAGATAACCCTTCGTCGCTCCTTATGTCATGTCAGGCCTGAACTCGCCGTCCCCGCATCGGCGAAAGTCGCCAGAGAGCTATGAGTCTGCGGCGAAAGAAATCGAGCTGGAAAAACAGGTTGTCGCTGCGCTCAAGCGGCTCTCTTTCGGCCACTTGTTGAACAATGACGCCGATGCTGTGTTTCCCGATCTGGAGTACCTGGATCGGTTTGGCCGAGCGCCCAGTCTCAAGAACTCAGACACCACAGACACGAGTGTCTTTACGGACAAAGGTGCAGACGCTGCCACAGATACGTCGTCTGACAAAGCCACCGACACCTCATTTGACAATGCTAGAAGTTCAGAACCAACTTTTGTCACAAACACAAAAACGAACGAGTTGCTTGACAAAGGCACAGAAACAGTGTCCCCAATGGACAATGCCCACTTGTCGCCCAATCTGTCATCGCCACACACAGACGGCCCAGAAACGCCGCCGTCGCCCGACGCACCCATCGATCTGTCAGACATCTGGGTCCCTGCCAACGCACACCCAGAAATCAATCCGCAAGTGTTCCAGAGCCATGTTCACAATACGCTTGGTCAATTGTTGGAACGCAAGCTTTCGCGGTCCAAATCAGGCCGGCGCTCTTCGCTTTCACAAGAGCTGTCCGTGCCGTCTGACGCTCGGCCACGCGATCTGAAACGGCTTTCCAATCCGCTGCTCCAAGTTCTCTCGTCAGAATTAGAAGAGCTCCTGCGTCTCGCAGGAATGGATGCCAATGACGCCGTGACTTTAGCTCGCTCGCTCTCCACCTCTTCTTTGGGGTACACTGATGCCGAGAAACAGGCTTTTGGCGAGTTGGGATCGCCTCCAGGGCTGGCCGAGATCCTCGATTTGGGCGACGCCCATCGGCAGGGCGACTTTTCGTTGAAGCGCAGCCGCCGCCTTGACTACCGCAAGTCTCCAGCGCCGGGGTCGCCGCTTCAAAATCGGAAAGCCTCGGCGGCGCTGGGATCGCAACTTCAGAGCCGTAAAGCAGAGAACTTGGCAGAATTGCGTAACACGCTTGTTCCTTCGCAATCCACACAACGGTCCAGCTTGCAAAGCATCAATCCACGCAGCTCCCAGCTTCTATTTAGCTACAAGCCGCGGGATTCCGCCAGGGTGACAAGTCACGGCAGTGGGAAAACTGTTTCTGCAAAGTCAAAATCCACAGAGTCTTTCCATGGTCAAAACCCCCAGAGTCCTATTCTGAACCATGCTGCTGCCCCGCAGTCTCACACAAATACCCCTACTCACGGACAATCCACGCAACACTCTTACAGGACCTTTTCGCATGGCGGAAGGTCTCCCTCTCACGAACTTCTCCAGTCTCACCATTCGCCTCGTCCTAACCTGTCGCATTCTGGTCACCACGCAAGAAACCACGCTCATTCTACACAGCCACAACAACAACTTCAGGTACAGCACCAACAAAAGCACATCCAGCAACAGAAGCACCAACATGCTGGCACAAACAACTCTCGTTCGTCTCGCCGCAATCTGCATCTTCCTTCACAGCATTCAGGACCTGGTTATCCTTATCCCTACCCTTCGGGCCATTCTCATCCTGGCCATCATGCACAGTCTGTCCAGCCGCGCTCTACTACAAACTCTGGTCCCATTGCACAACCTGGACCCGTGTCACAACCTGGCCCCGTGCCACACCCCGGCTCTGCTCCACAAGCTGGCTCTGTCACCCCATCTTCCCAGTCTGGCTTTGGTCCACACTCTCCTGGTTATTCTCCCAACACCATTTCTGCAGGTTCCTTTACTTCTAGCTATCCTTCAGCCTCCGGCTTTGCCAATTCTTCTGGATACCCAACCCATTCAGGCCATCTGACAAACTCATATGGTTACCCCAACCAGGGAGTTCCTAGACAGACTCGTTCGTCTCGTCATAAAACACCGGCGCATACTCATGTCAAGGACAAACGTGATAAGACACGCGAGCTCAACCAAAACTTAGACTTGTTGCGGAATGAAATCAACGAGTTCAAAGAAAGCTTGTCCAAAGCAGAGCCTGAGCCTGTACCCTTGAAGACAGAAGAACCAAGAGAAGTGTCCGAGCCCCAAGCCGATTTCAGCTTTGATCTTTCCTCCCACGATGTCAGCTATGAAGATTCTCTAGGTATCGAAAGAGAAATTCTTCATGAACTTGATGTGGAGCGCTCAGGGCCACAATTTGACATGAAACTGACTACTCTGTTTCATACTGCGTCCGAAGATTTTTCTAATCACAATGCAGACGAGAAACTGCTACCAAAGTTCGAAAACCAGGATGCATCGAAATTTGCAAGTCTGAAAGAATCATACTCGCAAAGCCCGGATGTTAGAACCGAAGTGAAACAGAAAAACGATCCTCCAAGAAGGAAGTACTCGAAAACTAGTCCCGCGGAACAGTTTTCCAGAGACAGACGTGCGCAAGAACCAATACTGAATATATCTCCCCAGAATGAGGCCAAACCTTTTGGGGTGTCTGAAGAGAAAGCGCAGCAAAGACAGGAGATCGACAAAGGGTTGTCTGATCGAACTGCTACACAAGAGGATGCTGTTGTCCAGGAGAACTTCGAGAAGTCCGTCTCTACTAAACAAAAAGGGAAAACATCTATTGAACAATCATCTCAGAAGCCAATTCCTTCTTTTGAACCAACGTCTGAGTTGGAGGCTCTGAGCATCAATACAGATAACGCAAAGCCTAACATACGCGCTAAGGAAGATTCCCAATCCACAGAAATGCTCTCCAGAGAGCTGACTGCTTCCAATACTAAACCATCTTTGCAATCCTTGAAAGAAGCTGGTGCACCCGTCGCAGAAAAGAAGCAAGAAGAAAGTAAAATCCGGAAGAAGAAGAGTTTTGGTTCGCTCACCAAGCATGATAGCTCTGAAAAGCACGAAAAGAAGAAGAAAGGTTGGTTATGGTCTAAAGAGCGCTCAGTCAGTACGTCTAGTGCACAAAGTCCTGAAGTAGCATTAAAACTTCCTTCTAGAGCCATTTCTTCTCCTGAAATCTCCTTGTCAAAAAAGGGTAAAAACGACCATGGGAAAGAGAATGTTATTTCTAAACTTTTCAAGAAGAAACGCAGCAATTCTTTCTCTTCGGAAAAGGTTCATCAAAGTGCACCTCTCCGTGAAATAAAGGAATCTGGACCTTTGACAGATAAAGATACGACACCCACGGGAGCATCACTTCCTAGAAAAGTGTCAGATAAAAGCAAAAAGAACAATGATGCCAAATTATCTTCGGAATCAAAAACTGCACTGGTTATAGAGGAAAAAGAACAAAATGGTTCAAGAAACATTGCAGATAAGTCAGGCGACGTGAAAAGTACGGATGAAAAGGTCAAGGCATTATTCCGAAGCACTTTCAAAAAGAAGCAGCACCAGGACGCTAAAGATGAACTGGTGCACACAGAGGAAACCGTAGAAGACAAAAGCCCAAAAACAGAAGATTTGGGGACGAAGGCCAATGTTAAAGAAGAGGAAGACGATGACGAGGAATTCAAGCCACAGACTACTCAAGAAGTGCAGGAGAAACTAAAGAAAGTCATTAGAAGAACATCGAGACCCAACCAGCCTATCCAATTTACAGACTCCGCCTTCGGGTTCCCTCTTCCTCCGCCATCGCAATCAACGTTGGTAATGATTGACCACAGATTCCCCGTGCATGTGGAACGAGCCATCTATCGGTTGTCACACCTCAAGCTTGCCAACCCCAAACGGTCTTTGAGAGAGCAGGTGCTTCTTTCTAATTTCATGTATGCCTACTTGAATTTGGTGGATCACACATTGCATTTGGAGCAGCAAATGTCGCTGGAGGAACAGGCACTAGATCAACCTGAGGCAGACATGGGAAAGCTGACCGCAGAAGATCCTGACACAGAGTTTGAAATGGACGACGATCTTGATGAGGGCGCCTTTGATACCATAAAGCTTGATTTGGATGTGCAAGAAAACCACATCAGCGTATAAGTTGTTGGCGACCGATCACGAAGCCAGATGTCCAATTTCTGCTTTTCACTCTCACTACATTAGAGCAGAATCAAAATAGTTCGTATAACAGGAGTTTACTAAGACTCGAATGATGCCGTACGGAACAGTCACCCAAGTCTGCAGTTCGGCCAACGATGCATGAGCAGTTCGACATGTCGATAACGAACGACACGAACCTAGTATCTTACTACAATGGATGCTGCCATCACAATAGGCTGCGGCCAGAAATAAAAAGTAAACACTAAAAGCGTATACAAAATGCATACCATCAGCCAACCAGCCCAAGCAGAAATGCGCATGTCAGCATATAATGCCAAACAGAAAAACGGTCGCGTTTCTCGTCTAAGCCTCGCATTATCTTTGGACATAAAGTCACAGGCCATAACAGGGGAGAGTCCACCACAGTTTGAAAACACACTAAAAACAATAAAGATTAGCTGTAGATACTACCAAGAACCAGTAAAAATTGCCTAAACTCACAGGGGAATCTCCCCAGTTTCCCCTAATGGAATATCGCCTCATGGGCCCGGAAAACACACGTGACCAAAATGTGCCATGCGGATAATGGCGCGCGATGTCTGCCGTGTTTTTGTTGGAAGTGGTGCCAGAGTATATTTTGCCCTAGAGTCTCCTTTTTTTCCTGGCTACGGATTTTTTTTCTGATTTCGAGCCACCATGTCCAAAACGTTGCCTCTTTTGTCCCAGGCGGATCTCGCCAAACACAACACGGCGCAAGACTGCTGGGTCACGTTGTACAACAGAAAAGTGTACAATGTCACGAAATTTCTCGATGAGCATCCGGGCGGAGATGATTTGATTTTGGAGTACGCCGGCAAGGACATCACAGAGATCATGGGCGACGCAGAGACCCACGAACACTCCGAAAGCGCGTACGAGATGCTTGAAGACGGCATGTTGGTCGGATACTTGGCCACTCCGGAAGAGGAAAGAGATCTTTTGAACAACAGAAACAAGACTCCGGTGGAGGTGAAGCTCACCAAAGAGGCAGAGGAACAAGTGGACTTGTACGAGTTCCATGACGAGTTGCCTGCGTTGGAAAAGTTGTCGATCCAGACAGACTTTTCCGACGACAACAAGAAGCACAAGTTCTTGGACTTGAACAAGCCGTTACTTCCCCAAATGCTCACGAGTACCTTCGACAAGGACTTCTACTTGGACCAGGTGCATCGCCCCCGCCACTACGGCAAGGGCTCTGCGCCGTTGTTTGGCAATTTCTTGGAGCCCGTTTCTTTGACTCCGTGGTGGGTCGTTCCTGTCGTGTGGCTTCCTGTGAACCTCTACATTTTTTCGATTGGGTTTTCTGGCCAAAGCAAAATCACCGCCTTGAGTTTCTGGGCGCTTGGCTTGTTTGTGTGGACGCTTATTGAGTATTGCATGCACAGGTTCTTGTTCCACTTGGACGGCTACTTGCCTAACCACAGGATCTTCTTCACCATCCACTTTCTTTTGCACGGCGTGCACCACTACTTGCCCATGGACAAATACAGATTGGTGATGCCTCCAACCTTATTTGTCGTGTTGGCTTACCCCTTCTACAGATTGGTTTTCGCCGTTCTTCCTTACTACATCGCTTGCTCTGCGTTTGCCGGTGGAACTTTGGGCTACATCATGTACGATGTGACACACTACGTCTTGCACCACACAAGATTGCCCAAGTACTTCCATGACTTGAAGACGTACCATTTGGAGCATCACTACAAAAATTACGAGTTGGGCTTTGGTGTCACCAGTCGTTTCTGGGACGTTATCTTCAACACTGAAATCACTTCCACTTTCGAGAAGCGGAAGTGATTGCTTCTTTAGTCAGGTTTTTTCATATCGTTTAATGTGCACATTCATGTCTTCTCTATGTAATCCTATGCCGTCTCATGTCTTCCCCATATAATCCCATTTATCTAACGTAGACGCATCGATAGCGTGTGCACGTTCGCTGGCCCATAAATCCACTCCTGCCTTGAATTCCCCAATGCGTTCATCTTGATTCCATGAAAGATGCAGTGCGTTTTCTGCATCAGTACATAGCTTGTTGAAGACACTTTCCTTGTACTCTTCTTGTTTCGCCATATTGGCTAATGCTTGCGTTGGAGGTGTAATCGTACGGCGTTTTTTCCCACCACTTTTCTCTTGCTCATTCAATGCTTCCAAATGGTGATTGACGTCGAAGGGAACAGTATTGTTCTCTTCAGTAGGGATGTCATAGTGGTCTAAGGAATACTCGTAGTTGAACTTAATGTCTCGGAAGATACGTTTTGCTTTCGAGTATGCTTTTCGCTGTGTCTCTATATTGATAGCTTCTCCATGTTCCCTCATTAAAACACTCGCTAGTAGCACATCTTGCCAATTTCTTTGTGCTCCCGAATATTGGAGTCGCGAGATCTTTTCTAAGACTCCGTGTAGTCGATTGGCCAATTTCAGGGTCATTTGTCGTGTGAGTTCGTTGTCGTCATCTAGAGAAAGCTCCACTCCGTCTTTCAATTGCAGTTGCACCTTTCTATGTATTTTCTGCTGAATCAAGGCATGCAATTCGTTGAAAAGAAGTGTCTTTGGCTTTGTTTTTCTCGACGATCTGCTCTCGACAGAAACCCGATTCTTCGAAAACAATTGCACTTCCTTCTTGAGCGAAATCGGATGAACATCGTGAACTGGTAACATTGCCTCTTCGGTTTCATCTTCAAAGAGTCCGGCCTCTACCAGATCCTCATACTCATTTTGGCCCATCAAATCAGGCAATTCGGTTTCGGCCACGGGCCAGGATGCCCATTTTGCTCCTGGAAAACCTGGGTTCACTCTGTGAGAGAGAAAGGTCAGATAAAGATGCACCGCTAAATCATGCCGGAAATTATCTTCTAAAGTGTTAATGATCTGGTCAAAGTCTTTCTTTTCGTGACTTGACATGAAGATGGAGTTGGGATGGTGATGATTTGTATGGGCGTATGCAGGTGATGATAAACATGGCGTATTGAACTGGTCGAAGAACAACTTCTCTTTCATAAATAGTGGAGGGGGTGCCTCGTTTTTGACTGACTGCTTCTGTTTCAGGAGTCTTCATCTCTAAACTCTGCTGTTTCATCCATCCCTGGTGGTGGAGGGTGGGGATCACGTGCGCATCTCTTATAGTAGTAAGAAAAAAAATCCTCCGCTTTTCTTGATCTCTTTCCTTCTTAACTGAAGCAAGTCAGACGATTTGGTTTAGATAACAAGGACAGACCATGCAAGCCTCGCAGAAAGTATTTTTGGACCACGCTTTGGAATGTCAGGCCTTAAAGTTCGGCAGCTTCACTTTGAAGTCCGGACGTCAATCGCCATATTTTTTCAACATGGGCTTGTTCAACACAGGAAAACTGTTGGCCACTTTGGCTGCTGCTTACGCCCAGGCGATCATTGAATCTGGAATCAAGTTTGATATTCTTTTCGGTCCAGCTTACAAAGGCATTCCTTTGGCTGCTGTCACCGTGGCCAAGTTGGCTGAATTGGACCCAGAGAACTACGGTGACCTTGGCTACTCTTTCAACAGAAAGGAGAAGAAAGACCACGGCGAAGGCGGCTCCATTGTGGGCTGTGCTTTGGAAGGAAAGAAGATTTTGATTATAGACGATGTTATGACCGCAGGAACAGCCATCAACGAAGCCTTTGAAATTATTTCCGCTGAAAAAGGAACTGTGGTGGGTTGTGTCATTGCCTTGGACAGACAGGAAACTACTGCAGACTCCAACCAGTCTGCAACTCAAGCAGTCAGTGCCAGATACGGCATTCCTGTGTTCTCGATTGTTTCGCTTACAGATATCGTCAACCACTTGAAGGAGAAATTGACGCCAGAAAAATTGGCGGCCATCAACGAGTACAGAACCAAGTACTCCCCTCTGCTGTAATTTATGCCATGAGTGCAAGTCATTCTGTACATTAAGTATATAAGGTCACGGGAAGTCAGACAGCACCCAAACTTTGTCTAATGAGGAAATTTAACAGACAGCGTAGACTATTCATCAGTTTTTACATATACTCTTTTACAGTGGTCTTGTGCCTCGTATATTAATGTACATTACCCACGAATCTTCATAATCTTCTTCTGCTGTTTAGGTGCCTTGGGAAGCTTGGGGGCTTCTGGTGTTTCAGGAAGAGGCTCGTAAATCAGCTTTGTCATAGGGTGTTTCAACGTCAAGTTCGAGTGGATTGGCACAATGGTGTTCATTCTCTTGTTCTTGAGCTGAGGCAACTCTTCTGGCTCATACGTTTCAAACTCTGGAGGGTATGGAATGCCGCTCAGCCGTCCCACACTGGCCAAAGTTGTAGGGTGCTCTTTCAAGTACTTGGAGATTTCAAGCAACAACGCCCGCTTATTTGGAAACCTGCTGTTGCCTGCAACTCCATTTTCTTTCACCAATACACGAACACGGCCTGGGTTGCCGTAATCTTGCGGATGCGACTTATCCAATTCAAGAAGAACCGGAATTCTGAGCTGGCGGCACGCGTCGGAAATCGTTTTGGCCAAAGGGTTACGCACAGCATCCTGGGTGCTGACTCTTCTTCCTTCTTTGTGAGATCTGTTCACATCAAAGTAGCATGGATAGATGACCTGGAAGCGGCGGATTTCTTCTCTTTCCTGGGCGCTGAATTTGCTTGGATCGACAATGTCGGACCTTTTCGGCTGGGGCGCTGGCTTTGGGAAGTTATCGAACACTGACGGTTCTGAATCTTGCGACCGAGTAATGACTGGTTTTTGGATGGGCGCAATGGGCGTTTTCAAGTTCGGGTCGAACTGCGCAATGTCCATGTCCATGTTATCGATATCATCATCGTCGACCTCCTCGAGTACGGGTTTTTTGGGCATTATGAAGAGAAGAAGTAGTTGAGCTTTTTCGTCGTTGTCGGCGATATGCAGGTGTTAGGTGGTGAAGATCTACTGTGATGTACGGAAACTGCTGGCCACAACTATGCGGGAAAAAAAGCTCAAAAGACAAGAGGCATAAAACTGTTGGAATAATCCAGGCCAGCAAAGACAGGAAAGGTCAAAGTTTGACGTTGTATGAGTTTTCGTTGAAGACTGCGAATTCTCCATCTCACTTCTAGTGACGGTACTTTAAAATGCATCAGATTACACTGCAACATTATTGTGCGTAACTTGAATCAGCTGGAGATGTTGATTCAATTCTGAGGTAATGTGAATATCTCTCAACAGCTTGGAGAAGAAATAAGATCAAAATAGGTTAGTGAATACTGATTAACGTTATGAATGCTCATAGTAGTACTAGATCTTCATAGCCAGCTTGCAAATTGCTGAGGAAACTTACATGCAATTGTAACTTTCGCATTCGTAAATGTAAAAGCTTGGATCAATTATTGTAATTTGAATTCTATAGTAGACATACTAATTCTTGTGCATTTGGTTCTGACAAGGAGTGATTCCTAGTCCGCCGATAGAACTCTCTTCACTTACTTTTAGGAATACCTTGAACTGCCCTATATCTTGATAGAAGTTTATTATGTTTTACATACTCATACACCATTAACATGAAAATCTAATCCATGCGTCCAAAAAGACGACGGAACTTGCTCTTCTTCACCGGAGGTTTCGTTTTCCTTCCAACATTGTCATTGTCAAGACGCTTGTTGATCGCTCCGCACACAACTTTGATAAGATATTTGCCGTCAAAGTTCTTCCCGTCAGCCTTGTCTGCAATCCAAGGGACGGTATCGACCAAGTCTCGCGAAAGGCCCATGTGCTGTAAGTCGTCATCCAACATTCGAAGACATTTTTCCGCCTGCGGATCGGCACCGATCTGGACAAATTGGATTCCAATTTGGTTTGGCAAAGCGTTCCGTTTGTCGAGTTCTTTGTCGATCCACTTGATGGTACTCGTGACGTCATCTGAGAACTGACCATCGGTAATAGCGACAATATTCAAAGGCTTGGAGCTGGGGGTGTAGTCATTGAAGTAAGTACTAATCACCTGAAGCAACTTGCGGCCCATATTTGTTCCGCCCCGCGGAGAATTGCTATTGAACGCTTCTTCAATTTGTCTTGGGGTTGCATGGAGCAACGGTTCGGCACGATTGAGGAACCAGAGGTCTTGTCCGTCCTCGTCCCATTCTTCACAAATGCTTGAAAACGTCATCAATGCGTCTCTAGCATGGGGCCACGGAACAATGCCCGAACGTTTTTCTGTCCACGACATGGACGTGCTATCGTCCACAATGTACACAATGTCGTACCCACGAAGACACCACAATTGGTCGTCGGACAACATTGACGCCTCTGTAGGATGGGAGACCACTTGGGCCTTTGGTCCTGTTGAATAAGGTGGGGGAGCTTCTGTCATGGGAATAAAGTCACAAATAGATAGATTCAGGTAGGATATAGAAAATTCACTCGAGCGCTAAAAAATTCAATAAAGATGAAAAGTAATAGACGCTTGTATGTACTTCGCAATATATACCTCAGATAAGTAAGATGGTGCGGCTATATGTTGGGGTACTTTGTGAGGCGGAGTATTGCGATCCATGATGGACTGCACACACACACTATTCTCCTAGTGCCGACAGCCGATGTGGTTTTTTACTCGGGATAAGATCGGTTGAAGCAAATTATTGCAATGACCATCGTCATTTGCCTGATTGCATTGTTTCAGTGTTGCGGGTTGATTGGAGAGTTTAGTTATGATATTATGGAATGGGTGCAAATTCGCGACGACTGCATTCGACTAGAAGTAAGCCAACAAGAGAATATAAGTAGCCGAAAATGATAATCAGGTAAATGTCAATCAGTGGTAGCAACAAACCAATTTTAAGAGGCTGGGTTTGAAACGAAAACCATGAAACTGAATTGGTAAGTGGACGATTGAAACCGGTGGACTATAGCTGTAACACAATAGAAGTCTATAAATTGCGGTAACCATTGATGGAGCTCATGATGAAGAAAAAATGCGCCAGAGATAATCTACCGGAAATTTTAAATTATCATCCAGCTCCAGTGGTTCTCTAGATCTATACTCATGATAGAGCAAGTTAGCAGTTCTATATTTCAGGGACGTTCAGCTCTGACGATGGAGGTCTTATTTTTTTGGCTCCTCTTTTAATATTAGTGGGTTGTGTCCGTAATCATATAAGCTCAAATGCAATCTTTGGTAAAACGAATTCAGTAATTCACGTTTTCAAACCATAATCTTAAACTAGATTTGAGGTATTGGTGGTCAAACGGTTCGGAATTTTTAATACATAGCTTCGAACGTTCGCCTGGTTTATCCTCCCGTGCCCGATAAACTTCCAATAATTATTACAGTCAGCATTAAGTAACTACTCTTTGAGTGTACCAAGGTTAAATCTTCAAATCGGGGAATCCCAAGAAATAGTTGCTGAAAAGAAATAGTATGCTTAAGCCGTTGAATGGATTCTTTCTGCATGTGGTTGGTCCTTCCAATGCTTGTCATTGTATTACTTGAAATTTAAATTGTGGTTTACGCATTTTGAAAAAGATCGCATATTTGCGCAAAATGTACAAATCTTAGTATGCCTATCTCAACGACCCTTTCAAGCCAGTATTCAGGCCAAAAGCATACCGTTAGTTTCCTCAATCATTAAATATTCAATGATTAAATTAGCTGAAAGCTTTCAATACACTGTCTTCCATCGCAGGTGGTAATATTGGAAAGTACACATTTGCAATTTTTACACTACAGTCCACTTTCGTAATTTCTGTGTTTGAGAAGAACTGTGCCTGAAGATGAACTTGATTCTTTACCTATATCCTCCTTCAATTCTGAAGACAGAACTCTTTCGATGCTGGGTCAAGTGGCCATTTTGAAGCCATATCACGTGACCACATACATATATTGACATAATGTGTCATCACTTCAACACCATGGATCTTTCTGATGTTACGGCCGGCACTCCGAAAGTGCTAGGCCGTTGTCTTACTTTATTCTCTGAAAGTCGAGAAAAACCTCCAAACACGAATGTTTCCTTCTCTGCGCCCGTCACACCAGCAAAATTCGACTCCAACCCAGATATCCAATTTTTCCGTCTGGTGAAGGCAAAACACCACTACAACTATCACAAATCTAAAAGGCTGCTTCGAGACCTGAGCACTGGGCGTAGTCATGCAAAGCCAAATGTCTTTAATCCATACTCAAGGCAGAATCTCCTTGACCGCCTTCGAACATTCAATGCATTGAACTGGCAAATTCCATATTCTCCAGCCTCCAACGATTTGACCGAACTTTTATGTGCTTCACATGGCTGGACCTGTGAGTCCATTTCCCGCAATAACAACACCAAGAACCATCTTCGGTGCTCCAGCTGCAACGCAGAACTCATATTGCGCTTCAACAACGAAGTGCCTCTGCCGATATACGCCCCGTTTCTTTTCGACTCCGATGACGTACAACTTGCGAATGACAATTTGGTTCGAGAATATATAACGCAGGTTCAAAGCACAGGCCACATATCCACGTGTTCTTGGAACAAAATCCACACTCCGCTCAACAGTGTGTATTATCTTACACCATATGTTAGCTTCACAGATGAAACTTTGATCCGTGAGTATCTAGAGACGCTTTTCCATCTCACAAAAAATTGCCAGACTCTTGTTGACCACGTTTCGGAGGTGCAAAATATTCTTCCACCGATTCAAACGGAAGATTTGAGCCACTTTGTCAATGCTTCCAACATTTGGCTATTGTCTCGCTACTATAAAGAAGACAAGGAAAATTCCGCTCAGGTTTTGGCCACATCGTGCCCTCCATGGATATATTGGCTTGCTGCAATGGGCTGGGATTTGAACGCTCAGAAGTTTGCCCAAGAGAGTATTCTCCTACTCATATGCTCCAATTGCAATCAGAGGGTATTTCTCAAAAACACACAAGAATCTTTCACTGGCAATGTGTTGTCATCAAAGGTCTTGTCACCTTGCGAGTTTCCACCACATCTTGAGAATGTTACTCCGAAAGATTTCGAATGTGTAGAAGAGGAGGATGAAGAAGAGACCAAAAACTTTGGCCACAAACTGTGGTGCTTGCATTCAAGTAATATGGGAACCATCCCATTTCATGTGTATTTTAAAGATATGCTAATCAGTCTGGATCGCTTGGTGGGACCAATTGGCGAGTATGAAACGGATAAAGATATGGCGATTGACCCCAACCCCGACTCTACACCTGTGAGCAAAAGAAAAAACAGCTTTAATGTGAATGAGGGGCTCGAACGGTTCTCAAAGTTGAGAAAGACTTATTTTATAGAGTAAAGATGTACATTACTATATCATACAATGATGAGTTCTCTGTAACTTTTCTCTGGGTATCTCTCTTCATCCTGAAGAGTGAAGAAAAATCCTTCATTTGCGAAGAAGCAGTACCTCATATTAGCCTTATGACTTTAACATCAATGGGGTTTGACTACCGCCTGATTTATCATGCGGTAGAGAGTTGAGCGGAGTGCTAAAGTCAAGAATTTCAATGTACGTTTCTTCCGTGTCATTTTTCTTCTTTTGAAGAGCAGCGATACATCTATCAGGATCGAAGCTAACTTGCCAGATACCGCCCGTGATGTCTGATAGGAGGTCACGAACAAACTTTCCTGTCCTTATATCCCAAAGTTTGAACATGCGCTCACTTCCACTGACAATTCGAAGGCTATCGTGTTGAAAGCATGTGATGGCACTATTGTGACCTTTTAATTTGCTGACTGTTTCACCGGTATTTGGATCCCATACCCTTAAAGTAGAGTCTGCAGCAGCCGATACTAGATAGTCATCGGAGAGTGCTAAAAGACCCACTAGCGAACTGTGGCCTTGCAATGAATACAAAAGCTTTCCTTTTTCAAAATCCCATACGTTGATCGACAGATCCATGGATCCCGAGTAGCACCGTTTGTTTTTGAAATTCAATGCTGTAGAGTAAATCTTATCGCTGTGTCCTTCAAGAATATGCTTGCAGCGACCACCATCCATTAAGTCCCACACGCGCACAGTCGTATCATAAGAGCCTGAGATTATAATGTTGCCATAACCGGTGACAGAACGCACAGACTGCGTGTGACCCAATAACAACGCGACGAGGTATGGGTTTGATGGATCCTTCACATCGTAAATTTTGGTTTCCCGAATAACATCAGCCCCTTCACCTTCATTATCAAGGGGTAACTTCCATACGTGCAAATTGTGGTCACGCGAACCTGTCACCAAAAGCGGCTGTTCGGGATACATAATTGGCTGACCATTGTCGTTAACACCGATCTGCACTGGATGCAAAATATCTAGGCACCGTACAGTAGAAGTATGGCCACGGAAAACATGGGAGCACCGTCCAGTTCGAATGTTCCAGACACGAACATCGCGGTCTGTCGAGCCACTAACCAAAGTATTGGAGAAGTACTTGAGCGCCCACACGCCTCCATCGTGTCCTTTTAAAAGCCGTAAAAGCTCTCCTGTCTTAGTACTATGCACGTTTATCAGCTTGCCATCAAGGCCCGTGATGACTTTTTCCTCGTCGTGTTGGAGGCATGTGACAATGTTAGCGCCATGGCCCGCCACGCTTATGCGAGATGGCTCGTATTTTGGATCCATCCACCGCTTGAAAATGATGGACCTCTTTTTGTAGAGAATTTGTGCGGGGTTTATCTCCGAGAGAAGAGGGCCTGGAGTGGCCCACTGTTCAATTAGTTTTTGTGGATTTGCCAATTCGCGATGAATCTGGGCTTCATCAGTAACCAACTTATCACGCTGAAGCATTTTGCACCATAAAGCGGTATTATTGACTAGCCGAAGCCACAGACGGCAAACTTGCGCTACAGCCAAGACAGAAGGCGCATCCAAATGCGAGAGAATGTTCAACAGAATCTCCACGGGTAAGCTGGTCAACAAATCACGACGTAAACACTTTTCGATAATGCCACAAATGGACAGAAGAGACAGTCTGCTAACGAGCTTGAGCATTTCAAAAACCACGTGGTTGCGGTTCTGCTCCAGCACAAAATCGTTAAGACTGAGCACCAAGTCTATGAGCTCTCCCTGGGTTGACGGCACATTCAGAGTGAGGTTTTCCAAAACCTCAAAAACTGAAGGTTTTTCGCCCGAGCTCTGCACGGGAGAAGCCAGTGGCAGCGGGAGGACAAGCTGCTGTGCGCTCTGGTCGTCTAAATCTGATACGGGAGTTGCTCCAAGCGAATCCAAAGCTTTGGGAGTACAAGGTTGAAGATGGTCTCCTTCAGCCGGAGTGGCAACCACATTGGCCGAATTAGGCACCGAACAGTTGGAGTGGGCCAGCGATGGAGGAAAGCGAGCCAGAAGCAGCAGTAAGCATTGGCCCAGTGCAACCGATGTTAATCTTCGCTTGGGCGGATGCGTCAAGGCGTCGGAAGATTCCGAATCCGTCATCATCATGTCGTCACCGGACTCACAGTCTTTAAAAGTCATTTGCAGCTCCATGGACTCTTCAGCGCACGCGTTTGCATCAACACGGAAACGTTTTCGAGACTCTTTGGCGCCCGAGGCCACCAACGAGGGCAAAGAGAAGGGAGAAAAAGAGCCCAGCCACACGTCCAAGAGCCGCGCCTGAGGATCCACAAGTCTGGTATCAAAAGTGGGCGCTGCTCCTGAAAGCGGATACTCGGAAGGAGATTTGGGCATGATGCCTGTTTTTGTGCAAGTTGGGGAAAAAAACGGGATTTAGCACGCGATAAAAAAAAGAGCGGGCACGGGCTCTAGAGCGAGAAGAGAGAAAGCCGCGCGAAGAGAAAAGGGGCGACAAAAGAAAGTGGTGTTTTGGGCCGAAACAGGAGATGTAGATGTTTGGTTTCGGTAGGAACCTAGCGGTATAAGGAAGGGCGGGATGTACGGGTGCAATATGAGACTAGTCGGTATGGGGACAAGATGCATGAGAAACTTGAGTGCGCCGAAATGTAGCTGCGGCTCCGAATGGAGGAAAAAGAAGAGCAGATAAAAAAGTACACTATATGTTCATCCGTGTAAATCTATAAATCTAATTTCAATATATGTATGTTTCCATGTGTACGACTATTACTTTTTATAGGTCGTACTTGTGGGTGACATAATGGATTACAAATGGACTTGGTCACTGCATAAACATTCCCTCGTATGCACCATATCTTAATACCTTAGTCTTGTATAATTGTGTGGTAGCAAATTATCGCTTGAATCAGTTTTTGGAAATCGAGAAAACTTTGCTTAAATTCAACTTGTATGGTACAGAATATCTATTTCGCATGGATAGATGTCAAAAATTACACCCAGAACGAATAAGAGAATATACGAGAATATGCTGACTGTGCTGAATGTGGTGCAAACCTGTCGAACATTTACGATTGATTCACTTGCCTTGATTATTTATTTCTTAATACTGGTAGGCACAAGATTAATTTGGAGAGTCAACTTGAGGTTTGCTTTAGTTAAAGATGCTAATTCAAAACTTCGTTAAACGCTCTTCACCGAAACTTGAGCCATAAATCCGGAAGCAACGATATTAAATTCCGGAATCTGAATACATAGTTGTGGGTTAGAAACGGGTTATAAGTTTGAGAACTCAGTGAGAATTTGCTTTATGAAAGAATATCGTTTACTGCATTACCAAGATCTGCCATAGCTTAATAGAGAGAAGCATTAAAATCATACTTGTTCATGAAGTGACAATTCTAGGTTGAGCATCTTAGATAAAACAATTTATGGATCCAGTAAAAAGTTAGGATTCAAATTGCTAGACAATAGCGTCTCTAGCCTAGACATTTTCTACTATAAGTCAAGCATTGATTAGAGGAAACCAACGAAATATGTAATAACTGTAACTTATTTGCTACAAAGTATTCCCACATCGTTTTAGTGTGTCGGCAAACCAATAAAGATTCCGGTAACTTACACTCAAATTTATTTGCAAACGTAACTTAATAATCTAGGGCACGGCCATATTTACATTCATCGATATTCAGCCTACGGAGCACTACATCCTTAAGTATACTTTACAGGATATATCACTTATTATGTAGGTCTATTCAGTGTTCTTGATGATGATACCTGGCTCACCTGGAACAGCAGCCTCAACAACCTTTCCAGTGGCGGTGATTTCCACCTCCTCTCCGGTAAGAATATCGGTACCAATCTTGCTTCCGTGTGGGAACGAAATAAGTTTGATTTCGGCAATCTTAACTGTGGTAGTGGACTTGGCGAGGTTAGGAACAACCTGCTTGAGAAGTTCGCCCTCGTCGAAGGTCAATTTTCTGTTGAAAACTGTCTTGGGGCTCTCCTTTGCCAATCTTTGTTTCAAAAAGTTGATGAACGGCATGGCTCTCTTCATATCCTTACCCACCTTCTCCTTGATGACCTTGTTGTCGTTCAAAGTGTTGGCCTCAAACAATTGTCTCACAAGCTCAATGTACTCATCTTGCCATTCGGGGAAAGAAGATGCCACAAGCAAAGTGACCAGTGCAGGCTTGCTTGGGTCAACCTCAGCCTTACCCTTCTTGGATTTCAAGACAACAGCCTCAGCTTCACGAACAGCTCTAGCCAATTCCTTGACGTATTCAAGAGAGTCCAACAAACCTTGAGACACAGGCTTCGAGGCTCTAGGGAAAGCAGCGGTTTGCACGGAACCAGTCTGGCCGCAGATTTCTTTGTATAAGAACTCAGAAAAGTGTGGAGCAATAGGGGCCAACAACAATGCCTGGTTCAAGATGTACTTTTGAACCAAATCCTTGTGCATTGACTCAACAGAATCTCTGTAGTAGTCTCTTGCCGATTGGAAGTCGAACAAACCGTACTTAAGCGCACTCTTGTAGTTGGTGAGCTCGTACTGTTCGTAAGCCTGCTCAATCAAGAAGTTCATCTCGTTCTCGAAAGCTTGGTCAAAGAAGTTGTACTCTCCTGTTCTCAATTTGTCTTGAGACGAGGTGATTTCCTCACACCATTCTTTCAAGGTAGTCAAACGCAAGATGGCAGCGTTAGCGTTAGCTTCGTCGAAGTTGGCATCTTCAATAGTGTCACCCGCATCGGCCAAAGCCACTCTCGAAGCATCAGCACCAAACTTCTCCACACATTGCTCCAAAGTCAAAAAGTTACCAGTAGACTTCGACATCTTGGCATTGTTCAACATCAAGTGACCGTTAGCTCTAACACCTCTAGGCCACATTTTCTTTGGGAAAAGAGCCACATGCGTGTAAATAAAGAAGGTCAAGTGGTTAGGAACCAAGTCCTTACCGGAAACTCTCAGGTCCAATGGGTAGAAGTACTCAAACTCTCTTCTCATAGCCTTCAATTGAGAGGAAGGAATGTCCGACTTGACGTCTTCACGGCGAGTGAAGATGTAGTCAAACACCTCGTCTGTCATTTGTTCGGGCTTGATGTCAAATTTGCCTGGGATCTTACCGTAGTAGTCCGAGTGCAAGAATCTAGCAATAGTGTAGTATGCCATGTACACAGTAGAGTCCGACAAGGACTCAATCAATTGAGACTCATCCCATGGACATTTGGTACCCAAACCATAAGTTCTAGTGAGCGCCCAGTTTTTCAACCACTCCAAGACACCTTCGAAGCCATTTCTGGTTTCCTTCGAGTATGTCTCCATGCTGGCAAGACATTCCAAAGCCTGAGACTTCCACGATTCTTCTCCGTAGTCAATGTACCACTGGTCTTCCAAGGAGACCACACAGTCATCACCAGAACGAGAAACAACAAGCGATTCAGGCTCATTGTAAACAAACGCTTGTCCCGCAGCAATCATGTCAGCCTTGACCTTAGGCTTGGCTTCCTCAACCTTTTCACCCTTGTACTTTCCAACCAACATCGTGGCATTGTAGAAACCTTCCTTGTAAGCAAGCTCCTTGGCCTTTGCCAATTGGACTTGGTCCTTAGGAGATTGGATTTTCAATTCATTCACCAAGTACTCGGCCGCCTTGTCACCATACTTTTCAGTACGCACAATAGGAATGATTTCTGTGTTGACCCAATCCTTTTCAATGTGGTAGTAGTCTGGCTTGTTGGCCAAGTCTCTGGTGGTGACAAAATCGTCTGGCGAGTCAGATGGAACACAGGTGACAACACCAGTACCCTTGGAGGCTAAGATGGTCTCCATCGGAAGAACACGCAAGTTGCTCAACAAGGCCAAAGGTGGAAGGATCTTGGAACCGACAATGGCACCACCACCAATAGTCAAGGTAGCAGTGTGGTCACCTCTGGTTGGAGTCAATTTCTGGTAGCACATGTTCTTGAATGCTCTCTTAGTGGTGATGTAGTAGACACCTTCCGCGGCTTTGAAAACACCGTAAGTGATCTTGGGCGACACGAAACAGCAAGATTGACCGTACATGGTTTCTGGTCTCAAAGTGGCTGCAACCAAGTACACCTTGTTCTTGGAAAGATCAAAGTTGTTTTCAGCGAAAATCTTTTGCGCTTCAGGGGCAAATTCAGTCACCTCAATCTTGATGCCCACATATTCCTGTGGGTTGACACCTTCTCCACTCAGTCTGTCGTGGTCCAAACAAGCTTGGCCATCCTTTTCCGAGTAAATAGTGTAACGCTCACCAAACTTGATTTTGCCACAGTCCTTCAATCTGTTGATTTGCCATCTGACGAAAGCGTCGTAGTAAGCGTTGGCAGGAGTCGTGACCATGGATCTTCTCCAGTCGACTCTTCCTCCAAAGGCAGAGACATCTCTCTTGACCAAAGGAGGGAAGTACTGGAGCCAGTGTTGTGGGTCGGCAAAAGCTGCCACCTCCTCTTTGGAAAGACCCAATTGCAACATGATCTCAAACTGGTACTTTCCTCTCCCTTGCTTGGCTACAGCCTTGGATTTCTTAGCGGCAAACTTGGTGGGGTCAACCTTCTTGACTTCCTCCTTGACTTGTTCCTCTTCTTCCTCATCCTCAGCAGGAACGCCAGAGAAGTCAGCGCCAAACTGTTCCACCTCTCTTTTGATCTTGTCAGCGGAAGATTTGATGGGCATACCGGTACAGTGGAAACCCAATGGGAACAAAGCTCTCTTGCCTCTCATTCTCTCGAAACCAGTGGCAAACTCGGCCTTGGACAAGGTGAAAGAGTGTCCCACGTGCAAGACACCGTTCATATATGGGTAGGCCATGGTGATGTAGTGCTTTGGAAACGTCTCTCTCAACTGATCTGGATCGTCTTCGGGATCCTCTTCCAAAGTAGGAGCGTCCACTTCGAAAAACTTGTTTTCATCCCAGAACTTCTGATACTTCTTCTCGATCTCGACAAGAGTATCACGTCTGTCGGTTTTCTCCAACTTGATGGTAGCACTCATGTTTGGGTATGGAGAAAGAAAAAACTCTTTGAAAAATTTCGCATTTTTTGCACTACCGACTTTGGGTCTTGATAGTTGGTTTTGTAGTATGCAAGGAAATGGAAAACGGACAACAAAATTAGACACGGAAAGGGCTTCGTAATATAGTTATTACCGGTGTCTAGACTCACGTAAATCCAAAGCACATTGGCTCATTCGTATTATCCCATACCTACCAAAGTCTGGCTTTGGGTGCGAATCATATGATTATGACTAATTTAAGTCTACGGATGCATTGAACTATTAGAACATTATCAACAGATCACCATCTACAATGATGGTTTATAATCATTATATAATCATCATGTCTGGGAGACGTATGATCCCTGATTGGCTATCCGTAAGTTAAATAAAAACGACACACAGCTTACAAAAGCTTTCATAGTTATTACACTACATTCTGCGCTTTCGAAGAAGCATGGGTGGGACCATGCTTGGTTTCAGGCTCGAAGATTGATCTTTAGGAAGCGCTTCTTTTGCTTTTGCGCTCTCTTTTGCCCAACTAAAGTCCAGCATCTCGCCAATATGGATTATGTTCCCTTCGTACTCTGAACCGTCTAAAAGAATGGAAGCTTTGCCGGCATCAGCGACCAGCGTAAATTGGACCAAAGCTCCTTTCTGGCTCGGCAAAAGTTGTGACTTGGCCACTGGCCCAACTTTACTCTCTAGAAAAGCTTTTAGACAGTCTTCAGTGACGATCTCATTGACATTGTGGACACTGACAGTAGCGTCTTTATCAAAATGTGTAGCCTTATGCACATTTTGTTTCGACTTAACGGCTGATATCTCGATCCGCCTGTTATCTAAATCGGCTCCACCCAACTTGATCGCTTCATTTGCTCCAGCCTCAGTTATGAAAGTCACAAACGCAAACCCGTTGTTCTGTAAACCTTGATCTCTGTTCTTTGCACTAAGTGGCATTTTCACCGACTCCACATCTCCAAACTTCGAGAAAAACGCATGAAGATGACTCTCATCTGTTTCTTTGAAGTTCAAGTTGTGAACATAGACTTGCCGTGACACCGGAGGTTTCCGTCTGTCTCTTTTGAGAGACGGGTTGGAGATTTCGGCCTGAACGCAGAAACTGCCGATTTGCTTTTCATGAAGTGAATTTCTCACAGCTTGGGCATCTTCGCTACTGCCAAAATCAGCATAGCAAAACCGTCTTTGTTTATTGTCATTTTGCACCGGAAAACGTACGTTAAGAGGCTTTAAACCAGTACCCTCTATCATTTTCTCAACATCAGCAGGACTGAATGTCAGTGGATAATTAGTGATCCAAACGGTATTTCCAAAAATACGGAAAACTCTCACTTCTGCTCCATGCACTGTTTTATGATCTCTCGTGAGACATGATAACACTTCTGCTTCTGAAGAGAGTTCCACTATAGCATATTCTTGATCATTGTCAATCTGGACACTCACCGGGTTTCCGTATCCATCTAGAAACGCAAAAATATCTGATTCCGTCGTCCACTTAGAAATAGACGAGATCTTGATACGAAATTGTTCTCTGTTGCGATGTTCTTCTCCTTTAGGTTTTTCTGTGCGCTGTCTTTTGGGTTCCACTTCAACTGTGGTGTCTGGAATATCCTTTTTTGCCCAAGAGTTGTTTCCGGATTTCTTCAGCTTGGTCTGAAGCCTTCATGTAAGCCGAAAAATCACCATAAACACGGTAAAACATAAGTATTTCACACAAAAAATAATCCAAATCATCAACCTCTACGGCGTCTTCGGGCCATAGCTTTAAAAGCTTCTCAACATGTTTTGAGCGACCACGCTTGTTGAAAAACTTCAACGAGTATATCCAGACTCGTGCTTGAGATGCAAAGTTTTCAAACGTTTCTGTCACGATTTTAGTCGCTAGTTTTAATGATTCTTCGTCGCCCAAAGACTCCAAAAACTGAACACTAAGTTTAACCACCTCATGGTATGTGTCTGAATGCTCAGCTGCAAGTAAAGCAAAGTATTCGATATCATGGAGCAATTTATCTTTTCTTGCTGCATCTTCTCTGAAGGCACTAAATTGCTTCGAAAGAATGTTCATCGCTAGTTCTTTCCAGTTTGCATAGTCTTCGGGCACAACGCAATGACTTAGTTTGACCAGGTTCGAAATCACATCAACCTCATTGTCAATATCTAATCCTCTTAATAGCATATTATACGGCTGAACATCATGTGGGTATGTTCTGAGAAATTCCAAGCACCATAATGGCCGATAAGAGTTCGGTCTGTTTTCTGATTTTTTCAAATATGTGACCCATACCAGAGTCCATTCTAAGTTTCCTACTTTACATGCGCCTGAAAACAAAGAACGAAGAAAGATTTGGGTGACTGGATGGAAAGAATCATCTGGCGAGGAGTATTTCGCCACCTGTTCAATGTAGTTGCACCAAGCGGACGAATCCGCTGGATTTTGCGCAAGCAACGACTCAAATTCCTCGTAGTATCTCATTTTCCGCTCGGTACTTTTCACGATTCGGCTTGCTTCGCGAAGTTGAGCAGTATACTGGTCAGGAATGTTTGAAGAGACCCAAGAAGAAAAATCGTCGTATGTTTGTTGGAGTTGCTTATGTGGAGTCTGGAGGCGAGAAAGGTACATTTTGGTCATGGATTGTGTGGCGTTCTGCAACAGTGGAAGGGAGACAACTCTGTCCCAAATCAATTGGCCGTAGAGGAAATCACAACCAGCAACTTTATATGCTTGGAGCACGGTGCTCTCGTCATTTCCGCAAAGCGAAAATCGTCTTAGATAGTTATGTGGGGTCGGATACTTCTGCGACACTATCTCTGCCATGTACTTCAATTCCTCGTTCTGCAAGGATGGATCTGTGATTTCTGCCACGATGCATTTCTCCCAATCTTGGACGTCCTTTTGCGTCAAGGCCAGAAACTGGTGTTTTACCTTCCAGAGCGGAAGCATCAGAAACCCATTTTCTTGCGCATAAGTCCACACATCAGCGAAGCCCAACACATCGAGCGGATTCAGCAGATACTTTCTGATGAGATACTCGGCTGCCTCAGACGAGTTAGCAAAATTCATCCAAAACAAATTTCCAGAAAGATAATGTCAATAGTGAGACAGCTTCTTCCTGTGCAGAGAATGCCACGCCAAAAAGTGCGAGATGAGCATCAGCCTAGAGATAGTAGAAGCAGATTCCAGTGGGACAACCAGTTTCCAAAACCCAAAACCATAAAACGCAGAAAGGCCGCTGAATATGGATGCTCGGTTGTACTTGCAAAATCTCGGCTGGAAAGATGGCGAGGCGCTCCAAAAGGGTGGAATCAAAAAACCTATTCTCGTGAAGCATAAGAAAGATACCAAAGGGCTTGGATCAGACGGCAACGATGCCGATATGTGGTGGGAAAGGCTTTTTGACGGCCAGCTTAAGAACTTGGAGGTGAATAACAGCTCAAAGGGCGTGAGTTTTGACAAGAACGATGCTGGAGTAGTTGAGACTGTTCGGAGATCAGCCTCACCATTATACAAAATGTTCATCAAAGGAGAAGGATTGGCGGGCACAGTCGGCAGAACAGATAATGTGAATGTGAAGAGCGTGACTTTGGAGGCCACGGAAGTGATTGAGGTTGTTCTGAAAAGGATGAAATTGGGGGAAAAGGACAAGAAAGAGAAGAAGGAGAAGAAGGAAAAGAAAGAGAAGAAGGACAAGAAAGAGAAGAAGGATAAAAAAGAGAAGAAGGAAACGAAAGACAAGAAGGAGAAGAAAGAAGCGAGAGAGAAGAAGGAAACGAAAGAGAAGAAAGACAAGAAGGAAAAGAAAGAGAAGAAGGAAACGAGAGAAAAGAAAGATAAGAAAGACAAGAAGGACACGAAAGACAAGACGAAACGGAGCAAGAAGGACACAGACAAAATCCTGGTAGAAACAGACTCCAAAAAAGAAAAAAAGAAAACTAAATCGAAATCGGAACTGTCTTCGAAAGAGAAACTGAATGACAAGTCAACCACACAAAATTCCAAACACACGTCATCGGATAAGCCTTCGTCCAAGAAAAGAAAACTACAAGAGAAAACGTCCTCTTCCAAACGGTCGAAAAAGTAGCCTCATTGTACATAAGCATTGATAATATAACGATAACAGTAAACCTGCACGGTGATATTCCTCCACCATAGGCCTTCCGAACAAGCATGGCTGGTCCTGTGAAAGAAAAGAATGGCTTGATAACCCTACTATGGCGCTTGGCCCTTATAATAGCTCTTGTGAAACTTGTCTCAGTCCAGTTTATTCTCCTTTCCGGTGCTTTTTTTTGCTATCTCATCTATGCCCTATCCAAGATTCAACACCGCAGAATAACCGAGCACAATGAACCAAGGAGATTCAAATTCTTAGATGAGTCTATGTGGCAGGAGCAGTGCTCGGATCTTTGCATTGATCAGGAGGATATTCTGTCGCTGATGTTTCCCGACTCATTTTTGGTTTCGGAGTCTCTTCAAGAATTGGTCAATTTGATCGTTGATCAGTTTGTCAGTCTGTGGTTTTGCAAGGTATCTGACGACACTTTATTTACGGACTCGGTCCAGCTAGAACTACGGCACGTTATTCTCAACTTGAAAACAAGGCTAGCAAGATTGGATGTGCCTAGCTTTCTTGTTTTCTCCATCCTCCCTTTAATCTCAAGGCACTACGCCGACTTTGTGGCGATACAGCAAAAACATGGATCTTCCTATTCAATTGAAAGTAAGCTTCGTGTCGCTTCGGTTTTTCCCGCAGAAAGGATACATCGAGGAGTTTCCATGCTGCTTCCAGGCCCCAGAGTGAAGGAGAAAAACTACTTTAGAAGTACCGTTCTGAAGTTCCTCCCTCTTCTTCTCTCAGAAAAGGAAAACAACAACAAAGTGATCTTATCTTTGCTTAGAGAAATACTCTCTTGCACAGTTTTGACCAACGTGTTTGAGATGGTGAGCGAAGGAGACTTTTTCAATCAGATGATTGTCAAACTTATAGGCGATAACTTGCAACACAGAGATCAAGTGAAGAAACTTCGAGCAGCATTGGAGCAACATACAATGCAAATGGACTAGTTGTAAAGCCGCTCCTCTACTTGCAAAGTCTCTTACCAGATGTGGATGTTAAACAATGGCTAAATTACAGTCAAATCCATTGAAACGAGAGACGAGTTGGAAAGAATCAAGGCCCAGATCAAAAATAGGCAGTCAAATTATTCCTTAGACTCTACAGACCTTTCTCAACTAGCTATAATCGCAAAAGCCGTGGATTCTAGACTAGCGTCGAGCTCCGATGAAAGAATATCTTTGGAATCAATTCTTAGTCAGCCAAAGCTTTCTGCCGTCTTTAGAGAATATCTACGGCAGGAAAAGCACGAGTGTGATATAGACATGTGGCATGATATTGACTTGATGAAAGCTCCGTTGGAAGATTCGGATTCTACACAAGTCCCTCTATTGTTGGAATTTTCCAACAAAGATGACATTAGACACATTTACCAGACTTACTTCATCAACCCAGCATTGCCGATTCGTCCAGAATTGTGCAAAATAGTCGAACTGTATGTGAAATGCTCCGACTCCAATACCCAAAAACCACAACTCTACCAAGAAGCACGCAAAGCGCTTTTTGAGATCCAGTCTGATCTTTTCATACATATGCAGCAGTTGCATTTCCCTCAGTTCAAGAAGTCAGAAAGATTTGGCGATGTGGATATAAGTATATTCAAACAATCCGCTCATGTGAAACGGGAACCATCGATGTCCTTCTCCAACATAAAAAGCTCTTCTAACCAGGCACCTTCTAACGTGAACAATAAAACTGTAGAAGCTGTTGAAAATGCGTTTGAAAGAATAATGGCGTCCTCTTCGAAAAACCTGGATATCCAGTCTCTTTTTGGAGAAAGCAATGGTCCTCACGAGAAAGACTTGTCATTTTCAGGCTTCGATTTAAGTACATCTGAAAAGAACCGCATGTCTACATTGTTTGAGAACAATAGCGATGCGGACTCCGAAGAGGAATCCATTCATTCTGATTCGGCAGAACTGCCTCTGGATAATCTGGAGTTGAATTTAAATTCTCTGGAAATCATCTTGGCAGCACCAGGAGATTTAAGCTTGGCGGAGCAAATCCGAACTTTGGACCAAACATTAGAGAACTTGGCAGAGCAAGACGTTATCTTGTCTTCTTTATTGAGAAAAGCCGAATTGACAAACAATGTTGGAGAGCTCAAAGTTCTTCGGCGTTCGAAATTGAGTCTTGAGAGGGAAATGAAATCGAAGGAGATGCAGAAACAACAATTTATTGTGCAAGAAAACGAAAACAGTTTGTACGGAAAATCCCGTGTGAACATTCAATCGTGTATTTTTGGCAATGATGAAAGCACCAAATATGTGTTGTACATTATTGAGGTGCAAAAATATTCAAGCGAAGATCCCGACCAGATTGTGGCTGGTTGGGTCGTAGCCAGAAGATTTAGCCAATTCTATCGTCTTAACGAATATTTAAAAAAGAGGTGTCCCCAGGTATCGAATATCAAATTTCCCAAGAAGAGCGTTCAGATGCTTAATTTCCAAAAACGTCAACAGGTTGAATCTCGAAAACCTATTTTGCAGAATTATCTACATGAGCTCTTGCAGATTCCTGAGGTTTGTTCCGACCCAGCATTCCGATCCTTTTTATCATCTGAGAATTTCAGCCTTGGAAACACAAATCAGACTAATAATCCCAAAAAAAGTCTTGATTCTGTGCTTAATAAGTTTTATGGTGA